AGACAAGAAGATAATGCCAGACAAGAAGATAATGCCAGACAAGAAGATAATGCCAGACAAGAAGATAATGCCAGACAAGAAGATAATGCCAGACAAGAACAAAACGCCAGACAAGAAGAAAACGCCAGACAAGAAGCCACCTCCGGGCAAGAAGCCGCCTCCGGATAAGAAGCCACCACCTGACAAGAAACCTGCGCCCGACAAAAAGACATCGCCGGACAAGAAGCCAAAACCGTCTACTCCGCCTCCCACCAAGGCACCATGGAAGTCGCCTCTTAAGAATCCCTTCAAAAAGAAGCCAGCTTCCGACAACAAGCCACCGTCAGACAGAACGTCGTCGCCCGACAAGACGCCAGCTTCTAACCAAAATACACCTTCTACGAAAGAGCCACCGCCCGGACAGAAGCCAGCCGCCGACAAGAAGACGCCACATGACAAGAAGCCAGAGCCCTCCAAGAAACAGCCGTGGAAGCCAACTCTCAACAACCCCTTTGACAAAAGGCCTGCGCAGAAAGGATCCCCTGCAGCTTCGCCATCAGGTCAGCCGTCTTCCAAGACACCATGTACATCGAGGAGCTTACCTTAGAAAGGTAAAGACAGACCGACACCGTCACCCGGCCCGAGCGGCGGATCAACACCAACGCCTCAAGATCTGAAGTTAGCTTGGATGCTTTTACCATTTGCACCTGCTGCTTCGAGTGTCCTAGCTGGCGCCAATACCCCTGAGATCCTGGCAACCTTTCTATTGAGTCTTTTGACTCTGAATGTGGGAGGCGCTATAATGGCGGCTGTACGTGTCGAAAAAGGGGAACAAGCATCCCATTCGGCCAACACGGTTTCTTCGAGCAATGCATTCTCACCGTACAACGCAACGTCGGTCTCTTCTTCTGCACTGAAAAGTAGCAGTAGCAGCAGTAGCGTCAACAGCTCGGTGTCAAGCAGTTCTTCGTGGAGCTCTGTTTCGTCGAGCAATGTATCGTCGAGTTCTTCTTCATCGAGTTCCTCGAGTTCTGCGTCAAGTTCTCCAAGTTCCTCATCCAGCTCTTCAAGTTCTTCATCATCAAGTTCATCCAGTTCTTCTTCATCCAGCAGCTCTTCCTCTTCGAGCAGTTCTTCGTCAAGCAGTTCTTCGTCAAGCAGTTCGAGTGGATAGCCTAGTGGAGAAGGGGAAATGGTTATGTTAGTTATCATCAGGAACGAGTGATCTATTTACACCCCCTCCATCTCTTCGATCTCTGAACACAAGCCTAAACTATTGAATCGTGCATCTTTAGCATGGACCCAGTCGTTACTCATAAGACTAATTTTCTGGAAATGAAAATTATTATTGTATGCACTAACTACGCATCGTGGATGTCCAGGGCAAAGCAGAAAACCCAAGCGCTTAGAAGGAAGAACAGCTGGTTGCTGGAGAAGAATGCCCGAGTCGTCGCTGGACAGGGATTACGAATGCTGATAACGAAAAGAGCTCATTGCTGATGAAGAAAAGGAGGTTTATTGCTGGAATGGAAACGAGGACTTCGTCGCTGGCTCGTACCTTAAACGGAAAGAAGGCGTTGGATGCTGCGGACAGAGTTTGTCGCTGGAGTGAAAAGGCGAAGGTCATTGCTCGAAAAGGAGGTGTGTTGCTTCCAGGGAAGAGGTTGAGAGAGCATCCTGACGTTGAATGCTGATTGCTGGAAGCTGAAAGAAGAAGAATTTAAAGTGCTTGTGATAAAAGGAAACTTTGCTGGTTGCCGGAGTTGCTTGAAATGCACGCCGGGTACTGAGAAGAAACTCGTTTGCCGAGGAAAAGGTCCATCTTCGAACGAGGTGTCCGTTGCTGAAAAGACAACAAGGCTGTCATTGGAAAAAAAGGGCCTGTCGCTGGAAAAGAGCTTGGGTGCATCACTGGAAAAGGCTCGTGGCTGAGCTCGCTGAAGGCGCGTATTGGTCGTTGAAAAAGGAGTATGGTTCGCTTGAAGAATGCATTTGTCCATGGAAACATGCTTGTCGCCGGTGCTCGTCTTTGAAAGATTTCGTTCGCCGCTGGAAAAGGTCTTGTGGATGACTGTCGGCACTTGTGACATTTGCTGAGGGGTTCGAAAGTGTGCAACGCAAGTCCAGGTAAGAGCTTGAGGTATTGGCTCCTGGAAAGCTTACATGCCCAAGAGACCGAAGGCGCCGGCCCTGTCTCTGCACTCGCGGCAGGTAACCGAAGGGCAGTTGCGGCATCTCAGAGCACGACGACGGCGACCGCATTCACCGCAAGGTGCACGACCACGCTCGATCCACCAGTCGTGGCGAACGCAACAGATGCCACCAGCAGGAAGAGGTTCCTCGCGGTTCTGGATAGCGAGGATTTGCTGGAGGTTTCTTTCTGACCACTGCTGGCAGCCACAGGTCTTCCAAGGTGCGCCGCATACATAGCAGAACTGATGGCCACAACGGCAGCTACTTGATTTTAGCGATTGTCAGACAAGATTGTGGAGATAAACATACGTGACATGGTTGCAGCCCATGCTCAGTTGAACCACGGATTTGCAGCGGTTGCAGGTTTGCCATCCTTGAGTTCTGGCAAGAGACTCGAGGCCAGCATCTCCCATGGTACATTTGCCGGTTGGCAGGGGACTGTGCTGTGAGGCGATAGTGCTTCGTCGTGAAACATTGCTCTTAATCAGCTCTCTAGAGCTCAGGGCAACAGCAAAAACAAGCGTAGTAAAGAAATTAAAGATGCTGTTGATATTGCGGTGATGTCGGAGTCATCAATGTCTCAAGGCGCAAAGTCAATGTCGAGTTCTCCGGCTCTGTTACGACATTCGCGACACTTGGTACTTGAGCAACCGCGGCATCTGTAGAAGTGTCGCCGGCGCCAACACTCGTCGCAACAATCGAAGAAATGATACCAGTCATGCTGGTGTGGGAGAAGTTCTTGGTCAATGATCGGTCGCGCGAGATAGAGATCAATGGACTTGAGCCTTGGTAACCGTAGGCTCAGAAGTTCTGCTGATGACTTGATGATTGGGAGAAGTGCAGTGCGAATGAACTGTCTGTGATATCGCGACATGATGATGATGTGGTTGTGGAGATGGTCACTCGCGGAGGTGGCGGATGTTTTGATGGTGATACTCGACTCGCGCCGCGGTCATCTACTTGCGGCATCCGATGACTACTTGCCAATTTTTCTGTATGGATGATGCCTTGAGTACTCCTCTTGAGCTGCGGCGAACTGAATACGGACATGAAGTTCCGACTCCTTCTGAACTTGGCCGTAGGAAACTTCATGGTTGCAGCAGGAAACGGGGAACGTGGACTCCTGACGGATGAATTGCTTGGAAAGTTGATTCAGACATGGGAAGCAATAAGCGTGATCGCATTCAGGGGTAAAGACATTCTCATGCTTATCTCTGCGAACGTCACACTCGGTCATCTATGAAGAGCGTCAACAGTGCATGGAAGTAGCGTAATCAACGCTGTGGGAGACAGCGCCGAGCATCACGAGGTGAGGTACCTGACCAAAAGCTGTTGTGGTCTTTCGCCAGTGCTTCATGCTGTCGTGTTCCAGATGGTATCTCAAGATCATGATGGTCCGGTCGATCTGGGCTGGTGTGTAGTGTCTTCGGTACTTGGGGTTGGTTCCAACGAGAGTCGCGCATAGGCGAAACAGCATGCCCAAGACTTTGACAAGATCCTTCATGTCGGATTTAGCCTGCAGCTGGTGAATGTAGGTGCGAGTCTCAGCAGGTTGATCTTCATGTGCGACTTCCGGAGTGCAATCGAGAACCCTTTCTATCTTGGGCAGAATGATCTCAATCATGTGATTTTTGATCTCTTGGATGTTTGCGATAGTCGCTTCGACTTCTGTAGCGACCTTAACACCAAGCACTTCCACCACTGCGAAGCGCCTGAGCGTCTGCACCAGAGTATCCATTGACAAGAGCTTGCCAGATGACGACAGCGATCCCCTGAATATGCTCGAAGGTGGTATGCAAGACTTCACTGGTGAAGTCGTCGATGCGGCGCTTGATCCTGATGAACAGCATGATACATCTCGATACCCATTGTATCTGTGAAGGCGGCCATGGTGGTCAGCATCGTACTCTCGTAGGCATAGGATCGCTGGTGTTACGTATAAACGTAACTGTATCGACAAGCGGGTCCTGCATGAATGGCTCAGGCTGCATCGGGATGGTAGCCTTAGACAGATTGCCTGACCAGTATTGATCGATGGAATTCAGCGCTCGATCGGCATTAGGAGGAGAGGAGGTATTGAAACGACAATCCTCCGTCTCTTGCCTAGGCTCGAAGAATAAAACAGGGACAGCTCAGCCAATGGGTGTTTTTGGCCCGTGTTAGAGAGAAACGGAGTCTTGAGCGTCAACGGACGACGATCTCAAAGCCTCCAGGCACAAAGAGAATCCATATTTTGGTATATATCTTTCGGCCTGGAAGAGGAGCTTGAGAAGACCAGTCGACGTCCATCGTAGGCAATGTCATTTTTCTCGATCGGCTTTGCAGAAGTGGAGTGAGTCTTGTCGAATTGGAAAGCGTTGACGACAGTAAAGCCGCAACCGCCTACGATCCTTGAATGGCAAAAGCCTGTCCAGTAGGCAGGGTCAAGCACATCGGCGGTATATATAGTGGAACGAACCACCAGCGGGGAATCCGCCAAGCAGATATATATGGAAGCGAAGTCTTTAGTGCGAGCATCGTCGTTAAAGACCCTTGCTTACAAAAAGCCGGTAGAGCGCAATTGAAGGATTCAGCAAGTGGTAGACAGTTTTGTGATGGACTTCGGCTATAGAACGGCCGTTGAGCTCGATTATCAGTTCTTGTCGCCAGTGACCAAGTAGAGAATCATGAGTTGTAATGTGGAGATCCAGATACTGATGTCCAAGGCTGAAGGGGGTGGTAAGCAAGGCTTATATGGCTGGTTGTCAAGCGAAGCAGACAAAAGGACAAAGTGAGTGGTGATAACAAAGTGGACAATTTGTGATTGCTAGTATACAAAGGTGATCAGCAGACCCAGATAAGAAAAGTAGCTTCTAGAATTCATGGTCTGACGTGAGGCTTTTTGAGTAGACACACATCGCTTGCATACAAAGATAGCAAAGTCGATGGGTTGATCCGTTGAAAGTGCTTATCGACGAGCACAATGAACCGGTCTTGGACATTTGAATGCAGGTAAGCCAAATCTTTGCACATTATCCCAAAACTGTTGCGTGAAGTGTTTTGGAAGCCAGTCCATGGGCACAGGAAAATAAGTGATCGGTAGGTTAGCATCAGAGGATGCCCGAATAGGAAACCCGCCTGCTACTAATCCTGTGCCAGGCCAATCTACTATACTGAACCCGTAGGGAGATACCACGCGGTTGGAAATGTTGGCGATTGCGCCGTCGACAAACAAGCACTCATGCGTCCAGCCCAGTTCCGCGTAGCGATAGTCTCGGTAGAAGGGTTCTTTTAATCCAGCGAAGTGAGCAATCCAGAGAGCATGTACAAGTTCGTGGACAAGGGTCATAGCCAATTGGTAGCGAAGGCGAAGCAGACAAGAAGCTTCATCGATCTTGTCAAAGGATGAATACTGCATGGGTCTAGTCTTCGAGCAGAGGATAGAGAGTATGTCCTAATTGATGGATATCGTTGATCCTTTACCACTGTATTCTGAATTAGTTGTTGGTGGCCAGAGTCTGCGAACCGGAGATCGAGAGTGCAGTAGAGGAATGGGATGAACACTGGAACACTTACGAGGGAGTCAGTCCAGGAATTGACGCCTCGGGTATGGTGACTCCAAAAGTTGTATGGTCGTTGGCTCGAGTCTTCTCCATTGCTTCGAACTTGACGATGTCCTTCAATCTCCAGATCTTGTCCCACAGATCCCATAGCTCTTCCTGCTTGACGTTCTGCTTGGCTTCAAATGAGTAGGTCTTCTCACCATCGAAGGGTTCATTAGTGTCGCGGTGCGTACTCTTTTCCAGCATACCGCACAAAAATCCTGACATTACCTTTTCTTCCAGTAGTAAGGTGGCAAGCTGCCAGACAGGTTTGAGCGCATCCCAGTGTGGCGTATAAGTACTGCCTAATTCGTGTAGGTTCCACCTGTCGCGAGAGAAAATGGGGTGGATATAGTACTGTTCTTCCACTGGCGACACGAAATTCCTGGCATCAGTATTGCGCCCAGTTCCTTTGTATTGGCGGAAGGCAACTGCTGGCGTCGTATGTTTGCCATATCCGAATCCTGGATCCGGGTTGGGTTTGGAGGGAAGATTCATATAGCCATTTTGCAACAAAAAGTCGAGACCAAATCCTTTGATCAATGGATCGTCTTCATCAAGGTATGGGTAAGGTACTGTATTGCGAAGAATGGGTAACTTGGGCGAAGCCGGCAACGGTGGTAAAGGTGGAGATAGTCGTGGTGGTCGTGGTGGAGCTGACGAACCGAACAACTCAGCAAACTCTTCTTTGGTGACCGATTGCTTAGAGTCAGTACGCCTGAGAATGGTAACCTTTGGTGATCGGCTGTTTGCTAAGAACATTGTGATCTAAAATTCTAGTGCGTGCGACCAAGTTAAACTCAGATCTTCGTGTGAGCGGGATATAAGGATGCAGCATTCTATATCTAGATATACAGATATCATCCTTGATTACTTGGACTGGCCAGATCTACTGCCGAGAGCAGAGAACAAAGCAGTGGCTCCGGAAGCGGAACACGTTCCACATTCATCTTGACAAAGGATGAGCGAGTCGCCTAGCGACATCAACTATCTAGACGTACTCGCACGATACAATACTCAGCCTGGCTGGGGTAGTATGGTCATTAATTTGTTACGGTCGATGCCCAATGAGGAGGTAGGCTGGTTTCAATGCGGTGAACGAGGGACTGTTGGCGCATCCACCAGAGAATCAATGCCAACTCTCGACAATTTAGTCAGAAAACTGATTCAGAACGATCGAAGCCCTGGATCGTCCTCAAATATAACATGATTTTGCTAGGTACCAAGTTAATGGTGATAAATGATGCTGGGAGGAGGAACTTGATCATAGCATCGACCGCGCTCAAGTCGATTACCTAAGCAAAGGGGTCTGCCAAGATCTTATCAGATGACCGACAATCGCATACACCGAAGCATGTCTGAGATATCTATACCAAAAATCGTGATTCCGCCGGCCCCTTTGCTACTTTGGATTCATTCTGGAGGTGCAGTATAAGTTGCGGGACCACTTTGATACCTCTGACACCGTTGGCCGATAATGATCTGGCTGTCAAGTGGCCTTGATCACACAAGCGCATAGCGACAACGGACGACCAATAAATTCTGCTGGAATATAAAGCTAACTCCAGTCAACGTGTCTCTCAAGTATGGCGATGTTATATCTTGACACACAGCCGGGGGTCCTAGATGCAAGAGTATACGGAAGATATGCCGTAGTGATGGTAATGAAAGGCAAACATTGTCGTCAAGGGGTATGGAAACTTCTAATTGCTACTATCGTACTCGCACCCAGCCATTTGTGAAGGACGTATTCAAAGGATTTGTCAGACCTACAGGCCAAACAACATGCGCGCGGCCTTGTCATCGTCTCCTTTTGGTGCTGCGTCCTTTTTGGCGGGGCTGCCGTGTCTGTCATCAGAATCAGCAACATGTCATTGAAAGGGGATGAGGAAATACTTACGCAAAGAACAAGATCTTGATGGCGAGAGCAAGACCAAAGTGCAGTGCCACAACAACGACCAACAAAATCTTGCTGGTCTTGACATCCGTAGCACTCAGCACAGGATACAGATTCCTGACCAAGAAGACGCCTGAAGCCGCAAGTCCGACGGCAACGAAGACCCAGTTCAAAATGGAGATTGGCGACCAAGAAATCAAGGCCACAGGGATCCAGATGAGGTTCGCATAGCCGTACAGACAGACGCACTCGAGCAAGTTTGCAGATTCAGCTCTGAACCACTTCAAAGCACCCCACAAGGCAACAGGGATGAGGAAGGTGTATCCATAAATCAAGCCTGCAGCGCCAGAGAGCAGGGTAAAGTCGTAGATGAAATGTTTCTTTCCCTCTTTGGCCAAATATTGCGAAATGGTACCTGTGAGGAAGAGGATGACGACGACGGTGGTAGCGATCCAGAAGGGACCGTATAGATCGGGGTTTCCATCTAGCACGTCCAGGAAGTTGGAGAGAGGGAAAATGGCGGCGCGGCAGCGACGAGCGACTTCGGAGGTGTCGACGTCGAAGAATTGGGCGTAGAAGGAAATGCTCCAGAGGTAGTGTTTGCTACTCGTGACCGAGGGGTTACCATTGTTGGAGGTTGGGAGGAATGAGTTGTTGCCTGTGGGCAGCTTGCCACGAGTCGAGTTTGAGGTTTCAAAGTCTACGAGGGTGTGTCAGAGCTTCAGAGGGTATGCGACAAGGCGAGGGAGCGTACTGGACGAGTGGAACTCGAGATCCTCTTGCAGGTCGGTATGACCGAGATCGCCCTGTTGCCATGGTGTCAGTGGATGAGTCGGGTATAGGACAGCACGAAAAAGCACACACCTCTGCGTCGACATCGACTACTACATCGTATCCTCGGTTTGCCATTGCGATGGTTGTGTATGGTGACTACTTGATCTTTGAAGCATAGCTCAAGCTCTCCGGACACGTTCGCGTCGCTTCCACCAAAGTGCTTGCGCGTCGGCCTCAAAACATGCCGATGATGCTCCGACCACTATTTTCCTCTGGAAGCCACCTCATCTCCATCCTCACTCGATTTATCACTGCTGGCGAGCCATCGCCCAGCCCCGTGACAATTCGCATGTACTAGCTTCCACAACACTTGATGCCACACCCCTTTGCTCGTAGATTGCATCATGTAGGTCTCTTCTGCAGGGCTGCCTCGTTTTGTCGCTCTTGGGCCCTTCTCTTCCATCCTTCTTTTCCACACAACACGTCGAAAACACAAATACCTGCCAGTTGTTCTTTCCTGCAGGTCTTCTGTTTCATTGGGTCTACGCACTTGCAACGAAGCCGAGATCCATACCTCCGGCCAGATCTCTTTCCCAGACATTGACGAAAAGTCTAACTAGGCGGAGCGGGGTTGTGCGGCTGCGGAGATGGCACAAAAGACGCGGACTCTTCCTTCTCCGCATATCTCACACCTCCGCATTACACACACACGCCTCGACGACAACCGCCACATTGCAATGCATAACAGTCGTCAAAAGCGTATGCCAATCAACTGCGAGCCATGTCGCATACGCAAGATACGTTGCTCTCGTGATGGCATTCCTTGTGGGACTTGCAAGAGACGCGGTGTTCCATCAGCAAATTGTCTATTTGCTCAACGTCTTTCGCGCGATTCTGTCCAATCTATTCTAGAGCCGACTATGCCCTTATCGCCTATATCTGCGAGTCGATCTCCAGGACAAGCACCCGACGAAGACCTTGTCGCGCGCATCACACGCATCGAGAGAGTGTTGGCGAATCAGCAGCGACAACCTCAAGATCTCGCTGTCAACTTTCCAACCTCCGACAATGGAACTTCGCCCAAGTCTGTCTCAACAGATAGTGTGCCCGGCAGCCAGGGGGCTCTGCAGATGTCAGCATCCGGTCATGTCCGATTTGTTCCGTGTTGGCCTACAACGGAACCAGACGATGAATCTTGCCCTGAGACTTTCGACAGCCTTGTATCACCATTCGGAACGCACTACATGACTAATGGTCTTGGAGTGACCGACATGTTGGCCATGCTGCCGCCATCGAATCTGTGTACTCGGCTAAAGGAAATGTACTTTGAATCCTTCTCTCCTCTGTTCCACGTCTTGCACGATCCAACTTTCCATCAACAATATTTTCAATTTGAGCAAGACCCAGAGTCCGTATCGCTACCTTGGCTTGCACTACTCTTTGCTGTCATCAGCACAGCTTTGAGTGCTTGCGATGCAAACAGTGGTTTCCTTGGCGAACTGAGTCGGCGGCCAACTGTGTCTGCGAAGATTCGCGATTTGTCCGAGAGGTACAGAGCGAGTGCCATGCGCTGCCTCGAGATGGATAACTATCTTTGGCGCCACAACATCACAACCTTGCAGGCGTTGATTATTGTGATCTATGGCATCAATCATAGCCATGGTCAATCTTGGACTCTGCTAGGCTCCACATATCACATGGCACTCTCGCTCGGCTGCCACATCGACCCTTCAAATTTCAAGCTCAATCTCGTAGAATGCGAGGAGAGACGCAGGTGCTGGGCTTGCGTTATGATGCTCTGCACCTTACAAAACACGTCCATGAGAAATTTGGCACCTCATTACAATAGCTCTCACTACTCTGTGCGTATGCCAGCAGACGTCAACGACTTCGACTTGACGCCAGATTCAACTTCACTGCCTATTCACACTGGACGCGCAACTCAAATGTCCTATCTGCTGCTAAAGTTCCGCCTATATGATATTGGGAGCAGGATCTGCTCTCGTGTGCTGAATGCCTCAATAGTCGATCCCAAAGTCACTGTCGAACTTGACAAGGCCCTTATTCACGAACGAGGCCTCTGGAAATCCATATATTCTTATCACTCTCGCCAAGACGAAATCCCCTCATATCACAAGATACATCTCAATATCTTGCATAGCTTTTCACACCAGCTTGCATTGCTACTCCACCGACGAATACTTATGCAAGGTTCTCCAGACCCTTTCCAACAACAGACCGCACGATTGAGAAGTGTTGAGAGTGCGCGAGCGTTGCTCGAGATACACTCATCGCTGCATAACAACCTTGAGTTTGGACCCTTCCAATGGTACAATCGAGGTTTGGGATGTTTCCACACCTTCCACGCTGCGGTCGTATTGATTGCTACGATCTCTGAAGCTAGCGAACCAGATTCAGATTTGCCTGACAGTATCCGTCTGCTGAGAGAATGTGTCGGGCGCTTCGAGGAGCTGGCGGATTTGAGCTTGGTGTGTCGACGTGCAGCCCCAATACTTCGTCGACTACTGTAAGTACTGTGAAGGAATCTTGTTGAAGTGTAAACACTAACTCGACACCCATAGCGCTGGCCTTGGGTTGTCAATGGACTCTGATGATGCCGGCGAAGTGTCGCAGATGCAACGTGGACAAACAACCGACGTAACTATGAATCCACTAGCGGACGATGAGACGGGTAACTTGGATCAGATATTCGATCATCTTGATCCTCAACAGTGGCTCACACCCTCTGCGGTATCTTGGGGTCACTGGGATTTGCCGTTCGATGGTGCTCAGGGGTCTTGATGATGAACGAGAATATGTACAGGAACATTATATTCAAGAACTACTAATACTGCTTCTGCATCGCCCTCTCCACATCTGGATACTCCATGTCTGGTACAATGACATGGCTGTTGTTGTCTTGTCCCGCGACCGGAGGAGGAATATATTCTTTCCTTCCAGCCTTGTGCACTCTGCCGTTGATGCAGATGATGTTCAGCTTGGAGTGGTCTTGCAGGATAGTGATGTCGTCCAAGGGATTGCCATCTATCAAGATGCAGTCCGCAAAGAAGCCTGGCTGGATCTTACCTAGGTTATCGCTGCGCATCATCAGTTTGGCAACACCAGCCGTGGCTGCAATGAGCGCCTCATGTGGTGTGAAGTCGAGTAGCTTCACAAAGTGCTCGAGATCGCGAGCATATGTGCCGTGTGGTGTCCACGCGAAACCGTAGTCGCCACCTGGAAGTACGACTATGCCGCGACGATGCATCTCTCGAAGACCCTTGATGGCTGCGTCTAGCTCGCGTTTGTAGCCAACCTTTTCGGCTTGGGCGTGGCTGTAGCCAAATGCTTCGGCTTCGTTGAGTGTGGCGATCAGCCAGTTGATCGCTGGTGCCACTATGTGCTTGGTCTTTGCGGCTTCCAGCATCTCCATGCCCTCGTCATCGATGTATGAGGCGTGGTATATGGCTTCGACACCGTGTCGAACACCTGAAGGATCTGTTAGACTTCTAACATTCAGCAGAGCGAGTCTGGACACGTACACATCTTGACGGAGTCTCGAGCTCGTGCGTGGGCACACAGGCGTTTGCCATGCTTGTGTGCCTCATCAACACAGGCTGCCGTCTCTTCGTCGGTAAAGTAGCAATCTTGCGCTGAACGAATCTCAGTGATCTGGAACACTTGGTCAATATCGCGGTCCATGTCAGGGTTCTAGACAACAGCTCACCTCTTCGCCAGACATGCTCAGCTTGATGTTGTCAACGCCAATATCCACATGATGGCGAATCACCTCACGCATCTCGTCAGGTCCGTCTGCAAAGGCAGTAATACCAGCGACCAACTCTCCATCTCTGCGAGCCATTTCTTTGCCGTTGGCAAGGTATCTAGGTCCTGGAATGTCGCCGGCGTTGATGGCGTCTCTGATTACTACATCGAGTCGATCTTTTGCTGAAGCTGCACCGAAGCACCTGAGTCAACTTTGTCAATATGGGTCTCGTCGTCTCAGAGAGTGTGTCTGTCATCTTACATGGTATAGCCGGAGTCGATGAAGCATTGCGCGCTCCGCATCGTCAAAAGAGTGTGCTCTTCGACACCCAGGTCTCCCAGACGATCGAGATCTCCACCGTTCCAAGTAAGATGTGTGTGAGCATCGCCCAAGCCTGACATCAAAGTGCGTCCTCGGCCATGGAAGACGCGGACTTTGGAGTCCTTGCTGATTTCGTCGACGTCGGGTACAGTACCCACGTATGTGATTTTCTGACCTATTCTAATGTTAGTCGATGTCGCTGCGCCGCTGGATCGAAGTTATGCTTCTGACCTTCGATCAACACAGCTCCGAGGTAGGGCTCTTTCCCTGTAGAGTCGAGAATGTTCACGTTGAGAAATAGGATCTTGGAGTCTGGATGTGTGCCCTGGATGTCGTAGTCTTTGGGCTGTAGACTCGAGTCCCACGAGACCTGTTCAATCCAGTCCACATTGCGTGGTGGTGAGGCCTTGGCCAACTTTGGGTTTGCGTGCGAATCTGTAGTGGTGAAAGAGTCTGTTCTGTTCGAGTGTGGTGCCATTTTCTGCTGTGGGTGAGATGTGCTTGAGGACGCATGCTTCCACCTCAGACCCGTAACTAACCATATATATGGCGTGGCTACGGTTGTACCTCGAAAGTTCAAACAGCATTGCACATGACACGCAACTCCGCGCTGTGGGGGTGGCGTGCGGGGTGCATGAGGTGGTCTGGTCTACTTCGCGTGCGGTCTGAGTTGGCAATCGCGGATGTCTCAAACTTTGGTATGCGTACCTCCGCCTTTCACCGTCAAGTCCGCTCTACCGCCGCTGCACCTCTGTCCGCGGTTCTGTTCGTCCATGCGAATCTTCTCCGTCTTTTGTGGACTGACTATCCCCGCTTGAGTGTCAGAGTATGTCCGCGCTGCGTGATGACTTCCAACGCTCGACCATGCGGACGATGTGAATTCTGAGTTGTCGAGAGGGGAGTAGCCAGAGTCTCTTCCGAGTCTGCTACACTGTTTTTCCCGTAAACCAGAGTAAACCTCGCATAGTCCTGTAGTCGCTTAATCAGGACACCTCCTCAGCAACAATGGGCTGGCTACAACTAAATCGCCAACAAATCACCACTTCGTTACCTGAGAAGTGCCCTGAGAAGGAGAAAGACAGCACCACCACTTTCATCGAAAACGTCAACACCACCTACACTGCCACCTCCCAACTCTACCCAACACAGCCTCTACAAACCCCAAACTCCCAACTCCCCTTCATCTCCCCCGCCACCATCGCCACTGTAACCGCCGACCATCACGTCCTCTGGCTGGTTATCGACAACATCATCTACGACTGCACAGATTTCATCTCTGGACACCCTGGCGGTGCTGCTGTGATTGAGAGTTTCGTGGGCAAAGATTGCTCGTGGCAGTTTTGGAGGTTTCATAGTAGAGAGCATATGCAGAGGTTTGGGAGGGGATTGAGGGTAGGGAGGACGAAGGGGGTGAGAAATCCCTTTGAGGAGAGGGTGAGGTGGGTTGGATTGAGAAGGTTAGGGGATGATGGGTGGGATTAGCAGAGGGCTGGGTTGTGTCTTGGGCGTGATGTTTGGGAGTTGCATGGGTGGATTGGGAGGGTTTGATGGGGTTTGATTTATTGGGTAGTTTGTTAGAGGCTTCTGGGTGTGATTGGATTGACGGTGGTTGCAATTAGTGTATTCTTAAGGATAACAGTTCGTCAGGCTTACAGGTAGAATATGCACAGGCATGTTCGTTGCGCAATGCGGGTTGTCTATCATCTCGAGTGTGAGAACATATTGTACAGTATATCGCGATCACGACCAAGATCGCTTTTGAGACGTCAAGGACTTGTTTTGTAGGATAAGATACACGACTACATTTCAAGCGACTCGGACTCTACTTATGATATTCAGCCAACACATTCTTCCAATATACAAATGTTTGATCGAGCTCAAGAACAGACGCACATGATGACAGAATCCCTATCGTTTCAGGTCTGCTTGGTCATGGCAAAGGTAGGCAAATCAATAGGAGTCAGCCCTCCAGACCACAGTCCAGCACAACCAGCCCAGTCTAAACACAATCAGTACTGACACTCGAAAAAGCCACAGCATACAAGCCAGGACAAAAAGGGAAGACTCACAACTGCAAAAAGCAACTACAAAGCCCACAGAGTTGGCAGCAACCAGAGTAGACGAACTGTCCAACATGTATCCACAAGCCAGGAGAACCAACTCAATGTCTAGGAAGAAAAGAGTAAACCACAAGACCCAGGAGCTGCGCATTGCGGCGATGGTGAAGATGACGGTGAGGATGAACCAGGCCCAGCAGTACATGCCGAGTGCATTGTTGAAGTCTGCGCTGAGTTGTCCGTTGGCGTCGGTGTAAGCTAGCATTGGTGGATTAGTATGTGTAGAAAAGATGAAGGAGAGTGCCATTCTCACATGCGAGGATGCCTGTTCCAGGGATGTAGATCATAGCGTAAGAGAAGTTGAAGGCTGCGTAGGAAGGGAAGACGGTGGCTCCAAACTGAGAAAGCGTAAGTATAGATTCTTTCAGACAGGCAGCTGAAGTAAAAGGCTTACGGTGTTGCCAGCAACAAACTCCATGATGCCAGAGATGAATTGACATACACCCCCAAAGAACAACAGGACACCGACAAGCACATTTGGAGTCTGGATACCACGAGCGTGCACACCAAGAATCGAGATGAGGAATATACCAGTCGCAAACGAGAGCAAGCCCAGAGGAGCAGGATTGGCGAAGGACCGATGGACTACGGGTAGAGCAGGCTGGCTTCGGTCGTCGACATGGCCACCTGCAGTCCTCAGTCTCTCGAGATGTTGGCTATCGCCATTTTGCTCGATCTTAGGAATTTGATCATAGATCTCGGTTGCTGATGAGGAGGACATGGTGAATGGAACTTGATGCGATGCGAATGCTGGGATTCATGTCTCTTCCATCGGCATCAGTCTCTATAAGAAGTACATGTGGTGACCATAACAATGGTGTATAGAGTTTGGTCGTGCCTAGGCGGGTATCAGCCCCGCATCTCGAGCCCCTCCTCGCAGTTGACTGGTGTGCCAAAGTTCATGAGTCTTCCTCGTGGACGACAGGGAGAGCTGGAGATCTGAGACCAGAGTTCGTCAAGTCGTTTCCGCCATGTCCGCCTTCTCCGCTCTTGTGCGCGGAACGCGCGGAGTACGGAACAGGAAGGTGGGGTTTGGCGGCGGGGTCTTCATGCTACACCCACGTTTGTAAACATTGCATATGAAATTATTTTTGCTACAACTAGCTTTCTCTCCTTCTGGCATCTCACTGATAGAAGCACAATTTGTATTACCTGACCTTTCAGTACTTGCAATGGCAACCGGACATCATACCAACGGCCAAAGTGGCACCAATGGGTTTTCTAACGGAACTGGGGGCAGCTCGCTCACGAACTACATCGCCTACCAAGTTCAAGGCTCTGAAAGAAAAAACATCGGCCACTACGATGTTGAGAATGAAACCATTCAACCACTCGCATTTGCCTCTGGTACACTACTTGAAGACCTGTATCAAGTCATTCAAGTTGGAGAATCTGGCATCGTTCCCTCTGGCGAGAGCGTATCTGCCTCTCAAGTCAAGATTCTGCCCCCAATCAGTGGCCGAGACGTGCTTTGCGTAGGCAAGAACTACGCCGAACACGCCAAAGAATTCAACAGTTCTGGTTTCGACAGCTCCGACAAGGTCGATCAGCCAACTCATCCCGTCATCTTTACCAAGCGTTTCACCTCCATCATTGGCGCTGGCGAGGATATCTACCCTCATCCTGGTTTCACAGAGACCATCGATTATGAAGGCGAGATTGGTGTCATCATTGGAAAAGCCGGCCATCGCATCTCCGAGGAGAACGCAATGCAACATGTCTGGGGTTATACCATTGTCAACGACATGACTGCTCGCGAGAGACAGCGCGATCACAAGCAGTTCTACATTGGCAAGTCGCCTGATACTTTCTGTCCCATGGTGCGTACTGAGGCTCAATCGACCCGGAACGAAACAGATTGCTGACTTCGAGGACAGGGACCCATCGCTGTGCCAGCAGACAAGCTCAACAAAGTTCTGAGGGTCCAAACCAAAGTAAACGGTGAACTGAGACAGGACGCCACAACGGAAGATCTGATCTTCAGCATCCCTTTCCTCATCAAGACAATGTCAGAGGGCCAGACACTGATGCCTGGAGACATTCTGGCTACTGGAACTGTAAGTGCAAGTGACTTGTGTTCTGACGATTACTGACGTTTCTCGAAGCCTGCTGGAGTTGGCATTGGTAGAAAGCCTCCAACTTATCTCAAGTCTGGCGACGAGGTTGAGGTTTCGGTGACCGGCCTTGGTTCGCTGAGCAATCGCATCGGCAGCTCCGGATCGTCCAACCCTACCGTTGCTGCTGTCGAGGCCATGAACAAGCTTCCCCTTTCCAACGTCAAGACCGTCGACTCGAACGGCTTGACCAAGATCAACAACAAGCTGTTGCACTACCGTCAACAAGGCCAAGCTTCAGGACCGAATCTGGTGTTCGTCCACGGACTCGGAGGCACATCAGATTACTGGACTCCTCTAGTGCAAGCCGCCCACCTGGACCAAAGCCACAATCTTCACTTCCTCGATCTCGAAGGACACGGCTTGTCACCCACCTCCCCACTCAGCAATCTCAGCATCGAGTCCTTCGCCGCAGATCTCAAGGGCGTATTCGATCATGCAAACATCTCTGGCGGCGCTACACTACTCGCCCACTCGATGGGCTGCCTCGTCGCACTCAGATTCACTCTGGACAACCCAGACTCGGTCAGCAAACTCATCCTCGTGGGTCCACCTCCCTCGCCTCTTCCCGCAGCCGCCAGCACAAACTCGCATGCACGCGCCCACCTCGTCCGCACACAGGGCATGTCTACCGTAGTCGATGCGATCGTCACAGCAGGCACCTCGTCCAAAACAAAGTCTCACAACCCATTAGCAGTCACAGCCATCAGACTCTCCCTACTCAGTCAAGATCCAGAGGGTTACGCAAAAGCCTGCGCAGCCCTTGCCAACGCAACCGCAAAGCTGGACTTTGCTGCCGTCAAAACACAGACGCTGATCATCACTGGCTCCGAGGACAAGGTATCGCCACCGCGGCTGTGTGAGGAGTATGCGGCGTCGCTGCCTAAAGGTAGTTCAGTCGAGGTTTTGGAAAACGTGGGACATTGGCATGTTTATGAGGATGTCGAGGGTGTGAGTCGTGCTGTTTCTGCGTTTCTTGCCGGTTAGGGGGTTGCATGATCTCCTACTCTAATGAGTGGAAATATACAGTGAATAAGATTGCCGGGGTTTATTGAATGATGCCCGTTATTGTCAAGTATATCTATCTGTGATTGAGTCATGGGGAATCCAGTGAGCTTTATGAGTGCTTGTCGTCACCCTTTACATCTGGTCATGCCGAGATACAACAGAATAAGCGTTGGCGAATGTGAGAAAGGTAGTGTCTTCTGAAACGGCGGTTCTATATCTTTAATTCTTGAAGATTATCTGGTATGCATTATATCCGCTGTTAAACTCCATGGGTGCAAATTGCAAAAAAATCAAATAGGTATCTTCAACTCCTTCCTTCCGTGTCTCTTACTTCATGAACCCTAGCCTCTTCTCTCTAGTCTCGACATCCTTCATCTCCTCGTCCATGACATCGTTGAAGTGGTCCGCGCCATCGAGATAAACGTGGTGACCAGCCTTGCGAATAATCACCACCTTGGCATCTCCATTCTCAGTCTTCTTTTCCTCTGCAGTAGCAGTGGCCAAAGCTTTTTGCTTTTCGGCCTGAATCTTTTCTGCTGCCGCCCGCCCACCGTCTTTGTCCATCCAGTCGTTTTCGCCATACATGAGTACCACAGGAATACCGGTTTCGCGAACCTTGGAGAGACCATTGGGGGCAGAGGAGGTGTTGTCGGGCACAGGTGCAGAATGGGGTTCTGAGATCCATTGGCGACCTACGCCTTGGATGCGGCGAATCAGGGGGCTGCGGGCAAAGGCGCCAGGGGCGAGGATGTAGGCGAGTGCGTATTCACCAGATCCACGTTGGCGGAAGAGGGAGTAGCTGTAGTCGTGCAGAGCTTGGGATTCGTCGGCTGGGAGATGGCTGAAGCGGCGACTCGTCCAACCTGATACTAGACGAGGGCCAAGGGGACCGGACCAACGGACAAAGGAGAAGGGCGAGATGTTTGCGTCCCAGAGAGTGGAGAGCCACTTTGGTAGAGGTTTCCTTGGTGGCTTGCCGCTGTTGTTGGCAGCGTCTCTTTTCGCTTTGGCGTTCATGAAGTTGTTGTTGTCTCCGGTCTTTGCTGAGGCTGGGATGTCAGGATTTGTGCCATTGGCAGAGTTTTCTTGATCTTGAGTGAACTCGTTGACCATAGTCGAGTCTTCGGGCTCGGGCAGATCGGCATTGACGGCGTAGGGGTCTTCAGGAATGCCAACAGGTGAGGCCAGGATGAGCTTGTTGAGGTGGCCAGGGTACTTGAGAGCGTATGCGACAGCCATGTAGCCGCCCATGCTGTGACCAAGCAAAGTAAAGCGATCGATGCCCTTTTTGATGCGCCACTCTTCCAGAGCGTCAATGAACCAGCTCTCGGCTTCTTCGATCTTTCCCTGACGGTCTTTGGCATGGATCTTGAAAGGCGGTCGGGACGAGCGACCCATACCCAGCATGTCCAGAGCGTACAGCTTCCAGCCAGGCAATCTGGACAGGCTCTCGAAGTTGCGGTAAAAGAAACCGAGACCAGCACCGTAGCCATGGATCATGACAAGATTGTTGTCGACATGCTCGCCAATTCTCTCAACAGAAAACTCGTTCAAGAAGCGGCTCTTTCCCGACAGCTCGACCAGATCCGAGTTCCATTTGCGAGGGCCGTAGGGATCATTGAGCGCGGAGGTAGTGACAGGGTCAGCTTGGCGGGCTTCAGTCTTGGAGACGTCTTGAGTCGAGACGTTAGTCGAGGCAGGGGCTGAACCAGTTTGAGTATGCGTCGGAGGCTTCTGGAGATATGGGATGAAGGAGAGAACGCGGTGTTCGGTAATGGCAGGAGAGAGACCAGCCCACTGTGGCGAGTTAGTAGGAAGAATGGCGAGTTTAGCAGAAGAGTGTACACACCCATTGACTGAAGCCCTCCTTGTAGCCTAGGGGGAAGTAGGCAGGCTTCCCTGCAGTTCTTGTGGCCTCGGAGGGCGTGTCTTTGCGTTGAGAGGCCAGCATTGGTCGCTGGCCCCCAGACTCTGTATCGGAAGCCATTCTTGGTCTTCTTGATCGGTGCGGGAGGTCTGTTGGGTGGCGGTTGATGCAGAGGGCGTTGTTGAATGATTCGCTGACTTGGTTCCAGGCCTGTTTCCCAAGGCTGAGGGTAGCGCGACTGGCGCGCGAATGTTGTAATCGGCTAATCTTGGAGACGAAACACGGAATGAGAGAAAAGGAAAGAGCGACAGACAACGACTTTATTGCAAAAGGGTCGTTTAGGCAGGTACGGATTTGACTACGGTCTGATGACGATGCAGGCAACAAGGACCGGAGTTTAGGTCAGGCCGTGTCCCGCGCCCGCCGTTTCCTTCAATCACGGCCGCACCTGCATGAGCTGACGCCAGTCATTTCCAGATCATCACATATCATCATCCACCAACAGAGTCGCACACTGCTACGACCCCAATCATGAGCTGATTTGACGCGTCCACGCCATGACGTCCACGCTGGATAGAATCGTCAAGGGTGCCCCGCCGCCCGACGTCTCTCTCGATCAGGTCGCACAATCCGCCCGCCGCGAGAGCACCACCAACCTATCCCAGACCCGTTCACGGAGAGACTCAATCACCGCCCCTCGCCCACAATCTTCAAGCCAATCTGACCCTCTCAATAACCTGCCCTCGTCGCCCGAGCAGATCAAGCTCAATCTCCTCATCCTCGAATCCTCCCTCCGCGCACAGTACCTTTGTCTGCATGCCCGTCTACGCCTCTACCTTGTCCTACTGGCCGCCCTTACTCTCTGGATCTCGACCTTTACATATTTGCTCTTCCTGCGTCCGCGTGAAGATGGCAAGGGTACTGGTGGCTCCCCCTACTGGGTCGTCGACATTGCCGAACGCCTAGGCTGGGTTGGAGGCCTTGTGACTGCTGGTCTGCTGTGGGGTACTGGAATGTGGGATCGAGGCATTCGCTGGCCGAGGAAGTGGGTCAACATCACAAACAGAGGTCTACGAGGCTTCAACCTCAAACTCGTCGTCATTCGTGGCCCTTGGTGGAAGGAAGCTCTTGGCTACCTCGCCCTCTTGGACCCCTACGGGTGGTGGGGCCACATCAAGGGCATGCGCTTCGAATTCATGCCCAAAGACATTGAAAAATCTACCCTCGAGAACAAGGACAAGGTCGGTCTATGGGAGACTGGGGGCCGTCATGGCTGGATTGAGGAGGACGTCGCTCCCGGTGGAGATGTCATCAAGCTTCTTCTACTACCAAAACCATTCTCACCCGACTTTCGCGAAGATTGGGATACTTACCGACATAATTATTGGGAAAAGGAAAACGAGAGACGCTCACAATTACGAGCCATCATCAAGACAAGACAGAAACAATTGGCGAAACAAGAAGGCGGCTGGCTTTGGTGGACTGGCTGGAGAGGATGGACTCGTCTACGACACCCGACAAGACCCAATCATGATCAACTAAACAGGTTGCAACGCGAAGCTTTACGCGAGAAGCAGAGTCTGTCGCACATCAGAGAAAAGAAGACCCGGTCGAGCTCAATCTTGCGAGAAGGTAGCCACTCACGCTCAAGTTCTAGAGGTTCGATCGCTGAGTCGCTCGGTCGCCGGCCAGATGAGAAGATTCGCAGAATGAGTAGTACTCAGAGTCTTAGAAAGGAACGCCCAAAGCCGACCACTGCCAGGCGCTCGAGTCGTTTGGCCTCTTCTTCTGACTCCAGGCCGGGTACGCCCAATTCGGTGGGTACTGCATCCGAGCACGAGACTTCTCCAACGTCTTTGCACAATCGTGCCAGTAATCTGAGCATTAGCTCAACGTCGACTTGGACAAGTGATGTGCTCAAGGAAGACACGCCGCCTACTGACGTCGATATGACTGAGAAAGATCAGACGACGCCTAAGCTTTAGCTTTGCCATTGCTGAATATGATAACGACTGTTGTTTTCAATTTCTGATCATTCGTACTTGTTTGCTCCCCTGGTGACTCTGACACCCAACAGCATTCCTGGTCCGAAACAATGACATGACTCAGGGGTGAGATTGAAACTTGGCACATGTCCGGCTTGTACTACCCAGGATCAGCACTCAGCCATGTACCCATCCAACGCCCTGTCTTGACACGGATCCGACATCACACTCACTCTGGCACATGTCGACATGCGCCACACATGCGAGACTGACATACCCACCATTGCAGACATACGGTTTTCGTCAGCGTATACCATTGATGCTACTGATCTGTCATTGCATCGGCTAGCATAGCAACTGATCACTCAGCTTATCAGTCACGTCACCGTGTAATCAAACTACCTGCTGGTATCCGCGCCGCTACAACACCAGACGCTTCCACACCACTTGGATCATCATGTTGACATAGCGCCTCTTTGGGGCGACATCAGATCATAATTCGAGCCAAGGGTGAAGTCCAAATAGAGAGATGGCCGTGATGAGCCTGAAGATCGCATAAGAGTAAGTCTGTACCCTCACCCTGACGGATCTGTGGCGGGTGTGCGGTTTGGGTCGCTCTTTCCCATCGAGCCGCAATTCTTGCAATTGACTCTCACACTCGTATCGACCGTGTCCGAGATCACTGCCAACAGTGGCCCAGACGAACCTGTTCTTTGTTGTCTCAGCAGGTTCAATCCACGCTCTTTGTATTTTTCCTTATGTTAACACAAGACATTGTTGGATTGCATTGTTCGCTATGCCACACAAAGGAAGTCGAAGAAGAGGAGAACAATGCCCTATTCCCTCTCGACACCGCCAGAGCCTCCTCGACTTCTCGTTGAAACCACTCACAAGTCCCCTCCCATCTTCCACTTTCTCACGCAAAACGACTTCGGCAATTCAAGACAGCTAACTCAGCACTCACCACACACCTCTGGCAGGCTCCAGCACTTTCTCATAATCCAGTAAGTACCTGACCCCAATCTCCAACTGACAAAACCACAGAACCCCAAAATGCCTCCAGGTCAACCAACCGAGTATGAGCCAGCCAGCTGGACTGAAATATTCTGCCAATGCCTCCCCATCCGCAAAAACAAGCCCGAGACCGATATCGAGATGCAAAACATGTCTTCCTCGAACAGATACCCTGACGTCGCTACTCTCAACAACCCTGTCGTTCCTGAGCACATTGTTCGCGCTAACAATCCTGATAACATCCGAAGAGCAAGACCTGCGCCGCGCGATTCTTGGTGGTTGAGAGATGATGACACTGATTCTGCCCCCTCCAGAAGTGGAACCTCAAACCCAGTCGCTAACACCCTCGAGAACACCCCATACACTCCTCCAACTGCTTACAACACCAATCTCCGCATCGCCGCCAACACCCCTGAGATCTTCACCCACAACCCTGATTCTTCGCCTGAGTTTCCTACTACTTCTACTCCTCAATGGGGTCACCTTTCCCGCGTCCAGTGGCTCGATACCAATCGCAGACCTACTTCTTCGGTGTATGCTGATGCTCCTGCTCCAGTTACTGCCAATGATATCCGTGTCCCCAGAGTCAGCCCTAGAGCTGTTAGTTATGCCGCTGTGCTTGATGTGCAGGCTGGTATCGATGCTAGAAAGTCTAAAATTCCGCCTTCTCCTCCTTCTCCTGCCGGTTCTGTTGACAGTATTGATTTTTTCTCTGGTAAGGCTGCTGAAGAGGGATTTGGTGGTAGAGTTGTTCCAAGGAGACCGGATAGGTATGAGGGTGTTAGTCCTTATATTGCTTGACCTTGAGTGGTTAGGTGAGTGGTCTCCACTGTCTTCTGTTCTGAATCTAAGTACTTCCTTTCATGTAAGTGTCTGTTGCTGTTTACCAAAGACAGCTTGAACCGAATTTATCTATAGAAGAAAAAAAAGAATTATTTCTTTGCTCCTTCCTGCCTGCTGCCTGATAGTGCCAAGACCTAATATCCCGCAAGACTATATATATATCCCACTCATCTATCGATAAGCTAGCATCTTCCTTCCACACCCATACATACCTACTCTTTTGTTGCCTACACATCATCCTTCCGAGCTTCACACAGTATATGATCTCATTCAAGCTCTTCGACCTGTGAGTTTGAAGGCTGTCAACGCTACTTTAAACTCCAACGCTAATTTCAACGACGCGAGAATGGTCAACGATGATTTCCACCTCTTCCCACGCCTACCTCTCGAACTTCGCGAAGAAATCTGGCGCCTCTGCCTACCTCATCGGGTATACGAAGTCGACGACCCTATCCCCTACGTCATATACGACTATGAGGGACCGTATCCCTGTTCACTCGGATTGACCAGCAAGAGCAATTCTCGCCCACCATTACTCACACGAGTCTGCCGTGAGTCGCGCCGAGTCGCCTCTGTCACAGGAAAATGGATCTCAAGTCTCTCCTGGCGCTCGGGCGCGTGGAGTGTCACTGAGCCATGCGAAGCTGATTGGAAGACCGGCAAAGTTATAGACTGCGGACTCTGGGAGGACACTGCCCGCGACTCTGCACACTTGAACTGGACTCCATGCTGTGACATAGAATGGGGCCCTGTCGATCCGGAAGGTCACCCTTTGACTACTTTGGCGGAGGAAGCGAAGTCTCTGAACGGAACACCATCTTTCATGCTGGAGGCCATGTCTGACTCTCGGGAGCGGGATCCCGCTTCCAGCTGGTTCAGACCAACTGGTTCACCTCTTTCTCAACGCGAGCAAAACCTAGCGGCACTGAAGCTACAGCCAGAGTGGCTGGTAGTTGTGAAAGTGATCGTTATACATCTCGATCTTGGTCGAGCTGCCGATAGCGGTCTGTTTGGGCTATCGGGAGATGAAATCATACAAGTGGTGGACGCCGCTCTGCCGTTGGTTTCGCAGCTGTATGAGTTGGCCGAGTGGTGTGAACGTCAAGCACCTACCGTCACGATCGCTCAGGACTTTACCCGAATGTCGTATGCAGACATGGATTCCATGGTGAAGCGTTCGAAAGGCTTCGAGATCATGAGATAGGCAAGCGTCTGCGGCCAGCGATTATGTTTAGGCTGTGTACGGAAATGTGTAATCACATCAACACGCCGAAGGAGAAGCATCTCGAGCCTTTGGATGTGACTACTCCCGGGTTGGAAGTGGTAAGCGGACGTATGTTGGAAACACCAACTGCGGAATCTGCCAGCTGAACTGCTCTTCCTCGAATACAACATGAAAACTAGAAGCTGCAAGTAAGATGACAAATAGATATGGTGAGCGTCAGTGGTCCGAAACCACAGGTAATCTGAAAATTGAATATAACCGAGGAAGTTGTTCCAGCTCAGACCGAGCTTTGGACTTCTGACCGGGCTGCAACTGCCTGTTCTGATCTACTCTTCGGGTATAGATTGACAGGAATCATACTCTCACGATCATACGTGAGCACCACATTTGTCGTTGTCTTACTCTGGTTTATCGCGGTGATTACAGCCGGCAGCTCCGAGACATCGTAAGTCGCATCCGGTATGAATTTGGGCAGAGTACCATCTCGTAGCATGCGAAGAGCTGAACAAACGAGCTTATGCATATCCTCCGGCTGCGTTGCAAGCATATCATACACATCAAAAGAAATGACCGAAGCTCCTCTCGCAAAGACAGAAGTATCCAATAGTCCGAGGTTGGGTAACTCCGAATCTTCCATGACGTATGTCAGACGTCCCTCTCTTGTAAGTGACTGCCATATTTCAAAGCAATCTGGGCTCTTGGGACTGATCAGTGCTAGGTTGATGCCTTGGTGACCGGTCAGAGCTGAAATTTTCTCGAACGTAACTTCGCCAGTAATATATTGGGTTTGAGCTCCGATGTCTGGATACTGTTCTGCAAACAATCTCACAACTTCTTCCGATGTATGAGACAGGATGGTTTGGCATCCATAAGATTGTGACAGACGTGCCACAGCAACAGCCAATAGTCCAGGTAGCCCTTGGACAAGTATTATCTGTCCCTCTGCGGCAGACTCAAGTGCGCGAAGGGCCGTACAGTAAGGCAACAATGAGGTTACGATATCACCAGCATCTTCATTGGGCAGCAACAACTCGCACGTTGTATCACTCACGACCCGCGAAGTATCGAATTTGCCGGGTGCACAACAGACAATTCTGTCTTCTGACTTGAACCTTCCGGATTCAGATCCAGATTGTTCCACCAGAGCTACAAACACGTTGCTGAAGTGAGCCGCAGTCTGGGTACCCTTGAGAATCGCAGCCACACGTTGGCCAAGAGCATAGGCTGTCGGTCTGAGCCTAATCTCATATGATTTGGGAACAGGCGGTTCAAAGTAGAAGCTATCCAAGCGACCGACTTGCTGGAAAGCTAATACAAGGTCGCCCTTGGTTTGTAACTTCTTGGGCATAGGATTGAGCTGACGTGCAGAATCATGATTTGCATTCTTGTCAAGAACATAGCGACCTGCATACACAACACCATCTGAAATGACGAGTTGATTATCAAGGCTACCGTCATCGTCGTCGAAGATGCGCATCTCGTGCTCAACGATCAGTCTGGCTGTGCGAAGATAGTCGACGTCATCAGGGTCGACATCGATACTCGACAATCGCAGAGAAGGCTGCGCTTTCGTGATTGACTTGATCATGCCAGCCAATATCGAGTATTCTGGCTTCTTGCCTCTGAGAAGTCCACCTGGAGTGACCCACAAGACAGATGAAGCCAGACTAAACAGACTTTGAACTGCATCCATTTCTTCATTGGTCATGTTGATGAATATTGAGCCTTCTAGCTCAGCCATCATCATGATTCGGGAACCTTTGCAGATGTTGGTTTGAACATCTGAAAAATCAATTGTTCCGATGTCGATGTTCAGGTCTTTCGCGTAGCCCTCGATTGCTTGTGCAAGAGGATGAGGGAAATTTTTATAGACCAGCCAAAGCTTTTCTGTCCGGGTTTGGCGATGTTCAGTAACATTTGCTTCGAGCCTCGGAAAATGCTCTTCGATAAGTCTCGCGATTGGTTGCCAAACGAGTCGAGTGAACGGCTCCCGAGCGTGTCCAGTGTGCTGGCTAGCAAAACCTCCTTCTAGTGAGAGTAACGATACAGTCATCTGCGCCAATGAGTAACCTTCAACAGTCACGACTTCTGACGACCCACGAACAGAGCGCATGCCGTGGCAAGCACCGTAGCTGGATAGAATCCCTCGAGCTGGCAAACTCTGCAGGTCAGAAGGTCGCCAGACTGTAAGGTTGTCGATGGTTGTTGGTAAGTATGCTTTCGATATACCTTTAACATTGTCGTCGCACGCTGCAATGACAGCGAGTTGGATACAGCCATCGAGAGTAGCGGGGTGGATAGCATAGCGAGACTCGTCGATCATGACCCCTTTCGATGGCTGCAGGTCAATTTGCGCGGTCGCGATTTTCTTTGTGTTAGATTGAATGTTCCTCAGCGGACGGAATGTCGGGCCGTAATGCAATCCAACTCTGGCAAGCGCGGTGTACCATTCCTCGTCGCTCCTACCCATATCTACGGTCCACGTGACATCCTGGCCATATACATCACGCATGCTTGGCATTTCGTGCCGTTGATGCAGAACAATTTTTCCAGAAGCGTGCTCAATCCACCTGTCCTCTGCATTTACTGAGCTCAAGCTGAACTCGAACATTCTATGACCGGCATGTGTAGAGCCATGGATTACGTGAAGGTCAAACAAGGTCTCGACTTCACCCTCTAGTATGATCACGAGGGGTGTTTTGATCTTCAGGTGCTGAATTGTGAACCTAGCGGCCACCATCTCTGCAGACTCGGCAAATTGTGTTACGGCCTCGATCGCGACCGCACAATATCCAGCTGCCGGAAAGATCACGTCGTTCCCAATACGATGGTCAGCTAGCCATGGAACATCTTTGATCTTGAGCCTGTTGCGCCATGATGGATTGGAGTTCGAGGACGACACGACAAGTGAGCCTAGCAAGTCATGTCGTGGGTGTTTGCGGAATCGCAACTGTCGGCTCAACCGATTCTCCGTCCACAGAACTTTGCCTTCGTAGTTCCACTGGTAGGTGGGCAGGTTTGGCAAGAAGCGGCCTGGTCCATTGACGGCTATCAAGTCGATCGGGTAGCCGGAAGTCCAAAGACACCCGGCTAATTTGAGGACATTCTCAACATCATCTTCGCTGCGTTTGATGCTAGGTATGTAGCAGAGCTTCTCTGGGTTTATGCCTAAAGAGTCTCGAATCTGCTTGATTGGACCTGCGAGCGCAGAATGCATCCCAACTTCCATCAGACAACTGACCGTCGGTTGTGCCTCGATTAGGGATGCTACAGCCTGCGTGAAATTTACAGGATTCTCGATGTTTTCCCTCCAGTAAGCGATACGAACATCATCTGGACTATCGAGCACCTCCCCATTGATGCAAGAGTACATCGGAATGCTAGAAGTTGCTGCTGCGGGCGAAGGTGCCGGAAGCGAGGCTTTGAACGAATCTTCGTAATACTGGCCAGCGTCCTTTACCAAGTGCGAATGATAAGCGTTTTGCGAGGTGTTCAGGATGCGCGAGAACACCTTTGCCTCGGCAAGACGTGAGTACACCTCAGTAATCGCATCTGCTCCACCACTGAGAGTTACGCTCTTCGGAGAGTTCTGACAAGCAATGACAATATCCGGCTGATCGACCATGAAGGCTTGTACTTCCTCGGGGCCAAGCCCGCAGCCATCATAGCTCCTGGTTTGCCATACTTTGTGACTGCTATGCCACGATAATAAGCGATCGCGATAGCTTCTGAGATTGTCAGTAGTCCTGCTGCAAAAGCTGCCGCTACTTCCCCAGAACTGTGTCCAACGACAGCTTTTGGTTGTATTCCCCAAGATCGAAGGAGTACTGTAAGAGCAATCTAGAGCGCTGTACTCAAAGGTTGAGCTAGAGCTGTCTCGTGCATACGGCTTTGCTCCGCTGGCTTTGACAGCTCTTCGACTAGTCGCCACTCAGGCGGTGTCGGAAGTGTATCTAGAGCAGACTGGAGTGCTGCCATAGTCTCGCGCACGTTTTCGAATTGCTGAATGAGTCCAAAGCCCATACCGGGCCATTGCGCACCCTGCCCGGTGAACACGAACGCGATCACTAGAGGTTCAGATATCGAATCAGGACCACGCTGTATCCGCTGCGCCATGAAGCACGCTTTCACATCTGATTCGGTCGTGGTCGCAAACGCTTTGCAGCGATGTTTCGTCTTTTTGGTCAAAGTGTATGCAATGTCTGCCGTTGAATACTTGTCAGCCACTTCTGCCAGTGCATTGATGTTCCTTTCAAGAGTGAGCTGATCATGACTTGAGAACACAAGCAGATGCTTCTGAGGAGTTCTCTGGACCACGAAATCAGAATTTTCAGTCCCGTGACGCTCAGTCGCAATGGCATTGTCTCTAAATGAGACAGGCCTCGGAATTGCTTGGCTAGGATGTAGAAGTACATCGCAAGATTCAATGATACAATGTGCGTTCGCGCCACCGTATCCAAAGGAATTGATGCTCACTCGCTTGAGTAGACCTTCGGGCCAGGGCATAGTGGTTCTGACAACCTCGAGGCGTCCCTCCCTGAAGTCGATTGCTGGATTGAGCTTCTCTACTCCCACTGTCGCAGGTATAAGTTCGTTCTCAATACTCAATACTGCTTTGATCACGCTTGCGAGTCCGCTTGCACCCTCAGTGTGGCCGATGTTGGTCTTGATGGAACTCAGTAATAGAGGATTTCGCCGTGTTCTGCCAGGCGCGAAGATATTTCCAGCTGATAGAACCTCGATGGGGTCGCCGACCGGAGTACCGGTACCATGGCACTCAAAGTAGCCTGTGTCTTCATAGTTTAGATTTGCTTTGGTGTATGCTTCCCTGATCACAGCTTCTTGACCCTTCGAGCTAGGATGATTAATGCCTTGGCTTCTTCCATTACTGTTGACAGCGGTGGATCGTATCACAGCGCGAATTGGATCCTTGTTCGCAATGGCTGCTGAGAATCTCTTGAGGTAAACAGCACATATGCCATCACCTCGGCCAAATCCATCTGCACGCTCGTCAAAGGTATGACAAGTTGAGGTTGGAGACAGAACCCCAAGTCGTACGCTGGAGATGTGCTGCTCGATATCATTCATAATGTTTGAGCCATTCATGATCGTGTCGCGTGTTCGACGTGATGAATTGGGAGAACAAGCAGGAGAGCTTCGAGCTTCGCGACAGCCATCTTGTCGGACGCCATGACAGATATGTATGAAGTGCCAAGTTTTGACGCGCTCGTTTATGTATATTAGAGTGGTCTTTGATCGCCATCCCGCAGGACATGCAATATGCGAAAGTTTTCCTTGTCGTCGAAGGATGAGGGCTGCAGAGGTCCGTCGCACACCGGTTTGACACGTTGGTCTGTGTGTCGATGATAGCCATGCACGTCTAATTTTGTCAATATTTCTTTTTTTGCAATGCGTTACCAACTGACGCTCACGATGATGATGTGGATGTCCACATCCTTCGTTGACCATGCGAGATTTTCACCGCCGACTTACAGGAAGAAAGAGGCGATCGGAGCGTAACAAGATAGGTTCCCATGAGATTCGTTCTTGGAAGAATCGAAGCTCCGCTGTAACATATTGTCATCGAGTGCGATGTCGTTGAAGATGACGATACATCCGGTAAGATTAATCCCCAACAAAATGCTGTAGAGGTGCTTGATAGACGGAGGGGATATCGGAATATCCTTGTAGTTCGATTCGAGACAATGACATTTTTGCGAGCCTCCATCTCAGTCTTGACTAAGACAAAATGACGCAAGTACGACCCTGGTCCACACTTTCGAAGTATCACATCGTCAATAAACCGTCCAATCACTTCGATTTTGCAGTCTCTACAGCGGTGTATCATCTACAGGTAATAGCCTGTTGGTTCGTGTCTTTCTAACACGGAAATCCTGCAATATTGTTGTGCTTCCGAAATCATCAAATTAACGAGGGGAAGGTCCAACAAACAAATCGAACCAGCGCCTGTTTTCGAAGATGTTATTCCCCTAGCACAACACTGAAATACATCTCGAAACACACAGTCTATATGTCTACTTATAAAATCCAATCTCACCTTGTCATGTTTTCGTGTCTGGGTGTAGGTGAGAGGAAAATATCGCGCATCTGTATTGAGCTTCCTCATGCAAAAGCGGTCAGCGATCTGCAGTGCTGTTGCTGCATGCGGGGAGAGAGAGGAGCCGTCAGCAGCTCTTTCCTTGATTTTTTCTTTGTTTACCCTCATTTTTTCTTCTGCTTCTTGCTCACAAGGTAATGGAAAGAATGATTGCATTTGCAAGATGCTCATGTATCTGAACTATACAAGCAATACTGATGTCCGTAGAGTGATGCAACAATGTCTTTGTCAATATTGCATCTCTAGAGCAGCAGCACGCGAACCAGTAATCATCCCAAACAGTGGTTCGCAGGGCGTCTGCAGTGATACAGTGAGAGACTTTTGGTCCTCGCCTTTCTCCTTGCACCTTGCATAGCCACCATAGCCCACCAGGGGTCCAATGTTCTCCGGCAAGTACAAAGAAGGGAATCCCAAGCAGAAAACGGTGGTTGATAATTCGCGCATTCCACACACAAAGAACGTCGGCGGGCTGCCTGCAAGCCAAAGCAACAATAATTCGCGCATATCAAAACATACCACATGTCAATCTTCCTCCACCGGGAAGGAGCGCAAGCACGACGCCATTACAAAATTGGTAGGTGGTGGACGAGAGGTCGTTCTCAAGACACATGGAAACCTCGTGAAGTATGGCCAAAGGTGGATTAGGCAAATGAGAAGTGTTTCCAGTTTTTCCTCGTGTGGTTGAAGCATGTGCTAAGATCCTTTGATAACAAGAAAGGGTTCCAGCAAGAAGAGCCTCATGGATCGGTGGCACTGCAGGCAATATCTATATATCCTTTTGCATTCCATTGTTTTCAGCTCCTCTCTTCTCACACTCTGCTCTCTCCCTTTGCTTTCCCTTCGAGTCTACACACCTCAGATTCGTCTTTGTTCACAAGGTGGAGGTTTTTAGCACATATGGCTTCTAACGTTCAAGAGATGGAGATATCGGAGCAGAAGATCCCTCGCATCACCTATGCCGACGATGTGGAAGACCGTCCTCGCACTGCCGCGAGACCCTCGCGTCGCATGTCTACGGACTCGATGTCGATCCGTTCGATGTCCCGTCAAAGATCTGTTGACCCGTCGCTGGTTCTACCACCGGCGTTCAGAACTCTGTAAGTGGTTTGACTGATGCGATTCTTGTGACAGATGAAACAGCGACTGACTGTCGACCAAGTTCATTTGATGTCGAGCAGAGCAAAGCAAGAAACGATGCGCCAGTCAAGAGCGCACTGAAGGGAGCAGACAAAGACTCCGGTGGTAAGAGCTGCACAATATTTTGCATCGACGACACCAACACTGACATACCTTCAGACTTCAGCACTTACGACCTCCACACCATCCCGATCGAAGAAGTCTTTGAGCGATTCTCAAGTTCGCCTACCAGTGGTCTCGGCGTAGATCAAGCCATGGTCCTATTAAGAGATATCGGCCTCAATAAGCTTACCGCACCACCATCCAATTGGCTCAAGAAGACTGTGACCTACCTTTTCGGAGGCTTCGGCTCTATTTTGTTCGTCGCAGCCATCATGGTGTTCGTCGCATGGAAGCCTCTTGGTGACCCTCCGGCACTTGCCAACCTGGCGCTTGCCATTGTTTTGGTACTTGTATGGCTCATCCAGGCAGCTTTCAGTTTCTGGCAAGACTTTTCGAGTGGTCGTGTCATGGCATCGATCAACACTATGCTGCCTGATCAAGCAATGGTCCTGAGAGAAGGCAATTGGACAAGTGTTGAGGGTACCAAGCTTGTTCCTGGAGATGTGATCAAGATTACCATGGGCAACAAGGTCCCAGCAGATGTGAGATTCTTTGATGTCTCCTCGGATGCTCGTCTGGATCGCTCCATCTTGACTGGTGAGGTCAAGCCTTTGGTTGCGACCGTCAAGTCTACAGATGCCAACTTCTTGGAAACTGCAAACATCGGTCTTGCTGGAACGAACTGTACCACTGGTACATTGTACGGTGTCATTATCAGCACAGGTGACCACACTGTTTTCGGAAAGGTAAGCTACTCGGATGATCAAGTTTGACCATGATGCTGACTCCGATATAGACCGCAAGACTTACCAGCCACGCCAAACAAGGCATGACCCCACTCCAGAAAGAAATTCTCATCTTCGTCGGTATCATCACCGCTTTGATGATTTCCATGATCATCCTTGTCATCATTGTCTGGGCTGCCTGGCTTCGCAAGGACTACCCCGACTGGATCAACGTACCCACTCTGATTGTCGACTGTGTGTCAATTGCAGTCGCTTTCATCCCAGAGGGTCTGCCAATCGCTGTCACCGCTAGTTTGACTATCACTGCCGGCATCATGAAGAAGAACAAGATCTTGGCAAAGTCCCTCAAGACGGTCGAGACTCTCGGAGCTGTGAACGTCATCTGCTCAGACAAGACTGGAACGATCACAAAGAACGAGATGACCGTCACCGATTTCTGCATCGGCTACCACCCTCACCCGGTATCCAAGGCCGCTAACCTGGTTGATTCATCGCCAACAATGGCTCGATTGGCCATGCTGAGTGGTGTTTGCAACGCCGGCGAGTTTGACGCCAGTACCAGAGACAAGCCGATTGCTGAACGAAAAGTTCATGGCGACGCAACTGACAGAGCAGTGTTGATGTTCGCTGAAGGTATCATGCCCACAGCACGCCTGCGCAGCCTGTGGCGTACGGTCCACCGTATCGACTTCAACTCTAAGAATAAGTTCATGGTTAATGTCTGCCAAAACGACAACGACCCACAACAAGGTATCCTTCTGACCATCAAAGGAGCTCCTGATGTCCTTATCGGCAAGTGCTCCACATACATGGACCAGAATGGCGACATTCAGGAGCTTGGCAACGAAGGTCGTTCGGTCATCGAGACTATCAAGAACAGGTGGTCATCCCAAGGCAAACGTGTACTCTTGCTTGCTCAAAAGCCATTGAGTCAAGTCAAGCTTAACCCGAAGGAGCAGCCACAAGTCTATGAGGAATACATCATGGGCAACGTCACCTCTGGTATGACTCTGGTTGGACTTGTCGCCATTGTTGATCCCCCCAGACCAGAAATGACCGAGGTTGTCAGAACTTTGAAGGGTGCCGGTATTCGCATCTTCATGGTCACTGGTGACTTCAAGCTCACCGCCAAAGCCATCGCCGCCGAGTGTGGCATCATTAGCCAGGAGGCCGACGATGTTCATGCTCTGGACTACGATAGCAGCTTGCACGAGTCTGACCACTCCAAGGAAGCGCATGCCACATTCAGCGGATCCACAAAATCTATTGTGGTCAGTGGATCGGAGATTCGCAACCTGGAGGACGATCAATGGGACCGCCTTTGCCAGTACCAAGAGGCCGTATTTGCTCGTTGTATTCCTGAGGATAAGCTTATCATCGTTAAGAACTTGCAGCGTAGAGGCTTGATCACCGCCATGACCGGTGACGGTGTCAACGATGCACCATCGCTCAAGGCCGCAGATGTCGGTATTGCCATGGGCTCAGGTTCGACCATTGCCATTGAAGCAGCCGACCTTGTCCTTCTGGACTCATTTGCTGCCATCGTAGAGGCCGTCAAGTATGGTCGTGTGGCTTACGACAACCTCCGCAAGACAATCTCCTACCTTCTGCCTGCAGGTTCCTTCTCCGAGTTCTGGCCAGTCCTTACGAACGTGGTCTTTGGTCTGCCCCAAATTCTCTCGTCGTTCCTCATGATCATCATTTGCTGCTTTACAGATTGCGCTGCTGGAGTTGCTCTTGCATACGAGGCCCCCGAAGCTGACGTTCTGAGTCGCCCTCCTCGTTCCAAGAAGGACAGACTGGTTGATTGGAAGCTTATCCTCCACTCGTATGGCTTCATCGGTCTGTTCGAGACTGTGCTCTCCTTCGCAGTGAGTTATTGGTACGCTCAACGTAAGGGATTGTACTTCTCAGATCTCTGGTTCGGCTTCGGCAAGACACCTGACGGCATGAGCGATGACACCAAGAACGATATCCTCAACGTCGCGTCGTCAATCTATTTCGTGAACTTGGTCGTAATGTAAGCAAACTTCCTGCACTTGAGTAGAGCAACATGCTAATTTTCTTCAAGGCAATGGTTCAACCTGATGAGTGTACGCACCCGTCGCCTGTCGCTTATCAATCACGCCCCCTGGAGGAACCCATACCTCTTGCCTGCCATCATTTTCGCAATGGTCATCGCCATCTTCTTCCTTTATGTGCCCAAGTTCCACAGCGTTCTTAGCACAGCGATAGTACCAGTCGAATATTGGTTCCTGCCCTTCGGCTTCGGAATGGGCTTACTGCTGTTTGATGAGACAAGGAAGTTCCTTGTCAGGAAGTTCCCGAGAAGCATCATTGCCAAGATGGCGTGGTAGAGACAGTTCTGTTCGCGATTGATGGGACAGCATTAAAGACAGTAGCCCTTTGTAGATACTGCTGTTGTGGAGCACCTGCGTGTCAATACCTTCTCTTTTTTGCTGTGTAACAGCGACGACGAATTCACGAACATGTCTTTCTCAACACTCTTCAACGGGCTCCGAACACACGACGTGACAGCGTGTGAAGATGTACTGTCAGAGGTCCCTGTGTCACACAGTCACACTGCCGTTGTGTTTCGGAAGCACACCAGGCCTTAAGACATGTTTCGAGATCAGCCCAAGTATCTGCAGGGTTGACAGCGTCTTGAAAAACGTGCTGCAACAGACAGGGGCGGCTGTTGTCAGTCCGAGTCTGAAGCGCTTTGCTGAATACAAGGACGTATGTCACCCAGGAGGTTGGAAGTTCTTTCTTTTGGCGAGGCTGGGCGGCGGCTCAAGATTCGTAAAGATTTACGATTGTTCACGTCGAGCCAAGATTCAGACACAATGGAAGTCGATAAGATCCCGTCTCATGCGCGCGGTATGACTTGCTGCATGAATGGCTGATCGTGGGAACAAACACATTGTTGAATTGTGCCGACTTGGCTGACTCGTCCTCTGAGAAATCTCGGAGAGACTTTGGAGGGATACCGGGTCACCCTGGTACTTTGAGGGAAGTCGCTGCAGCTGTCCCGCCCAACCAGGGCCAGTTCGACGGGACTTCGCGTTTGGGGACTGCTTCATACCCTGCAAAAGATACGAACCAGCTTGTACTTGTCCACTTTATTATTTCCACTGCCATGCCACGTTCTTGCCCTTGAAAGACCCTTTCCCTTGGGAAGTGCGAACTCGCGCGCGGCGCAAAGTGTGTGGTGGGGGGTTTGGTTCATCCGAGGCTAAACGGGCGCACGACGCCGCGAGGGAATTGTATGTGGGCGGATGAATACAAAGATGCTTGCCAGGATTTGGTTGAAGATGTGGTGGGAGGTTGGAAGTCCGGACCCCAATAAAATCTGTCAGATTCGGTTGTGTGCAGCGATTGATGCACCTTCTTGACTTGCTTACAGTCGTTGACCGGGTAAGGCAAGGTCTTGTTACACCGAGATGTTCTGGTCAATTGTGCCTGAGACATTGCACAAGACTGGTTTATCGTCTCTATTGCCTGTATAGTTTTCAGTTTGTTCCATTGCCAGTCTCGAAGCCATTCAATGGTTGAGGCATGAAGCCAATTGGAATTTGTAACAGCCTCTCAACTTCACCACTCTTTCCTCCACACCGCCGCACTCGTCCGTTGGCTGCGCCTTCCTTGTCATGTAGCGACGACTCGCAAGATGCCCCACGGTGGCAGTCGCATTCTCATGGCAGACGTCGTCCTGCAGGTGGCCGCAATGACAAGTCTGCAATGCCACGAGTCACAGCAGTGCCGAGGAATAGCAAGCCACTGAGGTGACGAGGTTGGGTTCTGCCAGTGTGACGAGTTCGTGTGGTTGAACTTAGAAGGTTCTCAGTCTCCCTTCCTTTAGAGTCTTGCCTTGCCTTGCCTCGCTTCTGCCGCGTCTGCAGGCATGCCGCGGACGGTGCGGAGCCACACCTCGATCGCAGACGCCAAGGACCATTGTGGATGTGAGTGGACCCATGGCCCGCTGGTCGTGCTCGGTGTTTTCGGCGACTGACTCTCCACGTCGAGGATCAGTCAGTGCCTTCACCCACGAGAAACGCAAGCACTATCGAGCGCCAGCGACCCACATCCAACGCGGCGGGAGATAGACAACCATCTCGGTGCGCGATGGCACAAAATCCTAAGCTGTAAGAAATTTTCTTTCCAAGCTTGCAACCAATCAGCACCCGCAGAAAAAAGAGTTTTCGTCTGTCTTCTACTTTCACCTTAGCGTGTGGATTTTGGTTTTTCTGTGGGCTTCCCTTTGGCCCTACATGTCTTGCAGATGCTTGTGTACTCCACCGCAACGAAGCTGGGATGTACCTGACAAGGAGTTGAAGGCTTGCAGCACTCCCTGTCACGTCCGCAACCGCTGTCGCTCTGGTTTTACGGCGCATAAACCGGTGCTCGATAACCCATGTCGAGCCAATCCAGCCACTCAAGCAGGCAGGTCCACGTAACAGCACAGTAAGGCTTGGACTAAGATCGAGGCTTTGCAGCATGGCACCGTTCGTCAGCCGCTGTACCAGCGAATGGTCGAGGAACAAGTCCCGGGTGTGCCTGAAACGGCGCACGAATGACAGCGCCAGGAAGACCGGGTACCTGGACCGAGTGGTCCGTAGCATCAACTTTCCGCACCCCCACCAGGACAGAGTCTGTCTCGGTCAACTCGCTGGCTGCTGTGATTGATCAACTCTCCGGCCACTATTCCTCGATAGGGTTTCGCGCGTGAAAAAGCACATGTCCAACCTCAATTCTCCACATGGGGCGGCTCAGTGTTTTTTCAACCTTCTGGCTGCTGGATGCGAAGCCTGCGGCTAGACAAGCAGCATATAAGAACCGCAGACTCCTGCTCGTATTGCCGTTCTTCTGTTCGTACCACCACCACTGTCCATCTCTATCAATTGCTCTGGTTAGCAACGCTGCTGTGCAGTTCACTCTTTCACTGCTCGCCACATCGGTCTCTACCAACACAACACAACTTCACCTCGACAGTCCTTGACAACTTCAAGAAAACACCCCAGCCATCAAAATGAAGAACTCCGTTTACGCTACTGCCGCCCTGGTGGCCGCTGCCGCCGCCGACTCTGTCGGAAGTGCCATTGTTGTCAACAAGTGCAGCTACGATGTCACTCTTGTCAACGTTCCCTCTGCCAACGGTGGATACTCTGAGATTGACAAGATCCTGTCTCCTTCCGACACCTACACTCAGGCCTGGACTTCTCTTACCAACGGAAACGGCTGGTCTATCAAGCTTTCTAACAGCTCTTCCCTTGAGAACATTCTCCAGTACGAGTACACCTACCAGAACGACGGCACCATCTGGTACGACCTGAGCGAGGTCAACGGCAACCCCTGGGACGGAAACTGGGAGATCACCGCCGACTCTGCCTCTTGCACTCCCAAGCAGCAGGCTTACCGCTACGCTACCGATGATGCCTACGGCATGCAGGCTTGCCCCGCTGAAGCCGTCATCACTGTCACTCTTTGCTCCGGCGATGATTCCAACGACAGCGCTGCTTCCTCTGCATCCTCTTCGGTCGCTGCTGAGTCCACCTCCAGCCACTCCACTTTCTCGACCACTGTCGCCGCTCCTACTACCACTTTCCAGACCTCTGTCATCACCTCGGCTGCTAGCAGCGCCAATGCTGATGTCGTTGTCACCGTTACCCAGGTCGCCTACACCACTCAGTGGGATGGCCACCACTGGAGCCACATTGGCAAGCGCGAGCACCAGCACCGCCGCCACCCTCACGGCAACTAGAGGATCAATCCTCTGAACGACTACCCTGGATGTTGACATTCGGGTACTTGTACGCTACGATGTTCGATTTGGATCTGATTTATGACAATCCTCTTCTTTCGGGGATATGAGAAGATTGAGCACAAGCCACATCATCTCACGTCTCCGCCTTCTTTCTTTTCACTTTCTGAATGAACATTCTTTTGGTGGTAATGAGATGCATCTCGATGCTCTCATGGTTTGGCGACTTTTCGTTTCACGTGCTGGGTTCTTTCGAGAATCGTCGGCTGGTTGGGTTTTTTCTTTTCTGTTCTACCTTTACGAAGGTGAACATCGGGTTTATGGCGCTGATGGTCGTTGGGATACAAAAAGATTGGGGCTACCACATGGTCAAAAGTACGATCAGTCATGGCTTTGCGAATGGCTGGTCGACGTGTTACGAGCTTCCAATCAGGACAAGAACGAATTTCCTTTTCATGTAGCTTCTTCGACGACCAAAAGATGCCTTTAGGATCTTTTAGGATTCACGACTTTTCTTGATATATCAAATCAACATCGAGACATCAGATCTCAACCTTTCACATTCTCAAACACCTTTCTCCACTGTTCAGTAACTTATATCTTTTTTTCTTGCATCTGTTTATTTGATCTGCTTGCTTGTCTTTTTGAGACAAACAGTCGATCATTTGTCCACCAAGCTGTCATATCACGCCCTAGGACAGACGATCAACAGTCACTACCAACATCGACAAGCTAGGCAGCTCTCGGTGCTCGCGTCCGCTTGCATATCAATTCGTCATCCATGACGCTTCACCGTGTGGAGTTACACAGCTTCACGTGTGCGCACGGAACTCCCTGCAGCTCGCTGCTTCCCCATCGCAATCCTTCGACCAACTTCCGGACTCTTCCCGCGGGCACGCGATCACCATCGACTGACACCACATACGCTTGAATGACAGCGGCAGGATGCAATATCAAGTAATACGAGGTCTCTCAACAGATTTTGGTGAGGTAGCAGCAGCCAACATTCGCTTTAAGGTGACGCAGTGCCCGCAGTTGGGCAGTTGCGATCCTTGCGGTCCTTTTCATGCATCAACAAACAAGGACATGCTTCGCTTACTTGGATCCTGTCGAGTGATCGCAAAGCCAGGGGAGTTGTGTTTGGCTATGAAAAATTCGGCATACGAATCGTCAGACCTCTCGTCTAGACTGCCGCCGACCAGGAAGGTGCGCGACACGAACGCGTCGCGCCGAAAGCTTCCTAAGCCCGACTGGCCTTTTACTGAGGTACAATAGTAATCGCAAGATGCCATCCTATCGCTTGAACAGAGCCCAAGGCTTCACCTGAATGTTTACGAATATCCTTGGTTCATCTTGCACTGCCTAAAGCTCGCGTTCAGGTTTACGATGGCAAGTGTGCTTGCGACGACCGAGAGTCTCGCCACAGTGTTGCGTGTCGTGGCTTTGCGAAGTCAGTCTCAAAGTCGCAACAAAACCAATTTCTACCGCCAGTCCATCCTTACGTTGCAACCTAAAAAGTACTGCGGTGCTTCGAGGCCACTTTGCTTTCAAGGCATGTACGTGTAAGGTCGAGGCACACGTCTTGCGCGCTCTTGTCGCATGAAGCGATTGGCTTTGTGCTGCGGAAACAAGATAACCTTTGCCATTCGCCCGTTGAATGTATCAGGATCTAACGGTCATGCGCGTAGCTTGGTACGCAAAGAGCGTTCTTCGAGATGTTGCTTTGTACGGCTCGATGACCCAGATGCCAGTGCCCACAAGACGCAGGCTTTCGGCAGACATCTTCGACTGTGATCATTGCACACTAGCGGCGGATGCACTAAATTTGCAAATGGATGAGCCAGAAAAGTATAGTCTCGTCATTCCTGGCATCTGCCTAGCAGCAAGACTTGGAACTCTCTCATGATGCGTTCGTAGGACGAGTCTTCATGAGGGACTGACCGGAAAGACGAAGACTTTCTTGCGGGCCATTGAGGCATGCCCCAACGTGAACCGAAGGTCAGCACAGCTATCTCGAGTAGAAGTGTTTTCAACAAGCACTGCTTATCATGGCTACCATGCTTTGTAGAGCCTTTCGAACCATACGGTCTCGAAACCATGCCAGTCAACAGCCGGTCAGATATGGGATTGCGATCTCATCCGCGCAGTAGCCCTGGAATTGCACAAAACAGCATTGAATGCTCGCTATCACCTTGTAAGTCGTGGCGTTTCATTGCATATGCAGACACCAATCAAATCTGGGGATATGGTTCTGTCAGAGGCTTCCTCTGCCCAATGTAGATGGGACCTCGGCCTTGAGATAGGCTAACCACTCGTTGGCGCGGATCTCAGATGTGCGGACAGTTCCGTTGTGTACCTTCCATCACTAAGTTGGTCGCCTGAGTAGTACATGGTCATAGCCAACATCGCTGAAGTCATCGCCTCAGCCTCTCAACTGTTCTACAACGATGTTGTAACAATAATGCATGTGGTGAACGAATGCAAAGTGTTCTATCACCACTCACAAGATACTGCGAACCTTGAAACCACAGGGTACTCACCGATCATCATGCTTTCGTTCATATACCATATCACCACTCTTGCTTGATGACCCTGACCAATGTCTTGCAACATACCTTCACAGCCTCGCAGGATCGCAAAAATGAGACCGCTCACTCTAGCGGTTCTTGGCAGTCAGCAAATAGCATCAAAAGATATATTACTTTGCATGGATAGTCAAAACAATTCTCATCCTCTTCCTTCAAAAGCAACAACCGGATTCATAAATTATGGTCTATCTACCTAACGAGTATCGAGAAGTACCACCTCTAGATCTGCTCTCCTGGCTCTTCGACAACAACAGCGTAGATACAGAAAAAGACGTACGAAGACACAACTTTGACCCCCCACCACAAGACTGGCACAAATCTCACAAATCTCAACAGATCCTCATCGATGCCGCAAACCCTGAAACTCGATCCAACACTCGTCAAGCAATATCCTTGACTCGCAAACTCATTGCTGGATTCAAGGCTGCTGGACTAGAAACAGGAGATGTCGTGTGCGTACATGCGTTCAACTCCATCCTCTATCCTCTACTCTACTATAGCATCATAGGCGCAGGAGGTGTATTCGTAGCATCGAATCCTGCGTACAAGACTCTGGAATTGGAGCATTTGATATCGATTACCAGCCCCAAGTTTTTCATCACTGAGGCAGCAGGGCTTTTGGATATTGTATTGCCCACGACAAAGACTGCGATACCTTTGGCCGAGACGTTTATTCTTGGGACTAGCAGTGCGAAAGGCGATTTAAATGGCTGCAGGCACTGGAGTGATTTACTTCAACATGGCGAAAAAGACTGGCTGCTATCAACGATGAGCAAACGGCAAGATCGACAATCGCGGTGCTTCAATCAACAAGCGGCACTACTGGGGTGCCTAAGGTAGCCGCTTCCTCACACTATGCTCTTGTTGCCTCTGGCATTGCGATGCGAGAGTCTACTGTAAAGCTATATGCAGTCACACGACTTATTCCTCTACCTCTGTTCCATTCTTTCGGCGCCTCATTCGTGCAGATCTCTGCATTTCACTGTGGCGAAACTGCGTGCATCGTGCGTAAATTCGACGTTGAGGAATTTATGGGTGCGTTGCAGCATTTGGAGATCAGCGAAATTGCGGTCGTGCCTGCTATGTTGACGAGTATCATCAGACAACGGATCTCACCTCTGGCTCTCAGGACTCTGCGACGCATATGGTGTGCTGGAACGCCTCTGTCTGGGGAGTTGAGGAAAGCAACGTATGAACTTTTGCATCAAGATGCCATTATCATTATCTCTCAGGTCTGGGGCTTGACGGAGTTTGGTCGGATCACCACGTCTGATCACCGTGACCGAGGTGACGAAGGTAGCGTGGGTAGGTTGTTACCGAATGTGGAAGCGAGGTATATCTCAGTCCCGAAATGGAGATGAGAGCGTTTTTGTTGGCCGTCAAGCAGAATCGTAGACGCACAAGGCACTGAAATCCTCGACGAGGGACAATCAGGCAAGTTCCAGATTCGGGGACCTTCGGTGACGAGCCACTACTCAAAGTGTCCTCTCGAGACTGCAGAAGCATTCAATGATGGCTGGCTCAAAACGGGCGATTACGGGTACGTGAAAGGCAATAAGGTCTACATCATAGGGCGCATCAAGGTAAGCATCCTTCAAGATTCTTCATGGCGTTTTGTCAACTCACGGGCTTCAGGAACTCATCAAAGTGCGTGGATGGCAAGTCTTACCCACCGAGATCGAAAACGTGCTTTTGACGCATCCTTTCATCGTCGATGCCGCCGTAATCGGTGTGACACTTCTTGGCAGAGACTCCAACGATGAGCTCCCTCGTGCGTATGTTGTGACCAGTGGCGGGAAGTGTAGAGACATAGACTTGTTGGGGGTGGTGCAATACGTCAAAGAACGCTTGGCTAGCTTCAAAGCCTTAGACGGAGGTGTGGAGTTCGTGTACTCGATTCCAAGAAACCACAATGGGAAGATCTTGCGTCAGGTGTTGAGGGAAAGAGCAATGGCGGAGGTTGCTTCCCATACTACCATTGCATAGACGTTGACTTGAACAGCCATCCCAGCGGACCCCTGTCTTTGAAAATAGCAAGGGCGAGACAAAATTCATGCAAAAGTCAGATACGAGAAGTTGATTTTATTACTGCGTTACTCATTTACATAGAAAGGACGTGAATCGTCATCGTCGAAAAGGAACAAAGGAAACGGAAGGAATCGAGACTAGCCAACAGCAGCCAGTCGCCATCAAGTCATGCGCTGAGCAGCAGTCTGGGAGCGAGTCATGGGGCCGCGAGCAGCAGCAGTCGAGCTGCGAAGACCAGTGCGAGTGCCACGACGGGTGATGGGTGAAGCAACAGTCTTCTTCTTCTTTGCAAAAGCGGCCTTCTTCTTTGCCAAGACGGTCTTCTTCTTTCCGATGCTAGAGGGCTTCTTCTTTGTGGTGCGCTTGGTGATAGCACGAGATTCAGTGGTCGAGGCGACGGGGACGACTGTCGAGGAACCTTGGGCTTGAGTGTGGTTGGCGGCGTGGACGCCGGTCATCTTGGTAGGGACGATGCGGTCAGTGACACGGGCAGCGTAGTGTTTACAACTGCGCTTGTGACGGCTGTTGTCGTCTCTGAGGATAGCCTTGTAGTCTGCCGAGCATCCGTAACAGAACTCGTAGGAACATTGGGAGCAGGTGATATGGTCACATCCACCAGCTTTGTCAATGAAGACTTTGCATCTGGGGCAAGACGTAAAGGTTTTTATGATAAAGGCTTCTGCTCTCTCATTCTCAAAGTCGCGATTGCTCTGACGAATTTGACGCATTGCTTGACGGTGACGAATGTCACCCGAGATAGGAACAGGGGCGGCGGTGGCTGCAGTGGCAGCAGTGGCACATTCGTTGTGTGAGGCCCAGTCTGTATAAGGACCAAGGCAGTGGTAGCAGAATTCTGCAGAGCATCTTGTGCCTGTAAAATCACATGTCAGTTGCTATAGAAGCTAGTGACACACTTGTGTGCAAAGTGTAGAAGAAAACTCGCAAATCATATGGGGGCAACCGCCATTTCTCTCGATTCTTGCACCGCAGCCTCCAGGGCAGATCTTGGATGTCTGGTGAAGGAGAGTCTCAGTCTCCACGATAACTTCATCGTGACGAGCCTGATATTCATCGCAGCTCTCGCCCTCATGCCAAGGCATGTGGCAGGCGACGCATTGCTTATGGTGACAAGCGTTGCACTGGAACACGGGCTGATCATCGCCCCCAATATGAACCTGGCCAGACTTGCACTTTGCCGACAGCTGTAAAAAAAATATGATCAGCAACGAATTCTCAAGTGTGGGACATGGCACTTCTTCATGTTAGTCTCGCGCAAGCCTGATGTACTCACACAGTAATGGAAGTCTGCTTCATCCTCAATGACTGCCTTTGTCAAGACTTTGTCATACTTTGAAAGAGACGTCTTGGAGACAATCTTCTGGATGTCTTCGTAGCTGAGGCGCTCGGAGCACTCCACGCATGCGATGTTTGTATTGCCGGCATTGATGTGTCCGACGATGTATTTGTTGAAACATCTCTTGCAGACATCTGAATCGTGGTAGTGGCGACTACAGTCCGTGACAGGGAAGGCTTCTGAAGGTAGGTCTCTTGTGCAGACCACACAACTATGAACGTTGTCGGGGGCAGTGCTGGCTGCGGTCGAGATGGGTTGGTGTTGCATTGGGTTATTCATGAGATCGAGAAAGAACTGAACAGTCTCGATGGAGTCAGCCATTTTGCAGGACTGGAACAAGAGCCGCGTGAGACGCTAGAGATGCTGAGGTGAGTGGTTTGTGCAAGCCGTGTTGTGATATAATCCACGCCAGCGACCCGCCTTGGCAGGATACCAGCAACATGAAAACAGGTGTGTGTGGTCCATTAAGCGAGGCTTCACCGCGCGAGACGCGTCTACTATATCAACAGTCTGATCAAGAAGCTCCTGTTTTCAAAGGGCTCTCAGCTCTCAGCAAGTTGGAAGAACGATGATTTGGGACCTGCGACCACTGCAATGCAGCAGCGCTGATCTGGCATGATGACCTCTCGCCAGTCTTTGATGTAAGTCGAGGACTTTTGACCAAGGCCTAGTTGACCATTGCGGTTGTCCCCAGCGGCAAAGACACGGCCATCTTGAGCCAAAAGCAAGACATGTCCATCACCCACTGCAACATCCAGGAAGTCCAGAGATTCTGCCTTGTCCTCGATATCCACCAATGCTGCTTCCATTGAGTTGAGTCCGTCCAGACAGGAGAGCGAGTGCTGCGTTCCAGGTGTGCCTGTGCCGAAAATATATACCGCAGCATCTGTCGACAATGCTGCCGTCACCCAACCGTCAGACGCAATCTTCTTGATCTGGATACCGGCAAGAGAGTCGACCAAGCCTGGACTTTTAGCTTGTGTCTCAGCAACGCTGCGACCCAACGAGCTATGCCTTGCATCACCCCAGGTATATACATTGCCGTCCTGCGTCAGACATACGAAGCCTGTCACATTGGCGACCAACTGAGCTATGCGTCCTGGAACGGTATGATCGAAGGTGGGTCCATGAAGGTCATTGACTTCATCGTCGAACCATTGGCGGAATCTATCGAAAGATGTGAACTCCAGGATGCTGCTTCGAGGTGAACTGGCAGAGGTGAGAACAACAGCGACATGGCCATTGCCTGCTACAGCCAAGTAGGCGATACCTGGCGTTTCTTCATCTGAGAGTGAGTCTGCTGTTGCTTTATGTGCTTCGACCTGATTCTCTTCGGTGAACGCAACACCCCCTTTGCGACTAAGGATACCAAGGAGGCCATTGTGATCGCCAAATCCAGTGACGAGATCAGGCAGCGGGGCCTCCTGAGTGATCTTGGTGCTGCCAAGTCTCAAGATCGAACCGTTCTTCTTGCCTCGCTGATAAAAGGTTGTCTCGCTCCAGCCAGCGAAAAGAAGTTTGGCGGTGTCGCCGTCCTGGAAGGATGCCAGCTCTCTGGGTTCGGTGAGGTCTTTATCGGAGTCGGAGGAGAGGTGACCGAAGGCATTGAAACCACTGGCATAGAATGCAGAAGGTGCCATCTGGTAGGAACCTTATATACTGTAGAATGGATTCTAGATTCAGGTGTGGTTGATCACTAGTGGAGCCTCTGCGAGAGATCTTTGATGGAGAAGACTGCTGACATTGAATTGGGTTCACGACAGCGCAGCAACGCTGCTATATATGTTTGGTCAAAAGAAGGATCACGCGGCGAAGTAGCAAACAAGTGCTGCGCTGGTGCTACATACAGCTGCCAAGGTCTGAGCGCGTTGGAGGTGAGGTTACAAACGGACGCTCGGACCAGATCCAACTACCTCGGTCAAACCTACTTGTCCTCATTCATACCAAGCTCATAGCTAGCATATAGTGGAGAGTGGAGATGATTGACAGAGGCGGGACAGTCAGCAGAACCTAGCGTCATCTGCTAGTCGCAGGAAGATTTATCATAGCTTCAATTCATACCTACAATCCTGACTTCCTCAGATACTACCCACCATACCGACCAAGATGACCATCACGCCAGTGACAACCAAGATCGTCCAGGTACCCCACCTCGGGGGCATTGAAGCAAGCACGTATATGCCAGCTCCCTACGATGCCTCCAAACCCACTCTCGTACTCTGCAACTCCTTCGGTACAGGCGCAGACCTCTACAGACACCAATACCAGAATGCCGAACTCAAGAACCTGGTGAATTTACTAGCAATTGAATTGCTAGGTCATGGACAGACCAGAGCAAAGGTCGAAAATTTCACATACTGGGACAGTGCAGTCATGAATCTGCAAGTTCTGGACAAGCTCGAGATCAAGGGCAAGGTCTTTGTATTGGGCACTAGTCAGGGTGGCTGGCAGACGGTGAGAATGGCATTGCTAGCACCCGAAAAAGTAAGTGATGACCTGTGCCATGAAAAATCAAGATCAAAGCAATTGATAGCAAATCCTTCCAGATTGCGGGTATCATCCCTCTGGGGACCTCGATGGACACAGAAAACGAACGCACAATCAAACTCGGCTGCTGGGATGCAAAGCAAAACCTCACCGGGACGATTGATGGCTGGACAAGTAATGGAAGCACACCAGACTTCGAACCTCCGGAGGAATTCTGCCATTTCATGAACGCATCAGGCTTCGGCAAGGATATTCCGACCGAAGATGGAGAGTTCTGGGTCAAGGCTATTCAGAAGAACTGGGGTGGTGATGACGGCCGCAGACGTGCCAGGATGTGTGCAATTAATCTGCGGGACAGAGATGGGTTGCACGGCAGATTGTTCGACATTCGCATCCCGGTACTGTGGTTGCATGGTGACGAGGATGTGGTGTATAGTGTGGCCAATGCTGAGGAGGAGATCAAGCTCTTCATCAACAGTCCTGACGCAAAGCTGCAGGTTATCAAGGGTGGGCCTCATTACCTGAACTACACCAAGGCTGAAGAGGTGGACGCTGCGGTTGTTGGTTTCTTGAACAAGTACGTCAAACACGCCAAGTTGTAAACAGAATGTGCAGAGCGAGCGGGAGAGGACGAATACTGTATTATGTGGTCGTGACTCTGACCAATCAACTCGATTCAGCCTAATCAAAAACCAATGGTGTCTGCTCGGACTCCGTGTGCGCCGATGAACCGTGACAAAAGGAGGTGGAAACAAGAAAATAGAAGTAATATCGTGGCAGTGCCTGACCGTCTATCTGAACTTGCTGATAATAACAGCAAGAATCAAGAGAACCAGAACGGTAATGATGGCGATGGTGATTATTTTATTAGTAGCCATTCTGAACAGTGTTAGTATGATGCCGCGTAGTTGTCGGAAGAAGAGATTCAGCATTACCTACGAGCCATCTGCTTCAATGTCTTGTTGCTTCTATCGGTGTAACCCTCACCCTCAAGAAGGGTTCCCCTGGTGTGTTCGATGACCTCTCGTTGTCTAGCCAAGTCGGCAAGAGTGTTGCGACCGATGTCTTCTGTCTCAAGAGCGATGCGCTGACTCTCGCGTAGGCGACCACTAGAACGATCAAGTCTGTCGGTGCCTGACAAGAGTTGTTGTCTTTGCTCGAGCTGGTCGTCGCTGGTAGGGTTGTCGGTGTAGCGTCTTCCAAAGAGCGCAGACTTATCGCTCGACAAGCCCTTGAGTTTCTGTTTGGCCATGTCGATGTCGTGGGTGTAGTTGCGGAAGCGCTGGTTCGTCTTGGTCTTTTGGTTTGCAGGCAGGTTTTCTTTCTCCAATCGCATCGAGTCCAACTGCAAGATTGCGGTCAGTAAGAGACAGAACGATTCAGTCCAGAGGTTGACTCACGATCTCAGTGGCCTCTTCCAGCGAACGCTGAGCGCGGCCAATGGCGGCCTTGCGCTCTTCGCCTGCGAGTTCAGGCAGCTGGTCGAGTTTCTGATTCAAGTCGGCCTGAACGAGCTTCAGCTCGGCTTCATAGTTGCTGAAGAGCTCGGAGCCAGCATCGGTATCAAGCGGGTTGGCCATGGTGTGTGGGAGGTGATGTATAGGGCGTCGAAGATGCGGTCTGGTGCGGGCTGTGCTATAAACGACCCCTTCGGCGTGCGTGTGTCTGGTGGGTTGTATCGAAGTTGTGGTCGAATTGTTTGGACTCTAGCGACAAATGGTACAGGGTTTCGAATTGTGTTTGGTCTGATTCCGGGTGCGTGATTGCTGTTCATGGTCTTTCATGTGCATCAAGTCGGGGAAGGGACGATGATGTTGGCGCCAAGCTTGGACCAGCTCAAGGCGGCCGCCGAGGTTCCTCTCGCTCTTTCTTTCTCTCTTCGAGGCTCATCCCCTGTCATGTTTGCGGAACATTCGTTGCGCCGTAACCTCGATTCTTCATCGCAGCTCTTCAAGACTGCCGACCTTGACAGTCTGTGGATTCAGTAGCGATATCATGAGTCTCCATCTTGGCACAACCTTGCTGATGGAAGGATGGGTCCATGGCGGCCAGTGCTTCCCTGATGACGCTTGAGATTAAACGCCTCACGTCCACTCTCTATTGAAACGCGTGCTTCCCGAGTCCCCGTGTCCAGTCTGACTGGCTCAGCCAAACCTTCTTGCATACACATTGTGCTGCCTTCTATACGGTATACTTGACCTTGTTCTTCCCAAGTTAGGTTGCCTGTATTGCTCCTTGTCATTCCAATCCACCACCTCAATGCTCCCAACAGAGAAGAAACGCGTAGCCATCGTGGGCAGCGGATGCGCCGGCTTGGGTGCAGCGTGGGCTTTGCAAAACACTGATCATGATGTCCATATCTTTGAGAAGTCAGATCGCCTGGGAGGCCACACGAATACCCAAACATTTACACATGGCCAACACTCTACACCTGTTGATACTGGCTTCATCGTCATGAACTCCGCCACGTACCGTTCGTCTTGACAACCATGTCCTTCGCTTTCTTGGGCCGCGTTACTGATACTCACCAGCAAATCTGATCAGATTCTTGAACCATGTCAAAGTAGACATCGTTCCTACCTTGATGACATTCAGCGTGTCTCGCAACCATGGCGAATTTGAATGGTCTGGCTCTGGCGAGGGTATTTTTGCTCAACGAGAAAACATCTTTAAGCCTAAGATGTGGCGTATGATCTTCGACATTATACGCTTCAACCAGTTTGCTCTTGATCTGCTAACAGAGGATGACTCTTCACGCACTGATCAGACTGTTGGAGACTATCTGGAGGAAGAAGGCTATTCTCAAGCTTTCAAGGATGACTACCTCATCCCAATGACTGCTGCGGTGTGGAGCACATCCCCGGACAAGACCAGTCTGGAGTTCCCTGTACTGACTCTCGTCCGCTTCATGTGGAACCATCATCTTCTGTCGACCATCGCAGCACGACCCACTTGGCTGACCATCAAGGATGGCTCTCAAAAGTACATTGACGCCATTGTACGCAGCTCCGATAGGAGAAGGTTCCACTTCCACACCTCGACTCCGATCACTGGTGTGACGAGGATGAACCAGAATGGCAAGAACGTAGTCGAGGTCAGCTACAAGAGTCCACTGAGCGGCACCCAGGAGTCCTCAACCTTCGACCACGTGATCATGGCTTGCCATGGAGATGATATCTTGCCTCTTCTTTCGGCCAAATCGAGAGTACCACCATCAGAGAAGGAAGAAGAAATTCTTGGAGCATTTCAGACTTCCGAAAACGTCGCATACCTCCATTCGGACCTCTCGTTGATGCCATTGAGAAGACCAGTATTTACAGCCTGGAACTACTTGACGACCTCCGCACCATCCAAGCTTGAACACCCAGCTGGTGTAAGCTTGACATACTGGATGAATCTGCTGCAACATATTCCAGAGTCCAAGTTTGGTCCTGTGCTTGTCACAATGAACCCTCCGCATGAGCCTGCGCCAGAACGTACGCAAGGCAAATTCATCTACCGACACCCTCTGTACACACCAGCAGCAGTCAGATCGCAGAACAGAATGCACGAAATTCAGAATACATCAGGAATTAGTTACTGCGGAGCGTGGACCAAGTATGGTTTCCATGAGGATGGCTTCAGCAGCGGGCTCAAGGTCGCGATTGATCACCTTGGAGCAACTCTGCCATTTGAGTTTAAAGACTCGACGTTTTCGCGAGGTAAGGCGCCTCAATTGAACTTGATGGATCATGCGTTGCGCACTGCCATTGTCTGGATTATGAGATTTGCACACCTACTGCATTTCTTCTTGTCACTACCACCAGTAGCATTCATGCTATCGATATTCCTGAATCTTCTTGACCGGGTCTTTGGTGTCAAAATCAAGTTCGATTAGGTCGTGGCGACGAGCATGTAAACATGCCACCGGAATAGTACAATTCAGAGCAATGTATGAATAGAATAATTAGAAAGTTTATGGTCGCTGTGTGGCGATCTCCCCTCACTGTCATCGATTTGTGTGTCACGCATGCCCACTATCCAATGACATGATGAAATCAGATTACACAACTTTGGCAGAGAGGTACTTGTGTGAAGACTGTTAGATCTTGGAAGGAGAGTCAGACGTGAACGCGGAGGTCTGTGCTTTGACACGCTTTCACAGACTCCTTGATTGAATCTCCAAGATCACTCCATCAAACATCCAGCCGACCGTCTTTTCAACTCGATCTCAACTAATCCCAATCAACGATACTCATCTCATCACGGGACTAAATCCTCGACTCTCAATCTCCAAAATGGCACCAGCCGCACCCGGGCCTATGTATGGCAAAGACGAAAAGGCGCTTTGCTTCCATCACGAATTACTCTATGAAGCAAAGGTGCTCGACTCGCGACACACTGATCAGAACGACAAGAAATCGCCTTTCGAGTACAAGGTCCACTACAAGGGCTGGAAGAACACGTAAGTTTGCGACATCTGCGGACATTCATCATCCCCCTGCATGGCGAATGTCTCCTGTTGTGCCTCTTCCGGCCTCGGGCACCCACAACATGACCACTGTTTACACATTTTTCATCTTCATTCCATCACATTGATGATTTGAACGTTATCTCTACATATCTGTCACTTTGTGTCGTCCAGAGTCTTCATCTTGTTCAAAATTATGTTCTGATTCGCGCGTTTGCGAGCTCGAATTGTGCTAATTCTGTATAGATGGGATGACTGGGTACCTCAAGATCGCTTGCGCAAGTACAACGACGAGAACCTCGAGCTCTCCAAAAACCTGAGGCAAGAAATGAACGCACAACGCAGAGCTGCAGCAAAACCCATGACTGCGACCGTGACCAGAAAGCGTGATCTCAACACTGGCTCTGCTAGAGGCAGCGAAGAAAGAACGGCCCCTACAGCACCAACCCGTGGAACCAAGCGTGGAAGGGAGTATGAAGGTATCGACAAGGTTAGTGGATGTTTTCTACGCGTATTTGTGTTTCTGCGAATTTTGCGTGGGTGTGAGGTCAGACAGTGTGGAGGTCTGCCCCTCGGCAGATAATCCCAAAAATGTTCGCACTACAAACGACACGTCTTGAGATAACAACTATTCTGTCAAGATGCGTTTGATCTTGATTTGCTTTGTCGTGTCGAACAGACTACTTCAAACTCAGTGCTGACCATAGTAATAGGAGGATGAATTTCTGCGTCGACCTTCGATCAAGATCTTCATGCCTGACAGTCTCAAGGCCATCCTCGTTGACGACTGGGAGAAGGTGACCAGAGAGAACAGACTGGTCCCGCTGCCTTCAAAGACCCCGGTAGCACAGTTCCTTGCAGACTACTCTGCATCCGAAGATGCCAAACGCAGAGAGGGCAGTGCTGAGGCAGATATCCTCGAGGAGGTGATCGCTGGCGTCAAAGAGTACTTCAACAAGAGCATAGGACGTATCCTACTGTATCGTTTCGAGCGCCCCCAATGGTCCGACATCCACGCGCAACTCAACAAGGGCACTGGCGACCTGACCGGCAAGCTTCCTACTGATATTTACGGTGTGGAGCACCTCTGTCGTTTGTTTGGTATGTATCATTTGGCGATTTTCTCACAACGTGACTAACAGACTCAGTATCCATGCCCGATCTGATCGCTCATACCAACATGGACTCTCAAGCTGTGAGCCGTCTTCGCGAGGAGCTGCACAAGATGACACAGTGGCTCAGCAAGAACGCAGGCAACTACCTGTCTCAGGAGTACGAGCAGCCCACTCAAGATTACATTGACCGTGTCAAGTAGAGTTAGGCGACGGAAAAGGAAAAGGGCATATTTGCATTACAGCGATGGCGTGAAATGGGGAAACTTGAGGGATCACTATCACATTGGTACAAACACACTACACGGCGTCATTTGGTCGGAACTTGAAGAAGTTCACTATAGGGCGTTTATGATCATCATTACTTCTCAAGTTCTTGCTTTCATCCACGGTGGCCAGAAGGATTCATCTTTGCGTACGTTAGGGTTTCTAGGTTGCTCCCTTGTCTGACGGATGCCGTTTCTGTCTCTGTTTAAGATGAGCATCCAGACAAATCTGGGGCGAAGCAACCCTGACTCTGACCATGCAGGCACGAAGGATCCGCAAGAGATAGTGGCTTGCTATGAACAATGGATACAATAATCTCTCCCGAGGACGACCATGGACATGAGTCAACAAGCAGGCACATGTGTAACTTATCTCTTGCGTCCGGAGCAATGGAATGAATCCGAATGATCTTCTTCAGCCGCGCTGATCGAACTCTGACAGATCGCGTCACGGCGGCTGGGGGGCGAGCCGCAACTGGAGAAGGCCACACCGGTGCGTCGCAACAAGACAACAACGGTAGCCGTCTCTGGGGTATTTGGCACTGTTCCAGATGCCCTTGATCTCGATATCAAGATGAGTTATATGTGTTTGTGGTAGATGCGACAGCGCGGGTCTTGAGTGTAGGCAAGTTCTTGGCAGTTGCCTCCGCTCTCGGATGTTATTCGTTCTTGCGCCGCGGACGTGGATCGCGACCGCCTTCTTTTCCAAAGTCGAGCCCTGATCCTGCAACTCAACGCCTGTGCAAACGGGATCAGAACGGGGTCAACGGACTGGAGCTGCATTGTAGATCGACGACAAGGCTTTTGCATGCCGACTCTGCTTACTGCTGCTGCTGATGGTCACAAATGCATTCATAACAGCAGTCTTCTTGGAGTCAAACGACACCAAGATCCCACGATATTGCCCAAGCCAGACGCGGCTTGGCGAAAGCCAATGATGTTCTTATCGCACATCCTGGTGGCGACATGCCCTCTGTAAAAGTCCCCGTTCGACGGATGTACCTCTCTACTGGCCCTGGGCTGCTGTGGGTACGCGTGACGCTAGAGTTCTTCTCGAATTAGGACAGAGGTAGGGAATAAGCTTCTGCGATTTAGGGTCCCCGGGCAGTTGATAATCCTTCCAGCTCCCGCCCGTCTTTTGCGTTTTTGGACAATCTCGCAAGTTTCGCGCACTTGTTGCTGACATTTGGTTTTGTCGTCGATTGTGCTGTTGTATCGTTTTCTCGACTGGTTGATTTCTGGACTCTGGCTTTGCGATAGCCGCGATATGACCCAGAGCCGAAAGGCAGGGACTGCACTTTCGCCTCAGGAATATCCCTGAAGTCGCCTTTGTCCTCACGCCGTTGCCATTCTCATCAATCGACATCATGATACCTCTAAAAGCAGAGACGTGGACTTGGTGGACGTTTGTGATGATATGCGTTATATGCCGAATGTGAATCTTTGCCCTCTGCGACCCTCTTGCCAGCTATAACATGTATCTGACACCCTTTCAGGATCTCGAGGTACCTGAATCTCGGCACAATCAGACGATTTCAAGCCGATGACTATATTACCGTTGTCGCCATGGCTTTCTACACCACACTGATTGTCACCATCAACATTGTCGCCAAATCTGACTCCAACCTCCTACCTCCAGGCTTTGACGTCAGCTCCCTCACACCCGACCAAATACACGATCGCGCATATGGCTCAAAACTTGTGCTCGTGGTCGAACAATGCCAAATCATGACCGTGTGGTGCGAAAAGCTTTGCTTGCTATTCCTCTACCGTCGCCTGACCGTCGGAACATGGGAGAGACTCGCCATTAAGCTTCTTTTCTGTTATGTCGTACTCAGCTGGGTCGTTATGGAGATTCTTTACTTTGGAGTCTGGTGTCGGCCGTTTACCATGTATTGGGCTGTGCCGTCGACGACGCAATGCACGGCTGCAACCAACCACCTGATCACTAATGCAGTGTTCAACATCAGCTCCGATGCGTTGATCCTGGCAGTTGCACTACCCATGTTTATCAAAACCCGCCTGCCGCTACGAAAGAAAATTGCCATTGTCGGTATCTTCTCCTTGGGGACTTTCGTCATCATCTGCGCCATCTTGAACAAAGTCTACAGCTTCAACCAACCCTTCGGCCTGCAATGGACGTATTGGTACGTGAGAGAATCGAGCACTGCCGTTCTCACGGCCAACGCAGCGTTCGTCTGGGCCCTGCTTCGCCGCATCTTCAAGCTCCGCTCTCTGGGCTCCTTCTCGGGCAAGAATACGTACAACACTTACAACGGCTACACACCTACCTACACCACCACTCACACCCGCGTCGAAACTTCGCATCGCAAAAAGGCGCGTCATGAAGATATAGACTTGGATCTACTCATGCCTGATCCAGATGATTTTGAGGGCATCCATCGCCACACGGAGATTCGTGTGCAGGAAGATACAATGAGAGGAAACAGTGTGATGGAAGAGGCTAGAGGGGGTCCTTGGGCACAGGCTTGGGCGGTGAACACCGTAGGCATGGGAGCGAAGCCAGGGACGAGCGGGACCAGTGGAAGTAGCGAAGAGGGAAGGAGTGAGTGTGGGTTTAGTGTTGCCGAGTCGACGACGGGGATCGTGGCGCCGGTGAAGAAGCCGTCTAGGGCGTTGTTGAGGCAGAATGATTCTGCTGTGTGAGAGGTATTTGGTTTTTCTTTCTTTTCCTACTAACGAATATCTAGCGACTTTCTTCTCAGGCTTACGAGTGCACATGTTTTTTCTTGCAATCTATATACCATATACCATTACTGTTTCTTCTTTGTACATATTCTAAGTACCAGAACTTTCAATTTCTTGATTATCTACACCATCTCTTCGAAGATTCAAACACGCAATTTGATTCGCTGTCCATTCCCTGCAAGAACTTTCGGATTACCATGATTGTCAACTCTCTTGCCATGACTCTCCTCAGCTAAACCAGCGTTCCCCGATCTTTGTACCATCTACCGGCCCGAGATCCTCTCCATCCACATCCCACCACAAACCCACTCTACCTCCGATATCGAAGTTCCAGAGAATGCAGGTACGCAAATACGATATCCGACTTATCCAACGGTCGAGAAGGATGCGAAACATGCAAGCTAGTCAAACGAGTCATTGTCAAGTTCAATATCTGCCATAAGCTTTTTCATAATGGCACCGAAGGATTCCAACAAGCAGCTACAGCACCACAAAGGGTAGGAAGAGGTAGAGCAAATGTTGTGGGGGTAGGATAGAGGCAGGAAAGATGGCGGTATGGAGATGAGATGCTGACATGACTAGTTTAAGGAAGGCTTGACTCGTGGGTGTGCGAATGCAATGGCTGTTTTGGGAGCGGAAGTGCGGATGGGAAGGATCACACGGCTTGGGCTACTGCTTCACCTTTGTTGAGATGGGACGAGAGGGAAGTCGCTGTGGCAAAAGAATATCAGAGAGTAAATGATTTGCAGTTTCAAACACTCAGTAGATCAATTGAAGTTTGGAAATAACCTTGCTTTGGGAAATGCCAACATTGGATCTTCCAAGACATTGTAAGGAAATATCTGTATACGAACACTTTTTTTTCTTATAGGAATATTTCTCTTCCGTCTCCTAGTCGGTAACAAGCTTTTGGATCGTTTCGGACACGGTTGAGGAGGTCAAATAAACGGATGTAAAGCACCACAAAAACGTACTGCAAAAAAGAAAACATCTCACGATAGTAAGGGTAGGTAAAGAAAAAGTAGACGTGAATGGCTTACTTGATTTTGACCAAGACTTGATTGTAAGCAGTACGAGCCTGCTCTTTCCCAGAATTGTATCTCGTTGTCGCTCGATTTGCTCTATCGCACTTGTACTTTGCAATTCAATGGAGAGTCGAAACCACACTAAGAGATATGGTAGCTTGGGTATCGTACTACGGTGTGCGTGGTTTGTTGGTCACTGCTAAAATTCACAAGACTAATGATCTGAGAACCCATTGCCAGAAGCTGGCAGCGGAGATCAACGGCAGGGCATTTGATCCCAAAACATGAAGTAGAGATGAACGATGACACATGTGCAAAGACATGAAGATTGGAAAGCATTCGGAACCATTGAGTATTACTGTAATAACAAAGACTAGCGATAAGCATGGCTTCTGTTTCTCGCCATGAAGCCCTGGTAGGTGTCTGATGTCACATTCAAGATACATGTATCAATCGCTCCTTCCAATCCTATCGCAAACAAGACAAAAAGAGCCCGATATGTACACCTCCAAACCACTCCATAAATTCCGCTTCTCTGTATCTAATACAATCCCACCTCCCCCTTGCCATCTCTGACCTTAGCATGCCAAATGTACCGCCAACGCATCCTTCAAACCCCCTAGACTCAATGGTTTGGCCAAGAAATCATCAGCACCTGCTTCTTTGAATTTCGCTCTCGATTCTGTATTCACTACCGCCGTCAAAGCGACAATGATGTGTTTGCGTTGCAGTTTGCCGCAAGACTCCAAAGCGCGGATTTCGGCTGTGGCAGTTATGCCGTCCTTTTTGGGCATGGATTGGTCCTGTGTGGTGTATTAGCAGGGGATTACAGAGGAAAAGGGGAGCAAATGGTGCACTTACCATGAAAATAATATCGATAGCGGTGTCGTGAGCGATGGCCTGTGAGACAGCTGCTTCGCCATCGGGAGCAAGAATGACTTTGTGTTTAAGCGACACCAGCATCTTCTGGAAGAGCTTCGCATTGATGACGTTGTCTTCTACTAGCAACACAGTCTGCGGTTGAGGCACCACAGCATCCGGTGACCCTGGTCTCTTTGACGCTTGGTCTCCGGTGCTGAGGGAAGGTGCTCGTTGCTGATTTTGCTGTTGTTGACGAGCTTCTTGTTCAGAATTGATCTGGGCGAATTCGGCGGGTGCTATGTCTTGTACCACTTCGACTACAGGAGCGAAGCGAAGGGTGCGAGACACAGTCGCGCTACGGCTGCGGCGGTTTGCGGCGTCGACGCGGGTGGCGAAGGAGTGCCAGACTAGAGGGCGAGGAAGTAGGACAACGTGCGGAGCTGCTACGATGCCAGGCAACTCTGACAGCGAGTTTTGTGTATCGTATGGGACCAAGACGAGCAAATCTTGGCGCCTCATGAGGCGTCGGAATTGATCCTTGTTGTTGAGGAGGAAAGGCATGTCTGCCCAGATGTATTTCCACTCTTGTTCAGGAAGGTCCGAGATGGTGGTGGCGACTGTGACTTGATGACCGAACATTTCCCAGGCTGTTCTTATACCTTGGAGTGACCGAGTATCTGTCTCGGATAAGATTGCTACATGCCTTTGATCTTGCTGGTCTGCTGTTTGTGGAGGAAGAGAGGAGGGTTGAAGAGGTACGGTAACGGTGAACGTGCTTCCACTCTGGTTTGGCCCCACATCCTGTGAGTAGGCGAATTTCGATTCGACGGTGATGGTGCCGTTCATGGCTTGCAAAAGTTGCTTGATGATGCTGAGACCTAGACCAGTACCTCGCTGGTTTCCCTTCTGCTCGCCTTGCTTATACGGCTCAAACATCTGAGGTATGAATGTCGGGTCAAGGCCGATACCAGTATCTCTCACCGATGCTATCAGTTTGTCGCCACTGACTTCGATAGAGAGAATGATATAGCCTGATCTTGTGAACTTGCACGCATTGGACAGTAGGTTCATCAGGATGCGATGTATGTATGTCTCATCCAAGAAGACCGAGGTCGGGACATCTGGAGCTACCACAACACAGAGCTCAACATCTGCCTCGTCGTCCTTGTTAGGAAGCAGAATGATTATTGACTCGCACACTGTTCTGATATCCAGGGAGACGGGCTTGCAAACTGCTTTGGCGTCTTTCTCAAGCTTGGACCAATCCAATACGTTGTTCGTGATCAATGAGAGTGTTTTGGTCGCTCTTTGGATGGCGGCTAGATGGGCTCTACCTTCTTCGCTCAATGGTGTCTGTGACAATAAATCACTGTATCCTTGTAAGTGGTGCAAAGGCGTTCTAATTTCGTGACTAGCAGCTGCGATGAACTCGCTTCTCGCAAGAGCAGCTGCTTCTGCGTTCTCTTTTTGGGCGATTGTTCGCCACAGCTCTCGACGGGTCCAAATGATTTCGGCAAGTTTATTGCGGGAAACAGTGGCAGAATGTGCTAGTAGACCATTTGCAGCGATGCATGTTGAGAATGCAATCAGAACCACTGCAGCCGCGATTACCGGTGGATATCCTCGGAGTTCTGATGGGGGTGATGTAGACCAGAAGGTAGCTGCCCTCATTCCCGTGAAATGCATTGCAGCTACTCCTGTAGTTGCTACGACCGAGAACAATAGCTGCTGGGATAGCATGGCTTCCATCTCTGTCATACATATACAGCCAACAGTGCAGACTAGCCAAGATATGAGCGCAGATGCTAGAACGATCCAAGGGGCAAGAACAATTCTTCCGTTTGGGATCCTCAATCCGTATATGCCAGTGTAGTGCATACTAGTAATCGCAATTGACCACAGAAATCCTCGGAGCAAATTCCTCGGAGTCATGCCATAGTACAAGATCTTTGCTGTGGCCACGAAGGCGTTCACTGTAGATGCAGGAGCTCGTCGGTAAGCAAGTCCCATCGCACTGCTGAGACCATGACTCGTGCTTGATCCAGCTGATGATTCACGACGAAGGGTAGATCCGTCACTGGAGGATGGACCCAGAGATCCAGAGCTGATTGTAGAAGCATCATCTCTGAGACCAGTAGATTGATCATCGCGTAGACTCTGCGTCGTCACCATCCTCAGACTTGCGATACTGCGCCCAGAAGCACTTCTTCCCATGATCGGTCGTATACTGTCGCGTGGCGATATCTTGGGAGACATAGCGGTGCCTGGTGATGATGGCAAGCGACTCTGATCGAATGCAGCCCCGGGTCCGTCTTGTGATGATCTGAAGAAGTCTGCCCTAGGCCCACTCCAGCTCTGACTTTCCGAATTTCGAGCAGGCAATTGGCGAGGTCTCGATAGCAATGGCTGATCAGGAGCAATATCTTCGTCCTGAAAGTCACCTTCTTCTTCGTCTTCCTCCTCTGCCACTGGACGGAGCGACAGAGTGTGATGATTACTATTCCTAATCTTGCCCATAGGGCTCAGAGTAGTAGTCTTCTGACGCTTCCTTCTGGCCTTACGCCTCTCCCTCCCTCGGGTGTAATGCCAGCGATCCCAGAGCAATTCGCTCCCCAGAGCCAGGAATGTGAAGAAGACGGGCAAGAATGCACTCAAGACCGTGAGTGACGGATTTACTCCCATCTTGACATCAAACTCGCATGCAAGCATGGCCACCATGTGAAGACACCAGACTGAGCAACCCCCAAACACAAAACTGCCAAACAGCACCCACAGCAAAACACTGTGGAACCGCAATGACATCCTTGCATGGCACATCAGTTGTGTCGAGGTAAATGCCCCCAGAAATGAGATGGCAATCGATGCCACAATCAATATGGGATTCCATTGCGGCTGCAGTTGACGGTACACATCGCCTCCCGTGTCCATAGTTCGTAAGTCCATTGGTAGTGCAGATTTTGGTAATCCAAGTCTCGCTAGGAGTTATCAGCGACCGACATGTCCACGCTTCCTGCGCGCGAGTGCAGAATGAGAGTGATCCCGGTATCCTGTGATGCGGCAAAGTCGTTGTGATTCTAAAGGTCCAGGGCAGGAGCGGGAAGTGTAAGCTTCGTGGCCTTCGCGATGAACCGAGCTGACGAAATATTGAAACTGGAGCGATCCCACCACAACTCTTTCCTATGCCTTGTACAATTACTGCAATCGTCGAAGAAGATGTCAAGAACGAAAACCCGGTGATTTGGTTGCTGGCGCAGTCGCTCGTGAGCAGCCACAGCTCCGAATTTGAGTTCCATAGCTTACCCACCGTCGCGTGCGATCAAGAAACGGGTTAGTGCGGTTTGAAATAGTGACATTCTTGCGGCTTGTGTTCTGTCGGAGCTCCTACGATGCATCATGCTGATGGTAGCAGTTGCCATGAAAAACCGTGACAAGTAAACATGCAAATCTCGTAAATGGAATTGCTGTGGTGAAACAGTTGAGCCTCAAGATGTGTCGGTGCAGCTTGCAGCAATGATCGACGCAAGCTTGGGTGGGTTGCGAACCAAATTCCTCGTGTTTGGATCTCCAGATCGGAGCCATCTCAGCTCTATGTGGCGCTATCAACGGCATCACAACACCACACTATGATGATGGCACGGAGTTGACCGGCGCATACGGAAACAGGGCAGTAACACGAATGTCTTTCTTTGCTAGATAATGTACAATGCAATTGTTTTTACATGCCATGTGCAGCACTCGCATGCTCTACTCCCACCTCTATGCCACAAAGATGACTATATGTACAGCTATTGTTGTTACAGACGTAAACAAGAAAAGGTATACGATGCAAAAACCGCAGCGCTTTAACCAAAAGAGACAGAACTCCTGAGAACCTCACCAACTCTATGCTTCGTATATCGTCTACCTCCAAACCCAGGCCCCCCACCACTCTCCTTAATCTGCACGGAGTAGACTTCCTTGAAGCCTATCCAGAATCCTGGGCATGCTCTGGATAGCGTGCAGTGTTCTGGGAGCCTGTTCTCGAATCTCAGGAATGGTTCCAACCTGTCTTCTCAACTCGCGCAAGCCTTCTCCAGACTCATTGTGATCATCACCTAGACCACGACTGACCAGGCCTCGGACATCCAACATCGCTCTGGCTAGATGCACCATTGTACGATATTGCGGGATGACTGTTTCCTGGCTGATGTATCGGGCATTGATGTATTCTAGTCCTTCTTTGAAAGTGTGCTTCTTGAGATAAACAGTCTCAGGTTTGGAGATCGCGCCGTGTCCTTGAGGAATCCAGCCGGGCCAGTCTTTCATCATGTATTTCTCCACGAGGGTGTACGCAAGCAATGCACGCGGAGGATTTGCCTGACAAAGCCGCACGATAAGCTCGTTCCATGTCTTGTTGGCAAATCGAAAGCCCTGGGAAAGCAGCTTCGTCATCTGAGGAACAAGCTTTCTGATCGAGTTTTGCGCAAATTGAGAGCGTATGTAGTACTGGAGCGGTTGCGATAGCATGAAGCTATAAGATACAGGAATCAGAGCGGACTCTTCTTCTCGTAGCGCGGGAGCAGTCTGACCATGGTGGACAGACTGCGCAAACCTCGATGCTGGAGCATTTGAGAGACGAATCTCGTCCACTCGGGATTTGACAAGATCCCAGTATTTATCAACCTCACTCCACTCTTCAGCTTGGCAGTGTACGAACATGAGGTTCGACAGCAGAAGTATGATTGGTGCTTGATCACGACCTTTGTCGATCTCTGTGAGCTTTTTCTGGAACATCTGGAACAGATGCTGAACGGCCTCGTATGACCTGCGTTTTCCATGAATGTAGATCAGATTACTGATAGCCATCGTTTCGTGCCCAGCTGCTTCGGGTTGCATGCCATGGTGGAATACTCGGGTATCATCCAGCACTTTCTTGAAGTCTTCGATAGCAAGATCCAAGGGTATAGGCGAATCGTCTTCGTCTGCTGGATAACTTGAGATACTGAGTTGATAAAGAGTGTTCGCCTGGGACGCGACAGCTCGACTACTGGGCGTTTCTCGCACATGTGCTCTTTTCATCTCGGCCTGAAGTTTGACGGCTTCTGAATATAACCCCTGACCCAAGTAGCCACGCGTAAGGATGGCATAGTGAAATGCCATAGGCCGAACGCCGCTTGAAGGCATGACGGTTTTGAGGATCTTATGTGCTGAGGGTGACTGACGAAACAAACAGAGAACCAGCATCAATGCTCCATATGATTGCTCGTCGAGTGGCACATTTTCTGCCTTCATACGACCATAGGTTGCCATGGTGGCCTTAAGATCGCGTCTCCATGCAAAGGAAGTGAGCACAGTATTGAAACAAAGAGTCAAAGGACCATTTGCCTTGTCTTGCTGCACGGCCTCAACGGTCTGATCTAGTGCCTTCAAGGCTCCATCTATTTCAAAATTGCGAGCCAATGCAAGAATCATGCAGTTCAACATGTATGTCGTGGGTTTCATCGCGCCACGCGTCTTCGCAAAATCCAGAACCTCGATCACCCCGTCGATGTCTCCTCTTTTGGCGTAAGAGGTGAGAAGCGTTGCATATGAATACTCGTCAGGCTCGAGTCCAGATTTTAGCATTGAACGAAAAGTCTCCGTAGCTCCATAAATATCATCCACCCGTATGTAGGCGTGCAGAACGATATTCCAACACCGGAGATTCGGCGATACCCCGTACTCTTTCTTCATGGCACGAAGTTGTTTCGCAGCAAGCCCCGGGTTGCGGTTCACCGCGTGGACAGTGAGAAGAGGCCAGAGCGAGTCAGGATTCAAATCATCATTCAGGTAAAAGGATTTGAATAGATCAGCATGTTCTTTGACACCTTCAACAAGACCACGTTGGGCAAAGGTATCCATGATGAAAACGAAGGCGCTGTCGCTGGGTCTATGGTGATGTTTTGTCCAGTCGTCTAGAATGATCGTTTTGCCAATGAAGTTGTGCGTAGGTCCCTTTCCGCCAAAATTGAGATTGTGGTCTCTCCAGAACCTGGTGACGAACAGAAGCAGCTTCTCGGTGGGGGCAAAGAATTCAGACTTTCGATATAACAAATAAGTAGCGGTGATGATCGCACTGCAGTTGTAGTTCGAGGCACAACCTTTCAAGGTGAGCAGTGCAAGGAGTATGTTCTCATACAGCGTAGCCGAAGCCAGACCATTATCATGCGTCTTCTCAATCAATTGCCTTACAGAGCCGCGAGTCAAGTCAGCGGAATGGCCAGGTCTCAAGAAAATCTGCTGTCTAGATTGAGCTTGGATGAAGTGATAGACCAGAAATCTGTAAAGACGTCGGAAGTCTTGGGTCGGTTTGGGACCTTTCCCTTTTCTCGCTCGTCGCATCTCCAGAGAGCATAGCTTGCGAAGTTTGTGCAGCTGAGCAAGAGCAAAAGGCAAATCTGCCAGGGATCTGTTCCAAAGAGGGGTAGATGTGGAAGAGCCGGCGGCGTTGTATTTTTCCCACTCTTTATGAACAGACACAGCTAATGGCCAATCGGACTGTGAGATGGCCGAAGCCATCAGATAGTCAGATGCGATAGGACCAGCTTTCGGCAGTACGGATGCCTCTCTGTGCAGGGCGACAGCAACAAGCTGTTTACCAAGTCTCAAATTTGATATTATGGCATGTCGATAGGCGGCGGGGGATCTAGACTGGTCCGGCAAGTCGGCAAAAAGATCAAGGGCATGTTGATCGGCGGTCCTGTTATCTCTTTCGACAAACCAGTAGATGAGCCGATGAAGTAGATCAGTGTCAGGGTGAGAAATTTGGGACATGAGATTCCAAACACGCTCAATGTCTAGAGCGAGGAAAGACTGGTCGGGAATGGGCGACTCCAGCAAGGCGACAAGCTCGCGGTAGGCACGAGAAGAGGAAGACGACGAGGAAGAGGAGTCCTTGGGCGTGGTCATGGAGGAATAACCTCTCAAGACATTTGGGCGAGTGTTTTTGCGAGACCATCTTTCAGATTGAGACAGGCGGGTCATGAATGCCTGGGTTGGGGCGGGGTAGAGAAAGTCGAGAAAGGGAGCATCGTGGGAGTCGGCCGACGAAGCAGGAGCGACTGGGGGACAGGATAAAGAAGCAGGAGCGGTACAGGGGGAGGCAGGAGCGTAGGAGCCGGCCTTGTGTGTGAGGCAGAGGTGATCGACATCAGGAGCGTGGGTTGACCAAAAGGACGAATGTAGCAGTCGGCGACTTTTGGGGAACAGACTCTTCTGGCGCAAAGAGAAGCGAACTCCAGTGTCGAGACATGCCGACGTGCGCTCTAGCATGCCACGACTCTTGTATGTGTGGAACAAGCACAGGCGACGGCGCTACCACAAGCAGCCGAGAGCAATATGGTTCATGCCAGGACCCGAGACGATGCGAGAGGGCTGCTCTTGCTGTGGCGTGATGCGAGAGGGCGGAATATCGACAAGAACGAGACGGTAGGGCGGCGACTCTGGAAGACGTGGAGAGTTGGAGTGTGACGAGGACGAGAGGAAGAGAAAAAGAGGAGGAGGAGGAGGAGGAGCGGCAAACGAAGGCGACGCAGTGTCTCTCGGGCTCTCCAGAAGCTGTTTGATAGTGACTTTTCGACTCGTCAACATCAGCGCCTGGAGATCGAAGCCAAGACCTGCGCCGCTCGGCAAGACTGGAAGCCTGCCCTACTCGCCCATGCCTGACAACTTGGTGCGACCCCACCAATTGGACACTTCGACAGCTCGAATTATCCCTACCACGCTGCCACGCAGGCACACGACACGCCAACATGGACATCACCGCTTGCACCGTGGGCAATCGCGATGCCGCTCTGCTCATCGCCGACTACAACGCATACCGCAAGCAGCTTTCGCGACAATTGCTCGCCCTGCGCAAGCGTCTCGGCCGCTCCACCAACAAGGGCCACAAGTACTCCAACAAGTCCACAGTCACCGCCGAAGATGTCGCCCAGAATCCTCAGTACCGAACCACATCTCTGCATATCACTCTCAATCCAACTGACCCTTCCCAAGAACTGCCCGTCTCTTGCTGCTCAGCTGCGAACGCGCCTGGGCCCATGCCATGCACATCAAGTCCATCCACTCCGAAGACAACCAAGGAAACGGTATAACTGGAACCACTCGCTCCCACATCATCTCGCGCTTCCACAAGGCTGCTCGTCTTGCCCAGAATCTGACCGACATCCTCAAACACCCCGAAGCCTCGAAAACAACCCACCAAGACCTGCTCGAAGCTGAAGCCTACCGAGCCTCTCTCTCCGGAGCCGAACACTTTGAGAAGCAGTCAGAGGGTCGTGTCAACACCGAGAACCCTCAGAGATGGGATCTTTGCTTGCGCGAGTATTCCACTGCCCGCATCGTCTACGCAACCCTGTTCGCCCATGGCAACAAGGACCTCTTCCGCGAGATTCTCGCCAGCGCTGTCGATCCTGCCATTCGTTATGCCGCCTACCAAGCTCGCCTTCCTCGTTCCGTCCCCGTCTCGACTGTCGCTTTGCGCTACTTCCCCAAAGACAATGACACTCTTGTCAAACTGTTGCAACAACTCGATCCTAATGCTCTCAACGAAACCACTACCGAAACCAGTATGTGAAGAACATCAGCTCCTTCTACACAACCAGTCACTAATATGGCACCTCTAGCTCCTCAGAATCTCGGCGCAACGAACATTCCTAACACAATCAACTGGAGATCCATGACTGCCAACATCGTCGATGCCTCAGTCGGTCAAGCCCTTGCTGCTGTCGCATCCGCTGAACCTGAATTGAGCGCATACCTGAAGTCCAATCCTTCCGCCCTGACCAGAGATCGCGCTGGTGCTTACGACAATGTACTCATCGCCAGTCAGGACGCTGCAGATGCCACTAGAAGAGCCATCGAAGAGCTGGAGAAAGAGAGAGTAGATGAGGGTGACAACCGAATGCAAGATCTGCGTGTGACCAGTCTTGCCGTCAACTACGCCCTTGTCAGCTGGCGTGTGGGCAGAAACCGCGTGCTGATCGGGTCCGAAGATGGCAGATTGTTCGGGGAGAAAAAGGCCAAATCCAGCAAACGCGCTCGTGACCAGCACAAGTCGGAGCCCAGAGGAAGCCAGCTTGCCCGTCTGCGCGAGAGAGTGGTGCTTTACGATTCGACCATTCAGAGCATCGACTCGATCAAGGAACTCAGAGGCGCTATGAGGGACGAGAGCTTCGTGCGCGAGGTGGATGGCAAGCGTGCTTACTTCCAGGCCCTCAGATGCCTCAACATTGCAATCTCGCACGCTCTCCTGTCCGAGCATGTGAATGCTCTCGCTCTGTTGGCCCGCGCACTCGAACTTGCAAAGCAATGCTCTAGTTCATTGCCATCAACCTCATCCGACCCGTCGTCTGCGCCTACTCTCGACATTCACAAGTCTCAAGCCGATGCGCTCCAGACTCAACTGCAGCAGCTCGTGTACAGACATCAAGCACTGGTGGACCTGCACAAGTTCCACGACAATGCATCCATCGCAGCAGCCAAGCACATGTCTACTGCTGCCCCTCTTGTCCAACGTCTCAGCGACTTCCCCACACCAGGTGTCAATGTCAACCTCAAGAATTTGGTCACATATCCTCCCAAACTTGAGCCGATCCCGGTGAAACCGTTGTTCTTCGATGTCGCATGGAACTACATCGATTACCCGACGACGGGTAAGCAGGCGGTGGAAGCAAAGGCAGCTGATGTGATAGTCGAAGAGAAGCCCAAGGAAGAAAAGAAGAAGGGCTGGTTTGGCTTTGGACGATGAGCAGCTTGTATATCTATAACAAAAGCACGTAGAGTAGTGTATATTGTGATTGTCTAGACGATGAGACAATGAGATGCAATTTAATCAACTTGAAATCATCACATGCAATCCGGTCAACTCGATAGTTACTCGATGGCCAAGTGATGTTTGTGAAAGCGCTGTGCGGGATCAAAAAAAGAAGCGTCACACTCGAAATCGGCACCCGGGCGATATTAAGCTTTGCCTCTTGCTCGTTCGCATCTTCGCACACCCATCCTGACGACGTGCGCCAACTGATCTGACCTGCCGCCGTCACATGCTACCGCCAGTCCCACGACTTTACTGACCGTGCGACCGCCGAATCTTTCACCACCCCCGCCACACAACCCCTCTCGAGTCACCCACCCCCACCGACACGACAAAATGGCGCCCAAGAAGAAGGGAAACAAGAAGGCCCAGCAGGACGACTGGGAGACCGAGCTTGGCGAGACCGTCGACCCCATAGCTCAGGCTGAGCAAGAGGCAAAGGCCCAGGAAGCTGCTCAGGATGCTGAGGAAGAGGCTGCTCCTCCCGGTGGTCTGATGGCTGCTCTGAGAGCTAGAAAGAACAAGAAGGGCAAGAAGGGCAAGCAGCAGGACGATGATTGGGAGGCCGAGCTCGGTGAGGATCTCACTGCTGCTGCCGACGAAGATGGAACTTCTACACCTCCCGTCGACCTCGCCGCTAAGGCTCCCGAGGAGGGCACCATGGATGATGAGGACCTTTACCCGGAACCCGCTAAGAAAGGAAAGGGTGGTAAAGGTGGCAAGCAACAGCCCGCACCCGCACAGGACGACGACGACGATGACGAGCAAGATGGCAGTGGTCGCGTTCTGACCAAGAAGGAAAAGGAAAAGCTGAAGAAGGAGCGTGAGAAGCAGAGAAAGAAGGAAAACGTGAGCTGCATTGTGCTATGCTAGAGAGATACAGGAGCTGACCACTCTTTCTACAAACAGGCCGCAGCCAAGAAGAAGGCAGGCGGTGCTGTACCTGCTGCACCCAAGCCCCAACCCATCAGAGACACCCCTTCGCCTAGCGCTATCGAGCCTGTGGCAGCAGCTCCCGAGCCAGCAGCTGGCGGTAAGAAGAAGAAGCTCAACCCCGCCCTCGCCGCCCTTCAGAGACAACAAGCCGAGTTGAAGGCCAGAGAGGAGGAGGCCGCTCGCCTCGAGGCTGAGGAGCGTGCCAGAGCCGAGGAAGAAGAGAAAATGGCTGTCGAGGAAGCAAAGGCTAGAGAAGAAGCCAAGGCCGCAAAGAAGCAAAAGGAGAAGGAGAAGATCGAGCAGCTCAAGAAGGAGGGCAAGTACAAGACAAAGGCCCAGAAGGAAGCCGAGGCTCGCCAACAAGCTCGTCTCCAACAGATGCTCGAGAGTGGTGCCATTGTTGCTGGTATTTCCGGCGAGGGTGAAGACGCCAAGAAAGCGCAGAAGGAGAAGGACCGCAGAAAGAAGAACCCTCGCAAGGCTGCCGAAGAGCGTGCTGCTGCCGAGGCCGCAAAGGCTGAGGAAGAGGCTGCCCGCAAGAAGCTCGAGGAGCTGCGCATCGCTGAGGAGCAAAAGAAGGCCGCTGAGGAGGCTGCTGAGAAGGCCAAGGCCGATGCCCTGGAGAAGAAGGCTGAGGAGTCAGATGAACTCGAAGACTGGGAGGCCGAGGCCGAGAAGATGGAGAACGACGGTGTCAAGGACAGCTGGGATGCCGAGTCCGGTGACGAGGATGCTGAGATCGTCAAGCCTGTCGTCAATGGCAAGCCTGTCCAGGACGGCGCAGCTGGCAAGAAGGCCAACATCAAGGAAGAGTCTGACTCCGACTCCGACTCTGACTCAGATTCTGATTCCGACTCAGACTCGGACTCGTCTTCTGACGAGGAGGAGAGTGCAAATGCTCGCGCCATTGCCCAGCGCAAGCGTGAGGCTGCTGAGAGACGTGCAAAGACCATCGCAGATGCCAGAGCTGCCGCCTCCAAGGACAACCTTCGTTCGCCCATTTGCTGTATTCTTGGTCACGTCGATACCGGAAAGACCAAGCTTCTGGACAAAATTCGTCAAACCAATGTTCAAGAAGGTGAAGCTGGTGGTATCACTCAGCAAATCGGTGCTACCTACTTCCCCGTCGAGGCTCTTGAGAAGAAGACTGCTGTCGTCAACACTGATGGCTCCTTCCAGTTCAAGATTCCCGGTCTCTTGGTCATCGATACCCCTGGTCACGAGTCTTTCACTAACCTCCGTTCCCGTGGGTCTTCGCTCTGTAACATTGCCATCCTGGTTGTCGATATCATGCACGGCCTTGAGCCTCAAACTCTCGAGTCCATGAGACTGCTCAGAGACCGCAAGACTCCCTTCATTGTCGCACTCAACAAGATTGATCGTCTCTACGGCTGGAAGCAAATCGCCAACAACGGTTTCCGTGAGTCGCTTGCCATGCAGAACAAGGGTGTCCAGAACGAGTTTGCCGACAGACTCGAGAAGACCAAGATCGCCTTTGCCGAGCAAGGTTTCAACTCCGAGGTCTTCTACGAGAACAAGTCTATGGCCCGTAACGTCTCGCTTGTTCCCACTTCAGCTCACACTGGAGAGGGTATCCCCGACATGCTCAAGCTCATCACCCAGCTCACTCAGGAGAGAATGGCTGGTCAGCTCATGTACATCACCGAAGTCGAGTGTACCGTTCTGGAAGTCAAGGTCATTGAAGGTCTGGGAACCACCATCGATGTTGTTATTACCAATGGTCGTCTGAAGGAGGGTGATCGTATCGTGTTGTGCGGTACAGAAGGACCCATTGCCACTAACATCAGAGCTCTGCTCACACCTGCCGAGATGAAGGAACTGCGTGTCAAGTCCTCCTACGTCCACAACAAGGAGGTCAAGGCCGCATTGGGTGTCAAGATTACTGCCAACGGTCTCGAAAACGCCATCGCTGGTTCTCGTCTGCTGCTTGTCAAGGAAGACGACGACGAGGAGGAACTCATGGACGACGTCATGTCCGATCTCGAGAACCTGCTCAGCAAGATATCTACATCAGGCCGCGGTGTCACTGTTCAAGCATCCACCCTTGGTTCGCTCGAGGCTCTGCTGGAGTTCTTGAAGCAAATGAAGATTCCCGTCGGTTCCATCTCGATCGGTAACGTGCACAGAAGAGATGTCATTACCGCATCCACCATGTTGGAAAAGCACAAGCAATACGCCGTAATGCTGTGTTTCGACGTCAAGGTCGACAAGGAAGCACAAGCATATGCCGATGATGTAGGCGTCAAGATCTTCACTGCAGACATCATTTACCACTTGTTCGACCAGTTCACAAAGCACATGGCTGAGATCGCCGCACAGAAGAAGGAAGAGTCCAAGATGTTGGCGGTCTTCCCCTGTATCCTCAACCCTATCCAAGTCTTCAACAAGACCAACCCCATCGTTGTCGGTGTGGATGTGCTTGACGGCGCCCTTCGCGTCAACACCCCCATCGCCGCTGTCAAGATCAACCCCGTCACTGGCGCAAAGGAAGTCATCCCCATGGGCAGAGTCACCTCGATCGAGCGCGAGCACAAGCAAATCCCTCTCTGCAAAAAGGGACAACCCGCTGTAGCAGTCAAGATCGAAGGATCCAACCAACCAACCTACGGACGCCAGCTTGAAGATAAGATGGTTCTTTACTCGCACATCAGCAGAGCTTCTATTGATACGCTCAAGGAGTTCTACAGAGATGAAGTGACCAAGGATGAATGGAATTTGATTGCCAAACATCTCAAGGGCTTGTTCGATGTCGTGTAAGATGGATAGCAAAGCATATGAAGGGAAAAAGTTGAGAGAGTGGGGTCATTGTTCTTGTTGTGTAGTTTTGCTTTGGGCAGTTGAACAAGAAAATTATACCATGTTCACATTTACTGTCGGAGATGTTGTCACATGTTGGCCTCGTTTCGGTGTATTCAGTTGACTTGATAGTGAGCACCGAGAACGCGTTTGGAGAAGTCACGACACAGCGGAGTGTGTTCGGTAGGGTGGTGGCGGTAGAGGGCTCGAGGCGTGCCAGACCGAGCACCCGAGGCTTTCTCCACAAAACTGAATTGCCGAGGTGATTGCTCCAATTGCTGCCAACAGCCTGGAAGTATTTACATGTGCCTGTCTGCCTCCCACTTTTGATCAGCACTACATTCAGTCATCACATCCTGTCAACTAGACACATACAAAAATGGCAACAGAAAGACTCGGTTCGGTGCTCCGCCACATCACTCCCGGCAAGAGCCCCATCGACACCATGTAAACTCAGCCTTGCCCCACCATTGGTATACCCCGTCGAGTAAGACTGACAGTCGAACAACAGCACATCAAAGAACCCCGACGATGTCGTCATCACTCTTGCCATCCGCACACCTCTGACAAAGGCAAAGAAGGGAGGCTTCAAGGACACCCAACTCGATGGCCTTGTCTTCAAGCTGCTCGAGCAGGTCGTCCAGGTAAGATGCCCCTCTGGGCTTCCTCAGCTTGCCACATCTGCTAACACCCCTTTCAGAAATCGAACCTCGATCCTGCATTGGTAGAGGATATCTGTCTGGGCAACGTCTCCGATGCCAAAGCCGCCTACTACATCCGCGCCGCCTCTCTCGCTGCCGGCTTCCCCGTCACTTCGGCCGCATACTCGACCAACCGCTTCTGCAGCTCCGGTCTCAAGGCCACCCAAGACATCGCCAACCAGATCATGACCGGCTCAATTGAGATTGGTCTCGCTATTGGAGCTGAGTCCATGACAGATGGCGGTGACCGCCTCACTCGCCCCTTCGCACCCGAAATCGTCAATGCAAACCAGAATGCTGCCGATTGCTTGCAGCCCATGGGCCAAACATCAGAGAACGTCGGCAAAGACTTTGACATCTCGCGTCAAGAACAAGATAAGTACGCCGCCGAGTCCTACCGCAGAGCAGAGGTAGCCCAAAAGGCAGGCTGGTTCGACGACGAAATCACCCCCATCACCGTCACCTCAAAGGACCCCAAGACGGGCGAAGTCAAGAACGTCACATTGACCAAAGACGAGGGCCCACGCTACGGCACCACCGCCGAATCACTAGGCAAGATCCGCCCGGCCTTCCCGGACTACGGCGACCGCAGCACCGGCGGCAACAGCTCCCAAGTCACCGACGGCGCCGCCGCAGTCCTGCTGATGAAGCGCTCAAAGGCCCTCGAGCTCGGCCAACCCATCCTCGCAAAATTCGTCGGCGCCACCGTCGCCGGTCTCGCCCCCCGTATCATGGGCATCGGCCCCACCGTCGCTATCCCAAAGCTGCTCGCCAAGCACCAAATCACCATTGACGATATCGATATCATTGAAGTCAACGAGGCTTTTGCATCCATGGCTGTGTATTGCAAGAACCACCTCAAGTTGCCTTATGAAAAGATGAATGTTCGTGGTGGAGCCATTGCTTTGGGTCACCCCTTGGGAGCGACCGGAGCTAGACAGATTGTGACTGGACTCAGCGAATGCAGGAGGCAGAAAAAGAAGATTCTGCTGACTAGCATGTGTATTGGAACGGGCATGGGGATGGCCGGACTCTTCGTGAACGAGCAGCTGTAAGAAGGGGGGACTCTACTGATGAAATGAAAGCGGTTTTTTCTTTTTCTTTTTTCGAAATGTCAACTCTTTTTTTTGTCAATCTACAAACTTCCCTTTGGGTCACTCTTCTCTGACGTTCATCTTCGTGCATTGTTAACGACCGTATCACCACTAACGTGGCAGCTGGGAGGGCAGAGGGCCTTAGGGGCCAGGGACAGGGGCGGGTTGCTGCACAGCAGGGTGCTGCGAACCAACCTGTTGACCACCAGAGAAATTGCGCTCGCCAGACTGCTGCTGCGGGCCTGAGAAGACGACACGCTGACCAGATCCCTGACCACCACCTTGCTGCACCATCCCCTGCGACCCACCCCACTGCTGGACAGCAGGAGGTTGACCCTGCCCTCCCATACCACCAACGAAACCCCTCTGCTGCATCTGAGAAGCAGTGATCAAGCGATTCACCCTCAACTCCCTCAAATATTCAATCTCGTGATTGTAATGGTTGATGACAGCAAGCTCGCTCATGTTGTCATCGGTCAGCATATGAGCAGTCAAGTCACGGATGCGAGCGTGATTGGCGTTGCGGGTACTGGGCGCGATGAAGTTGGGGTGGTTGGCGTAGAGGTTTTGGGTCTGTGGTGGTGGTGGAGTCATACGGTATTGTTGGTTGATGGGGCCGTGCGTTAGACTGGGTAGAAGAGTTGGTCTAGGAGCCATGATGGGAGGGTTGGTGTTGATGGTGGGAGGGCCTGTGTTGTTTGTGTAAGGAACTGTGTTGGGTGGGTGAGGACCCATGCTGCCCATACGAGGACCCATACTGCCAGCACGGGGACCTATGCTACTAGCACGAAGGCCCATGTTGATTGGAGGAGCACCCATGTAACCTGTAGAAGGGCCCAGACTGCCCATGCGAGGTACCATGTTGCTGTTGTAAGGACCCATGTTGACTGTGGGACGTCCCAAACTACCGGTAAGAGGACCCATCGTGCCAGTAGAAGGACCCATGCTGCCAAAGCGAGGTGCCATGTTGCCGACAGAACCTTGGACATAATTAGGATTCTGCTGAGGATAACCTGCAAATCCCTGGCCACTGGTATTCATGTGTCCACCGACAGCTGCTGCGGCGTCTTGCATATTTCTTCCGTACAGTTCTTGACGCATAACAGCCGCCCTGTACATATCAGCTTGACCCTTTGCATATGCTTTTCGGAAACACAAACTTACTGCTGAGCAGTGGGTATGAAGTAGTTGTTCATGGAGACAGGAGCTTGAGGGCCCATCGAAGCCGTCTGTCTGGCACGCTTGGGCGAAGGTGGACCTGGGTTGGGGCCGATTGGGTTGAGGGAGGCAGCATGGTCCTTCAGAGAAGTCTTCTTAGCTTTGGCAATGGGCCTAGCACGGAGACGAAGAGATGCTGGAGATCCATTGGTGTCCTTTTCAGCGTTTCCAGCAGAGAGGTCAGAAGGTGCTTTGGTGTCAGAGCTAGCCGTTGCCTTGGCCTTTCCCTTTTTCTTGCTGCTGCCATCTTCGTAATCGGGATCTTTGGAAGAGTTGTCTTCATTCTTCTCTGCGTCTTCGTCATTTTCGCTATCGTTCTGCTCAACTTCTGAAATCTTGCGCTTGGCAGATGTAGTGGGCACATGGCTAGATCTTGTTAGTCAGTAAAGGCAAGCTGTGCTTTTCGCATCCGACACTTACGGCTTGGGAGGTCGAGGGCTGACTGTGATAGTCATGCCCTCACCACTACGATGAATCTCTCTGATGTGGCCGCGCAGCTCCCAGGGCCATGAGTATTCAACTCTGGCAGCATCTCCAGTACAGTAACCACAGAAGATCTCGCACCTTTGGATCTCAAGTAGGCCCTCTCGAGGCCAGATGTGTTCATGCGTGTTGTCCCTACAAGGCATAGTGTTGGCAGGTTGTCTTAGACAGATTCCGGTTTGAAGTAAAGGAAGGCGTCGATGTTGGAGATTGGAAAGTGTGACGCCTGTTCGAATGTGGTCACACGCAGTGAACGTTTGCAGTGCTGGCCAGCCTGTTCCGGACCCTATCGAGGAGTCCGTCGACGAAGATCGACTCCGCAGACGCGACGGTATCGGCTGGTCAAGTCTAGACTGCCATAGTTCCTGTGTCGAAGGAAACTGCCCAGTAGAGCAGCTTGAGTCCTGTGCGTATTTGTGTAAACGACCTCAAAAACCCAATGCATATCATTAAGACCGACTCCAGTATCGATGTTGAACCATGGACACGATAACGGATATACACTACCCAGGAAACTCGTGCTTCGAGTTGAGTACCCAAAGATCGACAACGACGACGACGACGACGATAACGTCCATCCTGACAGATCCATAGACCAACGCAGGCTGTCTATCATCTATCGACCTCGTGGAATCTCATGTGAGCTTGCATAGCAAATAATGGTACTGACATGCCACAGATGCCACATCTTTCGTTGTCCTCGTCCTCTTCTTCCACCCAACTGTTGTCTTCCAGTTCGACAGTTGAGTCAACAAGATGAGAATATCCCTCTTCCATCTTGGTCCGTGGGACCAACTCTGCCTGGGGTGTCGATTGCTCATCAGCATAGGCAGTGAACTCCTTGTGCACACTCTCTTGACGCTTGAACATGCTGCTGATGTCGCGACCGTTGGCAGTCTTGCTCTCACCGCCTGCTTCCGCCATATTCGTCACAGCGAGGTTTACCAGACTCAGGTTCCAACCAGCTTTCTCTGGATGCAGCTTCCTGAACATTGCTATGAGTGTGTCATTAACAAGTCTCTCCGCAAGTACATCAATATTGTCTGTCAAAGAAAGAACGTAGTTTGGCAATGGAGCAGAGTGTGAGATGCGCTTGAAGCTTCGTGATCGCGTGCCGTCTGGATTCAGAGGCAGACGAGGTCTGGTAGACAAGCGGATGGTTTTTGGATGAGCCAGCCATTTGCCTGGCAATCTGATCCTCGAATCTGAGAATCCCGTCAACAGCTCTGTCTTGTGCCCATATTCGGAATCAGCGACGTCAGATCCAATGATCCCATCCTGCTCAAGTTTTTCTTTAGGTAAAGACCGTTCTGAATCGTCACCGTCAGAGGTGACAAGGTCAATACGCATCCGTTCTATGAGACGGCAGCTCAACATCTTGAGCTGCTTCAACAGTTCAGGCAGAGTATCGAGGCGAATATAACTGTCTTCAATGCTTATCTGACTGGGCACAGCTTTTGCAAAGCTCACTTCTGTGTCGTCCACGCCGTGCAAGAGTGCCCACATCTTGATGCCGATACCATGAGGAGAGCCGGGACCGGCCAGTACTTTGTCCAGTGTCTCTGGACTCATACCTTCGGCAAGACGAACTTCCTTCACGGTGACATTCTCCTTGGTCTCTCCATAAACGAGACCTTTCTCAAAGTCTGGTTCATGTTGTAAAATATGTTGGCGTATCCTATGAGCAAGCTTGGATCCAATACCAGGAATCTTGCCGATTTCATAGTCGTCGATGAAGGATTCGACGTTGCTTACCTGTCCTTCTTGACAAGCATATGGAGGTATGAGCGTCGTCTGATCCTTAGGTTTGTGCATGTTGCCGACCAGCTTGGACAGGAGCTTGGAGGTCGATATACCGACAGTTGACGTGTACCCAGTCCTCCTTTCAAGCTCGGTGCGGATGTAAAATGCCAGATGAGAGCCCAGCTTTAGCCTCAAGGACAAGGGTTCATCGTTTGTAGACGCATTGTCCGGTACCGTGGGACCCGCGTAGCAGGTAGCATTGAAAGCAAACCCTTGGGTAGGATCGTCCTTCTGCAGAACAAAGAACGATTGAACCAGATCATGCGGATTCAACAGAGAAATGTTGTACTCAATCATGTCAGTGATATCAAGCCACACCTGTTCATTATTGAGTTGATCAGCAAAAACATCCATGATACCGGCCACTCATTTACCTCATCAAACCCTAGTCTCTCTGCTCTGTCATTCCAGGAGAAGCTGCGAAGGAATTGATACAGCGTCTTGCTTGCATCTCGAAATCGGCTGATGTCTTCACCAAGCACTATGATCACATCTGGGCATATTCGGCGAGCATCCTTTATGAGCTGTAGTTTGCGCAGCCCTCTTCGCCGGGCTTCGTAGTTGCAGGTGACCTGTATGTTTTCAGATCAGTCTCCTACTCGGTCCGGATACAAGTGTGTTGGCAGATGTACGATGATTTGCTTTTGTTGTACAGCCAGAGGCTCCGCTTTCAGGGTTGGATTTTCAGCTTCAAAAACCGAAGCGTAAAAGCAGTCATCTTTGGGCGGCAGGGTCAGCGAGCTGCATGTTGAATATTGTTCCATGCAGGGCAATGTACCTACAATCGAAATGTAGTATCACTCTATCGTCTCTTCTGCTAGGGAGAACCTGGGATTTGGCAGGCAGCATGGTTCCATTCTCGCTTGTGCTCGCAACATTGAACATGAAGCTTGTTTGATTACGATCTGACTCTGCCAGTGAGACTTTTGAGGGAAACTGCGGAGGGAGTAGCTGCCCGTGCGCAGATGCCAAGACCGGTCTTTCCCACATCCCCGATCGAGGGACCCCGCCTCCATCCATCTCGTTGAAACTAGGCAAGGTCATCCGGCTCCGGGCTAGAACGGCCGTCGAACGAACGAGAAAAGGGTAGTCCCTTGATGTCACGACCATTTTCAAATATGACAACAAGCACCTCTAATGTGTTACTTCAAGAGTGCTCGCAGGAGATCTCCAACTAGGAAGATGCGCCAGCCGATTTGCTAGGGTTTGCAGTATGCCCGTTTGTTTAAACTCTCGGGGGCACACGCGCATTAACGCTAGAACTGGCCTAACTTTGGGGGGGGTGTTCCACGCCACGCCGTTCTCTTTGCACGCCGTATTTGTATGCTGCTTGTTCCCTACCTCCCGCTACGGCCGTCACTGTCGCGTCTCCCTGCTCAAGCCTTGTTGCTCTGCCTGTTTGATTCTTGACATTCTTTCACACATTCATTCTCTTCTCCCCTTCGAGATCCATGTACTTGCCGCGCGACCATCGCTATTGACGTGTCAGTCATGGCTGAGCCGTTCAAGTATGTTTTCCGCGGCCAAAAACCTGCCTCGGAATTGCCAGCTAAGACCGGTCACAGGACAGAACACATTATCATGCAGAATCTCAACGATGTGATTCAAGTAGGAGACAAATCGACTGACAAGATGAGCCGGTACGGCATGATATAACCAACTCACTGATCGCAATTGCTGAGCCCTCTGCAGTCGGATGTCTGCTTCTCTGCGCGAGCGACGTGGTTCTGGATCGACTTCATCTGAACCAGATGCAAACCTCGTCCTACATAGAGCCCAAGCAGCACTTGAAGAAGAACACTCGATGACAGTATGGTCGGCTGTAAAGTCATATCCGAAAGCCATAGGTTGGTCTATTCTGGCTTCGACGTGTATCATCATGGAAGGTTATGATTTAGTGGTCAGTTCGGATATTCGTTTTCGGCGAGTCCGAAACTGACACGTTCTAGGTTATCTTCAGCTTCTTTGCCTTTCCAGCTTTCACCAAAAAGTATGGTCAACTCACTGCGAATGGAACTTATGAGGTCCCCGCAGCCTGGCAAACAGGTCTGACCAACGGCACTTGTATTGGAGAGATGATAGGTCTCTTCTTGACAGGTATTTTTGCAGACAAGTATGGACAGCGATGGACCATCATTGGTGCTCTAGCTCTTGTTGTAAGTAGTTGTGGTTCATGATTGATGACGACCATGGCTAACAGCGGTTCAGTCATGCTTTATCTTTATCACCTTCTTTTCTCCTAACATCCATGTCCTTCTGGTCGGCCAGATACTCTGCGGTATACCTTGGTAAGCGATAGACATTCTAGATTGTTGCTCGTTACTTGCTAACGCACCGCTTAGGGGTGTCTTCCAGACTATCACGCCTGCTTATGCAGCCGATGTGGTTCCCATGGACTTGAGACCATACCTTACTTCTTACGTGAATCTTTGTTGGGTAAGTGTATCCCAGCTCGGTATCTGACCACGCAATTAATAAGGAATAGGTCATGGGCCAGATAATTGGCTCAGGTGTACTACGAGCGCTTGTCGACCGAACGGATCAATGGGGATACAGGATTCCATACGCCCTGCAGTGGATTTGGCCAGTACCACTTGCAATCGCCATGTTCCTGGCGCCAGAAAGTCCCTGGTGGCTTGTGAGACAAGGTCGCGTCGAGGATGCGGAAAGATCACTCAACCGGCTGATGAGCAGAAAAGGTCGAAACACGTTCGACAGCCAAAAAGCAGTGGCAGCCATCATACACACCAACGAAATGGAGAAGCAAGTCACGAAAGGCACATCATATATGGACTGCTTCAAGGGCATTGAGCTGCGGCGTACAGAGATCTGCATGATGGTTTGGATGATCCAGATTCTTTGTGGCGGAGGCATCATGGCATTCTCGTCATACTTTTTCGAACGCGCTGGGCTGGACACGGCTTACTCATTCGACCTCAGCATGGCACAATATGGACTGGGTGCTGTAGGAGTTTTCATCGCCTGGGCATTGATACCCTGGGTCGGACGGCGGACGCTATTCATCGTCGGACAGATCATGATGATGGTTCTCCTGCTCATCATTGGATTTATCGGAGTCGGGCCCAAGAGCCAGCCATCGTCATGGGCGGTTGGAGCATTGCTTCTGGTCTACGTCTTCGTCTACGACATCACAGTCGGACCACTAACCTACTCATTCGTGTCGGAAATCTCGTCGACCAGACTACGGCAAAAGACGATGGTACTGGCGCGAAACGCATATCTGGTGGCGAACATTGTCAACAATGTACTGACACCTCATATGTTGAACCCTACAGCATGGAATTGGGGGCCGAAGACAGGACTTTTCTGGGCAGGTGTTTGCTTTCTGACGATTGTTTGGGCATACTACCGGCTACCTGAGCCCAAAGGGCGTACATGTGCAGAGCTGGATGATTTGTTTGAGCGTAAGATCCCAGCTCGGCAATTTGCTCGCACGGTAGCCAATCCCTTTGACAACGGACGGCGGGGTGGCTCAGTGGATGCAGCACTAAGAGAGCAAGAGTCGCGGAAAACACAAGGAGATTGAGAGTTCTGACTCTTGAATGTATTGTTACGACATGATTATGAATGAAGTTGGTATTGATGCAGAGTGGTATGGTTTTTGATAAATGAAGGTTTCGCAAGCATGCCTGGATCGGGCATGGTTTGCGGACCCTGAAGGAGCACGAGGCGATGACGGAAGTGTCTAGACAAGCGGGGGTCCATCCGAGTGATATTTATGCCATCGCTCTCCCACGACATGGCTCTTTGACTATCCGACTCGAAGGTTGTCTCAATCATGGCGCCTAGTATAGCCCAAGTAATCAATGTCCGCACACCAGCTGCGCGGCGCCAGCTAGCAAAGACGACGGTCGATCTGTATGTCCATCTGAAGCCTACACTCCAACACAAACACTAACGATCGATCTCGCAGAGTCCGCAACTTGCTCTTCCTGTTGTTCATCGTACGATACTCGCGGGTCGCCTTTACCCATCTTTACGGCTATGGACCCGTCGCCAGCGCAAAGATGGGCTACGCCGCCGTCCGCAAGTCTCTCTATCGCACTTTCCTCAGGCTGCCCGGTGTACGAGGCAAAGTCCAAGCCGAGATAAAACAAACCCTAGAAGAACTCGAAAAGAAACTCGTGCCTTCTGGTCCTGGCATCACAAGATACACCGCACTGCCTGCAGCTGGCTGGGGCCCTGAGCAGGTGCGTGCCGAATTGGAGAAACTGCACGACATGGAACACACTCGCTGGGAAGATGGCAGAGTGTCTGGCGCTGTATACCACGGCGGCAAGGAACTTCAAGATCTGCAGATGGAAGCTTTTGGCAAATTCGGCGTTGCCAACCCTATTCACCCTGACGTCTTCCCTGGAGTAAGAAAGATGGAGGCCGAGGTGGTGGCAATGGTATTGGCCATGTTCAACGCACCCACCGATGCCGCAGGCGTCACAACCAGCGGAGGTACTGAATCCATCATCATGGCTGTCCTCAGTGCCAGAGAAAAGGGCCGCATCGAGCGTGGTGTCACCAAGCCAGAGATCATTCTGCCCGAGACCGCACACACCGCTTTCCGCAAGGCAGCCGCCTACTTCAACATCACCGTCCACTACGTACCTTGCCCAGCACCTTCCTACAAGGCTTCTCTATCCCACATCTCTCGCTTGCTCAACAGCAACACCGTCCTCCTCGTTGGCTCGGCACCAAACTTCCCTCATGGCATCATCGACGATATACCCGGTCTCTCGCGCCTCGCTGTTCGCAGAAACATCCCTCTCCACGTCGACTGCTGCCTGGGTAGCTTCTTGGTTCCTTTCCTCGAGCGCGCGGGCTACGACACCGAGCCCTTTGATTTCCGCATCCCAGGTGTAACTTCCATCTCGTGCGACACCCACAAATACGGCTTCGCACCCAAGGGCAACAGCACATTACTCTACCGCAGTGCATCGCTACGCAAGTACCAATACTTCATCTCACCCGACTGGAGTGGAGGTGTATACGCCTCGCCCTCCATGGCTGGCAGTAGACCTGGCGCCTTGATCGCGGGCTGTTGGGCGAGTATGATGAGTGTAGGCGAACAAGGCTACATTTCTTCCTGCCACTCCATCGTCGGCGCTGCAAAGAAGCTTGCAGAAGGTATGCGCAGCCGCGACTCTTTGCGCACCCACCTCTACATCCTCGGTAAACCTTTGGTCTCGGTGGTAGCTTTCTCCTCCAAGACCCTCGACATCTACAACATTGCCGATGCCATGAGTGGCAAAGGCTGGCACCTCAACGCCTTGCAATCACCTGGTGCTATCCATGTCGCTGTCACGCTTCCCATTGTGCCAGTCATCGAAGATCTACTTGACGACCTCGAAACTTGTGTTGCCGATGAGTTGGAGAAACAGAGACAAGACGCTGTAGCAGGAAAAAGCACAGCCAAGAAGGGCGATGCAGCTGCCCTCTACGGTGTCGCCGGTGCACTGCCAGACAAGACCATCGTGGAGGACTTGGCTGCTGGGTTCTTGGATTGTTTGTACAAGGCTTGATTTGAGGTCTGGCTTCTGCTCATTTCTTTTCTTCCTACGTTGATCGCTTAGATGTTCAGTCTTTTACTCATATCATACCCCCAATCAATCCAACTCATGCTTTTTTTTTCTCCTGTTTTTGAAAATCAAAAACATCTTCGCTTTCTTCGCTTTCCCGTGGTCAAATGATTCGAATTTGAAGCTGTCTTTTGCCATTCTTTTCCCCTTTCTCTGCCGAATGACACATGCGTCAATGAGGGCAATGTTCTATGTTTCCATGAGTCTTTCGTATCGGACTTGCGTGCTCGTAGTCAGGTGCTTGTCGCGAGTGTGAAGTACGTGGTAGTGGCGCCCTGAGGTGTGTTCCTGGCAAGGGGAAGATGGAATGCCAGTCAATACACGGGTGGGAGGAGTAAGACAATAGCAAGAACAGTCACAGGTCTTCAGATTGGTTGAAAGATGTTCATGTCTCCATTTCACGCTATGGTGATTGCCTCTTATCGAGATGCAGTGTTCTCGGCTCCACCCGTGGTCTCTCCATCTACTTCTGTCTGAGCAGATACAAACGAAGCATCCTGTGAAGACGATGCTGTTCTCGATGTCCCGCTGTCGTCTGCAGCACTACTCCCATCCTGAACTGCTTTGTCGTCATTATGGCCCACTGCTGCCAACTTCTGCCGTACGGTCTGAACGGTAGCATCGAGTTCTCTTTCCAACTCTTGCAGTTTGTCATTCGTCAACCCAGAGTAATTGCCATCGAGTTTCTGTCTGTATGCCTTCAGCATGCGAGAGAGCTGATCTGTAGACGCTGCAATGCTGCCGAATCCCGTGGTACTGGTTTCGGCTTTAGTGCTCTTGTCTGTTGTCGTAGGGGCAAGCATCGGCGGTACAGCACCAACAGAAAGCCTATGTCTCCCCGGCGCACTCCTCGGGTGTGTCCTCGGACTAGGCGGTAATCTCGGACTCGGGCTCGGCGGTGTAGGACTCGGACTGCGTTGTCTGCTTCTGACAGTCAGACCATTGCGCAATGTCCCCAGCGGCGAAGGCTCTAACCTTTGCGTCATTGGCGGTGGTGGACGGATGCTCAGTCGGCTAGGTTTTTTCTTGAGGCCTGTGCTTGCTGTAGCTGCTGTTGGATCCGAGGGTTCTGTCTCATTGGACCGAGCTCGTTGAAATCTAGCAATTTCGCTGTGAGAGATCACTTTGCGAAGTGGTTGTTCTGCGGAGATGATGCCGGGGGCTATGCTCGCGAATGACGGGGCCATGTCTGAGTCTCTTGATCGAGGTCTTTCGGGAGTGGTCGCCCACACGAATATCGTGCCATCAGCAGCAACAGTGACAAGCTTCATTGCTGCCAGGTCATCAGGAGCTGCATGCGATTTCAGCAGTGCAATGTCAGTGACCCCTTCTGTGTGACCCCAATCTCTCGCGAGTAGAGTACCGTCTTCCGAATACATGCGGACAGATTTATCACTGCCTGCTACACCTGCGACGATTGGCGATCCTGCTGTGGAAGGCAGATGCACCAGGCTGGACATGATCACGGAATCTCCACCATCCGGATCTCCGGCCTTGAAGCAAGAGACGACACGACCAGTACGTGTGCTCACGAGTTGGATTGTTCGATCCGTTGCAGAGACCAACAGAGTGTCATCAAACAGAGATGTCCTCAAACATGTAGGTGAGCTTTTCAGTGTAATCGTCCTAGTAATGATGAAGAGTGGAGGGCCAGATCCTTGTCTTGCAGCTTCTCGAACCACTACAGACCTGTCGGCCGAACATGATAATAATTGTTCACCTTTCTTGGCAAACAGAACACTGGTGACTGCACCAGCATGCTCATCTAGCGTTTGCAAGAGTTCCAGGTTACCTGAGCTCCATGTCAAGAATTGGATGGTTCGGTCTCGACTGCTTGATGCTATCAGAGTGTGTTTTGCATCCTCGTGAATTGCAATGTCGGTGATTTCTCCTGCGTGAGCCCTGACCCGCGAGACATCTTCTCCAGTATCGACGTTCGAAATTCTGCACCTCGGTCAGTACTTTCGCACGTGCACCCTTCATAACACTCTTGACTCACCTCAAAACGCCATATTTGTCACCAGAAACCGCGTGAGAGACATCGGAAAACGCCACAACAGTCTTGAGCTCATTGACAACATTGTACATGTCGACATATTGGTCCATCGACACGGATATCATCGCTTTTGCCTGGCACTCTGACGACCAGAAGATAACAGTGCCGTTGGCAGACCAGCTGATGAAGGCGATGTTCTGTTCGTTCGGTGCAATGACAGCGCGTACTCCAAGGACGGCGTCTGAATGTGCTGGGAGCTTCTGTATCACTGCGTAGTTGGAGTTCTCATCATGAGATTTTGAAGATATGTGTCGTAGCTGAATGCCATGGCTGTTGTCCACGGTCACTATGGCATCCTCTACGAATCCGACAGCAACAAAGCCCGAGTTCGACGGCTTCGAGGATGCTCTGGATCCGGGCGGCGTATCAGGTGATATGTGCGTTCTACAGAGCTCATCGAGATTGAAGACCTCAATACTGCCATCCAGCCCTGTAATGATGATTTTATCATCAGGTCCAACGCATGCAGCAGTGATGCTAAAGTCCACATTTGCGACTCTGATCAGACGTTGGGCTTTGTCATCATCGTCGAGGATACAAACATCTCCACCATCAGTACAGATAATGGCCTTTGTGTCAGAGAAGGATGCCACGCATGTGAAAGTCGCGTCAAGCAGGTCTCCCAGAAGAGTGTTTCGGCCAGCTAATGGCTTATGCTGACGGTTGTACAGTCCATAGCCTTTTTCTGAGTTCTCGTTGACACTAGCTGGAAGGTCATTGGGTCTCCAAACCTTGATAAATCTGAGACCCACCGTCACCAGACTACAACCCATCCAGGCCATATGGCGTACGCTGGTTATACATTTGTTGCTGGCGATCAGAGTAGGATTTCCTCCTCTTTCGTCAATACTCCAAATGTACAAGAATCCATCGTTCACGGTTCCTAGGGAAGCAAGATACCTCGAGTCTGGACCGAAACTCACAGATTGGACGCCAAAAGTATGTTCGCATATCGAGGACACAGGCGAATCGGCAAAGGACTTGTCGGCGAGTGAGAAGACCAAAACACGAGGTTTGTATCCAGTCTCACCCACGGCCAGGAAGCGACCATTTGGACTGAAGCTTACTGCGGTGGCAGCCTTCACACGTTCGCGTACAGCACTGCTCCTACTTGCTGCATTGGCGTCGTTCCATTCAGAGCGATCGGTGGGTGGTAGAGGGGAGCGAAGCCTTGAGTCGGCAGGTGAGGCAGATACGTTGGCCGGGAAGTTTGATCTTTGCGCAAACTGAGCAGGATTGGCTCTGAAGAAACGCTGTGTGATGTTCCCGTCAGGTTGGACGGTTGCGACAACTGCAGCTGCGCCAGCGGTATAGGCAAAACTTCTTGTCGAAGCCAAGTGATCGAAGCAGAAAACCGACTGGCAGGTAGTTCCAATAACGCGTTTTAGACTCAATCCCAGCTCTTGACGGTCACGACTACTAAGCTTGATCGGCGAACGAGGAGCATTGGGTGTAGTGGCATTGTTGCGAGCAAATGGTGTGTTGTTTGCTGATTGCGGAGTGGCATGGCGATATTTTCGAGGTGTAGTATTCATGCTGCCGAACCGTATGTTATTGTTCCTCCTTTTCTTTTTCTGACGTGCCAGAGGATGCGAGGAGATAGCCAGCCGAGCATCAAGAGCATGTCTCAGAAGATCATGTACTTGGTCGATGTTTATTCGTTCGCGGGGACGTCTCAATTTCGCTGCTTTGAGGAATGTATGGGCGCTGAGCAATTGGGAAGGAGTGACTTGGACTTCCGATTCATCGTTGAGGCTTCATTTCCTCTTCCCTTTGAACTCGAATCTTGTGGTCAATGAACAAAAAGCACACGGCCATGCATGCTGACGCGCCGAGGGGCTTCAGCTGCAGGAAGCCGCGACGGGCATGACACTTTCCCCCGCCAATGGTCACCCTGACCGACAATCGATATGCCTGTCTCAGCACCACACCAAGCACAAAGGAAGCTGGTTCTAATGACCTCAAGCGTTGTCTTGAGACAGATTAACGAATGCAATACTTCTTCTGTATGTACAGTACGCGAAATTATAAAATATCGATAAACATCCCAGAACTCCAAATGATCGACTGGCTCTGAAGAGACACCAGAAATTCAGCACGAGCTTATGCGTACCTCGCTCCTGGAGTATACGTTGGCGGAGGCGGTGCATACTGCTGTCCATACCCTCCTTGTCCATATTGTTGCGGTGGCGGCGGGTAGTATTGGTTCGGCGGCATGGGTCGCATCTGAGTGCCCCATCCAGGTGGTGGTGACTGCATCTTTGCGGGCTTCGCTCTACTTCTTTTGCAGCGACGAACACAGCATCCGAAGATGGCGAAGAGTAGGAGGCCTCCGACTCCGCAACACACTCCGATCACGATGCCCTTGTGGTCATCGATCCATGAGCGGATCTCGCCTCCGGTATTTGTCCCTTTGCAGCGTCCCTGTGTAGTTCGTCAGATACTGCTCTTTGTTTCTTCTTCATCTGCAAAAGACTTACATTGTCACATCTGCCCCCACCTCCGCAGGGTGTGCCGTCTAGGAAGTTCTGTTGCACCTCGAAGCAGACGTTGTTTCCGAACGCAGAATTCGATCTACCACTAGAGCAGCTGATCTGACACGTCTGACTGTTGCAAGCAGAAGTGTTGTTACCAACTCCCTGGTAGCCACCCATAACACTCCTGCACTGTTGGTCACGACTCGTGCATTGACCACTGGCACACTGGAGACGATTGCCACAGCTCTCGCCATCAGGAGCGCTTGCATCTTGAGGACAAGTACCTGAATTACCAGGGCATGTCTCTGCGGGATCACAAGCTCCAGTCGAAGCGCGACATACAGTACCGTTGCCGGCGAACTGACAGTTGTTGCAGCATCCTTCGTTGCTATCATCACAGACTGCATTATTTGTGAACTTGCAGGTTGTCGGGTTGCAGCACGAGTTACCCGCGCATCCGCTTTCACCACCACAATCGCAGTCTTCGCCCTCCTCAACGATGCCATTGCCACATTCTTGCGTGCCGATAGTCTTGATGTTTCGGTTGGCGGTCAAACAGGTAGATTTGACACTGTTGCGGCCCAAAGCACTGCAGATGTTGCCAATACTGCATGGGCTGAAAGTTCTGACACCAGCACTGGTCGACGGGTTCATAATGTAAGCTTCACCTGCATTGCAGGTTCCGGAACTAAGGGGGCAGCACTGTTGGCTACCGACTGTCGTTCCCTGGGCGCAAGTCTGCTCTGTACAGTCGTGGACTGCGCCGAAAGTGTGACCAGTCTCGTGCGCGATGATCTGCCACTCCGAAGCTCCTCGGGTTCGGACGACGACATTTGCGCCACTCACGGTCTCTGCACCTGATGTAGATGACTGACCGTTACCAGTTGTGCTACTGTTCGTGGAATAGGCAGTCTGAACACATGCCTGACCAAGCCAGGCAAGGCCAACTGCGCTTCCGGTGTTGCACGTACTGAGAAGTGTCCAGTGGCTGTTGGTGTCTTGTTGATTTCCTCTCCATGCGCTGAACAGGTTGAGGCGATCTTGGATGTCGACGCTATCACTACATGCCTGATTCCAGGCACTTGCAGAGTTGGGAGTTCCAGGGCAGTTTGAGTCCGAGATTGTCAAGTTAGCCAGACCAAGCGAGATGTTAAATGCTTGTTCATATACACTGGAGGCTGTGTTCATCTGATCAATGACGTTCATGCGTACCGCTTCGCTCGAATTAAATTGCGCGGTATAAGTGCAGTCAGTAGCCACACCAACAAGAGCTACTTGCCTGGTGTTGGGACAGCCTCTAGTCTGACCAATGGTAGAAGTGAGGTCGACACCTGCAGAATTGCCAGCGGTGCTACTATCGACCTGGCGTTTGCCAAAAAGGTTTCCTAGAGTCTCACTGCCCAAGACCGAATCGGATCTGCGCAGCATAGCGGTGTAGACGGGATGATCGGGTTGGCTGTTGAATTCCAGGTTGTCCGACAGACATGTAAAGCCGTCGTCTTGGTTCAGGCTCCTCTTAAGCTCTTGCATATGATAATCGACATCCTGGTCCAGCAGGATGTCTGAGTCGCGGTATACAACCATGCTGTTCTCGTCTGCGGTGTTGATGTGAGGATCCAGGTGGTGGCGTGTGTGCGCAAAGTGGGGAGCGAGTTGAATGTGGTGGTTGTCGTGGTTTAGAGCGAATGCACCCTGGAACAGCGGTTGTAGACCATCCTTGATGATTGTGATTCTTGCCCATCCTGCTCTTATCCATTCATCGTCCACATTTTCCTGGCGATACCAAGCACTTCCCCGGAAGACCTTATGGACCAGACGATCAACGTCCTCGGTCCTGGAAACAGATCCGTCGGCATTCAAGTATGATACTACCAGACCCGAGTTTGGCAGGAGTTCGTCGTTCGGTTCGAGAGAGAGTTTGACGTGTAGATCCGGGCGCAATACGAATGTCAAGTCGAAGTGGTGTAACGCTGTCACCCGGTGTGTATGTGTGTCTATGGTGGCATTCTGAATGGTAGACAAGGCGCGCAGAGGATTTCGAGTTGTCGAACTTGCAGCGACGAATACAGTGAACCAGGCCCAAAGTAGACATGCGCGAAGGGCCGTCGTGGCCATGGACGCGCGTGGTGGCGGGACGGTCTAGCGTCCTGTCCAAGATCGATCTGGGCGTCTTATACAGTGGAGCGTCTTGGGCCTGCGTCTTTGTTTACAATTCGGCGGATGCTTGGTCGTAGATTATAGTCGAGTATGACGGACGGTATGGAACAATAAACGAGAGCGAGAACGACTGTCTATGTAAGATCAAGTCAATGACTTTGTTCGGCCGACGGCGCTAAGTCAGATGCTTGGAGAGCCATGGCATCGCCCTTGGCCTAGCAACCACCTCTGCGCTCTGTAGCAGAGGACCCTCGTTTCGACAAAGTCCGTCGTATTTGTGTCCAAACTCCGAGATCTCCATTGACCTTTATATTTATTTTTATCTACTTCCAACACATCATTTCGCGAAGAATATACGCACATCTCAACCCGTCTCGTCCTACGCTTTTCAGCTCTTGCTCACTCTCCGTCTTCTGTTGCTTACCAAGGCGCTTTAGTGTTATCCGTGACCAGCCGGAGACTTTGCATCGCCCGTATTCAATGACAAGGAGGCGTGAAACCACAATGCACTGCACTGCCGCGCCCGAGGAGCACGCGCTGCGCGCGGAGCGCTTGGCCATCTTGCATTACAGTAAGTACATCCTTGGCGATACAAGCCTCGTGTACGCGTCCGACTTTCTCCTCTCCGCCACTCTCTGATAGTATCTCATAATGACAAGACTACGCAATCACTGCTTGGCTGACTCTGCCCTGCTGACTGTACACTCACTGGTCTTGCCATGTCCGAATTCAACCATGTACCCTAGGCTGAAGGACTCGAAGCACCGGCCTGACTGCTGAAACATCAAGTGTTTCCCAAGACTTTCTCAAACTCGGTACAGTTTCCTGTCACGCTCCCAACGTCACCTGTAGCTTTTTGTAGTAGGTCCAATGTCATTCGCTTCTTCGTTAGGAAATCTACATGGTCGTTATCATGTCTCTCATGCCATCAAGCAGCCGTCACTGTCTCTCCCACGTCACACAACCAGCATTCAGTCTCCCATTTGCCTTCCTTTGCACAACACTCCTGCCAGCGTCTCGGCGGCTCCCTGACATCTTCATACTGAGCGCTAAGCCCACCTCTCACGGTACCATAATGCATGCCAAGAGTCTTCCTACTCCGAATATCCTTATGAATCTCTAGACTGTCTTCAGGACAACAATGAACATTGCTCATGAACCACTGTGGCGAGTACAGTCCAATAGGCACCATAGCCAAGTCGAACCCTCCGAAAACCTCGCCTATCTGCTTAAATGCCGGACATGCCGTTTTCGCAGAAGTAGCTTTGTATGCAGTGTCGCCTGAGAAGAACAGTTTTTTGCTAGACTGCAGGTCCTCGAGTACCCACGAACACCACAAAGTTTGTCCTGCATCGAAGGGCGTTCGTCCGGACGTATGCTGTGCGGGCGTACACGTGAGCTTCACACTGCCCACGCCCTCGACATCAACATTGAGGCTGTCCCACCAATCGCATTCCGAAACCTCGTTCTCCAAAATGCCTAGTCCTGCACCTAGGAACCATTGCTTGTTGCCCAGCGCAGCAAAGAAATGTATCTCTCTGCCTGCGAGCTTGGACTTTTTGTACACGTGCGCAATGGTAGCGATATCCAGATGATCGTAGTGATTATGCGAAATCACCACCAAGTCGACCTCGGGTAATTCGTCCAGCGTGCAGGGTGTGGGTGTATATCGTTTAGGTCCAAACCACTCCACTGGGCTCGTTCGCTCGCTAAACACTGCATCAAACAAGATGCGTATGCCTCTGTATTCCTTGCTATCGGCCGAAGGGGCGACTTCTGTCGTCGGAGCTAAGCAGGCAGTCTCTACTAGCCATCCTGCGTGACCCAGCCATGTGGCTTTGAATTCTTGCTGCCATATAGGAGATTCCCTGCCCCAAGTCGGTTTTCTGACTTTGACTAATTCGTCCCTGCTCGGTACAGGGACAAAATTTCGCTCGTTGCCGAAGCGTATCTTGAACACGTCTAGTAAGCCGTGTTGTTTGGAGAAGCTCGGCCAGGGATTCTTGAATGAAGTCGGCGGGTTGCCATTCCAGTGTGCGGGCAGTTTTTCTGGTGCTAGATTTCTAGATGATAGAGAACGAACTGACAATCTTGCCATACTGATCAGTGTTGATCGTGGAACAGGAAGAGAGATGGATGATGGTTGGAAAGTAATCAGTGTCAGGGTGATCTTCTCAGAAAGCCGCAGCCTGAAGTGTTGACGTAGGAGGAAGTCGTTAGCGAACGCGGGGGCTTTCCTAGACAATGGCCGCCCACCAGACTGGAAACCTTCTACGTTCTTTATGGAAGACACCACTAAACATCATTGGTATGCTGACTGCATACAATCGACCAGACACGGCATAACTACTTTGGATAGAATCTACTGCTTCAGACTCTTCCCCAGCAAAGTCTGAGCTTCCTTGATGTATTCTTTGACTTGACCGTTCCACAGCTTCTCGTCTCGCTCGCGACATTCCTCCTCTATCTTCTTGAAATCTCTACCAACACCTTCAGCCCTCCACTCATAAAGATCCCCCGAACGTCGTGAACTCTGCACAAGCCACTGAGTCCTCTCTAGTCTTTGGTCGCTGTAAGCTTGGAAGGCTGCCGCGAGACCGTTGTGACCTGTTTCAGCCACTCTGGGATCATTCAATAGTTCTGCCATGACTGCTGCGTCCTCGATACACATGCCAGCACCAGCGCCATGATGCGGAGAAGTTGCGTGCCCCGCATCGCCGACGACGACGACCCTTCCCTTATTGTAGTGTGGCATAGGGTGATCACCCAGATCTGAGGATTTATCAGCTTTGGCCGTTAGTTATATCCCATAATCACTTACCATAGATGGCCCAGCAATCAAGATTGGGCTCCAGCATATCAATGATCTTGTGAACTGTGGCCCCAAAGTCTCTGAAGTCTTTGAGGACGTGCGACTTTTCGGAAGGCAGAGTGAGCTTAGTGTCTGACGGCCATTGACCAGAATCGACCTTGAATGCAACCACGTTCATAGTCGCTCCTTTGTTGACTGGGAAGGTCAATACATGGCCGTCTTGACCCATATGCATCTTGGAGTTCTGTGCTAGATCATCTCCTAGCTCCTTCCTGGCCTTTTCCATGGGGATCAAACCCCGGTAGGCATACTTATGGGTATAGACTGGTGGAGTGCAAGGATGATCTGCTCCCATCATCCAAGCTCGCACCTTAGATTTGATACCGTCGCATCCAACGACTACAAAATGTTAGTCGATGTCGCTCTTGAGTTATCCGTACTTTCGATACTACTTACCTGCATCTGCAGTAGCATCAGATCCATCGTGGAACTTCAGCTTCAGCTTCCCGTCCTCAAGCTCTTCGATAGTGTCCAGATGCTTTCCAAAGTGTGTGGTTCCGTCAGGCACATGTTTGACCAACTCATCCAAGAAGTGTGCTCGATGCACCGCATTGGCTCCAGACTCGTTACCGATGCTGAAAGCGTACTGTTCCTTGCCAACTTCGGTGTCATTGTGGCCATCTACCCAATCGAACCAGATGGATTGTTTATCTTCTCCCTGGTTTTTGGTTACAACTTTCTCGAATGCTGTATGAATCTTTTGTGAACAGATCTTCATTGCTCTCGCGGCCGCAGGGTTAAAAGCCACACCTGCTCCGATCTCGCCAAAGCGGGATGCTTGTTCGTAGACATTGACACTGAGTCCACGATCGAGAAGGGCGATTGCAAGAACGACACCACTGATACCACCACCGACGATAGCTATGCTTCCAAGTGGGTTTGAGCCAGTCATTGCGACAGTCTTGTGATGTGGAACGAGCTGGCTATTGGAGTGAGTTGTTCAGATTCTGAAATCGAGAGGTGAAGGTGGAGGTCAATGTAATGTACAGACACCAAAGTAGATGAGGACGTGAAGTGCCTCTTCCTGGTAAATATACGCTGAGCTTAGGAGTTCGGAAGGCGTACGATCCAGTCAGCTGCAGTAGTCGTGATGGTATCACAATGGATTGTCTCCCCGCCTACCCCGCGATATTTAGATGGACGGTCAACCATGACGTTTGCCATCATTTCGGCAACTGTGTTTTCGGAAGAGTGCAGTCGCGCTTCCGAATTGGATACCACGTTTCCTTCCTCGGATCATGAAGCCGACAAAGAACCATCTCCTCTTGAGGCTCCATGCCCGACATATAGTTTCTAAGGATTGAGACCTCCAGATACCGCGTTAGAAGCACCGTGCTCGACAAACATAATGAGACCGGAAAGCAGTAGCATCGGAAAGCACACGCGCTGATGCAGAATAGGTATGTTCCAGATCCTATCTGTTGTCAACAACACCCGTGCAGAACATGGCTCCTTCCTGGGCAACACGCCGTCGCGATAAACCGCTGTCATCTCAACCATCCGGCGTATACATAATTTGTGCGGGTCTCCTAAATCTCCCATGAGGATATCAATCAATCGATCCCTCCCGATTCCGGACTTGGTTTCCTATCAAGTGGGATCGGTTGCGTATAGCGCTCCCCGGCGGTTCTCGACTGACAGTTCTTTCGGTCCGGGTACGCGGCATTTGACTAGCCATGCTGTCCTTTTTGGCGATCCTGGTGATTGTGTTCGTTCATGCTATTTTGAAATTGCATCCACTCCAGGAGAAACACCGCATCCCAACAGCAAGGTTCATGCTGGCTGTCGGCACAGAGAGACGTAGTCGAGTACAGCTGGCAGGCCTTTACTATGCAAGTAGATGGGCATCTCAATACCTCCCGACCGAAGGCATACTTCTTGACGGGCTGTTTCCTCTCCGACTCTGCTATCAAAGGGCATCACCACGTGCTCACGTAGCTCGGCGCTTTTCCAACCCAGCCTCGAGGAGCATGGCGCCATCATATATTATGCCAATGCTATACCACTGTTAAACTTTACTAATCCGAGACAGACTGGAACATGCATGCAGCCACCAGCCAGCGGACTGTGAGCCTGTCTCCGCTTTGTACGGCCTGGAGTCCGCGCAGAGCCCTCGAAGCGGAAGCTGCATGTCTTTCAAACGGTACTCAACGCGTGCTCACTGCTCGGTCGGTCTCGGCTTCTGATTGGCGGGTGGACGTGGCTTGCAGGCTGCTTATTTCAAAGTAGAAAATGCTCGCCATTGGCTGTGTTCTGTGTCACGCAAATGCATGGGCGTGCGCGATATTTGCTGAGAGCTCTCACGGCACAGATCCCTCCGCATTGAGCGACATGAGTTATTGGAATGTACACGGGGCTGGCTCCTCCTAAATGGCAAAATGTAAAGGTCCATTGGCTTAGCGGCGAGATGAGCAGAGCCTCGCATGACATTCCGCCTTCACCGTCCTACTCTCGATTTTAACACGGCCCAAATGCTGGGGATGTCACTGTGAGGTAATCCAGTGATTATCAACTCACATATAGCGAGCCCAGGCCAGTGGTGCCTTGCGCCTCAAGATCTATCCCTCAGTGTTTGCTATCAACGTTTCCGCTTCTTGCGAACCTGCCAATTCTGATACTCAGCACACCGTCAAACGACCGCACGACAACCAAGTCCAGCAAAATGCTGCATTACGAGCAACAGTGCGCTGTTGGATATCCGACATTCCCTGGAAACATAGAAGCTCTTTCGCTACCAGCATGCTCGCCCGAGCGTCATGCTTCACAAGACTCTGTGTCCTCAACGACAACAAAGACTACAGTCGTCTCTCCACCTCCACTGTCATCAATGTCGTCGACATCGTCAACATCGACCTTGAACCAATCCAACCAATCTCCGAAGGCGAAACGCAGACAAACATTGGCCGCATGTCGTCCATGTCGTAAACGTAAATCAAAGGTGCGTCCTTCCCTTACAGCCTACGCCAGCTGTTTAACGCCTCTCAATACCAACGAAGACTCTTAGTGTGACGGCGCGCGTCCTCGGTGCAACACATGCATTGACAAAGCAACACCTTGCGTTTTCTCGGTTGAAGAAGGCAAGACCCAACAACAAGCTTCTCGCGAAGAACTCAAAGCATACCGATCCGTTGTGTGCATGTTGCGAAGAGCCTCACCCCCAGCTACAGAAGCTATACTCAGGCACCTCAGACAACACGACGATGTAAATGAGGCTGTCAAATTCATAGAAGCCGATATGGTGTTGCGCGATAGCGTGCCCAAAGGGATATCAGCGATGAGCTAAACCATACCAAATGCTCAACAATCTTTGGTCCTTGCATCACAAGCACGATACTGCACGCGTAAAGGATCATCTCCCGACAACTCCTCTCCGATGCAGGAAACACATGAGCAAACCCCATTCCTCCACATCAGCACTCCATGTCTGCCTCTGCATCTCCGAACGCAATGAGCAAAATAGATCCCCGTCCTTCGCCCGAAGTTCTTGGACTCCGACGATGACCAAGCCCCGAATGTCACTCAAACTCCGAGCCACCGATCTCGACGGATACAAAGACTGTGTCCACGTGCGAAGTTTCGTGTCAGCTTTGAGCGTTACTTATAACAAGCTTGGCAGGTATTGCTATTGGCTGTATACCCTTGTCATGCAAAGAGGTGGACTGCCACGCTATCCATCGTTTGCTGCGTGCCGTTGGACGTGCAAAGAGTTTCTACAATAAAGCATTGCGGATGTACACCTTTTTTTCCGAGAATCCTCGAGAATACACAAGGGTGTTGAGTTCAAGATTGAACTCGATGTTGAGATGTTGAGATCTAAGATATTGCATTATATCATATGGCACAGGCAGCAGATGACAACCCACAACAAAAGTGCTATAGCACAAAGATGTACTCGTAGGCGACCCGGAAAGACCTCTGGAGAGTCAATGATCACAGCAAAGATCTATCCACCGCCCATCCACTACTTCCTAGAATGTCAATACTACAAAGTTCTCCGTCATCACATCATCATTTGCCTCTTCTCCCCTAGTGATAGAAAAGTGCCAATTCGGCTGCTCGCATAAATTTTTCTAGCACGTAGAAACATGATTACAAAAGACGTGATGAATGGACATTCCAGACAAGCACTTTTTGATATCTCGGCATTTGCCAATGCAAGATGTTCAGAGCCGCGCAGAGCCGCAGATGAATGCCATCACAAGCGGCTAAACGGTTGGGCGTTTATACGTGTAAGAGGGAAAATCAATTAAGAATCGCATACCAGCAAAACAAGGCAAGCTAGGCACAAGCCAGGGCAAACAGCGACCGTGTTTCTGGGAAACCATGCCATTGATTAATCATCTCGCATGCTCCGCATGACTCGGTGACCAGAAGCGAGCAAAACGCGAGGGGATCGGGATGTCAGTTCGCGGAAGCAGGTCCGCTGGGAGCTGGGATCTTTCATCGAGGTGGGGATTGTAGGGGTGTGGTGGGGTGCGTGATGGCGATTCGATTCAAGTGAAGGATAAGGATGCAAAATCCCGGTCGAATCCCGGATGCATGAGTGATACTACCATGAGGAGCGGAGCTACTTTGACTAGCTCCTTAGAGCCACGGGAATCGGACTGATACCTGTGTCGCATATTGATCGGAGAATGTGGAGATGCATATTCCGAGTTCAATCGCGAGGAAAGACGACGAACGATGATGATGATGTAGAGAGAACGAAACAGCACTGTAGGACGGACTACAGGTTTACTGCTTGCTAGTCTCTCTGCCTGGTTTCCTCGAAGACTCATTGGTTCCAGTCCGCGTTGAGTACGTTGAGGACTGCGGCGGTGAAAGCCGCAGTGACTATATCGCATTATAGGTTAGAAGCTCAGCATACAGTTCGAGGAAACAGACATGAAAGGTTGGTTGTAATGCCTCGATTGTAGTGAAACTAGTTGTGTCCGGAGCTCAAGCATCTGCAGTACGCAATCGGAATGCTGAGTATGGAAAGCGTGTTCAACGCATCTACCTTGCTCGGGTTCAGCTGTTCGGTTCAGCGAAATTGAATCGCTTCCCGATACTCCTCGTGAGACTTCTCGACACTGGTTCAAGGCATTTCTCTGTCCTTCATGTCTTTCAGCCGTGGTCGACAATTCGACAACCATACTTGTCGACATTCTGAATCCTGAAGGCTCTCGCTTCCATTTCCGTCTCTTCCTTCTCCTTAGAATATCCAGTCTACGCAGTGACGGAATCAATAGTCTCGTGAATGCATATCGTCTTGCTAGGATGAGCTTCTCGAAGATGCGCAGTCCCGACCTTTGTCGATCAGATAGGGAGGAGTCTTGTTGTCGGTGGTGCGAGCGGCCGTATTGTTTTCTTCGATGGATAAACCGAACAAATCCGTGGAAAACAGATGATCCCAAAGCATTGGTGGTAGGAATCGAGTCGATCTGCAGCACTTGTATGTGTTTGTGGCGAAGACTAGTTTTGCATAGAGTGTTCCAGTCCTCATTCGTACAGAGGTGGAACAGTGATGGATGGTTTCTCATGTGAATCGGTTGTGGAGCACTTGGCGCAGTTGGCGCAGTATACAGCTTTCTAGTGACGAAGGGAAGAAACAATGGAATCGGCATTGGTGAGGACATGTGTTGCTAGTTCCGTGTTCAAGTATGTAAGCGGATGACAAGGACTTTGTTATTCAGAGCATACAGGACCGCAAGCTTCACGAACTGCTAACGAGGATCAGATATATATCATCTTCAGCTCACTATAGCTGAGGTTGTAAGTTCCAAAAGCACTAGCGGTCGTACGAACCGTCAAGCCAAGCTCACAAGGTCTTTATGGGTACAGTTGCTAGAGGCTTAAGTGGAATTTCTGGACGATGAGCGGTGCGCTGTACTCGTAGCAGTGGCCAGCCGAGGCCGAGTCGCTCTGTACGGAAAAGCCGACGAGCTAATCCATGAATAGAGAAATGTTTCTTGCGACTGCTAGATCCCGAGTCGAAGTCGATAGCTGAGCTCCCGCATGTATGTAGCTACTGCCTTAGCAGCATCGTGATCCGGCTTGGGAGACTATGCATACAATTACGGGATTGCAGCTTTAAAAAATGTCCTGTGAATCTGCGCTCAACAACGGACCAGTCGTCTCGTCTGATGAGAGCTAGACGTTGTATGGATGTATTGGACAGATACGCAGTAGGGAGGAGAGTTTTGCTTGCAGATCGACCCTCCGACGCTTGGCTCCATCCAGAGGAAGCGATCGCATTGGTTACTCAAATATAACGATTTCGTGAAAATACAGATGTCGATGATGAATGAAAGCTCAATTGGATGATAAACAAGGGTATAGACAAGAGACAGATATGTTAGCTCCAAGACCACAAACCATGTACCCATAAAATTAGAACCCCTGCATAGCAGACGAGCCCAGAGTGCAAGGCATAGCGGATCAAGATAGCTACATCCATGTCGCCCGTCGGAAGTGCCAACAGACGACCGGGTTTTTCTCGGGCAGAGAATTGATACGCATTTTAGTTATAGTGAATTAACTTGTGCGCCGTCCTGATAGCTGCCCTTGGTGTGTTGAGTGGGAGATGGGGAAGAGAGAACGGAGATGAGGGAAATGAAATGACGACACCAAAAACCCACATTTGTGTTACTGTTCTGTTCGCCAATTGGAGCTCTGACAGGCCAGCACTGCGGTACCACATCGCAGACAAGCGGGCCAGATAGTCAAGTTGAGCCAAGGAAGCTCGAGGGGTCGGTAAGCAAATTGGGCAATGAGATTATGTCCTCAATAATAGATGCTATCGACAGAAGAAGAGAGGATCTGCTGCACAAAAAGCCAAAACTGAATTGATTCGTAACGCATAGGGTAGCGTTTACTCGTCCAGCTTCATAGGGAAGGTGCCGTTCTCTGCAGGGTATGAGTCGCATGCTCTCGAAAGTACCAAGTTGGAGGGGGCCGGGGAACTCACCGCGCTGGTCGTCCCATCTCGAGGCCCAACCACTGGGGCAGAGGGATCTGTAGGCGAGGAAGAACTGTGCGTGAATTAGAGGTGTGTTGATGTTCCAGGAAGAAGAGGTCGTGTACCTGACGGCAAGGCTTGAAATCCTCACCCTTGGCGAGGATGCACTTGTGGTAGTCGACGTAGTTCTGCCAGCAGTGCTTGGTCTGGTTCTGGTTGGGGAAGCGCGCATCGAAGCCTGGAGTGGCGTGTCAATTGGATGTATGATCTAGAGTATGCTCGGCGCTTGAAAGTATAGGTGAGGGATCATGGGCGAAGGGTATGGTTGGTGACGGTGGTGGTGGTGGTGGTGGTGGTGGTAGTGGCGCATGGTATAGGGAAAGACGTACCCGCTGCAATCAATCACGTCAGTAAGCATGTTCACACTCGGTCAGGAGTTTGGAGCGGGCGCGTACCAGTCACGAACTTGAAGGGCATGGTAACTCTGTCCTCATCGTCGGCCATTTTTGCGGTGTTGTGATTAGTTGGATAAGGGAATTGAGTGGAGATGGACTGGAGGAGAGCTGGAGCAGGCGCGGACAGCAGAAGTGTGTGTCGTCTTCGGTCGTACCTGACAGCCTTGGCGTGGTTTCTCAAGTCTCGCACTGCTATTGGCTGCTCGGCCCCAGCTCCAGTTTGCATCCGCCGGCTTGCTCCTCTGCTGACCTCACGCGGTATAACCTGCTCTTCCTCTTCGTGTTTGATATCCCAATTCAGCATGATCTCGAGTCGTATCGTCGCCTCCGCCCTGCGCGCTCAGGCTCCTGCTCTGCAGGCAGTCAAGGCTCGCCCCGCCACCCGCATCTTCCAGCAGACTCGCGGCTTCAAGAACACCCCCAAGTTCAGAGAGCCCATTCCCGTACGTCTACGTGCCCGTCCTCGTATCCTGCCAATTCAATGCTGACTTCAATTGCAGAAGGAGGAGCACTCTGGTACGCCACCCTGATCTTGATACTGTACTGCGACCCCGCAAACCTAACAAATCATCTTACAGCACACACCATCTCTCAGCGTATCCGTACCCTGAAGAAGATTCCCCCAGAGTTGATCCCCATCGGTATGTCTGTTTGATTCCCTTTCTCGTTATCTAGAGCTAACCAATCTCTAGGCGTTGTTCTCGCGTAAGTCCACATTCGAACCGCCAAACACATCGACCAATCTTAACACCTTGACAGCGTTGCCATTACCTTCGCCGCCTACTCGCTTATCCGCAAGCTGTTCACCGACGGTACCCTTCGTCTGTACAGATCCAGAGGCCACAACCAGGCTTCGTCTCCTTCCGACACCAAGCCTTCCCACTAGATTGTCGACAGAAGCATTGCATATTTGAAAAATTCTATATTACACAGTGTATCAGTGCACCGGCTTGTGTATTCAGTTTCTTGTAGTACTCGTCAAATACCTCTCGGCCGGATTGTGCTCTTTCTCCTGAATTTGCGAGCATTGGTGCCTGACTTGCAGCATACCTGAACTCGATAGGGACTTCGAAAGCGACCATTCTATCGGATGTAGCACGTGCGATTTTTTCCAAGGATAATGCATCGCTTCAGAATCTTCTCACGGGGGGCTAAGTCGGACCTTGTATAGTGCTTGGATGATAGGCTTTTTATCGTGTGCCTCTTATTAGAACAGGTGTCAATTATTCTTAGTGTCAGGGGAAGGCGTGTTTGTAGGAGCGACCGCGAGTAATGGAACATGGCTAGAGGTCCAGGACAGTCTGGTCTATATCAAGACCGTGGTGGCTCTTGAGCTGGACTTGGACGCCAGAGAGGAGTCCGAGGTCAACACTCGCATAATCATCAAACGATAAATCTTTACAGTGTCTCTGCACATTTCGAAAAACTGCGTATCTACAAATGCCATCCTCTTCCATCTCCATGATTCTGTGAGAATACAATGATCGACCTCGGTCGCACAACCCGAACGCCTCGCTATGAACTTGACAAAAAAGAAAAGGACTCTTAAGCTTGCTGAGGGCCAGCAACGTCGAGACCGTCCAGACCTTGCATGGGATCCGCGGGACCGTCGTGGCCACTTTCATCTCCTCGTGCAGCCATACGGTCCTCGTCGCTAACAGCGTGCGCTGCCAGATAACCTTCCTACAGCGACAATCAGTATCTTGTACCACAGAAAGAAAACGATCATAATACTCACTTGCTCCCAGATAGCAGTCTTGCTTCCTAGGCCTTCTCCTTCAGCCTTTTGTTCCTTGGCTAGATTGACCTTGATGACACGGCCGAAGAGTTCGCTTTGGTCCATGTTGTCGATTGATTCCTGAGCATCCTGAGGACTCTCAAATTCAACGTATCCAAAGCCGCGGTGAGGTTCCGGATTCGATGGTAGTTCTGGTTTGGGCAAGGAAATGTTGACGATCGGACCAAAGGGAATGAAGGCGTTGTGTAGAGTATGGGTGTCGACGGCCGAGGTAAGACCACCGACGTAGACAGTTGCTTTAGGTCTCGGTGCGTCAGACATGACTTTGATATGTGCTGATGAGTTTATATGCGCAAGGTGGATTGGATTGCAAGCAACAAAAAGAGTTAGGTAGAGCGGATCTTCTGATGCCAAGGCGTGGCTGCAATGTGCCCCAGATTCTGGCCTTTTGGGCGGCAGGCGGAAGGCCAGGTGTGACGAAGGGCAAGTCGAAGTTCCCGACGCCCTTAAGGCTGGTCAATAATTATCCCATACACGACCCCCTTTCTGCTCTTCTCACCACAGCTTGCTCTCGTTTGCTGTATGCTTGGACTGGACTAAGCCTACTGCTTATAGAGACTCGACAATGGTTCGACTACGCGAGATTCCTCGCACTGCCGCCTTTGCGTGGTCGCCCGGCTCAGCTCCGCCATTGCTCGCTACTGGAACCCGCGCTGGTGCCGTCGACGACGACTTTTCCAACGATACCAACTTGGAGCTGTGGGACTTGCAGCTAGACCAGGTTGATGCCTCGCCAGACTTGTCTCCTGTGGGAACAATCTCCACAGACTCGAGGTACACAACCCCACAACTTGACACGTTCGTTCTAGCTCTGACACTCCTGTAGGTTCTACGACATCGCATGGAGCCAGCCTACCGCCGATCGCTTTCGTGGTATCATCGCTGGTGCTCTTGAGAATGGCTCGCTCGATCTCTGGGACGCCGAGAAGCTTCGCTCCAGCCCCTCCGACTCGTTCATGTCCAGAACAACAAAACACTCTGGAGCCATCAAGACTGTTCAATTCAACCACTCGAAACACGACCTGCTTGCGACTGCTGGTGCCAAGGGAGAGCTGTTCATCTACGACCTGAACAACATTGCGAATCCCTTCAGACTGGGTGGAGGTGCTGCAAGAGCTGATGACTTTGAGTGTTTGGATTGGAACAAGGGCTCCAAGGTTCCTCACATTCTGGCTACTGGTTCAAGTGGAGGCTTCGTCACTATCTGGGATGTCAGACAAAAGAAGGAGAACTTGACATTGAACAACTACGGTCGTAAGCCTGTTAGTGCTGTAGCCTGGGACCCCGATGTTGCGACCAAGCTCATGACAGCCATCCCCAACGATCAAGATCCTCTGATCTTGATGTGGGATCTGCGCAACTCCAGTGCTCCCGAGCGCATTCTCCGTGGTCACGAGCTTGGTGTTCTCTCTCTGTCGTGGTGTTTGCAAGACTCGAGCTTGTTGCTCTCTGCCGGCAAGGACAACCGCTCAGTCGCGTGGAACCCTCACACTGGCGAGTCATACGGCGACTTCCCCGTCGTCACAAACTGGACCTTCCAGACCCGCTGGAACCCTCACAACCCTGGACTTCTTGCTACCGCCTCATTCGATGGCAAGATTGCTGTCCAAACTATTCAGAACACAAATTCGAAGAACGAAGAGAAGACTACTGCTCAACAAGCTCTAGACAGCGATGACTTTTTCAACCAGGTCCAGGATCAGCCCCAGCATGTCTCTTTCTCTTTGCCCAAGGCCCCCAAATGGATGGAGCGCCCCGCTGGTGTATCTTTCGGATTTGGAGGAAAGCTCGTTAGACTTGCTACCGACTCCGCGACAAGAAAATCGACCGTCAGCATCGAGACTTTTGCTGTCGACTCAGCCGTGACCGAGGCTTCCCAGAAGTTCGAAGAATCGCTCAAAGGAGGCGACTTGGCCAGTATCTGCGAAGCAAAGATTTCGGCTGCAACCAACGAGGAAGAGAAGGCTGACTGGCAAGTCATCGAAACATTGAACGCTGGAAAGTCGAGGAAGAAGCTGAGGGAATATCTTGGCTTTGCCGATGAGACTGAGGTCGCCCAGAAGACAGCCAACCTTAACGTCAACGGCGACGTCGAGAAACCTGTTGAGGAGGATGACAGCAACTTCTTCGGCAACGATAACAACGCTGATGGAGAAGATGGCGATAACTTCCTGGCAGATCTTGCAGCGACCAAGGGTGCCAAGACCAACCAGCCCTTCCACATCTTCAGTGGTGAAGAGTCGGACGCAGACAAGAACATCACACGCGCTCTCATGCTCGGCAACTTCGAATCCGCGCTTGATGTTTGCCTGAAGGATAGTCGCATGTCAGATGCCTTCATGATTGCTATCTGCGGTGGACAGAAGTGCATGGACAAGGTACAGACTGCCTACTTGAAGCAAAAGGCCAAGGGTCCCAACTATCTGCGTCTGCTTGCCTCGATTGTTGGTAAGAATTTGTGGGACGTTGTCCACAACGCTGATCTCTCAAACTGGAAGGAGGTCATGGCAACTCTGTGCACATTCGCCGATGAGACCGAGTTCTCAGACTTGTGTGAGGCTCTGGGTGACCGTCTCGAGGAATCCCTGTCAGATGCTACCGACAAGGGTACCCTGAGAAGAGATGCATCTTTCTGTTTCCTTGCTGGCTCAAAGCTCGAGAAGGTTGTCGCCATCTGGGCTCAGGAGCTGCAGGAGAAGGAAAGCGCTGGCCTGGAAGCTTCAGAAGGCGAAACCAGCTTCTCTGTTCACGCCAGAACTCTGCAAGACTTCATCGAGAAGGTCACTGTGTTCCGCCAGGTCGTCGGCTTCCAAGATCCCGATCGCCAGGCTAGCGAGAACTGGAAGCTTGCTCCTCTATACACCAAGTACGCCGAGTACGCCGACATTCTGGCCAGTCATGGTCAGTTGCAAGTTGCTGAGAAGTACTTGGATCTGCTGCCTCGCAAGTACTCTGGTGCAGAGGTTGCCCAGCAGAGAGTCAAGCTTGCCAACAGAACGAAGCCTGTGGTTCCTCAAGTCCAGAGACAACCCGCTGCTGCCGCTGCTCGTGCTGCCGCACCAACGGCACCTTACTCTGCTCCTACTCCTGCGCCTCTTGCTGCTGGAAACCCTTACGCACCCAGTGGGGGTATCATGTCAACACCTGCTCCTATCGGTGGTGCAAATGCTTACGCTCCTCCCGGTGCCGCTCAACCCGCGGCTGTGTCCAACCCATACGCACCTCCCACGCAAGCATACGCTCCTCAAGGATACCAACCCCCGCAAAACTCGGCATACGGCCAACCAGGACCCTACGGAGCACCGGCTGCTCCCATGGCACCTCCTCGTGGTATGACTCCCAGTGCTCTGCCTCCGCCACCCAAGAAGGGCGAGACACAACAGTGGAACGACCTTCCGGAAGGCTTCTCAAAGCCTGTTCAGCCTTCAAGAAGAGGCACTCCTGGAATGGCTGCCATGTCTTCCCCTTTCCCTAACGCACCTATCATGTCACCTCCACCTGCTCCCGGCAGCGCGTATGGCCAACAGCCTGCTGCTGCTCTTCCACCGCCACCACCAAAGGCAGGACAGATGACCCCTCGTGTTATGTCGCCGCCTTCAGGTCCTCCGCAGATTCAACGTCCCATTTCGGCTGCCTCAAATGCCTACACCCCAGCCCCAGGACAACAATCATCTGCCCCAGGATTGCCACCACCGCAAGCTCCCCCACTCGGCCGCGGTCCTTCGTCTTACAACCCTCCTCCTAACGCGACTGCAACCGGCCCAGCTAGCAACCGTTACGCACCGGCACCTGGATCACAGCCTACACCTGCAGTTGGTGGTCTGCCACCACCACGTAACGTTGCTCCCAACCCCTACGGTGCCCCAGCACCATCGCCCTACGCACCCGCAGCTTCAGCATACGGCGCAAGAGCACCGGTAGCACCTTACGGTCAAGCACCTTCGCAATCGCAACCTCCCGCTCCACAAGCAATCCCACCTCCGCCACAGGGACCTCCTCGTGGTCCTCCACAAGGCCCTCCCAGAGCCACACCACCTCAAGCCGCACCATCTCAAGCTGCGCCCCCTCAAGCGACACCTCCGCCAGCAGCTGCACCTCAACAATTGCCTTCGCGGCCCACGACCGCACAGTCGCAGCGCTCTGCACCTGCAGCTGCCAAATACCGTAAGTGCCATCTATACACTTATGGCCATGCTCATACTGACTCCCCCTTCTCAGCTCCTGGCGACCGCACCCACATGCCTGCCAACGCGACACCTGTCTACGAGATTCTCTCGGCAGATATGGCACGCGTAAAGTCCCGCGCACCTGCCTCCTTCACCACCCAAGTCAACGACGTGGAGAAGCGCCTCAACATCCTGTTTGACCATCTCAACAATGGGACGCTTGTCAAGCCTGACACTATTGCCATGTTGGCGGAGATCGCACAGGCACTGCAAGCTAGGGATTTCGAGCGTGCGACTCAAGTGTTGATGGAGATGATGAAGGTGAAGTTGGAGAGTGAAGGTGCGAACTGGATGGTGGGTGTCAAGAGGTTGGTTGCTATGAGTAAGGCTACCCCTGTGTAGATGTGTGAGCAGTGGTGAAGAGAGTGGGAAGGACGAAGGGTGGATGGATGACGGGTACAGGACGAAGGAAGTGATGCGGAAGTAGAAGAAGAAGAAGAAGAGTAACAGCGGTTTTGTCTTTTAGTAGAGTTTCAGTGTCCTTTTGTTTATGAACGTTCCTACTTTGATCGTGTTCGATATCTCAAGCAGCAGTGAGGTTTGTGCAGGAGGGTTGATTCGTGCTCAGTGATGACCAGACCCCCGCCAAGTGACATGGCGCTAGCCGGCGATAACGGAAGCAAGCAAATAACTTCTGGTGCAGCAAAAAAGCATCGAGCTCACTACCTCAGCATGTGAACAGAGCAGAAGTGAAGCAGCACTCGCCTTGACGCGATCAATTCGAAAGCCCGTCCTCGTCGAACGTCCAACGCCCGCGTCGCCCGGCCCTCGCACTCCAAAACAACAACCTCGATCGTCGACAGCCAAGATGCGTCGCACTTGTGTCTTTGGCGGCCTCAGCCATCCAGCCCTGACCGATGCCATCTGCGAGAAGCTCGGCAGGAAACCCGACAAGGTCGAGCTTAGAAAGTTCGCCAATGGAGAGACGAGTGTCGAGATCAAGACGTCGGTGCGCGACCAGGATGTCTTCATCGTGCAGAGTGGTTCTCACAAGTATGTCGATTCGTATGGTAGCTGAAGCTGAAGCATTCGGCTGACCTCCCCAGGACCAACGACGATGTCATGGAGCTACTCATCATGATCGCCGCTTGCAAGGGAGGCTCGTCCAAGTCCGTCACGGCCATCATGCCATACTTCCCATACTCGCGCCAGTCCAAGAAGAAGAGTCATCGCGGTGCCATCACTGCCCGCATGATTGCCAACCTCATGCACGTCGCCGGCGTTAACCATGTCATCACCATTGACCTCCACGCCAGCCAGATGCAGGGCTTCTTCAAGTGCCCTGTCGACAACCTGGTCGCCGAGCCTCTTCTCGCTCGCTGGATCCGTAGCACCGTTGATAACTGGAAATCCGGTGTCGTTGTCAGCAAGAACCCTGGTGGTACCAAGCGTGTCACCTCACTGGCCGATGCTTTGAAGTTGAGCTTCGGCATTGTCACCACCGACAGGAGACGTTTCACCATGGGTCAGAACATGTACAACAGCGTCATCTACCAATCTGCTACTGGCGAGAACATGCCCCCGATCGAGATTCAGTCGGCAGCTTCTGAAGAAGTCGAAGCTGAACAGCACATCGATCTCGACCACGCTCCTCCAATTGAGCACGACTTCGCTCCTCAATCCGGCGCCAGCAAGCCCTCTGTTCACGGCAACTCTGAAGCACGCCCTGACAACTTCCACCGCCGCCCTGCAAAACAGCGTTCCATCACATCTTTCAACAGCAGGCTGTTGGGTGCTCCTGCTCTACCCAGTCCCTTGGCCCAATTCTCGCGCCCCGACTCGTCTGATGGTCTCATCAAGGAGGATGACCAAGAAGAACAAGAAGGTGCTTCGAGCAACAGACCCAGCCGCCCTAGCTTTGGTCTTGATGGTCCCCCCAAGATTCATCGCATGGCCACTGCTTTGGGCACCGTGCAGCCTCCGGTCGAACACAGCTCCGACAACGAAGAGGAGGAAGATGCGGATGAGTACACAGATGAGCGTGCCCGCAACGTTATCACCGGTCGCCTGATTCACGGTCATCTTGTCGACGATGACTTCCCTTCTCCGGTCATGTCGCCTATGATCAATTCCACTCCTGGCCTCTACCACTCCAAGAGCGCTGGATCCGACGACGAAGATGTGCCCGACCATATGATGAACTCCTTCATGTCCAATGCCTCGTCTCGCCGCCCTGACTTTGGCCTCGGTGGTACCGGCGATGCCACAGCATCTGACGACGAAGAGGAAGAAGCACTCCAGGACCCCGAGCTCGAAACCACCATCACACTCGTCGGCAACGTTCGCGACCGCCCCGTCTTCATCGTCGACGACATCATCGACAAGGCTGGCTCATGGATCGCCGCAGCCGAGACCGTTGTCAAGAGAGGTGGTGCCACAAAGGTCATCTGCATGGCTACTCACGGTCTATTTGGCGGCGACTGCCTTCGCGAGATGAACGAGTGCCAGGAGATTGACGCCATCGTCGTCACCAATGCCTTCCCCATCCCCGAGGAGAAGCGCAAGGGTATGAACAAGCTGGTCATCCTAGACGTGAGCACTTTGCTCGCCGAATCCATTCGCCGCAACCACCACGGCGAGAGCATCAGTCAACTCTTTATGCATCACGACTAAGAGACGATCAAAGGGAACACCTCAAATAGGTGTGAGGAAAGGGAAACACAAGGGGGGCCTGGTTGCTTTTTCTTTTCTTTTTTTTTTTGAAGTTCTCAAGTCGCATATCTTGGCTCTGGCGTAAAAGGCGTATGTACTCTACCATTGAGTAGAAGTGAGGATGGTGGAAGGTGCTCTAGCATATGAACAAGAAGCAAAAAAGGGCAAAAACGGCGATTCTACTGCATCTTCATTCTCTGGGATGTTTACTCGTACCCGCCTTTGAGAATTCAAAGCGTCTTTTCAACTTTCAACATACAATGTCTCATGCCTCTTCATGACCTTCTGCTGTAACTTCCCCACCAATCACCTCAGTGAGACCATGATGGTAGTACAGAATGATCGATTCAAGTGTCCTATATGAAGTGTATGCTATCAAACGGAGGCAGGCCCTGTCGGGAAGCCACAGGACAAACGACTGCCGCACTTTCGGGCCGCAACGGAGGAGCGAAGCTCTACTCAGCACGGAAGTGTGAGCCCCATAACCGAAACTCGATGCCGCCGAACCCGACCTCCTCCACTTTACCAAGCAAGTTTCAGAACACAAAAAATTTTGCACAAAACAAAAAGGAGTTTTAAACATCACATGCGAAAAAGAAACAAAAGAGAGAAAATGAACAAAAATTGGTATTCAGCAGGGTGTGTTGTTACAACGGATAAACAAGACAAGTGATAGAGAGACTCGAAGGGGACACGAACAGAATGAGGAGCAGAAAAGGAAACAAGAAAATACCGGTGTTTATAGATGATTTTCGTCAGCTTTGTCTCTGTCTCTCTTCCTCCCTCACCACGACTCATGAACCCAATCGTTTTCTTCTAGTGATGAAGTGGCCTTCTAAGCGAGCTTCGAGATGACGGCGGCGGCGTACTCGTGGGTCTTGGCCGAACCACCGAGATCACCGGTGATGGTCTAGGAGCAGATGTCAGCATTTGTGATATAAGGAGAAGATGGCAGAGGAGAAACATACCTTGCCCTCAGCAAGAACATCGAAGATGGCCTTCTGGATTCTGTTGGCCTCGGTGTGAAGACCCATGTGTTGCAGCATCATGATGGAGGAAAGGAGGAGAGCGGTGGGGTTGGCAAGGCCCTTGCCAGCAATATCGGGAGCGGAACCGTGGACGGCCTCGAAGATGGAGCACTCGTCACCAATGTTACCCGAGGGGGTCAGACCAAGACCACCGATCAGACCGGCGCACATGTCGGAGAGAATGTCACCGTACAGGTTGGGCATAACCAGGACCTTGTCGTTGTAAGGGGTGGGGTCGGTAACGACCTTCAGGCAGGTGTTGTCGAGAAGCTCGGCGTCGAACTCGACGTTGGGGTACTGCTGGGACATGGCGCGAGCGGTGTTGAGGAAGAGACCATCGGACATCTTCATGATGGTGGCCTTGTGGACGGCGCGGACCTTGTTCTTGCCGACCTCCTGGGCGTACTCGAAGGCGTAGCGCAGGACGCGCTCGGAAGCCTTGCGGGTGATGAGCTTGATGGACTGGACGACGCCGTCGACGACGACGTGCTCGATGCCAGAGTATTCTCCCTCGGTGTTCTCACGGATGAGGACGGTGTCGACACCGTCGTAAGGGGTCTTGTAGCCCTGGATGGACTTGCAAGGACGAACGTTGGCGAAGAGGTTGAAGGTACGGCGGAGAGTCAGGTTGAGCGAGACGTGACCCTTGCCAATGGGGGTCTGGAAGGGAGAAGCGTTAGCGTGGAGCGCATGCAGAGGTGAGGTGGTCAAGGATGGCGCGGGTGGGCGAGGGGATTGAGAGCAGGTGGAGCGGGTTGATCAGGTGGACGTACGGCGAGGGGACCCTTGAGGGCGACGTAGTTGCGCGAGATGGACTCGATGGTCTCGTCGGGGATGACGGTCTTGCCGTCCTCGTTCAGGCGGGGGGTGACATCGACGGGCTCCCACTTGATGGGGACGTTGGCGGCCTCGAAAATGTCCTTGACCGACTGGGAGATCTCGGGACCGATGCCGTCACCCTCGATCAGCGAGACGGCGTACTTGCCGTCGTTGCCCTTGGTACCCTTGAACTTTGCGACTCTATCGCTGGAAGCGACGGCGTAGGAGCGAGCAAACGAGACTCTGGTGAACTGCTGCTGTCTGGCCTGACGCAGACCCTGGCGGGCAGGTGCGACCAATGATCGGGGTCCAAGCATGTTGAAGGGTGTGGGTAGGAGGGCGAGAGAGGGCGACGGGAGAGGGTGTGCTGCAAAGGGTAGCAGTGGAGGATAGCGGTAGAGAGTGTCCGTACTGTAGAGCAAAGTCGAAATCGCGGCCAAACTCGGGCCGCCGCGACCAGCAACCACCTGCCGCCGCAGCAGCTGTGCACAATCCCCACACTCGTCTGCATAAGCCATTCATCCCCGCGATTACGGCCAGTACGGAGGTCATGCTAGCTAACATCGATTGACTTCGAGGTCGCGCCTTCCACTCGGAACAACAACAATGTCTGCCGAAGTCGAGCGCGAGTTGTTGAACCATTACAAGCTCGACTCGCTACATCCTTCGGAATGGCCTGACCGGGACGACGACGACGACGACTATGACAGTCCCGACGACAATCCCGCGACACGAACGAACCCCAGGGAGTCCAAGTTCGCTGCCCTGGATCGCTCCCGCTCTGCTGGTGCAAAGAGAGCCGACAATACTGTCCAGAAGGATGAACCCGATCCCCTGGGCATTGTCCCGAGTGTCGTCCACGAACTGCGCCGTCGTGGCCTGCCTGTCGAGGAGAACTTGCGCTTGCGCAACCACTTCATGCTGTCCTCGACCACCTTCTCGCCCAACTTATTCCTGTCCCAAGTCCACCACGATGCCTCGACCGACTCGCTTCTCAAAGGTCTCCACTTCTTGTCTAGTTCAATCGAGCAAAAGTCGGCCTCTCTTAAACTGCTGGTCGAGTCCAACTTCGAACGCTTCGTCAAGGCCAAGGCTACCATCGACAATGTATACACCGAGATGCGCACACAAGGCCAGCAGTCCATGCCCGTCTCTCCTGGTCATCAGCGAAGACATTCGAGGCACACCAGTCGCGGTGGCATCTCGCATTTCCGTACTCCTAGCGGTGCCCTTTCACCTCCCGCTATCACCAAGCTGCCAGACAAGAAGAAGAATGCCCTGACAAAAGAGAGTGAATATGGTGTTCTCGGTATCAAAGCTCCCCTGATTGAGCTGGGCGCCAAAGCTGAAGAAGTCTGGGGCCCTGCTCTGAGTGGACGTGAAAAAGAAGAAGATCTCAAGTCTGTTCTGACCTACCTCGAACAACATCGTGACGTTTTTGGCATCGGCCAGGCTCTACAAGATGCCATCCGTAAGAAGGACTATGACTCTCTTGTGTCCGAGTACAACCGTGCTAAAAAGATCGCCAATGATGCCACTCGGAAAGCCGAATCTAATCAAGAATTATCCGATTCAGACGTTCATCAGATTTTGGTCGCTGCAAAGGTTTGGTCGGATGCTCAATCTCAAATCGGTGCCTTCAAACGCGAGTCCCGTAAACAGCTTTCTGCTGCTAGAATCCGTCGCTCTACGCCATCTACTGCTGCTCAACCTGATACAACAATGACTTTGATCGCTACACTCTTGCAAATCGACATGGACGACAATCCCATCACATTCTGGTTGTTCAGTCGTTACAATAACCTCAAAGAAAAGCTTACTCGTTCCTTCGACCGTATGCGTATAGAGATTGAAGTTTCAAGGCGGCGTCTGGCTTCGGCAGAGCCACCCAGCCTCCAGACCTCGAAGCTGCATCTCCAATCTGCTGTGGCCAACCTCGTACAGGACCGAAGTTCAAACAACGCTTCCAACGCCATGGACGCTGCTAAGATCATTGACTTCTGGGAGAAGATTCAGAGTGCGCTCAACAGCTTGCTATCGGTACAAGGCGGTCTTCTGGGGGAGATTGTCGAATTTTGGGAGACCGCAGAGTCATTTATCTCTCACAAAGCCCAGAGGAACCTGCCTACCAGTGTCTTTTCTTCAGAGGGTCGCCAACATCTTGATCTCAGAGAAGATGAGATAAACCGTCTCCGTCAATCGGCTGCAGATCTGCTCAACAGCATGCGCGAGAATATCTTCTCCTTCTTTGTGGACTCGCCAGTTGAAGACATCTCATCTCTGTTCTCACCTGTTCCCGCAACGCCGGACACTCCCTCAGCTAGTTTGGCTAACGACCAGCGCATGTTTTCTTTCGACGTGAACAATATCCCAGAGCCCTCACCTAAGAGGGGTGAACCTTGGGAGAAGTTTGCCTTCTGGGCACCTTATGCGAACGTCCTGAGTGGTGTTCATTATCTCAGTAATGTTCTGCTCCTCGTTGGCTCGTCAGCAGGCGAGGTCGCTAGTCTTTCCCTTGTCAGAGACAACTACCGCATGGCAGAACAACTCAAGACCATGGTCAGTGGCGTACGCGAACGGTGCATCCAGGCTGTTTGTGCCGCTTGGAACGTCGACTCCGACAAGACCAGATATCTTGAAGATTGGACGCGGCATACCGATCGTCGTGATCTTACCAACATGCCTTTCCGCTTCAGTGCTTTCGAAGAGACGATACTTGGCGATATGCAGAAGATTCTATACATCTCTGGCGCCATGTCGCGCCCTGGCTACGAAGACGTTGTTGGACCTCCGCCTACCAAGCTTCTGCAGATGGTCAGGCATCAGTTTATCACAAGTATATACAAAACACTCAGCGGCGCCGTGGAGAATGCAGAGAAGAACAAGAAGCTCGACGAATCCGGAATTGATGATCCAGACGGTCTGACGGTACCGATAATGCAAGGAGGTTCGAAATACGACAGCAACATCGTAAACACACGAGCGACAGACAAAGTAAGTCATTAAAAATAATCGGGAATTATCAAAGCTCTAACATCGATACAGAACGTCCGCCTGCTGCTCACACTCAGCAATTTGAACCACCTGCGTCGTGAAGTGGTGCCTCAATTAATCTCACAATTCGAATCCTCCTTTTCGATCAAGTTTACGGACGAGTCTAAGCAGATCCGCGATGTACTCAAGCAAATCGACGATCGTCTATTCCTAGGTTACGTCAAGCCTACCACAACAAAACTTCGCGAGATCATCACAGCTGGCATCTCCTCTCCGGACTGGCTACCCAAGACCTCTTCGCGACCCACAAACGCTCGACCCTATATCTATGATGTACTTCTCGCATTAGTATTGGTACACACTGAAGTCTCGACAACAGCAAGCACACTGACTTCACCCCTTCTATCGCACTTCCTCGAATCTGCCAGTGAATCCCTACTAGCGGCCTTCTCAGAGCGCCGTACATATTCCCTCGCAGCTCTGATGCAAGCAACCCTTGATGTCGAACTTCTTGCTCAGACGTTGTCCAATTACACTACTGAAAAGGCCTCCGATATACAATCGAGGATATACTTGGTGCTCGACGAGAGGACTGATGCAGATGCAAGAACTAGACTGCAAGCCGAGTTACCTGAAATGAGGGCGATCTTGAAGAGATTGAGGGAGGGCACTAAAGGACAGTTTGGATGCTTCAGGAGGGAGAGGAGGGTTAGAAGCGAGAGACCGGGTAGCTCGCGAAGTGGTGGGACTGCAGGACATGGGTCAGTTGTCGGTTAGAAGTGCAATATGAATGCTTTTATTGTAACTGTCGTTGGCGTGTAACCAGATCTTTCGAAAATGGAAGTGCGGATGAGAGACTATGAGGGGATGTAGTTGCTCCTTCTCAGAAATACAAACCCCAGCATGAAACCGCTCATTCCCTCAAAACAGGCTAAACAAAGACAAACTTCTGCACCCAACCTTTTCTTTTCGTCTACTATTCTTCAAGCCACCATCATCGAGCCCACAGCGCATCTAACAGCGACGGTGCCGCCACGCGACACGCTTAACTCTGCTTTCCTCAAGGGGATCGTGAGACCCAAATCTACCGCACAAGCATCCCTCTGTTGAAGCCGTCATGCTCATTCAAGTCTGCTTTTGCGCTGTCGAGTTGGGTTGCGTGAAGAAGCGGGTTGCCTGGTCAAAATATGATGACTTGCGCTTGATGATGTGGTTTGGTAGATTGTTGAAGCCTAAGATTGCAGAGTGGTGAGTTCATGCATTGAATTCTCGTTGCGAGCTGACTTGATACAAAGCAGCATGACTGTCTATAGCCAACCCCGATCTACAGGATTCTGGATGCGATGCTCTCCTCCTCGGAATACTCCTCGTACTCTTCGTCGGCCATCTGCTCACCAGCCATGATGAACCTATCAGCATCCGTGCTCTCGATCCAGCGCTCGCCAACCCTTCCAGGTTGTTTCCACACGGGCACTTCTCCTGGACCAGCCTTGCCTACACCTCTATCTCTCCACTTCTTTGGCGGCTTGAGACCCTGCTCGGCCATCTCTGTCCATTTCTTTTCGCCTCTCTTCTCCCATCTTTCTCTTCTTTCCTCGGCCTCCTCCTCGCTGGGCTGCCATTTACTCTTCAGGATTCGTCGTACGGCTTCTGGAGTGATTTTGAAATGCTCGGCCAAGACGGCTGTGCTGAATGTTTCTGGTGATTTGGCGTGTAGAGCTCTGATACCAGCCAATGCATCCGGGGAGATTCTCTTTCTAGGATTCCAATTCTGCTCTCCGAATTTGTCTTCCAAGGCTGCTTTTTGCACCTTCCAGTTATCTAGATTGCGATTGCGCTCTTTTTGTGCTTGTTTAGCTGCTTGCTGCTCTTGAACCAGCTTCTCAGCTGCGGCTTTCTTCGCGGCTTTTTCTTCTGCTTTTCTGGTTTTGATTGCAAGGGCGATTTTGTCAGCTTTTGCTTTTGAGATGGGTTTGGGTCCCGTTGCCGATGCGATCAAGGAGGCGACGTCGGCGGTTTCTTGGTCCCGAGCGGCTTGTTCGAGAATCGCTGTTTGGACCTCGAAGGCTAGTGCTGCTCTCTTTGCTTTTCTGTCTGCTTTTGCTCTTGCTTTTGAGGCAGCCTTTGCTGAGGATGTTGTTGCGGTCTCCAGGTCTCCAGTCGTTTCTTCTGAGACGGTCATGTCTGCTTCGCTAGCTTGTGCTGCTCTCTTTGATTGCCGGACCCGGTTTGGTGTATTCTTAACATCCTCCGCCGCTTCTTCCTGCAGAGCCACCGGCGCCTCACCATTCTGAGCAGCTCTTCTCGCCTTCTTTCTTGCATTTTTACCAGGATATTGCTGCTGCATGGGCGTCTGCGCAGAGAAGATATTGAGCCTTTGACTCAACGACCCTATCTCACCAGCCTTGATCTTCTTCGGCTTTGCCAGCAAGTCCGGGAAGAATATGGCATCGATCGCATTGTCCCTGTCTCTGAGATCTAATTGCTGTATCCGTGCTTCTCTTACTATCGGGTCGGGTATGGTGTGGACTTGATCTTCGTGAATGACTATCTCTGGCTCAAAATCTTCTGCACTTATTGGCTCTTCGTTTGGATCGAAAGGTGCGGGTGATTCTAGGATATCGTTCGAGTGCGTCGAGGGCGAAGGCTTGGATGTGTTGTCATGTGTGGTAATCGTGCTCGTCGAGGTCTCAAACGGCACAAAAGCATCGTCGACAGAGCTAGCGATACCATGTGCTTGCGAAGGACGAGACAGCGGCGACGAGTGGCGCATCTGCAGCGCTGCTGATCGTGTGCTCAAGTTTCTGAAGCTGACGTTGTTGCGTCTTTGGCGGATGTCAAGACCTGCGACATCTCTGACAAAGGTCTCTAGAGCTCGTACAGAGCAATAGCATCTGTAAGACCGCTGCATCTGGTGAATGTGTCGTAGATTGGTTGTGTTTCTGGGAAATCACAATAGAGTTGAGAAACTGGATTCATTCGCCCATTATTTGTGCTAGACCGCCTGGCAGATTGGTTTAAATCCGCGAAGTCCGGGGAAAAGCACCTCGATGGTCGAGTCCGAGGGGTCGCTCTTTGGAGCCGCACTTTTATTCGTGTAGCCTTTCTTTTCCCCAGCAATATACAGACTCTGACACATTTGGAAGAATATCCAGAGTGCTTGGAGGAACAAAAAGCGTAATCATGAAAAATGTAATTATACCAAATCAGTAATATGTAACATGACCCTATCCACCATGAAGGTTGTTATCCCACACGAAAACACCTAAAATCTTTCAAGCCAGCGTCATCATTCCAATCTTGTCAAACCTCATTTCGAATGTCTAAGTGTAGATACTCTCGGTGTAGTAGTTGACTGCGAGACCCTTCTCGGCCATCTCTGCATTCTCTAGGAAGTGTAGCGGCATCCAGACAAGATGTCCCTGATCGGAATTAGTATGCATTCGGTCCAGTGGGCGGGGTTGCGATTTCAACTCACTCTGATCTTGTCGAGGGCGCGTTTTACTTCATCATCGGGCATGAACTTGTTGTAAAGATGACCTTGCTTTCTGTATACGAGATGTCATTAGCGTTGTTTCTGCAATCGTGCATGACAGAATCGATCGCCAGTAGGAGCAGATCTGCGAAACGCCTTCCAGTGCATGTTGGTGTGAACAGCGCTCTGGTCGGTTGTTCGGGACAGCATGCACCCACTGGCAAAACGACTCAAGGCATGTACACTGTGGGATTTGACTTACGTGTCGTTTCTAGGAAGGAAGTTCTGGTAATCGTCGAATGTGCGGATGTTGTCATCGGGATCCGCATGGAACAGGTGACGGAAGACATCGGTGTTGGTTGTCGCTTGTTGAGTCCACAGGTTCCAGACATCATCGGAAAGAGGATCTGTCACAAGTTTATCCCACTCATCTCCCTCGTGCCAGTGGTTGGGACAGACATCCGGAGGTTGAGCGTTGGGGTCCTCGCTCGCGTCCAGGGGTTGAGCTGGCAACAAGCCCAAGTGTTCGCGCCAGAGCATGCGACGAAGAGTTGCTGCGTGATGTCCAGCTTGGTATTCACGACCGTCCATGATCGAAGGAAGTGCATTGGTGTCCTCCATGATGATGGTGAGTTCCGAATCGTGGTTTCCTAGTTGAGAACGATCGTTGATGTTACTGCTTCCACAGATAGCAATCCTGTCATCCACGATACATGTCTGAAAGAAGTTAGCGTGTATGTCCTTCGTGTGGGAATAGGGTCAAAATCACCTTTCCATGGACATAGAGCTCTTCCTGGACCCAATTCTCCTTCTCCTGTTCGTAGTCATTCTCATCCCACTGCTCCTCGCTGACTTTCTTCTCGCCCAACATAGCGTTCTTAGCCACACTGTCCTCACTGATGACTTGATCATTCTTGAGTCCAGCGGCCGCTCTACGGGCCTCGAACTTCTTCTTGCGGCTCGAGAAGTGTTCCTTCTCGTCGTCCTCAGACTCGCCCTCATCTGACGAAGATGACTCGGCACCACCATGCACACCCGAAGACATGATTTCTTCAGCCTGAGCACGTTGCACCTCTTGGTAAGTGACACCAGATTCCTCTTCCATCTTCTTCATCGCCGGCGTCTTGTTGAGACGATCGTAGGAACGAAGGTTGAAGACGAAGACATGATTCTCAGGGTCGATGCCTTCTTTCCTGATTTGGCCAAAGATGGAGTGTTCACCCCTGTTGATAGACTTGTATTGATAGTCCATAATTGCTCTGGAGGTGTGTCAGCACAACTTCATGTTTAAACATGGTATAACAATTCGACTTACCTAGTTCCAGCAGCAGCATTGTCTCTCAAGTCACCAGCGAACCCGGGAATGGCGGGAATGACAATGATGACTCTGAACTTGCGGCCTTCCTTACCTGCTCTGACACAAGCATCAACGATGGCTCTACCAATCTGATTGTGAATCGGTGATTGCTCTTGTCCAGTCGAGGTGATGAAGAACTGATTCTCGATGTAAACAAGGTGCTGAGCGTTCCTGATGATCTCACAGTATGCGTTTTGGATACTGTGCTCGGTCAAGATACCGCTCGACCAATCGGCGCTGCTTCGCACGAGCTGCGCATGGACGGTACCTTGGACGTTGCTCGGGTCCGGTCTACCAGTCTTGACATTCATGGGTGAGATGGGGTGGTGAATGTACTCTCCAACAGGATGCTTAGGCCTTTGGACTGCAATCAGATCCTCGTCTTCACCTTCACGGCCCTCGAGAGTAAGCCAATCGAAACGCTCGTCACGCTTGTACTTGTCACGCTTGACAAAGTTCCAACGCAATTGGAAGTGCTCGGCGATGTCGTAGACACAAGGTCCGATGACACCCATAGCCACATCGTGCCATGGCATGCGACCGTAATCAGCCTTGCTCAACTCGTTACTCTTCCAATCCTTGACGTCCTGGAAATCCATGATGCGATTGTTGTTGAAATCCTGTCCAGGGAAGACCTCGTTCTCGACACCGGCGGGGTGAGCATCGGCCAATGGGTGTTGCATCTGATCCCAACGACCAAAGCAAAGATCCAGACCTCCGATAAAGGCCAGGTCGAAGTCGATGACGATAAACTTCTCGTGATGCGCCCAGCTAAGAATGCGTCAGTATGGACCGTAGTGAGTATGCTCGAGTTACTTACTAGAAGGTCATATCTCCTGCGTTCTCAAAGACATTATGATCCGGGTGACGCATACTGCACGAGGTCAGTGATGAGCCATTGGTTCTTTTCAACAGCTGTGGTGACAGCCGCAGGACAGGTTTCGGACATACAGATGAATGTTGCCATGGCCAGGAGTGCCCTCGGGACAAAGAGCACGGAGAGCACGCTTGGTATGTGCCGAGTTACAGGTAAGAGCTTGGTTCACCTCCTTGTATACAATGATGTAGATCTGGACACCGCGTTCGGCCGCACGCTTCAGGACATGGTCCAGACGCCAGTCTTGGGTGGTGAAGGGAGGTCTGCGCAAGAAGAGTTCGGGCGACAGCCACCAGTCCTCGATGTAGATTGTTTCCTTTGCTCTTTCGAGTGCGACCGAGACGGCGTGGAAGTAGTCACGGCCATCAATGTACCACTTGATCTTGTTTCCGTCTCGCTCGGGCGCGAAACTCTGGAAACGATGGCCTTCGGCGATTCTGTTTCTCTTCTCGTCGGTCGCCTTTTCGTGTTCTTCGTCGTGACGGTGGTTGGGGTTGACCAGGTTCTGCCACTTGCCGATCTTGTGTTTCGCGTGGACGGCCTTGACCTTGAGGTCGTAGAGGGACGATTCCTTCAACTTCTGCCTCAGGTCGGCGAAAGGATGCTTGATGTGCTCGGCGGCGCCCTTGTGCTCAGCATCTTCCGAGTCGCGAGTCTGCTCCGCGGGATCCACGTGCGATGTCTTTCCGATGAGTCCCATCCTGGCGTATTAGTGTGATTGGTACGGTGCTTGTATTGCGCGCACACGACCTTAGTTAGTTGAATCGCGGAGGAGTTTGATCCGAAGCCTCAATGTACGAAAATCAGGGTGGAGAAGGTATGCAGTTAGGAAGGAGGGGAAGACAAACAGAGAAAGAGAGCAGCGGCTCGCCTCGGAGTGATAACGTTCAACCAGAAAACCGAAGGAACGCTGCAACTCGATCAAAACCTGCTCCAAACTTGCATTCGATCCACCGGGGTCTTGGTGTGGTGTTTCGACACCAGGTAGCAACCGGATGCCCCGCGCTGCGTCATGCTGCATGGACCAAGATCGGATCTGTGGATCTTGGTGTGGCTTGCAAGGGGCACCAGCCATCGAGTCCATCACCACTCTCACATGAGATTGCAATCGCTGTCACATGTATGCATCCTGATTAGGCGAGACGACTCAAATCGACTCTTGAGTATCGCTTATATTACCGATGTGCTCGTGTGTCAAAATTCATCTAGACACAAAAAATCACTCCCCTCGCGATGTATAAAAGGCAAACCTGATCGACGCAAAATGTACAATATTGATCAGAGAGGTCAAACGCCGTGTGCAGAATCTCAGATGGTACCAACGCTTATTTCCGAGACTGCTTAGAACCCAGCAGCCAGCATCAGACCGTAACCAACAGTGATGATGACGACGTAGGCCATTATCGAGGCAGGTACACCACGGGTGATGAAATGCTTTACCTGGAGGTAACGTCTGCCAGTGTTTGGTTCTTCCATCATGATAGCAGCTGTAGTGTCGCATGTTAGCTTCTGTGACACGAGATCCATGGACAACACAAAAACTTACTCATGTTAGGGAAGCCAGAAGTAGGAAGTCCCATGGCGGCTGAGGCCATGAGCACACTGCCCATGACAAGGAGATTGGGGTGAGGATCGCTCATTCCCTCGCCAACTTGCTGAACCAAGGGCAATACGATCAGAGCAGCGACTGTGTGAGAAATGAAGGTCGCCACCACACCGATCAGTGCAGCAAACACGACCAGCACACTGTAGAGTCCTAGACCTTCAACGCGGCTGGTGATGGACACTGCAATAGTGCGCAAAAGGCCAGACGAGTTGACGGCCTTTCCAAGTGCAAGTCCTCCAGCAGCCAGGATAATGATGGTCCAGAGGAAGTTGTTGAAGTCCTCCTTGTTGAGGATGCCTAGACCGAAGAAGACGACCATGGGCAGAATGGCAATAACGCCCATATCACCGAAAATGAACTCGAGCTGATGACTGAAGCACCAGAGGATGATGGTGAGAAGGGTGATGAAGCTGATGAACCACTGGGTAGGAGTAAACTTGTCCTTCATGGGACGAATGGGCACAATAGTTGTGTTACGACCAGGACGGAAGGTTACCAGGAGCAGAACCCAGATCATGAGGATAGAGATGATACAGACCGGAAGCGCGATGAAGAACCAAACTCCCCACCCAGGAGCCGGAGTCATGTTCTGCAAGGCGATCAAGTTCTGAGGCGAGGCGATTGGTGAGGCCGCACCTCCCATATTGGAGGACAGAGCAATACCCAAGAGCAGGGCCTTGGTCATGTCCGAGTCAGCAGGCAGATTTCGGAGGATAGGCTACGAGACAATTAGCTTCTGACACAATATGATCCGAGACGAACACGTACCTGAATGATCGAAAAGCAGAGAACAGGAGCTGCAACATTGCTGATCCACATACTTGCGAACATGGCAACGAACATACTGGTGATTAGTACGTTATGAGGCTTTGTGCCGGCCTTGCTGAGCACAAATGTAGCCATCATCTTTGCAATGTTGTGCTTACTCAGTGCAGCAGCGATAGTGAAGCCTCCAAGCAAGAGCATGATGACTGGAGACCACATAGCGCCAAAGATGTACGTGGCTGCTGCCTTGGATTCCAGACGGCGGTGAGGCTCAGCTTCGGATCTGACAACACGCAAGACCACAACAAGGAAGGGGACAAGCAGAGATGTCACAAACAATGGAATGGCCTCGGTAGCCCACAGCAGACTGACGAGGACAACGAGCGCCAAACAGTTCTGCTCAACTGGAGACTCCATGATCGGAGCAAACAGTAGAACAAAGAAAACGGCTATCACAGCCACCAAGGTGTAAAAGGTGCTTGACAAGAGGAAGCGCGGGCACCTGTACTTGCCGAGAGGTGTAACGACCTCCTTTGTAGCCTCTTCCTCTTCGTCGCCCTGTAAGCGGGCCTTGCCACGATTCTCGATACCGCCCAACATGGTTTGACCGAGACCCATGTTGGCAGCTTGAGCTTTGCGCTCGATACCAATCATCTCGCGCCAAACGGTATTGCGCTCCCAGACAACGTGTTCACGCAAATGGAGACGCAGCTCACGGCGAGCCAGCTCGACATCGCTCTTGGTCACCAGGTCTGCATATGCCGTCTCGATTTTCTCAATGTTGGCATTCAAGCGATCCACAGTTTCGGGCTGGAAGGGGTAGGCGGTATCCACGTTTGCCTTGAGGTAAGAGCTTTTGAGCTTGCGGTCCAGAGTTTTGTCGTACTTTTTCAATACTTTTCCGAAACCAGTCTTGTTGAGTTGAATGAAAGAACGCAGCTCGCACAGAGTGACATAGATGCTGATTGTGCGCTTCTTGAGAGTGACTCCTTCGTTGTACAGCACGTCAAGGGCCTGGTCGTCAAAGTCGTGGGAGCTGCTTGGGCGACGGCGTGATGAGGTGTCTATGTTGGAGCTTGCAGACATGTCGTATGGGTTGCCGTCACGAGAATTTGACTTGGTCAGACCAGTGCGTTCATCATCGCTGTCGCCCTCCTCCTGGTGGTGGCTCAGAGTGCTACGTCGAGGGCGACCGATGCTGAAGCCCTTGAAGATGCTAGCCTTCCTCGCTTTCGCAAGAGTACCATTCCGCGCAGCGGGTCCTGCTTCGTGTTCTCCATCCTGCTCTCTTGTCTCTTCCTCGAAAGCGAGCTCGTCCTGGAGCAGCGATTCGACCTCTCCGTATATTTCCAACTCTTTCAATTGGTAGAAACAACAGATCTTCTCGAGGTCGACATCCAGGGCTTTTGAGAAGACTTTGTCCGGGTCTTCAGAGTCGCCGTTCAGGAGTGGTGATGACTCGACATCTTCGGGGATGGCATTGGCTTGGTGAAGCCTTTTCTCGAGAGCGTAGATTCTGCGATACGTCAGTAGGCAGGAAACGCGGGCCTCGAGGACGCGACGCACAATTTCTTAAGGTTGCTGTACGAAATGTATTGGTTGCTCCACTCGGGTACAGCATTGAACTGGATGCTATGTGAGAACTTCATGGCGAGAATGCGCGCGAGCTTCTCGAGTCGCGCGGCCGAATATTCGTTGTGCGATGGTGATGTCGACGGAAGTGGCACAGCGGATGCGGGAAGAAGAAGGCCGAGCTCGATGTCGGTATCCTTGTCTCGTCCACCCTCCAGTATGCCGGTGGCGTGCTTCTTGTTCTTATCGGTTTTGGTATCTCCTCACGTGAACATCAGACTCTACAAGTGTGTATAGCATCAATGACTTGTATCAGTTGGTCTGATTGACATCAACGTGCGCAGCGAGGGCGTGCCTCAATGATTGGCTTGCATTGGCTTCAGCTTGGCATCAAGACGAAGGAAGCGCCTCTATCAGTGCACCTCCTCCTCGATCAACATCCACGATGGCGATTTATATGTCACTTGACCATTCTGTGTGGCTATCGTATCTACGGCTCCACTTCGCTCAACTCATCAGGTGCGCTTTGCATGCAAACGGCCCGTACACGGACGCCGTGTGCGATGAATGTGTAATCCTGTAGTGTCACTCTTATTGCACCAGGTCTCAAACCAGGGCATGTGTCTGTAAGGGAACCCAGCAATGACATAACAGCAAGGAGAGTGGTAATACTCAGAGCTGCATCTTGGCTTTTGAAGCAGTTTCACTTGAAGACAAGTAGTATTGTGTTTAAGCTCCTACTGATAACACAGGTCTGAGCGATGGTCGAATGTGTAACGCTTGTATTCTGTACATATGGGTATGATTGGAATTCTATCAGAATCCTCGCTTGGACATACTGAGAGAGTTGAGAGGATGCTCGGGATTGGTAGTCCCAAGCCCTCATTGTCATCCTCCATCAGGGTTGAGTATGCGCTCCTCGCCATTGTCATCTTCTTCGCCTGCATCATCGTTGTAATCGTTGTCATTGTCGGCATCATCCTCGACAGCTGGCCATTCCTCAGGTTCTTCATCATCTGCGACTGGACTCCGCTCCTCCACCTCTTCTGAAGGAAGGTCGGGGTCGACTTTATCGCCGAGGTGATTTTCTGTGAGAAAGACTTTACCTTGCAGCTTGTCGGGAAAGTATTCTTGCTGGACCCTTCCGTTCTTGTAGTCCGGATTGTATTTGTATTCCTTGCCATAACCTAGTTCCTTCATCAATCTCGTAGGAGCGTTACGAAGATGAACTGGTATAGGCAGTCCCGCAATTCCAGGTTCCGACAAGGCAGCATATGCAGCATTGAGACCTCGATAGGAGCGCGTAGACTTTGGGGCTTCAGCAAGAGCGACTGCTGCGTGGGCAAGACATATGCGACACTCTGGCATACCAATCTCCTTAGCCGCAGTGTAGGCCGCCGTCGCCAGTGATAGTAATGAGTTGTCTGCGAGGCCAATGTCCTCACTAGCCATGACTACCATGCGCCTCGCTATGTAGACCGGATCCTCACCAGACTGCAACATCCTGGCAAGATAGTAGAGAGCTGCGTCTGGATTACTGCCTCTAACGCTCTTGTGGAAGGCGCTGATGGTGTCATAATGCTGGTCTCCTTGACGATCGTATACCAGAGTTCGTGTCAAGTTTTCTTTGACAGTCTCGATGGTGGTTTCCGGATCGGTTGACAGGTCCAAAGCAAGAGAAAGGAGGTTTAGTGCTGTTCGCGCATCCCCGTCTGCGAAGCTAGCAAGATAACGCAGCAGTGCGTGGTCGTCTGATTCCAACAAGTCTGCTCCATGCTGTGTTTTAGGGGGTTCAAGAGTCAGAGCACGTTTCAGAATGCTTGTGATGTGCTCGTCATCTAGTTTGGCAAGGGTGAAGGTACGGCATCTTGACAGAAGAGCATTTATGACCTTGAAACTCGGATTCTCAGTAGTTGCCCCGATCAAGGTGATGACGCCGCTCTCTACAGGGGCCAAGAATACATCCTGCTGACTTTTGCTGAAACGATGAATCTCATCGCAGAAGATGATGGTTCTTCGACCAGTGAGAGAAAGCTCATTACGAGCTTCTGCAAATAGCTTCTTGCACTCACCAACACCAGAAGAAGTACTGTTGATCTCGACAAAGCGGTTCCCTGCAGTCTTGGCTATCAATCGAGCAATTGTTGTCTTGCCAGTTCCTGGTCCGCCCCATAGCACCATGGAAGGCACGCGATCAGTCTCAATCAAGGAACGCAAGACACCTTTTGGTCCTACGAGTTCTTGACCTTGGACATCGTCTAAAGATTGCGGTCGCATTCTCTCGGCCAAAGGGGCAGCCTTTTCCAGATTGACATTCTTGGATCTCTTGGGTAAGGGCTGAGGGTTGTCTTCGTCTTTGAGGTCTTCTAGAGGTCTTTTTGGAGTCGCGCTCGGGGTTTCAGTTGGCTTTGAAGTCGCAGCACCATTCACAGCCTGTGTAGAGGCAGGGACTGTTTGACTGCGCTTGGCAGCCGGAGTTTGAAAGAAGTTGGCGACTTGAGTGGGTTTGGGTGGTGCATTTTGCTGGGTTGTCGGAGGCGAGTCGTCGATGAAAGACTCACAACCAGAATCGATATGTCGATTGATATTCAGCTCCTTGACGGGCTTGCTACAGATAGGACAATCGACGAGCTGACTGGATGACATGGACAGTGGTCTGAAAAATTGGCTACATGACTTTGATAAAACAAGACGCGCTTGGAAGACGCGTCAAGTTCTCGAGACGACATGGAGATAAACGAGACGACGCGCCTATTACGGAGTGCGCTATCGGGCAATGATGTCGTGCTCGCTCAGGTTATAACTAATGTGGGGTAAGATAATATACAGCAAGCTGCCTCTTGCAATGACTATGAGATTGCTGTCTCGTTCACTTCCTTCCACACGGATCGTGCCTGCCTCTTCTTCATTGCTTACAAGAGATCTCGTCAGCCGATTCTCGTCATCCATTTCCAACATGCGCACAGATCCATTCAAGCCCGCAGCCCGTGTGGCCGGCCAGAAGCAAGATGTCTGGTCCATCGTCAACGAGGCCGCTGCCTCTTCGAAGGTTTCGGATGTTGTGAACATGGGGTAAGCAAAGGAACCACTCACACCCCTATAACTGGACGACGATTAACAACATCATCATAGACAGGGCTTCTTCGGCTACAACCCTCCTCAATTCGTGATCGACGCTGCGAAAGGTGCCCTAGACAGAGTCGAATGTAATCAGTACTCGCCCACCAAGGGAAGACCTCGTCTGAAGAAAGCCCTCGCCGATGCCTACTCCCCCTTCTTCGGCCGTACTATCGATCCTGAAAAGGAGGTCACGATCACGACCGGCGCAAATGAGGGTATGCTCTCAGCCTTCATGGGCTTCGTCGAGCCTGGCGACGAGGTCATTGTCTTCGAGCCCTTCTTCGATCAATACATCCACAACATTCAGATGTCTGGCGGCAAGGTTGTCTACGTGCCTCTCCATCCTCCGGCGAAGGGTGCCACTCAAACCACTTCTGCTGGAGACTGGTCAATTAACATGGACGAGCTAAAGGCCGCCATTAACGACAACACCCGTATGATTGTCCTCAACACTCCTCACAACCCAATCGGCAAGGTCTTTACAAAGGAAGAGCTGCAGGCTATCGGCGACCTGTGTGTTGAGCACAACATCATCATTCTCAGTGATGAAGTCTACGATCGTCTGTACTACACTCCTTTCACCCGCATGGCTACTCTCTCACCCGAGATTGCCAACCTCACACTCACCGTTGGCTCGGGAGGCAAGAACTTCTATTGCACCGGCTGGCGCGTGGGATGGTTGATCGGCCCTGAGCACCTTATCACGCCCGTCAGCGCTGCCCACACTCGCATCTGTTACAGCAGTGTCAGTCCGCTACAAGAAGCTACTGCTATCGGCTTCGAAGAGGCTGATAAGCATGGCTTCTGGGACGAGACCAAGGCTGAGATGAGAGCCAAGATTGATCGCTTTGTCGCCATCTTTGACGAGCTCGACCTGCCTTACTCGGACCCTGAAGGTGGCTACTTCGTGCTTGTGAACATGTCCAAGGTGAAGCTTCCTGCCGACTACCCTTTCCCTGAACACGTCGCAAGCCGTCCTCGCGATTTCAAGCTTTCATACTTCATCATCAAGGAGCTTGGTGTCGCTGCCATTCCTCCCACTGAGTTCTTCACGGACGACAATGCTCACATTGTCGAGGATTGGTTGCGATTCGCTATTTGCAAGAACGACGACGTGCTTGACAAGGCCAAGGACAGACTCCGAGGTCTCAAGAAGTACATGCAACGATAGTTCAGATATCCGTTACGTAAATTCCGACATTATAGATCATGCTTGACGCCTTGCAACACGCGGTATTTGATCATGGCCCGTGGGATATCAGAGCGTCGCACACTTCGAGATAACTCAACACACACCGACTCCCAAACACCTAACCAGAACACTGTACAATGCATGTATGTCCTTCCAGGAAACCCGTCGCCTTCTAAGCAATTGATTTTGACAAGATATCCTCTGAAGTTCATGAAATGTGAAGGTATTCTATGGAAAACAGGGTCATCCTGTCAGCAACTCGGCAGATCTATATCGCGATCTATCTTCCTAGCGCCAGATCTGTGACATCATCACCGATCTTTATTGTCGATCAAGACATGTCTTGCATCGTTTTGGGGAGAAAAGAGCATCGTCATAGGTTAGTAGGTAGCAGATAGGTTGAACTCATCTGTATTGCTGTTTCCCATTCTGCCTGCTTTTTCAGCCTCACCCTTTCCTCTCTCTCCATTGATTTATGCTTCGGAATATATTCAGAACGTCTGCGAGATCCCTTGCGTACACGCACAACACATTCCTAACACCGTACAAACTATCACCAGTCTTGCGATACCAAAGTGCGATGGCAGCTGCCAAGAGAAAGAGAAATGCTGCTGCGATGCCTGCTGCAGTTCCTTCTCCGCCGCCTAATGGGATAACCAATCCTCAGGAGAATCCCGAGGTCATTGACGCGCCGAATGCATACAGAGCTTCGCCAGACAGCGACGTGGATAAGCGCTTGGCTCCTGGACCCATCAAGTCTGAGCAGGGATCAGAGTCGCCTTTGTCTGATGTACCTAATGCTGAGCCGCCAGCCAAGAAAAGAAATACCAAGAAGGGTGCTGCTGTCAAGAAGGAGAAGGTCGATGCAGCTGTAGAGGCAACGCCAGTCAAGAAGACACCCGTCAAGAAAGCTGCAAACGACGGCATGGACGATCCGGAAGATGAAGATTTCGGGGAGGCAGATGAGGCAGAGGTGAACGAAGCTTCAAGGCGTCCCCCTCCTGTCAACAGTGATTACCTCCCTCTGCCTTGGAAGGGTAGACTGGGTTATGTACGTTACACCGGATACTCTGCATACGAGCTATCGCTAACAGCCGCAGGCTTGCTTGAACACCTATCTCCGCTACAGCACACCGCCCGTCTTCGCGTCTCGAACCTGCCGCATCGCATCAATTCTGGAACACCGACACCCTCTTCGTGACCCCAATGAGCCCGAACACCCAACAAAGAATCGTCCCGATCGCGAGCAACCTGCCAGCATAGAGCGAGGTCAAAAGTATGTTGAAGCGATCGGTCTGGCCAATGCCAGAGATCTTATCAAGATGCTGCGGTGGAACGACAAGTATGGCATCAAGTTCATGCGTCTATCGAGCGAAATGTTCCCTTTTGCTTCCCATGAGGAGTATGGATACAAACTCACGCCTTTCGCTGCCGAGACACTGGCCGAGGTCGGTAAGGTCGTCGCCGAGCTAGGTCACCGCGTAACCACCCATCCTGGCCAGTTCACTCAACTGGGCTCACCCCGAAAATCGGTCATCGATAACGCTCTCCGAGACTTGGAGTTCCACGACGAGATGCTCTCCCTTCTGAAACTGCCCGAGCAGATGAACAGGGACGCAGTCATGATTCTGCATCTTGGAGGTGTGTTTGGAGACAGAGCTGCAACTCTGGACAGATTCCGCGAGAACTACAAGACACTTCCGCAAGGAGTAAAGAACAGACTGGTACTCGAGAATGACGATGTCAGTTGGTCGGTTCACGAGTTGTTGCCCATTTGCGAAGAGCTCAACATCCCCATGGTCCTGGACTATCACCATCACAACATCATCTTTGACAAGGAGCAGATCCGTGAGGGAACAAAAGACATTTGCGATTTATACCCCCGTATCAAGGCGACTTGGGATAGGAAGAACATCAAGCAGAAGATGCATTACTCCGAACCTACACCTGCTGCTATCACTGGAACTCAGAGGAGAAAGCACAACCCACGTGTGGCCACTCTACCACCCTGCGCAGACGACATGGATCTCATGATCGAGGCCAAGGACAAAGAGCAGGCCGTCTTCGAGTTGATGCGAACCTTCAAGCTGCCTGGTTACGACACTTTCAACGAAATCATCCCTCATGTCAGAGAAGATGACAACAAGGCTGCCATGCAAGCGTCAAACAAGAAGAAGGCCACGCCAAAGAAGAAGGGCAAGCAGGTCAAGGACGAAGATGAGGACATGGAAGATGATGCAGGTTCTGTGGTAGACGGTGAAACCGCTGCCCTGATCCCTGAGGAGGAGGTCGGCATGGGCGGTCCCGAGGGCCGCGTATACTGGCCACCTGGCATGGAAGACTACCTTCGACCCAAGAAGCGCGAAGTCAAGCCAAAGGCAACACCTGGCTCAGCAAAGAAGGCAACCCCAGCACAAAAGAAGAAAGCCCTTGCCGATGCCATCGCCCTTGAAGCTGCTGTCAAGGAGCAGCACGAGTCCGATGAAGAAGCAGCCGAGGAAGCCACTGCAGCGACAAAGAAAGCCAAGGAAGCTCTCAAGGCAAGAGCAGCCGCCGCCCGAGCAAAGTCAGATGCAATGCACAGCGTCACCGCACCTCCCACAGCCGCAGCCGCTGCGACAGCCCCTACACCAGCAGCAGCAGCAGCAGCAGCAGCAGCAAAACCCGCACCTAAGCGCAAAGCACCCGCACCAAACGTAAAGAAGGAGAAGGAAGAAAAAGTCGAAGTCACACCACCCACCAGCGACGACTCAGAGCTCGAGTTGAACTCCTCAGAAGACGATGCGCCTATCAATGCACCCAAGCGACCTGCTCCTCGTGCGGGAGCAAGATCGAGTGGCAGAGCAAGCAAAGCTAAAGTCAGCTACCAGGAGGCTGATGTCAGTATGGATGAGGATTGACTCGAGGGGCAAAGGGGGTTTGATCTAGTGCAGCATGCTATGGCTGCTGCCCCTCCTGGAGCTCTGTAACTGTACATCTAGTTGTCAGATCCAATCAAAGTGTGTCTCAATTCTTTAATATTCTTATTGACGTGGTGCTCATTTTCTAGTGATGTGCGTTTCATTTGATCATTAGTAAACATGCCCTTGCACAATGGCTTCCCATAACACCCCCGTAAAACCATAATCACCAGGGTTCTCCTCTGACAAGTCGCCTAGATCGTTCATTTGATCTGCTGTCCCGAGCTTGCACATATGATTAGGATCTTGTGTTTGCACGGTCCACCATGGTCATCCAGATACAATGATCAGATGCTAGAATGTGTAGGCAATATCCCATGGTTGATAGCATCTTCTATGTATGCTTGAATCTACCATTCGACATTTGCACAGTCAGGTGTCCTGGAAGCAAGCTACTTCCTCGTGTAGCTTTGACTACCATCCGCTCCTTGACGGAATGGACTCGAAAATCCAAACGATCGTAACACCAGCATTCTTCTCATACTCCTTGCAGTCCTCGAGGATGTCGTGTTCAAGGCCCATGACTCAATGAACGTGAAATTGGTCCTATGCAGCTCTTAGGTGCAGCTCGGGCTCTGCCCCAGTACCCTGTCACTCTACATTTCCGCTTGAACCTTTGCCCAACGTGACATCCCTTCTAGCTGCCCTGATCTGCTCATGCAAGTCCTCTCGCGGTTCGTCACATACTTGTGCTTACTCACGGAGTTCCTCTACTCGCGTTTTGGGCCGGCCCACTATTTCGAGCCTCTGAATGAGCTCTCAGGGAGTAGGCAATAGCAATCATGGAGACCATCGACGCCTGAGCGATTCGTGACTCATGAAAGTCGACGATGAGGCGTACGAGGTATAGTCTCAAGAACACCCCAAGGATGGACCAAGGGTAGTTGACGATCAGATACAAGTCGTGGAAGAAGTTGATCAAACCGAAGATGGCGACGCAGGGTATGAAGGCGGGATCGTTGACCGGAATTCGTCGGCGAAAGCAGTAGACTATGACTGCGATTGTGAGCCAGTAGAAAACGGAACCAATCAACTGTCCTGCAACTCCAAAGATAGCTTCCAAGCGAGTGATCGACATGCTTGCTGTGCCGTTTGACTTGACTTTCGGGATGAAAAGTCGAACGAGGGCGATGCGACTTGCAATGTTAAATCCCGTATTGACAAGAGCCGCTTGTCGATGGCCTTTCGAAGGTGGAAAGTGACTGCTACGATGGAAAGCCGATGGACAATGTGCGATTGACAACTTGACATGCACTCCAGCGCGCAGATGATTGAGGTACGGAGTCTGGATGCAATTCAAGTGAATATAGCTTGGGTAATGTTTAGCGAAGAATTGATGATGGAGGACGAAAAGCTATAGTTGCAAGATCCATGACAGGTCTGTGTTTACTCGAAGTTCGAAGTTTTGTGTTTGGCAGTCGAGTCGATTGGGAAGGTGCAACTAGCGTAAGTCCATTGACAGGAAGGTGCAACGCCAGCAGACGAACAGGTTTGTTGACGTTTTGTTCGATGTCAATTGGGAAGGCACGACGAAGCCACACCCCATGCGACTGAACATGTCTCATGAGTGAAGGAAGGATGGTAGGCTTTATATGCAAACCAAGTTGCATGTGATTCGAGAGAAACAAGTCAGTCACCCATAAGCGAGTGAACATCCTCATTGGTATGATTCTCAATGGAGTTGCCGAGAACACAGCCAGTCGCTCCTGGCGCCAGAGCTATCATGTCAATCTCCTATCTGCTCATTATAGTAAAAGCACAAGGAGCAGCGATGACTATGCCATTCGCTGCAGAAGGCATTCGTCTTGCCAGACATATCTGTCTGTTTTTCGGGGTAGCATACGAGTATTTTTATTTTCCTCGCAATAGTCCGAGAGATTAGAGGGCTGATCCATGGCTTGAGCTGCTACCCTCTTTGCGCCATGTGGATATCATCAGATTTTTGAAATTGATTCAGGTGGAGTGCCTTTCCTGCCGGGTCATTGTTTGCTTTTCTATAACAGTCAAGTGATAGTCTTGTTGCGCCCCGGACAGAGAGGCTCAAAGGATCATTCCGACTTTATGCTCTTTCATATGCTGTGACGTGCTGGTGTAAGGCAAGATTGATATGAGCCATTCCGAGGCGGTTCGTGAACATGTCTTAGTGCTACCATCAAGGCGCTGCATTTGAGAACACTCACATCTGGAATGGCGCAATCGTGAAGATCCGTTCTGTGATGAAAGCAGGCTGACCTTCGGTCAATGAATATCGAATCTGGAGAATTTTGTTATTGAGCACCAAATTCGAAAATAGTTCTTATTGAAGTCAAGATTCGGCCTACCAAGACAACGCCAGCTGGTGGCTTATGTCAACTCTCGAACGACAACCACAATGGCAGACAAAGCAAGATGCACGACCAGGACAGAATTCGTGGAGTGAACACTGGACTGCCGAGTCTGGTCCTCGTGTTGATCGCGAGTAATGTTGCCTTTCTGGTTTCCTCGTCGTATTGCAAATGCGTCTTCATGAGCGGCACCCTTTGAGACGTTATTGTCGGCTTATCGAGTTGCAAGAGGTCAAGATCTGCTCTTGTGGAGAGCACACCACTGGCATGGCTGATATAAGCTTCTTTGTCGAGTCTTATTGACATACTTTTGCAATACTAAATTGATCAGCAAGAGACATATAAGAGGCCTTGTCTTCATCCTCTGATCAACCACTCACCACCCGAGTATTCCTCATACTTGCCTACACAAAACCGATATTCGTAATGAAGTTCACCACCGTCGCACTTGCCGGACTGGCCACCATGGCCATGGCCTCCCCTGCCGCTGAGGCCAACCCTGCTCCCCAGCCTCAGCCTGAGGCTGCCGCCGAACCTGCCTTCTCCTCGTGGGGCAAGAAGTACAACCCTCACCTCTGGAACGGCTGGGGCGATGCTCCCGGACAGGTCTATCGCCGTGAAGCCAACCCTGCCTTCAGCTCCTGGGGCAAGAAGTACAACCCTCATCTCTGGAACGGTTGGGGTGATGCTCCCGGCCAAGTTTACCGTCGTGAGGCCGATCCTGCTTTCTCCTCCTGGGGCAAGAAGTACAACCCTCACCTCTGGAATGGCTGGGGCGATGCTCCCGGACAGGTCTACCGTCGTGAGGCCGCCGCCACCGGCACTGCCTCTATCACTGGAGCCGCCAAGCCCGCCGAGACTGGTATCACCGAGGAGGAGGAGAAGGAGAACCTCGCTGCTTTCGAGCGCCGCGACCCTGCCTTCAGCTCTTGGGGCAAGAAGTACAACCCTCACCTCTGGAACGGCTGGGGTGATGCTCCTGGCCAGGTCTACTAGATGTAGTCTCTCAAGCTAGAAGACCGGTGATCCGTTCTTAGATCTAGTTGAAGTCGTAATCTGTTTGACTAAAACCTCTTCACTCTTTCTTTCTTTCTTTCCGTTTGTAATTTTCGCGTTGTCGGAGGCAGCAAACCGCACCTCTGGCATGACTTCTAGGTCCCAGCAATAGACAAAGGTGTCACATGAATATCGTCTTGCTCGTATCGAAGATCCCTGGTCACGCGCTGTATACTGTCGTGTTGTCTGTAATGTGAGTCATTGAAGTTGTTAACGCTTGAATATTTCCTTGGTTGCGTCAGCATGCAGTAATAGTAGTTATTGACCGCAAAAACACATGTAACGAGGTATGATGCTGTGCCAGGCGGACTAGTGCATATTCTGGCCATCAAGACGATCAATTGCAATCCGAAGATGGCGGCGAGAAATGCCATCAGAACGCTCGCGTTTGTGAACAAAACATTCGGTGAAGGAGTCACATATCTCAGAAAACTCACTTGCGATACGATATGACTGGACCCTGTACTACGGAGTCGGCCGCCAGTGACAGATGATGTTTACTGCACGGGTACGAGCAGCCGAAGGTGTGAGCAATCTCCGCTGCCGAAGCACACTGATACGGTCAGAGAAAGAAGCAAAGAGAAGACAGCGCGCTGTGCAGTAGAAGCGGCTGGCAGTCCCAACGATGAGGCAATTCTGCGGTGGACGATAGAGCTCAGCAGATGAGTATTTTGGAACAGCAGTGTTATGGGCAGAAAGAGAGGAACTGATGTCGCGGATATCGTGACAAACAGGTGAAGCAACCAGCATAGCAACAGCTCGTTCGGCCCGATCACGGCGAGTGAAGCAGTGTGGAAGAGTGAAGAAAGACAGGCGAGTGAGTCGAAAGTCCGATCATGTGGCCTGTGCAGGCTTCAGGTCAAGTTTGTTGAGGGGACCTCTAGGAGGGGTTGCTCAAAATCTCCAGCTAGCCACCACCAACATTCTCTCTCTCTTCTCTCTACATCCACAAACCACTTCACAAATGTAAGAACTACCATCCTCTATCTCTTCGGGAACTCTAGGAGCTTGACAAGGTCGTCAATTGCGGGGCATGTTCGGGGATCGCGAACCAGCGAGCCTGAGCTCTCCGTTTCTGCCCGAGAACAACACCCTCATGACAACCTTGCTTGACCCTGCTATAGCCGAGGACCCTGTTCTACCTCGCTACTGAGCATTGAGCATCGTTCTTGAGCTACTGCATTGTCTGCTCCTAGAGATCTTCATAACATCCCCGCCATCTCATCCCAGGCTTCAACTGACACTCCCTCCTCCAGCACCATGCCTATCCAGAAGATCCACGCCCGTCAGGTATACGATTCCAGAGGAAACCCAACCGTTGAGGTTGACCTAGGCGAGTACCCCCGAGCGCAAATCGCCTGTTTTGAGGCCTCCTGGCTGACTTTTGGGACAATATAGTCACCGAGACCGGTCTCCACCGCGCCATCGTTCCCTCCGGTGCTTCCACTGGCTCCCACGAGGCCTGCGAGCTCCGTGACGGTGACAAGAGCAAGTGGGGCGGCAAGGGTGTCCTCAAGGCCGTCGCCAACGTCAACGATGTCCTCGGTCCCGCCCTCATCAAGGAGAACCTTGACGTCAAGGACCAGAGCGCCGTCGACAACTTCATGAACAAGCTTGATGGTACCACCAACAAGACCAAGCTCGGTGCCAACGCCATCCTCGGTGTCTCCATGGCCGTCGCTAAGGCCGCCGCTGCCGAGAAGCGTGTCCCCCTCTACGCTCACATCTCCGACCTTGCCGGCACCAAGAAGCCCTACGTCCTCCCCGTTCCCTTCATGAACGTCCTCAACGGTGGCTCCCACGCTGGTGGCCGTCTTGCTTTCCAGGAGTTCATGATCGTCCCTTCGTAAGTTCTGCTCCAAAAATACCAACTACCTAGCCAGCATCGACTGACTCCTTCTTCCAGGGATGCCCCTACCTTCACCGAGGCCATGCGCTGGGGTGCTGAGGTCTACCAGACTCTGAAGACCCTCGCCAAGAAGAAGTACGGCCAGTCCGCTGGTAACGTTGGTGACGAGGGTGGTGTCGCCCCCGACATTCAGACCGCCGAGGAGGCTCTCCAGCTCATCACCGAGGCCATCGAGAAGGCCGGCTACTCTGGCAAGATGAACATTGCCATGGACGTTGCCTCGTCCGAGTTCTACAAGGTTGACGCCAAGAAGTACGACCTCGACTTCAAGAACCCCGAGTCCGACCCCGAGAAGTGGGTCACCTACGAGCAGCTCGCCGACCAGTACAAGGAGCTCGCCTCCAAGTACCCCATTGTCTCGATCGAGGACCCCTTCGCCGAGGACGACTGGGAGGCCTGGACCTACTTCGGCAAGGTCTACGACAAGCAGATTGTCGGTGATGACTTGACCGTCACCAACCCCTCCTTCATCAAGAAGGCCATCGAGACCAAGGCTTGCAACGCCCTCCTCCTCAAGGTCAACCAGATCGGCACCATCACCGAGGCCATCCAGGCTGCCAAGGACGCCTTCGCCGCCACCTGGGGTGTCATGGTATCTCACCGTTCCGGTGAGACTGAGGATGTCACCATTGCTGACATCGTCGTCGGTCTCCGCGCCGGCCAGATCAAGACTGGTGCTCCCGCTAGATCTGAGCGTCTTGCCAAGCTCAACCAGATCCTCCGTATCGAGGAGGAGCTCGGTGACAACGCCATCTACGCCGGAAATTCTTTCCGCACCTCTGTCAACATGTAAATTTCGCATCATTGATGACTCAGAAGCGACATGGAGTGGAGGACGGTCAGGTTTCTCTTATTGCACAAACGTTATATCCCCTTTCTTAAAAAATTTGACGACGACAAGAATAAAAACACAGTTCAAACAACTCATCTCTACTTGCCTGCTTGATATAATGTGATCGTTGGTGATTTGCTTTCTCGGAGCTCTGTATTGCTGCAAGATATGGCAAGATATGCATAAAATTGTGAAAGTAGGTAGTTATGCACCGGTGTTTGGCTTGGCGGTTGCGGCGGACTTTTGAAAGTCGATGGGAGACCAGCGAGCAAGTGTGCATGGTATAGACATTCATTCGTCGCGACCGCAACATGTCTGGATCAATCTGTCTGCGGTGCCTGGCCAGGCCGGTAGTAGGCACACTAGAACAAACCTCACTACGAGCCACCCTACAAGCAACCGCAGCCTTCTCGACCAGCGCCGCCCTGGAAGCCAACTCTGCCGTCAAGAAGAAGACCGTCTCCGTCGCCAAACCCGGCCGTGGCGCCAACGCCTCCTTCAACAACAAGGCCCAAGGAAAGATCAAGGGAAAACAGCAGGGAGGAAGGACTGGCAAGCCGCCAGCCGAAGGCGAGCGCAAGGCCATGCGCAAAAGAGTGGTGCTGTCCAATACCAATGCCGTCGAAGTCCAGGGTCTTGATAACTTTTCTGCTGCCAATATCTATGATGCTGCGCTTGAGGGTCAGGTCATGGGTTTGAGCAACGAGGTCATTGATGCGCTGCGTGCGACTGAGGCTTTCAAAGCTACCCAAGGATGGAGCTTGTTCAGACGACCGGCTACGCTGGTGCGCAAGGAGACGGCCGAGCTTGCCAAGTTGATGCAGGATGTCGAGGCCAACAAGACGGCTGTGCGTCGTGTTATATACGGAGAGCGTGGCTCTGGAAAGAGTGTGTTGGCTCTGCAGGCAAAGGCCATGGCTCTGCTCAAGGGCTGGATCGTCGTACACATTCCCGAAGGTAAGCAATCACACCAAGCAGCACCCAAGCACAAAGAGTACGTGCAAGCAAGTATACTGACTGCTTTCAAACACAGCCAAAGAACTCATCCTCGGCAACTCCTCGTACGCACCCTCGTCGGAAGCAGGCCTCTACAACCAACCCCACTTCACAGCTGCCCTCCTCAGCCAAATCGCAAAAGCAAACCACACCGTCCTCTCCAAACTGCGCCTCTCCCTTGACCACAAATTCTCCATTCCCATCCAATCCAACATCTCCCTCGATCGCTTCGCAATGATGGGCGCCACCGACCCCGAGCTCGCCCCAGAAATTTACACTGCGCTCTGGAAAGAGCTGACTGCAAAGTCTGGCACAGGAGAAGGCATGCAGCGCCCTCCAGTGGTGTTTACCGTGGACGGTGTAGCGCACGTGATGAAAGAGTCAGCCTACATGTCACCAGACGTCACTCCCATCCACGCCCACGATCTCAGCATCGTGAACCACTTTTTCAGTCTGCTCAATGGCAAAGCCAAACTGCCCAACGGCGGTATGGTGCTCGCCACAGACTCTGGCAGCAACAAACCCACAATCCCCGGTTTCGAGCACGCAGTAGCCAGAAACGCTGCTCTGGCAAAGGGTCAACAGGCACCTCAATGGGATCCTTGGGTCAAGGTTGACCAGCGAACAATCGATGTGCTCAATGGCGTTGATGTTTGGCAAATCAAGGGCCTGAGCAGAGAAGAGGCCCGCAGTATCATGGAGTACTATGCCAAGAGCGGTATGTTGCGTCAAACCGTCAATGACACTCTTGTAGCAGAGAAGTGGACGTTGAGTGGTGGTGGCATCATTGGTGAGCTTGAGAAGGGCACTGTCAAGACTCGCATCTAGAGATGATCGTGATGTTCTCATGGTCTGACATGTATTTCTGTATGTATTATTTTTGTACAATTTGAGCAAGACTTGAAACGAAAAGATTCCTGGACAACGTTCCTTGGTCAAGCAACTACGGTGCGCTAGGTCGGAGCGAGCAGTAATTAATTCATCAGACCAGCCTTGTCGTCAAGTTTTTTTGTCATCAAGGATCTTTGTGCATCGATAGAGTCAATCATGTTTGAAGGATGGCATTCCGGAATACTCAGGTTCAACGGGATAGGTAGGTATTAGGTTACTGTCTACAGGATTCTTGACTCAAAAGATAACCTCCTATTCATCGCCATATTCACGAAGAGGCGTGCTGTGTGTCTGGCTGTGCCGGAGTGCTCACAAGCTGTTCATGTTTCTCGGGTTCCTTGGCCTGGATGGGCTGTGTTTGGGCAGCAGCCAACGCCTCATGTTTCTCGGGTTCCACAGGCTGAACGGCTTGTGTCTGAGCGACAGCCAATGCTTCGGGCTTTGCGATTGTCGTGATTTGAGGGGCCTGCATTGGTGTATCTACAGAGTGTTCAACCTTGCCGATCAAGGTTTGCTGAGCAGGCAGCGTCTGCGAAACTACTGCCACCTCGGTCTGGTCGGACAAGGTGTGCTGTACAGTTGGTGGCTCGACTTCGGCAGCTTCTGGAGTATGATTAGATGGGTCAATGGGCGATGTCGATTGGGTCTCGATGGGCTTCTCGTTTGCGAATTGCTGAACAGCTTGCGTATGCATAACGGCTGGCACTTCGGACTTCTTGGTCAGAGTGTGCTGTGAAGCTGGCGTCTGAACTTCAGCAGCTCCTTGAGCTTTATCGGATGGAATGTCTTGCGATCTTGATTGAGTCCCAACAGGCTTCTCCTCGGTAGGCTTCTTGGGCGGGATCTGCTGAACTTTGTGAAGCTGAACGACGGCTGGCTCGTCATACTTCTCGTATGACGCGTGCAGCAGACTTTGCGTTTGTGTATCGTCAGATCTCCGAGGTCTCTCGATTGGATTGTGCTGAGTAGCGTGCACCTGAGCGACGGCTGGACCAGGCTTTACAGATGAAGGGTGCTGAAGGGCCTCTGTGTGTGTCGTGAAAGAATGCTGAGGGTTCTCGGATATAGTGTGCTGGTGTTCCTTGATGTGACTCATGACAGAACCTTTGAGCTCCTCAGATGGGATGTGCAAGGGGTTGCGTGGGTTGGTAGAGTTCTCAGGCATCAATAAGTCCTTACCGTCGACCCTGCTCACCTCGCTCCGGCAATCCTCCTACCATGCCGTACTTCGGGGCTCGGCTTCGCTGCGACGCCTGTCCTCTTCTGATGTGCTGTGGCTACCGTAGCTATCCTCGTCATCAGAGTCTTTGCTCCCAATGCCGGGATTGTCAAGGTCAACCGCCTCGCCATTGCGCTCGCGCTCAAGGTTTTGTTGATGCCATTTCTGGTACTGGTGTGGAGTATCAACATCGCGATGATGTACTTTGACTTCGTAGTGTTCTGGCCATACAGGCAGTTTGCCTAACTCTTCAGCAACGGCTGTGCTGCGGTGTCGACCTCTGACGCAGGCTACAGCGACATTGACTTCAACCATTCGAACAGCGTGGTCTTGGCCATTGATGATCAATGCTCTTCTCTTTTGCTCGGCCTCGAAAATCCGTGGTTGTGCTTCGGCAAGCAGCTCTTGGAAGGCCGGATCTGCTCTCAAGTTCCTACGGAGGCCTTCGCAACGACCGTCACAGGCTTTGCGAAGCTCTGATGGTGGATTGATGAGCCGACGGGCGTTGATGTGGACGTCAGGCTCAAAATCGAGTGGTGGACCTTTCAAAGCATAGCTGGTAATGTGAAGAATGGTGCTTCTGGGCGCGGTGGTGGGGTTGGTGTTAGAGAGCATTGCAGGATGGCGTATGAATGAATGGGATTATGCTGAATACCAAAAGGGTTGATGAGACTTGATGGTACTGGGGAGATCAGAAGGTTGACCCACGTTGACTCGAGATTGTAGAATAGAATGGGCGAAGTTGGAAAGTACGATGTTTACCAGAACACACTTACACCTGCCTCTTGACGGAAGCATCATGTGGTCATCGCCCGGCGATAGAATGGATGACTTCCAGCATCAATCCGATACTGTGTAGATTTTTGGAATACATTTTGGAGCACAGCAGATTCGTGCATACTCACGACCGTGTCATGCTGACCTCGAATGTTGAGGTGTAACTTACTCCGAACAGAAGATGCTTCTTGGTTGATCTTCAGAATGCCGAGGTTCTTCCTGCAACGTGCCTTCTCTTTCAGCAAGGACAATTCGGGATTACCCAGGACATCCGAGCGACATCAGTGAAAATCAGAATGAGACTCGGTCAGATGGTCGCTCCTCCAAGTTTGATCGCCATGGCATGCATAGATATGTGATAAGCCGACAGGGTAGAAGCGATTCGAGCTGTAAGCGCTTGGAAATCTCGTGGCTGGCAACACTCGCCTGCCATTCGCTATCACCTCCGCTTCTTCGCACAGCCCGTCCTGACTCCAGACCATGCACCTCAGTGTGACTTGTCCTGCCATGGGCGCTTACATTTGGGAAATCTCCTGTCAAATTTGCCATCCCAAGAGCTTGACCATTCTTAAGCAGTGCTTTTCTACACTACGAGCGTGTCACAAATCTTCCTGCAGCATGTTCTCTGTCTAGCACATCTCGCGTCGAATCACCTCTTACTTTATATGCGTTGTTGGTTCAAGTGTCAGCATTCTATTTACGAGTCTCCCCGCTGTACGGTAGAGCAGATCCCAAGCGCCGATTTTAGAAACCTGCCCCCTCGAGTCGACCCTGACCTATCAGCAACTCGAATCGGCTTCCGCGAGAGGTCAGTTACCGCTCATATTTCTTGTACTGTTGTCGCACATCTGTTGGCGCTACGAGCCCGCCTCTCAGTCTGACTACCTTCTGTTTCTGGGCGGTTAAGGTGTCAAAAGGTTGGCATCTCCTGCACCGTTTCCTCCAGACCTCTCTCCATCGTATCCTGTATACCCATACCTCCACTATCCTCTACCCGCGTTCCTCTGTTGCTATCATCAAAGAAGAGAGCACAGAGCTAGACTCTCAAGTCGTGCCTCCTACTAGTCTGCTCTGCAAATCATCTCACGTCAGCCACGTTTTGCTTTTTGAAGCATGAGTACCAACAACAGTCGAGTACCTACAGATAGCGACCCCAAAAGGCCTCGAGCTCAGTCGACAAATTCGTTCGCCTCGTCCTTCAAGTCCCCTCGAGCCGCTCGTTTCGCCGAAGCGACGACAGTCAACTCACCAATCGAACCACCTCGATCATCTTTCATAGCTGCACCGACAAATCACTTTCGACCGCAGCCTCAGCCATCTGATATTGGATTTGGATATATCGATGACAAGCACACTTCGCACGTAATAGTCGAGATGGAAGACACAGATAACAACCATCTACCTCGAGGTAGAAGTGAGGCACCTTTGAGCCCACCTCTGAAGAGTGCAATGAAAACTCCTGGAGTGGCTCCGAGGAACTTTGGCAATCTCATGAGTCCTACGTTCCGGGAGGAACATGTCTTGGAGAAGAGAGAACTCGCTACTGAGAAGGAGCAGGCCAAGGATATTGTCAGTACTCTCCAACTCCACCAGATCTGTCTTTTTATCACTAACGGATCATCCAGAAAATCAAAACCCGCGTTCGTGCAGCAAAGATGTTTCTGAGAAGCATCAACTTCGCATGCTCTCTCATCGTCTTGGCCATGCTTGGAACGACTTTTGCAATCTTCAATGCAACGAAACATCTGTCACCTCGAAGCAATCTTCCTCCATGGGCTATCGGTACGAGTCCATGGCCTCAAATTCTTCTTCTAGTCATCGCCTGTATTTCCATGGTCTTTTGCATTGCCATCTTCTGGGGCTACTGCCGAGGCGGACACAAGAGAGCAGAGAAGGTCCAGACTTACTACACTGTGTTCGCTGTCGGATTCTTCGCCTTCAGTGTTGTGATGTGGGGAATTGGCGCTGGTGTTCTCAACACTACCAGGACAAACAGCAATGGACAAGATCTCTGGGGTTGGTCGTGCAAGGAGAACAAACGCAAAGAGCTCTTTTCTGATGCTGTCAACTATGCCCTTGTCTGCCGCTTGCAAAACTGGTCCCTGGTATGTGCCGTGATCGAAATCGTCGTCGAGCTTTGCGCGATCGGGTGCTACTCGTTCGTCTTCTACCGCATCTGGTCCAAGAGAAAGCTGCGCAAGTCTATGGCTGTTCGTGACCGCGCTCGCTCAGATCTTTACCTTGCTCAACTGCGTTCCCAATCTGCACCAAACACACCTGGTCTGAACGGTCCTCTGAGTCCAAGAGATGGTGGTTGGAGACCGCCTGTTGACTACTACAAGGCTGGCCCTTCGGTCGACGCTGGACCAGTTGAAGACGAGGGTGTCAGATACGTTGATGCCTCTCGACAGCCTCCTGCGCCTAAGCCATTCGTACTGCAGCCACCTCCCGCCAAAGGCACGACACCGAAAATGCAACAGACTGGTTTCAGTCCCATCAACTACACCTCACCACCAGACTCGAGGTCAGTTTCACCAATTCAAATGCAACCCACAGAACAACGGCAAGGACACTTTGCTGCAGCTCCCGGTGAGCAGGTCTATGAGGCTGTGCCCATTCCTGAATCTTACGGTAGCCCCCTGAACTCGCCTACAGTCGCACCAAGACAGATGGGTTTCCCTCCAACAAGCAGGCAGTTGTAAATCTGTTGTCATAATTTGACCCCAATACTCTTTTGTTTTCCTAGCATCAAAGTCTCGAACACTCATTTGTATCCGGTGGTATTAGTTGGACGAGACTTGACAAGCATTACATCATCCATATATCAAACCCTTCTTCAGCACGACCAGCATTGATATTCCTACAGTATGCCTTGCCCTATACGACGTCTCGTTTAGCATATCTTATATTCTTGGCCCTAGCTGGTTAGGCAATCGGCGGAAGCTTGACTTTGCTTGTCTCCTCCTCCGGCTTCTCCGGATACCAACAAAACCAATGAGATGAGCACGCAGAAGCAACGAATGTGTCGACTATTTGAATATGAATTGTATTTGCATACCTCACCTTTCAATCTGTATAGTTGATAGCATTGGAACTTCGGGATATCTTATTTCCACAGTGATTATGCCCGGACCGAGAAGCAATTTCAATGTTTCTCCACGAAATCTCAAACAGATTCAACGATTTTGTACGTCATTGTTCCGCGGTTTTAAACAGCCCGAACAACTCAATTCATTGTGGCAGTGTAAGGTACATACAGATAGAAGGTGTAAATGGATGTATCTCTCCTCACTCTTCCCCCGTCGGTCATCTTTTGTGAAAAAACTTGCGTCGTGAACCAGGCCCACGCGCTCCGCTCCCCTACACGTGCTCTCTCTCTCTTTCTCTCAACCCTGGTGAAATATTCTAAAATTCCGGTCGACGCGCCATAAGTACCAGTCCGGATGTCTCTCCCACCATGGATTTCTGGAAGCAAGAGCAAAACATCAGCTCCTAGCCATGGTTTCCTCTCGGGCGGAGGCAAGGTCCGGAATCCGAAGAAACCCAAGGCGCGTCCACCAAAGTCTCTACGAGAAACCATTCTCCTGCCTGTGAGATCATTACCAGCATATTCCGGACCCTATTCAGTGGGAACCATGGAAATTGAAGTGCCAGTCGAAGAACCACGGACCTTTACCAACATCACGCGGAAGGGGAATCATGTACTGCAGTTGAAGACGGTGCTGTTGACCATATACTACCCTGCTTCTCCGCCGCAGAAGAAGCGGCCATCGAGACAGCTATGGCTAGGGCGACCGAGATGGAGCATGGCGGCTGGTTATGGCCATTTTTCGACAGTTGGACCTTTGGGCATACCAGTGTTTCTGCCTACGATGTTCACAAAGCTTCCGGCATTCCGAAATGCTCCGCTCTCGAATCAGTTTCCTCCGGATACCGACCATGGAGACGAAGATCAGAAATCTGGTGAGAGCACAGAGGAAGAGGAGAAAGACGAAACAGACCGGTCTTCGGACGCGCCGCCGAGATTTCCTCTCATGATGTTCAGTCACGGCCTAGGCGGCACTAAGACTGCTTACTCGAGTGTTTGCGGCGAGGTACGTCTTGGTCGTTCTCCGTGCAAAGATAACCGTCTGATATCTTCTAGTTTGCGAGTTACGGGTTTGCGGTTATCGCCGTAGAACATCGAGATGGTAGCGGGCCTCGAAGTTTCATCAATCAGCCTGGAAGTGGCGAGGTCGAATTTGACAAAGCTGGTGAAAGACGAAATCCAAAGAAATTTCACAGGAAGCATGGTGATACGCACTATGATGTAGTTGTGAGTGTTGATCTCTGGTAAATCATGGGCTGCAATCCAGCTAACACATCAATAGGATTACCTCTTCCCGAAAGGTTCGGCGTAATGGTCTCTCGAGATGTTGGCACAAGTACTGACAGTCACAGACAATCCCTGGGACACCAGTCCGAACAATGACAAAGGAGTTGATCAAGAACTCCGCGGAGGGCAGCTGGATCTGCGCTTAGCAGAGATCGAGGAAGCTTACAAGGTCATGAACATCATCAATGCAGGCAGAGGCGAAGAAATCGTTGCGAAAAATATGCGACAAAAGGGCTACAAAGCGTCTTCAACACATGGTCTCGATGGTGTTGACTGGTCAACCTGGAAGGACAGAGTGGACACCGAATACGTCGTTGCGGCTGGACATTCCTTCGGCGCAGCAACTGTTGTGGACATGTTGCGACACCCAGAACGATTCAAGTGGGTTGCACAAGGCATCATCTACGATATTTGGGGGTAAGTTGAACACATGTCTGTCCGTTACACCAATCCTGACCTCTTTGTCCAGAAGTGGAACGCGGCCAGCAGCCGAGGAAGACGAGAAAATTCAAGCACCAATCCTAGCCATCAACTCAGAAGCCTTCACATACTGGCCATCCAACTTCGATCTCGTATCAAATCTAGTGGAAGAAGCCCATCCATGTCCAGCATGGCTCATGACAGTCCGCGGCACAATACACGTCTCGCAATCCGACTTTTCGCTACTATACCCTAACGTCTGCTCACTCTTCCTGAAAGCAAGCGCCAACCCTGAGCGAGCTCTGGATATCAACGTCAACGCTTCACTGGAGTTCTTGCAAATGGTGATGCCAACGATACCCTACCGCATCAAAAAGGCGTTCCCCAACGAAGAGTTGCTACAGACGCCCACGCATCACCTTGAGGACATTCCTGTCATAGACCTGCACAAGCCAAAAGACGAAAAGTGGATGGCTGCAAGACTGCGCATCCCGCACGAGTTTACTTGGCGTGTAGCCCCTGGATTGGCAAGGAAAATGGCGAGGAAGAAGATCACTGAGGGAGGCGGTTCGCCGGATGATGAGGTCTGGTTGCATTGCAAGCCGGTGGAAGGGACGGTGGACAAGTATAACAGCACGGTGGACAGAAGAAAGGCGAAGGATCCGAAAGATTCGAAAGTAGCCCCTGGGTGCGTCCCTCCGAACAAAGATGCATGAGTTGGTGTTCGAGCAAGTAAGGGCTTGGTGTTCATAGCGGGCGTACTTGTTGATACTGTTGCTAGTTAGCGAAAACCAGCCTGTGTTCTCATCCATGTTTACGGCCATTTTTCCGAACTTTAGCACGTTGTCCAGACAACTGATCTGCTACAAGCATCACCAGTACATTGTTTATGCTGAGTAGATGACTTGTGATGAGAAGATAGTGGTATGTAATCCATCCAGTTTTGTAGGTCCTCACCACAAAAGCTGAGTGGCGCAGCGGAAGGTTCGTAACATTCAACCACGACATTTCCTGAACTCATCACTAACTAATAACAGCGCGCCGGGCTCATAACCCGGAGGACCTCGGATCGAAACCGAGCTTAGCTATCTCTTTTTGTTCCACTCTCCTGGCAGGGGGGGAGGAGGAACACAGGGAGGTTTCCTACATGTTTTGCGCACACAAAGCCAGCACGTAATTTACCATACTGATTCCTAGTGCTCCCAGGGCCATGGATCGAGTCCCCGCAAGCTCTGTTTGCTTGAAGATAGATGTGACTCATCTTTTTTCCATGTTTCGATGCTGAGATTTTTCTGTTGTGGATTTCGAAATTTCCTTGTTGGGACAAGCCTCGGCAGGCGGAAGTGTCTCCGTTCGGCTTCTCACTGATGCTCCTTGTTGTACTCTATTCATAGCAAGACATTGTTGTTCCCAGTAGAAAGGTCGTGAACGAGACGGGAGAAGACATCTTAAGTTGTATAGTTACGTCCGGCATGTTCTCCAATCTTCTTTCACGGGATTGTGTACATAACTGTACATTTCAGTTGTACGTACTAGCTTTGACACCTTCTATCACCTGTTACCTATGATATACTTCAAGAGGGGTTTTTGATATCTTTGTGTGTTATGGATAGTCTTGTTGATTTTGTCTTCACAAAGTACACACGTCCAAGGAAATGTCTAATCAAGTCGTCTCCATATATGGGTGCTAATGGTGATAGTCTTCGAAACTTATTCTCACCTTGTTCACAGGCATCAACCTATAGTGTGAAGAATGATTGCAACTCACAGGCACAAGCCATAGGGCCAAGGTGATTGAAGAATAAACATGAGCGTGTCACGATTGCCATTCTTGTAAGACGTTGTGCCAGACCAGGGTCATACCTTGACCCACCTTCAGAAGCCATTATCAACAATGAAGCCACTTGACAACTCAGTGATATCGGTTCGACCGTCCTGCTGGGGTTTCGAGAGCTGAGTTGATTTGGTTATGGTGCGGAATAGCCAAGGATGTGCTTTTGGCGCCGTCGCATACGGAAGAATCGTCTGGTGCGGGATGTCGAGCACCCATATCAATCACATCATCCAAGTCCAGACTCCAGCGATTCAATGGTGCACCCTCGAAGTAAGTAGTCTTTTGAGAATCAGAAGAAGTACAAAAATGTTCCGAGGTCTTAAACACCGTGACTGACCGTTCTCACGGTTCGAGTCAATGAAGAACAGGTTTTTGTAGAGACGAGGAGGCTGCGATGAAGCAGGAACGCAAGGAAGGAAGATTCTTTTCTCGGGTATGATCTCTTGCTGGGATCCATACCGTTCATCACCTTTGCTAAGATTGAACGATTCTGATGTGACAGACGGTTTCACACCATCGTATCCTGGAGTTGTTCTCCCAGATGTGTACTCGACATGACTCTCCAGGTGTCAGTCGGGGTCTCTAATGACGAGGTCTAGGACAACAGCTGACTTGCTAGCATGATACCGTGAAATCCTCGTCCCTGTCTTGCAGAGACAAAGGAAGAGGACAGTGTATCTGCTGCAAGTGATACGTCTTAGCCGCTATAAGAGGCCGAGTATAGCTTGGCTGGTCGCTGTTGTTTGGTCTAGCGGACGAAGAGTCTGGGTCGCAACCGCACAAGATGACCTCGTGAGCATCTTCCAAGTCTCCATTAGTCAAGGAAATGGCTGAGAAGGGAAAGTGCTGGCCGAGGCCCTACCTTCCCCACGAAAGACCATGACGATGATTTTCTGTTTGCTGACCTACTTTGGTCGTGGAATACACAAAAACTCCGCGAGCAAGAGGAACAGCCTTGCTGTAGTCGCAAGAAGACAAGAAGCCCTCGTCCGCAGTCGCACTGCTATCCAGATCCGCAATCGGCGTCTGGCGCGGTAAGAGCAGATAAACAAGAGTTATGACAAACCGATTAGCCCCCGGATTCCGGATGCTCGTCTGCTCCTGCGCTTAGCGGTCACATCCATCTTCAACTCCCCTAAGCACAGGTATAGCCGCAACCATTTTTCTTAGCTGGCGAACACGTTTCCCACTACAAATTCCTTCATTTCGCAGCCCTTTGTCTCTTCTCCTTTCCTCATCTTTTCTGAAACCCAACTTTCCTGGCATCCTTTGCTGTATCTGTTCGCATTGAACATTCCCAAGACCCTGTCTGCCCCGCGATAACCAACCCCACTATCAACAATTAATTTGCCTAACATGGCACCCATCGCCATTCACAGTTCGCCAAAGGACTCGCTGAACGCTGAGGCTGAGTCGTTCAAGCCTGTCGGCAACAAGCAGGTTGATCCTTATCACTCGGCAACTTCTGCTACTGCTATCGCTGCGGAGTCCGCATACGCTGCACACAACTACCACCCTCTGCCGGTGGTGTTCTCGAGAGCACAGGGCGTTGACGTGTGGGACCCAGAAGGTACGTAGTATTGAAAGAGAGGGAATCGCAATACCGCAAATTCGTCAATCTGGCCGGGCTTGAATCGAGTCCACAAGCGTTGCCTGCACTGAGCATGCTGCGGACTCGGTTTGCATCCGTCCAGATTGTTGAATTGCGGGAAACTCCATCTGCCGAGATGCGCAAGGCGAGAGGCTAACAGCGCACAGGAAACCACTACCTCGATTTCCTCTCCGCATACAGCGCCGTGAACCAAGGCCACTGCCACCCTGAACTCGTCAAGGCTCTCGTTGCCCAGGCCTCGAGACTGACGCTCAGCTCTCGCGCATTCTACAACGATGTCTTCCCTCGCTTTGCTGAGAAGGTCACCTCGATGCTGGGTTTCGAGATGGTCCTGCCCATGAACACTGGTGCTGAGGCTGTAGAGACTGCTGTCAAGATTGCACGCAAATGGGGATACAAGGTCAAGGGCATTCCTGAGAACAAGGCCTGGGTCTTCTCCGCACAGGAGAACTTCCACGGTAGAACAGTAAGCTCATTGCAGCAACACACGGTCGTCCTTGTCCGAAGACTAACGCATATCTCAGTTCGCTGCCATCACCATGTCCACCGACCCTGAGTCCAGAGACAACTACGGCCCTTACCTGCCCAACATTGGCTCCTCGAACCCTACCAACGACGAGCCTATCCGTTACAACAACGTGAGCGATCTCGAGAAGGTCCTTGAGGAGCACGGCAAGAACACTGCTGCTTTCTTGGTCGAGCCCATCCAGGGCGAAGCTGGTATTGTTGTGCCCGACGAGGACTACCTCAGAAAAGTACGCGAGCTGTGTGACAAGCACAACGTTCTCATGATCTGTGACGAGATCCAGACTGGCATTGCCCGTACTGGCAAGATGCTCTGCCACGAGTGGAGTGGCATCAAGCCCGACCTTGTCCTCCTCGGCAAGGCCATCAGTGGTGGCATGTACCCTGTCTCTGCTGTTCTCGGCAAGAAGGAGATCATGCTCACCGTCGAGCCTGGCACTCACGGTAGCACTTACGGTGGTAACCCTCTTGGTTCTGCCATTGCTATTAGAGCGCTTGAGATCATCGAGGAGGAGAACATGGTTCAGCAGGCTCAAGTCCTTGGAGAGATGTTCAGACAAGGTCTTCGCGACATTCAATCCAAGAACTCGATGATTTCATTGATTCGCGGCAAAGGTTTGCTCAACGCCATCGTCATTGACGAGAGCAAGACCAACGGCCATAGCGCATGGGATCTGTGCATGTTGATGAAGGAGAAGGGTCTCTTGGTAAGAAAAGCTTCGCCAACATTGATGAAACTCAAGGCTAACGTTATTGCAGGCCAAGCCCACTCACCAAAACATCATCCGTCTGGCGCCACCTCTCGTGATCTCGAAGGAGCAGATTGAGACTTCGCTCAAGATTATTGCAGAGGCAGTCGACGAACTGCCCAACCTGAAGGGCGACAAGGAGGAAAAGGTGCTTCCTCCAGGCGAGAAGAACGTGCATATTGGCGTTGACAACTGAACACGGCCGGGGTCAAGTCAGTGACAGAAGAATGCGTCGCACATCTTAACGTTTCGGCCATGATGCCATGACGCCAACCCCCAGGCATATTTTATCGATTTCTCTAGCGTTTTGAGTCAGGACTCTGCATGGATACCCCCGTTGGGAAGACTGCATTGCATGGGCGGTCGGGTTTGAGCAGTGCAGTGACAGCACTTGCGTAGATATCGCATGAGGAGCTCATTGAAGCCTCATGCTCTAGAATGCACTGAAAATTGTCACAAGCAAGCGGAAATAATCGAGGAACCAGAGTTCGAGAGACACGATAACGTAGAATCAAGCGAGGTGAGACAGCCGTCAACAAGCATACTTCTTGCGTGCCTGCTAGGTTTCCGGCGAATCACGACGACGAGTGGTATATCCGCAACGGCCCAGAGCGGCGAAGACCAGAGCAGAGGCTTAAAGCAGCCTATCAGCAGGCATGTGAACGTCGCTTGGATTGCGCAGGCGATTGCGATAAAGCAGAGAGAAAGCGAACGGCCACGCCTCCACAACGTGTTGAAGCACTTCTGGCCCAGAGTTGAGAAGCGCCCAGCGTCGTCTTCGCGCGCTAGTCTCCGCGTAACTTCGACTTTGGTCTTGGTCGTCTACCCCAGACTCGATTGGGCGGGCCGATTGAAGGGTAAATTGATTGCAGGCTTGCAGGCTTATCGAAATGTGCTGAAACCGAATCGTTCGATGTCAGGTTCAAGCGCGGCACACAGAGGAAGTTCAGAACTGTTGAGAGGGCCTTATCGAAATCGAAGTTGCGAAAACTATGCTGAGGTGTTCGTAAGTGATGCAATTGACAGTGAGCATAATCAGCTGTCTTGATTCAGCTGTGTTTCTGTCAGAATTCGAGAATGTCGGCGGCGTGGACTCCAGCCTGCGCGTTTTGCGGCGGAGGACGAGCCGTTAGGAAAGTGTGCGGATCCGATCAGGGGTAATTGGGGTCTGGGCTCAGCACTCGACCACGGCGCGGAGGGCAGACGGGTCGAAAAGCGACGAACTGCAGGCCATCGGCCAGAAGAGCTGAAGGCGGCTGTAAGACACGCAGGCTGGCTTGCAATGTGTTCAGCAGTCGAATTGATAAAACCAAATTGGAGCGCTAGAGACAAACCATGTTAGCTTGGGAAAAAGAACCTAGCGCGTGTGCGTCTGGGATGCAAGTGCGGGCAAAGCCTTGGTGGTATCTAAACGACCGTGCAGCCCTCAGTTCGTGCTCCCCCCGTTCCAACTTCCAACTCTCTTCTCGAGCGACATCCCATTGTGACGCCTTTACCGTAGCGGCTTTTCTTGTCCACCTCTTATACTCTGCCGGCCCCTCGTGCACCTCGCAATCTAGTTGCTTTTCCGGACCCATCGCCCGTCGACCTCCTTCCACCACAACGACGTAGCAGCCGCTACCCTACACCTTCCGGCTTCATCGTCCACCCCCTGCTTCTCTTCTTCCAACGACATCCCATCCATCACATCAAATCTTCCATCGCCTGTCGATATCAATATCCTTGACGACCATTGACTCAACACATCCATCCATCACAATGGGTTCTTCCAACTACAACCACCTCGAAGATGAGGTGACCTTCGGTGCGACCGTCGACACACCCACCAAGTCTCAGCAAAACCACCTCGCACCCAATGTTTTCGACACTCCCAAGTCGCTCAGCCCCGTCGTGACCGTCGACTCGCCATCAACACCCGAAGCAGAGCGCTTGACCCCATTCTACGCCTCCCCTTCTGCCGACATCTCTCGCCAAACACTACCTCCTACTGCCCTCGACAACGACCTCGAGGCTGCCCGCAAAGAGGGCTACTTCATCACATCAAACCCCGTCGCTTCAGATCTCAACCTTCCCTCCGGCATGGCTCCCGTATCAGCCGTCCCCACCGGTTCCAGATTGAGCTTTGATGGCCGCACCAAGGAGTGCACAATGTGGCCCACCAAGCAGACCCTTCGCAACCAAGACAAGGCCGAGAGAGCTAAGCGCAGAGCAGCCAGAGCCTGTGGTTGCAGCAGCATCCACGCCTGGTGGTGCAGCATCAGCAAGAAACAGAGACTGTGGTTCAAGATCCTCCTTGCTGCCTTCCTGGTTGCCATCGCCTGTGGTCTCGGCATCGGTATCAGCAAGGCCGTTGGTGCTGGTGTCTTTGCTGGCAAGGGTCAAACCAAGCCCATCGCCAACGCATAGGAGCCTCCTCATCCTTTCGTTTGCTTCCTGTCCGGCGTTTGCGCTCAGTTGGCTTTTGATGTTTTGGTGAAGCGTTTTCTTTCTTGTTCGTGCCGCTGAGCCGGATGGTCATTCTTCTTCATGTTCTTCCTTACTTTGTTGATTAGATGATATTGCACCTGTGGCAGTGATGCATTCATGTGGCGTTTGGTGGTTGGAGCCTCGAGGGGCTATGGCATCGGAGTATGGGTTCATTGTACAGAGAGGTTCTCTTTCGAGTATGCTTGGGAACGCTACCAGGGCGGGTGTTCTGCCTGGCATTAAGAATATGATTTTCTATCCGCGTCCTCGCGGGTCTCTTCACATGTTCTTCCCGTTGCTTGTTTGGTGAAATCGTATGCCATGGCGTCATACCTAGATGTCTATATGTCTTGTCCTCTAAAGTGATGTGTCTATACTCACATAGGCTTGTTCTTAATATCCTGAGCATGCACATTGACGCGGTTGTACATCCACTTCAGAGAGATGGTGCTGCAAGTCATGACGACTGCACTACCCGCAAAAAGGCCAATCCTGCCAGTCGTGCCCAAGGCATCGAAGATGGGATACGGGTAGAATTGATTGTGACGGTAACATTCCTCAACCCAGAACCAGTAGGAAACGGCAATGCCACTGCTGATGCCGAGAGCCGGTAGGACAGAGACCGTGTAAGGCGGAGAGAAGAAGAGTAGATCCAAGATAAGTGCTATCGAAGGTGCAGCGTGGAAAGAAAAGTCCGCGCCGAATGGAATCCTGGGAGCCCAGTCTGGGAGAACGAGAGATTCGTCAATCTGGTTTTGTTAGCGGGTTGTCGAAGGATACATACAAAGTGTTGTGGACATACGCCTTTGAGACCCCAGTATAAGATGCTGATCAGGACTTCTATGGGTGCACTAGTGACGGAAAGAATGTTCTTGACCTTGAACAAACGTGTAGACATGGTAATGTCTGCGAGAAGTCCAATCACAAAGGTCAAGGTGGCCAGACTCAGACCCAGGATGGTCAAGTGTTGGAAGTGTCGGCCATAGGATTCATTGACAGGGTTTGGGTTTGCCTCCAGCCACCAGAAAGAGTATGCGAAACTAGCCAGACCCAGAAGCTGTGGTTTGAGTCAATCATCCATCCTATTGGTACAGATACACATAACAGTCATACGTGTAAAGCAGCACTAATTCCCCTCGAAGGAGACTCCAACCTCTGCTGAGGGTGGCGCAACAGCAATTCGTTTGCAGTTCTTGTCGACATGGTTAAAGATGCATGTATATGCAAAAGATCAAGTTCTGGAGTCACATCACTGCAAAAGAAGAAGAAAGACAAAAGCTCTGCCAACATATGGGCATGTAGTGACGTTTATTAGTGAGCATATCCACCTGGAGCCACCTGGAGTTTGCTAAAATCCGGAGGCCGGATAGTGCAAAACCCGAAAAGATGGCAGAGAAGGTTCTGTCATGCGTTCGCTCGGAACAAAGACTAACCGGTGGATTTATGGATATGGAGCAAGGAAATGGGATTGTCCATGCAAGGATATCGTTCAGGTGGTTGGTGATGATCGCTGTGTGCGAATTTGGGTGTGCGCATGTAGTATTTCTCGATGCCAATTGGTCGGTATGCAGAGCTGAAGCTTGAAAGTCGTTATGCAACTTGCACTCACTTCTGCGCTGACTCTCTCTCGATGGAAAGACCAATATCCTGCAAGCGTATTTTGGGTATCCTACTCTTGTCGAACCTGGGTTGCATTGTGAAGTCATATACCAAGGAACTTGTGTTCACATATGGGAAACCTTAGCCGTCGTCTTATCTCGGGTTCGTCGGACCGTTGATAAGAAGGGCTGGCCGAGGTGTGTTTTCTCGTCGAGGGCCATCGCGTTGGTCATGTTCAGAATACTGTCCAATAACTCTTTCTGAAGACAATCTCAAACTTGTCATAACAAATACCACTTCTGGACGCACGATTAGAGATGAATATGGGTATCACTGGCCCTGAGATGCACACCAGAATCTATTGATGGAAGCACACCGAGCTCGCCCAACAGCCCAACATGCCTCCGAGCAAAGCACAAACTGCTGGCAACGAGCCGAAGAAACGATCTCGTACAGGATGTCACGGCTGCAAGAACAGAAAAGTAAAATGTGATGAAGCAAAACCACGGTGCTCTAATTGCATAAAGCAGAATGAAGAATGCGACTACTCTCTAAAGCTCCAGTGGGGAGGCAGAAGTAAGAAGGAACAAAACGCGTTTTCAGCCATGGCAAATGCGACCTCTGGATTTTGTACCGTCGATTTTGTTACACCTAGCATACCACCAGCTGCAGCTGCTTCGTCAATCGGTCGAGCGTCATCCATATCCGAAAACCAGGATGCTACACCAGGAATCACGTCGAGAAGAAGTGTCAGCGATGCTACTGTTCAGTCGACACCGCATGACTACAATGCTGTGCTTGACTCCCGACCTAGCTCGTATGCCAGTCGTTCTCCGGCCCCGTATGAATCATCTGCATCTTACTCCTCCTTGCCACAATTCGCCCTGCCAAACCCCTATCACTCCATGAATCTCCCAACGGGACAATACTATCGGAGCTCCAGCCTCACGCGACCTTCATCACCATATGAGTTCGGATGGTCTAATGACGACAGGATTAAAAGAGCCAGACTGGACTCTGGCGATGGCCCGCCTCGCAGCCTTCCACCGCTATTTGCTCGATCTGGACTTCCCGAACCCAATAACTCATCTTTCTCACCCTATGATCAAGCTTCTCCGGGAGCACCAACTTATCAGTCTACGCCTGCTTCTCTTACTCCTGGTTCATCTAGTGCGCATGCGTCCCCTAGTTTGAGGAGGCTCTCTGTGAATTATCTGCTCTCAGGCCCAAGTGGAGATCAGGCTAGCCCCATGTCAACTTCGGAGCAATTCAGTAGTCATCGGAGACTCGAAGATGGTTGCACGGTCTATGGCTATGATTATGGTTTACCTGATCTGGATATACCCAAGAACGACGACAACGGAGCTATCAACCCGCAAACACCTGCTGCATCCCTGAGCTCGCCTGCCAGTCTTTTCGACGAGGCATGGTCGCCCTCCCGACTTTTCGAGCTGGACGTTGAGAAGCCTGCTTTCGAACGAGGCGGCTACTATGCTCGTCCCGTACCGATACGGATACCGCTGGATCTTGAACCGCTGCCTGCACGACTCGCCGACAGTCCGATGAATCTGATATACTTCCATCATTTCTTGAACCATACAGCGCGGATATTGGTACCGCATGATTGCCCTGACAATCCTATGAAAAGCACTCTACCGCGCAGTATGTACATGATGATTGTCCGTTGAGGTGGTTTGCTAACCGTGAGTCGCAGTCGCCGTGCGAAATGCAAATCTACTAAACCTGCTTTTGGCCTACTCTGCCTCCCATCGAGCACGTCTGCTTGCTCACCCAGAACCAGCGAATCGTATCGCAACATGGCTCCACGATGTGTACCCAGACCTACGAAAATCGCTCTCTTCAAACGAGCCCGTGTCCAACGCAACCTTGACCACTGCAATCATGTTGGCTTCACGCGAGTGCATAAACCCAGACAGTCTTGATGTATCCATACCATGGCAGACCCACCTCGAAATCGCACGACAAATCATCATATCCCGCGGTGGACTCAAAGACAGAGGCAATGGCGGAGACCCCTTTGTCAATTTCCTCGCAAGGTGGTTTGCTTACTTGGATGTCATTGGCTCGTTGTCCGGTCATCGCAATCAAGCACCTCTGGATGACGAATATATGATTTTCGACTCTGACAATCATTCAGATGCGTATGGATTCACCATCGACTGCTTTTTCGGCTTTACAAATTGCTGTATTAGTCTTCTAGCCCGCGTAGCAAGATTAGCCCGTCAATGCGGTGCTCAACGAATTGATGACAATGGCAATATAGATGCAACCTGGCAACCCTCCGCCTTCATCCTCGAAGAAGCAAAAGTCCTCAAAGCGGAATTATCCCATAGTCGGCACCACATCCAACGCGGCTGCCGCCACAGCAGCACTTCCGGAGATGAAAAGAGCAGCGAACGCACCCGACTCGAACTTCACGAAATGGTATCCGTCAACGAATCCTATCATCTCGCTGGCTTGATACACTTGAACAGACGAGTATTTGCCAAACCCTCTGCAGATCCAGAGATACAGGAGTGTGTTAAACTTGTGCTGCAGGCGTTGAAGGGGGTCAGGAGAGGTAGCACTGCAGAGAGCAGTTTATTGTTCCCGATGTTTACGGCTGGGTGTGATGCGATTGAGGCGGAGGATAGGGAGATGATTGTTGAGAGGTTGAAGTTGGTGGAGGGACTGGGCATGACTTATGTGAGTAACAAGAACATGCGTGGACAAAATCTGGGATGGGGAGACTAACAATGGGCTACAGGTACGCAATGCACGACATCTCATGGAGAGATCGTGGGATACTGGCAAGTCGTGGGAGGTGCTTGTCACGGGCGAGTTCTTGGGATGAGCAGTCAGGGTAGTTTGTGGTAAAGACAACCTTTCTGTGCTATGTGAAGGGTTTAATAGATACTGCAAAACCCATAAACATTGGGTTCTGACATGAAAGCATTTATGAGGGATGAGAGAACAAGACTTTTTTGTGTGAACATGACATTGGTGAAAAGCCCTGGCGCGAACGACATTTTCGTACCACAATATCCGGAACCGTATAACGCCATCGCTGTGCAGAAGAGATGAAGAGGATGGAGCAAGCCGCAAGAGGGAAATGTCCTCATGACTTGTTTTGCTGGTTTCTGCGCTCATTGGCGCGCTCCCTCCTCTCGTTGCGCTTGACACGCTCAACTCTCTCCTCTCTTCTCTCCTTTCTAGCATCATGCTCAGCACCATCCTTTCTCGTCTTCTTCTCATCAACCTCGACCAACCAGTCATTCTCGCCATCCTTGTTCTTGCCCTTGTATCCGTACTTGGGCAACCACTCGCCAGAGGCTTGATCGTAGACCAACTTGCCGTCGCGCTTCTTGTCCTTGATGCCCTTCTTGGCGGCAAACTCTTGCCACTTGGTCTTTGGCTTTTCCTCGGGCACGCGCTTCTCGCGGGGCAGGTGGGTGGTGGGGGTGGGTAGGCCGAGGGTGACGCTGGTGCTGTCGTCGGATTTTGTGATGGGGCAGGTGGAGAGGAGTTGGTTGATGAGGGCTTGAGCGCAATCGCGGGCGGCGGTTTTGATGTCGGCTTCTTGGATCTGGCTCACGACGGGGAGAGGGTTGGTGTCGTTGCAGAGGAGGTTGCCCAGGTCGAAGGTGTAGGGAATGGGCTTGTTGACGGCGACGGGGAGGCGAGGCTTGGAGCCTGCGGTGACGTCTGAATCGATCTGCATTTCGTCGATGCTCATTTTGGTGTAGTGAAGGGGTATGTTGTGGTCGTAGTATGAAGTGTGATATGGATTCTTGGTGCAGCACAACTTTTGCAGCGAGACTTTCTTTGCTGATAATTATCCGCAGGACGCGGCGATTAGATCGAGGCTTATCTTATCAGCCAGATCTCCGACCCTGGGCAAAGTGAAGTGGGTGCTCGGACGAAAAGTGGGTCCCTTGACAAACAAACAAGAGCATGACTTGAAACACACACGCTCTTCTTGTCCATCACACGTCCAACATGTCTTTCTTATCGGACTTCTATACTCGTCTGTCTGGCACCTTCAGCCGACCGGACGAGCCCGAACTTGTCACTGTGGTCAACGTGGCCCAGTCAGACTCGGCCAACTCCAACGATGCATCAAGCCGCACTCTATCTCCCGAACATGACAAGGGAGACATCGACACTCCCGAGAAGGCTTCCGTCTCGACACGATCGCATATACCTCGCACGCCGTCCTTCGCTCCTCCGGCTACGCCCTTCGCTGGTCAAGCCTCGCCAGTAGTCAACCGGGCTGCAGCCGAACAACTCATGCGCGAGGCCGGTGCCTCTGCCCCAACACCAGCGCTCAAGCCTACACCTTTCTTTGGCATCTTTGCTCCGCCGCAGACTCCCGCGACCCGCGACCTGTCGCCCGTGAGAAACCAGGCCGCCGAGGAGCAGCTCAGGCGAGAGATGCTCGACGAAGTACCTGAAACACCCGCCCCTGTTCAAGTCAAGGTAGGAGTCACTCCCATGACACTCTACAAGACACCGGCAGCAGCGCATACCACACCAGCCGAGCCATCCACAGAACAGTCTCTTGCGACAGACGCATTCCAGACTCCTTCGATCGTGCCTTCGAGACTCCAACTTCAGAGCCAATCACCCATTCAAGAAGAGTCGGAAATTGTCTTTGGAAACATCGAGCACGAAGCCGAGTCTTCTTCGACTGCCGCAATCGAGCAAGAAGAGGTAGAGGCAGAAGACTCGGAGGTCTCAGCAGCATCATCCCCTCATGCAGCTGTTGACATGGGTCTGTCTGAGGCAGAAGACAACGATACATCGACCACATCGATAGAGTCTAGCGATTCGGAAGAGCGTCGCGCAATCGTCATTCCAACAAACAAAGGTCGCAAGAACCAACGTCGCTCTAACCCGCGTATCACATCCAAGAACTACGACGATAGAAGGACAAGAGTGCAAAAGCCATCAAGACCGGGCGTGGGCAGAAGCGTCAGCGGAAGGGAAGAGCTATTGAACAGAGCACGCAAGCGCTTCTACGATGGCAAGGCAGCAGGCAACAACAAGCTCTTTTGATTTTTGAGCAACAAGACATGAGAGAAAGGCATCTTTGGGGCATTTCTGGCGGCGGGGTTTCTTTTATTGGAGCGACGCATATTTCTCTGGCTTATGATACCCTTTTATGGCTGGGCTTTTTGGGTCGATATCATCTTTTTCTACCTTTTCTTTTGTTTGCATAGAGGAGTCGTGTCTCGTTGCATCATTGCAATATCAGCCTCCAATAGAGAGCGGCAGTTTTCGTATGTTTCGACCGAATGTTATATCTCATCATTGTTGATGAGACACCAAAGCTTTGTGAATCATATTCGGACCCTGGTGGCCGAAAACGCGCTTGTCACGCCCTCACGCCCTACGCGGAAGCTCGATTGATTGCTCTCCGGACATTTTTTGTTATTACTCACCTTTCCCAGCTTCTTCATTCCACTTCAATTGACTTGTTCCGTATAATTTCATCTCACAGCACCATCGATCATGGCCACCTCTTTCCCTCCCCCTCCCGTCAACACCATTGGTATGCCCCTCCTTCAACTCCGTCATACCCCGCCATAGCTAATTCATTGCTCTAGACTGGGACAACATTGGCTTCCAGGTCCGCGAAGGTATACCAATCCTTGCATCCTCTCTGTGCTTATACACATCTGACCTCTCTACCAGTCAACGGCCACATCGAATCTACCTACTCGAAAAAGACAGGCCAATGGACCGCCCCCGAGTTCGTCACCTCGCCCTACCTCCGCATCCACGGCATGGCCCCAGGCCTCAACTACGGCCAACAATGCTACGAAGGCCTCAAAGCCTTCCGCACCCCTGACGACTCTGCCATCACCATCTTCCGTCCCAGCATGAATGCACGCCGCATGCAACACTCTGCCTCCTTTGTCAGCATGCCCGAAGTCCCCCTCGAGCATTTCGAGGAGTGCGTCAAAGCTGCAGTGGCTTTGAATGCAGAATTCGTGCCCCCGGCTAGAACGGGAGCTGCCATGTACATTCGCCCTCTGCTGTTTGGCAGTTCTGCGCAGTTGGGCCTGTCACCACCCGACGAGTATACATTTGTAGTCTGGGTGTTGCCCGTGGGCGTCTATCACGGTGTTCACTCTGTTCCCGCACTCATCCTCGAGGACTTTGACCGTGCGGCACCCCACGGTACCGGTTCCGCCAAAATCGGCGGCAATTACGCCCCTGTCTTGCGTTTCAGCGACAGAGCTAGAAATGATGGATACGGCATCACTTTGCACCTGGACTCGAGGACGCGATCCGAGATTGACGAGTTCAGCACCAGTGCGTTTTTGGGAGTCAAGCGGGATGGAGAGAGCACGACCTTGGTGGTGCCGGACAGCAAGAGTGTGATTGAGAGCGTGACTGCAGACTCTGTGTGCGAGATTGCGAAAAGGTCGTTTGGATGGAAGGTCGAAAAGCGCGCTGTAAGTCTTGTGTCCCCAACTTGACCTTACTTCCTTTATATCACTTGCTAATCATGGCCGGAACCACAGATCAAATACGATGAACTGTCCACCTTTGACGAAGTCTTTGCCGCAGGAACAGCAGCAGCACTCGTCCCCATCAAGAGCATCACCATGAAATCCTGCAACGACACTTTTACCTATCTCGACTCTGATGAGCCTGGTCCCGCTTGCTTGAAGCTGCTCGACAACCTCAAGGGCATCCAGACTGGACGTTACGAGGACAAGTTTGGATGGAACATCAAGGTCGAGAAGAGCAGCAAGGATGCTTTTGAGCAAAGTGCTGGAACCGCAGAGGCAAGTGCTGGTGAGGCTGAGGCAAAGAGTGCTAGTGTCGATGCTGTCAATGCTTGAAAATAGAGGTGAACTCACGTGGGGGAAATCCCCTGCTGCTGTACGTTTTTAGTTTTTGTCCGCTTGCTTCTGACTCTATCTTCTCTTTTTGCCTGTCTAGTCATCCTTTGTGAAGGCTCAATTTGCCTTTTTGCAGTAATGAACATGACACTTCTTCTCTTGTCGGCCTGCAAGTCAAGTCAGTCAACATGCATCGCCTAGAATCCAAGGGCATGTGCCAGCTTTAACAAGAGACAGTGGTAACGAGCAAGAAAACATGCTCAGAGGTAAATCGAAAAACGTAATGAGTGCCAACAAGCATAGCATTTTTGAATTTCGAAAGATTAAATATATTGGAGGATGCTTAATGGTTGCCGAAGACGAAGAAGAACTAATATACAAGAAAGAAGGATATCTGGTCTAATGCCCAGAAGCAGATTCAGTGAGGCTCAGAGGTGCTGGGGTATCATGGAAGGCACAAACGAGAAAGGGCAAGAAGTGTTGTCTGTTCGAGAAAAGGCAAGCCAGGCCGAATGCAATTGCCGGCACGGCACAGGGAGGAAAAAGGCAAAGAAAACAGGCTTGACGTATTCAAGCAGAGGGTATGTGCAAAGATCAGTAGATCTTGTGATGGCAAAAAGCTTTCGCGAAAAAAAAAGAAGAAAATTTGGTACAAATGAAAAAGGGATGGATCCAAAAGGACGTCGAATGGGCAAGAGCGCAGCCAATTACTCGCGTTGCATACCAGCGAACGCGACGAGGCCGTCACAAAGCTCTTGCCAGGGAGTCTTGGTCTCGACTTCCTCATCTTCGGAAGAATAATCGATGTTTTCGCCGCATGCTGTGCACAAATGCTCCTTCTCGCAGCAAGGCGAGGTAGGCTGGGATTCATCGGAGATATCCTCTTCCTCTTCATCGTCCTCTTCTTCTGTTTCGTCTTCAGCTTTAGCGACCTCGACAGGCTCTGTCTGTTGAACCTTGATGTCGGAATTAGAGAAAGAGATGGAAGGCTCATTGTCGAGTTCGTCGTCAGCGTTGACGGCCTCGGTCGGCTCGGTGTGTTGAGACTTGATCTCGGAGTTGGCGAAAGAGGATGAAGACTCGTTGTCGAGTTCGATAGTCTCAACCGGCTCTGTTTGTTGAGACTTGATGTCGGAAGTGGAGAAATTGACAGAAGGTTCGCTGTCAGTCTGCGTCTCTTGTGTAACGAAGCTGAGTTCTTCGGCCTGAGTGGTCTGATCTTCGGGAGTCTCGTATTCTGTCTGTGTGAATTGTTCGGTGTAAACAGTCTTGATAACAGGTGAGGCAGGGATGTCGAAGTGTGAGTCAATCAAGGCACCTTCTTCGAGTTGGGCTTCAGGCTCATCAACGCGCTTAAGAGTGATGGAATGAACTCTGCCATGGAGGTGCTTGCGAGTCTCGAGCTGCCAGTTGCCTTGGTCCTCGGGCTTGACAGTCGTCTCGTTGTCCAAGCTGGGCAAGTCTTTGATATCTGCAGATGTGACGCGGTTCTTCTGTCTTCTCGAACGTAGGCGAGCATCAACACTGTCCCAATCAGCTTTCCACTGAGCAAAGTCCTCAGCAAGAAGAACGTGGTTGTTGTGATCGTAATTCTCCTTTTGAATCTCGAGAGCTTGCAGCTGCAACTTCAAGAACAACAGTTCTGAGTGATCGAAGCCCAAGTCCTGCTTGAGACTGTCGTTCTCGGACTTGACGGTCATCAATTGAGTAGTCAGTTCTTCAATCTGAACTGCTTGGGTGTCGCATACGTCCTTGCTCTGGTCGTAACGCTGGCGAAGAGATTCGTTCGCCTTGGCTAGACGCTCGACGACTTCTTGCAAGTCAGCGACAAGACCATCATCCGTGGTCTGGGTGGAGATATCGGCATAGTTGTTGATCCAAACGGAAGACTCAGCCATGTCTTTTGGAACTCTTCTTTCAGTCTGCATAGATGAGGTAGCATACGAAACACCAAGACCATGCTGAGGTTCAAGATCGGTTTGAGTGAAGGTATCGGCATACTCGCAAGCATCAGCCATCCAGACGGCAGACAAGCGAGACTTGTTCGAGTGCTCAGGAGACAGGATACGCTCGCGAGCTTCGTGACCTTGAGAGTGATCTTCAGCGTAGAAACGTCCCGGGAAGGAGTTGCGACGGTCTCTTTCTTCGGTCAGGGATCCTTCGTCACTGTAACCGCCATCGTTTACCATTGCTTCGAGGGTACACAGCTTCTCGTTGAATTCTGAAAGCGAGTCGTCCTGGAGACCGAGGCGTAAAATGTCGCCGCCCAGATTGTTCAGGCGTAGCAGGAGTTTCTGAGCAGGATCTGAAGGATGGTAGGGGGCATTGTGGTCGACGGATTTTGCGTCGTCGGTGAAGTAGTCGGAGAAGGGGGAGCCCTGGAAGCGCAGGTTGTTGAAGTTATTGCTGGCGAGGTGGGGAGAGCGCAGAGGGGTTGCAGGGGAGTTGCGCGGCTTGATGGTGTCATTAGGGTTGTAGGAATAGTCCTTGGGCGAGTCGCGTGTGAAATTGAGACGGGCGAGAGGTGAGGGGATGCCGGAAGCCTCGGTGTGAGAAGAGCGGGTTGAAAGTGACGACTGATTGCGAACGTGTTGGCCAGTGGTGCTGGAGCGAGGAGTTGGTTTTGGTCGGGCGTGTTCACTCTTGTGGTAACGCGTCGAGGGGCCAGGAACACGCCATGAGTTTGTGCGAGCAGGTGCTGAAGGAGTGCCTAGAGGAGTCGTGACAGAGTGCGAGCCCTGAGATGCGTGGCTCGACACGGACGACGAGAAGTTCGTCGACGCTGCCATGAGTTTGGAATATGGTGGATTTATCAAGGTTGTCGCGTTATCGAGAGGACGGTTGGAAGCTTTGCGATACTCCATGTTTTTGAGATGAGCCGGCTGCGGGTGGCTGGGAGTCTCGGACGCGCTCGGTAAGCAAACTCCTGCCACCTAGGCCGTTTCACAATGATGAAATCGTAAGTAAAATGTTGCCAAGTTGTTATATGACCTGTCAAGCTATCCAGTATGGTGATGCTGTAGTTGTGTCAAGTGTAGAGAATGCTAATAGTCTACAGGCGCAAACAAATCGCGAACAGCTTATGGAGCTTGCAAACGGCTCTGGCGCAAAACCCGATGGGCCTGTTTACCAGCGAGGGGCTAGAGCTGCGGCGGGAGCAAAAAGCTTGGCTCGGGTCATGGTTCGCTCTTGCCGCTCGCGCCTTGCATATCCGAATAATTATTGACCATTGACTCAACTTTGGCCTCGACCCTTCCTTCCTCCGCTGCGTTCCCGTAGCTCCTGCTCTAACACCCTTTACCCTCAGCTCGAGCATATCTTCAAAATGGTAGCCATGACTTGCCATCTACCTCAATTGCAAACCCGACACTTACTGATTCATCTCGACAGGCAGGTGTACAGCCAACTCTCCCCGAAGTGCGCCAACTGCTTCAAGAAGCCATCAAGCTACCCAACCCTCCGAACCTCGTGCCGCTATGCGCCTCCATCTCATCCGAGTTCCTGACTCCTTCATCCATCTACCTCAAGGTCTCGGCAAAGTCAGTACAAGCCTCTGCGCCGCGATCATGACACTAGCTCATTGAGTCACTTCACAGTGCAAAGTCGAAACACTCGTTCCTCTTTGAGAGCGCTGCTACAACAGAGACAATCGGTCGCTATAGTTTTGTCGGTGCCGATCCGCGACACGAGCTCAAGACTGGACAAGGCCACGGCCCCGAAACAGACCCCCTGCCCATCCTCGACCAGGAACTTTCAAAATGCCGCGTCGCAGACATCCCCACCCTCAAGCTGCCTCCCATGACTGGTGGTGCTGTCGGCTATGTCGGCTACGACTGTGTCAAGTACTTCGAGCCCAAGACTCGCCGTCCCATGAAGGACATCCTCAAAGTTCCTGAATCGCTGTTCATGCTATACGACACAATCGTTGTTCTCGATCACTTCTTCCAAAAGGTCATGGTCGTCACATACGTCAAGGTTCCCGAGAGTCTCGACAATCTGGATGCTGCCTACGATGAAGCAAAGCAAACTGTCAACCGCATGCTGCAAGTGCTCAAGAAGACCGAAGCTGTCCTGCCGACACAGGAGCCCGTCCAACTGGGCAACGAATACACTTCAAACATCGGACAAGAAGGTTACGAAAAGCACGTCCACACCCTGAAGGAGCACATCAGCTCTGGAGACATCATTCAAGCGGTTCCCTCGCAGCGCATGGCCCGCCCCACCTCGCTGCATCCCTTCAACATTTATCGTCACCTCCGTACTGTCAACCCTTCGCCGTACCTATTCTTCCTCGACTGCGAAGATTTCCACATCGTCGGCGCCTCGCCAGAGCTGCTGGTCAAGGCTGAGAACGGTCGCATCTACACTCACCCAATCGCTGGAACCGTTAAGCGCGGTGCCACAGCCGAACAAGATGAGCAGCTTGCCCAAACATTGCGTGACTCCCTCAAGGATCGTGCTGAGCACGTCATGTTGGTCGATCTGGCTCGCAACGACGTGAACCGCGTTTGCGATCCATTGAGTACCCGCGTCGACAAGCTCATGGTTGTGCAAAAGTTCTCTCACGTGCAACATCTGGTGTCAGAAGTCAGTGGTGTCCTTCGTCCCGACAAGACGAGGTTCGATGCTTTCCGCAGTATCTTCCCTGCCGGTACTGTATCTGGCGCACCCAAGGTGAAGGCCATGGAACTGATCGCAGAGTGCGAGGGTGAGAAGCGTGGTGTCTATGCTGGTGCGGTCGGCTACTTTGGCTACAGCAGTGTAAATCTTGCCACCGGCGAGGAGACTGAGGGCGCTATGGATACCTGCATCGCTTTGCGCACTATGCTGATCAAGGACGGCGTGGCGTATCTGCAAGCCGGTGGTGGTATCGTCTTCGACTCCGACCCGTACGACGAGTACATTGAGACTATCAACAAGCTCAAGGCCAACACGACGTGTATCGAGCAGGCTGAAAAGAAGCACTACGATGAACAGCAAGAAGATGTGGAGACATCCAAGTCAGACGAGAAGCCTCACATCGATATGGCCGCAGGATAGACTTTGGACCCCGGCTCACCTGAAAAGTAACAAACTCAAAATCTAGATGAAAGTAATGATACCCTTTCCTTCACTAATGCATCGATCATCCGCGCAAACTTTGTCTCTGACTGCCAGAGGAAGCTCCCAAGATGCATGAGCAAAAGATAGTAAGACCAGGCAAGCAGAACCTCGACGCCTTGAGACCTCAATACCTCATCACTCCCTCCTCATCAAACTGCTCTTTCATCTCAGTAAGCACAGCAGCAGGCCCGATATTCCAGATGCCGCAGCTGTTCTTCATCGCATTCTCCACAACCATTCTGATTTCAAACCATCTTGGTCTTCCTCCTCGTTGCTCTGTGTTTATCCACTCATCGATTGCTTGCCGTACTTCGTCAAGACCACCTTCGACTTCTCGGGTTCCCGACGATACGTCTCTATCGTTTACCACATTTTCGAACAGGAACAAGGTATCCTGATCGTGTACTCCTGCAGCATTGTTGATGTATGCCAAGAGCAACTCATCACTCTTCGAACCTATAGATGTTGTCTCAGCAAACAAAAACGACATCACTGCTGATCAGGTGTGGAGAGCAAACCTTTGTTCCAAGCCACCCTCACCTCTGCCTCTTGCACTGCATCCACTGTTTCTTGGACAACAAACAGAATCGTGTTATCCTCTGCTGTTCTTGCATCAATGACTCCAAAAGCGTCATCGGCAAGCCAATCCATGCAGATACTACTATCATGTCCCAATCCATTTTCTCCACATCTACTCGTGACAAAATCTTGTAGCACCTGTACAGAAGCACCCAAGAATCCACTTTGGAAAGTCTTTACAATTGGACAAATGCTGGGTTTGGTCATCATTTCCTGGTCAGGATACTGCACAACCACCCATCGATTCTCAAAATCCGTATCTTCTTCCTTCTCAGCAGCGGCGCTGCGGAGGACAGAGTTGATGACCTGTCGATGATGCAAATTAGTGCAAAAGGCGCAAGAAAAAGAAAGAAAAAAAAATCAGGCTTCCGTCGAAGAAATTTATACATACATCCAGCGACACATCTGCAGTCACGAGTAGCGGTAACCATCTAGCCTCACCCATGTTGTGGTTTGTCGTTCAAAGAGCCTCGATTGTGTTTGAGTGGAAAGAGTGATGTGTTGATATATAGACACCAAGAACGTTTAGATGGCCAAGATCGCGAGTATTACAGTAAGCTTGGAAGCCCTTATGGACATGGGAGGATTGGGAAAGCGATCAGGCCGCCGATGTTATCTATAAAAGGATGAAACACCACAATCAGCCATACTATTTTTCACTGACTCAAAGCACGTCAAGTTCGAGTCATGTTGATGCCTGAAATAATTGACAACGATAGATCATGAAGGGCGGCAAGACAGAAATTGTGATTGGTGTTCTGTACAAGTATCGTTCTGTTGGTGCTTCCTTCTCAAGTATACCGACAACGTCTTTAACGGAGCTGGTCTTGCCTTGACGAAAGCTCAAGTCCACATGATTCATCGGTCGCTCTTTATTCAGCAGGACGACGGTCGCATACAGCGTTTGACGTCCCTCCAAGCCTGTGTTCAGAGCGTCGATGCATCTATAATGCATGCCCGATGCTCATGATGAGCAGCCGAATTCATTGAGCTCCAGCCGTCAAGGAATCTTGACATCCCAAGTCTCTCATCTCTACGAGAAGATCCCGAGGGTTGCATCATCGCTCGCGATGATAGTTGATGCTCCAAGTAGTGGTCTAAACAGAGCAGTGCTTCACTTGGCCGGATACTCAGACAACAACGACTGCATCCTCGGCACCAGATCAGGGATCCTGAACGGTTTCGTCACCACTGTGTCCATACCAGCTGCCATGGCGATATTGATCTGTTCGCTTCTTGCGTTGGCAGTAATGGCAATAACGGGAACATGACTGAGAATATGACCAGTAGCTTCGTGTTCTCTGATTTTCCGTACGCAGGTCAGACCGTCCATCACTGGCATCTGTACAATTGTCAGTAAAGGTACACTTAAATGACAGGTAGAAGAAGACTTACCTCTAGATCCATGAGGATGATGGAAAGTGGTATGTTGTCCGAGTTTGCGGTAAAGATTGTTGTCTGCAGGAAATCGAGACAATCTTGGCCGTGATCTGCTGTGTGGACGATGCATCCAAGCTTACGAAGCTGTTGAGACATGACCTACAGAGACATTAGCATTGACAGATCAATTGCAGCAACAACTACTTACACGCTGATTAATTTTATTGTCCTCCACTATCAAGATGTGGATGTTCTGGGGAGGGATGAGGGTATCGTTAGACGACAGAGTATGCACTGTGCCCTGGCTGACGCTAGCTTTCCTTGTCTCGGACGCTGTATGTGGGAGTATAACCGGCCTTGTCGCAGTAGGGTCGGAAGAGCTTGTCTGTCGGCTCTTTGGCTGGTCGACACAGCGTCTGGCTTTGATGTAGAACATGAATATGCTTCCAACACCTGCTTCGCTGTGGACGCCGATCTGCCCTCCTTGTAATTCGGTCAACTCGCGAGAGATGAAAAGTCCAAGCCCAGAGCCTGGCGATGTTTTGTTAGCCTTGAAATATGCTTCATCCGGCTGAAGGGTTTTTTTACTGACCTCCGTACTGTTTGTAAGTCTTAGGATTGGCTTGGCTGAATCTCTGCCAAAGCAGCTTTAGCTCGTCTTCTGTCAACCCCTTTCCAGTGTCCTGCACCGCGAACTGTATATAGACTTCTCCCCCTGGCCCCCACTCTGGCGAGGTAGAAAGACTTGATTGTCGTGGGCGGGGCTCGATGAATGTGACGTTGCGTTGGCCTCCTACGGGCGGCTTCTCGAATGCTGACAAGTATACAGAAAGTTTCCGTGTGGGGCAGTCTCGAGTGAACTTGATTCCATTGGTCAAGAGGTTGATGATGACTTGCAGTACTCTGCTAGGATCAAGCATCACATAGTTCAAGTTGGCGTCCAAGTAGCTCTGTTCAATGACCAGCTTGGCTTCGATGTCTGCCCTCGCAAGTTCGGCGTCGTACATTTTGAGGGACTTCTCGATCAGTGTGGGCGGGTGTACCTTGTCCGGAGTGATGACAAGCAACGATGAGTCCAGCTTGGATAACGTCAGAATATCATCGACCTAGACACAGCACAGGATTAGCATCATCCTCGCGTAGCTGCTTCGAGAAGCGCTATGTGTCTAGACTAGGATAGTCCTTGAACGCGTTGAGCGCCTGCTAGTGTTTTGGGTTGACTTACGATACACTTTTGGTGTTGGGCGCAGAGAGTCTGGATTCTGGTCAGCTGAGCCGCTCGCAGTGTCTTCAGATTTGGCTCAACTCACAATGGTCTGAGCGGCATCAACCATCATGTTGATAGTGTCAGCCGGTAAGGATACGGGGCTCTGCGATGTAGTGGTTTCGAGCGAACCAAGGATACCGTCTGCGAGCTGGAGAATAGCGGAAAGCGGGTTGCGCATCTCATGCGAGACTGTATCTTGTCAGCACGAGTGATATGAACAAATCTGGTTGACCTACCCATATCGATGAAATTCTCTGATGCTCTTCGAGTTTCCAAGGCATCCTCCAGACGTTGCGCCATGAGTGTCTCCAAGCGCTTGCGAGGAGAAATGTCCACAAGCCAGCCTTGAACCGTGATGATACGGCCGCTCTCATCTATCTCGGGGAAGGAGATTGTTTCAAGCGTTCGGATACCAGGCGCCTCGCCAGGTTGCTTGGATGGCACCTTGACTCGATATTCAAAGGTTTGAGGTGTCTTCGAGTCTCTCATTCTGGACCAGATGTGGGTAGTCAGTTCAATATCTTCTTCGTAGATAGTATCTCTCCATGCCAATCCAAGGGATGCGGCTTGTTCGAACGTATCTCGATCAAGACCAATCAATCGAAGGTATGCATCGTTGACATATTTCGGGTTGCCGTCACGATCAAACATGTACCTAGAACTCAGGTCAGTCAACTGTAACAACGCAGCACAGCATGAAGAACGCACATGCCAAATGGCGCACTCTGTGCCATACGTGTAAAGGTCTCCTCGTTCTTCTCAGCCTTCAAAGCAATAATTTGAAGCTGCTGTGAGAGTGCAAAATTGATTTGTTCGAACTTTTCTTGATCGCGCCTCTGTTCCTCAGGAAGAGAAATCAAAGCGGCAGCTTTGGATATTAGATCGTTCAAATGGCTGACGAAAAGTCGAGACTCGTCGGTGAATAGTCTTCGAGGGTTCATGCCGAGCACGATGAAGGCAATCTGCTGTCCAGACACACTTGCAATAGGCAAGATACAAGCAGTGGTCACAAATCCACGATCCGGTATGAGCAGAGCCAGCTCTGGGGGGAGGTTGTCCTGCTGTAATACAACAACTTGTTGGGTCCTGCGAGCTTCCGCGAAGACAGGTCCTAAGGAGGGTCTGTGGAATCGCTCGCCAGTGTGAACGACGGTCTCAAAGGTTTGAGATGCGACTCCTGACATTATCTGTAGTTCTAGTTGGAAGGTATCCACTCGATCGATAGCGTGTGCATGACCTGGTTCATTGGACTGATTGACTGCTGTGTAGATTAGTGAGTAGGCGGCATCGTGAAGGTTGTCTCGCATGGCTGTCGATACTGATCTCCAGAGGTCGGGAAAGTTGTCGACTGTAGGTATAAACGCTTGGACCTTGTCGATGAGATTGCGCCTCTGGTTCTGGAAAACATTTGATGTGCATTCCTGGTATGTGTTCAAGACAGCAACCATCTGACCATCAGGACCGCTACAGGGTTGTAATACAACATCCCAATATGTTTCCTCGATGAAACCGTCGCGCTCCAGGACTGCTTCCATTGCTTTGGCCTCGGCGACCTGACTTCGGTCAACTGCTGTCCTGACCATTTTCATGTGCTTCTCGTGTATCTCAGCGCCCCAAACATCGATGAAGCGATTTCCTAGAGCAAAAGTAGGGTGTTTTGATCCTAGCAAAGACGCAGCTGCCTCGTTGTAAAGTATGGCCTGTTCCGATCCGTAGTAAACCATCCTGGGGGCTGGTGAGGACATGATCTGCACTGCCAATCGTCGCAAATCATCCGACCATTGCGACATCGGTCCAATGGCAGTCTTCTCGAACGCATAGGTCTTGATGAAGTTTATCCATGACGATTGCTGTACTTTTCGAGGGTACCGAGTCCAATCTATGGTTTTCTCCTGTGCATCAGACCAAGGAGTATGTTGATGTTCATGCTCCGAGTTTGTCATGTCTGTATCTCCCTGGCTGGGTGTGTGCTCGATGCGTGCCTCGGCGACGCTCTCTAGCCTTCTGTCATCTTCCCACTGGGTGCAGTATACAACTCTCCAGGCATTGCGGAAACGTTTGCTCGACCAAGCTCTTCCTCCAAAGGGTTTCACGGATCGATTTGTGGAAATGGCTACATTAGTCGACAGTGATCGAAGCCAATCATCGTACGAGTCTTTGGTGACGGTTCGCTCGAGGAAAGAGGTGAAACTGGCATTTTGGAATACGACACGAGGGATGTGAGGGACAGCGACGTTCGAAGAGAGCACTTCAATCAGGAAGGTAGGTCGATCATCGTCGCTCAGGAATTCGAGCAAGGAGTTGATGTCGGTCAGGCTTGAGAAGAGCGATCCGGAGCAAGATTGCGAAGATGTCGAATTCGGTGACATAAGGCCGCGATGAGGGCTCAGCGATCGGAAAGACGAAGCCTGTGATCTTGATGGGTCTACCATTCTGATGGCAGAGCGGCGCACTTCTCCATGTCAATGCTAATGTTGACGCCCCTTGTGAGATTGGAGAGCCATTCACGTTCTTCTCTGACCGCGGCCGTACCTATTTGTCAATGACGTACATTTGGTCTCGACGACCGTTTTGTCCAGACCTGTTCGAGTCAAGAAGTAGACGATCGTTGGATAGATACTTCTTAGACAGCGTCGGCGTCACTCGACAATTCTAATAAGAACGAGGAAGTTACTATGATCACCCGCAACTTGCATCGCAAAGCTGGTCAACCCCCGAGCCAAGTACTTCGGAGGTGTTTATTGCGCTTGGATCTTGTCGGAGGAATATCGACAGATCTTTGTTCTGAATATGCGATCGCATGGTGTTGCGTAAGAAAGCACACCCGTTGCATATGGATCCCGGGAGATCACTGACTCGATCCAGTTGAGGCTCAAATCTAGAAGCCTCAACAAACGACACCTTCGGTATGGAGCCAACAGCGCGCAATGAATATAGCAGTGAATGTTATCATTAATCGGTCAGATCCGCAGACAACGTCTCATGCAGGTACAACAGAAAGTTAGCAGGCGGTCAACGTGTAAACGTGAATTAGATCAGCATGGTGTCAAGGGAATCTGATCCGGACAGCGCGAATCAAACATACGGTGATACTGTACCAATGCAGGACTTCGTAGCCGTAACATCTCACCTTTTGGTTTGCAAACGATTTATCTATCTAGTTAGAAGTCCAATTCTTCTGCCGGAGTATCAGGCTCGAGGCAGAAGACAAGAAGTATTGAGATGAATTCTCAACATGCATCTCGCGACTACCTAACATACCAAAGCTCGACGAAAGCTGGACCACCAGCCATCACATTCATCGAATAAACCCACCACATAACCATCGATCTATCCATCTCAACAATCCCAAGTTTCCAACCACCAAGACCCAAAGGTGGAGTCTCCATCTCACTGTTGTGTTGCAAAAATAATCACGATTGTTTTCTCAGATCGGAGTATGCGTCATGGAAGTTTGAGTATGACATCAATATATACTTTTCGAGCTCCTCCTCAAAGAAAAAGGTACATATATGTACCTATCACTGTGACTTCTCTCCATCTGCTCCCTCACAAACATCTCAATCTCCTCTACAACCTCCAAAACAACCACACAACCCACACACAAATCACAATGCCTCACTCCAAGACTCCCGGTGGCTCTGGTATCTCCGACAAGGAAGCCAAGAGACAAGCTGAGAGTACGTTTACTCTACCCCTCTTTGCACCATCTCACAGAATACTGATTCTAAACCAGTCCACGGCGAGAAGAAGGCCCCTGGTGAGGCACCCGTTGCCTCCGACTCTGGCGTCACCAACGTTGGCATCGACAACGGCAGCAACCAGCCCGGAGAGAAGGGTATTGGTGGTGTTCCCGTCTCGACTGAGACCACCACCAACGCCAACATGAAGTAAACTGCTTCTCACAGCTTTGCATGAGACGGAAGGAAGGAATATATGATGCACATGTATGATGAGGGGCTGGTCCCTTTGGGAATAAGAGACCTTGTGTTTATGAGGCTACGACAAAAACATTTATTGTATCATAGCCATCTGCTATGAATAATAAAAGCATTGAGATCTAAACCATACCCATATTCTGTGCCTGTCGTTGTTTCGTCATATGATGCGACTGGAATACGAAGCACGATGAACTCTGTCAGCAATGGATGATAACTCACTTAAGACCATACACCTGTAATGCCATTTGAATAAGCTTGCAACTTGGACTCCTCGAAGTGTCATGGCTATCCACCATCCTCTAAGCATTACCACCCTCAAGCACTTCGACCACACCACCAACCAGATGCAGACTACCGGTAGCAAGCACCATAACTTCCTCTTTCTGCTCGCCAGCAGCCTCCCTAGCAGCCTTTACAGCTTCCTCGACAGTTCTGAACACACGCACATCACAAGACCCATCTACACCCTTCCAAGTTTCCGCCAGAGCATTTTGCACACTCAGCGTCTCCACATCAGAAGCATTGGTATTGATGCTAGTAAGATCAGGACGGAAGCCCGACTCAGCGTAGGTAGTATTCGTGCAGAAGAACGCGTGCGAAAATGGCTTTTGGTCTGCCAATGCAGATGCCAGAGTGCTGTGGAGTTTCAGAGCCAGTGAGGACGCATCGCGGGTTTGTTGGTTGAAGATCAGGATGCGGGTGGTTGAGTTTGGCGATGAGGAGATCAGGCTGCCGAACCAAGTGGCGGCTAGCTCGATGCTCTCGAGTGTGTGGCCGCCGTCAATGTGCCATTTCAGGTTTGGAGTGGTTGTGTCTGTGCGTGTCTCGCAGCGGCCGCCTAGGTGGACATCCTCAAGGCCTCTGCGGAAGGCGGTGGGCAGGTATGTGGAGGTTGGTAGGTCCTCGACGCCTACGCGACGCAGGTATGCAGCGGCGGCGGCAATGGCGACAGAGGCATTTGTCTTTTGGAAGTCTGCGGCTAGGCCGAGCTTAATATTGGCGAGTTCAGGATGGACGTCGACAACTTCGAGCTTGGTGTTGCGTTCGGCAGCGCGCTCGTGGAGAACTTTGATGGCTTCTTCAGGCTGAGGGGCGGAGAAAGCAGGGACGGCGGGCTTGAAGACACCAGCTTTGTGCCAGGCAATCTTGTCAATCGTATCGCCCAACATGGCAACATGATCGATGCCCAGACTCGTGACTGCTGTGACGCTGGGCTTGACAAGGATGTTTGTGCTGTCAAACTCGCCTCCAATACCGCACTCGATGACAGCAGCATCCACGCCTTCGCTGATATACGTGTGCAGAGCCATCAAGGTCAAGAAGCGGAAGTAGACGGGCTTGGTCTCTTTGCTGGTGGGATCGGCATGGCCGGCGGCTTTGGCAGCAGCTTCGAGTCTGTTCCAAGTCTCGAAGAAGTATTTGGCAAATTGCTCTTCAGTCAAGGGCTTGTTGTCGATCTGGATGCGCTCGCGCACGAATCGCAAGTGGGGTGAAGTGTAAAGGCCCGTCTTGGTGACTTTGGCCTCTGCGACGTATTGACCGAGGATGGACGAGACAAAGGAGCTAGTGGAGCCTTTTCCTTTGGTTCCGGCGACGTGGACGGCGTTCAATCTGTCGAAGTCGGCGGGCTGTTGTTTTGCAGTGTCAGTCGTGTATACTGATTGTACTCGTCACGGGCGAACGCACACCTCGTAGCCCAGCTTCTTGACCCACTCAATCATCTCCGGGATGGCATTCTGGTTCATGCCTCTTCCAGACTTGCGAATGGCGTCGACGATGGAGAAGTTGCTCTGCAGTGTGTTCAGTGCCGCTACGGCTGCCTGTCATGGATGGTCAGTCGAATGTCTGTAGACGAGTAGCCTTTGACTCTTACACTGTAGTCGCCCTGCATCCTGACGGTGATGTGAAAAGCACGAATTGAGACTTTGCGAAGTGCAGGTTGCTTCCACGCACGCGACAATTTATTCATGGGCGCATGACAATGTTGAGAGAGCTTCGAGCCATTGACGTCTTTAGCTGGCCCGACTTCGCTGCCCGAATGCCGCTCTGACACCCTCCACTAATATCGTCAGACCTCCTCACCTACCATGCCACTGTATATACCCCTAGAACATCCCTTGTGAGCAACCATACTACCAAGTGTTTGTGTCCGTGAACATCTCGCTGTGTCTGGGCACCATGCCCAAGCCTCCGCTGCCCGTCCGAATACTCGACGACAAGTCCGGATGGCTTCCGAAGTAGAACCTCGGATCCGTCACCTGGACCAACATCATCTCGGAATCATGTCACCTTCTTGGTGTCACTCTCGAAGCAAATCATCAAGCACATGGCTGGTTTACTGTTCCAAGAGCATCGTGGAAGTGCAGAATTATTTGAGGAGGTTGTCACACATCTTGAACGATATACGTAGTCACCTTGTACAACTCGTAGCCTCCATCTTACCCATATGCAAAGATATATCACGCGGACGCCATCCAACTGCACATTTGCTTCTGTGATGAGGAAGTATCCAAAGATAGTCGCGATATTGTCGGCTCTCTGTGGACTTAGCTATCATCTAGTAAGAACTATGCATTTGTGTAGCATCAGTCGCGCTTGCGTGTTGTCGTGAAAGTGATGTGGGAGTTGAGACAGAATTTAGCACATGGTAGGATGTGCCCTTGTGTCGACAGGTACATCTCACTCGACTGGACCAAGCATCTGAGCCTGTCAACCAACTCATATCCAACCCAGGCATCTGTCTACTAAGCAACGCGCACGGATTTGCTAGCCAATCAAAAGGATCAAGGCCTTCAAGGCTCCTCGTCACATCCTGTTCTACACTAGGTATTACAGAACCCTCGGCATTATCAAATATCTGGACTTCAGTGCTGGCGGAAGCCTGAGATCTGATGGTGTCCAAGGAGTTGAGAGCTTTTGAGGATATGGGCACTCGTTGTTCCATGTAGCGGAAGATTTGCCGAGACTTCTCGATCATATAGTCGATGTGATCGCGTCGGCGTGGAATGTACTTTTCAGCGGCCAATATAGACGTCACTGCAGTAAATGTCACTGCGAGTTTTTCCACGAATTAGCCTTTCGTTTTGATGGGTTCGTCTAACGCAGCAGAGGCTCACTGTAGACAACATGCCAATCAGCTATGCGAAAGGGCGAGTCGAGGCTGCTGTGGAACACGTCCATGATATGTACGCTGCTCGAAAAACAAAGATCGACTGCGTGCATGATTAACTCGTCATGTTGAAGCATGATTAGTTCCTGCTCGTTGATGTCTGAACTTTGCAGGGGTATGAACAGCGCCGGACGCAGAAGAAGGATCTTTGCGTAGAAGAATCTGAGCCTATATGTTAGTGACTTGTCATAATAAAATTGGTACATGGTGCTTTTTGTACCTGCAGGCGATAGCCTGTTGGGAAACAAGCGCGGGGTCTGAGATGTCAATCGAGTTGGTTAGCTTCCTCCTGTCGATAAATTCGCGCAGGTATTTAGGTAACGTGGTCATATATGCTTCCAGTCGGCCATTCAAGGCCATGATATGTGATAAGGTGCGAGCATGCTGGGTTTGATTTGCAGCTGGCGGCGGTAATGCTCCATCATTGCAATATAAGGTGGACAGTATATCCCCGATGATAGAGAACAACTCGCAAGTATTTGTGAATATAAGAACACCAGGGGATGATCTTGTCGGGGCCGAGATTTTGTTGCTTTGTGGGCTGAAAGCATGGTCGTCGAGTACAGGCAATGGTATACTGTGAGTATCATGAACTGTCATTGGCCATCCAAAAGTAGCGGCGGCTGATCTGTACACATTGAATCAGCCTTCGGCCCTTCACGGCGCCAAGCAGAGCTTACCTGTCCAGGATGAGACACGAATGCCAAAGCCTCTTTCCCATTTCGCGAGCATATATCGTTTTTTGGCGTTGATATGTCTGCTCTAGATGCAGCCCCAGGCTCTGAGCCATCCGAGTAGCAACACCAATAACATTCCAACATCTTGAGACTTTAGTCGTAGACTGCAAATATATGCCTTGAAGCAGCAACATCTGCAAGACTGGCAAAGAGGTACAGTCGAGAAGATCAAACGTAAAGATCTGCCTCGATCTATTGTAGTATTCTTTTGCCATATCACGTTTCTCCGGTCCTGGCACTGAATCGCTGAATCGAGTGCCCAAAGCGAAGATGACGTTTAGAGTCGAGAAGAACAAGGCTTCCTCAAATTCGCGACAGCGTTCATCTGCGATTGCACTGCCACTCGGCTGCGAGATCCATGACTTCTCGTATGCGGCCATGAAAGTAGGTTCATGCAGGACCGGGAACAGAGGATGTACAAAGCTCCAGTATTGAGAAACTAGGTCATCTGCGACGCGGCGACGAGGTAATACCCCTGCTATCTCGGCGGAGCCACCCAGTTTGAAAGGTACTTTTTTCGTCGCGTCCGACACGAAGCCTTGTTGAGGACGTTCTTCGTGGCGAGACAATCGATGCGAAAAGTTCGAAGATGATGATTCGTCAATCATTGTATCCTGAGGTCCGCCCAAGGCTAGAGATGGACGTAGAGGGTTGATGTTCGCTGCAGGTGTACTGCTAAGTCCCGTATGTCTTTCAACTGTAGCCGCAACATTCACGCTCTCTCGAGTGCCTCGCGACTGCTCGACATTGCTTGGTTGCGCATCCCGACTTTCCTGTTCTTGAGTGGGTCTCTGTTGGGTCTCGGGTAGCATCCGCCCATAAGTACATGTATAGTTCTTCCTTCCTCTGATGCATTGTCGGCAAGAAGGTCGATTGCCATCGCATCGGACTTTACGTGCTCTGCAAGGGTCGCAGGCAACTGATATTTTCTGGCGCTTGGAAGCTGGTGATGAGCCATACGCTCCAAGCATGCGTTCAAAGCCTTCGGGAGTCATTGTGGTTGCAACGGAGAAGAAGGACGAGTGGTGCCAGGCCTCCGAAGTTCGGAACGGAAGCGGAAGCAGGACTTTGCTCAGCTCGGGCAGCCGCGGCGGAGGACAATCGGCTAGGACACTCATCTACTAACACGTTTAACATCGGCGTAAGGAAGACCACTCTGAGCACGACAAGATTCATTGACAATAAATCAAGAGAAACAAAGAGGATATTGGTGAGGGATTGGATATGTCCCAAGTCTACGTGTGTTTCACTGAGCCTTTTCAAATCAACATGCTTCAAAATCTTGTATAGCATGTATCTCGACAACGAGTCCTCCAAATGCACTGTAAACGGGTGGCCAGACTTAGCAAAGTACTGATACTAGCTACGCTGTAATTTCAGACACACCAGTCAGGCGACGGGACAAGAAAAGCAGTAATCAAGTCGTCCCGACATTGTTGATGGAGCGACCCTGTTCATATTCTCGATCTAATGTTTTTCGGGTCCTCCGAATACTCGTCATAATGTAAAGAAGGATACAAAGACAGGCTACCGATGGGTCTTGAGACTTCGGAGATGATGAGACTCCAATTACAGAGCATGAGGTAGAACTGTACAGACCTCTTACTCGTCTCTTCTATACTCTAGCAATGACAATCCGTCCACTTCCATTCTTTCATGCTTTCATTCCTCGTCAAAGATGTGATCTCAAGAGAATCCATCACGGCTTAGGTAGTCGCCGCCCTAGCCTCTTCAACAAAACTGGAACCATCCTCTCTCAGACTGTCGGCTCTTTCTTCGTGATCAGCCATCTCAAGCGCTTGCTCAACACCCCTCAAGAAATGCGATTCGCCACCACAGACCTCGACGATTCCACTCGCAAGCATTAGCTTCCACACCTGTGATCTGCCACTGGGGACCCTGCAGAAGAAGACTCTAGTGCCGCGTTCGCGATATCCAGTCACAATTTCAAGGAGCACTTGCGCGGCTGCTGGGTCCAGGGATGTCACGCCGTGGACGTCAAAGACCACATTGCGATTATGCTGGTGGTGGCGCACGCGTGGAAGAGCTGGGTGGGCAGCACTAGTGCCATGAGCCTCCAGACGTCTCAAGCGATCTTTCAAGCTTCCAGTATTGGCAAAGGTCAATGGCTCAGGAATCTTGACGATGAGAACGTAAGGGATGAATTCCAGACCACCGTGTTCAGCGCTGTCGAATTGGTTGCGGGTGCCAGGAACGCGGCCAAGAATCTGAATGCGTGGGCGAGTGGCATGCTTGAGGAGACGCAAGAGCGAAAGGCCGATACCGACGGCGATGCCGATGCGGAGGTTCCAGAAGAAGGTTGTTAGGAAGATGAGTAGCATGAGGGAAATTTCGTTCCAGCCTTTGATGGACCAGAAGAAGTGGATGTCGTGGGGCGCTTCTTCGATGAGTGAGTAGGCTACCACGGAGATCATGGCAGCGAGTACGCCTTTCTGTTCGAGTACGTCAGCACTCGTCACTTTTGTGTTCCTTCCTGTGTTGCCAATATGTTTTGAATCGCAAGACTTACAGGGATATAGTAAAAGTATGGCAGCAGGAACAGAATGCAGAAGATGGTGATTAGAGACAAGAAGACACTGCTCATAGGCGTTTTGCCGCCAGTGCTCTTATTCACCAAACTTCTTCCATAGCCACCAAAGGCAGGGATACCCATGAACAGGCCTCCAAGAATGTTTGCAACACCCAGAGCGACCAACTCGCGGTTAGCGGAGACGTTCATGTTGACGATGCCGTCAGCTTCTTCGTACTCGTTACCGTCCTTGTCGACCTTTTTCTCGATCTTTGCTGTACTGTTCGCAAGACTCTTGGCTGCGACACTGCTTTCGAAAAAGCCGAGCAGAGCAATGAGAAAAGACGTTGAGAAGGCATCCGTGACGTGCTCCATCATTGACGGCTGGAATGGGAAATGCACTTGGAAGGGTTTGCCTGTAGTCTTCAAGTCACCCAAGATGTCAAGACCTTGCTTGTCCCATGAAAATTTCCAGGTGAACAGGGCAGAGAAGACGACGACCAGGAAGCGATCAGGGAAGTAGGCAACTGAGGGATATCGGGGCTGTAGGCTTCTCTTCAGCTGTCTGAAGAACATAACGATCGCAAAAGCACCAAATGACACAGCGCAAGTCAATTTGTGTGCCTTGTCTGCGTTCTTGATAAGATAGATGATCTTTGTCAGTGAGCTGCCGTGTGCAGCGCCGTTAGGGTCGTGTTCAAGAAGTGCAGTCATTCCAGTCTCGGGCAGGAGCTGATCGACGAAAATGACCACACCAATGGCGCTGATGAAGCCTCGAAGGAAAGGTCGGCTGAGAACGCTGTCTAGGAAGCCCAATCTGCAGAGACCAGCAAGTAAAATGATAGCTCCGGAAATTCCAGTGACCATGCCAGCGATTTGAGTGTTACTCGCAAAGTCATTGTCTCTGTGCTTTCCGGAACTGATGTTCTCACGCACAACTTGGCCAGTAAGGAGAGAGCCAGCAGCTTCAGGACCAACAACCAGTTGCGGTACGGTACCGAAGATAGCGTAGATGAATGGATTGAAGACAAATGCGTAGAGACCATTGATAGGTGGCAGATGGGCCAAATTCGAGGCATAGGACAGCGACATGGGAATATAGAAGGATGCCATTGTCAAAGCAGCAATCAAGTCACCGCGCAAGAACTTCCACTGGTACTGGCGGATCCAGTTGGTCACGGGGAGATAGTACTGAAGATACCTGGGAAGCAGGTTTAGAAAGCAGAAGAAGTGTATTGGGGAGGGAGATTGCTACATACATGGCCCGCTCACTCTTGACACCATGCTGCTTGGCTAGCCATCGAGTCGTGCTCATGTTACTGCCAGAACCGAGAGGTTCATCGAGCAGACTGTGAGGGCTAACGGTACCGCTCTCAAAGCCTTCCCTTGGGCCGTACGTGTCGGTACTGAAGGTGCTGCCGTAGTTTTGCATGAACTTGGGTCTTGCATCCCAGTTCTGCTGTTCTATGAGACGAGTGCGGACGGTGGGCTCCGACTGTTCGCCGTTGGACGTGGCATGCGTTTGTGATATGGCATCTGGCGACCGACTCCTATCCGCAGCGTCTAGGATCATGGAAGGGTTCTCAGGCGATGATAGGGTATGCGACATGCGCAAACCGGACGGGTTCGTGGGCGCATGGGCGAGCACCGGACGGGGTGTCGACGAGGACTGCGCAGGCGGCGTCGACTGCGACTTTGTCGGCGGCATAGTATCGAGAGCGCGCGTGGGACCGAGAGAGTCGATAGAATGTAGTTGGCCGAGACAAACAGAAAGACAGAAAATCGACGGCAGCAGGACAATCAAGAACAGCCCGAGCTTCTCAGGCAGCGGCACCTCTTCTCGACTCAGGTGCTCTGTAACTGACCGCAAGATTGCCGCACCTTTGGACCTATCGTCTCACTATCCTCAGCATCAAGGAACAGGCAATCCACGTTAAATCGCGCTCGAGGTATTTACCGTCGGATCTTCTTTTGTTCGTGACACCCCGCAGCTCCCAGTTCCAACAGACTGGTCAGCAGCCTCCTCGCGGCCAATTCATTGGTTACAGACCCTGCCAAGCCATGCGATGATGCGCCCCGCGTCATCATCTCCTGCATCTGCATCTGCCTGTCGGTGACCTGGAGCGTGTATACCGTCGGCAGAATCTCACTTTGCCAGAACAACCATAAGATAACCCTTGTTTCTCGTTCATCTCTGTATCTCAGCCCAGATCTATCATGCTGGATCCTCGGACTTTTCCTCGTCCACCTGCCTTGCAGCAGATCAAAAAGAACATTTTGATCAAGTTTCCCGGTCCTGATGGCCAAACAATTGCCTCCACCGACCGTGCTTTCTGGGTACTTGAAACCTATCATCCACCCACCTACTACTTACCGCCAGCCTCGATCAAGTTGGACATGACTCCCACATCTCGACGCACCTTTTGCGAATGGAAAGGCGTCGCCAACTACTTCACCTTCAAAACACCAGCAGGCGATCAAGTTGACAGCCGTGCTTGGTGTTACAACGAGCCAACTCAAACCTTTGCCGATATCAAAGGCTATGTATCATTCTATGCTGATCCGCGATGGGAATGTTACGTCGATGGAGAACTGGTCGAGCCCCAGCCAGGTGACTTTTACGGAGGCTGGATGACCAGCGATATCGTACGCAAGTCTGTCAAGGGCGCACCTGGTACTAGAGGATGGTAGAAGTCCACCTTGTATTCCGACTTGTTCTTTGAAACCCGCTTCCTGTGTGTGGACTGCTGTCCAATCGTCTTTATTATCACATACTGTAGCAGATTTTGTTCTTCCGGAAACTATCCTTCAACTCCTCGACACCAAGCAGCCCTTTCTGATATTGTACTCGTGCAGAGTATCTGTCTCCGAGGCCCGGATTCTTCTCGTGGGCTTCCATCGGTCTAAAAGTCAAATGCCTCCGGATGTCACTGGCAAAGGAGTCCGCGGAATTTGTCAACGGGGATTTCTCGTAAGTTTTGTATGCAACACGAACAACGTTCCGAGACACTTGTCCCCCACACCATTCTGCCCTATACCACACCACCCTGCCCTATACCATATGCTGGGGTCATTAAGATTCAATGCTCTCTCGGTCAGGTATTGTTTAGCTACTTGGGGTTACTGACCACATTCTGTTAGACGGCATTTCTAAACTCTACCTCAGCATCACGTCAATGCCAAGGGTACAAGCTCATCAACAGATGCTTGTCGTCGCCAAGGAACCTCTTATCGTCCAGCAAAACCGTTCATGGCGCCTCGACCCAGCTCCTCATGGCTCGAGCACATCGCGAGGACTCGTAACCTGAGCCGCCACATATTGGTTCGAGAAGATATCCCCCATAAGGTTGCTACTCGGAGCATCACGGACGTGGAGAAAGTGCGGAGTCTCCTCAAAGATATCAGCCGCCTCAATGCCACGCTATACCCAACACAGTAAAGACACTTCGCTAGCGTCGTGATCCCCATGGCACACGCAGTAATTCCCGGGGATAGCGAAGAGGTCGTTGAAGATATTTAAAGAGGGGGTGTGACCCAGTTCGTTCTCTCTTATCGCACTTTGTTTCTGCTGTCCATTGACTCCAGCTGGTGTTCTGCCAGCCCTCTACACGCATATCGCAACTTTCTTTTCGTCATTCCCATCTGTTCAGGTATGCGCCAACCTATTCGAGGCGTTTTGTCTGGGCAATGAGCTTGTCATGCTCTTGGCGCAATACCAAGCTCTGTCAAGCTCTCTCAGCATCGCATGGTGGATGAACCAGAGCTGATGACCGAGTAGATACACCCGCCACAATGGAGAAATACCCCGAGGCCGACCACCAGGAGCACATGCCTGCTACTGGTGAGACCGACGAGCATATGACCGCTGGAAGATACATCGCCACGCGCTTCTCCACACTCAAGCCTCCAATGACTAAGGTCGCCAACCCCATAAGCCTTTTGCGAATGCTCAACAGACAACAATGGCTTTTTTTTTCGGTCGCCTTTATTGCATGGACTTGGGACGGTATGCCATGATGACTATAATGTATACTCGATTCGTGCTAATTCCACTCAAGCCTTCGATTTCTTCACCGTCTCGCTGACAGTATCCGAACTTGCTAAGGAGTTCGGCAAAACCACAAAAGACATCACCTGGGGAATTACACTTGTGCTCATGTTCCGTTCTGTCGGCTCTATCGCCTTCGGTATCGCTGCTGATCGCTATGGACGCAAATGGCCTTTTGTTGTCAACAACATCCTGTTCATCATTCTTGAGCTCGGTACCGGTTTCTGCCAAACCTACAACCAGTTCCTTGCTGTCCGTGCTCTATTTGGTATCGCTATGGGCGGTCTTTACGGAAACGCTGCAGGTCAGTCGAATTGTGTGTCTTTGCATTTCGCATCACTAACAGATTCCAGCCACTGCACTTGAGGATTGTCCTGAAGAGGCTCGCGGTATCATCAGTGGAATGCTGCAGCAAGGTTATGCGTTTGGATACCTGCTTGCCGTAGTCTTCGCCCGTGCTCTCGTCGACAACACTCCCTACGGTGGATGGCGCCCTCTCTTCTGGTTCGGTGCTGGTCCTCCTGTTCTGATCATCCTGTTCAGACTGTGTCTGCCAGAGACAAAAGCGTACCGCGAACGTCAAGCTGTGCGTGAGTCTGGAAGTCCTAACATTGGAGGCACTTTCATCGCCGAGGGAAAGATCGCTCTCAAGCGCCACTGGCTCCTCCTGACTTATATGGTTCTGTTGATGGCTGGCTTCAACTTCATGTCTCACGGAAGTCAAGATCTCTACCCCACGATGCTCAAGAACCAGTACCAGTTCAACCCCAACTCTGTCACAATCACTCAGGTCGTTGCTAATCTTGGTGCTATTGCTGGAGGAACAACCATGGGCTACTGCTCTACCATTTTCGGTCGCCGTCTCACTATCATCGTGGCTTGCGTGGTTGGCGGCGCTCTGCTCTACCCCTACACCTTCACCTCCTCCAAAGCCGTCATGGCAGCTGCTTTCTTCGAGCAGTTCTGCGTTCAAGGTGCTTGGGGTGTAATTCCCATCCATCTCATGGAGCTGTCGCCCGGTGCTTTCAGAACCTTCGTCGTCGGTACCGCATACCAACTCGGCAACCTTGCTTCCAGCGCAAGTTCTACCATCGAGGCTCAGATTGGCGAGCAGTTCCCTCTACCTCCTATCCACAAGGTAGAGAGATACAACTATGGCAAGGTCATCTGCATCTTCCTTGGATGCGTTTATGCTTATGTCATTGTCCTTACTATCGTCGGACCTGAGTTCAAGGGCCGTGATATGAGAGTTATTCACGATGAGGACACTGCAGAGGCGCTCGGCACGACTTTCAAGGAGAAGCGTCAGGACTCGGAGTATGCTGATCGCATCGAGCATGTCTCGTAAGGCCGCAGCACGAGATCCATGAAATCTTCGGGATGGAGGTGGTGTTATGTGCTTCGATGTCGATATCAATCTGCTTTTTTTTATGTCAAGATACCACGATACGAGAATGAAATCATCTATACACTGTCAACACTCTCACCATGTCGAGAAATGCGTGACGCTTATAACTATAGAGACGCACAATGTTCTTAAGAGTAATGATCACTAAGAGGTAACCTAGTAGTTCGATTCCATCATCCTCGGTATAATGATTGACGTTAGCGGTGTCCTGACTAACAGTAGAGGCTACATTGAAGTATAGACTAGGGTAGTAATCGCCTTCCGCAATGGCTTCAAGAGCTTCTGCAGCGTCTTCATTACCGCTTCCTTCGTCATCGGTGGTAGTACTTATCTATTATAGACACTATTAGACATCTCTAGACGTCTGAAGTAATGTCCTTGCTACAAGAAGGCATAATGGTTTCGAGAAACAGGTTAATGTTTATTAGAGAAGCGACATACTTTCGGCTTTCTTGTTTCACGGCTGTGGTGTCGATGTTATTGTGCAATTCAATAGTGTCATATTGATCTGTCTTTGTATTTATTTCCTCTCGCGAAGATTTAGAGATGTCTTTTTACAGGACAAAGGCGTGTTGGTTTTGGGAAACAGATTAGTATCTGTTGATGAAGAACAGCCTCATGTCTTTCTTTGGACACAACTGAGGTGTCGAAAAGATTGTGCGTTTTTACAGAGAAAAACGACGCTCTACATATGATCGAGGGAGAGTGGAAAATGGAGAAGAAGTTGGTCAAGAGGACGCAGCGAAGGTTTGGAAGATCAGATCAGGAAGGAGAAGCCGAAGAAAGGAATACGTGGGAAGGAAGGCACGTTTTCATACCACCGATCTTCGTTTGTCTCGTACAATGTACGACCCACGAGGTCAATCCACGTTTTTCTTGAGGAGAGCCAACTAAGAACCACAGGCAAGACAATGAACGAATCGGGATTAAGAGATAAAAGTAAAGATCATAAAATTCTAGCTTCGTAGCTATATCTGGTATATAAATCATAAAGGCTTTTCTTTATCCAAAAAGATACCCTGGGTATTGGTCGACCCTCCCAAAGAACGCCTGTGCTAAGTCGTAAAAGTGTTTGTTTGCAGCAAATGTGAGGCAGCGCTTAGATGAAAGCAGAGGTGAAAGACTTGACCTTGCCCTTCCAGCCGGTAACCTTGACCGCTTCCTCCTCCTCGTCATCCTCGAAGATGCGCATGTCTGTTACAACATCCATATCGGAGGCGGACACCCAGAGCTTCCACTCGCGAGTCCAAACCTTCCATCCAACGTAAAGGGTGAAGATGACGGGGCCGGCGAGGTACGATTCGAAGAAGTTGGCAGCGTCAGGCTTGCCACCGATGGGGAACAGAGCAACGTAGAACTGAGCAACGAGACAGATAACGTTGAGGAAGAGGCCGATGTAACTGCCGATGACACCGAACTTGGCCTTGTAGGGGAGCTGCTCGACATTGCGGCCAGAGTGAGCCCAACCCTTGCGGAAGCGGATGTGAGAGAGGTTGATGCTGCCCCAGACGAAGAAGTTGGCGAGACCAGTCAGGGACAGGAGCCAGGTGAAGAGGACGCTGCCTGCGGCTGCCAAGTTGACAAAGGCGAGAAGACCCATGGCCATCTGCAAGATGATAGTAGGGATGGGACGACCCTTCTTGTCAACATAAGCCAAGAACTTAGGAGCCATGCCTCTTGCTGCAAGTGCTTGAATGGTACGAGTAGATGCGAAGGCAGAACTGTTGGCAACACTAATAACCGAGATTGTGATGACAGCGTTGAAGACCGATGGCAAGATTTTGATGCCGGCAAGACGGATGGCGATGACGAATGGAGAATAGTTAGAGTGAGCTCCGTGTGCATGAAGCAAATTGGGGTTGTCTGAAGGAACGACAAGACCGAGGATGAAGAGGCCGACGATGTAGAAGAAAGCGATGCGCCAGAAGACTTGCTTGACAGCCTGGGGAAGGGCTTTTCTGGGGTTGGCGGACTCTGCAGCTGCAAGACCGACCAACTCAGTACCACCGAAGGCGAAGGAAGCGGTAACGAAGACACTGCAGAAGCCCTTGAAGCCATTGCGGAAGGCTCGTCCCTCTCCCCAGTACGAGACCCCAATGTAGCCTCTAGTATCAGTCGGGACACCACCGACGTCAATCACAATACCGAGGATGATGAAACCAATGCAGGCCATGATCTTGATGATCGACAGAACGAACTCGACCTCGCCGTATGCTCTCACACCAAAGAACTGAATTGCGCAGAGAGCAACGAGGAAAATGGCGATCCATACACCAACGTTGATGTGGGCAGCTCCTTTCCAGAAGTCGATAGTGATAGAAGCGGCGGTAAGTTCGAAAGGAAGGATGGTCAACCATTGAATAGCGTATTGCCATCCAATAGCGAAACCCCAGGACTCGGAGATGAAACGGCATGCATAACTGAGTAGAATGTCAGCAAGATGATTCCCAAACAGGGAATTGATGTAGACTTACGTGAAGAATGCTCCGTTAACAGGATAAAGCACAGTCAATTCTCCCAAAGCTTGCATTGTGCACATCAACATGATTCCAATGATTGAGAAGCCAATGATCAACGACGCAGGACCTCCAGTAGAAAGCGCACCGCCTGCTCCGACGAAAAAACCAGCCCCAATGGCGCCACCAATAGCGATCATTTGCATGTGTCTGTTCTTCAAAGAACGTTTCAGTTCGTTCTGACCACTCTGAATTTCATATTCAGGTGTCTCTGTGACGGTTTGGGCAAGGCCCTTCTCGGCATCGAAAGCCTTGTTTGCGTCCATATTGCGGACTGTAAAGAGTGTAGAAGGAAGAGTAGAACGAAGGTGTCGAACGAATGACTGGGTAGTTGTGCTTGTCTGCTGATAGAATGATGGGGAGGACGGCCATGGTATAGATATTTAAGTCAGGTCGAGCACTCCAGGTGTGTGTGCTTCTAGAACCGAGTGGCGCATCTCGAACCGCTGAAGGTTTTGGTAGAAGTTCACGCTAGTCAAAGCACCAACGGCCCCTCGCATGACAAGACCATTTACAATTTGGCATCTCGGCCTAAGCATCCAAGTACGCAGATCCAGCAGGACGAGCAAGATGTCCCAAGATAGGCGATATACTTGGTGAGGCTTGGTGTTAGAATTCAGAATTTTGGTGCTCTCTCGACATTGAAGCCTCGAAAACCAGACTCGTGAAATTGCAACGAAGACTTCATTCACTTACAATAAATGCTGTTTGCGTGCTTTTGTCGGAGTTCCGATCTCGCACAACGATAGATGATATTTGGTGCGTTGTTCTTGTGTCTCGCGAACGCAAAAGATAAAGATGGCAGGAGTGAGCCAATCATGGGGTCGAGACACAAGCAAGGTCCACGCGATGACCATACGAAAATCATGGTATGAGCGTCAAAACCCATTAGCGCAAACATTGGCCATCTTCTCCATGGGGTTGTCTGGTCGGTGCACTTCCAGTTTTAAGCCTCGCGGTCCAGATGGCGTTCCGGCGCTGCCAGACCCGTCGATAGCCGTGGCGAAACAAAGTATTTGCCAGTAGACAAGATCGAGACCATCTGCGTAACGTCGGCACAGCGCTATACCAAAGTCACATCGTATTGTCAGAGACAGCCGGTACCATGGGGTATCGCGATAAGGTCTTGTAGTCTGACATCTTGGTCGTGCGAGCTGCGGAGAAGAGCAAACCACCAAGGGGAGCTGAGAAGGGAGAAGCGATTAGAGAAGCACCGAGTATTTGGCCGTAGAGTTAAGAGTCGATAGAGAACATTCGTTGTTTATCGATGCGCTGTGAGATCCGGAGCTCATTCCATTCCTGTTGGCTTGCGAGATTTTGTTTAAGCTCTGGTCGCTGCGCAGGTCACTCCTTGCTCCAAGCCCATTTCCAAGCTCTTTCACTCGATTGACTTGATCGATGTAATTGTGGTTGAAACATTTGTCTCTGCAGACAGTCGGTAAATACAGGCTTCGGACGGTGCAAGCTTCGGACATCGAGAGCACGTGCTCATTCAGCTGTTTAGCCCAACTACCTGCGTTTGTTATCAACTCCTCCAAGATACACATTCAACCCGCCAAGGTGAGAAAAGAGGAAATGAGAAGAAACGTACAACAATTTGACCGAGCATCCCTCCGTCTTCTTATCAGACAGCCATGTCTCTGGTACTTACGAATTACAATGCGCCATCCTGACCAACGGAAATGATGTCCTCTCCCCATGGCGGCATAGAACGACTTGTGGACCATAGGAATGCATAAGGGTCTCTGCTTCAGAAGAGTAGCCAGAGAGAGTCGATACCAGGCCGCCTCTCAGTGGACATTGTTCCGTCCCCCAAAGGCCTTGTGCATTATTACTGCACGCTTCACACGCACCAGCCCATAGGGAGAGTGCATTCGCAAGGCATGAGAGGAAGTTTATTGCGTGTCATGGGTCTTGACATAAGAGCAGATTGATATCAACATCGATGCGTCTTTACATCGACATCCATCCTGACTTGTGCCTCCTCGGAAAAGTGCGAACTGGTCCATTTCATGAAGGTCTCTGCAACGAGTTCGCGTTGGAAACCCCAGAATTCTGGCTCTAAGCATTTCCTAAAGAAGACTCCACGCTCAAGCAATTGAAGCGAAAGCACGACGTACATCTTTCGGCAGTCCTTGCGCGAAGCCAAAAGCACCGGTCTGTGTGCACTGAGTTGCCGTTTTTTTAGGACGACATTCATGTAGCTTCGAGGGTGACAGTCGTTCCTGTCAGCAAGATCTACACTTCATTGTCCAAAGACTTGGGGCAGCCAATTTACGAGGAAGCGAATGGCCTTTCCAGATGCGCTCACCATTCTCGTCTCTCTCGACCATTTGTGTACGTCTCCACGCTCTGCGGCGAACCCTCTTCCTTGCCGGAACCATCGTTGGCTAGAGTTGCGAATTCTTTTCGGTCGTCCTCGTCGCCGACTTCGTCATACTCGACATGGTCTTCTCCATCGGAAAGGTTTTCTGGCTCATCGGCGTTATCAGTGGGATCTCGCTCGGCGTCAGACTCGGATCCCTCCATGACACACCCCCATACGCTGAAGTTTGTAACGCTTACAGCTGTAAAGGTACATAGTGGTCTTGAGAGACGAGTCGTCTCCACCGAGAAGCGACATCACATTGCGTCTCTTGGACGACGCCTCTGCTCTGGAAGCAACTGTGCAGTTCTATAGTGGGTATCCACGCTCTTCAACTTCGTGGGAGTACGTCGGAGGTTGCAAAATTTAGCACAGGGAGATTGGCACATACTGTCGGAATCAATAACAAAAGTTGACGAACGAGGTCTCATTGCTAACCTTTGCCTCTGGCGCAGATTTGGCCGTCTTCTCAGCATACTCAAGAGATTCGATAGTGTCTCGACTAGACCTTTCCAGCAACTCTGGTCTCGATGGCATTGGTTGAGGCTTGCTTTGGCTCTGTCCTGGGCTTGGTGAAAGATCGTAATCTAGTGCTGGCCGTCTAGACCCAGGGTCACCGTTTCACAACGACGTGACAGCTGGGTACTGTATGATATCTGTATTCTGGTTGCTACAGTTCTGGATAGGCCTCACACATGGCCACATACAAACATGCGGACAGCCACAACTATATCGTTCTATAAAACCCTCACCATTCTGTTAACCTTCTTACATACCATTAGTTAAAATTTTGCTAAAGGCCCTCGGGCAGCACAGAATCCGACAGCAAAGATGTGGCCTGCCATGGCTATAAAAGTAATGGCAAAAACGATAATCACGAGAGCCTCTAAGCCTTATTAGTAAGACGTCTCTTAATTCTAGCATACTAGTTATTCTCGCATATAAAGATAATGAACGAAAAACAGCATATATAGCTAAGTAGAATGTTAGTAAGATAATTCTTAAATAAAGAATTAATATAAACTTATATAAAGAATGCTTTATTAATAAGATAAAGTATAGTTAATTTTCTTAATGCTTACTTTATGTATATTAACATTATCCTGATAATTAAGAAGCTAATAATTAATAATATAAGTCCTTTACTTAAGAAGGCTAATTTACTACTAATAAAGAAGCTAGCGTTAACTATGCTATTAATAATGATTATCTAGATATATCTATTCTTTAAAGAACGTTTTAGTTTGTTTTAACTACTTCAGATTTAAGTATATCTAGCTGCTGATAATAGCAAAGGAGCTAAAAAAAGAAGCCCGTTATCGAAGCAAGGAGACAAAAAATATGGACGACTAGGGGATCGAACCCTAGACCTTCAGCATGCAAAGCAGACGCGCTACCACTGCGCCAGACGCCCATTGATGGTAAATCAGACATCATTTTGATATATAATCCTCACCGATGAAGCAATCTAGCAACACGGTCCGCCAACTCACTGCCATGTTCTGAAGGTTGCCATCATCGCCAGTCTCGGATATTATAAGATAGTAGAGGTCGAGGGGGAGCCATAGTCGGCAGCCAGGTTTTCTTAGACTGCGGGCAGGGATGCGCCAGACGCCCATTTCGATGCGAGGTCAATAGCGTCAAGAAATATGAGGTTGTTGACATCTCTGACCGAGGCTCCACCAAGGCTTCACCTGACCATGTAGCCCAAGGCGCCGGCATGGGGGGCTCTTGCGACCTTGCGTATAGCACTCGGCACAGCAGGCTCTTGATCTGGTGGAGGCCACGGATGTTTTGTTCAATCTGTGTTCTGTGTTCTGTGTTTGAGACGGCAACAGAGGTAGAACATTATGTCTGGATAAAGTACGAACGAGAATTGAAAATCTCTTCGTCATCAACCTGCCAATTCTGACAATGAGCACCACACCACACCACGTGCCAGATATGCTATTCAACTGATACACTGCAAAATGGACCCTAGAACGTGATCATACCGTTCTTGGAGACACTATTTTCACTTTGAGGTTATTGGTGTCTGCTTTTGATGCGACAAACTTGAAGTTGCTGTGTCATTGCAGCGTACTCTAGCTGGGCTTCATGGATAACGCTTTTGGGAAAAGATAATGGCACTTTTCTCCATTAATATTAATTTTCGATGCCTATCGTAACTAGAATATGAACAATAGAGACAGGTTCACCTGCTAACACCATCTAGACCATATAAAGATGCGTGTGCGGACTTGTACAACAAAATGACGAGTGAGAACTTATGTTAATGTGATGACCCTGACTCAGCAGCACATCGAGGCCAAGATGGAAGGTGCAACCGAGAATGCCTCAATCTCTCATAAAGTGCTTATAGTTATTCGTCGGTGGTACTTCTGTGCTCAATGTAGAGGTCTGAGCTATTGAGCACTCTTTTCGATCAAAACCATGTTTGTGCGCCGCTTACACCTCATGACGGCCTCAAGTCTGTATGTATGACCCTTGTATGTACACCCTTCTCCCTGCTCCTCAACCCATGCTCCTCAACTCCACCATAGCCAACTCAGAAATCTCGGCAGCAGAATCCAACTAAGTAGCATGAGCCAAATCAGCAAGCCGATCAATCTTGGGAGTCAAATCTGCAATTCTGAACGGCTTGCTAATCGAGTCGTCCATGCCTGCCGCAATAGCCATACTAGTCTGTTCAGGCCTTGCATTTGCCGAGACACTGAGTATAGGCACATGGCCCTTCAACTCGCCGCTCCTCTGCATTTCGCGTATCGTTTTCGCCGCGGTGAGACCATCCATAACTGGCATTTCAGTGTCCATGAGGATGACATGGAGTTCTTTTTGTGAAACGTCTGTTGTAGTAGAGTTGGTGAGTTTGTTCCAATACTTGGTCTGGCGCAGAAAGTCAACGGCTTCTTGGCCATTGTCTGCTGTCCAGACCACATATCCTTTGTTTGTGAGTTGTCGTTTGAGTACTTTTTGATTCACTGCGTTGTCTTCCGCCACTAGGACATGGATCTGTGATGTCTCCGCGCTGAAGCTTGCTTGAGCATTTCCGCTATGGGGACGTAGAGGAAGCTCGCTCTTGGGTCGTTGTTCTGCTGGCGGTGCGGCCGAGCGTGTCTTTACGAAGAATGCAAACGTCGACCCAACATCGAGTTCGGTTGCGATTCCTAACAGCTGTCAACGATTTGTTTTACTTTGTACAGGTGATCTTGAAGCTTACCGATCTCGCCACCTTGAAGCTCTGCGAGTTCTCTGCTGATATAAAGACCTAACCCTGATCCTGAGATACGTGTAAGTTTTGGGAATGCTTTGATTTGATAGTGATTGTTGTACGAACCGCCATATTTGCTATATGTTCGCGGAGATGCCTGTTGGAAACGCGAGAAAAGCTTGGTTTTCTCCTCGGGCTTGATGCCTCTTCCTGTGTCCGTCACGGTAAACCAGATAAAATACGTTTCTGGACCCGTGCATAGCGCTTCAGACTCGCGTACAGTATCGCTTAGGGTATGTGGCAATGCAAAGTCTATGGTCGAAGACAGGCTGCCTTCTGAAGGACGCTTCTTCGAGGAGCCCATGGTGATAGCAACGCGTCGCTTCGGTTGATCTTTCGTACTGCAATGAGGTCAGTGTCCGGATACTAGAACCACACGCAGGTGTACTCACAACTTCAATGCGTTGGTGATCAAATTGATCAGGATTTGATGTACTCGTCCGGTATCAAGCATAACGTTGTCGACGTTCATCGCTAGGATCGAGGGATCGGCTTGAATTTGAAGCTCAATGTCCGCACGACCAGCCTCTATTTCAAATATGCGTTGCATGTCATCCAAGATACTTGTGGCACGAATTGGAGACTGGTTTATCTCTAGAAGGTTGCTGTCAAGCTTGGACAAAGTTAGAAGATCATCGACGATCCTATCAAACACAAAAGTCAGTTCGTATAAATGACTTGTGGTTACATGGTTGCATACCGTTTCTGATGACTGGAACACGACGTGATGATTTGCACAGCTTCTGCACTACTTGCAACCAGTTCGTGTAGACGCTGGCCCGATTGATCTTCAAAAGCCTGTGATGTGTTCATGATGGACTTTATCTCTGTTAGAGACTCATCTATGGCATCAGCACAGTGCACGACTGCTCCAAGAGGATTCCTGATCTGTATATAGGTCAGTATGAGTGTAATGACTGTCCAAACGATTGCAGATTGTACCTCACTAGAAGCAAAAAGTCAGCAGTGGTAACCAGACATGACAATTCTCACTTACTGGGAAGTCATGTCGATGAAAACCTCGTTCTGACGCTTGGCTTCGAGGGCTTCTTCGACTCTGGATTTCTGCACATTCTCTGCCCACTTCAAGTGGCTGATGTCCGTTGTAGTTGTCATGATAGCCTTGACTGCACCGTGCTCGTCCAATTCGGGATGGGATACAGACGAACCCCATGATTGGTATCGATGTCCATCACCACTAAGAAACATTCGACGAAACCTGAATTGTATCGTCTGAGGTTCGTGTGTGGTCAATATTCGTTGGAATGAGCTTCTGATTGTTGGCAGGTCCTGTTCGAGGATACCATCGGTCCAGGAAGAGTCCAATTGACTGACAGGTACAGGTGCGATGCCCAACATCTCAAACCAAGCACTGTTACAGAAGCTGATCGCTCTGCTCGGCAGCTCGATGATGTGTACAGCTACTGGAGAGCTGGCAGTAAAACGAACAAATCGTTGCTCGCTGGCACTCGCTCGTTCAAGGGCTTGCAGTGCTTGGAGAGCATCATTTTCAACCCTCTTTTGAGCATCAATATCAGTTGTGCACCCAGCTGTAACAGCATCAGTCTTGACCATTTGACAGAACTCGAGGAACCTTACCAACACTGACGATGTTGCCGTGCTCGTCCATGACAGGAAGACATACGGCAAGAATCCAGCGACCTTCAGGCCGATCTGGATGCTTCCATCTCATTTGATACTGAGTACAAGTTAGTATTCTGGTAGCCGTTTCAAACCTGACCATGACGTACAGTGACTGGTTTACCAAGGAGCATACTGTTGAAACCATTCATGACCAACTCCTTATCGTCGTCGTGAACATATTCCAGCCATTGAAATGCAGGAACCGATGCACTCGGTCGAGGAACCAATGAAAGTCGATACCAGGAATCATTGGCCTCTAGCAGGTTTCCCTCCTTATCGCAGCTAAAGATGCCAACATCGCTAAGCTCCATAACCTTGACGAGATGACTGTATTTAGCGCTTATTGTTTTGGCCTTCTTCTCTCGCTGGGCGAGTTCGAGCGCTGCAATTTCCTTCCTTCTGAGCGAGTGGATGGAGCTTCCGATGGTTCTACGCAGCTCCTCGCTCCAATTCTTGTACGCAGTGTCGAAATTCGTCCGAGTAGAAACTCCTAGAACCAGTAATGCCCTCACTTTGTGATACCGAGTGGACTGGAGAGGAAGAACCACAGCTTCTGTACAAGCATCTCCCCAGCTACGTGTTCGTGCTGCGTTCGACCAAGACTCTGGCAAGGTGCCCTCGTCCGTTGTCAGAAGAATTGAATCTTCCGTTGTCACAGCTGAGCTCAAACTTTGGGTGAGACGATCTTTGCTAGTTCCGTTCAGGCTGAGCACATTCGTGGCTCCGAAGTCGTTTGCAATATTTCCAACGGAGCCTTTCAGTTGGAAAACTAACTCGCCATTATCACCGGCCTCAGCCTCGCGTGCGTAAAGGAGAGCAAAAGGACAATCGTGTTCTCTAGAACGATACAACAGAATTAGCGATTGACCTGGCTTGAAACATTCTGGGCCTCATCGAAAGACATGGCGAACAAGTACCCTCAGCCATTTTGTACATACCTCTTAGATAAGCTTTCAAGTATGGTTTTCCACAAGGAAGACATGTCTGTAGCTAAGTTGATGGAGGAACCCAAGCTTTGACAGGTTTCGTGCCTTCTGTCCGACAAGCGTTTCTCGGTCTCATCACGAAGAATGACCGAAGTTCCAGTAAGAGAGCCGCTTTTCTTAGGAAAAGGCACAAACACCCAGGACATGTGAATCTCGAGCAGACGCCCGCCTCTCATCATTGGCAAGCAAACATCCCGCTTGATATATGGTCTACCAGTACTGGTGGCTTTATCCAAATCAGATAACGCCAATTCGTAGGTCTCTGGGAAAACGATCTGCATAGGTCGTCCGATGGCTGCGGGATGCTTTTCGCCGATGAACTCGGCGTACGCTTCATTGTATAGAAGCAAGTATTCAGGGCCAAGAACAAGTATCCGAGGTTGCGGATCCAGAATAATCAGATGGAACAGGAGTAAGAGCTCCGGTGGCCAGTCATCGACAGGACCTAATGAAGTAGCAGCCCAGTCGACTTTCTGAATCAAGCGCAGATGGGCATCCGTTTCCAGAGAGCCCGATGGCTCGAATATGTGAGACGCCATGGTTCTCGGGACTTTCTGGTTATGTTGTCGAGTGTTCCACACTGTTGTTGTACTCGAATTAAACTGCGAGGTGTCACTGATCGCGGCCGTGTTTCATCCGCTCCGGCAGACTGGCCAAGTGAAGGGACGACCGCGGCAAGGCACGCTTTCGCTGGGATCGCAATGTTCAAGTTGTCCACCACCTCCGGTAGTGAAAGGAATGCAGTCTGCGTACATTTGACAGAACTGCGCAGACATACTCAGATTGTTCGCAACGGGCGACTCTAACCCAATGTGAGCCCGCACGGAAGCCGGTCCAGACCTCCGTCGTCCGTATGACGCGTTTGTTTTGTTTGCGGAAGAGCACTTCGCGAAGCTTTCTTCTCGAAGCTTTCCCAAAACGAAAACGACTTTTGCAGCAACTTTTTAGCCAAATTTTTTACCATCATCACAATCGCATATCAACACTAATATTTCTTTACCGAAATCTTCCTAAAACTATCATGGACCCTCAACAGCCTTCGGAACAGTCGCAGCCCAGCAAGCGCATCTACATTGGAAACCTCCCTTACTCAGCCCAAGCCGAGGATGTGGAACAATACTTGGAGGAAGCTGGATTCCAGATTGAACGTCTGGACATGTCTACCGATCCTTTTACTGGCAGAAACCCATCATACTGTTTTGCCGAATTGTTTTCCGTAGAGGAGGCCGAGAGAGCCATCAGCTCGCTTCCTGGTGCAAGCTTCCAGGGCCGTCCCCTCAGGGTCAATGTGCATACACCAAAGACTCGTGGAGCAAATGGCACAAACACTCCTCTGCGTACCTCTACAAGATCGCCTTTCTCTGCTGAACGCGCATGGAGAGGCTCCGGTGCTGCCGAGACCCCTTCCAAGACTGGCGAACGCAATTCCTATGCTTTCAACCGCTGGGAGCGCAATGACGCTGCAGCTCACTGGACTGCACCCGTAGAGAACGGCTGTAGACTCTACGTTGGTGGCCTGCCACGAATTGATGGCCAGGAAGTCATCAACGAGGAGATGAAGGCATTGTTCAGCGACTACGCAGTAGAGGCTGTTAGCAAGTTGATCTCACCGCACGAGTCCACAGCAACCTTGCCCGGTGATCATCACTACTGCTTTGTCGATTTCGCCACCACCGAGGATGCGCAAGCGGCTGCCAATGCCGTGAATGGAGCCACAACCTCTACTGGAAACAAACTAAAGGTCAACATGGCTAGAGAGAGACCCAACAGAGACAGAAAGGTCGTAAGAGAGCAGAACTTGCCTCAAGTGGAGAAGCCTGTGCCAGTCAGAGATTTCGGCTCGAGCTGGCGTAGAGCCAACTAAGGGTTGGAGGACGCTCAGGAGTGGATTCGTCGATTAAAACCAAGCAGGAAGATGGACACCCGCTGTTTTTGTGGTTGCATGAGACAGCAGCAGGAAGTGTTTGGTCGATTTCATTCTTTTCATTTTCGTCACTTCTCTGCATCGATACCCCATTGTAAGCCACCAGGCTTTGGTTTAAGTTTCGTTCGTTTTTGAAGGAAGCACTTGCATGATTAGAAAAACAAACTTGGGAAGCCTTCTCAATTCCACCAGAAACTCATGCTGAAGCTCGTGCTAAGACTTTCCACGTAGTGCCACCATCCTACAGGGATGTATAGACACTCGCCCGGGCCCAGTACACCCTCTATGCAATTTGCTTCCTTGAAAGCTGGGTATTGTTCCTCGAACTTCTGTTTCTCTATTTCGTCTGGTTGGTCTTGCTCGCCGAGTGTATATAACCTCTTTGCAAGCGAGATATCGATATGTGACGTATTCTCCATGTTCACGCCAGTCTCGTCGATACCACGGGGATAAAGCTTTGTCGTTTCCGAAGGCGCATAGAGGCGAACGTATTTATGGCCCACGACTTGGCATAGTATATTGTGATAAGGGTCTGTGTGCAGCGGACTGATAGTACCCGCAGGCCCTAGCCAGGCATTGCGAAGAGGCTCGTCAAGCGTCTCAACTTTGAGCGTAGAAGAGAGAGGTTCGGGTGGTGGAGGAGTTGTGTAACAGTAGTCTGGCGTATTCGTGTCTGCACTCAGGCTCGGGATTTGAGTAAAAAGGTCATGCTGAGCAAGATAACCAGTCCTTTCTTGCTTGGGTTGCAAGAGATGGCTTTCCATATATTCAGCAAAGGTCATGATGCGTTGAGACCAGTCATCGTCTGTGTAGCTCCTGCCCAGCTCGACTGGTACCAATCGTCGACCTCCAAGTGTAGCCTTGAGTAGGTACGACGGATCACTCCACTGTCGATGTGGAGTTGCGACTGCAGGCCAGTCATCGATCACACCTTTTATTATGATTGGTGTCGTCTTGGTGTCGATATGTTGTTGAAACTGCAGGAAATCTAGCCTCTCGACATGAATAAAGGTATCTTTCTGTGACTGGGGTATTGGAACGACAGGAAATGTATGGGAGATGTCTTTGTGCTCGTTGGGGTCAAGAAAAAGCTGCAACGAGTCGAAGATACTTAGGATGAGTTGGTGACGCTGAGGAGCACCAGTGAGAATGATTGCCATGTCGAGCAGATAGACCAGTCGGGTGATGTAATCATGTTCAAGTGGTGGTGAAGCAGAGCGCTTGCGCTTGTGACGGCGCGCACCGTGGTCGTTCAGGATTGCAACTGCCTGATGCAGACTGGCATCCTCATACAAACGACGCCAACATAGTGGAACACTGTCGAATCTCCAGGTATGCAATTTCTGGTGAGCCAGAGCTAGCACGTCCTCGGGTCGCTTCTGAATGATACTCAGTGGCGCATGACCACACTCATGGATGTGATCTTCTGGAGATAAAGAGGTCAGAGCACTCTGAATCCCGTCGGCCAGAGACAGGTGGGATAGATTTGGCATGTTCTGAATGGTAAGGTCGCAAGGTCGAGGCGGTTAGGCATCTCGGGGGTTTGATGGAAAGGCCGCATCCAGCGGGGCAAGTGCAGCCGAAGTTTGCATCATGTTTGCCAAAAATTAATCGCGGCGCAAAGAATGGTCTGCTAACTCTCTGTCGCAAACCCAAACACGATACAAAATGGCAGCAGAAAAGATGGCGACAGAACAAAAGACGACGGACAAGTCGTCAGCAAGGGCATGGGACGGACTCACACCCGCACTGTCGAGTTGGATGCTGGACGCAATCTCCAGCATGGGCTTCCAGCGCATGACCCCAGTCCAAGCAAGCACCATTCCCTTGTTCATGACCCACAAGGACGTCGTCGTCGAGGCCGTCACTGGAAGTGGCAAGACTCTTTCCTTTCTCATCCCCGCTATCGAGCGTCTCCTACGAGTTGACGAACCCATCAAGAAGCACCATGTCGGCGCCATCATCATCTCTCCAACGAGAGAACTCGCTACTCAGATCCACTCCGTTCTCGTCTCGCTATTACAGTTCCATCCTCCATCAGCCGCTGCCCGACCGAAGGGCATCGACGACGATGACGAAGAAATGCTCGATGAGAACGCTCCTCCGAAACCCACCTTTCCTTCGTCAACCCCCAAGGTTGTGCCACAATTGCTCCTCGGAGGCACGACAACGCCCGCTCAAGACCTGTCCGCTTTCATTCGTACATCGCCGAATCTCCTTATCGCTACTCCAGGTCGCTTGTTAGAGCTACTCTCTTCACCCCACGTACACTGCCCCCAGTCTTCCTTTGAACTCTTGATCATGGACGAGGCCGATAGATTGTTGGACCTTGGTTTCAGTGACACTCTGCAAAAGATCCTGTCAAGACTGCCTAAGCAGAGAAGAACAGGTCTCTTCAGTGCCAGTGTGTCTGAAGCTTTGGACCAACTTGTTCGTGTAGGTTTGAGAAACCCTGTCAAGATCGCAGTCAAAGTCAAGAGTGCTTCAGGAGCGCACGACAAGCGTACACCTGCCAGTTTGCAGATGGCATATTTGGCCACAACTCCTCGTATGAAGCTACCTGCTCTAAGCCGTCTGCTCACTCAACTCCCATCGACACCTCAGAAGACTGTCGTCTATGTCTCGACATGCGCAACAGTCGATCACTACCAACACATCCTTTCCGAAGTCCTGCCAAAAGAATTCAGAATCGTCCCTCTACATGGCAAACACCCGCCAAACGTACGCACCAAGAACTTTGGCAAATTTGTCAATTCGCTCGAGCCGTCCATCCTTCTTACCACCGATGTCGCTGCCCGAGGTCTGGATATTCCCGCCGTCGATCTCGTAGTACAACTGGATCCACCTAGCGACCCCAAAACATTCCTGCACCGATGCGGGCGTGCAGGTAGAGCGGGAAGAAGAGGTCTGGCTGTGACATTCCTGAGCAAAGGCAAAGAGGAGGACTATGTTGAATTCTTGCGCATCCGGAAGACACCTATTTCACCGCTTACAGCACCTGCTATCGAGCCGACAGAAGAGGAGGCCAACGAGAGTACACAAAAGATCCGGGAGGTGCTCAAGTCGGATCGAGCGCTTCACGACAAGGCACAGAGAGCATTTGTGAGTTGGGTGCAAGCATACAGCAAACACTCGGCAAGCAGTATCTTCCGAGTGCAAGACCTAGATTGGGAGGAGTTGGGACAGAGCTGGGGTCTCCTTCGACTCCCTCGAATGCCCGAGCTGAAGAAGTTTCAGGGAGACAAATTGCTCGGGCAGCAAATTGATTGGGACACATTTGCATACAACGACAAGAAGCGGGAAGAGCACAGGTTAGAAGAGTTGGCGACACTAAAGGCCAACGGAGGCCGGGCGGACAAGAGAGCGGGTGACGGCAAGACCAAAGAAGAGAGGAGGAAAGACCGGGCTTGGACAGCACAAAAGGATGCGAAAGCGACAAAGGATACACGTCGCGAGATCAAGCTGGCACGCCGTGAACATGAGAGGCAGAAGGGTCTCACGCCAGAAGAGAAGAAGAAGGAGGCAGAACTGCAAGCTATGATCGAGGAAGTGAGGGCGAGAGGAGAGCCAGAGAGCGAGTTTGAGGGATTCGACGACTGAGCGTAGACATGATATCAGATGAAAGGTGGCTTATCGCGTGACAAAAGAAATGGCGGTGACTTGTCAAAAGCGGACGTGTGATGCTTTGTGAGGCTTGCAAGCTTGGGCGTGACGATGATGCGGCCGAGGCGTTTGGCAGCGTCCCGAGTCGCTCAAGGCAGGGACCTTTTGGTTATCAGGACGCACCGACTCTCGCTCCTTCCTTTCTTCTTTGACTAGGTATATGGACATTTCTATCTGAACATGCGCGACCCATTTCCTATCGCTTGCCCGCAGTGGCTCGCCGAGGCGACTCGCCCACTAGCAGACAAGCTGTCGCTGCCCACGCTGCCCCTGCACATACACGAGGTCCTCCTTGCCGTAGTCTTCTACCAGACCATCAACGCCGTGGTCGCGCCTGCTCTCTCCCGCCGCTTCTTCCCTCAGGCCTACAGCTCCTTCAACCATCGCACGCGTCTCAACTGGGATGTACATGTCGTCTCCATGGCCCAGAGCTTGCTCGTTAACACAACCGCTCTGTGGATCATGTACTATGACACGGATCGCAACAACATGAACTGGGCTGGTAAGATCTGGGGCTACGACGGCGCCTTGGGCTTCCTCCAGAGTCTGGCTGGTGGCTACTTCATGTGGGACCTGTTCATGTGTACATACCACATCAACATCTTCGGCCCTGGCATGCTTGCACACGCCATTTCAGCCTGCACTGTCTTCTTCTTCGGCTTCGTAAGCTCCTATTTTCTCGAGCAGTCTTTGTTCCAGCTGACTGACTTGTCATAGCGCCCCTTCCTCAACTACTACGGCCCCGTCTTCATCCTCTACGAGCTCTCATCCCCCGCCTTGAACATGCACTGGTTCATGGACAAGCTGAACATGACCGGCAGCATCTACCAGCTTATCAACGGCATCGTGCTTATCTCAACCTTCTTCTTCTGTCGCCTTGTCTGGGGCTCCGTCAACTCCGTTCTTGTCTTCAGAGATATCTGGACCGCCATGCAAAACGGTGGTGTCGTTGGCCTCGACGAGAACCTTGGCCTCAAGTACGGTCTTGACCAGAACATGTCAGCCATCACCCCTCAGGACCTGCCCTACACTGGCTCTGAAGACATTATGCGTTTTGCCGGCTCTCGTTCCCTTCCCGCCTGGCTCGCATTGAGCTACTTGGCTTCCAACATTGTGCTCAATGTACTCAACTGGTACTGGTTCGCCAAGATGATCGAGGCTCTTCGCAAGCGTTTCGACCCTCCCTTCGGCACAAAGCGCCCGGAGAAGAAAGAGATAGCTGTTGAGGAGAAGACACAAGAGCCCGAGATCGAGATACAACGTGGTCTGGACGCCGATGGCAGAAAGTCTATTGAGATCACCGGCATCCAAAGTACTCCCCCATCGGTTAGATCGAGACGTAGAGGTTAGATCTGTTAAAATCAGTCTACTAACCATTTGGTTATGACATATTTTCTGAAGTCCTATCAAATCTATTGCCAAGCAATATATCATCGTCTGTTGTAAGCGAACCCATCAGAGGGTGCGGCTACACAAGCTTCAAGCAAGCTCGATGTGATGAAACCTGGTCGTTCACGGTGCCTAGCAATAGGTGGACTCGGAATGTTCACCGTCAGCGTCGGGTAAACAAAGCGTGCCGATCATCATTGTTCCCCAACTTCCCCTCTCGGGACAAAGAGATCCGCAAAACAAGATCATCTCTTTGGCAGATCTGATCTGTATGATAACGTCACAATTCTACCTTCTCCTTGCCTCTTGACTCTATTCCGTACACTTTGTGCAATGATGAGGTACGGCATACAACTATACCGAGCCCTAGAGTGTGATTGGAGGAACAAATCTAGGTCGAGAGATGCCCCTCCTTCTACTCCAATGGTACATTGTGCGTTTAACCACGTTTCAAATCCCTCGTAAGTAAACAGATATAGAAGTCCTTTGTGAAACACTTTCCGTCACAACGCTATTTCTCCATCCAAGATGGTGTCTATCCTCCAACCTTTTATCTTCCTGCTCTCTCTTCTCCCTCTCCTTGCATCTGGTCTACCATCTTCACGCCACTTTTCTGCTCTCAAACCTGCCTACTTCCTTCTCGCTGGCGACAGCACCACAGCAACACAAAGTACAAACGGAGGCGGCTGGGGCGATGGCTTTCTGAACTTCACCCTGAAGCCAGGCTCCTCAGGACGCAATTACGGACACAATGGAGCCACGACCAAGAGCTTCAGAGATGGAGGTGATTGGGGTCGTCTGATTACCGAAGCAGAGACCAAGACGACCAACTATACCGTTTATGTGACCATCCAGTTTGGGCATAATGATCAGAAAGCAACTTCTGGAGTGAATCTTACACAATACAGCGATAATTTGATTGCTTTTGGAAGAGAGGTGTCGGCTATCGGTGCTATTCCTGTGTGTCTTTCTTCTCATACGCCATCTGTCACCATAGTAGCTAACATCCACTTCCAGATCTTCGTCACATCTCTCACCCGCCGCAAATACACCAATACCACCCCACCAGCCATAGTTCAAGATCTCGCCGTCCAACGCAACCTCACCGTCTCCGCAGCTCAGACAACACACTCCAGATACATTGATCTCAACATTGCTTCTGTGGACTACTGCAATGCTATTGGTCCTGAAGCAGCTTGGAAGTACAACTTGAATCCAACTGATTATACGCATTTGGACACAAGGGGTAGTGTGGTGTTTGGGAGGTTGGTGAGCGATCTTTTGGTCAGAAGGTTTGGGGATATCGGGGCTGTGACGAGGGGGAATGGGACGTTGAGCAGAGAGATTCGGGAGGGTGTTGCTGCGTAATGGGGTGAGGGTATGGGGGAAGGGTAGGATGGGATGGAGAGCGGTGTTGTGAGAAGACTGTACTGAGCATGTAGCTATCTGCTACCGCACGATCACACTAACCAACCTCATTTACTTGTGTTGCATTCACTGATGAGTGAAAGCAGCATCGCTCTCTCGTGAACAACACTTTTTCGTGCACTTCACCAACCTTGACCATCCTCCTCCGCTCGAGCTTTCCATCTGCATCGTCAACTATCACCAACTCCTCGAAGTCAATCACCATGGCTGACACCAAACTTCTCGATGCTGAACAGGATGTTGCCGCTGAGGACCTCTGGACTCTCGTCAAGCAACTCAGAGTCCGCGATCTCGTCAACGCCATCAAGCAGATCACCTCCGACGACTTCCAGCATCTCGCCAATGTCGCCAGAGGTCGTCCTTTGAACCTCGAGACCTTCGCTTTGCTCTGCAAGGAGTTCATCAAGACGCGCACCGGTCTTGCCCTCCTCAGTGCGGTCATCGCTATCATCTGCACCATCGTCATCTCGGTTTATGCCACGCAGCTCCCCTCTCCTGTCTCTGCTGGTCTGCGTCTCATGAAAGCCGGACCTTCTGCTGGTAAGGCGCCTAGTCCTAACGTTCTCTTTCAAACGGTTCGCTGATGTAGCTTCACAGGATCAACCGCCACTCGTTCAAACTCCAGCGTTGGCGGAGTCATCGAGACTCTGCAGAGCGCTGTTATGACCGGCTATGAAGATCCCGTCGTCGTTGCCTTTGGTCAGGGAACCATCGTTGCTGGTGTCATCTTCGCCGCTTACAAGCTGTGGAACATGGACAAGAACATGAGCAAGCGCAAGAACACCTGAGTACTCCACTTGATGACTGGCTTCTTTACTGTTACTCGTAGAGTCAATGGGTGTTTAAGAAGGTCGATGTCTTTGGTGTTGTACAACAAGGAAGCAAAGTTCACATGCTATCATGTTTTGCCTCGGCAGTCGAGTCTCTGCCGAGCTCGGGTGAACAAGCTCCGTCATGGCTTCGCATTCATGTTCAGCAGAAGATCAAGGAAAAGACAACTCTATGAGGTCAAGTAGTTGGTAACAATCAAAGCAGATTCAACTACCTTCAATCTATAGCATTCTTAAACTTCTAGTCAACGTGTGGAGCAAAAGGAAAAAGGAGACAAGGTTTTGGTAGAGATATACCGAAGTTTAGGCGCGATAAAGACGGAGGAACGATGACGGGTGTGCCTTCTTTATCAACAGCCGCACGACCGAGGAAGGTGCATCCTTGTGGCTCTTCCCATTCTTCCTTGTCTCGTGATCATCTTCCTATTGCTCTCGTGAAAGAAATTCATCAACCTTCAATACATATTCAACAGAACTCTGGAAGTCACTGGAATAGAAAGCTTCTTACGATACACAATGGTCGCCGACGCTCTTATATACCACCCTGCGGTGGCTCACTACAACAAGTTTGTCGCGACGACGAGTGCGTTCATTCTCCCAAATTTGCAACGCGTACGCAACAACCGTAACTGACGACGCTATCTCGCAGTGGGTCGCGACAAGGCTCTCCGTCTCGTGCAATACCTCTCCCGTTTCCTCGCATGGTACACCCTCCGCACCAACAGCCCGCAAACAACAGTGGTGCAATGGGCGAAGCTGAAGGCCAACCTTGGCCTCGTCCGCAAAGCCATGCGCATCGGCAAATTCGTCGAGCACTTCCGCGCCGCAGCAAATGCCTACGATGCAAAGACCCTGGACCCAGTCATCCGCTTCTGCACAACCGGTCGCCAGTTAGGATACGGGGCTTACATGCTCACTGATACTCTGACGTATCTGGATGCTTCGGGCGTGAGACCCAGTGCTATGGCCAAGAGGATGCAAGTGCAGGCATACAAGGCTTGGATGACGGGACTGTGCTTCAGTGTGTTGAATGGTGTATACACTATCTACAAGAGCAAGAGCGAGGAGGCTGCGCAAACGGACAAGGCCGTCGCTGCCGAGAAGACAGTCGAGGTTAAGAAGTTGCAGCGGTACGTCTTTGATCCTTCTATTTCTTCTTGGAGGAAACCATCTTTGCTGACCTTTTATAGTGAGAGAAGTGCTGCTCAGACACAGCTCGTCTCAGACTTGTGCGATCTGTTCATCCCTGTTTCCGCCCTCGGATACATCAACGTCGACGATGGCGTTGTCGGTCTGGCTGGTGCCGTCAGTTCCTTGATCGGTCTGATGGCACAATGGAACAAGACTGCTTAGGATAATACGACTGGAGCTCTTTGATACACCTCGATTCTCTTTGACCCGGCGGCGTTGGAACTATGCCTGATTCTACCTCTCTTGCCAAACCAAATTGTTCTACCGCATCTATACGTGATCCGTTCCGTATTGACTTGGGCACGCATATCACCTTCCTCTCAATCTATGCAATATACAATTGTCTGTCCTACATCGAGCCTTCAGGTTTTTTGCGAGACATGGCCGACAGTGATACCCACAAACTGCACTTGATCACAAAGAAAGTAGAGATGAGAAGGTTGTAGCAAATCCAAAATGATGGTAAAGGCCGTGAATTCATATCAAAAGTGACTTACCCCTGAACCCGAATCTCAGTAGTCGGTAAAGAGTCGTGTAGACATGGTAGGCCTCGAGTTTCTCCTCTCACTGTGCACAGGACTCGACTTCCTGACCTCCTTGTCCTTGCTCTCCTTGACGATCCACACACCGCCACTGCTGCCCAATCTGCTGGCACCAGCCTTCAACATGGTAGTTGCATCTTCCACAGTCCTGACACCTCCACTAGCCTTGACCTGCATCCTGTGACGATCTGTGCGCTTGTCCGCTAGATGATCGCAAGCAGCTCGCATGAGCCTCACATGCTCGACCTTGGCACCATGCCCAAGGAACCCAGTCGACGTCTTTACAAAGTCGAAATTCGCAGCCGACGCAACAGCACACGCAGCAACAATATCCCTCGACCCCAACTGCGACGTCTCAAAGATGAGTTTGAGCACCGTGGGCGGGGGAGCCATGGATCGTATGAGCGCGAGTTCGTGGTAGATTTCGCTGTACTCTTGTTGTTTGAGCAAAGGCCAGTTGACCACCACATCGAGTTCGTGGGCGCCGGCGGCGAGGGCCATGCGTGTTTCTTGCAGTTTGTAGTATGTGTCTTGGGTGCCTTGGTGGAAGCCGATGACGCTGGCGATAAGTACGTTGCTGCCTTTGAGGTTGGCGTGGGCTTGGGCGACGTAGTTTGGTCGGACGCAGACGCTCTGTGTGGTATAGCGTTGGTAAGTAATGTCTCGGGAGCAGGACGGGAGGAAGGCCATACAGCAAAGTTGGCGACTCTGGCCTCTGCACATAGCTCGTCGATCTGCTTGGGTGATGCGTCCAGTTTGAGCAGCGTGTGGTCGATGGTGCGTGCAATGTCGATTCTGTCAATGTCAGGGCAGTAGTCCTGCTCGTAGACTTGCAGCTCGCGCGCAAGATCTGAGATGATGGCGCGCCATTCCGATTCTGTGTATCTCGTCGTTGTCATGTTGGCTTGTGCTGTGCTTTGTGGTAGTGGTTGCTGGTCAGTGGTAGTCGTCTTTACTCCTTTTCTTTGCGTAGCCGCCCAAGAGGTCTGCGCTAGTCATTTGTGCATGTGCTACGCTTGGTTCGATCCGTCATGCCATCTCGAAGCTGCCTGTTGAACGCTGCTCCGTCTGATGACAACAGTAAATCTGGCAATATAGCATGGTCAAGGTATGGACAGATGCAAGAGATGAATGGAAGCAGATCGTCTTGAAACACGATGGTCTTCACCCTCAAGCACAATGATGCAACAAGCGATTACTCTAATTTAAGCCTATAGGGCTAATCTTCATCCTTGCACGTGGCACTTTACAAACACTAGTTTCACCATGATCATCAGAAAGTATCAAGCAACAGACAAATCAATTCGCATAGCTAGAACCAGCCAAGCAAGGGCAGCCTTCCTCAATAGCATACAAACTCCTCGCTCCTCAACGTAGCCAAACGTCAGAAGACAGGCAGGCAGGAGATGCCATCTCGTATTGCCCAATGCATCGTGTACAGAAGAACAGCAGAGATGAAAGAAGTAAAAACTCCATTAACAAAATAGCAAAAGACCTGTGAAAGAAAGGGAAAACGAAAATAAAAAAGCCGTAGCTTAGGTGTTGGATATCCGGAAACTCCCTTTTGGTTGACGACGGCAGGTCGAAAGGTTTTTTGGGTCATGAAACATGTTGCTTTTTTTGATGGGCGAGAGCGTTTCCCTCTTCTATCCACAATGCGCGCGGCTGACCATTGTTGGTTGTGTGTGCATCTTGATTGGATTCCATTCCGCTTGATTGATAATTTGCGTCCGTCCAACCCTCTCATCCATCATCCACTTCTCGTTACGAAAACCAAAGACATGCTTTTCTTTTTTGGTTTGGTTCAACAAGTCGTTTACTTTCTGCGGAAAGAGCAGCCCTCGGTCAGGCGGGCCTTACCACCGGTGGGCTGGCAAAGGACCTGGGAGCAGCCGGCGCAGACAACGACGGTCTGGGCGTGCGAGAAGACAGTGGTGATGGTGAAGCAACCGGGGCACTTGACGTCCATGAAGAAGGAGCGAGGGCCGGGGACAAGCATCTGCTAAGAGTCAGACGATGGTTTGTGGGATTGTTAGAGTCCCGATTGTACGCACCTTCAGCTTGTGCTTGCGGGCCTCGGCCTGAGGGGTGGGGTTGAGGAGATCGACTGCGAGAACCTGTGAGGCACTCAGTCAGTCCATCTCTTTGCGATTGCGTGGTGGATCCGGGCTTCTGAAATGCGACGCTGGGAGCTGCGAGTGACGGGTGGCGGGTGACGACATATCGGCCATCTGGCAGCACTTCGTTATACGAGCAGATGGATTGATTGAATGCGGTGTTGATGAAAGTCGATGATAGATTGATGGTTGTCGCACATGTCGTGTGCCTTGTGTGATGTGTCGTTCGAAATTTGCCACCCGTAGTCGACAGGTCCAACGTGCATCTCAGAGGTCCGGAATGGTCGGTCTTACCATCTTGACGGTGTTGTGTTGACGAGTTTTGAGTGAAAAAGTCTCTGCGTAAGTGGTTGGTGTATTGGCTGTGCTAGTTCGCAGGTAGGCTCGCGGTCGACAGGTCAAAAGAGTCGGGGCAAGGGCGAGGATAAAGCTCCCGCTGAATTTGCCTGTGGGCGGACTAGAGCCTTGGCACCCGCTTACTAACCGCGAATTATCCGTGCTTTGCCTCTGACCTCCATCACTTCGCCATTGACCAACAGGTCATGTGCTTCTTTTCCTTTCTGAAGACGACATCTATCGGCTTCTTGCACCTGCTGCAATGCTCTAGAATCTGCTCTGCAACTTTATTGCAACTTTATCGTATTTTGTCTTGCTCAGTGGCGACAAATCCTCTCGGCCGGTGAACGCCTCTGGCCCGGCAACTGCATCATTGACTACTACCATTTACCTCTCGTGTTCATGTACTTTCCCAATAATGTTCACTCAACACTACAAATTCGTATGCATTGCTCAGATCACTCTTTAAGCGAGCAATCTCTGATTTCAGTTGCACATTCTGAACATTCGTCATTGAGATATTGCGCAAGAAGAGCGACACATCTCTATCGTCTAAAAGCCGTATTTGCTTATGCGAGATCGACATACCCCGAATCATAATCCACTGACCTCAGTCTTCACGTGCCTTGGAGTCAGCCATGAGTTTCAGGAGCTGCATCTTTCGCCGGCATAGCTGGCGCCACGAACAGCTAAGTTCAACCACCGACATCATGTCGTGAAGGATACGACGTTCGAGGTCTGTCGTCCTCGTTCACGAGATCAAGAGTTGACACAGATCTTGCTATATTCGAGGATAGACGTTTTCGACGCACACCTGTCGTCTACTCATTTTGATAGGTATGTCATGGTCATGTCCTCGATTCTCTTGGCACTTATCAGGAGGTGCCTTCGATCATGCTGTCACTGTGGGCCCAATGATCGTGGCCACTCCACATGGTCAAATCACCGCCCGACCGCTTCGACGGAGGCACCATGACGAGCATTGACGAGCACCGTTGTATGCACTTGCAGTTCATAATCGACAGTAGACATGTGCACGATGTCCTCCTCCAAAGACCATCTCCGGTCGGTGTCTATATCATCAAAGGAGCCATACGATCTTTCGTGGCCCTAGTCTTCCAGCAGAGGTCTTGATGGTTCCATGTTGGTTATAAAGGAGAGTTCGAAACAACTAGCTCCCAGGCCTAGTATCTCCAGGATTACCGGTCGCAATCACCAGCGAAGCCCACAACACCTTCACACGCGCTTGAGATGCAAGCGTTGACTCCTACGCTATCGGATCGGCCTTTTCCAGGGGTATAACATGCGACCGAGGCGGCGGATGGACGTCTAACAGGTGAGGAGGCATGATGCTATGCTCACTTTGCAGGATGTGCTCTCTATTTTGACCTAGGGACCGTCATACTTTCCTTGGCTTCCTGGACAAGAACGATGATCAACCCAGCCATTGCGCTTGGTGAATACCCGATAGTAGATTCCTTTACCTTTGGATGTGACTCGGACTGATCAGAGCCCATGCGAAAAACGAACATGTGTTCGCCCACCTGCTGCTCTTACACCTACCACTGGTCATAGAACGCGGTACACCAAAGCCACGACAGACCTCCCATGCTCCCCATCGTGCTCTCGAGCGCGACCCGGGTGCTGGTGCAGAACTTTGTTATTCCCAGCAGACCATCAAACGCGTTGGCTACATTCTCGCAATTGTCTTCTCTCTTTAGCGCACCGGAAAAACGAAGGACAAAATGCCGCGTGGATTCATGTTGCCTTATCTCGTGCTACGAGACTTGGACACCAAGAACCAGCTGTGTATACGCTACCTAGAGCTATACCAGTACTTCTCATCAGGAGTTATGGTATTTCTGATACGACACTGGCTACACCCTTCATCTGGAACAGCGCTTACCTTATGGTTGATGCTTTATGCATACCTGAGGCTGCTGTCCTACACCCTCAAAGACACAATATCCGATCGGCAGTCTCCATGTGAGAAAGCACGACTTGCTGCCGACAATGAAGAGAGTCATAGAAACAACACCAATCGCCACAAGTCTCCGAGCGCGACTTCGATCAGCATCCTGCCGATGTTTGAGGGTTCAATGCTTGATCGCAGAAAGAAAGAACCTGCGTCTCTGGTTCAAGCGATGCGCACGAATTTCTCCCAATGCTGCGCACTTCCGTGAATCGATTAGATGATTGACCAGATTGAATCGTCGCTCGCAGATACATATACCCCCAGATCAATTCCTTCTCCATCAGCTCAGTACATCTGACCAGGTCTCGTGGTCTAGCGGTATGATACTCGCTTAGGGAGGTCCGCCTAACAGCGTCCTTGAAAACTCTAAGTCTATGTTGCGAGTGGTCCCGGGTTCGATTCCCGGCGAGACCCCATCTTTTGCTTGTAGAAGCATCGTTTTTCGTTGCAAGAATTAGAATTCGTTGACGTGGAAAAAGTGGAAATTTTTGCAGGTAAAGAATTTTGGTGGCCAAAGCTTGGAGCCGTTGTTCAGCGGAGATCGTCCGTGCTTTGATTGTGCGTCGCATGCTGTATGCTTTGTTTTGGCCAGCAGCATTTTGTTGTAGCTGAAGTTCTCGGATACAGTCACTCACTGGTTCTTCGTCATTTGTGTACGGTGTATCTCTTGTCAAACCTTTGAGGTGTATCTGTGACTAGGTTTGAGAGTAACAAGGTACAGAATATATGTTTCGGATTGCAACAACCGTCAATTCCTTATGTGGCTGCAGGAAGACTGTTTGTAATGACCGAGCATGTCCTATGACAATTCCGAGACGAGATTATTTTTCTCACGAAACTGCAGGACTTCTTGTTTGTATGATGCGATACACACATTTGTAATGCACAGAACATGTGCACACAGACAAAGCAAAAGAACAGAAGAAAGTATGTTTGTTAAAGGTAATTAAATCATGAGGTTGCATATAAAGAAAAAAAAAAACATTATGATATATGACATTGGATATAAGAGAGATACGAAATATTGTCATCAGCAGACCGAGTTCAGTCTCTGGCAAATGCTCCCCCCCCCCCCCCCCCCCCCCCCCCCCCCACAATGGGGACCACCACCACGACCCAAGCGGACCACCTCTGACCCCTTGCTGTATGGGCAACCTCCTAGGGCCTGTGGGACCACGCCCTGAAAATTTCAGAAATAGTGTGGGAAGAGCGTCCCAGTGTCGGCTTGCCGATAGACCTCGCCGTCGTCGAGTAATGCCGTCGCCAAAACGTTGACAGGGTCATACGCCCAACACGACCCCCCCCCCCCCCCCCCCCCTAGGACATCTAAGCAAGGTAACCACTCTGCACCTCAACAACAGCGGGTCCAGCAACAGTGTAGTCATCAGAGATGGTAGTGGCGTTGGTACCCAAGATAGCGTACACCTCGCCAGACGGGCCAGTGTGGCCAACAGGGATGCGAGCGTAAATCTTGTTGTCCTTGACGACGGCCGACGAGAACATGGGGCCGTCGGCGAGGGGGAATGCAACGTAGAGGGGGCCCGAGGGAACCTCGCAGCCGCTTGCGAGGTCGAACTCGATAGTGTCGCCTTGCTTGATAGGGCCGGTGACGCTCTTGCTCACGCTGAAGGCGGGGAAGGCCTTGACGGGGAGGGCTGGGTTGGTGGAAGGGCAAGCGGTGATGAAGGGGGATGCGAGTGAGTAGACTTGGTTGAAGTCGAGGGGGATGTCGAAGGGTTGGGGGAAGGGAGATTGACCTTCGATTCCGCGGAAGAAGGCATTGTGGCGGGCCTCGACAGTAAGAATGCTGCCGGCAGCAGTGACATATGCCTTGTTGGTGATCAGAGCGGCGGCACCGAGGTAGGCGCTCACGCCGATACCCTCAATGATGGATGCGGTGGCCAAGAAGGTGTCGGGGGTGAGGTTGCCAAAGTCGTATGTGCATTCTGCGACGGGTGTGACGCCAGCTCCCTTGAGGGCGGTGGTCAAGAAGTCGACGTGGGTCTGCTCATCACGACCAATCTCCTGCAGGTTCTTGTAGAAGTTGGTGCTGTTGAACCCGGCGGCAGCGAAGTCTGCGGCGGAGAACTTCTCAAGGGCTTGACGGTAGAAGGTTGCTTCGAGGTGCTCGAGAGTCAATGCGTAGTTGAGAATGACACTATTGGTGGTTAGTTCTGGTTTTGGGTAAAGTGTTGTAGTGAGGCTTCTTACCCATCGATGTCGGAGCTCTGGCGCTTGACGAGAGCAGGGGCTGCAGAGGCAGCAGTGGCCAAGATGGCAGTGCTAATGACAGAAGCCTTCATTGTGGTGTGCAAAGGATTATAAAAGTAGGTTGTTGTCGTATGAAGATGCTGAATGCGATTGAGCTGGATGACTTAGAAGAGAAGGGCAAGCTCTACCTTTATATAGCAGACGGTCGCTTTGGCAGACCATCACACAACAACGATCGGCCATGTCTCCAGAAGGACCTCAGACCATACCCAGCGCTCTTTGTCATCGCATGGAGAAGTTGATATGATCCAAGGAAGCCACCCACGCTTTTATGTCTTGGAGCGGGATGTGCCAACGTCGTTGATTGGACGAATATGGCCTTCGAGGGTCATGCGGCACCTCTAACTTAAGGTAGATGTTAAGGTTAAATGGGATCGCCGAAACGCGCATACATTCTCCAGACGATTGGGCTTAGTGGCAGGTGTTGTTAACCACGAACTATCACTGATTGACTCAGATAAGATCGCAAGCTCGAATAAGCCCTGTCCTAGGATTGGTCAAGAGGATCAATGGTCTCACCTAGTACCTCAATCTATGGGCTTAGCAGTGGCCAAGAAGAAGTCTATTGACACATCTTGGAGACAGACGGGCGAACGACCTTCCGCAGGAACTGAAGAGCTGGGGTCTGAGCCAAACGAGGTACGATGACATTGGTCCACTGACTGACAGTTTGTAGGCAATGCAGATGCACCTTCCAGCGTCCAACGTACGTGCTTACACCATACACTTCATCTCCACCATGCTCAGTGAAGGATGGAACAACACACGACGGTGAGCGGTGAGATCTGATGCCAAAGATCTGCAGCTCTTGAGCTCTCGGAGCTCTAGGCTCGACGCTACACATGCCACGATGTCGTGGCACGAGTTTGAGTTTCCCAAGCTCCATACTCCAAGGGTCTCATACTCTTCTACGAGTTACGAGCGGCGCACCCCGCTAGTCAAATCCCATACGAGACCTGGCGCATGACGGTCGATGGCGGAGGGCAGAACGGTACAGAAAAGGCGCAGCAAGGAACAACTCTTAAACAGGCAGGACAGGCAGATCTAATGCGGTTTGTGGAAGAAGTTCGTCGTTTTGGGGGTTGCAACGGGCGAAGGAAGGCCTGTGCCTCGGAGATTTTGGACCGCTTTTGGGTCGCCAATGACGTGCGGGGCTTCCTCACCATCACCACATTCACTTGTTTTTGTCAATTCAAGCTCTTATTTCCATCCATTGGTGACATTCTACTTGCATGGCCCTGCTCTCGACCATCCTCTATGGCGCAGACACCTCCGTGGAACGCAGAGGGACGTACAGTTGTACTCGAGTGTCCTTTTTTCGACACCCTCGTCCTACAAGAATGAATGGCAGATACGCTCCTTCGAAAGCTGGTTTCCAATTCCTAGGGTTCTTGAGGTTCACAAGCTACCAAAGGATCTGGGTCCAAGCGTGGCTAACCCTACGAGTCGAACGCGTAAACCGTACAGCTCTGATCACCTACCCAAGCATTCGAGGTGACTCCACTGAAAGGAGCGATCAGCGCGCACGCAATGCATCAATTCCATTGGCAATCATCACAAGAGCAGAAGACACACATCCGGGATGGACGTTCGAGCGAGTTCTCCACTGTTGTTGCGACAGTGATCCGAGACGGAGAGTAAGCAAGAGCTAGGGCTGCCACTCAGAGGAAAAACAATCCAGCTGCTTCCATCAAGGTGGTGACCGGTGAGGTTGTCACTGCCTGTCGTACCATCGCTGGAGGATCGAGCAAAGGTGTGCATCTCCGTATCAGAGTAGATTACTCGATACCAGTTGCCTTGGGGAAACCTGCTCTCTCTACGCGTGAACATCAATGACTACATTTAGAAAGATACAAGCGTCAATGCCTTGCAACACCGGACATAGGCGCGAATCTTTATATCAACAATCGCATTTCCTGAGGATCTCCTTGCTCTATCGCTCTTGGCGTTTTGCTTACATCTTTCCTTATTCCCATATCAGATGCAAAATCATGAGTCGTCGTCGTCGTATATCAGCATGAGCTCCCACCCGTTGCTTTCGTTTGCTCAATACCTCGTTGGCGCCTGTCCGATCACAAATTCTTGTGCCAGCCGCCTGATCCTGTTCTGCTGTCGATCCATCTTCCACTTCCAAGATAATTATCGAAAGGCCGAACTGTACCCATAGGCCCGTGATCCCTGCATTAGCAACTGGAAAGCTACTATGGCAAAAAGTAGACAGTCGTGCTCCGTTGCTCGAAGATTTAGTTTACGTTTGGTGCGAGCTGGTGAATCGAATTGAGTGGATTAGATTCGGTAAAAAAAAACAATGTGCATGTATAGCTGAACATGTAGACGTGAACATCTCTCTTCGTGACTCTCCGAACCAGAAGCAAGAAAACAAAACAACTCCTTCCCAAAGGTAAACGCCATGACAAGAACAGAATACGAAAAGGTATTCGCAGTACCACTGCCCAAACCAAAGAAGCGATCCGAACCTTCTTACTTTAGATCCGCAGGCGTCAATACCTGCACAACCGATGTGCCATCCGAGAACCTCGTCTTGAAGATCTTGTTCGCATTTTGGAACATGCCATCCTTGAGAGACACCACAATGAATTGACTGCCCTTGAATCTCGTCTTGATCAAGCGTCCAATATTCTGCGTGTGACTGAGATCCAACGCTGCATCAACCTCGTCAAGAATATACATGGGCGCAGGCGAATACTGCAGCAAAGCAAGGATAAGTGACAACGCGATGAGGGAGCGCTGACCACCGCTGAGTTCAGTGAGTGATTGCTTCCACACTTTGCCCAGGCACACTTTGACTTCGAGGCCTTTGGAAATGTCGCCAGAGTCCTCTGGTGGGTCGAGTTTGGCCGTGTTGCCGCCGGGGAGGAGTTCGTTGAAGATGTTGCCAAAGTCCACGTTGACTTTGCTCCATGTCTTGTGCAGGGCTTCTTTCTTGTATTCATCCAGTTGAGCAATGGTTTCTTCAATCTTCTTCTTGTCGCGGATGACGGTGCGCATCATGTTTTTCAGAGAGGCTTCCTTCTTCTCCACGCTGTCGATCATGTTCATGACTTTGGGGTTGATCTTCTTCTTCATGCCTTGGAAGCGTTCGCTCAGACCGGCGAGTGAGCGTTTGCTCTCGGTCATGTTCATACCGTTGAAGTCGTAGGGAGTGTTTGATCGGCCGAAGGAATCGACTTCGTCAGCTATCCATTCGTATTCCTTCTCCATGGTCTGTAGCGTTTGGCGCGCCGCTTGTTGTTGTTTCGAGAAGTTGTCAATCTGATGACCAAGTTTTTGTGCTTCTAGAGCTTCCTCGGTGATCTGTGCGGATTTCGATCGCGAGGCTGTTTCGAGGTCAGCGAGCTCAGTGTCGTAGCCAGAAAGCTTTTTCCGCTCGTCGTCTAATTGTGCTTGAGCATAGTAGTGTGCGTCCTTCACAGCTTGACCCTCCTTCATCAATGCTTTCAGCTCTTCCTGTTGTGTCTTGAGATTGACTTCTGCGTCTTGGAACTGCTCTTGGGCAGCTGCAACATCACTGCCGCATTGCTCTGCTTCTAGCATTGCATCTCTCACCTCTTGCTGTAGTGGTTTGATAGAGGCAGAGTTCTTGCTGAGTGACTTCTTGAGTTTATCGAGTGCTGTTTGCAACTCGACGAGCTTGCTGTCTTTGTTGTTGTTGAAGTCGTTCATGTCCTTCTCGATACGTTTGACCTCTTTCGTTGCCTCATCTTGACGTGCTTTGGCTTCGACGATGCTCTGCTTCAGCTGAATAATACCAGCTTTTGTATCGGCGATCGCTTGGATGATCTGTTGTTTGTGTCAGCTCAATGCCTAGGATTGGTATATATCTGATCAACATACCGAAGACGACGAGTTGCCGTTAATCTGCTGCTCTGCAAGCGAGACTTCATGATTCTTGAGATCCAAGTTCTGCTTGAATTTCCTTGCGGCATCGAGCTTCTGCTTCTCCTGTGCCATGGTCGATTGTAGCTGATGCAGAGCGGCCTGCCTTGAATCGAGTTCTCGAATGATCTCGTTCAACTGTTGCAAAGTCACAAGCACACCACTTGTCTTTGGCGAACTGCCACCTGACAAAGTACCCGAGGGGTCATAGACATCGCCCTCTAGTGTGACACTCTTCATGCGGACAGCAGGATCAAAAGTGACCTTCTTAGCGGTTGCAGCGTCCTCACAAATCAATGTGTTTCCGAACACATACTCCATTGCAGCGTTGACATCTTCTTCGTATCCGATAAGGTTGAGCGCAAGATCGCACTTGTTGTTCGACATGTTCCTGGCGGCACCAATTTTCTACCAAGTGTCAGTATACTCTCAAGAGTCAACCATAAATCAGGCATACCTCGGAAGCAGCACGGAAGGCCGAGATCTTGTTCAAGGGGATGATGGTTACTCTCTTCTTGAGCTTGCCGTTTTGAAGCAGTTGTGTACCAGTCTGTGCTGTATCGACTACAACATTGTACAAACGGCCTCCAGCACAGATTTCGAGAGCGGTTCCTGCTTGGGTAAAGTTCTTGTCCAGAGCGAACAGCTGTGCTACTAGACCCTTGACCTTTGAGCGATCAAAGTTGGGTGTCGGATCGCTGTAGCTGAAATCAATGTTCGCGACTCTTCTCTTAAGACCGTCGGCCTGCTCTTTCAACTCGCGGATGCGTTGTTGCAACTGCGACTGTTCTTTCTGCATGGCTTCTTCCCGACCGGACTCGTAACCAATTCTCGAGAGTTCTGCCTCAAGCGCCTTTGCCTCAGAACGAAGGCCGTCGAGCGACTTCAACAAACCTGCGTTCTCCTTCTCTGCCTTTTTGGCGCGAGGTTCATCTTCCTTCAATCGTTTCTCTAGATGCGAAATCTTGAGCTTAGCTTGTTCTTGTTCGGTCGACGCAGCGCTGAGTCGATTGCGAGCGTCCTGGAGTTGGCCTTGGTATCCGCCTTCCTGACCTTCCTTGGATGCAACACCAGTCTGGAGTGTCTGGAGAAGTTCTTCCTTCTGTTCGACCTCGGCCGTTTGCTTCTGGAGCTCAGCGTTGGCTGCGTCGTAGCGTTCTTGGAGTTGCTTGTGTAGTTGGGACTTTTGTTCTAGTTGCTTGCCGAGTTCTTGGACGGTTGCCTGACTCTTCTCGCGGTTTTCCTTCTCTTCAGCCATGCTTGACTTCTTGAGATCCAAAACGGTAGTCAATCTGACCAGCTCGTGCGAGTGTACCTTGACCTTGTCCTCCAAGGCCTGAAATTTACCGCCCTTTCGCAACTCCTTATCTCTTGCAGCCTTGACCTTGTCCATATCCTCTTGCAGGAAAGCAATCTCGTTCTTCAGCTTCTCGGCGTTGCTTTCGAGGAACATGGCCCTCTCTCTCTTATCGTTCAAATCTTTTTCGCTCATGCGAAGCTTCTCCTTACTCTTGAGATAATCGTAAGCCACGACCAGTCGCGTCAGGCGCTCCAGGTCGTTCTGTGTCTGTTGGAAGTCGAGGAATGCTCTTTTTTCTTGTCGCAACTTGTCCAGCTTGGGTTCGATCTCGTCTCGCAGGAGTTCCATGATTTCCTGGACCTTCATTTCCTTCTTTGCCATGGTGCGGAAAGCCTTGTCTCTGCGATCCTCAAACATGCGTGTGCCTGCAGCCTCCTCGACCATACCGAGAATCTCCTCCTTCTTCATATTCAGAACCTTTGTGATGCGACCTTGCATAATCAAGAAGTTGGGGTTGTTGATGTTGAGCTGGACGGATTGGAAGAGGTTCTGGACGGTGGTCTGCTGTGCGCGGTGGCCATTGATGAGGTATTTGGATGTGCCACCGAGGACGATTTGGCGAGTGACGGAGATGGTGGGATAGTCTTCGAAACCGATGGGCGACTTTGCTTTGTCCTTGTTGTCGAAAACGATGGTGACCGAGGCCTTTGTGACACCGGCCTGACCGCGCTTGTAGATGAGATCCTGCAAGTTCTGGGCGCGGACGGTCGTCATGTTGGTGATACCGAGAACGAAACAGATCGAGTCGAGGATGTTGGACTTGCCACTACCGTTCAGACCAGTGATGGAGTTGAAGCTCTCGTCCCTTTGCGCAAGTCAGTCGTTTGTGAGTACTGCGCGATTGTGGTATGGCTACACACCAACCGGAAATGACGGTGCGCACGGCATACGACTTGAAGCCGTCGATGATGACTTCGATCACCCTCATCTTTTCGTCACTGGCGCTGGGCCACTGCTTGTGTTGGAGTCGTCAAGGCACCTTAGGTGTGGGATGCTTCTTGCGATAGTCTTGTTTACGATGACTTTGTTTACGACCGACGCCCGACGGGAAGCTGCAGCCGACCGGACCCCTCCCGAACCTTCACATGTCAAACAAGCATTTAAATGAAAAGAAAGAAAGAACAAATATGACATTGTCGCTGCTGGCTGCTGGCTCTAATTGACCATCCTTTACTCTTCGGCCACCAAGTTCTGTCCCTCGCGCAGACCCTCGACCACCAGCTCGTGACCCTCGGCTCTTCGGTAGATGTCACGGATATCGTCTGTGCGAATGCGTTAGCATATATCTTTTTCCTCTATCTCAATCTGCATGTGATACCTGTCGTAGTCTCGAAGTGGCTGGTTGCGTCATAGGATCTTGAGATGAAGATGTTGTCGTTCTCTCCGCTCTCAAGAGGCTCATAGATGGGGATGGGAGGTCCCATGAACTTCTCCTCAATCTTGCCGAGACGATCGAATCCGGCCTGCAGCTCGAGGTGGTGGTTGCTGTCGCCCTCGGCAATCGTTGATACAATCGCAATGTAGTAGCCCTTGGGAGCCACGTTGTGTGCCCATGAGACCATGGCGACGTACACGTCTGTCAATCATCAGCATTATCCTTCAAACGCTTTATACACAGATCCGACTTACCGTGCTTTCTGCCGATCTGTGATTGAGGAATGATGAGCTGGACAGAGTCCGAGTTGTCCGTCTTCTCGATGGGGTGGTTCAGAATGCAGATAGCCTTCAACAAGTGGCCAACGGGCTTGACCTTGTTCGGGAAGTATGAGGGGTCTGCCAGAATCTTGCTGCACTTTGTTGTGAAAGTCATTCCCTCGCCCTCCTGGTCACGCTCCTTCATGGTAGCCTTGATACCGACAGCCTTGCCGTTCTCGTAGAGCACTTCGTCAACATCGGTGTTGAGCATGTAGGTACCGCCGTAGATGGCACTAAGACGAGCGAAACCCTGGGGGAGTTCACCCAGACCGTACAGGGGGTAGATGTAAGGCGACTTTCCGTATCTGGCCATTGAGTTGACGTAGAGTCTGATACGCTCGACGGCGTCCTTGGCAGCGCCCTTCTGGTTGATGTAGTCGTCGGTTGTGAACAGAGCCATGCTGTGACCGATAAAGTCTCTTGTCGAAGCCTCCAGACCGAACTTGTCGTAGACCTCCTTCATGGTAGACTGGTTCAGGTTCATGCCTGCTGCGTATGTCAGTCCACGTTCCACGCCGACAGACATAGTATAACGCACCGTTGTGGGTAGCCGGGTCATCCTCTTTGAATGCGCCAACGAACTCCAGGAACTTCTTTGCTCTTCTCTTTTCGAACAGACCCATCAGGGGACTGCGGAGGGCCTCCGAGGCATCCGAAGGAACCTTTGCGACGTTGGCCTTGTTTCCGGCGCCGGTCTGGACGTAACTGCCAGCGATCTGCTTAAATTCGAGGTATCTGGTGACATCGGTCGAGACGAGAATGTTGGTGAGTTCTCCGTTGGACATGAGGAGTTTGGGAACGAGGTCGATGTTCCAGTCGTTGGGGCGGCCGTACTTCTTCCATGGCTCGCTGCCGTTGTCGTTGCCGTACTTCTTGAAGAGCTGCGAACAGAAAATAAGTCAAGTGTGGTGGAATGATCGTTGATAGAGTCGTACAGCTTCGATGTTGATAGATGCAGCCTCACTGCGCAGTGGTTAGTATGGCGTAACAAGAGGTCGGTGGAGGGGTACGTACCCGCCGTAGTGATCGTTGCGGTCGATGTGCAGCACCTTCTTGCCCTTGACACTCAGCACACTGTTACTCTGTCAGTTCCTACTTCCATATAGCGCTACTCGAGCACGCCCACCCAGAGAGCACACATTCCGTGAGACCTTCACAACCATGGTTAGCTCTCTTGACCGCTACAAGGCGAATGCGGGGTCGACATACCTGTGCCAAGCACAACGACATCGTACTCGGGGGCGATATCCTCCATGTTGGTGTATAAGAGGGAAGACAAAGTGTCACAGTGTTTGGAGAGAAGGTAGAAGACGATCGGGTGGTGAAAGTGTTAGAGAAGAAGGTTGTCTCAGAGAGCGAAACGGCAAGCTCCCTCTCTAGTGACGTTCGAGTGTTTCGAGAGATTAACAGGGGCTTGGCCAAAGCCTCCGCTTTCAATAAATTCTTGACATTTATTCGTCCATTAAATTGACCTTTGCTTGCGTTCATTTTCTTTTTAGATTTTGTTGTACAGCTTGTCATAATACACTCGGTTATAATATAGATATGGGGGATTGAGTTTAGACCCGCGTCTCTTGCTGTGCTCTGGTCTGCTCAGGCAACACTTGTGTTTGAGCGTCTGGTAGAGGCAATTGGCTGTCTTGTTGTGCTGGTAGAGCCTCTTGGGGCTCTTCAAACTCCTGTACAGACTGTCAGTTATGCCACTATACTAATACATTGCATGACATACCATGTAATCCACCATCTTAGCATTGTATGCCGGCTCGCCTTCTTCAGGGTATAAGTTGACGCTGGCATCGCGCTCAGCAAGTAGACGCGCATCTTCCCAAGCGTACCAGCGCTCAGTAAGAACGTGCTTGATTGCCCTTTGGGTGTGTTTGACCTTGACGGCGTTAGACCACTTGTGCTTCAATGTCGGCAGACCAGACCTACCGCGATTTCTCTCTCCTCCGACTCAAAATCACCGTAACCAGCATCTGCTTTCTTTCTTTCGTGACGCTCGGTCGAGAGTCTGTTTCTTTCCCGGACACAGACCCACCACAACTTGTGCAGATCCTCAAAGTCCTTTGCTCTCAATTCAACGACAGTCCATGCTCGGCCGTGGTTGCTGTCATATTCGGGAGTCGCAAAAGGGTAGCGATCGCGGTTGAAGAAGCCCCACAGACCGTGATTGGGGTCTACATCGACCTGCGAACGCTGCTTGCTGTCTAGAACAGGCTTGGGCAAGTCCTCGACCCTGACCGAGAGAGTCTGACGACGGCGAAGACCGGTGCGACGAAGAGCGGATACACCTCTGTTTGGGTTGCCGTCTCGGCGAGCAGGTGCTGGGCTTGTTGTCGAGAATGAAGAGGTGAAGAGAGACGGGAGGAGGAAGGGCGGCGGTAGAGTCGATTGGCGGATGTGCGAGCCCTGCGACAGAAGCCTGGTCGGAACAGACATCTCGGAGCGGGTTTGAAGGGTGGAAGCGGTAGTCGAGAGGCTTACAGACGAGTGGGAGCCCTTGTCGCGAATGCAGGCGATGGTGGATTAACATTTCCAGCCAGCGCTCTGCACGCCAAGTCGGCGGTTTTGTGGTCCATGCGCATGTCTTCCGCAGACTCTCCAGAGCTCCGCATCCAGCTGCTCAAGGCAAAGGAACAATTTACTATAGATTTGATCACTTCTGGACCTAGGACAGGGGTTTTGATTTGGAATTGGCTGATTCTTTAAACTGTCACTCGTGTGTTTAGAGGTAAAGGCATAGACTGGTCTATCTATAGTTGGTGTCCCGACGACCTAGATCAAGCAAGCAAGACGACCGAGAGGTGGCACATATCGACTAGGTAGGCAAGAGATCATAGCTCTACAGACCGAAACGCAGAGACCAGGCAGCAAGGCAAACGTGCGGTAGAGGCGCAGAGCAGCAAGGCCGAGAAGCACAGGTTTGATCTTACCCATGTTTGCGGACCAAGCAGCCACAAATGCGGCCAGGGTGGGGTCAAGCTTCGGCGCTCTCTTGAATACGACTTCACTCTCTGCGTCGCTCCTTCCATCTCCCTTTCTTCAGTTCTGCAGTGTATGCGCCTCGTCTTCCCGATCGCCTCTTTCCCTCGCACCTTCTCCTTTCACCTGTACGCGACAAAAACATCCTGCTCGTTGGCGCCTGCTAATCCGCACAGTCGCACCTCCTCACGAGGCCGCTTCCTCTACATCTCTCCACTTCCCGCAACCGCCCATCGTCTCCACGTCTTTGTCCTCGATCCGCCTAGCACCTCGTGAATCGTCATTCATCGCCCGACACCTATATCAACATGTCAGACGAACAGCACATTGATGCCGCCCTCGACGGTCTCCACCTCGAAAACAACAACGAGGACGCTCCTCCCCGCACCGAAGACGAGTATGCCCTCGCCCAGCTCACTCTGAGAGCTATCGTCTCCTCTAAGGAAGCAGGCGTCATTATTGGAAAAGCTGGTCAGAACGTCGCCGAACTCCGTGACAAGACTGGTGTCCGCGCTGGCGTCAGCAAGGTCGTCCCCGGTGTCCACGATCGCGTCCTCACTGTCCTCGGCGCCCTGGATGCTGTCGCTTCCGCCTACGGTCATGTAGCCGATGGTCTGCTCAAGGGCGTTCCTCAGCTGGGCATGGGCGGTGTTGCCTCAAACCCTAACACTCACCGTACGTTATATCACCCTCACTCAATGTCTTTGACTGACCATCTTCCAGCCGTCCGTCTCCTCATCTCCCACAACCAGATGGGCACCATCATCGGTCGCCAAGGTCTTAAGATCAAGCAAATCCAGGACGCTTCTGGTGTCCGTATGGTCGCCCAGAAGGAGATGCTCCCCCAGTCGACCGAGCGTATTGTCGAGATCCAGGGCACTCCCGACGGTATCCAGAAGGCTGTCTGGGAGATTGGTAAGTGCCTGGTCGACGACGAACAGCGTGGCTACGGCACCATCCTCTACAACCCTGCCGTCAGAGTCTCTGGAGGAGCTGGTGGTGCCCCTGCAAGCAACGGCTCTTCATACCCCTCTGAAGGCCGTCGCTCATACAATCGCACTGGCAATGGCACCGACTTCAGTGACGCTCCTGCTGCCTACACACGTCGCGAGTCTGCCCCTCGCGCTGCCGCACCTGTTGCTGGCGAGGACGACGAGGACATTCAGACCCAGAACATCAGCATCCCCGCCGATATGGTTGGTTGCATCATCGGTCGCGCAGGCAGCAAGATCTCGGAGATTCGCAAGAGCTCCAGTGCTCGCATCTCAATTGCCAAGGCCCCTCACGACGAGTCTGGCGAGAGGATGTTCACTATTACTGGATCCTCGAGCGCCAACGAGAAGGCCCTTTACCTGCTTTACGAGAACCTCGAGGCTGAGAAGATGAGAAGAAGCCAGATGCCTCCTCAGGATGCTTAGTTCGCCCATGTCTCGGCACCCGCGCATGCTTGATTTCTTGTCTGAAGGATCCGCTACCTTCTGCCTTTCCAGAAAAGTTTCTTCTCGGTCACATCATCTCGCGCCCCTTAACCTCTATCGCCTACGGTTGCTCGCCACGACAACTAATATCTCCAAACCTCGCTGCTCTTTCTTACCTTTCTCACCCCCGACATCCCTTGTACGTGGCCGCTTCTTCCTTCTCTCGAGGGTGCACCAGTCACTGCCTCATCCGATGACGATTTGACGAAATTCGCGTTTTCTTCTTCTAATCGCAACCACACAAGCATTTCTGTCCGTCCACCAAACCGTTCCACCCCTTTTCTACTTCCATCAGATGGAGACATTGCATGAGTTGTAGCGGGCTTGGAAAATGGTTTGGGTGTTCTAGAGTTGTACTTGTTGTTTTTTCTTACTTTATTCTGCATGCGGAGGCGATTGCTTCGATTATAGCTCGATACCATTTCTATACTTTCATGTAGAAAAAAGTCGTTTCCCGAATGAGGGAAGAGTGCTGCATTAACCTTATCTATCACTTGTTTGTGCGCGTTTCTGCTGTCTTCTAACCTCATAGCTCACCTCGCCTCTTCTTTTGCTGTTTCGATGAGCATACTTCGATCATATGCTCGCTCCTTCCGCACCATCACCTAGTCAATCCGGATTCCCCGAGCCCCCTTCGTCTCTGTCCCTCGAACCATCACCGTGTCATCTCGACATCACCTTCACATTCGCTGTCCGAATTACATACAACAAAACATCAACATTAAACATACCACAAACATCCGCTTTGGTATGAACGGCATTCGCATTTTCAAGGACTCCGGCGACACTCTCAAGCGAGGCCCTTCTTAGACAGCTTGCATTCCCGGCTACCGAGAACAGCTACATTGCCTCATGATCGCTACCGAAGAGCGAAATTCGGGTCGACAATGTAAGTACTCTTTGTCGTGTCCCTCCGCGTCGAGCACTATTAATGACGCCGTGTAGACAGCGGTCGTAATGTTAGAGAGCATCTTAGTCTCCTAGGATTGCTCTTTATAGCAGTTTTAGACGCTAGGTCGACGATTGTGAGTTGCTTTTCGTTCTATCCTACCATAGCGAGCAACAATCATGCCGGGTAGACAGCGGTCAAGACATTAGGAAGCACATCGAGGTCTTGGGAGTGGAAGAGGCTTGCTCCCTCTCTCGCCCTTACATATCGATTCTCCACTCACTTGATTGAGATGATTGAAGAAGAGGGTCGCGCTTTGGATCTTATTATGCGTGATGAGCTCGCAAGTGATGCAGACTGTCCATGCGAAGAAGTTCATTCTGTGGTTGTTCTCATCACTCTCCTATGGTGGCCGCAGCCTCTGTACTGGTCTTTCGGGGGCGAGTTTGACGTTGACCATATGAATCTCTGGATGTCTTTGGCTCCTAAAAGTTCTCCGCGAGACTTGGACAAAAGGATATCAGAGGCATATGTCTCTTGGGAGGCTTGCATAGATTCATCGGAATTGTGCGTATCTACCTACAAGCATCACCTTGACCATTGGTCAGAGGCTTTGGGGGGTCGGTGAGAAACATTGCAAATCTATAAGCCGAGAACTGACCCATCTACAAACTGCTATACTATGCAGCATATATCAATAGGAGAACTTTGATAAGTTACTTGCCTCGACGTCGAAAACATGCATACTTGATCTCGAGAATAAAGAAAAAAAAGAGGAAAGAACCTCTTGCATATCAAAAACACATGTGATAGATTCAAAAGACACAAGACACAAAAGAATTAAGTACAAAAAGATATCCAACTACTACCACAACACACACTTTCCTTCCTTGCTTCTACCCTCTAGTCCAGAACACGACCAGCAGTGGACGAAGTACTTCTATCCTTAGTAACCGTCTTCTTAAGTCCCTTGCCCAGCTGAATTTGCCCCAGTAGGCCAGCCATGTCAGGCTTTGCACCTCCTGCCGCAGCTACAGGCATAGGAGGTGGGGGAGGAGCACCTCCGGATGGCATGGGTGGAGGTGGAGGAGCGCCGCCCATAGGCATAGGAGGCGGTGGGGGAGCGCCGCCAGTGGGCATGGGTGGTGGTGGTGGGGGAGCTGCTGGCACGATACCATTTTCTGGCTCGGGAGTTGGGATACCGTGGTCAGTTGTTGGTGGAGGCAGTGGGGGCAGAGACTGAGGGGCTGGTGAAGGAGAAGCTCTGGGAGGTCCCGACATGCCTCCGAAAAGGATACTCGCTAGTTGTTTTGCCGATCCACTTGTAGGGCCATCGTTGTCAGAGTCTGACTCTTCGTCGTCAGAGCCTACGACGCTCCAGTCATCGTCGTCTGCTGGCTTGGGTGTGCGACGAGCGGATTGTGCAGCAGGCTCGGGCAGGGCAGTCTTAGTGGTATCTTGCTGGGTGAAACGGTGGAAAGGGTTGGTAGAAGCGGCATCAGCAGCACCGGGCGAGGCGATGGATGCGGAAGGAGCCGCGGGCTGGTTCATACTTCTGAAGAACGGATTCTTCGACTCCTCTGGAGGGCTGATGACCGTGGAAGGAACTGGAGGGGCAGGAGCGCTCGGTGGGGCAGGTGCAGACTCGACGGGAGGTGCGGGCGAAATTTCCCTTGGCAGCTCCTGACTTGCGGCAGGCGTGCTTTCCATGGGTGTGATGGTTTGGGGACCCTCATCATCTTCGTCTGAGCTGTCATCGCCCATGCTCTCAAGCTGCAATTGCAACTGACGCTCTCTTTCCTTGGCAGCTTCAATCTCTGCACGCTGAGCATCGCGTTGAGCCTTGAGACGTGCTTCCTTGTCTTCAGCCTCCTTGGAAGCTGCCTTTCTCTTTTGCTTTTCTTCTGCCTTCTTGAGTTTGCCCTGACGGACTTGCTCTTCAAGTGCACGAAGACGTTCAGCAGCGGCTTCCCGCTCTTTGCGAAGCTCTTCTTCCTGACGACGTTCCTCGTCTTCGAGTTCCTTGGTCTCTGATGCTTGGGCTGATTGCTGCTCCTTGATCGCTTGCTCCATTTGCTGTTGCTCGAATCTTTGGGACTCAGCCTTGGCTTGCTGCTCTTCTTGCTTACCAACAGAGTCGCCGCGGTTCTTACGAGGTGCGGGTGCTGGAGGAGCCTTCTTGCCAAGAGACTTTTCAGCGGTAGGAGGTGCAATGCTCTCTCCAGCCAATCTCTGTTGTCTTTCTTCTTCTCTGCGGGCGTCTTCTTGCTCTGCCTGGCGCAAGCGGTCTTCACGTTCCTTACGCTCGCGCTCTGATCGCTGTTGTGCGGACTCGCCAGCCTTGGTAGGTGCTCTGATACCTAGAGCAGCCAAGCGTTCGGCCATGCGCTGCTCAGCTTGTTGCTTGATGAACGCAGCACGATCCTCTGCAGTCTTGTAAGTGTTGTAAGAACCTCCACGAGGAGTTTCGCTCCTGGAGACCGGGCTCTCAACACGAGCACCATTGCTACGGCTGACTTCTTCAGCGCGAGGTGATGCAACGCGTTCGCGAGGGTTAGAAGTCCTGCAGGATGTTAGTCTTGTCAGGGTAACAAGTGTTTGTAAACTTACTCTTCCTTTCTGACACGAGCAGTTCTGCTGCTTCTTTGCATGTCGAAAATGAAGTCCTTCACCTCGTCCTCAACGCCAAGTCCGTCTTCCCATCTTCTCCTCTCGTGCTCGGTAGAAGCATCCTCAGAACCTTCCTTCAAACTAGACTCGATGGTTCTGCTGAACTCGGTGACAGAGTCCTCAACATCACGTACCATTCTCTCGTTCTCTTCTCTTTCGAGGCGGACGCGGTTGCTTTCGTCTTCCAATCTCTTGGCAGCGCCTGCGCCATCGTCGCCGGAAGCAGCAGCAGGAGCAGGTTTGCCAGTAAGAGCAGCGGAACGCGCCTGCATCATTGCTCTGGCTCTTGCCTTGAGACGATCGGATTCGGTCACAGCACCTCCAGGTCCAGTACCAACGATGGCAGGAGCCGAGCTTGGGTTGGCCTTGGCATCCTTGAGACGGAACAACTCCAACTGAGCGTCTGCAATAGCCCTCTCACAGCGTCGCACGTGAGAAGCCAACTCGGGCAGGCGGTCAGACAAAGTCTGGAGCTGTCTCTTGAGCGCTCTACGTTCAGCATCGGAGTCGGTAGTACGGAATCCAGAGTTCGGGTGTCCGTCGATATCCTCTTGAATACGGCGAATGCGTCTGTAGAGCTCATCCGCTTCTTTGCGGTCCTTGCGATCGAGCGCATCCTCCTCGTCGGCTCTACCCTCGTCTTCGAAGTCCATAGCGTCGAGAAGAACCTGTTTCTCGCGGATAGCCTTCTTCAACTGATCGACAGACATATCCTCGACAGGCTTTTCCTGCGCAGGGGAAGCGGTACGACCAGCATCACCTGTGCGACGGCGTGCGGATGACCGGTAACCAACGTCCTCATCGTTGTTCTTGTAGACGGTGGCGTCCTTGCGAGGTCCGGCGATGCTTGCACCTGCGCCGGCAAAGGAGTGGTTTTTGAGGTAGCTAACACCTGTCTTCTGAGGTTGTAAGAACGCGCCAGTGCTTCTTCTCGACTGCGCATCCTGCGAAAGATGCGACTTCATAGTTCCGATGGCATCGTTGATATTCCTAGTAGAAGGAGGAACAAGCTCAGCAGGGAGCTTGGCTGGCACAGGGTAACCGTTGAGTTTACGGTAGATCAAATGCATAGCTACAGCGAACTCGTCGAGGTTCAGTTTACCCCTGTTATGAGGGTCTGACAGGGTCCAGATACGCTCAAGGTCGTCCTTTTCAAGGCCACTCTGGCCAAAGATCTCGATAGCTGTGGCACCACTGATGGCACCTCTGCTCAAACCATCCCAGGCCTTGAACATGTCATCGTAAATCTTTTTCTCGTCCTTGGTGATAGCCCAGGGAACTGTGGCATTACCACGAAGACCGGCGGTACTGAAGCCAGTCTCGCGACCAGGCTGAGGCATCATTTGCGATTGAAGAGCTTGAAGGTTAGGAAGACCGGAAGCTGGGGCGTTGACAAGACCCCATTGTCCAGGACGACCAGTAGGCTGAGCGTTCAAAGGTGCCATAGGGAAACCAGTGGGTTGTGGTGACAGACCTTGACCGAAGCCTGTGGGCATGGGAGGCATAGGAGGACGGGGACCAGTGTAGCCTGTGGCCTGATTTTGGAAACCAGTCGCTTGGGGTTGTAGTCCAGTGGGCATGGACGACTGGAAACCTGTTTGCTGGTACTGGAAACCGGTAGGTTGGGGCTGGAATCCTGTAGGCTGAGGGTTCAACTGCGACAGAAGTTGGCTGCTGGAAGGCTGCGGCTGAGGAGCCTGAATAGTGGGCACATCAGGGAAGCTGGGAGCATTGCTTGCTGGCTGCGAAGCAGATTGAGCATCGGCAACACCGAAGGAGATGATGTCGACCATGCTAGAGACCTCGTTTGTAACTCTCTCAGGCAGCTGCGGAGGGAGGTCCTTTCCAGTGAGCTTCAAGTTGCAAAGGTACATGGCCAAGGCAAACTCTGGGAAGAGCAATTGACCGGACTTTGTGGTATCTGAGAGCATCCAGATTTGAGACAGGGCATCACCAGGCAGTTTTGAACGAAGGAGAAGGTCCTTGGCCTTGTCACCGGACAGGGCGTGGTCGTTACCGACAGCAGATCTGAAGAGCTGTTCGAATTTGGACTGGTCTGCAGCGGTGATGAAGGACAAGCGGATGTTGGGAATCTTGGACGATGCCGACGAAGAAGCGGTTGGCTGGGGCTGCTGACGAGCAGGAGTTGAGCGGAACGAGTCGGCCATCTGCGACGAGGTCATGCCGGTGGGCTGAGGTACCTGCTGAGGGGCAGCGGTGGGCTGTGGCGATTGGAACTGCTGCTGTTGCTGCTGAGGTTGAGGTTGTTGCTGCTGCTGAGGAGGATAGCCAGTGTACTGAGGCATAAGACCGCTCTGGAACTGGTTCTGCTGAGGCTGTTGCTGCTGGGGAGGGTATCCAGTAGCCTGGGGCTGGAGAGACTGTTGCTGCTGAGGTGGATAGCCAGTGGCCTGGGGCTGTAGAGACTGTTGCGGGTTCTGCATGGGAGGCATGCCGGTGTATTGCGGTTGCATGAAGGGTGTGGGTTGAGAGCCGTAGGCACCGTAATTCTGCTGTGGTTGTTGGCCATATTGCTGTTGACCTGGGCGGCCCTGGTTGGCACCGCCCAGGAAGGAATTGGAGCCCGAGAACATGGTCGTCGACGGTCGCGCGCCTTGGTAGTCTCAAGTCGAGCTTGAGCAAGTCGAGAGTCGAGAGTCGAAAGTCGAGATTGGATCGCTGGCGACGCTCCGCGAATGCCACGCGGAGTAGCCATTCTGGTCCATGCACCAACGCCAAGCTCATTTCGTCACCGATTGTTTATCGTCTTGCATGTGAGAGCCTCGAACTTGACTTTCAACCATCAACCACCATCATCATGCCGCCCAAACAGAACGGAGACACTGAGCCCGACGTCCAGGATGCCGACTTTGCCAAGGTACGACATGCTGAGAGCAAGTTAGCTGTAACCGTCTAACAAACTCCTCCAGGCATTCCAGGAACTAAACCGCGGCGAACAAACTGCCACTGCCCTCGAGAACCACCTCGCCGCCCTCGAGGCAAAGATAGATGAGCTCCTTGCTGCCGCTGGTCAACAAGACCAACCCAACTCCGAGTCCGCCGAATCAAATACCACAACTCAGAACTAGCTTGTTCCGAGACGTCATGTAGATTAAAGAGCTCGGTCTATGTTGAATCTATGCGCACGGCACTATCGTTTGTCTTCTCTCAAAGGCCTCCGACAGTTGTGGGCTTCACCTCAGAGCCAGAAGCCGCAAAGATATCCTCGAAATGGAACACTCCATCTGATCCCTTCTCCACCACTCCCTTCTCGGTCACAACTCCGTCTATCAGCTCTGCTGGTGTCACATCGAAAGCAGGGTTCCACACATCGATTCCGTTGGCAGCAATGCTGACCGTCTCAATCTGCTCGAGATCTAGAGATGCTCCCTTGAAGCAAGGGCCCTTGATCATCGTCATCTCTTTGCCTGCTCTCTCCTCGATCACAATGTCTGCTCCAGACTTGGTCTCGAGGTCGATGGTCGTGCGAGGTGCTGCGACCAGGAACTTGACTCCGTGGTGCTTGGCCAAGATTGCCAGCGAGTACGTGCCGATTTTGTTGGCAGTGTCTCCGTTGGCTGCTACACGGTCGGCTCCCACCACAATCGCTGCGATGTTCTCTGTAGGCCCCTTGAGACGGAGCAATGCAGCAGCCATCGAGTCGGTCACCAAAGTGGCGGGGATCTTGTCGTGCACCAGCTCGAAAGCGGTCAAACGTGACCCCTGGTTGTAAGGTCTAGTTTCGCTGCAGAATGCTCTCTTGAGCGATCCTCTAGCGTGAACGGAACGAATGACTCCAAGTGCTGTACCGTAGCCCGCAGTTGCCAGAGATCTCGATCAACATCAGTACATGACATATATACACATTTCTCTTGACGAACACTCACCCAGTGTTGCAATGGGTCAAGATGCTGACTTGATCCTTGCCTCCAGCAGCGTTCTTGAGAATCCAGTCGGCGCCGTGCTCACCGATTGCCTTGTTGTCCGAGACATCGTCAACGAGCATTTGCTCTGCGGCCTTGATATACGCATTCTTGACAGAGTTTCCAGAGGCATTTTGTTCTTTGGCGGCAGTTTGAACAATCTTCTCCAGCTTTCTGGCAGCATCTGCCAAATTCACAGCGGTGGGTCTACTAGTAACCAGGTACTCGAGCTTCTCCTTGATGAAGACCTCGACCTCTTCGGCAAATTTGGACAGCTCATTCTTGCCTGCGATGAGTTCGAGTTCGACAGCCAGACCCAAGGCGGCAACAATGGCAATGGCTGGGGCGCCACGAGTCCTCATTTCCTTGATGGCATGCCATGCATCCTGAGCAGACTTGACCTCATCGTAGACTTCGGTGTGAGGCAGCTGGAGCTGGTCCAAGATGTCCAACTTGCCGCGGCTGTACTTGATTGCTTCGAGAACCATGGTTGATGTGAATGGTATTTTGTAAATATGGATGAGTAGCGCGTCTGCTAAATTTCTCTGCCCCGCCGACGTGATGGGTTCCGCCCCGCTGCACGAGCTTGAACGGCTTCTCGTTGCCTTCGGCCCCAGCGATAGATCAGCCGTTGCCATCGAAATGGCATCTAGACATGGCCCACGATGCCCCCACTTGGTCAACCTTACCGCGCGCGTAGTGTCGTCATGATTTTGAGAGCTAGCTCGAGTCTTTGTTGACCCCTCATGCATAGCAGTGAGGCCATGTCGCCTCTCCAACGTCTCTCAGCTCTTTCGAACCAAATACTCGCTTCCTCAAAGCTTCAAACCCGCGCATACACCATGTCTTCCCAATTCACCCTCCAGACCACTCTTCCTCTGCCGAACTCGTCGGTCAAGATTCCTGCTCTTGGGTTCGGTGTATACCAATCGCATGGCCCTACTTGCAAGAAGTCGTGTTTGACTGCCCTCGAGGCTGGTTACCGCCATATCGATAGCGCACAATACTACGCCAACGAGCAGCTGGTTGGTGATGCTGTCAAGGAGTCCAATGTTGATCGCAAGGACGTCTTCATCACCACCAAGATCTTGTTTGCTGGCAAGGATGAGGAGGAGACATACCAATCGCTCGTCGAGAGTGTGAACAAGATTGACAACGGTGGTTACGTCGACTTGTTCCTGATTCACAGCCCCAGCTCTGGTCCTGAGGGTAGAAAGCTCATGTGGACTGCTCTGGAGAGGCTGCACAAAGAGGGCAAGGCAAAGGCCATCGGTGTCAGCAACTTTGGCAAGGGTCAGATTGAGGAGTTGAAGTCGTTCGCTCAGGTCTACCCGCCGCACGTCAACCAGATTGAGGTATTTTGATTCTCAAGCGCGCCATTCGTTCGCGCATCGTTAACAAGGTCTTCTAGCTGCACCCCTGGAACCAGCAGCGCGTCGCTGTCGAGTTCTGTCGAGCCAACAACATTGTCGTCGAGGCCTACTGCCCTCTGGTCCGCAACCAGAAGGCCGATGACCCCACACTCAAGTCGCTGTCTGAGAAGTACAAGAAGTCGACCGGTCAAGTCTTGATCCGTTACTGCTTGCAGAAGGGATGGGTAAGTTCGATGCCATTATTTCCTATGCATACCAAGTACACCGTTACTGACACACTTGTCATCAGGTCCCTCTCCCCAAGAGCGACACCCCCAGCAGAATCAAGGAGAACGCAGACATCTACGACTTCGAGATCAGCAAGGAGGACATGACCAAGCTCGACGATCTAGACCAAGGCGCTGCAGGTGCCATCGTCCAAGCCGTTGACAACTAGAAGTAATGCGTTCATCCAGAAATTAAAAAGTTCATGCACTTCCGTTGCTTGTCAAGCAACAGCAACACTGCAGCAAACTGCGCGTGCGTATACATGCATCTCTAGATGCAGCAGACACAACACAACCCCGTAAACATCCGTTTCCTCGCAGCGTTGAAAAAGGATTGCGACAACAAAAAATCAAAAACTCAATCTCCTATGTCCAACGCACTCCCTTTCTGAGATGTCTGTTTCAGATGTCGCAAATCCGATGAACTCCTGGCAGCAAAACGTCTACGATCCAAGCATGCAAAAGATGCGAACACATGATTACTTATGTAGCAACGGTATACTCGAGTAGTGACATTAGACTGCTTGGCTATAGTGACATCTATACATCCTTCCAAGGCTATACCCATTCTGGCATGTGTCAGCTTCGGTCAAATATAGATCAGCGCGGTCATCACAATCGTAGACCTCGTGTTCTGAGTTTAATGACATGGCGTTTTGGCGGGACAGATGCGGCGCCTGTAAGAAGGTTTGGGTTCCTCATCCTCCACACACGTGCGCGCATTACAGCGCATGTACGAAGCGAACGAAGCATGCTGGGCAATCAGACTGCGCCGCAAAATGAGGTCGATCAGTCAGCTTGGCCTTGCATAGTGTAGCCTCTGAGCTGAGAGGCAGCCATGGCTTACGTCAAATGCAGCGATGCAGATGATGTCTGTTGTTTGGTTTGTTGCCGTGCACTCTGTAGCAGTCTAGCAGAAAAGTATTGGTATCCAACGTTGATTTTGATAGGACCAGCGGCGCTTGCAGAGTTCGCGCGGTCTAATTTTGGCAAGCTTGGTGGGGATCGAGAGAGATCCTTCGCAAAGCACTGTTTTCGTCTTCTCTCAGCTACAGACTACACACGGCTTTTATTTTGACTTTTTGGCTGCTCTACGCTGTCCGCGCGCGGCCGATAGAATCCCGAGTACAAGAACGTTTGGATTCTCATCAGCCAATCCTTCGTATCTACCTGCCCAAGAAAAGCACCAAGTAAACTCTATGTGAGTAGGAGCAGATGTAGATAAGCAGCGCAGCAACACAGGCAAGGGAACAAAGGATTTCAAAAGCCACCGTGATCCACTCCCTCCTCGTATTCCACAACTCCCCTTGCTTTCTGATGGATTGCTTGTATGCGGCTCTGGTAATGTTATAATATTGCATCCTTTCCCTTTTCTCGTATACACACCGCCGTCGTCCACTTCTTCGCCTTACTTCGCTTCTCCTCCATCAACACCTGGACGCAACACTTGTTCTCGTGCGACGATAATTTCGAGTTATATTCCTTGCTAGCGAAAGCAAGTTGGAAAGAGCTGCAGCAATAAGCATGGGTCAACAGGAGGTGTTGAACGAAAAATCAGAGCAGAACGCACCCCTGCTATCGCCAGATGAATACGCACACGACATAAGCGACAGTGAAAGCGTACATAGCGAAGGCATGGCAGTGGAAGCTTCACCAGTGTCATCGCTGCATCCTGCATTTTTCATAGCGTAAGTTTGGCACTACGATCGACCATCGCACCAAAAACCCTCGACTCACATTTGCGACTATTACAGACTATGGATCGGCATGAGCTCCCTGGTTATCCTCTTCAACAAATGGATCCTCCACAATGCCAACTTCAAATATCCAATTTTCCTCACCGCATGGCACATGTTCTCCTCAGCGGTGGTGACCCAAATCATGGCTCGATACACCGGTTACCTCGATTCACGACACACAGTCCCCATGACCAAACGCACATATCTACGCGCCATTCTTCCCATCGGCTTACTCTTCTCTCTATCGCTAGTTTGTGGCAACGTCACTTATCTATACCTCAGCGTCAGTTTCGTGCAGATGCTCAAGGCTGCGGCTCCTATTGCTGTGTTGCTGGCTACCTGGACATTCCGTCTCTCCGAGCCTTCGCTGGCTGCTTTTGGAAACATTTGCATTATTGTCGTTGGAGTGGTGGTGGCTTCCCTCGGCGAAGTACAATTCAACATCTTGGGCGTCGGGTACCAACTTTCTGGCATTGTGTTTGAAGCCACGAGATTGGTCATGATTCAACGCCTGCTCTCTGCGGAATTCAAGATGGATCCTTTGGTTTCGCTATACTATTTTGCGCCTGTGTGTGCGATCACCAATGGTATTTTGGCATTGGTGTTTGAGGCGCCTCATATGACTATGGCGGACTTTGAGAGAGTGGGAGCGTTTACGTTGCTCATCAACGCAGCAGCGGCATTCTTGCTTAACTTTGCTTCGTTGCTTCTGGTGAGTTCTTTCCCCTGGCCCCCTGAGACCTTCTGAGAAAAGGAAAGTTACTGACAAAGCTGCAATCACAGATTGGCAAAACCTCCTCTCTAGTCCTCACCCTCAGCGGCGTACTCAAAAACATCATGATCGTGTTCGCATCCATGCTCTTCTACCACGACACCGTCACCGGCATTCAGTTTCTCGGCTTCTCGATCGCTCTGGGAGGATTGGCATACTACCAACTTGGTGGCGCACCTGCTTTCAGGGGCTACTATGGACAAGCAGTCAACAGGTTCTCGGAGTACAGAAGGCTTTCTGGGGAAGTTGATGTTGTGTCTGCTGCTGAGATGGCGAGGCAGGGGGATGCAGAGTTTGGACAAAGGAAGAGTGAAGATGAGGTCAAAAGCCCGGGGATTGTCAATATCAAGAGTGCGTGATTTGAAGATCTCGCGTTTCGAGATTGACATGCATCAGCTGTGATGCTTGAGGTTACTACGAGTATATGAAAATAATCTTTATTACACCATTCTCTCCTACCTCTTCTTCTGTTGCCTCCTCACAGCTTCTTATAAGATTGGTGCTGCGTTCAGTCGCGATACCAGAACCTCTCATGTCTCTACCTCATCTTACCCACCGCATGCAGCGACCTCGAAACGAATAATCCCTATCATTTGCACCCGCTCGTGTCCGTATCAAACTGTTTTCCGTTCCTGTGACGGTTGCAACTATGTCAACCCCTCAGTGTCTTAGATTACGTTGGTTCTGCTGCATGTTTCACATTGCCGATTGACCCGATCATATTAAGTTGGTCGTTCGTTCACTCAACGGCAGAATGATGTTGCTCCTGTCCACAGAGCTAAGTTGGTGGAAGAGAAAGACTCGGTGTGTAAATGCTGTGGTTTGGTTGTGACATGGAAGACATGGGCAACGTGGGTGTTTCGTGTTTGAGACGTGTTTGGAAAGGCGGTCAGATTCTGCCGATTGAGATGCCATTCCATGCTGATAATACCTACACTTCACACATATTCACTGCTAATTGTATCTGTACGTAGTGGCTGGTTTGCTCGATATATATGATAGGTCTCAAACATCTTCGAGTCGCAAGGTCATTGTGAACTCATCGTCGCCTTGGGCACGAGCTGTGGTACAAATTTGGTGGTTTCGGAGTGAGCTTCTGAGATTTATTGATCATAAAAGGTAATTTGGATATATCTCGACGGACACGAGATCAATGACACCAATATCATCCTACTGGGTAATCAGGAATATATCGCACAGTTTCGTATATTCATAAAGTGTCTAGATATACGGTGTGGCGCCAGAGATACCATCGACTCTTGAAAATGGCTGTGCTGGGGATGACCCTGTCTTGCAATCGAAGCTTCGTCATTCCTAGGTCGCGACAATTATTTGCACAAGTCGCGACACCATTACACGATAATCGACATGGATACTTGAGCACGATATTATCAGCACGAAGAATCTGGAGAACAGTGGCACACCGACCACAGGGACGAGATGGCGGAAAAGCGACGAGCATCTGGACGCGCGCGAGATGCGAAACGACGAAAGACGCTACCCAAAGCACCCACGCCAAAAGACCCGACACCGTCAGAAGCCACGCCAGTGGTCGAAGAGATAGTACGAGAAGCGACACCTTTGCCGAACAAAGTCGTAGACTCGAAGCCTCTACCCACCCTCTCTGAGCGCCAAAGCATCAACCTGTCCAACGATGAGTACAAGTCGATTGCAGAGAGCGGAGTGCTGCTAGCATCGCTAGAGGGATCGCGACAGAAATGGGTCTCTGGTACCTTTTTCGATAAATACTGGACCAAGACGTCGGGAAGGAAAGATGCGCCGCCTGCGCCACCAGGCAATCCACACAAGTCATGGATGAAGGAGATTGGGCCATGTACGTTGGTAGTCGAGCCCTTGATCTTCGAGGCCACGGCATACTACGTCAAGGAACCAGGCCCAGCACCTTCGTCGTCCTCATCACATCCACCTCCTCAACAGCAGTTCCAACAGCAACAGTACCAGCACCAGTACCAACATGCTCCTCCCCAGCAGTACAACCAACAACAACCACGACCCAATCCTAATGCCCCAGCCGGCAGTCCCTACGGAGCCCCATACTCATCACATTCTTCCTCACAATACCAGGGCCGTCCTCACCCTCCACCCATCATGCCCGCCACTGCTCGAGCTATACCACCTCCCCCTGCTGCACCCGCGCCCGCCAAACAGTCGCCCGACCCCGTCATTCAGATGCTCGCTTCACGCGCGAGTAGCGATCCTGAGCTCAAAGCGCTCATGAAGATTGTAGCCACGGGCAATGCAAATCAAGAGCAGTTGCGCATCTTCCAGAGACACATAGACGAGTTGACGGCAATGATCAATGCCAACAAGGCCCAGCCTAACAGCCAGACGAACTCTCCCGCTCCACCACCACAACATGCTCAATCGCGACCACTCTCAGCCGCTCCCGTCATCAAACCACATCCTGCTACGGTACAGCCACATCCTCCCATATACCCCATGCCTCAACAACAGCATCCGCAATATCAACACCAACCAGCTCCACCACCAAGATATCCCAGCTATCCTATCGTACTCGAGTTTCAAGGTCCAGGTGCCTCGCCCGACCGCTTCCGCTTCCCAGAATATACCATCCTCGAATTTCTCAATTCCTACAAGATGCTCGCATCATTTCTCGTCATCCGCAAAGGCAAAGACGTCAGTCCTCAACTCGACCCAGAAACAGAGTACTACGAGCCTGTCACCATGACAATCAGCGTGTCCGAAGCTCGCTCTCCCACAAGAGATGTCCTACAATTCATCACTCGCTGTGTGAAGCCTGCCGATCAGGTCCGCAACTACATGACAGACAAGATTGAGAAGTGCACGCGCGCTCCTACTAGATATCTTGCTTTTAGACTACCGTACAAGAGCGGTATAGTCGAGACAGAAGAGGAAGTCCCTGTGGTGCAAGAAGTCAAGCCCAAGCCTAAGCCCGCGCCTAGGAAGAAGAAGGAAGATAAAGATAATGAGCAGGCAGGAGAGAAGGATTCGGCCAAGGCTGCTGTACCAGCTCCTAATGGCGTGGACGCTACGCCAGGTGCGACACAAGAGCCACCAGCCACTGCTCCTGCTGAAGCCTTGACAAACCCTCAAACTGGTACAACCGAAGCGCAGCCTTCTGCTGCTGTGCCTCTGCCTGCCAGTACAGAGCCTCCTCAGCCTGCAGAAGCACCAGCGATGGACAACGCAACTGCAAAGCGCAAGAAGTCTGTCCGCATCTCAGAAGTACCTGAGATAGCCAATGTTGGTAACGTTGATACCACAACAGCAACTGTGGAACCAGATGTTACGACCACAACCTAGATACCCATATTCAGTTCACTCTAACTCGATATTGCTCACAATGCACGCCACGAGACGAAGAAATCACAATTCATTCTTAGCCAAAGCATGTGTTCTTGTGTGAAAAAAGTGTGATTATGATATTGATGTACCAGGACTTCTATGGTGATCTGTTCATTAAAGGTCACAGATACCTCAAACGCGAGGCTAAGGTCAATATCGCAAGTGTAGACCTGAGTCTAAACACCAGCTTCTCGATGGGGGTATACGAGAGCCGAGAGGACTGACTTGCTTGTGCTGAAAATAAGAAAAAGGAAATAAAAAGGAACCTGTTCAAACCTGGACTTGTCATGGTTATTGCATCATCTGCAACACTCATGGATCCTGATATCTGCTCATTTCTAGAATGTTGAGATGGTGCGGATATCGAGGTATCTTTTGGGGGTGGACAAGTATGAAAAATCGAAAGGAAAGCAGACAGACGCCTAGAAAAATTTCGTAGACGTTCAAACAGCGTTGACTTTTGACAAGACTGTGTTCGCCTGCCAAAAGTCTTGGTGTCGTGTGCGGATGACCACACAGCCAACCACCCACGAGACCTCAAGCTCAATTCTCATAAATCACGTTTCTCGTCTTGTGATATATTCTCGGAGTAAGTCATATGCATAAACACGCGCAAAGAACATCCTCTGGTTTCCTTTCAATACGTAGCCATATCTTTTGCAACATCTCCATCCTCAAGAGGGCAATTTGCTGAACGGATGAACCAGGTTGGTAGACTCTCCATCGAGATGGGCGTACTCAAGAGCGGATTTCTGTTTCTAGTCTTTACTGTTTGTCTCTATCCTGTTTTTGTAGCGCTGTTGACGGTTCCGTGGTTGCAACGACAGTAAGTATTGCTCTCCATTTCCTCAACCCTTTTGCTTCTATTTTCTTTGCATTGCCTTTCTTCCATATCTTCAATATTCTCGAGTCATTATTTTCTCTTCAATTCCAGAACACTGAACCTGAACCTGCTTCAAGACGTGCTAACCAAACACAGTGCACTATACGCCCACAAAATCCACTCGGGCTTCTGGCACGATGTCAACAAGCCCGAGTCCTTTGGCTTCGCAGCCCACCAAGTAACGCCCTTTAATGTCTCCACACCAGACCACGAAGTCCTCTACGCATGGCATATTCTGCCCTTAGCAACTGTAGCAGCAAATAGGGATGCTTTGGCTACTTCCGATGCGTTTGATCAAAGTTTGCCTTTGCAGTTGCTCAAGTCCGATGAGCAGGCTAGAGTGGTGGTGAATTGTAAGTTTTGATGCCTCTGCTGTGCTTTGGCGAGGGGAGTCTTGCTGATGTGAGGAGCAGTCCACGGTAATGCGGGACATGTGGCCCAAGGGTGGCGTACAGATACCTATCGCGCGTTGAGCAATCAGCCGCATACCCATGTCTTCACAGTGGATTACAGAGGGTTTGGCCGCAGCACTGGTGCACCGGATGAAGCCGGTCTAATCACTGATGGCCGCGCGTTGGTCAACTACGTTCTTTCTCTGGGTATACCACCTTCTCGCATTGTGATTCTTGGACAAAGTCTGGGTACTGCTGTCGCTACAGCTGTTGGCTTGAGTTTCTCGGATCCGACTTCTGGACTGCTGCCGCAATCTCTTGCTTACGGCAAAGTGAACATGGATAAAGCGGTGTTCAGAAGTATCATCTTGGTTGCACCATTTGCTTCTCTACCGGACTTGTTGCTGAGTTATCGTATCGGCGGCCTTATCCCAGTGCTCGCTCCTCTCCGCAACTCTGCCTTCCTGGTCAGCTTGGTTACCAAGTATATCCTCGATACATGGCCCAGTGGCCTTCGTCTTAACGCCTACGTCTCTGCTGCTTCCACTCTCTCATCCACAAGCAACAATGGCGCTGGCAATGTACATATCCTGCACGCCAGAGATGATCAAGATATCTCCTTTGTTCAGTCTGAGAAGCTATTTGCTATGGCTACGGGGAAGGACGTTGAGGAATTGCCTTTAGGGGCGAGGGAGGTGGTGGGAGAAGGGAAGGTAGGGGTCAGGGTTGAGATGTTGGAGTTTGGAATGCACAATCGGGTTGTCACGTATGCGCCTGTTGGGTTGGCTGTGATGAGGGCTTTCGAGGGGGTGTAAGAGATGGAGGAAGGACGATAGTTGGAGGCGGTCGTTTCTCTCAAGCTTCGCAAGTCTCATGCCTTTCTTTGTCGATATAGTATACAGATTCTGAGTCTCGAAGACTGTGTATAGTTTTGTATATACCTTGATATACCTAACATCTTGTGATTCCCAGCACTAGGTCCAACAGCTCGACAGAGCAGTAGCGCAGAGCAATACCACATGGTGTCATATACTCTGTTACTACTCCTATGTATACAACTTTTTCAATGTCATCACTAGTACCTAACTCATCAGACCTGCATGATGGTTTGCTACCTTATCGCTCACCATCCAAATCCCGTGATCGGTGCTAGCACGTGACATAGAACGCCGAAGTGCCGAAGTATCGCCATGATTAACCACGGGCTGCTTGCTCTCAAAGATCGCTGTCTTACTCCTCTTGCGCATATCATCGACCTTAGCCATTCTTGCTCCTTGTGATCATGGCCTCCAAGGTGCGGCCTGTACGAATTGTAGATTGGTAGGTTGTGCTAAGTCGGTTCAAGCTTCGATAGAAGCAAACCGACTCAGCTCGCGCACTGCTCTTTCTGGATCTTGGATTGTCTGCTGGCTCTGGACCCTTCTTTGGACACACTCCCGGCATCGAAAAGAATTCATGTTTCGTCAATAGTAGGTCGACACTGGTTCTGGATGTTCGAAGAGCTGCACGGATTCTGATCTGTTGATCAGGTCTCGCCATTCTCCAAGGATAGTCCCGCTCTCGTATATTGCATCCAGCTGCAAGGGTTCGACGAGTCTGATGGCGTTGTCCAGTGAGAGCCTCGACCTTGTCGAATCTCAGCGGACGTCTCCTGTTTGCGAAGAAAGCTTTGCATTTCCACCGGTATGAAAGACACCAGTTCTGGACTTCGAGGTGCTGCGATCAGGACACGCTACCCTTGAGTTCGATTCTCCAAGGATGATATCGTTCCTGTAAGTTGCGTATCACAATGCAAGGATCAATCCGGCGTGGTAGTGTGGTCCAGCGAGAGCTCTGATGTTGTCGAGTCTCAATGGGTGTCTCCTGGTGGCGAACAAGACCTTGCCTTTCTACTGGTCTATACAGACGTAGGTGCACATCTTGGAGTCATGCTCGCTGCTAGTATGCCGTTGTTTGTCAAGGCTGGGCTCATGGGCTCGTCAGTCTCTGCTATCGCAGCCAATGTTCATATCAGGATGCAGGGACGGAACTGATAAGATGCGCATACTAAAGGAGAGTCCGGTCTTTCTCGGTAACGTCTCTCTGAATATACGCCTTACCTTGGGTGCTTTCTTGTCTGACAACAGATACTGGCTCTGGATAGTGAGAGGAAGAGATCATGAATCAGGCATATTGGCATACTGGCCTACTACTGTCTCAATGCCATTGGAGCCTCGGAGACCGGACTCCCGTGTCCCCGATGGCAATCATCCCGCTGCCGCTACCACCATATATCAAGCCAAGGTATTGGTTAGCGTAGCGGAAGCTCCCGGTGTGTGCTCCTATACACCTGCGGAATTCGCTGCGACTCGAGGCGCAGTTTCAGACCTTCGAGGCCACCATCCATCCATCAAGAAGCAACTATCCTCTACAAGCAATGGCGACTCACCAGTGCACACTGTGCCTCCGTGATGGCATCATCCATACCAGCAACAGCGAGGCCAACATGAAGGTTCACTTGGGCTCCCGTAAGCATAACCTGGGCGAGTATATCTGCCAGGTCGTCGGCTGCGACAAGGTCACCTACAGAATGTATGTATACAACGAGGATGGTCCTCTATTAATCCGATGTCTGACTCTGCATCTAGCGGCCGTCATATTAACCACCGCCTACCCACCGCTCATCAACCCTCATGGGTCGTGGACCAGAACCGACTCAGAGCCTTAGATGCGGCAGTCAAGCTTTGTGAACTTCCTCTTACTGCCGCTGCTCCTGGCCTTGCCCCTCCCGCCGCTTACAACACCGCTCCTGTTGCTCCTGTTCCCGGCCCTGCCGCCCATGGCTCCACCACTGCCGGCGCTCAGGCTCAGACCGATCCCTCTGGAACCGGTCAAGATCAGACTAACCCTCCTGGAGTTGGACAGGGTCAGGCTGATCTGTCTAACACTGGAGACGACGACGATGAGGAGCAGCAGGATGAGGAGTACGAGCAAGACCATCAGCCTGACGCCGAGGTTGAGAATAACGCTGTCGAGGAGCAGGAGGAAGAGCAGGAGCAAGACAATCAACTTATCAGCACCAACAACCATGCTACTCTCGTTGCTCCCGCCTCTGCCGACACCAACCTTCCTCCTACTACTGGTGCTCATGACCAATCTCATCCTCGTGGAGCCGGACAAGGTCAGGCCAATCTCTCTCGGTACAACCCGGAGGACTGGGACTGGCCCCCTGGGATGTATGAACCCTGAAGCTGTCACGTCTGCATGTAAGGGCGTGCTCGAGCAAAAGTGTGGTACGTTACTTTCTTATAGCGACATCTTTCTGACTTCGTCATGCTGACTTTTCTCGCCTTCTCATAGTTTCTGGCTTCCTCTCCTGGGCCGACTCTGGTGATGAAGAGTAGTAATTCTCTATCGGTTCACTCAGCTACAAGGAGTCACCCTCAGAAGTACTTTTACCTCCTTAAAAGCTCGTCTTTTGGTCTGTCTTTCTTTTCTCTTTCAAGTTCCATACCCTCTCGTCACTCTACTCTCGCTTGCGAGAGAGAGTTTGACCCCATGCGTCTTTGCGGTAATACGACTTTTGCTTGCTCTTCCTTTGGACCCACCCCCGAGTACCTCGTCCGTGACCGTGATTGCTATGTGTGTGATCGCTATGACAAAGGTGAGGTGCAGGAACGTGCGTTGACGCACGAATATCTCATGCGTGGGAGCGTCTGCGTCGAGCGCGCGACTCCCACTGGTCGATGCGGTACCCGGTCTGCAGTCTCCGTGACTAACTAAAACACAGGACAAAGGGCAGCGGATGTGATGCACGATCACTTGACGCCACTCTACTCTGAAATAGAGAGCCCTCTTATCCGTGTTGTACCCCTGTGTCGTCGTTCTTTGGTTGTAGGCCGTAACGCCTTAGGTGTGCCCCCATCTTTCTAATCATTCGGCCTATGCTTCCTTCTTCTTTGCATCTACTCAAGAGTACATCGTCCCTGGCCACATTGCTGGAACGCATCATCTCTATGACCAATCAAAGCCAAAGGCATAAGGACCGGATGTAATGCACAGATTTTTGATGCATGGAAGCGCTTCACTCTAAGCGAGAGAGTACTGTCCAGCGATGTGGTACCCGGCCTGCAGTCTCCACACAAACGGTAGCAAGAGATACTGATTTCGGACATCACGCACAAACATCTGACAGATGGATGGGTTATATCTCGAAGGAGATCCATGCGATGCAGTACCGCCGCGCGAACTTCCCGTGCACCAGACGTTATAGCACTCGGACGTTACGCACGAAAGTCTTCCAGATGGACGTGGAGTATCTCGAGCGAGAGAGCTCCATCATGCGATGCGGTGCCTGAGTATCGTTGTCTAATGGGTCCTTCGCGGTCTCGGAGCTCCGTTCTGTCGTGTTTGAGATCCTTCTCACCATCCTTGAGCTCCATGGTGCTGGATGGAGCAGTGAAACGAAGAGGTTGGTGTTGAGGTGAGCATGTGTAGTTGTGGCAGTGGAACTTTTTACTTTCTTTTCTTGTCATTGTGCAGCCATGAGTATTGTGTTTGTGATTGCTAGACTAGACATCTCCATGGTGAACTAAAGTAAGCGGTACAGAATATACGAACATCTGGTGCATGGACGTGTTGTCTCTCGAGCGAGAGAGCTTGATCAAGCGATACGGTACCCGGATATCGTCGTTCGGTGGTCCCATTTTGGTACACGTTGAGAAATCTGAGCGTACATAACGAGTTCTATGCCTTCCTCGGATCCCTTCACTGGTTTCTGTATGTAGTACAACACAATTGCAGATCATTTTTGAAAGTCGATGCATACAGGATGATGATGACATATCTAATTGTGTGGAGATTCTCAAGCTTGGCCCATCCACTGAAGCACTTCTCTGCCCAAGGACTCTTCCCGCTCGTCTCCGGTGCCCAATCCAAGGACAGTGCTGAAGTGGTTGTGACCTTCGAGCACCACTTCACTCAGACTGTCCTTTCCAAATTTCTCTTTGTATGCATCGACAAAGTGTTGACTGGGCTCGAGAATCTCATCTTCAGGGTCCAAGGTAGCAGTCACGACCAACAACTTTGCCTCGGGAGACTGAGCCTTGGATACCTGCCCCAGAGCGCAATCCTCTTCCAGTCTATCTTTGTAGTATGCGGTAAGTACATCCCTACGGTCAGCCCCTGCTTTCTGGAAGTGTGCGGGTATGGAGACGAGAACCACGCCTTGGATGATGATTGAGCCTGTCTGGACACTCTTTCTCGATTCGGCGAGCGAGGGCTCAAGGAGCCAAGTGGCAGAGTGAACTGCACCGGCAGAGTTACCCATGATCCAGAGCTTGTGGCTGCCGGTATCGAAGCGGTTCTTGATCCATTCCAGAGCACCGGCGATATCCTGCCCTCCACTGGGGTAGGTGCCACCTTCGCCTGTACGTCTATAATCAGGAATCACCGTGATGAACCCTCTCGACTGTATATTATCAGCTATTGGGAGATCGTTATTGCAATATTGGACTTTGTTTATCCTTACCGCAAAGTAGTGTCCGATGTTGGCATACACCAGGCCTTCGGCCGTTGGTGGACTGGGCAAGCGCTTGTCACCCCTAGAGAGACCACCTCCGTACGCGAAGACCACGATGGGTGTGTCCTCGGATATACTTTTTGGACTGTAGAAGTCGAGCTTCTGGCATGGGTCGGAGCCATAGGTAAACTCTTCACGAGGAGTGGACTCGATGCTGCTTCTGTTGTTCTCGTGCACGGAATTGTATGCCTTCATCGTTGGCATCAAGGCCTGGAAGATGGCCGTTCCAAACTGAGGTAGTTGATCCATGGTAGCAAGCTTTGGTGCCTGATTGCTATGTCTTGGTCAAGAAGATGCTGGAGCAGGACCGAGAGATTCGGGCAGAAGAGACCTCAGAACTTCGATGTCCCGTAATCTGATGCCGTCGCTTCTGAAATGTGGCCGGAGCTCTACTTATCCAGGTTCCGTAAACAGTGATGAATTATAGCATGCCCTAATGGACTTCGGCACATCAATCAGACAGCGAGAAGTTTGATATTCGGCCTCTTCGACCAACATAAGAGGGGAAGGAAGTGGGGTCGAATCGGTCGTGGATTAGGGCTAGATTTAGGGCTTCGGCTGAGAAAGGCCGAGTCAAAAACTGCATTCAAAAAAAACAAACTGCTTGGACGCAATTTTTGAACAGTGTAGTTGACAATTGACGGACTACTGAACGGCTTCCAGATATTGCCAGACTGCCTTCATCCTAGCAGATGGTGTCTTGGTCAGAGGGTAAAGCGAATACTTACGATCCAAAACCAGCATGTTTTCTCCGTTATTGGCTTCCCCACAATCCCCACACGACGCGAACGATGCGCATGTCGAGCTCGGAGTCCAAACTCAAAACACCCCCTCCATCTCTGGCCTCGCTCAGTTTGTGGCCCCACAAGCAAAAGCGTTCGAGAAGAGGAGATGTGTCAATCACATGGCTTGTTTTGCACACAAGCATACGGCGTACGGATCAGAAGTAGCCGGAAAGGTAAGCAAGGGTAGGGCAGGCTTCAGGGCTTCGGTTGAGTTGCGAGATTTATGGCTGATACAAAGATTCCCATATAAAGTCTGGAAGCATGCCCTGATGCTCACTATGTTCCCTCTTCCCTATCTGTCTCTCTCTGCTTTCCTCACCATTGGTAATCCTCCTGCTCTCATCTTACACCCATAAACATAGATTCCCAAGCCATACTCGCAACTTCACCACCGACTATCAACATGCCTGTCCCAATCCTCAGCGAGCCACCAGGCAAACCCGACTCGAGCTATGTTCTCCCCGTCTTCGGCGGCGAACTCTGGACAATTCCCACCTCCAACTCAGTCATGCGTATGCTCGTCACAGAAAAGGAGTCAAAGGGTGATTTTGCCGTCGTGACCACCGGCGGTCAACAAGACAACCCAATAGGCTTCCACTACCACCGCGATGCCCACGATGTGTTCCTCTGTCTCAAGGGAAGCATGAACGTCTGGGCAGACAACACAGCACGCACATTGCTGCCTGGAGACTTTGCTTCCGTTCCCCCCAATGTGGTGCATCAATACCAAATCCTAGGTTCGCATACCGAGTTCGCAGGTCTCATTGTTCCAGGCGGCTGGGAAGAGTTCTTCAGATTCATTGGCGAGCCGTTCGCTGCGTCGCCAATGGGACCTCTGTTCCCTACTCGCGACAACAGAAACCCCATGGAAGTATTGGTGCCCAAACTCATCGCCGCAACCGAGAAATTCGACATGGTGCCCAAGCGCGACCACAAAGGTGCTGAGCCATCGCTATGCACAAAAGACGACAACAAACTCGCCGATACAGCAACAGCATACTATCTCAAAGCCGATGCAGGACCCAGATATGCCAGTGGAGGTTTGTTGGTAAAACCCCTCTGCCAAAAAGCAGACTCGAATGGCAAATTCAGCATTGCTCGCCTCGAAGGCTCAGAGACGATAAAGTCGCAGTATCTGGCTTACAACACTTTTACCTTTGCAACATCGCATCATTGCTTTTTGGTAGACATGGGCAGTTTCCGCTTGACTGTTGCCGGCAAGGGGTCCGAGATTAGTGCTGGAGAATCGATTTTCGTGCCCGCTGGTCAGGAGTTCACGCTCGAGGCTGCGAGTAGATACGCGGCTTTGTATGTGTTTACCAATGGAGGTGGTTTGGTGGAGTTGTTGGTTGGAAAGGGCAAGGAATACCAGAGCCAGATTATCGCTGAGGAGTTCCCTACCGATGTTGCAGAGGTTGATGGACTCGAGGAAAGAGTCGGTGTCAAGGTTGGCGAGACTCTTTGATGCAAATACCAGAATCCGTATAACGTAACACATCTCCCAAGCAAATTTAGATCATGCGATCAGCTATAGAAATGCACAGTTCTTTTAAGACAATATTAAGGCCCAGAGAGATTCGATGACATTACGACTCTCAATGGATGCTTCCCATCTGCGAAGGACACTGTGCATCTCTATAGCTTCAGCTCGGTAATCGCTGACATAAGAGCAGAGAGGGTGACCAAATCTAGCACATGAGGCAGTAATGCAAGATTGTAAAGAACTTTTGACGTCCAGATTTCTCTACATCCCTCCTTCCCTTTTTAATGCGTAAATCTAAAGTCCAAGCGTTTGTTGCCCTCGTCAGTCGTAGTAGCAAGATAATGTTCTTTCTGCTCCTTGGTCATGGCATTCCACTTCTCATCGCGACGTCTGCGGTAATATCGTCAGTATAATGTTACCAAAAATGAACGCAGAATTCAAATCTTACCTATTGACCATGACATAGAAGACCTTGCAAAAAATAAAGGCACAGATGTTCCAACAGACAAGGCCGATAAGAATCTTGTTGCCGGTAAAGTAAAAGGGTCTGGAAGTCTTTGTTAGCACCATGGAGCGTAAAGGATAAAAAAGGAAAAAAAAGGATAAAAAAGGAAGGAAAAGGAAGGAAAAGGTGTCTTACTTGTCGTCTGTGCGGTAGATGTTGCTCGAATAAATGTTACTCGCCTGTACGGTCATATTCTTTTTAAGGGGAATACAGTCAGCATGCTTCTTATACAAAGGTAGTAAAAGTACAGACGAAAGTCGAAAAGCCATCTGGTGGCTTTTGACCTGCACTATCTGTACCCTCGGCTTACGTACATAGAGTGCGGTTGCCACAGCTCGAGTCCGCACGCTTCCGCCATTTCTGGACGTGACTGCGACGATAACGGGATGGATGTATGGCTGGGCGTAAACCAGACAACTCAGGATCCAAGTAGCCCAATGACTGCGTGACTGGGGCAAAACTTCTAACGCAATCAGACACGGCAAAACGAACCATTGAGAGATAGTGCCGATGAGGAAGCGATCGTTGACTTTCTCAGAGAGATACGACAGCCAAAGCAAGTTGATGATGAAAAAGCAATAAGCGGGAATGCAGAGAAGGTTGGTCTGGAAGGTTGTGAAGCCAGCACTCTTGAGGTTTAGCGTAAGGTATGCGCTCATGGGAGTTGCTGGTACCATCCAAGTGAATCCCAAGAGGTAGATGGGCCACATGTGGTAGTCCTTGAGACACTTCCAGAACATGCCGAGAGAGAGGGCTTGTCTGTTGTGCATATCTCCTTTGCTGGGATCATCTCTCAAGACTCTGTTGACCATGATCTTTTCTTCTCTTTCGTTGAACCAGCCATCTTTGCCGCGGAACTTGGAGGCGGTCTGTGTGGGCGAGGGTGGAATGTAGAACCAGGAGATCACGCCGATGATGCCTGTAAGGCAGCCTTCCAAAGCGAAAAGCCAACGCCAACCAGCGATATCGTTGATACCACGCATGTGCAGAAAGCCGAAAGCAAGGAAAGCCGACACGATACTCGTGAACTGATACGAGAACCAGAAGTAGCAAAGTCGGATGGGAAGTTCTCGTGACGTGTACCAGTAACTCAGGTATAGAATGTTGTCAGGAATCTGTCACAAGGTCAGACAACATTGACGTATCTCGGTCGTCAACAGTGAGCTTACGAAGCCACCCTCGATGAGTCCCAACAAGGCTCTGCAGGCCCAAAAGCCGCTTCGACCCTGGATGAATGCCTGGCAAGCAGCGACGAGGGACCACAAGACCATCTGAATGGGGACCCAGTTGTCAGGGCCGAACTTCTTTCCAAGCATCTGACTGGGCAGCTCTGCAAACAGAAAGCAAAGGTAGAAGATGGTTTGACCAGTGTTGTAGTCGTTGGTAGAAATGCCAATGTCCGTAAGCATATTATCTGAAAGAGCTTGTGAAATATTCCCTCTGTCCAATTGCAGAGAAAAAAACATGAAGCAGACCCATGAGCAGATTCGCAAGTCGATCTGAGTATCAAATCATGTTAGCAATGGCCAGCTTGTATGATGCTCCCAAGAACTACCAACCTTTCTGACAAGCTTCTTTTCCTCCTTGGCTTCCCATTGAAACTTGGGATCCCATCTGTGATATCCTTCGTAGCTTTCGATTGGCTTGTAGTGACTCTCAAAGGACTCAGTGTCGAATGCTGACTCTCGAGTCTTGCCTGCCGCGTCGAAAATCACGGGTTCCTCGACCATGGCCAGAGGGAAAGCCTTGGTGTCCGAGACATTCTTCGAGTCAGTGGAGCTTGCATCGCTCTCTCGCTTCTCCATATCGCTCATCTTGCAAACTCAAGTTCGAAGAGTATACGAGGTCGAGAGATAACGAGGTTGTTGAGTGCAGATGCCTCAGTTTTTGATATATCCAAAAAAGTTGCGGCTCAATGTAGAAAGTACGGAAATAATAAAAAAATCCACTTTCATCATCGTGGCAACCACGTTTGCATGAGTGGATGCATCGGAAGTGTTGAGACGTGATAGTGGACCGCGTGTTCCATCCATACCACGAGTTGCCGTGAGTGCATACCACTCATCTCTGAGCATGCTCTGCATGGTAGGATCCCGCGGCACCGCCCTTCTCGCCGATGGATAAATGTAACCAAGGCAAAACACGATACTCTAAAGCATCGTCTAATCTGACACTATATTGTTGCGTGATAGGCCAAGGTCCTGGTGCGAGACGTTCAGAATTGCCTATTTGGGACATGGTTGTGGTATGGCGTGCTTTGCGGAGCACATTGGCAAGAATGGCGACATCTGTAACCCACGCATTAGACTGATGTATCCCTGATAGTGCACTGCCATACTATAGGCCTGCGATGTTGTGATTGACGAGAAGGATTGAAAAAATGTTTCGAGGCCCTGTTTTCTCCGGTTGATGCTCAACTGCCGTGAGACGCTTGTGTGTGAATCGATTAGATTTGGCCATCGCACGCAATGCTGTGGAGTAATTGTAAGATGATATTCTTGACTCTGTCATTTGGTTAAAATGGTGCGTTGGGAAGACCTCCCGATGTAACTCTTCTTTGTATTCGAGTCGATCTCTAGAAACATTTGCCGCCATCCGATCGCTGGTTCAAAAGTAGCTCGATAGCTCCTCACATTTAATTTCAGGTTACATCTTTTGCTCTTGCCTTCGCAATCAAGATATACATACAAACAGCCATGGCTCCTGCTCTGATTGAAACCCCCCAAGATTCGGGCGCCGAGAAGATTTACGTCAAGACCCAACTCCAGGATGGATACAAGGAGGCCTTTGCTCAAGGTCCCAAGACAACAAACTGGGACAATGAACTGAAGGGAGTCGGCAAACACCCTCCGGCCAAGTATCCACACTACCTGCCGGTGTGGGATAACGAAAAGGACATCGGAGGAAAGTACCCTCCCAACCAGCCATTCGAGGCCTATGAACATGGAAAAGATGCCGATCCATCTTTCCAGAACTTGCTGAAGGGGGCTACTTCAGTCGAAGACCTCACTGCCAATATCGGAGCAGAAGTCAAGGGTGTGCAGCTCAGCAAACTTGACAAGGCTGGCAAGGACGAACTCGCCCTCTTCGTCGCACAAAAGAAAGTAGTTGGTAAGCATTGTGATAGAAGGTCATATCAGCACTTGAACACTAACAAGATCAATCAGCTTTCCGCGACCAGGACTTTGCAGACCTACCAATCCAAGAGGCTCAGGACTTTGCCGAGTACTTCGGTCCCTCACACATTCACCCTGCCTCTGGCGCACCAAAGGGCTTCCCCAAGGTCCACTTGGTCCACAGATCCGCTGCAGACACAACCGCCAAAGATTACTTCGAGGAGCGCACCAACAGCATAACCTGGCACAGCGATGTGACCTACGAGCAACAGCCCCCAGGCACTACCTTCTTGTACATCTTGGACGGCCCCTCAGCAGGTGGTGATACCTGTTTCGTCAACCAGGCAGAAGCCTACCGCAGACTATCTCCAGAGTTCCAGAAGCGTCTGCACGGTCTCAAGGCTGTTCACTCTGCCCATGAGCAAGCGCAGAATGCTCTCGCTCGTGGCAGCATTGTCAGACGTGATCCTGTCGCCAACACTCACCCTGTAGTCAGAACACACCCGGCCACAGGCGAAAAGGCTTTGTTCGTGAACCAGCAGTTCGTGAGACGCATTGCAGGATACAAGAAAGAAGAGAGCGATTACTTGCTCAAGTTTCTTTATGATCACATCGCCTATTCGCAAGACATCCAAGCCAGAGTCAAGTGGGCACCTGGAACAGTCATCGTTTGGGACAACCGTGTCACTGCTCACAGTAAGTTGATTTTGCTTCCCCTCGGAACTTCTCTAACGTTTCTCAGCCGCCATTCTGGACTGGCAGGATGGGCAGAGACGCCATCTTGCTAGATTGACCCCTCAAGCTGAAGCACCATATGAGACTCCTTTCGAAGGATGAGGCTTTGAGCGTTGAGGAAGAACCGGCTTATCTCCGGATAACGCCGAAGCCAACGCCAACACTGGGGCTGAGGCTGCTAGTTTGTGCGATGGTCTTGCATTGAACTTATCGACTCCTGTCAGGCAATGGCCAATTCATGACAATCATCTTTCGAGCCTGAGAATTGAAATATATGACGGAATTGGTGAAGGTTTGCGGATGCATAAACGAAGAATGCCAAATTGTAATAGGAAATCACGAATCTACGTCGCTCATTCAAGCTCGTCCATGTCGTGATATGAAGTTCAACAAAACACTGCAGAAGCAGTAAGCATAAAAAAAAAAGTGCACACCGTGTAGACCCATAACCGTCTTCCAAGCCCCTGATTGTGACGCCGATTACCCTTGACCAAGCCAGAATAGAAGAAAGTCATGTAGGAACGAGAGAAATGTAGCGAACAAGACTAGTCGCTGCGTAGCATACTCTCGACCAACTCGCCCAATGGACCGTACCACTCAGCTTTGGCATCCCTCCTGCCGCCCTCATCAGCGAGACCGAACTCTTCCACGAACAAGACGTAATGCTTGAAACCAGTGTTGAGATGGGCCTCCAGGCCTAGACCTCTGATGACGCCGTAGTGATGGCAATAGATGTGGGCGTAGATGCGATAGAGGCGCTTGAAGATTTGTTTGATGGTGGATTGGAAGGTAGGCGGGAAAGGCACTCCCGGGTGGGTGGGGAAGACGTTTGCGTCTGAAAGGAGGTTCGAAGTCCAGGAGAGGAGATTTGAGATGTAGCTGGGAGCGGGAAGACGGACGGGACGAGGGAACTCTGGAGGGTGGTGCCACAGGTACTCGAACCTGGTAGAGACAGAACGTCAGCAGTTGAAGGGGGGAAAAGTCGTAGAAGAATCATCGTACTCATCTGTTGCCTTCATCTCGGGACATGAGTGTGGGCTGCAGAATTCGGTGATTGCGCCGTACAGCAAGTTGATCTGGTTGTAGAAGTCGACGACATTGACGGCCAGCCATTCGTCCTTGTCCTCGCCCTCGGGCAAGCGGACAACCTTTCTCAAGCTGCCGCTTCCGAGAGTGGCCTCGGCAAACTGCTTAAGCTGCCAGCTGTTTGTGCCTTTGGCAGCGCGCGCGGGTCTGAAGGACGACCGCGTGCCACGATTGGCGTTGCTACACGTAGAAAACATGTTAGCATCTGAGTGTATTCCTTTGCCCAAGGCATTGCGGAAGCGGTTCTGGAGAGGTGATAAGGAGGAGGTGGTGGTGGTGTGGGAGCAGGTACTGCTCGGACTGTCTGGAAAGTACAGCGACAGTTGCGACGACGACTCGCTGGCTGCCAACACGTTCGAGTGCAGGGCAGGCAGCGGCCGGGCCTGGATAGGGAAGTGTGGACGGGAAGGAGAGGGTTGCACCAACATGGTCTGCATGAAAGTGGCCATGCTGCGAGCGCGTGGGCGATGAGTGAATGTCTTATCCCTTGTTCAGCTGCTCTCTGCCACGCTCATTCCGTCAGCCGCTAATTAACAAGGAATGAAGACGTTGGCGATACATGCTCACCAGATCTTATCAGTCACACAAGGCTTGCGTCACGGCGGTGATTGCGTTTGTCCGAACGTGTCCTGTCGCTGCACGCAATTGATTACGAGGGATTGTGGATGGAGGCCAAGGTAAGGCAAGGTCGTGTTTGATTGCTCGTTTGTTGACATGGACAGCCCTATCGAAGCCACTTCCCCACACTTCCTTTTGTTTGGTCTGCCAAGCATCACATGTCATTCTCGTCACCATCCAAAACAATCAATGAGAAACAGCAGCATTTCCAGAATGCCATACCGTCTGGCAGAGAATAGCTAGTGTATACTGATGCATGATCATGCCTCCTACTCCTTCTTTGCTGCTCCTCCACTCCTGACCCATTCACCCACCTCGAATCCCAGACGTCGTAACGCACCTGCTTCGATGCCCTCAACCCCGCCGTTCTCCTCGCTGCCCTTGAAACGTCGAACCGCCATGACCCGGTTCTCCTCTTTGATCTCCACTCCACCTTTTCCTCCCTCCTCTGCCTTGTCAGCCTCCTTGACATAAACCGTCATATCCGGTCCGACCACTCCGCGCCATAACGTCGCTGTCCACTGCCAGTGGTCCGCTGCCTTGTACGCGTCACTGAGTGCCATGCGTGATGCAAAAGCGTTGGCTGCTGTCACCGTGTACGTGCGCAGGAGTATCACCGTCCTGCTGCTGCCATGACACGAGTCAACTTCCATGGCCTCGCTGTCACCAGCTAAGCCCGACTGTGAACTGCTGTCGCTGTCTTTTCGCTCCTTGCCGCCACGCGCCAGCTGCTCCACCATCTTCTTACCATTGTCGTGCCACTCTGCCACAGTTCGTAGTAACTCAGGAATGTCGACTTCTTGTCCATCCTTGGCTTCCGGCAGCTGGGGACCCTCGACCACCTTGACCACCATGTCACCCTCACGACCCAAGAACTCTTCGAGCCAGTCGGTCACATTGCGCGCCGCTTCCGCATCGTCACCCTCGATGGCGATGATGGTAGCCCTTGTCTTGTTGTTGTTATCACTCGCAGGTAGAGGCGGTGCAACTCGACCGAGGATTTGCACCTTGGCCATGAACGACATGGACATGATGATCTCGCCCACGCTACGTCTGTCGGGCTCCTTGGAGTCACTGCCCCTGTTACCGCTCGATGGCTGACCGGGGCCTGTTCTGGTGGCTGTTGGAGGGCCAGACATAGTGCCGGATTGTAGAGGTGGTAGCGTCAAACTGAGCTCCGGTCCGCCAGTGCGTTGGCCTTGACTCGCTCTGTGCTGCGAGTAGCCAGGTCCCGGACGAGGCGGTGGACCCATCATGTTTGGTGGCACTGGTCCTCGTAGGAGATCTGCTGGTCGCGGTAGACTCTCTCTGCGGATATGCTGCCCTCCAGGCGGAGGCGGAAACTGGTGAGGAGGGCCCATCTGTTGATTCTGTTGGATGTGGGGCTGTCCTTGTGGGCCAAAGGGGAATGGTGTGCCAGGCCCAGCATTGTGCCGTGGCGGCATGGTACGTGTCGACATAACATACGTGCCTTGTGGAGATTCAAATCTGCGTCGCTTCGAGTCGGGTGACAAAATGGATGAGTGCTCATCTTCGCCACGTTGGATCATGAACGGCTGTGAAGGGCGTCCGTTGGTCATATTGCGAGGGCGTGGAGAAGACAAAGAAAGGTTGTTGAGCATAGGCAGATAGCGAGTAGAAGGGGTTGTAGTCGACGATGGAGTCGGCGGGGGTAGTTGGAATGCGTTCAAACGTGGAGGGTGAGGATAAGCTGACGAAGGACTCGTTTCCAGACTGTGAGGTTTGTCAAGTCGCTCTCGTGCCGAAGAAGGCGTGCTTGGTGTAGGGTGGATGATAGTTCGGCCTCCACACTTCTGGCACTTTCGATGATCTGACTGTGAGAAGCCCGATTCGGATGAAACACTACCTCTACGACCAGATCGCTTAGGCTGGTATCGGTAAGAGGGGTATCTCTGCTGGTGCTGAAGCTTCTCTTCCTGCTGTCTCGTCAGTGCTGAACATCCCGTTAGTATACCGGTCTGACAAACTTCTGCGAATACCTTCCACCGATTCTTCTCTCCTTCAGGCTCGTTCCTCCACTGCTCGCCAATAATCTTGGAGATGTCTGGATTAGCAAGACCTGGGTTCTGCGCGACCACAGCGGCCTGGCGATTCTGGCGGTAAAGGATGAATGCTAGCAGGTGTAAGCATGCGCAAGGTAAGCAGTAATTCAAATGTCGCATAGACTGACCGTTTCTGGGTCTCGGGACTTTCGGCTCAGGTTGACACAGACAGAAGTTGACCAGTGACTCCGTGCTACCGTCTCTGGTATGCGAAGGACTCACGTCCTGGAGCTCGTCCTGGTCAAGGGCGTCGGCGCTTCTCTTCTGATGGTCGCGAAACGGTGGTGACTCTTCGGGCGTCAACGGCCTGTCTGCCAAACGGGACTTGGGTGAGTGTTGCAATTGTGGAGCGATGGATATGTTGGTCGACACTCTGCGCGAATTGACACTTCCGTCGCTTGCGATACCTTGGGAACTTGTACTCAAGTCGTCGTGTTCTGCAGATGGCATCGTTCTCTCCCACAACTGCCTGGTGAAAACGATCTGGGGTTGGGCATGAGAAGGCTCAGCAGTCGATGATGTAGTAGTCGGCGACAATGTCGAAAACCTAGATTCCGATAGGGGTACTCGTATGACAGACATTGGAAAGGGACGGCCAGGAATGCACTCTTTTGTTGTCAGAATGCCGTCTTTGACGTCCTCATGTCAATACGTAGACAAAGGTCCAAAGACGGGGGCTAGCGGCCATTATTCAACAACGCCCATGCCTGGCCTTTCTTGTCGCCAGAGCCGGCGATTGGTTCTGCTACTTCTTTGTATCATGGCGAACGAGCGTCCTTCATGTCCGATTGTCATGGACAGATCCGGCCTGTAGGCGAGGTTGCGACAGACAACCCGAGCTGGCACTTCTTTGTTCTGTTGGTGGGTAGATTTCCGCATGCGGGAAAGCCGGGCCAAGGTGAGACATTCCTGCCAAACGCAAGGAGATTGGCCTAGGAACGCACCACATGTACAATGCGAACAAACCGCATTATTGAAAGCAATCGTTCGCCCTTCGACCAACCTTGGTGTTTACAAAGCCTCCCACTCTTTGCCTCACTGCGAAATCAGCTCATTCGCTTCTTGATGGAAATGGATGATGCATCTCGATCTTCGTGTTTTAGTTATGCGAGGTTCGATTGATCATGGTGCTATTTTGAAGCATCCCAGCGACGTGTTTGCCGAGTAGCTCATGTGCGGCGCCGCTCAAACGCGTATCATCCCTGGAAAGCGCATCAAATTGTGGGTTCAAACAAAGAAGTCAGCTCAAGCTTTGACATACCAGAACAAGAAGTGCGACGGATCGTCGCACACCGTAAATGGTCGGGTTTCGATTCCATCTCCACCAAACGGAGCGGTGTAATTGACACAGGGCTGGGTCAATTCGGTAAACCTGGCACCTGCCTTGATCTTCGAGATTACTGCAAGGCCAGTCTCGTCGATCTCAGGCTCACGCATCTGCTCCAGCATCCACGCATGGAAGTCGGGCGTGACAACGTGAGCGTTGTTCCACGATTCGACCTGTTTCTGCAGGACGCTGTTCCAGAGATCGGTCAGGATGACGGCGTTTCGTTGGAGCTGACCATATTTGTCTGTACCGCTTGCAGATGTACGCCGGCTGATCCAGCGAGGAAAGAAGCTAGGATCCGGGATCTTGGGTATGATGATGGTTGGACGAAGCGACGACACCGACTTGGCTTGGACGAGGCGGTCGAGCTGAGCAAACATGGAAGCAATGCAGTCTATCACAGCGGGCAAAACAGCGTCTTGTGGTAAGCCTACAAAGTCCCAGAGCTCCCAGACGCCGAAGAAGACTGTAAAAATCATGGTCGTGGTCCTCAGGCCTTCCTGATCTCCGTCATCTTGCCATCGAGCATCATCTTGGACGAGATATGCGTCGACTTGGTGCCCAAAGTCACCAATCTCCTCAACGTCAGCGGTGACGTTCATGGAGTGGGTAAGATTGGCGTAGATGTCGTTGTCGATCACAGGGCCTCGGCGGTGGGACGGACGGGAGGGTAATGATTGGGCGAGATCGTAGATGCGGTCGCAAACAATCTGTCTGGATCAGGATGAGTCAAGATGGAGCAGGTCAAACGCGACACACCTCTGAGCAAAGACTGTCCACCCATAGCTTCTTGTTGGACGGCGCCGGTGATGAAGGTGTGGGCAGTTCGAGGCGATTGGTGCTCCACGAGTCTCCAAACACAATGATTTCGGTCGTCTCGCGTCTCCAAACTTTTCTTGCTCGCGTGATCGGATGGTATGAGGGCAGGTTCCACGCCACGAATAGCAGAGCCAAGATTGCGAGCAACACGACGACGTTGAGACGGGCAAAGAGCTTCATGCTGTCGTTTGTCTCTTATGTCCCTCGCTGGGATGGCTGCCTTGGTCGGTCTCTGTTTATATGGCCAAGTGATTGGTAGTGGACCTGTGTCGCAGTTCAAGAGCAATCAAATCGATTCTGTTTTGGTAGCAGCAGCACCACTCTGCCTCACAAACATGTATTCGGACGAAACATTGAGAGGAAAGAATCGGACAAACGAAGATCAGATAGAGACGCGTTACGAGTCAATGGTAGATGCCAAATTAGTTGCTTACCTGGCAGGCTATTCTGCGCCCGATATTGTCTACCGTGACCGACCCCAGTCGATGTACTGACGCGTCCTCCGCAACAGCCGTGCTAGGTCGCCAAATTCTGACCGCCAACGGCATTTCGAAATCTCCGGACAAGCCCATCGTATCGTATCGTATCTTGTCGTATCGTATCGGACGGCGTGTTGAACGCTTGTGACGCTGTTCAGAAGCAACAACTATACGTACGTTCTGCACATGCTGTCCTTAACTAGCAGATGAAGCTGTGAGCTCCTGACGAGACCTGGCCAATGTGTGTCACCTTGAACGGCTTGGCAGAGACGCTCGGATTCACTCTCGGCAACCTCCTCCGGGTTTCCCATTTGGCAAGCCCTCAAATGCTTCTATCCACAACCACCAACCACTATTTCTGACGTGCTTCCATTCACAACTACAGATATCACAGAACAAACCACTATTTCTGATGCTTATCTCGAAATGGCGAAGCGGCGCGGTTCGGTGATTCTGGAGCTGATGGATGACCATAGCAGCAACGATGATACAAGCCCTGTCATTCAAAAACTCCAGACCACGCCGCAGAAGACTACCCTCAGAGCAGCACACACCTCGCCCGAAGGTGCCATCTTCCTCAAGGACTTGAGCAACTACATTCCGGTTGGGTCACTTGTGCTAGGTGAAGTGTTTAATGCCGTACCTACCTGGGAAGAAGTTCTTGACATCGCCGTTCTATCTCAATCCGGTCTTTCCGATCATGACCTCCTTGACATCGAAAAGCTTCTCTCCCGCCGTCGCCTTCGACTTTTCATGAGCACCCCCTCAAAGGCTATACTTAGGGTCTACGTTTTGCCCAGTGATGTTGGGCACCGCTTCTTGCAGCGAGACCGTGGGGCCGACGGACACCTGTTCTCCGTCCTCCAAAACCTCGATGTTTCGCTTGATTCTTGGAAGGGACAACCCAATGTCGAACAGCCTTTCGATCTGTACGCAGCCGGAGAAGAGGGTTCCCTTTTCTACTTGTTCAACAATATCCCGTCTCCTAATCCAACCTCGGAGCACATCACGAGCCATTTCCACCGAGAGAGTATGCTGGACCTTCTTGATGTCGAGTATCAACTACCCGGCCTCAAGACAGTTCTCTATCCGTACCAACGCAAATCTGCAGCAGAGATGCTGCGAAAGGAATGTGAGGAACGAGTCGAACTCGATCCTCGACTTGAGGAGCACGTCGCTCTTGACGGTTCAACTTACTACTACAACCCTTGGGAGATGTCGTTTTTCCGAAGTCCCCGCTTCTATGAGCCCTGCAAAGGGGGCATCTTGGCTGACACGATGGGACACGGTAAGACGCTTATGTGTATAGCACTGATTCTCGCAACGCGTGGCTATCTTCCTCGCACGCCTACCCAACATGAACGAGTGACGGTTCGACCGAAGGTTGCCAGTCTTTTGGACATGGCTGTATCAGCCGTCAACCAACATTCCGCTCCGTGGCTCTCTTTCTTCGAAAAACACGAACATCACACTGGTGAGCATATGGCGAAATGTATAGAACTCATGCGTCGGAAGGCACCTTCTTATGAAATACCCGTCGAACCCATCCGCTGGAATCGCAATACTACGGTCCGCACGCCGAAGAAGGTAACTCTAGCCGCAACGACGCTGGTCGTTGTGCCAAGAAACTTGTTGTCACAATGGAAGCTGGAACTGGAGAAGCATACCACAGGGGTCCTGAACACTTTAGTCATGGATGACAACCGTGTTGCTCTTCCCTCCCCCGAGATATTGAGGACCTTCGACATCGTTCTATTCAGTCGACATCGATTCGAGTGCGAAGACAAAGATGGCGAAGACGCAAAAGGTCGGCGTATGTCAAGATATCCAGTGACCTGTAACTGCCCCTACATTGGAGCTACTCGAACGCGAGATTGTGTCTGTTTGCGACCTGACGTAAGTATTCGAGCATCCTACAAAGTACAAGGACTTACTGAGCAAACGCCAGGATTTGTACATATCACCACTCAAAGCTCTGCACTTCTTAAGAATCATCGTCGACGAAGGGCATGGAATGGCTGCTGAGAAAACGAGGATCGCGATTGTAGCTAACAGACTCGTTGAGGCTTCTCACCGTTGGATCGTAAGCGGCACCCCAGCAAAAGATCTTATGGGTGTGGAGCTGGACTTGGTCGGACCTGTATCACACGTTGGAACCCCAACTCCTTCGAACATGGAAGATGCGGATTCACAATATGGTCCTAGCATTGAAACTTCGGAATCCGTGCGACGCGATGTCCTACTGAGCCAGAGGAAGTCGTTCAATGAGAAGGACGAGAAAATAGGAGCGGTTCGCAACATTGGCTCGTTGGCGAGCGGCTTCTTGAAAATCAGGCCATGGTGCCCTGCCGAAGACGAGAGAGGGTCCGACTGGAACGATTACTTTTTCCGGCATGAATTTTCACGTCCACGAGCTCGCACCTTCTCTGGGTTTTCAAAGTGTCTGCGCCAGATGTTAGACTCGATCGTCATCAGAACGCAGTCTGGAGACGTCGAACGCGACATCAAGCTGCCTCCACTGACGCATGAGATTGTTCGATTGGAACCGTCCTTCTATGACAAACTGACTGTCAACGCATTCGTGTTTGTGCTCACATCTAATGCCGTCACTAGCGAAAGGACGGACATTGACTACATTTTCCACCAGAAGAGCGGAAGAGAGCGGGCGCAGTTACTAAACAACTTGCGAGCAAGTGCGTTCTATTGGACTGGTTTCAGTGCTTCTGATATGGTAGCTGCCATAGCGCAAAGTGAAGGCTACTTGCAGAAGCAGGACAAGACATGTTCGAAGAACGATCAAATCATACTCGAAAGTTGCATCGATCAAGCCAAATTCATGGTTGGGTCCGAGGGGTGGAGAAATTTGACCCAAAGTCATGAGGTTGGGCTGTTTGTAGAGAGTTGGCCAACGGAATCTGCTGAGTTCTGGTCTTTTGATAAGACAGGTGGGTTATTCGTGCTTCAACAAGGTTTCGCTCAAAAGTTTGCTGACACTCTGGTTACTAGATCCATCCAGACTCCATCTATTATGTGGAGCCACACAGTTGATACAGGCTCAAGATCACATTAACCAGCAGGCCGAAGCCCCAGATCCTGCAGAGGGTCTCTCTGGATGTGGAATCCATGCGTTGTCCTTCCTGCGCTCGGAACCTACAGATACAAAACCCCCTGTGCTGATTAAGGCGGGCATACCATCATCCTCTCTCGCCGTGAGCCAAACCGGAGACAAGCGTTCAACTGGCGTATCTCCAAAACGCACTGCTGATACACATAGCGAAATCAAAGAAGCGCAACTGCCAGCTGTTTCCCCGCTCAGGAAAACCAGCATTGTTGGGACTACGTCGGCCAAATTGAGCTATCTTCTTTCTCGCGTTGAGGAGTTTTATCGGGATGAAAAGATACTCATCTTCTACGATAACGACAACACTGCCTACTACATCGCACAAGCGCTTGAAGTCCTTCATATTGACTACCTCATCTACGCAAAGTCACTCACGCCTGCAGCCAAGTCGGATTATATTGTTCGATTCAACCAGAGACCTGAACACCGCGTTTTGTTGATGGACATCGGCCAAGCTGCATATGGCCTGAACTTGACTTCTGCTTCGAGAGTCTTCTTCGTCAACCCTGTGAACAGGCCTCAAGTCGAGGCACAGGCTCTCAAACGTGCGCATCGTATAGGACAGACTCGAGAAGTCCACGCAGAGACTCTGATCCTCAAGGGCACGATCGAGGAGAAGATATTCGAACGAGCAAGAACAATGAGCCGAACCGAGCACAAAGAGGCAAAGGAGCTGGACGACGATGGTGACATTCGAGATATCATCCAAAGCGCACAACCCATCCCGATCTCGAGTCATGAGGCGGAAGGCGCACGTCGCATTGCTTTCATTCAGAGTCCACAACAACTGTTTGCCAGATCTGGCTGGGCGAGCTGGAAGAAAGCAGCTCGAGAAAATTCGAAGACTCGCACCAAGACATCTGGTTCGAGTTCAAGTGGAAAAAGGAAAGTGAAGGAGCAAAATGACACTCCTAACAGAAAGCGGACGAAGAAGCAGAAGGTGTGAGACTGACTGTTCAATTGCTGTGAAAAAGCGCTCATTCGTACATTACTTAGATGGGTCCGTCTAGCACTTTGGAGATCGCTAGCTGCATTGAAGAGTTTATTGGCTGTATATATCTAGCCAGAGAATACAAGTACGCGTGTCGAGGTATGCAGAAAGAGAGCGCTCCCGATATGAAAACAAACGCCGCCGTTCCCATCATAATGGTCCAGTTTCGTATACATAATAATAAGTATTTCACGATCGTTGTGATAATGTTTTTGTGGCTGAGAGGAGAATCGATTAAGCACTGTACACGATTAGTGTCTGCAGGGTCAAATGATTGACAATGAACAGGGTACTCACAACAGCGATAGCGTCAAGTCACCACGAATACTAGCCTTGAGTTCAATCTCCACATCCAGATTGGCGTCCAACTTCAACTTCAAACCATCGGTCTCATCGAGCAGCGAAGCCTCCTGCTTTGGCGGTTTCTTGTAGTAAGGCTGGTTCGGGTTCTTGCCTCGCATGGGGATCTCTCCTCTGTCGGCGCGAGCTTTCGTCACGGGTCCGTCCATGGAGGTTGAGTCGGGGCCGATGCGCTCGAAGGGCTGCATCTCGTGTAGATCTCCATTGGCGTCTGCTTCTTCGAGGGCCTCGAGAGAGTTTGTGTGCATGTATTTGCCGTCTCGCTGGTCGTTCTTTACGCGCTTTCTTCGGGCACGGCGGGAGGAGGATCTGGAGCGTTCGGTTTGTAGGCCTGGACGTTGGAATATCAGTCTCGAGGCCGTGTAGTGCAGAGGAATCAAGGTGGCGGGTGTTTACCGGTCTGACGTAGCTCTTGCTTGTAGAATTCGTTGTGCTTCTTCTGTTGGGTTACGGTTCTCTGGTTCTGTGCTTGCTCTTCCTGGCTGCCCTGGAATCGCTTTTCGTCGCCGGAAGGGTACTCCGGCTCGAAGTCCTGGCGGGCTTTTATGATTTCCTCGTCGGTCGGCATGTCGGTGATATCCTATTGATTGAAGATGAGAGGAACAGAAAAAACGGAAAGGTGTTGTACGGGTCCTCGAGTTGGCTACAGAGAGTCAAGGAAATCACAGTTGGGCTAGTGGTCAGAGCAGCAAGACGGTAGCAACCAAAGAGCGAAAAGCAGTGACGTCCGCGGGGGGAATGGAGACCGATGAAGACAGGGAAGCAAGTCTTGCCTCACTCAGCAGCTCTTTCTTGCTCTCGATCTCGACGAAACAAACCTCCCGCTCGAGCGACCTGTCCTGGGTAGCAGGGTACCTACCTAGCGAGGTTGGCAAGGCCCTGCTGCGCCATGATCGGAATCCAATGTGCCACACAAACCTGATTTCCTCAGGGGATCCGCACCAGCCACACGTCATAGCAAAGCCAGCCCTGCACGCAATCCAACAGCGCTCATTGCAGACGACGCGTTGATGCAAAGCGACTCGATTCGGAGCGGTCGACAGGGGTGATCTGGCGCTGACAGCGGGGAAGGGAAGCTGAAAATGCAATGCTTGCCGAGAGTGTGGCTCGCGAGCGGCTTGGGTCAACGTGAAAAGTGGCTCCGCTTCGTGTGGGCACTTGGGAACATCAAGGCACGATTATGATCTTTGGGGCAATTTGCAAGGAAATGGTCTTTTGCGAGGCCCGCTCTCAAACGCTATTCGTGAAATCGAGATGCTGCGCCTCATTTGCTTGACACATCGACGTCAGACTGTCAGGGGATCCTAGACCTGTCATATATCAAACTTTTTTCATCCATCATGGTCTGCTTAAGTTGATACCTTAGGCAGCAAGTGCGATTCGTCACGCCGACTGAGCATACGAGGTTGGGCTCCAACAAGGCGTTTGATCAACTGGAAGAGACCGGGATCGCACAAATCTTGTCACTTGTACTGTTTTATGGGGGCATCGAGCACACGTCAGAAGAGAATATGTTGTAGGGTGGATGAAAGTCGTCTCGTCGTCCTTGATCTAAACGTACTTTACAGGAAAACGGAAATAAAAACAATAAACATGTGGTAATAATCCAACAAGTGCCAAAACTCCATAAAACCCCATTATAAGTGTCGTCAACATTGGTCGTACGCAGCCAGAGCGTATGTGTAGCAGCAATGATTTTAGTTGCTGGTGATATGTTAGTCTTGTCATAACCAAAGAGTTTCCGATATACGTACAGCAGACCCAGTGTCAAGTCACCGTGAATCTTGGCCTTGAGTTGAATCTCAATGTCCAGGTTAAGCTCCAGTCTCAGACGAAGTTGCTCGCCCTTGCCGCCGTCGTCGTCTTCCTCACCACCGCCCTGCTTTTGGCCTCCGGTCAGACCGCCGAGTGCGTTACCGGCTGTGTTTCCGACTTGGTCAACGGCCTGTCCAGCGGTGTTTTGGACCATCTCGCCAGCTCCGCCGACTGCATCACCTCCCGGGACGTTCTCGGTAATGTCATCCAGGGGACCACCACCACCTCCACCCCCCTGCTTCTTCTGGCGTTGACGTTGACGGCGACCACCGTTGGCGGAGGCATCACTTCTGGCAACGGATTCGGTATCGCTTTCCTGTCCCTTGCGGCCGCGGCCACGACTTTGGCGTCGGCGAGATTGAGATGCTTGACGTGACTTTTGTTGTTGAGGCTCCGGTTCGGCCTCTTCTTCTCCATCAGCGTTGGCACTGGCATCAGCATCGGCCTCTGCGTTTGCGCCAGCCTCAGCCTCAGCTTCAGCACCGCCGTCTCCTTCTGACTGGTCGGGAGTAGGCTGTTGTTGGGGCTTCTTCGAACCCAGCTTCTGGGGCTTCTTTCTCTCGGCGGGGGCACCACCTTCGGCTTGCTTGTCGGCCATGATAGAAAGTTGTGTATGTGGTAGTGGGGTGTACTGGGTGCAATGTGGGGAATTGAAAGTGCTTGCGAGAAGGAAGAAAGTCGAGAGAATGGAAAAAGACCCGGCTGATACTTAGAAAACTAGCAGAGCACACCCTTGGACAGCCGAACAGGTTTCGAAACCCGCATGGATGTCAAAGGGCGGTCCTTTGACGTAACATTGGCTCACCAGCCACATTTCTCGAGGACCGAAGTGGGCACCTCAGCATGCAGGCGTGCTGATCGCGCGTGAGCCAATGCATGGAGCTCGCGAGAAGTTGCAAATCGCGGGCCAATGTCAAGGCCAGCCACAGTCGTTGAGGCGTCACGATCGAACTGCGTCTGTGCATTGGCTGACGGGACTTCAACCTTCCGGCGTGCTCGCTTGCTTGGGCGCGGAGCCCGGGCGACGATGATGATGAGTTGGTCTCTGACCGGCTCGGAGGCCTCAGGTTACTCTGTACTGTAAAGGCATGAGCGAAGATCGAAAGTGTTTTTGGTGATCGTTCACCATCGAGATCGCATTGAAAAAGTTGAGGAAGTTGTCTCAAGCTCGCATTGTTAGAAGTTGAGCTCCTCCAACTACTTTTTCTGCAAGCACATGGTTCGCTTCGAACGGTACGTGCCATGTGGCCATCGTTTCTTGAGTTGGTGTTCTGCTTGCTCTTATGCTTTGTACGAGTGTGATTTTGCGCAACGAAACTCGTACCCATGGCAATCTCCATAGCGTGTCGCTCCTACCTGATTTCCGCTCCTCTGCGACTGCATACGAGTATGACTTGATACAAAAGTATGTGATGCCGCACAGAAGCCGGGACGTGAGGATCCTCTCGAATGCTCGAAGGAGTCTATGACCTAGTAAACGTATTTCTGAGCAATGCAACTTACGTGGGCTCCAATTTCGAGCAGGTCACGACTTATGACCATCGGGTAAGCAACGAAGCCTCGACCTCCGCTCGCTTCCTTATCTGATCCTCGGGGTCTTTCCTGTGAAGCCATGATACGTTGATATCATCGTTCCTCTCCAAGTGTGTTTTCCAATCATACACACAACATGAGTGATCAAACAACTAAAGATGAGGCCGCAAAGACTCGCATCATCACTCACATGAATGCAGACCATCATGATTCGGTAAGTGGAGTTAGCTCGAAGAAGCGTACATTTGTTGATGGAAGATTCAAAGGTCATTCGATATCTCGAAAATTATCACCATCTGCCAGCCTACCAGGCTTACCATGGCAAGATCACTGACGCTTCACTCGAGTATATCGCTTTTGAATGTGCTGGCATGAAGTATAGGACGGCTTTAGACCCTCCCATGACCTCTTTCCGGGAGGCTCGAGAGCGTCTGGTTCAGATGGACAAAGAGTGCCTTAAGGCACTCGATCGTAGCGACATCACCATCAAAGAGTACCCGGTACCAACGGGTCCTTATCTCGCACTCTTCATACTCGTATCGACTGTATTCGTGGCATTCAGGACCAGAGCAAACTTCGAAACTGGAAGTATCATTGCTGCCATTGTGCCTGGCTCTTTCGCTCGGTTCTGCTGGACGATACAACCTTTTATCTGGTACGGAATGCTCGCCATACATGGAGCCGAGACGTGGCATATGTCGAGCGGACGCTTGAGGAAGCACAACGTCAACATTCGAAGCCGAGTGTGGTGGTTGTGGATGGCGACGACTTTCATTGAAGGCGTCGGCGCATACAACAGGTTAGTTTGCTACACTCGATGAAAGCACGTTTGCAGAATCGTTGACCAAAGTGATACAGATTCGATAAGATGGTGCAGGAGAAGAGGGCGGAAAAGGACAAGCAGAAGCACTGATGAAGCTCGATCTCTCATGCAAGCAACCAATTGCGGAGTCGGCGTCGGATGACCGAAGGTGGCAGGAAGTCTTCAGCTCACACGACATTTGAACGCGACAAACGCGTGCTACTGTGGAAGCCGTTACACAGAAGGTTGGATGCAACGTGCCCGCGAAACGGGTGCAAATGATAGCACGGATGATGAAGAGATAGAGAGATATAGAGTGTAGATGATGGAGTCGAAACAAGCGCCAAGGCCAGCCACATTGTCGCATTCGTGCCTTCTCCGAAGACGATCTGTAGATGCCGAGAGTGGTGCACGTCGATTCGGTACCTACTCAGTGCATCTGCGTCCTGGTCCATCGTTCCTTCTTCTTTTTCGTTTCGTTCGGCCTTCAATGCACCGGGTGTGAAGCTGTAAGGAGGCACTTGGTTCATGTCTCATGCTCGCGTTGATCTCTGTTTCATAGTGATCCAGCACGCCGTCTGCCAGGAGCGCGGCTACTGATACAAAAGTCCGTCGGCCATGAGGGGCATCGGTGTGAGCGATTGCACTTCCTGAACTATACCGTACACACGGTCTCCGATCCATCATGGCTCGCAACCCGGCCATTGACCCCCCACGTTTCGCACCGCCCGCGAAGGTCTACTCGGCCACCTCATCACCCACGCACTCTCGATCTCCCTCTCCGTCGCGACGCAATCGCAACCACGCGCAGTCCGACGATCTTCTAGGCCGTGATCTTTCTCCAACCCGCACCCTTGAAGCGTTCACATCGACTCCTGGAAGCGAAGAGAGCAAGAGCCAGGCAGCCTTGGTACGCTTGATTGAGAAGGCATCGACTTCGGAAAGAGCTTTTGGTATCAGGATTGCCCAGACATGCAAAGACATCAAGACCTGGCACATCGAGCTGCAACAATGGCCCTGGTCCAACTCGTTCGAGCCTCCTGCCCATGCTGCACACGCTGTTGAGGGTCCCTACTGGGGTAGCCTTCGCGAAAGCCAGATTCTAGCATACGAACAACGCATCCAGGACATTCGCGAAGCCTTGTTTGACCAAGATGTCGACGAGCTCAAGGAATATGTCCTCTCCCAGCACCTTCAACCAAAGTCGTCCGAGCTTGAACACTACGAGCGTCTTGATGACTTCACTGCCCTGATCACGGCCACGATCCTGCGTGCCTTGCCCGATCTCTCACGCTTGAGTCGTCTGTTGGACACTTGGTCTATGCGTGTGACGCTGCTGCGCAAGGTTCCTGGCTATCTCAGAGGCCTTGGTCAAGCCAAGACCGATTTGGACAACGCTTGGTCTGGCATGGCTCAGCGTCTTCGAGACACAAAGGATACATCTACTGTGCGCAGTGCTTTCCAGGCTCTTCAAGAACAGTTGGAGTCACGTATGGGTAAAGTCGGCGGGCGGCTCGACGCCATGTTGGATGACCTTGAGGGACGCGAAGAAACACTTCCGGATGCTTGGATAGACTCGTTTGAAACACTCGAGTCGAATTACAGCGATTGGCGCACTCAGACCGAGCGTCACATTGTGGGTCATAACATGCCCCTGCCCGTACCCGCCAGCAAAGGCTACGCTCTTGCTGATGTGACAACTCGCGAGATTTCTGCCTCTTCTGTAAACTCTTCGCACCACGATGGGCACACCTTGCCGGCCGGGGGTAGTTCGGCTGGATTCGTGAGTCAGAATGACGAGCATGCTCTTGTTCAACCAATCGAGAGCCCAATCTTGGGGACAGGCTCTTCATTCTTACCCGATCTAGACGAGACATCTGACATAGAAAGCGACAATCTCTCTAGAGACTTGAAGAAGGCACCGCTCTTGCCAATTGATACTGCTCAGCCAGCCGTGTCGGCCACTGCTTCTCTACAGCGAGCTGGCAGCTTGAAGTCGTTATCATCAACTATCTCACGCTCTCGCCATGTTCCCATTGTTGTAAGTCACAGCGATGGTGCACCGTCAAGTCCCTTGTACTCGATTGCGCCAACTCCTGATCTTGGATCTCCAGCTGTTACTGCTCCCGCCTCTTCATCGCCAGCTATTGAGCAGGGCTCGCCGGCTGTGAGCAGTGTTCGCGCCAGAGCAGCTTTCCTCAACGGAGGTATCGAACGCACACAGTCCCTGCAGAAATCTGTCAACAGTCCTGTTCGATCCTTTGAACACGCTTCCATGGCCTTCACAAAGCTATTCAACAAGACTAACAACGCTTCAAACAATGCCTCTAATCATTCCAGGACCAGCTCTACTTCTAGTCGAGCAAGTAACCGCAAAGGGCTGGGACTAGGCATCAAGAATCATGAAGGCTTCCGCCACTTTCATCGCTCTTCGTCTCCAACAATGCCTCCTCAGTCCGACTCGAACGGTCCTACGCATATAGCCAGAGAATCGCAGCCGTCTATTCAGTCTTCATCGCGACCAGTCCCCAACCACCTGGTTGGTAATGCAGAGCAGGTTGCAGCACCTCGTGCCGTCTCTCAGCCAGCCCGCACGAACATTCCACAGGATCTCGAACGGCCGATGGATGCATTCATCACGCCAGAGATCGAACAAGACTATTTCCCTTCTACTGAGAACAGCAAGTCGACGCTTGATTCAAATTGGGACTCGCCAGCGCTCACTGAGTTCCCGGAGAACTGGCCCCTACCCGTCAGAATCTATGGCGACGAAATTCACACACTCAAGGATCCGATGGATTCTGACGTGTTTGAGAAGATGTTTGTCGACAGTCTACCTGGGACCCCACAGACCAAGTCTCGACCACCATCACAGGAAAGCAACCCTTTCGAGAAGATGTTTAGGTCGAAACGATCAAACTCGAAAGAGCCGCTTTTCGACGATACGATGCTTGACGATATCACTCAACACAAACCTCGTAGTGGATCGTCGTCACCCGGCAGTGCAAGACCACGACATTTGTCCAGGCCCAGCACCACCAGCTTGCCATTTGAACCTATCACAGAGATGCCAACACCTGGGTCGTTCGATGCAACCCCCGAGGTTCAAGACGCTTTATCGGCGGGCTACTTCAGGGCCAAGCAAGTGCAGACGTCACCGGAAAGTCGGATATCGCCAGTTCCTACGAGTAACACCTCATGGAGCAATTTCAGTGCTGTCGGTGCCGGACATGATCAGGTTCTTGAGGACTCTGACGAGCACAACGATCAATACAGCCCCAAAAGGAGGCAATCAATGATCAAGAGGGCTTCTGTAACTTCGATCGAGGCTCACTCGCGATCAGAGCTCAACACAATCGAGATACCTGATATACCCCGGCGATCTAGTTTCTCGCCACCAACCACAGCCAAGCTGATCAAGGATCCAGCTTTCGAGGATGCGATTGACGATCAGACTGACCTTGGTGGTGAACCTCCTGCGTTCGGACTGCCACCTCCAACCTTACGTTCTGATAGCGGAAGAAGTAAGATTGCCCAAGCTGTCGGAGCTTCGAAGCTGCCGCCACTGAATCTCGAAGTGCACAAGCGTCGTTACGTTGTCGAACCTGAGGCCACGCCCAAAGCTTCAGAGACCAACCGCAGTATCTCTCAGCCTGAGACGGCTAGAAAGGGTCACGCACGTAACATATCGAACGCCGAGCAGTTGGATCGACATGTCAGCCGCGTTCTGAATACTTTGCCATCTCGTATCGCCTTCAAGCCCTCGCTCTCGCTTCCATCCCGTGAGCCATCTCGTGAGCCGTCTCCAGCCCCAAACAATGCGACCAGCTATTCTCGACCACGACCTGGCTTGCCGAGCAAATCTCCTCGTACTGGACTCACTCTATCAGCCGTGCAATCTGAATTGTCCTCCAGAAGGCTGAATGCAAATGATGCGGATGGAAAGATGTACTATCTGACACAAGAAGGAAAAGAACAGCCCATTAAGCTATTTGTCCGTCTTGTTGGAGAGGGAGAACGCTGTATGGTACGTGTAGGTGGTGGTTGGGCTGACCTAGGCGAATATCTACGCCAATACGCGGAGCACCACGGACATCGTACTTTTAGTGACGGTAAGCTGGAAGTGGGCGGCACACGTATTGGTGGGACTACAAAGACTCGCACGCCGCTGAGCAGGCCTGGCAGTGTTCTTGACCGTCCAGACAGTAGTATGAGTTTCCGCAGTCGTTCGTCCTCGGGTGTTGTAGGGGCTTCGATGCCATCGGATATGCCGCAAAGTAGTCCTTCGGCTACGACCCAGCCCATAGACCTCACGCCTACCACTGCCCGTAACGGTGCTTTTCACACTCCAACCGGCTCTGTGAAGAGCTCTTCGCGCCCTTCAACCGCCGACACCTTCCTGAATGCTTCTCCATCGTCATGGTCAGGTCAGGATATCGGTCTTGCAGGTCCCTCGATCAAGCACTCACGTGGAAACCGCGAGCTTGACGAGCAAAAAGCTCGCTGGGTGGAAGATATGATGAATCGAGCCAAACAAGCCAGCAGCGTCGAAAGGAAGAAGAGCGAGCCGGACCGTACCGCTTGGTCGGACATGGGCAAGGTCGGCGGCACTCGACGCATGATGTTCCGCCACAAGACTAGCGGAGAGAATGGAAGTGGTTAGAGACTGACGCTTCTTCGACTCTGACGTTCTTGATCCTTTGAAAATTTGTTCTGCTTTTTGGGCATGGCGTTTAGAGGTTCAGTCACCTCCCTATATATGTTACTCACGACCAGTTTTGTTTCTTACGATGGGTTTCTTGTTTGTTGGCACATTAGTAGTTGAGCAGAGCAGCGTGGAACAGCACACGCCAGATTCGTTCCTGATAGCAATCGCACAGCAATGTCTTTTCCTCCTTCTACATTGTGTCATCAGCAATACCGTGCTCTCTTGTCTTCTTTACTTAAGTCGTTCTGATCAGCTCTTGCCGTTTGTAATTTTACATCGACGAGGTTGATTGTCATTTCCTTACGCAGTGTTTGAGAGATCAGTGGTATCAGAGTCTGTCCTTCCCTCCCTCCAATGAAAGAATTGCCATGCTCCACGATTGCTTGTGAACCCTTTCCCCTCATCCAACTCAAAACCTTTTAACCAAGCTCAACCTCAAGGTTCGACCAATGTTTGGCTTGACATATCATTAGATTTAACATTTCACCTTGGTCTTTAGACTGTCACAAAGTTTGCACTTTTCCAATCTTTAATTTGTGGCAGATCTTCCCCCCCATAAAGCTTATGTCTGTCTATCGAACTGTTTGGCAGATCTGCATATATGCCATATCGCATTTCCCCTTTTTAACCATCGTACTCATGGATCTTGTTACACTTATCCGCTGTTGTCTTTCTTCCTCTGATGGTGTCATCTGTTATCATCTCGCGCTTATCTCGGAAAGATGTCTCTCGGATGCGAATCTGCCGCGTGGACGCTACTCGTACATGTTTGAGTCATCGCCGCATGGTTCATATATCTGGCCTCTGACTGCCCTAGGAGGAACACGCGAAGGATTTGCGTGAGAAGGATTGACGTGTTGTAGGGCATGCGGCATGCCCTAACGCTTTTTACGAGGGGGGAACCAAAGAGGAGGGAAGGAAGGAAGGAAAACGGCTGTAGTTTGGTTTGTCATCGAGGGCCCTGCAGGACTCGGGGATTCGGACACCAGGTCCGGAGGCTAAGCCTTAGCCGCGTAGCACCTTTTTGCGATGATCAAGGCAAGAAAAAAGAAAAAACGTTCTTGTGGGAATCATGATGCAGCAAGGATTCGTGCAGCGATTAGCACATGCCGAAACGTGTACGCATGGTACTTTGGTCTCGGGTTCGGTGGAGCTACTCGTAGGAGTCGGTGGTTCTCCTCTCTCGCTACAATTCTCAGATACACACTATCGATGCCTTACAGGAGCCGGATCCCTGCGCTAGATCTAGATGCGGGTATATCTGCCTTGGTTGACGTTGCTATGTTTATTTGGCTAGTTCTGCGGGAAGGATTTTGGTCACTATGTGCTCACTTTGCCAGGGGCAGCACACGTCAGATGGCAATCGGCACATGGATTGAAAGTCCAGGGGGGGTGAAATGCTCATTTTGTGGTCGTGAATGGAATTGCATTAGTTGGTTTCGTCAGAAATACTGTTTTGTATTCTCGTACGCAAAAGATTTGACAATATTGTGATTGCTAAGAATGACATGCTCTCTCTATGCCTGTTTGGTGCGGGTGAGAAGGAGATCACTGATGTGATTGCTTCCGATTACTCATAGATTCACGCAGTCCTCCTCCTGGTGCCACGGGTAGTGAGTAGAGTCTTTGTTGGGCAGGAAGGACGTTGGTTTGCCAGGCCTCTGCTTGGTTCCAGGTTTGTATGGGTTGCTGCATCTCGGTGAAATGTGGACTGGCAACTTGATTGTAATGCACAGGTTGCGCCGGCATGAGAGGTGCTGGATGGTTGTTAGGCACAAAGCCCAGAGGATGCGCCGAATCTCGTCGAGGCTCTAACAATGTTGTTGAGGGCAGCATCAGACCGGCTTCGAAGCTTGGTTGTTTTGAAGAAGGAGAAGGAATCACTGCAATATCGGGAGTCGGAAGATTACCAGGAGATGGCGGAATCTTGGGTTGATAGGCTCTGGTCTGAAGGCCATGGTCTTCGAGCAGGAACATGCCTGTTGCTCCCATGACAGGCTCGTGCAAGAAGTCATGGTTATGCAGTTGTTGACCCATGCCCCAATCGAAGGGATTGTCCGAGGCCCTCTGGTGATTGGGCGCTACATCCATAGGAGATATGGGCTCTGCGGCCATTGACGGTTTGCGTGTCTCGGATTGATGTCTCAGGGTTCTGAGACCTTCGGCTATCCGTGACATGGCCAGCTCGGTCAGCTGATGCATTCCTGCCTTGTCCATCTTCACGAATATTGTGTGTGCTTTTTCGACTCTTTCGATGTGCTCGACGCTTTCACGATCGATGCCGTCGAGTACCAGGATCATACAAGCGTTGAACGCTTGTTGGCCGATTGTCCAATCAACGAGCGCAGATGGGACGCGCTTATGGAAGAATTGGAAGGCGTCCAGTAAGGCAAGGCAAGACTCTATCACTAGTGGTCTGCCTCGTGGCATCAAGGGAGACGGAGAGGGTGTATGTAATGATGGTTCGAGGAAGTAGTCAGGAGCACTCGGTCGATAGTCTGGGCTGTTTCGGTTGTTCTCGATGCGCTGGCGATTCAGGAGGATGATGTAGTTGTGGATACTGCAATAAGATACTGTGGATGTTGTCAGTAATGCGATTTCCAGAATATGATAGAGATGCATCTCACTCGCTGCCCTTGTCTCCATTGGCCATTCAGGGATTTGCGTCGTCTCTTCGATCCAAGACCTATTGAACTGCAAAGATTCCGGCATCGTGTCCCACAGCGCGATCAAGCGGTCAGTATACATGTCAATCTTCGAGTCAGTAAGTTGATTGCTGCTCAAGATCTGACGTCCTTGGATTGTGAGCTGGTCGAAGAATTCGCTTAGTCGCAAGGCTACTGGATCTGTGGTGAGGGGCTCAGGGGGAGGGCAATCACCAATCCCCGAAATGCCCAAGGGTCGACCAAGTGTCATAGAATACTCTTGGTCCATGTGTAATAGCCACCACCACAGGTGCTTGCGGACTGTTGTCTCCCGGAGTGATGGCGCTGGATCTAAGAAGCGAGGGTTTCGATGCAAACCGATAGAGTGCGCCAGACGGATGGTCAGACCTGAAAAGGACCAAGCATCGAGGAAGCGGCCACTGTTTGTCAGATAGGGGGCGAGCATAATCAAAACCTTGATGCCTCTCAAAGAGGGACGACTGGTGAAAGATGCCAGACGAAGAGCTTGCATTGCTGCGACGGCTGTGGAAGTCAGCGTAGTAGAGGAAGTCACCAAGGCGCTCATGACTTACAAAATATTTCACCCTTGCGACTGCTGTTTTGAGAGACACCTGCGCCTGCTTCTTGTCGATCTTCGAACATAGTCAGCTGTACGCCCAGTGCTGATGCTGCAAAGATGAGTGCGAGCAAGTCTGGGACCTTGTCCGCGTTCTCTCCGGCATTCTCGAGAAAGCGTTCGACTTCTTTCTGTGACAAGTCTTCAGGCACATAAGGGAAGGCGAAGCCTCGAGCTTTCGTACTGAAAGATTCGAGGTAGTGGAAGAGCTCATCGCGTGGAGGCAGACACTGTAGCAAACCTTGAGTACGCGACATGGCAGGCCATAGTGTCGGGAAAGGATACATGGCGTCTTGAGTTGTGTACATGTCTGCAGCTCGAGGCATTGCATGCGACAGTGACTTTGGTTGCACTTGCAAGTTCGCAAACTAACAAGTCCAGTCAGTGGGATTTTGGCCATCACAACATACGTATAGCACTCACATCTGCTATGACACTTGCCAGCCCTGGAGAACCAAAGTAGATGCTGTCAATCTGCTCGTTCGCGCGAAAGCGTCGCTGACGTTTCGATTGCTTCGCAGCAGAACTAAGTCTGACATTTGCAGAGCCTTCTTCAGTATCGCTCTCCTCCGAGGCCGAGGACTTGTCAGCCAACAGGCGCTCTTTGAGTCGTTGGTTCTCAGCTCGCAGTCTACGAAGTTCGAGCGACTGTTGTATTGGCCCGAACTCGGCACCCTCTCCAAGAACAAACTGGCATTCTTTGGGAAGGCCCCTGGCACAACAAGCAGAGCATGGCTTTGTACGGTCACACTGTACACCGAAGCTTAGACTTGACGGGCATGTTTGAGGGCCTGGTCTGCGAAACTTACTTTGACTTTGCGTTCTCGACATTTGTTACAACTCAGGAGTTGGCGTGGCTGGGTTTGCTTCTTGAGTCTTTTTTCCGAAGCAGTCAGAGACCGATCGATTCGTAAAGAGGACGAAGGCAGGGCTTGTTGAGTATGAGTGATGGCCGGGACCCCCTGTGAATCCCAAGGGTTCGTTTTCTCCATCAGAAGTCTAACAAATGGGGCATGTCATGACTCTGGTCGAGGGCTTCGAATTGTTAACATAGTCGAAAGCCTCTTAAGTGTGTCAAAGCACCCTCTGCGAAGACAGATGCCATGGCGGCACGACAGGGTACGACAGCATGAAACGACCTAACAGAGTTTGATCTATGCTTTTTGAGCGGTGGAGCTAGGACTGTTAAAGGTGGATGAGCTAACGACTACAGCGAGAGGGCCCACATCCCCAAATTGGGACAACGCAATTATCTGGTCTTATGCCAGACCCCCAAGCACAGAGGGCACCAACGACACCTGTCAACCGTGCCGGGGATGACAGGGACTCTGGGGGATTATGACGAATGTATTTCAGAGGGGAAGATTGAGCACACTAGCCCGTTCGCCTCGTCAGTTGGTAAGATCGGAGCCATCGGCTATCTCTCAGATGACATTCAGAGATACTGACGGTCAACAAGCTTACATTTGCGCACCTCTGTGTCTGCAGGCTTCAAGTCATCATGATCCTGATGAAAGTACAGCGTGACCTTGACGAGGCCTAGACCCATTAGGATCATGCAAAACAACGCCTTGTTCCTGCAAATCGGATCTTGGTGGAAGGATTGGTACAGGTCAGATCCGAGGCTGAGGTCAGAGATTGACCAAGAGCGCCACACTCCTCAGTATGACAACGACAATCACGCAACAGGCCGGCATCTGCTGCTTCTCGAGTTTTCGTAGAGTAAGAATCCAAGACATGTAGTCTTGTTTGAAAGAGTTGTTAGAGGTATTACACTTTCGGCTGTGGCCGATGGTCGACGAGCAGCGGTCCCCAAGACAGGAGGCCCACAAACTGGTTGGCGACAAACTTTTGCCCGTTGCGATCCAAGGAATCACCAGACACAAGGCACTTCTCCACCACATGGCCAGCCTAAATAGGGCAGGTCAGTACAATGGAGCGATTATCGGGGGTCCAGCGTTGGTGTACAAGCTGTAAATTGATAAATGTGTAAATTGCAGTGCATGTAAACGGGCAGACTCCCTTGCTTATACAGATGCAATTGCGAGATGTAAGAACATATGCAGCAAGGCTTGCAGATGTCAGAGTGGCCAACAGACGTGTGTCTGACTCGCTGGCCCGCATGTCCTTGGTGCCCAGTGATAGGGTGGACGCAGCAGCATGGATAACGAACCCGCTGGTCTTCTCTGAAAGGTTGACACTGTGACTAATTGTTTCGGGGCCACTGATGTGGTCAACCAATAGTCGGCTGGTTGCCGGACCCAGAAAGATACAGTAGCCTGAAGCCATCCCGTGTGCGTCCAATAAGCAAAGTGCAGCAACGGGCGTCGTTCGCACGCGCGCACGTCTACATCTGATGGAAATGCTCGGAACGACCGGCGGTCGGCATGAGGTCGGGATGCGGTCAGATCCTCTCGCCATCCGAGTCCTGTCGTCAATGAGACTGTGAGATCACCGGTCCTGAGCTTGAAGCGAAGATCGAAAGGTCCTGCGAGACGACTGCATTGTTGCATATTTGCAACGTACAAGCACGCTGGTGGCTTGGTTGCGTGTACGCTACAGTATCGCTTTCACCCCGTTCCGCTCGTGGCTGCGTGCTGCAAACCCTTGATTCACACCTGAGACCATTTACTTTAAACTTGCAGGATCGCCAGGACACGGAACTAGTTCCACGTACCCATGGGATTCTGTGTGCGAAAAGTCAAAACCATGCCAAAGAATGGTGCATGTGTTTTGCTAAACAACAGCATGGGCGAGATCTCACACCAACATCATTGTGCCCTAATTATTATTCAGAGGATTCAGCAAAGCGCAACGGTATCGCAAGATTGTTCCAAGTTCCAACTTTTCGGAACGGAACTACTCGTACGTCCGCAGGTTGTTCATCTTCGCTCCCTGTGTGCAAAGCTATTGTACGCGTATAGCTATCACGATTCATGCTGTTCTCGAGAATTTGACGGTTTCATCGAGATGCGATGTTGTCCAGGCTGTTCAGGTATAAACCACTATGCCTTTTCATAGCGAGCATTGCGCTCTATAGCTTTGCGGGGGATAGTGTGTACCTGACTAGGAGTTACAAACTTTAGCAGACGGCAAGGTCCAACCAAGTCACTCATCTTTTCGACCCTGCGATCGGGCGTTAGGGGAAGCAAGCCGGCAACGTTGAAGATGAATCACGCCACAGAGATTCGCTCGGAAACAATTCACAGAGTATACACCCCCAGGATCTCAGCTGGAGAAACCTTCGAGTTGACCCCACGATTGAGGGCGGTGACATTCAAACACATGAAACACTATGTAAACGGTCTCGTTCGCGTGTTCGCTTCTCTTGACTTGTATATATCTGCACACGTATATTACCTGATATATGCACATGACCATTGCCACCAATAAGTCTATCCTTCCCAGCGGTCGACCAGACGCACAGGCTTGAACAGAACTCTGCGCGTGAAGCAATCGACAGTTTCAATCTCACACTCCCAGGTGTCACCGGCCTTGGCCTCTGCAAGACCATACTCTTGTGGTCGGGTCATCGTAGCCATAAGACTAAACTCCTTGATGATGACGGCAAAATCGCTCTTCAGAGTCGCGGGCTGCATGTGTACGTAAGCGTTCATCGTAGCTGGCAGCTCAAACTCTTTGTAGTTGTGGGCGCGGAAGAAAGTGTTGGCCTGCCAGTGTTCTTCTGCATATGTGGTAGCACGACGAATCATAGACTCGCGGGGCTGTAATCCCTTCGCTATCATAGAAAGAGCACTTTCTGAAAATGGAAGCAGCGACTGATTCTTGCCTCGGAAGTCGAGTTGAGTGCCTGCTTTGGCTTCCTCACGCAAAGCCGCCTCAATCTGCCAATGAAGAAGCATATCGCCATAACGACGAAGCGGTGATGTAGCTTTGCTATAGTGGGGTATACCCAAGACACGATGGTGCAAGGGTTTGGTCGTGAGAACGGTGGAACCGGAGTTCGCAAGGTATTCAATGGCAAGATGCATAGGAGCTTCGCCATTGTTCTTTTCCGTGGCTGGAGCGAGTACCTCGTCGTAGAATCTCTTTGCGTCATTGATGTCGGGGCTGACAATGGTTCCTCTATTGATGATGGGAATGCCGCGTTCAGCACACCACGATGCGCCAATCTCACATGCTAACAGCATGTGCTCGCGGACAAGAATGTCAGAGACACCTTCGCCAGAAGAAAACCACGAAGTTAGTGCTTTGGTGCGATACTCGATGATAGGGTCGCCAACCACGTGTCGAGCTCTCACTCTGGACGGATGCTCCCATGGGAGCCCACTGCGTCTCTGATTATGCCAGACATTGATTTCAGGCCGGTTCGAGTCGAGGAACAGGCCTCCGGCCAGACGACGCTGTGTCTGACGTTTCTCGGCAAGAACTTGCAGCGTCTTCAACATTTCGATCTCGTGTTCGAGCAAGGAATTGCCAGTCTTTTTTGGTTTGCGAACAGGTAGGTCACCTCCGACCGTAATAACAACGTCTGGTTGCAATCCAGCCGCGACACCAACCACTCGGGCGGCTTCTGCGGGATTTATGAACTTTACGTTCCTGACAAAACCTGACTGGACCTTCTGCTCCATTGTCTCGCCTTTTGAATTCAGTCTGGCGCTGAAAGTCAGGACAGGACGATTAGCCTGCAAACTGAAATGCTTCCTCGTCGACCATCTTGGCAACATAACAAAAGCACGCTCTGGCATGTAGATGGTTTCGGTCATGTGGCGTGCCATCTTAGCGAGGGGGTTATCATGATCGAAGAATGCGGTGGGATTGGCAATGTGAACATGGACCCAGTGTTCGCCCTCGCCAGCATCTTCGACAGAGACACCGTCATCGATCTCGTGAGCGCCCTCACCATCAATACAGAAGACGGGCAGGTCACCCCAATCCTTGCGCAAGTGCGCCATTGAATCCACAAAGCCAGGGGATTCACCTAAGCTCATGACTTTGGTCATGAGTTGCTCAAGGGGTTTGGAGTGTTGCGAAGAAGGCAAAAGGAGATGACTATCGAAGCGTACTCGGTTCTCGTGAGGCGTCAAGACGCCAATTTCCTGCAGGAAAACGAAGGCAGTCCTCGGATCCAATTTCTCATCTTCGTACATACCAGTCGCCTGCAAGACAAGAGGAGGCAGTGCCTCAATACGAGGAAGACCCAGGAACAGACCAGAGCACGACCATGCTTCGAAAAATTTGATCAGCTCACGATCAGAATCGTCAAATTCTTCTGTGAACTCGTATTGTACGACATCTTCCTTGTTGATGTCGAAACGTGTCTTGCTGATGCCCACGCGGCCGAAAATTGTGACTTCTCGACGCTGACGGCTCTGCTGAATAAGCATCTTTGCTTTGTGAATGAAGTTAACGACATGCTGAGCCTGCTTCGAGAATTGATGACTTGAAGATTCTCCAGCCGCAAAGATTGCCAGATCGTCTTGCCATGCTCTCAGCCAGTTGCGCACCTTTTCAACGTTTGCCACTTGTTCCTTGGAGCGAATTTGAACGAAGCCAGTGATGCGATGACTCCTTCGATCATGCCCAAAAGCGAAGCCTCCTCGAGAAAGAGCTTTTCGGACAGCAAAAATCTTTTCCTGCGATATGGGTTCGTCTTTGTCCTTGCCCAAGAGCCGACTAGCTATCAGGTCGAGGGTACCAAACTTGAGGTCGGTGGGATGGGCTAGCGACTGATGAGCGCCGTCAAGGACGGCTGCATTCTGGCGGTAGATCTCTTCACTTGTCCTCTGGAAGTCGAGCATTCTTGTGATCAAAGGAGCTGAGACGTCTCTAGGAACACTTAGGTCGAACATCTGGGCTTTGTCCAGCAACTCTTCAGTGATGCCCTCATCAGGGAGATAGGAGATGATGGGTTCAACTTGAGCCGGAGAGACGAGATCAGGAACAGCGTGCTGGATGTTTCGTTCAACGCCGTGTACCCATTTTCCATGGACGGTGTAGAATTGAGACTGTGCGGGCCTTCCAACTCTTCGTACAAAGATAGCGAGGATCGGTTCTCGTTCGGAACGGGGAAAGTCGAGCAGGACGAGATCGCCCTGGCGCAGGAAACGATGGTGTGGATCCCAGTCCTCGAGGTTGCCCGGGGTGATCAGATTGGAAGAGTCGTCGTGTTGATTCTGTCGGTCTTCGTCTGGGCGGCGAAAATTGTCGACATCGCCCAGACGAGTGAAGTTGTTTGTCTGTTCGCCCGAGGTGTCGACGTCGAAATCGTCTACGATTTCGGTGTGTAGGTGGCCGTTTTCTTGATGCCATTTGCGCAGCTGTTCTCGTATACCGCCAGTCCGAGGGGCATCTGAAGATTCCAATCGATCGAGAGATTGGACCGCGGGATCGTATGCGGGCAGGTCTGAGCTGTGTACAGGGTCGATATATGGACGATCCAGTTGCTACTCGATAGTCAGTGGGGCGTCGTGTGGTGGACATGGGGAGAAGTGGTACTCGTGAGTGTGAAGAGAAGAATGCTCTAGGTGTGGATTGATTCGGGCGGGACAGGCGACTACGGGAGAAGGGTGGAGAGGTAGGCGAGATGTGGTGTTTCGTTGCGCAGCTCCAGCACACTTTGGCAAGGTCCGGACGGCGGCGCACCACATCGCTGCGAAGACTGAGCATCCTGGGGCGTTGAGCCCGACAGTCCTGTTCCTTGGAGCGTGTATTAGGCCGTCTGCAGGTATTGGGCGACTGCAGGTATTGAGCGACTGCAGGTATTGAGCGACTGCAGATATTGGACGACTGCAGAAAGAAGGTGGTAGCGTGGACTGGACTGTGGCAACAATGGGCCAAATATTTCTTGAATCTTCACATGCTCGAGAATCCAAACATGTTCGTACGCGATAAGATAACCTGCAGCACAGACCACCCAGCCAATCCCCTCTCTCTATGTTTCGCTCTGCAGAAGCTTCTTCTCCGTCCTCCTTTCTCAAACCAAACAATTGCAAAAGGTTAGTACCATCTCCTTCTCGCTGCTTCCCATGCCTTCCCTTCTACATGATGAGTCAAGAAAAAATAGCATGTATTATCTTAGCATCCTTCGGGGTCTGCACGATGAGAAACTCTTGTGACTGATTACAACCTCCTGCCCAACCACGCAAAACTCAGCTATGCTTTCATACTTTCTGGTCCTTCAGTACTGACTTTGACAAGAGACGGGCACAATGTCGACACCAAGGCCACAGGCTGGCCACTTTAGCATTCTATACTTCGCTTCTGCTGCATCCTTCACAAACAAGTCGTACGATCACTTGGCGGCCCCAATGAAGCTCTCGACGCTGTTTGGCCACCTCGAAGACATGTACCCTACAATCAATCAAAGAATTCTGCACAGCTGTGCTCTCACCGTGAACCTGGAATACGTAGACGCCCAAGCAGATGCTGACATGGTCGTCAACGAGGGAGACGAGGTCGCTGTCATCCCGCCTGTGAGCTCTGGATGAGCATGCCTGTCTAAACAAGCACAATCTTTATACATGAACAACCAATCCCTACTTCAATATGTCTGTGCTGGCGTTTTCCACTCGTGCCGTATGACAGTAACGGTTTGAGCTGCTATCCGCATTGCACATGTTGTATGATGAGTGGAGTGGAAGGTGCTGCTCCGTACTGACTGGCCGAAGGTCAGATCTGTGTGAAGCTTGCCGAGACGCTGCAGCTGTTAATTCAGTATTTCGGTGTAAGGAAAGGCGTCAGGCTATGAACGCATGTCGTATCTGATCGAGCACACGACTTTTGTTCCACGGAGTCACGACGGACGGAGCTCGAAGAAACGGGCGGATAGCGTCATAGAGAGCGTCGCGGTCCGTGACTTGTACTATTTTTGGGACGACTTTGGCGGGACAATGATAGGTACCTAATATTCGAGGGCGATCAAGGTAGCAAGTTATTTGCTTGTCAACAGCGACTCAGGCTTCGCTGTCGCAAAGAAATCGAGAATTGCACGGGACAAGGCAGCGCATCACAGTCCAGTCAGCTACACGAAGTACCAGCCTTCCAGAAACGCTTCTCCCAACCTTGAGCTGCCAGACGTTGGGTTCATCCTTCTGTGGTCCGACGAGTAGAAACAAAGACACATGCCGCCGTGAGACGGGCGCCCTCTGTTCACACATGCTCGTGGACCAGACCTGAGAGCGACCAAGTACGCACTGCAACTGCTGCAAGATGCGCATCCGGCCTCTTTCGTCGGCGCTGGCCCTCGGCTGCTTCGCCGCCCTCCTGTTGTCGTCGCACGTCTCGGCCGTCTTCATCAATTTCGACAACTGCCTGGACCAGAACATCCGCAACTCGAATCCCCTGCATCTGCAATTCATCCCGCTCTTCGTCGACGCCCACTTCAACACCTCGGCCTCGACTCACAATCTTAACTTGACCATCTACGGCAACGTCAGCGGCCAGGCCACCCAGGGCACCTACCCGCCGCCAAACGACGCGCTGTGGACAGATCCGAACAACCCCTTTGGCAAGATAGTTGACCTGTCTCCCTCCAACAACAGATATTCGACCCTCTTCCAGCGCTACCAAGTTCTCACTTTCGACGCCTACCAGGCCGAGCCCAGCCGCTTCTGCAACTCGACTCTGAACGACTCGTGTCCCTTGGTCCCTTCCTTTTTCGAGAACCCTTACGATCCCTACGACCTCTCGGCCTTCTCCGTCAGCCATGACTTCTACAGTTCCTATGCCTTCACGACCATCGCCTCCACCATCACCGCAAAGTCGGGCGATGCAGGCGCTCCAGACATAGCCTGCATCTCTGCCAACATCACCCCAGCCCTGGGACACACCTTGTCTGGCCTGTTGACATACCTTCCCGTCGCCATCCTCATCCTCGTAGCCATTGCGACGGCCGCCGCCGGCATATACTCTCCCTGGGGTTCCACCGACCCCTTCAAATGGACCACAAACTACGGTCGCGATCAGGATCTGCTCCGTCTTGTGACTCCTGGCTTCGGAGACTGTCTACAGTACATCCAATTCATCTTCCTGACCGGTGCCCTCAGCCTCAACTATCCCGGCTACTATGCCCCGGTCACCAAGCAGGCGAGCTGGTCCGCCTTGCTGTTCAATTCGAGTTACGTCTCCCACGGAGCCGGTACACAGTCTCTCCAGGATGGGTTATACGTCACCAACGGAACTTATGGCATGACTCGTATGAGCCAGCTGGTGGGTATGACGGCTGTGCGCGACATCTGGGCCTGCATGGCTGTCTGGTTGCTGGTTGTCGCAATTGCTGTCCTTCTCCTCTGCCAGTTGGCTTTCCTGGTGCGCTGGTTGATCCGCCTTCTCTCCAATACTCAAGAGGAGGATCTTCGTCAGAAGAACTGGCCTCTGAGTGGTGGTATGGTAGTGCGCATCATTTTCAACTACTTCCTCCTGCCCATCGTTGCTATTTCCATGTTTCAATTGATAGTGGCTCCTCGCTCGCCCCCTTCTGTTGTCGCCATGGCCGTCATACTTTTACTGGCCATCATCGCCCTTGCGCTCTGGATCCTCAACCTCATCTTCCGTACCAAGCCGCGCGCTTACCTCTTTGACGATCTACCTACCGTCTTGCTCTACGGCCCACTCTACAACACCTATTCTGACGAGGCCGCCCCCTTCGCTCTCATTCCTGCTATTCTTACTTTTATTCGCGGCATCGCCATTGGAGCAGTGCAGCCTTCGGGTATTGCACAACTAGTCATCATGGCTATCTGCGAAGTGATTCTCATACTCACGCTACACGCCTTCCGTCCCTTCCACTCCCCGACACACATGAACGCCTATCACACCTTTTTCGCTTCAGCAAGACTTGCCACGGTTCTCCTCATGGTCGCTTTTGTGCCGTCTCTGGGTGTTACTGAAGCACCCAAAGGATGGATAGGCTACGCTATCCTCTTGATCCATGGTATAGTTCTCATCTTTGGATTCTTCATGAACGCTTTGCAGACTCTTCTAGAGGTCTTTGCCCGCATGGCAGGTGCTGGAGGTGATCCTCAACACGGAGCACAGAGGGGTGGCCTGATATCGTTTGGTTGGCGTCAGCTTCGCAAACGACAACCAGGTAGGCAAGCAAAGAGACCTGGTAGCATGATGTCTGATGCCGCCATATTAGCCAACGATTCGGACGCTAAATCGCTTAACATGATGGGGGGACGATCGAGAAGCATGTCTGCAAGCTCCCAGATGATGCTTAGTCAGCACCTGCCCGACAATCGCGCCAGCAGCGGCTTCGATCAGTTCGTTCAGTCCGAGTATGCTTACACTCCGACTGTAGAGACACCGACTACTCCTTATAGTGCTGTCCCACAATCTGCTGGTTCTGGTACAGGAGCTGGCAATTCTGGCAAGCGTCCGGTTCTGGGCATCAAGACAGAGCAGCCCCTCTCCGATCCATACTATCGGGCGCCTCGGCCACGAAGAAACACCAACGACCCATACACACCGGGTGCTAGAAGCCGACACTCAACGAGCGGCGATTGGAACCGGCTGCCGTATCAAGATTCTCCCGAACATGCGGTAGGCGTTGATGATCTTGGAGAAGGTGGCTCAGTTGTGCCTCCATATCTACGCACTCAACACAGAGGTGGCTCAGATTCGGACTTGGCAGATCCGTCGCCAAGGGAGAGGACCGACTATGCTGTGAGAGAAGTGGACTTCTACTACGGCGTCAGAGGCCCTGCGCTCTCAAATGCGCCGGCCAGGAAACTGAAAACTGGGCCCGCTGATCCTGTTGGCCCTGTATCTTCTGCTACTACATGGTTCCAGAGGCTCGTGGGTGGGAAAAGGAAAGACAAAGGCAAAGGATTCGAAGTTGTCCGCAGCTCTCGCGTGCCTGCTAACAATGCACGTGAGCCTTTGGAGGACGAAGAAGGGCAAGAATTGCAAACCTCACCACCCATGAACTATCTGCCTTACAAGGATTCGCCGGACCCACAGTCAATGGCAGGCGCTCGTAGATCCCACAGCCCCGAGGGGTATGGGGATATGGGTAGCCGCCTGGGCGGAACGTGGAATAACATGGAAGCTGAAGAATCGGATTCTGAAAGCGACATCACAGACGTACGGCCTTCTTCGCCGCCATATCTCCGCCCTATCTCTCAGACTGGCAGCTTGAATTTCGAGCCTGACGACAAACCGATGAGAGCGCCCTCGAGCGCCGCTGACAGAGACTATTTCCCAGCATCGCCACCACCACGACATCCGTTCCATGTCGGTAACAGTGTCGGCAGTAGCGGGAGACCCACCAGTATGGGCACAGTACAGCAGCGTGTGACAAGTGACAGCGTTTTCCAGAGTGCAGGAGTTGGTGAAGGAAGCATAGCGGAGATCGTGACCAACGATCGAACCATGAGCATGGAATCTCGATACGCTCCACGATGATCTCGGTGCTACCTCACAACCATTTATTCTTACCTTGCGATATCCGTGTTCGCCTCTTTTTACTTGGCTTGAAAGCATGTTCCGGCAGCGATGGAGTTCTAGGCGGCAAAAGATGTTATTCGGAGTCGATGTCAGACATCGCATGTACGTAGTTTGGCTAGCGTGGCGTTGATATCGTATATTGTCTTTCGATTATTCTAGACAGCTATCTTCTTCACAGACTGTTCAAGTACACGTGCATGTTGTGGATAGCTAGTATCTACTAGACAGTCAAGCCTCGGAGGGGAGGGGGGCCATGAGATAAGCGATGGTCGGAGCTTCTATCCGCCGCGACTTCTGTCGCTAGCTCTTGTCCATATCAGGCCAGCCCACCGCTACTTTAGTCTCAACCTCTTGATATCCCGTCTTGTTTTGGTTCTCTGTATTCTTGTGCTTGGTCTGAACGATATCCAAAGCAGACATGACGGATGAGGTTGTCGTTCCGCGATGGCAGCCGGACGACGAGCTTTCGGCATGCTCTATATGCGGTAACGCTTTTACCTTTCTCAACCGAAGACATCACTGTAGAAGATGTGGAAGACTCGTCTGTGGACCTTGTTCGCCTCACCGCATCACCATACCGCGCCAGTACATCGTACATGCTCCAGAGGATGAGCCCTTGAAGCCCGACGGCAGCACCAGAAGCAGAAGCAGTACAGGTCCCTCTGACTACTCTGAAAACCCAGCCTTGGGTGGCGGCGAAACTGTCCGAGTCTGTAACCCTTGTGTACCTGATCCGAACTATGGCCCTCCACCTCAGCAACAGGACGAACCGAGATCACCGCCACCTTCGACACGGTCACGTGCGCAGACTTTTGCAGTAGACGAAGGCACAACATCAGGCATAAGTTTTGCCAGAATGTTTGGCTCGTTGAACATATCGGATCTAGGTCAAACCACGTGTCAGTCGGCGCCTCACAATGCTCGAACGCTGAGCGATTTCACTGGCACCCCACCCCAATCAACAGAGAGGCGGGGGTCTTATCGACCGCAGTTACATACAGCGAGGTACCAGGCTCTGAATAGTGTGCCTCAGCGCCCGAGGTCCTCGACTCAAGGACTTCGTACCCGTTCGGACAATGACACGGCACATTCATCACGATCACGATACCGCTCTACATCGTATACACCCTCAACGGTCGCAGCCGCACAGGCCGTAAAGGTTGAAATGCAGCGACCGCAAGGTCGAGAGGTGTTGAGCGAGGAAGATGAATGTCCCGTCTGCGGTACCAGGAACCATCCATTTGGCACAGATGGCACCAGTGGCACGAGCGAGGAACGCGAGCAACACGTTCAGTTTTGCATCTCAAGCCACCTAGCAGGGCCTAGTCATTTAGAGACACCAGCAGAGACAGCAGATCAGACGGGATCGGAAGAGACAGAATCCATGGCTGCTGGGAGTGTACCGCAACGTGCGGCATCAATGCTGGGGGCAAATGCGGCAAGGCATCGCATGCTGGTCTATCACGCGACCGAGAAGGACTGCTTTGACGAAGAAGGTCAGGCCCAAGAATGCGTCATCTGCTTTGAGGAGTTTGAGGAAGGAGTGGAAATGGGCAGGCTGGAGTGCCTGTGCAAGTTCCATCGAGCGTGCATCAGAGGATGGATGGAAACACGAGGTCGAGGCACGTGTCCAACACATCAATTACATGATTGAGAGACGAAAAGTGGATGGAGTTTAAGCTGCCAGATTTTATGCCGTATAGAAAGCCAACAACACGGCTACCTTATACATGAACAAGGGACACGCTTGTCTGTCAAGATGCAACAGAACGGAAGTGAAGAGGCGAGAATCGAGCAGGACAGGGCAGTCGCGAAAGAGCTGAGAGGTGGGCCGTGCACGTCTTCCTCCCAGTCAGCAGCTTCTGAGCTTGCGTCCAGACGCGTCTTGTTTCTGTGGAAGAATCAACATACAAGCGGGCTCTGTCGGCACCATGAGCGCGCAACCCATCGATCCGCGTCTGGAGGCCAGTGACGCCGTCCAGGCAGCCTACCAAGCACAAGCACAAGCGCAGGCAGCTCAAGCACAAGTGGCTCAAGCACCAACGCGGCATCAACCTGCTCCGTATCCCGCGCCGGCGCTGGCACACTCCGACTCTCAGATCAAGCTGTACAGAGAAGCTGCGAAGACGGCTCAACAGGCCCAGGACGTCTCGCAACCCTACTATGGATATGCCGCCGCCCTGCCGTCCGGTCATTCGCCCAGCGACGAAGATGGCGACCGACGCGAAAGCCTCGTCGGCGCCGACATGGTTGACATGAGCCCTGGCGGAGCCGCCATGCTCGCTGCCGATGCCAAACGCTCCAGAGCCTGCGAGGCCTGTCGCGGTCTGAAGGTGCGCTGTGACATGGACAACAGCGGCCAGCCGTGCAAGCGCTGCGCCAAAGCCGGTCGCCAGTGCATCGTCACCCAGCCCAGCCGCCGTCGCCAGAAGAAGGCCGACACACGCGTCGCCGAGCTCGAGAAGAAAATCGACGCCCTCACCCAGGTCCTCCATCAACAGCAACAGCACCCGCATGTCCCCTTCCAATCGCCTCTACAGCCCGACGCCTACCCGCCGCCCACATTCGATCCTGTCAAACACGAGGCTCCTCTCGCCGATGTAGACTATGAAGCCGACGACCGTCGCAAGCGCAGACGCATCGACGACCCTTCCAAGCCACTCTACCACACCATCTACACCGAGTATGGCGAGTACGTCAAGCAGCGTGTCCGTCAGATCATTGACTGGAACTCGGCCTGCACCATCTTTGCTCATTTCAAAGATCGCCTGATCCCCGAGTTCCCAGCCATCGTGCTACCTGCCGACACAACCCCCGAGTGGTGTCTGGAAACAAAACCTATTCTGTTCTTGTGCATCACTGCTGCTGCATGCTTCAGATTTGTCGAGACGGAGATTCAGGATGCTTTGACAGAAGAGGTTTTTGACGTGCTTGCTACTGCCGTCATCCGCAAGGGTCTCAAAAGCCTCGAGATCATCCAAGGTCTGCAGGTCGCTTTCCTCTGGCACAAGCCTCCGGATCGTCCTGCACAAGCCAACTTCTACATGCTCATCCACATGGCGGTTGTCATGTCTCTCGATGTTGGCCTGGGAAAGCGATTCAATCCTAACAAGGTCAAGCGTGGCTTTGGCGGAGTTGGCGCCGACCTACCTCCTGGCCCTGGTAGTCAACTCGTAGACTCGGACGCCATCGAGTCGCGTAGAGCATGGTTGGCGTGCTACTACACCTCGGCAAGCGTCTCACAGGTCCTGCGTCGTCCTAATCTCCTGCGCTGGTCGAATTACATGCAGGAGTGTGTCGACATCCTGGAAAACTCACCCGACGCTGCTCCTACAGATGCTTTGTTTGCCCAGCACATCAAGGTCCAGCGTATCTGCGACGAAATTTCTGTCTCATTTGCCATGGAGGACCCTACCGCATCCATCTCCATCCTGGATCCAAAGGTCGCTTATACCCTGGAGGTCCTGCAAGAGAAACTCGACAAGTGGGAGCAGGAGCTGCCTGCTCACCTGAAGCTTCCCACCTTGATGTTCTACAAGCATGTCACATCTCTGTATCTGCACGAGATTGGTCTTCATGTCAACCACAACACAGATGACTTCAAGGTGCCATTTAGTGGTACGTCCTTGTCTAATTTACGCGCGCGCTCTTCATACTGACATTCATTACAGAGGGAAGTCTCAAGTCCGGCAGCCACTTTTCCGAGACGCTCAGCCAAAAACAAATGGCCTCGATCGAAGCCTGCCTTACTGCGTGTCACAGCGTTATTGGAACTTTCTGTGACTTTGGTCACGAAACCGTCTCCACTCTTCCCGCCCTCTTGTACTTTGTGCGCATCGTTTATGCCCTTGTGGTCCTGATCAAAATGCACGTTGCGGCCACGTATCCAGGCTCGGAACTGGGCAAAGTCATCAAACCTGAGGATATCAAGGCCCCCGAATTCCTAGACCGTGTCTACCACTGCTTCGTTGCCTTGGCTCAAGGAAGCTCTCAGAAAGCATTCTCCAAAGCTCACCAGATCCTCAGTCTTCTCCGCGAGTGGATAGTTTCTCATCCCAATGGTGTTGAGCCTTCAAGAGAACCTAATGCTCGTGGCGCCCAACCTCAGCGTCTCTCTTCGCGCGACAACGACAGTCTACGTGTCCTGAGCGAGGCCGCTACAGCAGGCGCCGAGCCGTCGCCTCAGCGATCGAACTGGGGCTTCGACTCTCCTTATGCGCCAGCATCACAGTACCCTTCACATGAAGCACCCGGCCAAGCCTCTCGCTCTAGAAGTGACGCTTACAGCAATTCAGCAAACTACGCCTCTACTGTCATGTCTACGCCCGGATCTGTCAACCATCAAGCTATGTCTGCCAACGATGCCTCTGCCTATGCTAGCATGCTTGACCCCAGCTTTGCTAAGCAGTCCGGTGGCGCCGAATGGACTCAGGGGTTGGATTTCGAACAAGCCATCGACGTCGCATTGTCGAGCTTGGACTTCTCGGGCGACATGTACACGAGTTTCTTCGGCGACGGTGCCGATGCTTTTCAACTCCCTCCCGATGCTGCTGCCTCTAGCGGCAGATGGTGAGGGCTTGTGAGATCAGTTCTGACCCTTGCCGGCGATGATGTCGTCTCTGGCCTGTATTGTTTGTCCGCTGCGAGCTTGCGTTGCCTAGCATTGCATCTTCTTTATTAGTTTTGATACCCACGGCTTTGTCGCTTGTTCTAGGTCTAGTGAAAATGCACAGTCTCTGCTCCACTATTTGACATTATGATTCATGAAGTGCAGGTTCTAGCTGACATACCAACATCCATTACCTCGCTTGATAGACGTCTTTACACAGCCTTAGTCGCTATCCGTACCGTCGTCGATCTCGTTCTTTGTTATGTTGGCAGTCTTCTTTCTTAACCATGAAGTGTCCCCGAACCCGATTTCTTTGTGCTCCCCTCTAGATGTAGTCATATCCTTTGATGCAATTCTCTGCCCATTGTCCTTATCAACAAACGCATCATGGCCCCTCTCAAGCCATGCTATACTACATAATCCTGTTGACGGCATTGACAACGACCACTCTCATCACCCAACACAACCAACACGAACCTCACTAACTCGAAGCAAAGATGTGGAAGTGCCACAAATGCCTCAACCCTAACTACAATGAGAGTAAACACTGCACTTGGTGCCCTCACGGTCGTTGCCGCTTCTGTAGCTACATGAAGTGGTGGCAGTATGCTTTTTTCCATTGGTCTTATGATTGTTTCTCGCCGAGAAGGAAGCCTAAGAAGGATTGAATGGTAGGCTTCTGTAGTAAAAAGGTGAGGGAGTTGAGATGTGTGGGCTCATATGGTGTTGGTGTTGTGTTGTTTAGTGCTAAGCGCTCGAGAGAATTAAATACACGTTTTTTTTTTGAGTTAACAAGCTTGATAGTTCTATTTTCTTGTGTGGTATATGAATACAATATTTCTGATAGCATAGTGATGACTACAGTCAATTGAGTGTCAGGTATATATGTGATATGTCGTTGTGTGTGATTGATGTTGTGAACAGGGTCGTCCTGGCAGCATCACCGCTTTGAAATATTCAGAATGGATCCTCGGTCCTGAATCTTCTCACTTATGGTTTCTTGAGAGGATATCAGACTGTCTCACATTCTTAGATCTGGTTGATATATCTGCCAGATTCAAATCAATAATTGCAGAGATCCAAGATACCGCTCAAAGACGTCGCGGCCTCCTCGGACAAGGCATGGCGCGCCAAGCACAGAGAGTCTTCTCCATGAGCGGAAAGTGGGAAACAAGTGTTCTGTGGCTGCCACTGGCTGGTACCCTATTTGGAAGATTGGCAGTTGGGTTGTCATGTGGTGCGAGCCGTCAGAGCCAAACAGGAAATGGACAGGGGCCACCAAGCGTTTAAACAACAAGCAGGTTGCTCAGGACAGAGGCATGCGATATTGGTATGGATGTGCTCCGCCATTGTCGTCAAGCCACAGCCGTGTGTTTGTGCAGATCAGAATATAAGGCCTCGAAGATCTCCCACGCGGATAGCGGGAGTTATAACACTCAAGGCTTCGTTTGGCATGGCGGTGTTCTTGTGGCTTGCCCAGGCAGTTCGGCGCGTGCCCAAGTGACAAGGTTTGCCGCTATTGTATGATGTCATGGTCAACGCTCTAATCTCTGTCCATGTCGCACAGCGATTGAACATGGATTGGGAAAGATTGAGAGCGGATTGCGAAGAAAGGCATTGAGCCGGAGAACGAGGGACGTATTCATCTTGTCGGACTGTCTGCGCCGAGCCAACGACGAGGCAGATCATGGGGATGGATCGTATTGATTTTCGTGGAGGACGGTCGCGAATAGAGAGACGATCCAGATCAACCCGGTGCACGGGGCAACCGTGTCGAGGATGACGTCTGCAGCTTCCACATGCAATAATGCGGCATTGATTTCCATTCTTCAAGAGGCGCTTCGCATCCATCTCTTTCCCCCTTTCACCCAACTCCTCATAACTCAAGTCTACGCACTCCCGTCGCTGCCGCTTGAATCTATCCATCCTCAAGACTAAATCTTTACTCTCGCCACAATGCACCGCACATACTCTATGCGCCAGTCGCGCGCCCCTACTGCCTCGCAGATCCAGACCCCTCCTCCTCCATCATCCTCCACCAAGGCTGGCAGATTCTTTGGCAAGAGCAACATTGGTCAGTAATCTCAACAACGTCGCATTGATCATCTCTGACTTCTTGCAGGCCACTCTTTCCGCAGAAATGCCGCTGGCGCCTTCGGACCCGATCTCGCCAAGAAGCTGTCGCAGCTGGTGAAGATGGAGAAGAATGTCATGCGCTCCATGGAGCTCGTCGGTAGAGAGAGAATGGAGGTCGCAGTAAGTTTATCTTTTTGCGGCATGATTGATTGAATTTTGATGAGTTAACACAATGACAGCAACAACTCAGTGTTTGGGGCGAGGCTTGTGACGACGACGTCTCTGATGTCACCGACAAGCTCGGTGTTTTGATCTACGAGATTGGTGAGCTCGAGGACCAGTTCGTCGACAAGTACGACCAGTACCGTGTCACCATCAAGAGCATCCGTAACATCGAAGCTTCCGTCCAGCCCAGCAGAGACCGTGAGTTTTGATCAACTGACCTCTCGCTTACCTCTCGCTAACAGTTTTCACAGGCAAGCAGAAGATCACTGATCAGATTGCCCAGCTCAAGTACAAGGAGCCCAACAGCCCCAAGATTGTTGTCCTTGAGCAGGAGCTCGTTAGAGCCGAGGCCGAGTCATTGGTCGCCGAGGCCCAGCTCTCCAACATCACCCGCGAGAAGCTGAAGGCTGCCTTCACCTACCAGTTCGATGCTCTCCGTGAGCACTCGGAGAAGATGGCCATCATTGCCGGATACGGCAAGCACCTCTTGGAGCTCATCGACGACACCCCCGTCACCCCTGGCGAGACCAGAAACGCATACGATGGCTACGAGGCTAGCAAGGCGTAAGTTTCGCCCATGACGTAACCTAAATGTCTCGTGATACTGACAACCATCACAGCATCATCCAGGACTGCGAGGACTCTCTTACCAACTGGGTCGAGCAGAACGCTGCCGTCAGCTCTTCCCTCTCCACCCGCACCCGCACCCTTTCTCAGCGCCGCCGCAACAACCGCCACCAGGGTGAGGCCGTCGACCTCTCCGGCCAGGATGCTTCCATGGAGCAGTCTCGCGACAGCAACCTCTGGATCCCCGCCAGCCAGCACCACAACGCTGACCGCTACGAGGACGATGAGGAGGACGAGGATGCTAGCGTCGTCAACGGCTCTGTCCGTGGCCGCGAAGAGGAGAGAGTCGCTGCTTAAGCGCATCACTCGCTTTTGTTTTGGTTTTCCCTGATTGCGTGGTTGGGCATTATACTATACCCTTGAGCCCTATGTTTTCTTCACGAACGCGGCGGTAATGTTTCTTAATCTTTTCCTCTTAGTCTTTATCTCTATGCAGGCAGCAGCACACAGTTTCCTCTTCGCCTATCCGACAGAGCACAACTCATGATGGGTACGACTATCACGACGACTGTTTTAGTAGCCAATTTTTCTAGTTGTGGTCTATACGAAAAAATGCATAATATTCTGCTGTCTACTCATCTCTGCCATCCCTAGCTGTGACTTCAGTCATGATAAATTATTTGATCGTATGGAGTGATGGTTACCTCCCCGAAACGTCCAATACCGAAGTTTGTACACATTGACGTAGGGTATATTGTGAAGAGATTGGCAATCAAGCACATACGGCCACAGTCAGCTGAAAACTGGGCATCCCGTCCGCTCTGCCATACATAAGCAGTTGAACGGCAGATTAGTACTACGGTGGGTGACCACGTGGGAATCCCTGCTGCTGTATGTTTTGTGCATTTCCTACTCTTTTGCTTCCCGACAATTTTTCCATCACTCGTACTAGAGTATGTATGTTACCTTTGACTGTCATGTACACTTGTCTATTCTGGTTGTGACAACAGTTTTTTACACTATTAATTATTGGTTCCATTTACCAAGGACAAATTATTATTAACACTGACCAAGACTCCTTCCTCATCAACATTTCCTTCGTGACAAGATCGTGACAAGATCGTGACATGTAACATGTTCATTCTACAACATTGCGGCCAAAAGACCATATGATGTGTAGGCTACGTTGGTTCCTTTCAACCCGGAAGAATTCTTTTTTTTTTACCATCGACTCCTGCCTAGTGATTCCCACTCGAAGACCGGACTGAAGACCGAGCCAAGATGCTACTGGACGCTGTTTGCGCAAACTCGATCTTGCAGGAGAGCATCGCGAATATGGTTTCCGCCACGTAAGGTAGGCGTGACTGACACGCCGGTCTGCAGTCGCAAAATTCATGTCACTGCTTGAATGAGGCGTTCAGATGCCTTCCAGCCTGGACGGTGGACCGTTGTTCCGAACGATGTCGATAGCGTGTCCTTTGTTGAGCCGGATTGGAGCTACGTGTGACGAGCTGTATATCCAAAAGGGAGAGATGCACCATGTATATGAGTAAACTTACACTCGAGAGAGTGTTTCCTCTAGGCATGGTTCAGGTTCCCAGCCCTTGGCCGATGCAGTTGAGCAGCTTCGTGACAGCGGACAGCAGTGATTGAGAAGTGTTCTTGGCGCTCTTCACAAGCTCACTTGTTTTGACATCGAGTCGTCCTTCTTCTGCAATCTCCAGGTAGTTCGATATAGCATTGAGCAGCGTTCGAAACTCATGGCTAGAGTTGGACAACAAAAGCTGATACATGTGCCCTTCTTTCACCGCGCTATCTCTCTCCCGCCAGATGGCGCTGAACTTGAAGTATACTGTGCGCATCATGGCTGCGTTTTGAAGGTCAGCCTCGCTCCACGCGTCGATGCCCCGGTCGGAAGAACCGCTAGAGTGTGCTTCTCGGAAGTACACGACAAAATTCTCACTGTCCTGAGAGAGCGGAACAAACAACAAGCTCTTGACCGATTGAAATCCTGGACGATAGTGTAACGTTGGAAAATCGGCGGCAAAGTCCTCGGAGGTGAGAACATCGGCGGGGCTGCGCAGTCGAAGGTAGTCGACCAGCGCCAATCCTTCTTGGGGCTCTTTCGCAGGACCAACGAAACTCTTGATGCCGTCGATGAACGATATGGCAAAATCTGCTCTGAGGGTCTTGACCATGGTTTGTGGACTTGCAAGAACGATTGTAGATTCGTTGTCGGAATGTGGATCGCGCGAGAGAGGTCCTTGAGCGTCGAGGACTTGAGAGGCGTCCAGATTCTCCAGTTTCGTCGAGGCTGCATTGGCAATGACTCGACACAGACCACGACCGAGAAAGGTTATTGCAGCATCGCTCTGAGCAGATTTGCTGACAACCACACCCCAGAGCTTGCCAGATACTCGCAAGGGGATGATCACACGAGATTTGGCAGATCCATCCTCGAGTTCATGCACAGGGAAATCGGGCATAGTTCGAAGATAGAGCAAACGACTCTCGAAGGACCGTTCATGCGTGCTTCCAGGGCGGAACATCAGACGTGCAGTCTCTTGAGCCTGGTCAGAATGTTCCTGAATCTCGAGTGTATCAAAGTTTGTGCGGCACTCAGGTGATAGATTGCAAGATTCCGGACCAGAAGAGTGTGGGAAACAAGCAAAGTTTTCATCACTGTCACTTTGTGCAACAAGGCGGCCATGGCAGTGGCTGTCGAAACGATGAACCGAGATATTTGAGTGTCCTGTTGCGACCTTGATGGAAGTCACGAGACCTTCGAGCAGGGTCTCGATTGTCGAAGCGACGGAGATGGTACGATGTGCTCTAGACATTGTGTTGAGAGTGTCGGACGCGCTGCCTTTCCTAGAAAGAGGAGGCCGTGTTTCTGTCCTTGTCTTTCGAGAGTGCATTCTCTGGCTCTGACGAGCGAAGGAAGCGGCAGGTTGGGGAACAAACTCGCAAAGAATCAGAGCTGGCCTACTGATTTCTGCGTGTATCACACACGAGAGAGCCCTAACCAAGCCGTGGTGGTCCCGAATAGACAGGTCGAAGACATTGAGCGTGTTGGAATAACTGGCTCGATCGTGTGCCGAGGCGATGTGTTCAAGCAAGGTATCCGTCTCCTCCGGGTCCAGAAGGTCAACGAAGTTTTGCAAAGCGAACAGGTTATCAGGTGAATAGCCAACAATGGCCTCTGAGTTGTCACTCGCCATGAATACCAGGAGCTTGCCGTCAGCATCTCGTTCGAGACCTATGGCGGCCCCGAAGCTCTGGATACTGTTAGTGGGGCATGGCTTCTGGATATCGTCTTTCGTAGATTGTGGCGTAGAGGGCCTGATGAGGTTCTTTGGCATGCTGATTCCATCTGAAGACGCGGTAGACCGAGTGGTCAAGGGCGCAAATGGCTTAGGCTGACCGTCATCTTCCGACTGGCGGCGGGCAGACAAGGTGATGGGCACCGAATCAGTCGAGACGAGAGAGCTAACACGACTCTGTGTTAAAGACATTCGATCTCAAGCGCGGAAGACGTGGCTTGCGATATTTGTGAATCGCGTTTACAGAGAAGGGCGGGACTTGGAAAGAAAACAGCAGATTGCTGCCATCCTTTCTTTTCCAGCCCATCGCGATGTAAGTCGCGGCATCGTAGAGCAGTGTTTGGTACATCTACGATCCAATCGTCGCATCGGCGTTTGCCAATACCCCTTGCCCGGCTCGGGAGAACCTCGTGCCGCATCAGTCCGCTCGAGTCACGCGGGTTCTTGTGAAGCGCATGCATTAGTCGCTCACCCTGTTACGTCCCTTGGTCACATCCTCTCCTATCCGTGTCTCTGATGCTCGTCTGGTCATGAAACTGGTGTACGGCTCCGTGATAGTGCTGAGGATGAATGTCCAGAGAGAAACATCACCCACCAAAAATGAATTTGTAAAGTGCATCCTTCCCACCTGTGAAGGCGTCAAACAGCTGCGTCAGATCGCGCCTATCGAATAAAAAGGTACTGCCAAACAACTTTACATGCATGAATGAAGTATTCGCAGCACGCGTTGATTGATCATATCACATCATCTTCGAGTCCTAAAGTTTGCATCTCACACTCCTCTCATCAAAATATAAAGCAACAATCTCACTATCGAAAGGCACAGTTACTTGCAGATTGAACACGCGTCCAAAGAGAGCCGACAGGATATCGTTTCTCAATGGATCCTGTACTATTCCTCAAACCACTGTGCTTCCTACAGACACACGCGTCATAAAGTCTTGCACATGGGGAGGATGGATCCAGATAAAGTTATGGATTTCCATAGAACGCGTCGGTCTGTATAGGCTAGGCAACAGTCACGCTAAGTCACGCATAATATGAATCGAAATCTTTGAAGCAGAGGCAACATCAAAACTCTCCAAGTCTATCCAATCTGAACCCTACTTATCATGGAACTACCGGAACAGATGCTCCTGCTCGAGCCTCTTGGCTGCACAGCGGAAGAGATAATGCAGCAAGGCGCTAGAAACTTCGCCGCGGTCCAAAGGTACCTCGACTGCCTCGAGCGAGGCTGGCTTGGTCAAGCTCTCATCGAACGATACACCTACGGTGAACTTCCTGAGACCCCCGTAGGGATGCTACAGACCAATTCGATAAGAGATGGAATATTCGTTGAGTGGCTGAAACCCATAGAAGACGAGATCAAGGACGATTTGCGTGAAGTATTACGTGGAGGATATGACGAGATGATTGGCATTGAGCGGGACATCTACGCGAAGGCGATGGAAAATATCGATGATCCTGGGAGAGAGCTGTTGAGTCAATTGGTCGATATGATTGACGAAGGCCTGCAGGTACTATGGTCTGATATGCTGAATGGATGAATATCTGCTGATTCAAAACACAGAATCTGCCAAAGATATGCGTGACAGTCAAGAGATCTCCAGAACTGGCAGTCGCCCCGCCGATTGAGCTCCGATGGTGTCATGGACTGGAAGATGCAATTACTCGGCTGAGTGAGAAAGTCCTGGAGGAATCAGTTGTGGCAATGAATATCCAAAAGTCTGGGGTTGATTTCCATATAACGTATCAGTTGGGTAACGCGGAAGACGACTCATCAGCCCTGGCCTTGGTTGAGGAGTTGAGAGAATGGTGTTGAATAAGCGGTTTCGCACGTATGTACCAAGCAAATATTGAATTAAGCTCAGGTGGAAATCGACACTGTCTTCTAGACTATGCAACACAGAGCCAATTCAAAACTCATATACACCATGATGTCTATATAAAAACCAAGGTGACAAACTGCAGCAAGACAACAAGACCAACTACAACACCCCTCGCCTGAGCAGCACCCGGAGAACCAACAGTCTTCGATCCTGAGTTCGCGGGTGCCGAAGTAACTGATGTTCCGCTTGCCTCTGTAGTACTGAGACTTTGCGGGGATACGCCAGAGGGCGAACTACTGACAATGCCTGTTCCAGAAACCGATGAGATACCAGAAACTCCAGGCAAGACACTGTCTGTACTAGAGATAAGCGAACCAGAATTCGAGGCTGACGTTTGAGCAAGCGTGGAAATTGCACCCAGTGCACTCCAAATGTATCCACCGAATCCTTGATGGTAAGCAGCAGTCTGAGTACTCGTACCAATCACAATTTCCATAGCATGACTTGCCAAGCTTAGAACAGAGCCGGACACCGTGATTGTTTGACTCCAGTGGGATCTGATTGTGATATTTAGTACGGGGCTTTCGGCAGTTGTATACTTACCAGAAGACTCGGTCGCTGTGACTGTGATGTAGCTCGTCCTAGTGCTCGTAATATTGTCGAACTTTTCATATGCTATCGAGCATAGGATACTCAGGACGACAAAGAAGATTCTCTCATACATGGTAAAAAGACGCGAGTTACCGAGAATGAAGAATCTGGAATCGAGCAAGTAGGTAGAGAACAGGCGAGGTATATGCTATCGTTGGTATAGTCATTGCGGCTGTCTTCGTCCTCACACTGGTCGGTGGAGCTATATTCTGGCTCAGACGCCGCTCAAAGCGAACAAAGGACAACCAAACGAGCCAGATAGTGCAAGATCGCATCGAGAAGGACGTCTTTTCTGCGGAAGTCCCTGAACTAGATCACGAAGAAACTGCTGTCCGGGAGCTTGACGGGTGGCATGGTTATAAGTCCGAGCTCCAGGTCAACGACGCGAGCTCAGGACGGCATGAACTACCTACCCCTGTAAAGATTCAAGAGATAGGAGGTGATGGCGCCGTAGAACTCGAGGCGCCTCTCAGATGATGGCCCATTGTTGTCGTACTCGAGCCTGGAGACTGGCTGTTGATGCCCACAGGCCTGCAAGCCCAGCGCGCAGTCTCTACACCAGAAGGGCGTCCATCGATGGCAGGGGGACAACATTTCGACGGGAATTGCTTGATGCCTCAGCTACGCGAGATCAGCAAAATCAATCGAGAATCCAGATCGCACCAACGAGGTAGTGCCTGCTCTACAGCTGCCGATCCTGATTGACACCATCATCGACTATATTTGCAAGCACCCGGAGGCCCACAGGCTTTTCGTCCCCAGTGGCCTCCCTGGAAACCTTCCTCGCCTTCTAGAAGGCATGGAGAGGGGGAGAGATGAGTCAAAGGCCAGATACGGTTGTACATGCCACAGTGATGGCAGATCAAAACGCATTCCCGGCACGTGTGTCTGTCTGAAACGAGGTCCCAACGGTGACAATATGAGGCGACGTTGCACCTCTTAGTGTGTCGGCAATGATCATAGCAATCTCGTTGATGTAGAGACGCTGGATTAATGCTTCTCCGATCGAACACAACATGTGAAGAGGAAGGGTAGAAGTTTAGTGGATACATTGCTGGTCATCGACAGTCGAGCGAAGCCAATCAGCCTAGGATCCACAGACTCATGCACACGGGAAGGGGGCATGGCGGAAGCTGCAGCATGATCAAATATGGTCTGTGAATACTACATATGATTTCGTGCAACCACGAGCTGACTGGAACGGCAAACCCCAAACACTCCCTAAGCTTCGACACACGCCGTCAAGAGCTTCCACTGAGTGCCCATCGCCTCATTCGCAAAGTCTTGCAACTCGTAGTCCTTGCCCTTACCATCCTCACCCCCGTCAAAGACCTCGTACGAGAAGTAACCACGGAAGCCCGTCTTCAAGACAGCGCGTGTGAAGTCGACAACAGGTAGGTAGCCTTGGAAGGGGAGAGGTCGGAAGTCATGGCTCCAGCGACCTCTAGAGCGGGTTCCAGACTCATCGACGTCTTTGCTGAAGGGCTGCTTAGGCTTGTACGCATCACTGATCTGGAGGAAGAAAATCTTGTCTGCGGGAATAGTGCGAGAGAGCTCGTCGCATGAATCCTTCCAGTCTCTCTCCAGCTGATCCTTGGGCTTGTCTACCAAGCCTGACTCTGTGGTTGGGTCTGCCCACTCGTAGCCGGCGGACTGGAAAGTGTCTAGACAGAGACCGACGTTGGGGCGGTCGACCTTTTGTACAATGTCCCATACGTCTTTCCATGTAGGGGCGTGGGTTGACCAGCACCAGTTCTCGTAAGCCAGACGGAAGTTCTTCTTTGCGAGCATGTCGGCGAGTTCCTGTAGGTCGCTAACGAAGCGGCTGCGGTCTGCGCCAATCTTGTCGGCCGGTGTATCTGAGGAACCGACCTGTGTCGTGGTTAGTGTATACATATATCGAGACACAGACATGCGTATTCCTTACCTGGAGCATGTCTGTTCCAACAGCTTCCATGATTCTGATCCAGCCTTCAGCACGGGTGAAAGCATCCTTTCTCTCCTCGCTACCCTGCGGCCAGCCCTCGAAGTTGGCGAATGGTTGAAGAATCAAAACCTTCAGCTTCTTTGCATCGCACATGGCCTTGACCACCTTGGCGGAGATGACAAGATCATCGTAGTCATATGCTCCGACCTCTTTCTTCATATACGTTGATGCAAAAGCCAGGAGATCGGGGAATCCAAGCTCAATGGCACTGAAGCGTGCCTCGGAGATTGCTTCTAGCTTCTTGGGAAGGGTGTGTTCATCTCTGCAACCAATCGATACACTGGCGAAGCAGGTGGGGATGTTTTTGACGTTTTCTGTGGTGAGCGGCATGGTGAATTGTTGTGCAGTCGAAATGGTCAAGTCAGGAACAAGAGGAGGGTTGCTGTTCATATACATAGCTCTCAATGGGGCGATTCCGTGAGACCCGCTGTTATACTCATCATGATGAACTCGATGGCTCAATCATCTCAGATCCTCAGCAGTAGCACCGCACCCCGCATTTGACGTCATGAGATACATTTTCTCTTGCAGTGAGGAATAGACAGTCTAGAACATGTGCTCTGAGTTGCATCTCAGGAAAGGTACAGCAGGGAATGCATGTTGTAGTAACACCACATCAGGGCGCACACATCGCTTGGAAGCAGATGGTGAAAAGAGGAAGGAGCGATACCGGTGGTCGATAAATCTAGACTGAGCGAATCATAAGCTGAGTAAAGGCTATGCGTGTGTGGCTTGTCGGCCCGAAGGCTAGAGAATAGCAGATGGCAGAGTGACGGTTGACTCACGAACTATTTGCTGCTGACCTTTCCTCCTTCCACTTTACATTGTTGTTTCTTTCCTTCCCACGTCTTGATACCCCAATTCACTGTTTCTTCTGCGTATACCTGAGTATCTGCATCGTTCCTCACATCACACATACACATCATGTCGACAGAAGTAAGTCCTCGCGCCTTCTCCAGGAAAAAGTTGCCCCGCGACTTTCCCCAACGCCGCTTCGAACTAAGCAAGAACCACGTCTGACATGGTATACAGTTCTTCATGGAGAACGCCTCGGTCGGCGACCGTTCCACCCCCGAGAACTGGCGCATCCGTGGCATGACTCCCCTGACCGCCCCTGATCTTCTCCAGCACGAAATCAGACAATCGCAAAAGTCAAAAGACACCGTTCTCAAGGGTCGCGACGAGGCTTCAGATGTTGTCCAAGGCAGAGACGAGAGAAACAGACTGCTGGTCGTCATTGGCCCTTGTTCGCTGCACGACCCCAAGGCCGCTCTCGAGTACTGCGACAAGCTGTCTGCCATGAAGGAGAAGTACGAGGATGAGCTGGTCATCATCATGCGCGCCTACCTCGAGAAGCCTCGCACCACTGTTGGCTGGAAGGGTCTGATCAACGACCCCGATCTTGACGACAGCTTCAACATCAACAGAGGTCTCCGTGTCTCGAGACAGCTCTACCTCGACCTGACCGAGAGAGGCATGCCCATTGCCAGTGAGATGCTGGATACCATCACCCCTCAGTACACCGCCGATCTCTTGTCTCTGGGTGCCATTGGCGCACGCACAACAGAGTCCCAGGTTCACCGTGAATTGGCCTCTGGTCTCTCTTTCCCCGTTGGCTTCAAGAACGGCACCGACGGCACTCTCGATGTTGCCATTGACGCCATTGGCGCTGTCAAGAACCCCCACCACTTCTTGTCCGTCACAAAGCCCGGCAATGTCGCCATTGTCGGCACCGCTGGCAACGAGGACTGCTTCGTGATTCTCAGAGGTGGAAAGAAGGGAACCAACTACCACCCCAAGGACATTCAAGAGTCAAAGGAGAAGCTCCAGAAGATTGGCTACACCAAGCCCAGACTCATGGTCGACTGCAGGTACGTTATGATCAGACCAAAAAGATTCACAAAAGCGACAGCAAGACTGACATTCTCAAAACAGCCACGGCAACTCGGAAAAGAACCACATGAACCAGCCAAAGGTCGCTCACGAACTCGCCACCCAGATCGCCGCCGGCGAAGAAGCCATCATGAGCGTCATGATCGAATCGCACATCAACGAGGGCAACCAAAAGATGCCCAAGGAAGGAAAGTCGGGCCTCAAATACGCAGTCTCCATCACCGATGCATGTATCGGCTGGGATGACACCGAGAAGGTTTTGGCCGAGTTGGCCGATGCCGTTCAGAAGAGAAGAAAGCATGCCGCTACCAATGGCTCAGCATAAACATCTCCAAGCTCTCTATTTTGACAAGCAATCTATAACGAAAGATAACGAAGTGTGTCCTAGACACGGACAGGAATACAAAAGAATCAAAAGTTTTCATTCTGATCAAACAGGCCAAAGAATCTCAATTCGACTTTTATTTAGAAAGCGTTTCCTCATATTTGCCTGGCTTCTCTGCCCTTCATCTCGGGACGCTCCTTTTCCCACTCGTCTCTGATGACGGCGTAGAGCATATCTGCCAGAATGACGGAAAGAGCCAGACTCCACACGAGCGTAATGGCGTAGAAGAAGTTTGCATTGCCACTGCCAGCATAGACCCAGAGGTAGTAGAAGGCAGGACCGAGCAAGGTGGTGTATATCAGGGCACTGATGGCAGGGAAAGCATATCGTGAAACTGCGGTGTTTGCCATGTCAGTCAACTATTCGATGCAGTTATGGTTGAAAAGGGGTCAGAAGTACTCACGTTCGTGAACATGACCATACATGGAGAGCATGGAAAGCCAGAAGCCAGCATCACCAACATTGGCGTATGGCTGAAAGACGGCAAAGATACCGCACAAAAGCACAACAGCAGCTAGCGGCTGTTCGCGAAGACGGATTGTGAGTGCCGGAGAGTACGATGCCATGTGCAGCCAGAAGACTCCAAGGAAGAAGTTGCGGAACGAGTCGAAGATTTCGATGAAGAAGTACCACCATAGACCAACATTGGGGGTCAAGTCGGGCAGCAGAAGACGAGAGGCGTAAACGGATGAGATGAAAGACCAGTCGCCGATCAGTGCGTATGACAAAGCAAACAAGATGGCAATGGCAGCCACAAGCACAAGTGTATAGCGCGCAGCAAAGGAGGCCAAGGTGGCAGTTGACGCATTCTGGTGGGTCTTGCTACGACGGAGGACCCATGAATCGTAGCACAGAATGGCAAGGGGTGGAAGCAGCAGTAGCGGATGCAACGACATGTACGAGGCAATGGCCAGAGCGAAGGCAGAGCCTAGAACGGCACCGCGGCAAGCCTTGAGAATAGCGATGAGAACAAAGAGGTTCCCAAAGACATTTGTGGAACGGGCCAGACATGTCAAGATGACAAAGGGGTTGAAGAGGTATGCGGCAGCGACAGCAGAAGACGACCAGCGCTTCGACTCGCGCGATGATGTGAAGAATCGGGTGGTATATGACTGGCCAGACGCAAAGATTTGCATGAGAGCGTATGCGCTCGCCAGATCGACCAGTGTATATAGCAAGACGGTGACGAGAGGGTAGCGTGTGGGATCAGGGAGGAGCGAGAAGAGCGGCAGGAGGATGGGGGCCTGGTGGAAAACACCTCCGTCGTATGGCGATAGACCATGGTTGTATAGAAAAAGACCTTCTTGCACTGTGATAGAATGGCAATTCAGCTCTTGACTCTTGCTGAGAGCGAGGGGTCGGCAGGCGCATACATCTCTTGAAGCCCGTCACGGGTGTCGAGAGCTCGACACGTCCACTAAGGAGGTCGGGCAGACCGGGAAAGGCCCATGGTAGCAGCAGTCGTACAGCAGCAGCCGATCCAAAGAGTATATTGTCGTACGTCGAGGTCGACATGGTTGCTGCACACTGTCTAGACATCAATAAATGGTCAGAGGGTCGAGACTCGGGAAAGCCGCTGCTCTCTCCGCAATGCCTCTCTCGGGCCAATACGGAAGGTACGCCGAAGGCGGTGAGGGCACCTTCCTCGAAAGTTCGACAAGGGAAATTTTGGTTCTCGCGCCTCAGCCTGCCTTTGACCATCCATTTGTGTAATTATTTGTCGCATTCATCATGGCCAAAATTCAGAGAAGAGGTGCGTCGAACCGCTGTCGCTGCTTCTTGCATCCGCTATACTGACTTCCTTCCAGGCCAGAAGGGCGCGGCCAAAAACTACATTACCCGTACCCAGGCTGTGCGCAAACTGCAGATTTCACTACCTGACTTCCGTCGCCTGTGTATCTTCAAGGGTACCACACTCTCCGGCTCCCTCGACCTCCCAAAGTCTAACATACTCTGCAGGAATCTACCCTCGTGAACCTCGTAACAAGAAAAAGGCAGCCAAGAACTCCAACTCGACCCAGGCCACCACCTTCTACTACACCCGCGACATCCAGTACCTGCTCCATGAGCCTCTCCTCAACAAGTTCCGCGACCACAAGGCTCTGGCCAAGAAGATTGGTCGTGCTCTCGGTCGCAATGAGGTCTCGGACGCAAACCGCATGGAGAAGAACCTCACTCCCAAGATGACCCTCGACCACATCATCAAGGAGCGCTACCCTACTTTCGTCGACGCCCTCCGCGACCTCGACGACTGTCTCTCCATGCTCTTCCTTTTCGCCAACCTTCCCTCCACCGAGACTGTTCCTCCCAAGACCATCCAGCTCTGCCAGCGTCTCACTCACGAGTTCGAGCACTACCTCATCCGCAGCAACAGCTTGCGCAAGAGTTTCCTTTCCATTAAGGGTATCTACTACCAGGCCACTATCCAGGGTCAGGACATTCTGTGGCTTGTTCCCTACAAGTTCGTCCAGCGCGTCACCGGCGATGTCGATTTCCGCATCATGGGCACCTTTGTCCAGTTCTACACAACTCTCCTCGGTTTCGTAAACTACAGACTCTACACCAGCCTCGGCCTGGTCTATCCTCCCAAGTTCGATGCCAAGGCTGACGAGCAAGGTGCCGAGTTGGCCGCCTTCGCCATCGAGGGTCGCAACGTTGCTGGTGCTCTGGACAACCAGGTCGAGCAGCCCGCTGCTGCTCCCAAGCAAGTTTCTGCCACTGCCCAAGCTGAGGCCGACAAGCTTCTGGAAATGCCATCCGGCGAAGAGCCTACCAGCTCATACGCTACAGCGCAGGAGACCCCCTCATCAAACCCCAAGGACCAAGAAGAGGAGGACAGACAAGACGGAGAACTCGATGCTTTCCCTGCACCTATCGACCCCGAGTCGGATGTTCTGCACCAACCTACCGTTTCCGCTTCAACCGCCGCCAATCTTTTCGAGCCTTTCACAATCTATCTTTCGCGCGAAACTCCCCGCCACCCTCTGGAATTCATTCTGCGTGCATTTGGTTGCAAGCGTGTAGCATGGGACACTGTTTTGGGCGAGGGCGCCTACACATCCGACGAGGCTGACCGTCGCATCACTCACCAGATTGTTGACAGACCTAACCTGCCTCTTCCTGCCATGCCCGTCGAGGACGAGGAGACCGCTGCAGCCAACGCGTCCAAGCGTTTGAGACCTGGCGAGCGTGTTCCTGGACGTGTTTACATCCAGCCCCAGTGGGTTTGGGACTGCATCAACGCAGGCAAGCTGTTGAGAGCTGACCTTTACGCTCCTGGGGCCACTCTCCCTCCCCATCTTTCGCCCTGGGTCAAGCCCAAGCAAGGTGAATACGACCCTACCAAGTCCTTGGCCGAGCAGGAGAACGAGGGCGAGGCTTTGGCTGCCGAGGCAGAGTCAGACGAAGAGATGGCCGATGAGGATGCTGGTTCGGATGGCGAGGAAGTTGAAGGTGTCCGTGGAGACGGCGAAGCTCGCAACTTGGAGTCAAAACTTTTGCAGCAAGGCGGTAAGGAGGTCGTCAGCGGCGAAGGTATGGATGTCGAGCTCGCAGAGTCCGACGATGACGAGGATGAAGAGGAGGAGCCCGCCAAGGACGAAGAATTCGGCGGTTTCACCGAGGACGAACAGGAGGACGAGTCCGAGGATGAGGCCACCCGTCACCAGCGAGAGCTTGCTGCTGAGGCAGAAGGCCGTTCGCTGACCGCCGATGCTGGTGCCACACCTGCCAAGGCTCTGCGCAAGAAGGAGGCTGAGAAGGCACAGAAGGCCATCTCGCGCCAACGCAAGGAGGCACAAGAAGAGACAGATCGCCAAAAGATGATGATGAGTCGTCGCAAGCGCAAGATCTTCGAGAAGATGCAGTACTCGAACGCAAAGAAGGACGCAGAGGCCGAGAAGCTGAGAGGCAAGAGAAGAAAGATCGAGAAGGGACAGACCAAGGAATAGATTTGTGCATGAGCAAGGTGTTTTGGTGTGGCTATATCGGTTGTCTTTTATTTTCTTCTTGGGCCAAGGTCTTTGTACTACTGTGATCAGACGTCTGGCGTTTGTATAGGCAAAAGTGGAACAAAAATGTTATCTATTGATCAAAACAATCTGAAGGTTCTCTCACAAAGGAAATGCTATTCGAGTCGAGGACAATTGCTGCAAGTCCTTGGTCGTCTGTGCCTGCCAGACTTTCACTCGGACTTTGTGGCGTTTTCTCCGTGAAGCATTGTTTGCCTGCAAAAACATTTTGCACCTCGAGCTTTATTTCATCGACTTTATTTTTGACATTCTCGACATATCTCATTCATTTCATCGCACAATCTAGGCCGACCACTTCAATCACACGCTAGATAACGATCTCAAAGGACAAGAGGAAAATCTATATATCAGCCACACCAAGAAACTGCAAAGCTTGCTTGACCATGGCCGACTTCCAAGCAAAGTCCGATGTCTTCTTGAACTGGTTCAAATCTCAATCTGGAGCCACATACGACTCTCGACTTCAACTTGCCGATCTGAGAGACAGAGGAGCTGGGCGAGGTATCATTGCCACCTCGAACATCCCTGCCGAGACAGATCTCTTCACAATCCCCAGGAAAAGCGTCATCAGTGTCGAGAACTCGGATCTATCAAAGAAACTGCCAAGAATTTTTACTGGATTGAAGAATCTTGACGCCGATGGTGATGATGGTATGGCTGATGGAGATGATGAGGCAGAGGAATTGAGCATGCCTGACCCCTGGCTGGATCTGATCATGGTCATGGTGTACGAGTATTTGCAGGGTGATAACTCTGCTTGGAAGACTTACTTCGAGGTCCTGCCCGAGACTTTTGACACTCTAATGTTCTGGACTCAAAGCGAACTCAACGAGCTGCAAGCCAGTGCTGTCAAGGACAAGGTTGGCAAGGAGTCTGCCGATGAGATGTTCAAGACAAAAGTCTTGCCCGTTGTCAAGGCTCACGAGGACGTGTTTTATGCTGGTGGGGCTCAAAAGTTGTCTGATGAGCAAGTTGTCGAACTTGCACACCGCATGGGCAGTATCATCATGGCTTACGCTTTCGATCTGGAGAACAACGAGGAAGAGGAAGACGATGAGCAAGAAGGTTGGGTTCAGGACTTGGAGGGCACTCAAGCAATGGGCATGGTACCCATGGCTGACCTGCTCAATGCCGATGCAGAGTTCAACGCACATCTCAACCACGGCGAGGACTCTTTGACAATGACCTCGCTGAGGGAGATCAAGGCTGGAGAGGAGGTCCTCAACTACTACGGTCCTCTGCCAAACTGCGATCTCCTACGTCGTTATGGCTACACTTCAACAAAGCACGCAAGATATGATGTCGTTGAGGTACCTTGGGAGATCATCTCCAGCACTATCGACAAGAGATATACCGGCAAGAAGGGCTCTTTGGACGAGGAAGATATGGAAGAGGGCTTTGTTCTCGACCGCGACTCTGGTGAGCCCGATGATACTGGAGTTAACACTCACCCAGCCAAGTTCGTCACTTTCCCCGAAGAACTCGAAGAGCAAATCTGCCAAGTCATCGGTCCGGCGATGGGCATCGACGTCAACCGTGGCCCCAACAAGGCACAGCGCAAACAACTGAAACTGGCTTACTACGAGATTCTGGACGCGGTGATTCCAGCAAGGCTGGCACAATATGGTACTACAGTGGAGCAAGATGAGCAACTTCTGAAAAATCCCGACCTCGATGCTAGACACAAGATGGCCGTGTTTGTGCGTCTTGGAGAGAAGAAGCTACTGAAGGAGGCCAAGGAGTTTATTCCTGCACAGTTGGAGAAGTACAAGCCTGTGCAAGAGGAGGAAGAGGGACGTAGTGCTAAGAGACAGAAGAGGTAGATGGGTTTGACTAGCCTTAGAAACTCCCTTTTCTTGTTCTTGGCTTGATGCTATAATACAAACTTTCGACTAGCTTTGGTGTCCGATGCCCTTCTCAACCCCTTGTACGCATGAAACCTGCGAAAAACTTTCCAAGTCCATCGTGGTCACCCAGAGGCAGGATGTTGGCGACGTACTGGTCCGGTCTCACGACGACAACGCAGCCCCTCTCACGATTGATCTGCCTAGCAGTGAAGACATCCTTGTGTCCAATAATAGCCTCTGCACAGAAAACCTTCTCATAGTCCCTGAGGCCAAGTCTTCCCTTCTGCGGCCATGCAATAGCAGGCATATCGTTGATGTTCAGCGAGGCATGTCCCTGCTGCAAAACACCTCGGACATCAATCACAGAATCCACATCGGCACCCGCAGGCGTGAATGCGATCACCATTTCTGCAATGGCCCTGCAAGCGACTTGGAACGATGAAGAAGGCGCTGCGGGATCCTCGGCAGAAGCAAAGATGAAGATTCTCCATCTGCCGTCTGCCTTGACGATGTGGCCGAGCTGAATGGGCTTTGCATCTGCTAAGCGAATCACTGGTGCTGAGTGTAGACGCTCACCGATGGGGAAGCCCTTTGCCAGTTCTTGGTGGACTGGAGTGGCAGTGATGAGGGAAGGAGCATATGCTGTTCCCAAACCTGCCATGAATAAGCCCTGTTTCTCAAAGAAAGCCTGGAATTCAGCAGGATCTATTCCATCGTTGTCGATAGTGCCACCAGTGGTTTTGGGACGAGCACTGAACATGGAAGCGATCTCGCGATCAAAGTTGATCAGATCTTGAGCCACTTTTTGACGTTCGGTGGAGTACGTGTGCAGGATCGAAGGTGACGCTGTGTTGTTGAGCACAGCGGCTAGCTTCCAGGCTAGATTGAAGCCATCTTGCATGCTTACATTCATGCCTTGACCGGCTTTGGGGCTGTGAGTGTGGCATGCGTCGCCTGCGATGAAGATGTTCGGGCTTTTGGAGAGTGCTTCTTGAGCGGTCAGATTGTCAAATCTGCTGCAGAGGCGTTGACCAATCTCGTACACTGAGTGCCAGATGACCTCCTTGACGTCCAAAGTGTAAGGGTGGAAGATGCGTTTTGCAGTCTGAATGAGTTGGTCTGCTGAGATGTTCTTGCTAGAGATGCGCTCGTTGGCGGATAATTTGTCGAGTTCGATGTACAGGCGTACGAGATAGCCTCCTTCTCTGGGGATGATCAGGATACTGCCTTGGGTTGCAGAGTGGATGGCGACTTTGGTTCTCCAGTCTGGGAAGTCGGAGACGGCGAGTATGTCCATGACTCCCCATGCTTGGTTTGCAGAGTCGCCTTCGAGTTTGAGACCGAGGGCTTGACGGACGGCGCTGCGGGCTCCGTCGCAGCCTACTACATATTTGGCACGTACGTTCTCGAGTTGACCCTCGTGGTCCGGGTCTGTTCTTTCGAGTTGCACTTGCACGGATGATGTTGCTTGTGGCGAGGACTCGTCTGCTGGTTGGAGAACCAGTTGCTTGAGCTTGCGTGAATAAGATGGCTGCAGTCTCGTGGGCGATCTGAGCATGACATCGAGGAAAAAGTCGTGAACTCTGGCTTGATTGAGAATAACATGCGGAAACTCGGACAGATCATCTCCAGTGTCCTTGATCCTGCCACTTCTGACTATGCACTCCGGATTGCGCTCATCGGGTTTCCAGAAAGTGGTTTCGTTGATGTAGTAAGCTTCCTTGAGTACTCTCTCACTGAAGCCATATGCCTCGAACATTTCGATGCTCCGGACTTGGAGGCCATCTGCTTGACCGAGAGTCAACCTCTCGGCTTTTTGCTCAACGAGGCGAGTGGTGATGTTGGGGAAGAGTGAAAGTTGTGCTGCGAGTGCAAGTCCTGCTGGTCCTGAGCCGACGATCAGGACATCTACTTCTTCAGGGATGTCGTTTTGGATTGTGCTGCTTCCTTGTGCGTGTGCTTGGTAGAGATTGTGAGGATCGCCTGGCGTGAAGCCATTGAGATTGAATTGCAAGACCGACATTGTGCAAAGAAGATTGCTGTCGACAGATTGGTTTGGATCTAAGAATTGCAAGGTGTGTTGGTTTTCAGGTTACTGGATAGTTGTTGTCATCTCTTGTGAATGCGACATGCGAGGGGCTTCAGTGAATGTTGTCTCCCAAGCTTTCACTTCAACTTGTGGGAGTGGTAGTTATTTCAACGAAGCACAGTTCTACTTACGGCACTTCTGCTAATCGCTTCATTAGCTGTCTAACTTACGATGATGTGTGTTGATGTCGTCCGGGTCTTTGTCAGACCTCGGGTCCCATCCAACTCCTCGCAGCTCCCCGCTTCGGCTTGCACTTTCGGGTGTTGTTGACTTGTACCTCTTCTATCACTTTTACATGATCGTGTAAAGACACTTCCTGTACAATACAGCTGTTTGCCATCGCGACAATGAGGAAGATGTTGTCAGGAATCAATCTGTCCGCTGGCGCGAAAAAAGAACCATCGTAATGCCGCCTACGTCACGCGTCACCAGCCTCCCAGCCTCCTCAATCTCGTCGACACCTTCTCTCATGTTACTTACAGATAGCCAAAATTGACGCTCTGCTTCCAGATCCTGACCTGGGTAAGCATCTGTAGGCTTTTGGGACTCACACAGAGTTGCCGATTCTGTGGTCATCCGTTCGCTGAGAGCACATTCTGGCTCATGGTCCATCATGGCCATCGGGTGCTCTCGAGATGGCGCTGCCAAAGCAGTGTGCTCGGTCTACGTTCCTGCCTGCCAGCAGTAAAGACATCATGCGGTTCCCACTGCATGAAATCAGCCGACTGGCTCTGCATCTCGTGACGTTGATCATCAGAATGACTCGTTAGGGTTGATGCCTCAAGCTTGGACGCCAGCAACAAAGCTATAAATACGATTCAGTCTGCGGCTCCGAGGCCTCGAAAAAAGAATACGAGAAATATCCATCTTGGCTTGAGGGTACGGGTGAAAATAAACACGGCGGCCTGCGGCGTCCATCCTTCTCTCCACTTGGTGCAAAGGTTATCGACTCGCGAAGTTGAACAACATCATGCTGCATGCAGCTAAGGCCACTGCGATGTGGAAAATTTATTATATAAGGTAAAACTAGGGCATGTCCAGGTATTTTCTTCCTGTTCTTTCATTCATCAAACACTTCCACTTCATCTTTATTCGTCTGTCATCATGCGTACCTCTATCATTTCTGCCGTTGCCGCTATGGCCCTCTCTGCCGAGGCAGCAAAGAGCTACATCCCCTACGTCTGGAATAACACAGCCCCTGCCATTGACGGCCAGCTTGTGCAGGCTATCAACGGCCTCTTCAATGTTGGTGGAACTGCCGACGGCAAGTGCTCCGGTAGCTGCCCTTCTGCCAACAAGACCATCATCACCCAAAGATCGAACGACGACTTTTGGCTCAACGTCGCCGACCCTCAGGGACAGCAGATGTACGTCTTCGACCAAGACTTGAAGTACACTCTTCCCAAGACCGACAAGGTCTCCGGCCCCGATGAACAGGCCACCAACGGTCCTTTCTCCATCGACTTTGACGACTATGCTCAGGAGACTGTCCTCAGGTTCCAGGGAAATGACTGGGCTGCTTGCAAAGCATTCGATGTCAACAAGGGCATCACCCTCAAGGTTCAGCCTCTGGTCTACGGAGGTTCTCTCTGGGCCAATGCTTACAGCTATGAGTGCACTCCCTTCAAGATGAGATTGGAGGAGACCGATGCACCTGCCGTCGACTACTACCGTCGCGATTGCCCTTTCCGTTGGTTGAACTGCTGCCCTTTCTATTGCATGGGTCAAACTTGGGCCATTGTTGATGGCACCACCAACGAACCTGGTGATATTGTCAAGACTTGCCCCAACTGAGTATATTACGGGCGAACTTGGGGAAGTAATCGGTTGATTGGCATAGACGACGATACGAAAGACCGACTGTACAATTTATGACAAAAGTAATAAAAATGTATATCAACCAAATCTCGCAACATGGTGCCAATAGATTTCTTGCAACAACTCGACCATATAGCTCGTTTTGTCATCGAGCGAAGCATGTTTGTGGCAAGCGATCTATTTGCGATTAATAGCCGATTTCTGCGGCCCACAGGATTTGGGCTTGCAGATGACTTAAGGAGTTCGTGGTGCGAGAACGGAACGAGTCGTACAGTACCTGTTGATAGCGACCTTACTCCACGAACATCAAGGTTGTTGCATGGCTTGGCACAACGTGTTTAGCTAGTCGCATGAGTTTGTCGAGTGACGCAGCAGGCACTCTCCACAACCTGAAGGATCAACAGAAGTATGAGGAGGTTATCTCCAGTTGTGGCTTCCTCATGATCACGACGTCGAGATCAAAATTCTGTGCTGTTTACGCTAAGCTTTCCTCTAGATGTTCGCTCTTTCCGTATCAGATGATGAATCCTTCAAGTTGCTCCTTCGTACGCTGATCAACATTATGGTGTCTATTTTCTTCCCATTTTTTACCCCCAGCGCCGAAAGCATTGCTAAGTTGGCCGAGGAAGAAGTCGAGATTCTTATCAGCTTTAGGGAAGGCTTCCTTGAACTTTCGATACAGTTCATCGACTTCGTGCTGCTGAGAAGCGTTCTGAATGAGGTCGTCGAAGAGCTGCAGATATTTACGAGTGTGTGCCAGATCAGCTTGACCGTCCATTTCCCAGCCACTTTCCAGATGTCCTGGGATTATCTTGGTGGCGTTCAGAGATGCGATGAGATCAAGCGATTTCTGCCACGCGTGCAAGATCTGTGGTGTTTCTATCTCGGCCGCCCTGTACCGTTGTCAGGATCATATTCATAATCGCCATTACGCATGTTGATGCTCTTCGACTTACCAGACGTGCGTGCTCCTCGCATATATCACATCACCGCAAACGATCGTCTTCTCCGTTGGCAACCAGAACAATGTCTGATCTATCGAGTCACCCTGCACCGGACCAAGCAGACATATCGGCGACTGCTCATCTCCATCAAGCACGAAGAAGCTATGCTCGAATACATCGGGCTTCCTTGGCTGCTCAGGCACCATCTCCTTTCCCATCACCAATGGCCAGTACTTGACCTTCTCCTCATACTCGCGATCAATTCCTGCACGAACGTATGGTGCAGCCAAGAATCTTGAGTCTGGGAAGGCCTCGAGGATAGGGTTGGCAGAGAAGAAGTGATCGGGATGGTGGTGGGTCACAAATACTGCTCTCAATGGCAGAGATGTCTTGTCTTTAATCCAAGTGACGATAGATTTGGCATCCGGGATCAGAAAAGGAGGATCGATGAGGGCAGCACTTTTACTGCCTACAATCAAGGTAGTAATGCTGGATAGGCCCTGCTCGCTCGAGACGTGGATGTGTGTTTGCAATGTCATGATTTTCAAATCTTACTTGTAGATGGTGGTTGTTTAGAACGATAAAATATTGTTGTTCTCCAAGGACAATTGGGATAGGCGTTGTCTAGATGCTATATACCCACTATTGGCGCTATACAGAGACCCACAACGGTGGTCATCAGAAAGAGCGGGGTTTCGGCAGATCGGAAAGTATATCACCACAGTATTCATGCGGGACATCACACCGCAAAGCTATAAGCACTAGTAGAATTCGTGTTGAATTCTCGGCAATCAATATCGAAAATGCATAGTATCTGCTTGAGATGGACATGGTCTTGGAGTTCGCTGTCGTATGACGCCAGAAACTTATTACAGAGGAGAGTTCTGATACAGCAAGAATGGACAAGAGGCAGACAGCTAACAAGATCAATGAGACAAATGGCGAACGATGCCAGAATACTGACTACTACACCACAGTTGTTAACAACTATTTGTTCACACGAAGCCAGATTGTGCTACCTGGACCGCGGGGTTTCAATGTTATAACAAGAATTTCATGACTGTCTCACAAGCTCAAAGCAACAATGGCTAGATCTTTCTCTCAGCTTTGTCCTTGGTGTCAGTTTGTTGGACATTGGTTTCCTTCGTTTCCTTGGTTTCGACAATGGTCCTCTCGTGGAGAGCTTCGATGGATATCTGGCTATCTCCATACATGAGTCTCAGACAACATCTTTGTTCCTAAGTCTCAAGTTGAGCGACGTTCCAGGGCATGTCTTCGACTCCTTTGTGGATGGTATCACTCATGCGTACTTGAACAGCCGGCCTTGATAGAAGTATTGTGGTATTTAGTATCTCTTCTGGCTAGGTTCAACTGACTGGCATTATCTCCCACCATCCCTTTCTCAACATCCACTCCAAGATGTCCTTTCTCTACGCTTCCAAGAATGAGATGTTGGCGAAAACGATCATTCGTCTCCAGCGCGAAGAGCTCGATGCAATCACTCCCGACAATGAAGATATGGACCTTGCCCTCAACCTGCAACTCGAGGAACTAAGTATAGTTGAGACTTACATTGCCGACCACAGGTTCGGACTTCATGTCCTCTTCGAACCAGAGCCGAATCAGGAGGAACTCGAACGTACTCTTGAAGCAGTCATTCTGCGCTACGAAGCCAGGGCAGCACTCTTGACTTGTACAGGTTGCGAGTCACTCTTCACCAGATACCAAAGCTTCAAGGCTCCCTGTGACCTCCACTACTACTGCCGCGAATGCCTGGCAAACTTGTTCGAGTACACCATCGGAGACGAATCGCTGTACCCGCCAAAATGCTGCGACCAGGAGATCGTCTTCGACAATGTGAAGACACTGCTCGACGACAAGCTAGTCGCAAGATACGCGGATAAGAAGATTGAGTACGATACGGAGCCTGACAAAAGAACCTGCTGCTGTGGTTCAAACTGCAAGACATTCGTTCCTGAGACCAATGTCCAAGACGAAGTTGCAACATGCCCCGACTGTGGCAAAACAACCTGCACCATCTGCAAGGAAGCAGCACACCGTGGCGACTGCCCCAAAGACGAGGATACACAAAGCTTACTCGAGCTGGCCGACAAGGAAGGCTGGCAGCGCTGTTACAACACAAAATGCCATCGTGTGATTGCTCTCACAACCGGCTCCAATCATATAACGTGAGTATTTGATGATGATGTACCCTTGGAGTCGATGTAGCTAACTCGATATACAGATGTGTATGTGGCGCTCAATTCTGCTATGTGTGCGGTGCTCGCTGGAGGACTTGCTCTTGCCCTCAGTTCACTGAAGAGTACCTTCTGGCAGGAGTTACCAGGCCTAGGAATGCTGGTTATCGTTTGTATCAACCACCTCAGGAGTGAGGATCCAGTGATAGAGCCTTCGTAGAGAGGTTGACCAATTTGTCGGAACGAGTGGCTCTTCGTTGCACTTTCTAGCAGAGGTAACAACGTTGTCCTCAGCTCGCTAGAAGGACTATGACCGGATGTTCGGAGGTTACAATTATCTTTGAAATAGAACACACAAACTGCAATCACCCATATTCCATGAAGTGCAACGCGTGTGGCTATCAAAATGTACAGTATACTGGAGAGACAGAGCGATTGTCATCGAGAGTTGGCCTGGTGTCGGATCTCTTTAGCTACCATCCATGCCTTTCCATGGTCTACAAGTCCTACTGTGCATATTATGGCTTCATCAGAAAAGGGCAAGAGTCATGGACCCTAGCGTATTGCGAAGAGAGATGTCGAAAACGCGAAGACATTGATCAAGACAAAAAGACAAAACGTACAGCAGCAGGAATTCCCACGTGGTCACCCACCGTAGTACTAATCTGCCGTTCAACTGCTTATGTATGGCAGAGCGGACGGGATGCCCAGTTTTCAGCTGACTGTGGCCGTACGTGCTAGAAATGCTGATTCTTCACAATATAGCTGTGAATGGAGACTCAATATCACACTGTCAAGGCAGGCCAACGAAGGATACGGTAAACTCTGTGCCTCTGCTTTTCCTAAAGCCACGACCACAACAGTCATCTTAAGGATGAATTGAGTAAGCAAGAAGGAAGGGAAAAAAGAAAACCGGAACATCCTCATACATAATCATCATCGTCGTGTGTGCTTTGTCCCCTCTACAAACCCAGAACTCCCGCTAATCGCAAACAAAAATCGAGTGGTTAGAAAACACTAACAACCAAGAGTATGGAAGAGAAGAGAGTTGTAGGCAGAGATCCATATGCTCTACCTTTTCCTGTAACCGTCAAGGCCAGGATCACCAAACATCTGTGCTGGACTATGACCCTTCGTCATGCCATCGAGTCCTGACCCAGAATCACTCCTGAAGATCTCAGATTGTGCGTATGGGTCGGATTCCCACACTTCGAGACCTTCGAGTGGTAGTGATTCTCCATATGGTTTGTTTGCACCGTATTGGTGGAGTGCACCGTTGATTCCAGTTAAAGCCCATGCGAAGATAGCCTGGTCCCGGATGGAATTCATAAAGTCGTCCTGAGCAGGTCCGCCAGCTCTTACGTGATCTGTTTGAGCACTGAACGGGCCTAGTGATGGTGCGAAATTTGTGGCGAATGCTTGCTGTGGGCGTGCCTCCATTGGTGGTAGGATGGGTTCCGTTGCCCATGGAGCAGCAAAGAGACCGTTTTCGTATCTCGAACGTGCCAGTGTTGGGATCATAGGTCGTGCCCGCCTCATACATACTACAAGGCCGTCGGACGTACAAGATATGACTGCTTCAAGCTCGATTGGATCACGCTGAATAGGTGGCCTGACGCTTCCATCGGGCGAAGTCGTGGAAGACGCCGACGATTCCTCGGCCATAGAGTCCCCAAATATTGCCGAATGCGTGTCTTGTGCGTCTGTGCTACTGTGTCCTGATGTGGTCCGAGAATTCGAAATGTGGTGTGAGTCGATATCCATGCTCTCGGATCCTGAACGCGATTCATTGATGTGAACGCCGCCGCCAATGTCTTGGTCAACACTACTCTGTGCTGTCATCTCGTCGTCGCTTTCCTCGTCCATGGGTGTTGTGACGTCATCATCTATGCGAGGATCCCGGAACCAGAATCGAAGATATGCTATAGAATCATTCGCTTTTGCGTTCTCAAGACATTTGATAGCGTCTTGCAAACAATTTTCAGCGATACAGTAATAAAAGCTGCGGCCCCTCATGTAATCGGCCGGGATGCCGATGACCTCTTCCAGACCGGCGGTCGCATACATGATGGTCAAGGTTCGAGTAAAGCGGTTCAGGAACAAAGCGGCTCGTGGTTCATGTGTCGGCTTTGGGGCAGGTCGTCTAAACTTGTCTGAGATATGCGACAACATGTGATAACGTGGATCCCGCGGTGATGATGAGAACAAGCGGCGTATGATAGGGGCTTCTTCGGCTCGTTCTGCAAGAAGTGTTAGGCAGATGATGGTATGGTGGACTTGGTAAGCACCTACTTTGACTCGGCAACCCCCTTCGATAGACAGATGTGCAGACAATCATAACATCATAGACGACGGTGAAACAGCATTCGACACCGGTCCATTGTCCTTCCTTGTTCCTCACCCGGCAATAGGACAGAACGGCGGCCTTGTCCATCTGGACACCCTTCTTGTGGAATGCTTGAGCGAAGGGCAGTTCATCTTCACAGAAAAATTCCCAGCAGGAGCGGTTGACAACTTCATCTGGTGTCCAGCCTAGGACGTCGACAATGGAATCGGAGGAATAGAGGACACGAGCATCGGGAGTGAGGTCTGTGATGTAGTCAGTAAGAAGAAGAAGAGTGGGGGTCGGAGATGGACGTACCGTGAATAGAGATGAAAGTCAAGTCCATGGTGGCGAGCAAGTGTGGAGGAGCAGGAGACAGATATTTTGGCGTGGGTGAATATGTTTTGTGCGTGACCAGGGCAGTGTATGCGGGCTGCTACAATCGGGCGATTACTGCACGTCCGTCGCAATGGACGAGGGCCCTGCAATGCAAAGGTAGCGTCCGTAAGACAGGGATTTAGACACGCTCTGGCTGGCTGGCTGGCTGACGTGTGAGACGAGCCTGATGCGCTCTCTTGGTCGAGACAGAGGCTTCGGCGTACAGAGTTAGGGCTAATGGCTGTCAAGGCGGCAAGAGTCGTGAGGGCTCGAGAGAGGCATGAGTCTCTAGGTTATATAGTGGTCCTGGTGCAAAGGGTGCAATGACGAGTCCGGCTCGGCGCTTGATTCGGAGCTGACAGGATGGGGTCGTAGTTGCGCAACAATATACCGCCTTGTCCGTGCTAGCGACAACAATTCTCTTCACAACCGAAACTTGGGATGCGACGAGTACAAGGTGGTGTAAAATTGCGGCCGACAAGACTCAGAGAGCACGGTCTGATCACGCTCGCCTCTGCCCGAGTCTACCCTACGAACCGAACCGCAGACTTTCCTTACGTCACACGAGCCCGTCTACTTGGCGCCCTCTCAGGAATCTTACAACCATATTAGATCGAGAGTAGGGCGACCGATCTACTTCGGACAGCATGATTGTCTGCTGGCTTGAGTAGATAGTCCATGCGAAGTCGGCACATCGTATGTGCATATATAGCTGAGTCCATAGTAGTTTTCGAGAATGGTTCCTGTCTCGCAAAGTACTAGGTCTCGGCAGTCGCTCCAAAGTCATAACTGCCAGTCTGATCCGGCGTTTAGGTCCGCTCTCCAGTCAAGACCAGCCCATGTGCAGGGTAATCGCGGTCGGTGTCTTTGCCTGCTTGAGCTCGGATCGAGATTTTTCGTCACAATCTCGATTAAGGAACTTACTTACTCTTCCAAGTTGTTTTTGTGTTTGCTTGCCGGCCACCAAAGGTGCATCTATTGCAGTGTTTGGTCTGCATAGTGATATAATCCAGAGTGAAGACAAGCGAGAGGCTGTTCGCAATCTGAACTGGTCGATCATTCGTGTTTGTCGTCAAATCAACTTCGGCAAGCACGCAGGATTTGGCGTTGGCGCGTTTGTTTGTGCCTGCCTCTCCACACGTCCATTCACAGCCGCTTCTCTCAGTGGACTTTCATAATCGCTCATAACTGAACTCCCTCCCTGCTGCACAAGCACTTCGTGCGTTGCCTCAATCCGGCCACTTTCCACCACTCTTACACGCCATGCAACATAGACGCTGATAGCAACCATCCTCGCGATGGAGTTCCCGCAGCTTAAAGCGTGGCTGCGATTACCTGTACGTTCCAAATTCTGCCATCATTGTTTACCAACATCCAATCATCTCGCTAAACATATTAAAAAGGATGAAGGACAGAATGGTACGTACGCAACCATTTTCGTCTGCGACAACCACCTTCTCTATCAAGCGGACCTCACCTGATTCATGTGACGAACAGTCTCAATCTACGACATAAAGTTTTACCCGTACACTGCGCCGGGTGAAGATCCCGTCTTTGCCGCTGTGGCAGCAAGAGAAGTGAGCCACATACAATCATTCGTTCACAAACGTTTCTCCATCCAGCTCTAACTACAGGCAGATTTACATATGCAAGCCTGTCGGCAAGTCTGCTAACTCCAAGACTAATAATTTGGAGGTCCTGAGATTGCTTGAGGACCCTGATGTATGACTAAAATGCTTATGCAGTGCCAATCTTTGTACGGTAGCTGACTGCTCTCGTAGGAAGACTCGTCTCTCAACAGTGTTGCATGGTCAGTAGATGCCGATACTGGCGAGCCTCTTGTTTGTGTCGCTGGTTCCGGATCGAAGAACATCAAAATCTGGAACGTCGTCACAGGGGAGTTGGTTCGGGTAAGCTCGCCCTGTCTGTATTCGAAGAGCATGCATGCTAACTCGTTACACCAGATTCTCTATGGACACGGAGGTGTGAGTGAGATGTAGTCGATTTGTTCTGGGCTCCGACTGATATCGCAAAGGCCGTCAACGATTTGGTAACATCGCCAGTTTCGCCCTACATTCTCGCATCGTGTTCGGCCGACTACACGATTCGAATATGGAATCTGGATGATCAGTATCGCAGGCAGCCATGCGCAGCGATTCTCTCGGGGGAGGGTCATAGGCAGACAATCCTCTCTATCGTGGGTGTCCTAGCACCTACCCATGCACAATGCTGACACACGTTGCAGGCTTTCCATGACAACGGTAGGTGGCTTTTGAGCGGTGGACAGGATACGATGATCTGCTTGGTAAGTCCTGTTTCTGTCGGGGCACAGAGTCATTGCTTACCTATGCAGTGGAGCATCCCACCCGTGCCAGACCATAACGCAGGAAAAGACAAGCCGACAGTAGTGGTCTATCCTCACTTTGCCAGTATCGGAATGCATTCAGATTATGTAGACTGTGTCCGGTTCTGGGGTGACCTGGTTCTCTCCAAAGCGTCCACCGGAAACAACATAAAAGTCACCAGAGGCGAAATCATGCTGTGGAAGATTGACGGCTTTCATTCGGGCAATACTCAACCACCAGAACCACCTATGCCTGGTTATGGGCGAGCCACACGATCTGCCTTCGGTGGTGATTTCCAACGACTGTGCACCTTCGACATGACGAACGTGGCACCCTTCTACATGCGCTTCGGTTTGTTCAAGGAACCCGGCTATCGTCCCATGCTCGTCATGGGCAATACCAAGGCCCGATTCTCATTCTGGGATTTGCAGAGGTTCGAGGAGCGTTGGACCAGCAATAAATTGGTCCCTATTGTTGACGATAAGAAGCGGATCAGAGATCTTATCGATGAAGTTAAAAGCAAGAAGGACATCGTCTCACAAGTTTCCGCTAACGGTACACGAGCCAGTAGTGCTCCTGATAGTGATGCTGGCAATATTGTCAAAAACAACAAGCGGAAAAGAGGTCTCACAGAACTGGTCCTACTCAACAATACAACACGAGCTAGGAGCATTGCGAGCGACTCCACGAGAGCAAGCAGCCGTGCGAGCAGGCCTTCAGGAGGTATGTAATCCAGCCTAACCATATCATCGACTAAGACTGACCTTGCCAAAAGTATCACTCGTGCCCCGTAACTCGCTGCTTCCCGCGCGTGCCCCCACATCAGCTCCTGGCGCGACGCCCGCGATTCTAGATACAGCATCTGAGAACGAAACTGACGAGCCGGAGAAACCTCCACGCGACATGAGAAACTACGTTCGACACACCGCTCATAAGACGACGGTGGTCGCTTGTCCCATCGATTTTGCGTGCAGAGCAGTGGATTGGAGTCTCGATGGCAAGTGGTGCGTTGGAGTCGGCGATCATGGCATGATTGCCATATTCGGGCGCTGGTTGGACAAATGAGAGGCAGTTGGCTCCGGTTCGATTCGCATTCAAGAGACCCAAGAGCCACATACATGAAGCATTGGCTTGGTTGCTAGCAAGTGCTCGTCAACCCAGTTCACATCACATCGACGACGTCACGAAAGAATACTTTTCCTTGCTGATCGGCGTTGGAACTTTACAGAGGAAGACAAAGCTCTGCGTGGTGGCAACATCGTCAAGAATATCTATCACATCATGGGTACAGACCTCAAGCGGGGAGTAATACGTGATAACTCTCTGATAGAATCGACAAGAGCTTGGAAGTAGTATAAGATGCGTCCCATAATATTGATAAGAGCCTTCAGTATACAATTGTGACTATCTAGGTTGCTCCTCGATCAACGCTACCAAAAGACACATTTGACTTTGCACTCTTCTCATCCTAGCCCTACCATCCATTTCACAATCACCCAGACTATACTGACAGGCCACAGCATGATTGCCAACACTCTTCCGACAGCCGTTCCAATACGCACGACAATCGCAAGACAGCAGAGTATCGCGATGGCCCTTACAGCCATGAGTACCAGAGACTTGATCGCCTGCCAGCGTTCGATAGGTTTAGTGGCCGAGTCGGATAGTATGTGGATAGCTTGAGTGAGACCGATGTTGGCCCCTTGCGGCGATCCGTCACGCCTGGATGGTGTTGGTTTACAGAACATTTGATTGATCGCCCATGCCAAGAACCCAACCACCTGGGTTTCAAGAGGAGACAGTGACTCGGCCATCGACGCACCAGAGATAGAAGGTGTGTTCGAATGACTCATATAAGGCGGAGGCGGGGTAGAGGTATACTCTCGAGGCACAGCCTTCTCATGATGGCCCTTCGCGGCTAGACCATCCGGATGAACAACACGGACTCTAGGCAGCTGTCGCAGATCCTGGAAGCGTGAAGTGTTGGAGTTGGATCGTGTACGTTCAGCTCCTCCTATGGTGGGACTCTTGTTGTCTGCAAGGGCTGTCTTTTCTCGCGCAGTGGACGATGTTGATACGCTCACACCGGAATCTCTACGCTCAAGTTCAGGCGCTGGCGAGTGTACTGACTTGCGAGTTGGGCGTGGAGATCCGCATGGAGATTCGCATGACGCAGCGAAACCAGGGAACGCAGATATCGGTGGGGAAGATGCATCATGACCTGCTGCACTGTCCTCGGCCTTGGGTGATGAGGAGCGAGGGTTGCTAAAGTCTCGTAGTGCTTTCGTGGCTTGGGCGAACTTTCGAGGTCCAGCGCCAATACTGTGCATCCTCCCATTCATTCCTTCTTTGTGTGACAGACGTTGTGCTTTGTCTTTGTAGTACTGCACGGCCTTGTCCTGATCTGCTTGTTGGTATGGCTGTGGGTCCTTGGCCGTTGGCATGGGAATTACAAAGCTATCTTCGCTCGCGTGGAAGTCGGCTCTGGTGGCTGACGAGTTGGCTGTGGTGATCTTGGAACACCCGGCTTCCGTGTCTAGTTCCATGTTCCATCCTGTCGAGTCTTGACGCCACCGGCCCCTGGGTCCTGCTGGTCTCTGTCGAGGCGACGCTGATCGCGGCTCTTCGATTGCTCGGACTCTTGGAGATGAGTCCGACGGTAGTATGTGATCGCTCCCGAATAGTGAAAGTGCTTCGGCGGGCGATATGGGCGTTCTGGGAGTCAAGTTTGTCACAACACTCGGGCTGATTAGACCGGTCCTTGGGTTGGCTGCGCGTGCTGTGAGATAGTCATCGCTACCTCGGACGCCCATATCTATATCTATGTTTGTAAAGTGTCGCTGCGGTGTTCTAGGTGGAGTGCGAAATGTGTCTCTTAACCATACTTTTCTCGCAGTACGATGATGATATGAGGCTGGACGGTTATAAGCACTAGTCGGTGGATTTTGTTTTCGTGGAGAACTGGAGTTGAAGTTTTCGGCGAATAGTCGAGCAAGCAAATGATGGAGTCGCTGGGTGACGATGTCCGTATTTCTAGCATCCATGGAAGGGCAGAGGAATGTGGTGTGGTTGCGCTGTCAACCAACAACGGTCGCTGTCAACCATCGGAATCTGGGGGGAACACCTTCCGGTGCGTTACTATCTCAATCGCTGCTTCCACAATCGGGACAACCCTTGAGAATCCATGATGATGCAAAAGCCGTTGATGATGCGTCGCAAGCCTGCAAGTCGCAATTTCCGTCTTGGAGGATTTCAATTGTCGTTTATTGCATCGACTTCTGCATACTGCATCCATTGGTCGTTGCTGGCTTTTTTCCAGACTTGCACCAGTCCATCGTCACCAGTAGATACTAGTAAATCGCCTATCGAGATCAGCTCATGGTAGCTGCAAGAATGCTAGCTCGCACTTACCCATCTGCGAGAAACCGACGCGCCAGACCGCACCGCTGTGAGCAGATAGCTCAGCTGCAAGTCTCGCTTCCTGGTTGACTCTGCCCGGACGTCCCTGTTCCTCGTTTCGTCCGCTACGTGGCCCTCCAGCGAGCCCAGCGCCAATACCTGACTGATTGGGCTTGGCGTATGTCGGTGACTTGAGTCCAGGGCGAACCTCTGTAGCATTTGTAGGCTGCGACGCTGAGGTTTCCGAGATACCTGGCGTGTGCAACTCATACACACGGACAACGCCATCCTTGCTGGCAGTTGCGATCACGTCAAAGCCGCGCATTGAGCCATTTGCCCATGCGACATCTCGTATCAATGCGTCCGATCCTTTGAGCTCGGCAGCCGTGTAGAACTTGCGATCTTTGTCACTGCGGAAGATCTTGATGGTGTCCATGACCGAAACAGCCAAGGATAGACTCTTCCGATCGAGTCCAGCCATTATAGCAGGCCATGCCGGCAGCTTCTCGTGATGCCAGCTTAGACGGAAGCCAGTCTCTTCTGTCCTCTGCGGAGTCTTGCAAAGATAATCTTGCCACAGTATTTGCCATTCTGAGAGATTGTCGTGATCAACTGGTTCACAGACCGTCAGTTGCCCGTCGCGTGAAATGACAGCTAGATAGGTTTCTGTGCCGATATTCTTGAAATCCAGAGACATGTACGGCACTCGTGTCGCCGAAGGTTGCTGATATATTTTCTTGAATCGACGACCAGACAGAGGTGCTTCAAGCACGTCTTCCTGCCATACGCGTAGAAGACCATCCTCGCCAATGCTCCCTATGATCTCGCCTACAAAGGGGCCATTCCATTTGACCTTATGACCGTCAGATGTAAGAATATCGGTTCAATTCCGCGAATTGACTTACATCCGTAACTTCGGCATCATGCGCTTTCCAGACGTCGGTCACCGTCCATCCGTCGTCCTTTCTGTCCCAGACCTTCAATCGATGGTCAGATGACGCGGTGACCATGCGCGTACCGTAGAAGTTGTAGTCGACGGCTAGAACCAGGTCATGATGTCCATGACTGAAGTGATGGAAAGAACTGTCAGTGGCCATATCTTGTCCGGCCAAATACACAAAGATGGTGTTACAGGGTCGCTGTCGAAGACGAGTGATTTTCTGGGCTTGGGTCAAAAAGTCGAGGACGGGTGAGGACGCGTCAGTAGAAGCTAGATGTCACCAGAATGCGACCGGGACAGCGATTTGTATATAGTTAGTTTTATTTACGTGTTGAAGAACGAAGTGAAGTTGACCAAGGAGCCGCGTGTGGAAGTGCGAGATCGCATATATCTTGGCTTCGGACATACGCGGGGTTTAGATTCTGTCGACACAACCATTTGGCCGGCTCTAGATGTATATGTGTGTTGAGATTGTAGCAGGAGGGAAGATGAGTTCGTGTAGTGAGTTCATCGATTGATTTCTGAAAGGATATAAATATACATGAAACAGATAGTAGGTAACGTAGTCACTCGTGATATCAAAATACAACACATCAAAATGGTCTGCAAAAAGATCCTGTAATCGCTTTTTTCCCATTGCATCGCAAAAACTCCCATGAAAGCAGATGTTCGTTGTACTGGCATAACACTCTACCACTCAAGAGGCTCGGTCTTCTCCTCGCCACGGTTGGTCTTGGGTACCGGTGCGGCTTCGACCTTGACAGGACCCTTGCGGTCACGCTTGAGGAAGCCAGAGCCGTCGAGCCAAGGAGTCTCCTCAGTACGTCTGCGCTCGAACTTGACAATCTTGTCGTCCATCTGCATGGTGAGACCAATGTCGTCAAGACCGTTGACGAGACAGTGCTTGCGGAACTCCTCGACGTCAAAGGATGAGAGGACGGTTCCGTCAGCCTTCTTGATCTCCTGGTTCACAAGGTCGACTTCAATCTCTGAACCAGTGCTAGCTTCGTCGAAGATGGTTTTGAGGGCCTTCTCATCGCCGATGCGGATGGGGAGCATGCCGTTCTTGAAGCAGTTGTTGAAGAAGATGTCACCGAAAGAGGGGGCGATAATACACAGGATACCGAAATCGAGGAGGGCCCAAGGGGCGTGCTCTCTGCTGGAGCCACAGCCGAAGTTGGGGCCCTGAACGACAAGGATCTTTGCGTCACGGAAAGGCTTCTGGTTAAGAACGAAGTCAGAGTTCTCGCTCTTGTCCTCGTTGTAGCGCCAGTCGTTGAACAAGGCTGAGCCGAGGCCAGAACGCTTGATGGTCTTCAAGAACTGCTTGGGAATGATGGCGTCAGTATCGACGTTGGAGCGATCGAGGGGAGCGGCGAGACCCTTGAGTTGAGTGAACTTGGGCATGCCGGTGGAGGTGGTGGGGGCACCGCTGGAGACGGTGTTGCCCTGGGAAGTCTCATCGAGGTCCATGATCTCCTCGAGATCAGCGTCGCTCTCGGGTGCAGCGACCTCGGGCTCAGCTGAGACCTCACGAGGGGCCTTGCCAGTCACCTGCTGGTAGCCATCGAGCTTGCGCACATCGGCGAGCTTGCCAACAAGAGCACAAGCAGCAGCCATAGCAGGAGACATCAAGTGAGTACGACCCTGGGCACCTTGTCTGCCCTCGAAGTTACGGTTTGAGGTAGAGGCACAACGCTCCTTGGGAGAGAGAATGTCAGGGTTCATACCAAGACACATGGAGCAACCGGCCTCTCTCCACTCAAATCCAGCATCGATGAAGATTTGGTCGAGACCTTCGGACTCAGCACGCTGCTTGACCAGACCGGATCCGGGAACAACCATGGCGCGCTTGATGTTGGATGCGACCTTCTTGCCCTTGACGATACCAGCGGCAGTACGGAGATCTTCAATACGGGCGTTGGTGCAGGATCCGATGAAGACCTTGTCCAAGACGACCTCCTCCATGGGAGTGCCGGCGGTAAGGCCCATGTACTCAAGGGCTCTGATGCAGGCCTTCTTTCTGTTCTCGTCCTGGAAGTCGTCGGGGCCAGGAACAACACCGTCAATCGGGATGACATCCTGAGGCGAGGTACCCCAAGAGACAGTGGGAGCAATGTCCTTGGCGTCAATGAAGATGTCGTAGTCGAACTTGGCGCCGTCGTCGGTCTTCAAGGAGGACCAGTAAGCAACAGCCTTCTTCCACTCGGGGCTGTCAACCTTGGGAGCAAGGGGCTTGCCCTTGAGATAGTCGAAGGTGATCTGGTCAGGGGCGATCATTCCAGCTCTGGCACCTCCCTCGATTGACATGTTGCAAATGGACATTCTGGCTTCCATGGAGAGGCTGCGAATGGCGGAACCGCAGAACTCAATGACACAGCCGGTACCACCTGCGGTTCCGATCTGACCAATAACGTAAAGGACAATGTCCTTACTGCTGACGCCGGGAGCGAGCTGGCCGTCGACCTGGACACGCATGTTCTTGCTGCGCTGGGTGATGAGGGTCTGGGTGGCGAGCACGTGCTCAACCTCACTCGTACCAATACCGAAGGCGAGCGAGCCAAAAGCACCGTGGGTCGAGGTGTGACTGTCACCACAGACAACGGTGGTGCCAGGGAGGGTGAAGCCCTGCTCGGGGCCAATGATGTGAACAATTCCCTGCCTCTTGTCTCCCATACCAAAGTAGGTAAGGTTGAACTCCTTTACGTTGTCCTCGAGAGTGGTGCATTGTAACCTCGAATCATCCTCCTCGATGAATGTGGCAGCGCTCTTGAAGTTTTTCCTTGATGACGTAGGCACGTTGTGGTCGGTGGTGACAAGAGTGCAGTCGGGTCTGCGGACTTGTCTGCTGGCGTTTCTGAGCCCCTCAAAGGCCTGAGGCGATGTGACTTCGTGAACGAGATGTCTGTCGATGTAGAGCAAGATTGTGCCATCATCTCTCTCGTCGACAATGTGGTCCTGGAAGACCTTGTCGTACAAGGTTCTGGGTCCTTTGACAACACCAGGCATTGTGAATAGCTAGATTTGTTTCTGTGATGGATTGAAGGAGTATACGATATAGCAAAAGGCGTCGGTGATGTGTGACGGACGCGGGGGTATCAAAAATGAAAGAAAGAGGCAATGAAGTGTGAAGACATGTTTCCAACCGCCGCCATCTATACTTGTACTTTGGCAGCTCTCGATGACCGCAGCCTCCGATCTCGACGGCCTTCACTGACAAAATCCTCAATCTGATTGGCTTGATGATCCCCACAGTGGCCGTGCCCCTCGCAGCTCGCTCCCGGTTGCGATGTCGCTGGCTCAGAACCTCCGATCTCGCCCATGACTGTTTCCCCTCTGCTGTTTGTCGTTGTCGTGATGATCATCTGTTTACCATCATACTGATTCAGACAACGTCGGGAGATCTCCAGTTCGCACCTGCCGCATTCGATCGACCCTGCTTATCCATGCTGTGGAGGAGAGTTGACAGTTTAGCCGCCAGCCATCAAGTCTACTCTATCTCGCAGCCTTTCAACAATCATCTGCCTTTGCAAGCCCCACTACGCATTCTGATTACGTACAGTCTTGCACGTTTACCTTATCGAATCAAACTTGCGGATGTCCTTCACCGAAGTCCCCGCCTTAGGGCGTGTTTCCTTTGGTCATGTAAGGGCCTTCGGTGTCTAGTTGTACGCACAAGACGAGTCATCTTGGTTGAGAGTCTATATCAATTCTATATACATTTCATGAAGCAGAACTACAAGTTGTCCTGCGAGAATATGACCAAAGCAAGGCGATGCCTCACAGCGAGGCCGAGAAGGCCTACGAAGGTCTGCATGGCCAAGATCTCGACAGCAAGACGATCTTCTCTCTTGGGCCCTCTCCACACAAGCCATAAATTGAGGATCGTCAGGTTCGTGGTAGATGTGACCGTTCCTTTCTCATCCGTCTCGACTCGCAGTAGCTTCACCACATCCAGCACCTTGAGCACTTCCGCTACCCATTTGTTCAAAGGCTTTTCGGCCGTGAAGGTTGCCTTCGATGGCTCTAAAAGTCCAGTACGGGGATTGAATCGAGGTAGTCTATGGCGAGGGCATGGGACGATGTGGAAGAGTTGAGGTGCCGAGTAGATGAAGTTGAGAACTTGCGGGATGAAGAGAAGTATCAGAGTCTTGCTGAAGTGACCCATGATGCCCACGACGGCAAACACCATGCCGGCAAAGTAGCAGTATGTGTCACCCACGAAAACCTTTGCGGGGAACCAATTATGTTTGAGAAGAGAAAGCGACACTCCAAGGAACGGCAACAAGAGATATACCGAGAAAAGGTGCGAGTCAGTTGCTGGGTGGAGCGTAGGCGTCGAGGGAACCAGATAGAATGCATCATTCAAGAGGATCAACAATGCAATGACGATCGACTGAGCAACCTCGATACCGTTGATACCAGCAAGGATGTTGATACTGTTAGGGCAGAAGATGGAGATGGCTGACATGTACAGGTAGTACAATGAGCCTAGATCGACGAGCTCTCCCAAGTATGGCCTCAGTGGAATTGGAACCACGACTTGAGTGACACCAAAGTCGACAAAGTACAGGCCCAGAATAGGAAGGGATGCGAAAGCCGGAATGAAGAACTTGTGCCTCCATCTGATATCGAAGAAGTCATCGATGATGCCGAGGATGATGACCGTCGCAAGAGTGCCATATGCAAATCCGTATGATGCAAGCTGGTCTGGTCAGAATACTATAGCACAGCTCAAAGTGTTGCACTTACCTTTTCAAGGGGAAACCGGTGCAGGAATCTTCCTGTCTCGACTTCCTGGGCTTCGATCATGATATCCTTGTTGCCGCCCCCGGAAGTCGCTGCTACGATATCGTGCTTGAAAGCGAATGGGAGAAAGGCGATGATACACAGGAGGTATACGAGAGCGCTGACCAGCCCCATCATCTCTGGCCTGCAGACCTCGAGTCAGCATTAATTCTGTTCACTGCAAAGCGAATATTACTGACAGTTCAATGGGTTGTTTCTTGGACATATCCTTTCCTTTCCTCCCTACCCGAATGAATGCATCTCCTGTCCATCTTATGATAGCATATGATGACGAGAATGCCAGACCGCTCAAGGCAAGCGATGCAAACACCGGCGCGCCATCACTGCTCCATGTATTGGAGAGTACGCCAAGGCTGGCTGCAGAGCAAGCCAGTAGGGACCACGCCTCGGTGTTACTGAGTTGTCCAGTCATTGTTGTGTCTGCAACAGAGTCAAATGGTAAGACCCATTGACAGTTTGTAATCTTGAACGACTGTCGGGAGGTTTCGTTGCACAGTGAGCATTTGGAAAAGGTGTCAACTTGCGCATGCTTTGCAGTGCTCCTGAGCTTATGTCCGCTTAGATCCGCGTCTAATCAAATTGATCCGCGTCACTGATCTGTACTCGGCTATCGCTTCTCGAGTGTATTGCGATATGCTCTGATATAATGCCACTGCCTCTGGTTGATCTACAACAGATTGAAACTGACAAGTCTGATGTGACGGTGCTGAGGATCTTTGATCTACCAAGTTGTAGTCGACCTGGTTTGTTGATGTGCTTGGGTCAGACCTGAGATTTATTGGTACAACGCCACTGACCACCACATAGGCGCGAGGCGACATAAGTTGGAGCTGAAATATATGTATGAGGTGGTTATGTATGCTTTTACATCCCGTACCACCAAGTTACCATCCTACGCTTGGTGTATATCTAGATAAGATAAGTAACAGGGTCATACCTACAGCATAACGGAGACTGAAATTCAGGTTGACCATGCACGAAAACCATAATTGTCTCTCTAAAGTCAGGTAAGGGAGTGTTTAGAAGCTTGGAAGACTTCTTATTGACGACCCTGAGAAGCGGTCCCTACTCTTACAGATTGCCATTCCGACCAAAACACCAGATCCCGCTTGCCATGGGCATCTTTGGATCGCCAATCGGGGGGCCAGATACCGACATGTGCCATGCGGACATGATGTACATGCCACGGCTTATTTTGTACAGCGAATGAAGAACCAAATTTGAAGACAGAGACAACAACCCTTTACCAGCCCTGTTTCCTCATCTGGTTGACCATCTTGACGGTACCGCGGAAAGCCTCCTTGAAACGTCTTCGCCAGCGCTCAGAGTGTAGACGCTTCCTCTTGAGACCAGGACGCTCGTGAAAGCGCTGCTTGTTGAAATCTTGACGGACTCTGTTTCTGGCGCAAAGTTGTTCGACCTCGCGGAAAGCGCGACCGACGTCGCCACCGTTCTTGACTTGGACAGTCTTGCCAAGGGTGGGACTGGGGGTGAAATCGAGGCTCTTGACGGGTTTAATCTCGGGCTTGTAGAGGCTGTTTAAGGAGCCTGACGATCTGTTACCAGGTTTGAGACTAGTGAGGAAGTCTTCCATGGAGTCCATAGGCTTGACACGGTTCTTCTCCTGGGCTGAGGGGGTAGCGAATCGAGAGGTGCGTTGTTCAGAAACACCGGGAACGCCTTTTGAGCCATCAAGGGCGCTGTCCATCAGGTCGACCATGGAGGAAGTCTCGTTGCGCTGTTGTGCGGGGGCGTGTGTCGGGGCAGCATCTTCCCCAGCAGTAGCAGAGATGTCATGGGACCGTGTCTCTTTCTCCTCGTGTCTGAGCTGGCGAATAAAGGCGTCGGGCTGGTCTTGACGTAGCAGGCGGGTGGTGGTGAAGGAGCGGATGGCGAAGGGCGAGAGCTGGGTGCGATACATGGGCGATGAGTATAGCGATAGTGGACGACAGCGCGTCAGTGTCCGCACGGCGGCTTGTGACAATTCCATGGTGGGAGGTGTATGACAGAGAATTGATGTCGCTCGTGCTCGTGGTGCTCGTCTTTTCCAACAGCGGCGCCAAGGCTGCGGGAAGACGGCGAGAGTTGCAACTTCGGGGCAGTCGCGCGCGCAGTCTTGAACTTGTCATCTGCAATTCGTTCTTTCCTGTTGCATCCACGACACCACCTGTGCCATGGCTTACAACAACTATCCCCGTATGTCCTCCTACGGCTGTGTCTCTCATCCTGGCCATATGCTAATCGTGCACAGCTCCGGGATCGTATGGCAGGTCGCCGTATGGCTACCCGCCTAACATGGCTCCTCCGCCAGCCATGGGTACACATCTGCCGCATGTCAATCACACTTGGCCAGTCACTGACTCTACCTTCTCAGGTGCTGCACCTGCCATGTCTCCTCCACCAGGCATGAGTCCTGCCGCAAATCCCCTTCCTGGTCGACCTGCCTCAGTTGCTGCTCCCTTCGCTCCGCCGCAAAACCTGCCCGACATCAACTTCAACGCCCCCGTCATCCGTCTTGGTGTCAGCCAGTCCTCCTCCAAGCCTTCCACCTATGGCTACGATTCACGCGCCCCCGATAACGCTTCTGGAAACCGTAGTCGCACTGGTCTCGGCGCCGACCAAAGAATGCCGCGTGAAACCCTTCAACTCGTTCCTCCCACTCTGGAAGAAGTCAGCAGGACCATTTTCATTGGAGGCTTGGTTGACGGTGTTCCCGAGGACGCCCAGCTCGAAGATATCCTGGGTGCCGGCGGTCAAGGTCCTGTCAAATTGCGTCGCTGGACTCGTGTCAACGACGCCGATGGAAAGCCCTGTCGCTTCGGCTTCGCCGAGTATGAAGATGCTGGTGCTTTACAGCTAGCTACGGAAGTTCTCAAAGATATTCAAGTACCTCTGCGGGAAAAAGGCAAGCTTTTGAAAGATGAGGAAGGGAATGTCAAGAAGGCCACACTCATGGTCGTCGTTGACCAAAACTCACTCGAGTACATCGAAAAATGGTCAAAGCCTTCTGCCGAGGAACTACAGTTCCGTTTGGACACCGCAAAGGATGATCTGAACCGTGTCCTGGCTCACCTCTCGTCCCAGGACTCGTTGATTAATGGCCTTGACAAGAACGGAGACGTTGTCATGGAAGATGGCCACAAGCCGGACGGCGCAGAGGTCATCACTATTCCCGTCACTGCTGAAGACGAACTGTCCGACATCCCCGCCGAGATGCGCGAGACAGTCGCCGCCGAGATTGCAGCTTTCAGAGATCGCAGTATTCAGCGCGATCTCGAGCGTCTACGCAAGGAGGAAGAACTAGAGGCCGCCGAACGCAATCGATCCGCACCGAGACCCAGTCGCCTGGCTTCCCCTCCCCTTTCTGCTCCATCAGGCCCCGGAGGTGTCAATGGTGTACCCGTTGGCCCCCGTGATCGCACTGTTGCTGGAGCACCATCAGGCCCCAAGGGATACCGAGGCGCACAAATGCCCAAAGACTACGTGGACGGAGTCAACTTCGTCAACGGAAAGTCTGAAGACGACGATGATCCGGCTTCTGACTCGGAACTTGAGCGACGTCGCGAGGAAAACAAGAGCGCGGAGTTGGAGAAAGTGTACCTGGACCAAGAAAGACGCTGGCTCAATGTGGAAAGAAGACATATTCAGGCACTTGCACGAGCCGATGCAGAAGAGGAAGCCGAGCAAAGCGCTCGCCAGCAGCGCCGTGAGACTTTGGCGCAGAAATACCAAGAATTCGACGATGAGGAGGAATTGCGCAGACCCAGTGAGCTGTTCTACCGCGACCGCAAGGCATGGATCCGCGCGCGCAGAGACTTCAAGCATGCCGAACGCTCTAGAGACGAACAGGATCGCGAGGACGAGAGGAAAGAACGTGCGCGCGAGCAACGCAAGATGGACGGTGCTCGCGGCATGGCTGACGATTTCCTGGCCGAAGCCGGTCAAGAGCTGTCCACCCGCAGTGCCACCACGAAATCACAACCCAAGGTCTTCACACTCAACCTGGGCAGCTTCGGTGGTAACGGCGCGGCCCGCGAAGGATCAGAAGAGCCGGAAGAGCAGCAGAAGCGGGGCGTGGCCAAGCAACAGACCATGGCCGAGATGGAAGGCCTGCTCGACGACGAAGACGACACTACACAAGGCAGTGGAGATCGCAAGAAAGCTCTGCTGCGTGCAGTCGACTTCAAGCCTCTTGCAGCTGGCGAAAAGATGAACGACGACGAACGTCAAGCCGCCACACGCGCACTCGCTGCATCCATCCCTACATCTCTTGCCGATCTCTTCGGCTGGCCCGTCAAATGGGCACACCTACCCGACTCTGTGATCCACGAACAACTGCGTCCGTACGTCCAAAAGAAGATTTTTGAATCTCTGGGTGTGCAGGAAGATATGCTTGTCGAGGTCATTGAGGGTGTCGTGCGCAGACATGGTCGCCCTGAAGAGATTGTGGAGGAGTTGAGCGATACACTCGATGAAGAGGCCGAGGGACTTGCAAGAAAGGTATGGCGTATGGTCGTCTTCTTCTCCGAGTCTGAGGCCAGGGGGTTGGTTGTCAGGGAGTAAAAAGTAACGACCTCTTTGAACTATGTAGTTGTACAAAGTCTATTCCTACCCATCATGCATCGTACGAATCAGTTGCCATCAGGAGAGAGTAGATTAGACCGAGTGACTTGGACAGAAAGGTAGTGTGACTCAGGACAGAGTTGATCTCTCAAGACAGTATCATATGCTCAACTTATGTCTATTAGAACTTGTATGTCATCTTCAGCGTCGAGCTAGATTGACCTTTGATGTTACCCATATCTACAATTGATTGATCGTTACAACATCAAAGTATGCAAGAGAGGAAGCAAACACTTCCTCCCAAACCACCTTCTACAGAACACACACTTCTTAAACCTCCTCAGCACCTCTCGGCAAATCAAACAATCTCCTATAATCCACTTTGATGCCACCCAGCAAACCCATGCCCAACTCTTTAGCTCCAAACATGGATACCGCACCGCCACCCTCACCGTCGAACCAGAAGTCTGAGCAGTTGCGGGCGACACCCTTGGTAAAAGGGTTCTCTCGCCGTTGAGCAAGGACTTCTTGGGCGCGGGAGCCGTGGAGAGCAGTTGCGACGAAGGTGTCGACGCCTAGTAGACGCTTCCACTGCGCAAAGCAAGACTCGGGGCCAGTGTTTGTGCGAGGGACGCCTGTCCTGGGCCCGCCGCCTGAAGAGCCAATGCTACCGCCTTCTTGCGACGTAGAACCCGTGGTGAGTGCAGTGACTAGTGGACCAGCGTGGTTATTGCGCATGGCTTCCCAAGTCGTCATTGCGCGGGCGATTTGAGTGAGTTGGACGAAGAGAAGCATTATTGTCCATGTTAGTTGAACACTGCCCCATCCATTTACGAGGATAGTGAAAGGATCTTTGGACCATTGGGCGCAGAATTCTGGTTTTAGGACTGCGCAGTTGGTGGATGAGGGGTCTGGTGTGGGGAGGAGCGCGAGGTAGGCTAGCGTGAGTTGGACGAGGAAAGCGATGCCGGTGAGGAGGAAAATGATGTAGAGGACAAAGGCTCGGTGGTTGTTGACGCCTACACAGTTGTTCAACCCTGAGATATAGTTAGCTTGGGATTCAATGACTGGTGATCGAAGGATATATTTACAAGGGCAATGATGATCATGTCTTGCCACGCAACGATTGCACCGCCTGCAGTGCTTGCTCCGTAGTGGTTTTCTGATCATGCACATTGTGCAAAAGTGGTGTTCGTCAAAGGCTTTGGCCTCGATGAGCTCTTCGATGGTCGCTTTCTGTTGTCCGCGAGATGCCGAGCGAGGGATATAACCAGGATCCATGAGCATGGCCGTAAAGTAGTAGTATGCACAAAGGCCGAATGCGGCGACGAAGAACAAGTTGAGGAAGAAGTGGCTTGAAAAGGTGGCTGTCGAATTTTAGCAAATGCAGAAAGAAGAAGGGTCGTGACTGCCTTACTGGGAAGAACGTGAGTGATGTATCTGATGCCCACCCACGCTAAGGTTGCTGCAAAAACTCCGGCCAAGAATGGCTGTTCAAAATGTGTTAGCATTGTAACAGTGACCGCTTGAACGAATGATACATACCGTTTTATGCATATGTTTCATGTCATTAGGTGCCCACTTGAGCAACTTCTGCGACGCTAATTGCAAAAGGTATGATGTGATCATAGAAATAGGTAGGCCGAAGTATACCGGCATGATGGACAGAATGTACAACGTGACTCCAATAACGACAAAGGGCCAGCAGAAGAAGAATCTATCCAGGAAGACTTTGGTGTCTTTGACAAAAGCCAAGGGGAAGACACGAGGATTGCCTGACGGATCGAAGCCGCTGTCTGAGAGGGCGCGGTGCCATTGGCGTGTCGAATTCATGTCGCTTGCAGTGACCTCGGGAGTCTTGCCATCGTTGTTTGCGACAAATCGATCGGCACCGTATTCGAGGAGTTTTTGAATGCAGTTGTAGCTGCCCTTGACCAGGGCCCAGTGTAATGCGGTAAAACCCAAATCGTCTCTTGCGTGCACATCGGCCCCCCATTTCAGCAGAACATCCAGACAGGCAGGGAAGCCCTTGTAAGCAGCCCACATGAGACTTGTATGTCCTTGCGAATCGGGAATATCGACGGGTACATCTGCTTGATGTAGTAGAAGAATAAGCTGGAAGACGTTCCCATCCAGAGTGGCCGAATGTAAAAGATTGTATCCTTGGTCGTCGGTCAGGAGAGGGTCAGCGCCTTGTTGGAGAAGGAGATTGACGACATCCAGGTGGCAGCGCTTGGAAGCCCATAGCACGGGGGTTGCCTCTGCGTCGCCGCCTTTTGCGTCCACGTTTGCGCCGGCTTCGAGAAGGTAGTGACACAGAGCGTAGTGTCCATTGATAGCAGCCCACTGTGGTGTCATGTCAGTGCTCGTGGTTCCTGGCGCATGTCGTCCGGGAGTATTACATGCAGGGCTGTGATGCCTTGGGGATCTGCTGATGTGGCCGATGCCTTGCCGCTGTCAAAGAGCTTCTGGATGGATCGTAGTTCGCCCAGTCTGGCCAGGGCCATCAAGTCCTCCTGGATAGGGTGGATGGGTGACTCTGGCATGTCGTCGACTTCGAGGTGTCCGTTGCCGTTACTCGTGGGTGCCCTCGGGGTGGTGATGGTGGCAGGCCGCTCGCGACTCGACGGCGGGGCGCCTTCTTTGGTTGCCATGTCTTGTTGCTAGGAGATTAAGAATTACAGTTGCATATTGAGGCCGAGTCGAGTGTATACGACTGGTCGCGCGTGCTTACGCAGCCTTTAATTCTGGTGTGGCGCGGGGCAATCTATCCATCTACAAACTTGTGGCTGGTGTCGCTCTCCGCGTCCTCCGCTCGGGGGTCCTCTCCGCCTGCATTCCTCTTTCTTGACCTTCGACCTCCCTAGACCATCTATGCCCTTTACTTCTCCATGTCTAGCAGCGATTCCGCCTTTCCCTCAAATGAAACTTAAACCGTGGTTCAAGTTCAAGTTTCCCCAAAGCTCTTGCTCGACCAAGACTCCTTTCATGCACTTCACCGCGTAGTCTTCGTCTTCGATAAGTCGCTTCAACGAGACTGAAGTTAAGCGACCCGTCATATCATCTCTAAGCCATTCGCCGTTGAAGAGAGCGGCTAGCTTGAGCAACCCACGCTTCAGTATCGCTCCAGTATCCGGTGCGATCTGCTTGCGCATCTCCTCGTTGCACTGGTATGCTTCATCTATGATGATTGGCAAGAGGACGTCGACCTTCTCGGCCGCTTCGTGAGCTATCTGCTTTGTCAACGACAAAATTTCTTTCTCTACTGCTTCGAACTTCCGAGCTTCCAGCTTGAGTATGTCCAGTCCACGAGGATGCTTGCTTACGACCTCTTGAACGAACACTTTGTTGAACTCGCGTTTGAGACATTCGCCGAACATCGGGATCGCACGCTGCACGTCGCTGCGGTCGTCCCAAGGATCCGTGAACGTCCCCATCAGCATCGATCGAGCTCTAGAACCAAGTGGCCGCTTGTCATCGACGACAAATGCTAAGACGCGAATGATCTCTTTGCAGCGCAGACTGTATCTGCTCCACTCGGTGATGGGCTCGTACCAACCGTATTGTGCTCCGGTGAAGTCGATGGCGTAGACCTCTCCCGAGTGTAAGCGTACTTGGAGAACCTCGTGAAGGAAGTCTTGGTTCCATTCGTCGCACGCGTAACGAGATTTGCGAGCCGGCTTTTGAACCCTGACTTTGGTTTCCTTGACGTCCATGCAAATGTCTAACGTGAAGCAAAGTCAGTCCCATTTTCACGAGAATAGTCTTTCCAAGATTTACCTTTGAGCAGCCAGTGATTCACCATATACATATGGCTCACCGAATCAGTACAGTATAGCAGATTCAAGGAAGCTTCTGCGTCCTGCTTGTTCTTGAAGATGGCGTCCGGGAACTCGCGGTAGAATCCATTCTCCCTCTTCGTGGACTTGAGGTCGTAGTTGCCTTCCTGGATCAACAGCTCCCCATTGACTTCCTCGGCGCTGACCAAATCGTTGTCGAATGATTCTCTGCGTACGGCATACCATATCTTCTGCAGGAGCCAAGCAGCTCTGAAGAGCGCCTTTCTAGCTTGCAGGTTCTTGCACTCGATGCGATGGGAGGGCCAATGAGCTTTCTGACACTCTCTGGTGCAGTAGCGCACATTGACGTGAGGAGTGCCGTCAGTGTTGGGTGCTTGATGGCAGCCGGCGCAGTAAGCGTTAGCGTCAAGACATCCGCAGTTGGCACATTTGTTCTTGTTGTTGAGTTGATCGTCAGGGGTCTTGACGTCCGAAAGATCGTCGGCCTTGTTGGTGGGTGTTCCAGTGCTGGAGCTATCATCACGTGGATCATCAGACGAGATCTTGAATCCAGCAAGATCTTTGGCGGTGGTAGACACAGTGGTCTGTAGGGATGGTGCTGTGATGGGACTAGAGTCTTTGTCAGAAACAGAGCGATGAAAGACGAAGTAGCGACTTACGCCCGGTCAGGATGAACTGGAGTCTCCTGAGGAGAAGGTGGCTTGGTGACAGCCATGTTTGCAAGTGTTTACGGAAGAAGGGTGGTCGATACAAGCAAAAGAATTTTGAGAGAAACAATCGTCTATGTTGTGATAGAAGCGCGTTGGAGCGCGGTTGAATTGATGACAGAAGTAAACAGGTGAGAGTGAGGTCGTCAACGAAAAAGTGTATCAACAACAAAGCACGCCGAGTATGACTTCTGCTACAACACCAGGTGATCGTGTTGTACCAATGATTGGTTGCACTGTTTCTATCACTGCAAGAGACGACTCACTTTGCTCACTGCCAGGAGACATTCACTTTCCACTTATTCCGTCACTTCCATAGCATCGTAGCCATATATACCAGCCAAACTGGTCTCCTTCCAGCGATCGGTTTAGTTGGCCCAATCGGTAAGACCAACTTGTGATTCCAGTGCGATAAAACTCCTAGAAGTCCTTGGTTCGACCCTCGGATGTAGCGGACCATTATGTTCCGTCTCTTCTTCGCAAAGGTAGAATACTCTGCAGAGTGGAAGGGGTTTTCCCAGACTAGCTATCATAGCTAGGATGGTTTTTTGCTTCTTTTGGTGAGATCTCTGACTGAGTTGGTCGCCACTCCTGTTTCTTTTGCATAACGCCTTCTCGCCCTAGCGCTTCTTCTTGGTAGAAATCTTTTGTGGGCTTGCTGCAACACTTGCGACTGGGTCGGCCTTATCTCTTCGCAACATCCAATAGCCAAATGCAATCAGACTGTGTAGCAGATCATAGCTCAAGGTCTGAACTGCTGGGTGACTGTTCACAGCTTCCAGCAGGATCGAAGGCATCTTGTTCAACGGCCCCAAGTCTCCGATACTCTTCTGAGTGAAGAATTGAACGGCGACTGTAAAGACAAACAGGCGCAGGGTTGCCGCATGCTTGAAAGTGTTGGGAGTTTCATCATTCGAGCTGCTCAATGGCAAAACTGACGGGAGAACAAGCAATAGACGTGCCACGAGAATGGTATAGATGAGCAAATCTCCTTGTCCAGCATATCCAGGTGCTGAGTTGAGACAATACGCATATGTGAGCGGCACAGCATACCATAGTGGCCAGTATGATAACAATTGGACACTCGAATTCGCTGATTGAGGCTTGGTACAAAGCATGATATAGAACAATGTCTGAGCGAACGATGTCGGCAAAATCTCGAGAAGTGCAAAGAAAGCCCAGAGATTGGGTACCTTGTGTCTTCGACCTTCGATGCCCATGTATACTGCCACGGCAAGTGTAGACCACAAGCCGGAAGAAGAGAGAAGATACCGAGATTTAGTGGCTACAATGGCCTCACCAAAATCTTGAAACAGCGAAGAAGTGATTGACCATTGCCACAAGTGTAGCGGTGTCCTGTTTGGTCCGATCAAGGCTCCTAGCGGAATATTGTGGCGAGTCGTCCATTGTTGGTAGGATTGGATCAGAACGTTAAGCATATAGTAGGAAAGAGTAGCAAAACTTGATATAGCCAGGATTGCGAGAAATGGAGGGTTCTTGAGCCTGCCATTGTTCTTTAGGTGTGATTTTCTGATGGTGTTTAAGACGACCCCAGTGGACGCCAGAGCAGCGACAATGTATGCCCAGAATATCAGAGCACCTGGATGGTTTGTAGGAGCATCGATATCCATCCTTGCATCGTACGTGTAGTTTTCGAGACAGAAATGTTGGGGGAAACAAAAGTTGGAACTGAGAAGTCGAATGATGATGTTAGAATGTCAGCGCCGATCATTTCCCTTCCGGGTGTCTCATATTTTGTACAAGCCAGAAAGTTGGACGAAAGTATGTAGAGGAACATGTACAGAAACTTGGGCATGATAGAAAGTACATTGGTATTTTACAAATGGCGAGAAAGAGATGTCTAACCTCTGCTGGTCTTTCTCTCCTCGACACGTCTCTTGTACCTCACCTCGGCCTTTCTTCTTTCACCACCATCGATCTTGTGACCACGCTTGATCTCCCAGATACCCTCTTTTGCGACGATCCTTGCGACACCGGGTCTCTCCTTGATGGCCTCGACGTAGGGACCACCGATGATGTTTGATCTGACGACCTTTGTGCCTTGGACAGGCACGACCTTGTCGAGGGACTGTGAAGGCTTGTCCTGACCAGCAGGGACGTTGACGATAATCTTGCGCATGCCGGGAGAGCTGGTGAGTGTGGCGGTACCAGAAGCAGCGGGCACCTCGACAATCTTCAGCTCGCCGACGCCATCTTGAACATGGGTCAAGTCACCACCAATTCCGAAAGAGCCTTGACGGAACTTGTTGCGCCAGTGGAGTAGGTAGCGGCGACTGCGAGCGGGCTCAACACCAAGTTCGCGCAGTTGTAGTGATGACAGTGAGAAGAGAGCGTTCCAATCGGGAATCTTCTGTGCGTGCTGGGACATTTTGCGGCCGATAAGAGTGAGGAAGGTTTGGGCGTCCGGAACGAAGGGAGTAGGTCTCGGGATATCCTTTGCGGCGACTTTTGCGTGCAGGCATCGCAGCTGTGTCTGGACGAAGGAGGTTGTGGTAGGCAGAGCCTTGACGGGTAGGGACCGCCTGGCGAACATGATTGCTCCGAGTGGTGATGTGACTGCTCGGGTTGTGATTGTGGTTTGGCGTTTCCAAGAGCGACAGACCGAGAGATTGAAGAAGGAACGGAAGGCGAGTGGTAGGCGCAAAGGCTCTCTGCGTGTCGAATCGGCAGGGACGAACGACAGCGCCTGCCAAAAAGTCGCTGTCGCTGCTGCTTCGTTGCGCTTGGTCCGTGTGGCACGGCCCGCAGCGCCGCTCCGCATCGATAGTCATGGCACTCTCGACTCTCGACACGCTCCAACTTTCCTTCGTCCGCTAGTCGGTTGTTGCTGCGCGACACGAACAAGATGGGCACGGGTCTTTCGCCCGCATCGCCTGCCATGTTCAGGCCCGCCAACGGATCCAACATCAAGGCGGCGACTCAGATGCAAGCTCAAACACTCGATCCTGTCCACCCTGCTCCACCTGCTTCTGCCACAAACATCGCCGAACAGCTCGATGACCAAGAGCGCCGCAAATATGTCAAGGGTACGCCCCCTGCCTTGTTCGCTTCAATCATACCTACTCACTTCTTCCAGGCAAGAAACTCGGTTCTGGTCAATACGCCGACGTCTTCTCCGCTCACCTCGTTTCCGATCCCACCCAACTTGTCGCTATCAAGAAGATCAAGGTCGGACCCGAAGTCCAAGAAATGGGCATTTCACACGATTCTCTGCGCGAAATCAAATTCCTCCAGGAGCTGTCACACCCCAACATCATCCGCCTGTTCTCCGTCTTCTCTACCAAGAACCAAAACCTCAACCTTGTCCTCGAACAACTGCCCCAGGGTGATCTTATGAAGCTGATTCAGGATACCACCATCGACTACAGTCCCAGTGATATCAAGGCCTGGATGAGCATGTTGTCCCGTGCCGTGTGGTTCTGTCACCAAAACTTCGTTCTGCACCGTGATATCAAGCCCAACAACTTGTTGATAGCCGCCAATGGTGAGATCAAACTTGCCGATTTTGGTCTCGCTCGCAGCTTTGCCGACCCTCACGCTCCCATGACTTACAACGTCATCACCAAGTGGTACCGTCCCCCAGAGCTCTATTACCAGGCTAACTTCTACTCGGGCGCCGTTGACATCTGGTCTGTCGGCTGTGTCTTTGCTGAACTCGTACTTCGCTGGCCTTTGTTCCACTGTATGCCTGATGGCGATCTTGCCATGCTAGGCATGATCAGCGACAAAGTCGGAACTCCTACAGAAGACAACTGGCCCGGTGTCAGCAAACTGCGAGGCTATGTGCCCGTCGCAAAAGAAGATGTTACACCAGTCAAGAGACGTGCAGATTGGGAGGCCAATTTTGGCACTGTAGGCACTACAGGCGCGGATCTGCTAATGCAAATGTTTGCCCTCGACCCACGTAAACGTCCAACCGCTGCACAGGTCCTCGAACACCACTACTGGACTTCCGACCCTCGTCCTTCGCGTCTCGATCAGTTGCCCCGTCAAGGCGGAGGTTTGGATGCCATGGGCGAGGATCTGAAGAGACGCGGTGGCGAGCTGCCCGACACCAGGGGTGATAAGGTCGCCCGGAAGATTGACTTCTTTTCGATGAAGGGCTGAGAGATACCTTCGCACCACAGAAAGAACGAATAGACCTCCACCAAGGCTTCTCTTGCCGCTCAGAGAGCTCTGTGCAACGGGCCATCACGACTAAAGCAGGATGTGTACACAAGCCATCTCATGAGCGCACTTCGGCAGATTCAGTGTCACATACACGGGACACAACGCCAGGAGATAAAGTGCTCAAGGAGGTTCTCAAACGAGGTGTACTCCAAAGAGGTGACCACAAGATGGATGGTCACTGCTTCGCGGCAGCCGCTGCAATGTGAGATTCGCGACATGCGAAGCCACCAGCTGGGTCATGCTGGTCAAAGAAGGATCGAACCCCCCTTAGACAGGAAGACGCTAGGTAGACACTGTGCACAAGCTTGATACACCGCCTTGGCAGAATTCCCTATGGTAGACTTGGTAAACACACTCGCAACCAATACTCCTCACGATGCTTCCTACATTTTTTATCGCTGTCCACGTAAAACCCCTCTATGCATATCCTTTTGATCATGCTTGTCAGCCTATTACATACCTTGTGCTACCTGGGATCCTCGAGGATCTAGCTCAGCGTTGATAAATCATCGAAACCCTAGATATAGGAGTCGCGACGACGAAGCACCCGGATCTGGCGGTCTGTGGCAGAGAAGCAATGACTGCAAAAGATAACAAAAAAAACTCAAGGATATCATACAACAAAAGCAAAAACTAGGTATTAATTACGTAGGTGCAAACGAGGGCAAAACATCAAGGAAACAAGATGACACATTATCCTCACCACATTCGTCTCACTCTCCCTCTTTCCAAGCCTTCAGCCGTAGGATATCGTGTTCTGTCGTCCATCTCCCCTGTTGTTCATAGTTTTCAAGTCGTCAACCTAGAACTCCTCTTGGAACTTGGTCTCGCGAGCAGGGCTCTGCGTCTTTTGCTGTCCTCCAAAAGTAGGCGGGGGAGCAAGAGTCTCGTCAAAGTGATCGCGTGCCTCTTCGAACTCGTCTTCATCACCGCTGATTGCGCTGATGCTGCTACGTCCGCGGCGGGCAGTGGGACGTGTGGTGGGCATCTCCTCGTCGCTGGACACGGAGGAAATGCTGTGGAGATCAGTATCATGGCGACGGAACGATGAGTCCGAGACTGCGTCGCTGGTAACGGGGGCTTCTGTTGCCGCAACACCAGTGGTCGATGGCTCAGAGGTCGAGAGGCTCTTTTTGGCATCAGTGGCTGGGACGGTGACGGCAGTAGTCTTCTCAGCTTGCTGGGTCTTTTCCGCGGGCTTGGACTTGCGGCTGAAGCGAGAGAAGATGCCGCTCATACGGCCGGGTTTGCGGCCTTGGAAAGAAACCTCTCTTGCGCTTGCAGCAGGCGCAGTGAGACCGACGGGCACCGATTCAGCGGCGTCGCCAGAGGTGGCTACGACGGGAGGGAGAACAATAGCTTCAGCGGCGGACTCAGAAGCTGTCAGAGGCACCTCTTTACTGGCCACGACATCTGTATCTCTGTTCACAGCATCTCTGTCGGTGTCCTCGTCAATGCTAGAAAGACTGAGGCTGCTGCGTGCGCTCGAGGAACTGGAGCTAACAATTGTAGAAACGTGGCGATCAAGCTCTGGGCGAAGACCGCTCTGAGTGCTGTGAACAGTACCAGCAGTGGTAACCTTGGTCAGCCCGTCTGGAGATTCGGTCTTAGCGAGAGCGGTGCCGTCAGAGGTAGCAACATCCTCAGTGCCGATAGCAGAAGTGCGGTCAGTATCGACGTCTTTGTCCTCAGCCTCAACCTTGGAGTGTTCGTCAGTAGCAACTGCAGCAGTCCCGGAAGTGGATGGTCTCTCTGCAGTGTGAGTAGCGGCTGAAGCTTTGGTAGCGTCCTCAACATCTCTCTTGACCTCCTTGGATCTGCGCTTGTCTTCCTTGCGAGCTTGCTTCTCCTCAGCCTTACGGCTCTTCTCGGCTTCCTTCTCAGCACGCCTGGCAGCCTTTGCCTCGGCTTTCTCCTGATCTATCATTTTGTCAGCATGTACACACAGATAGGTCGTTTCTGATAAGGCTCACCCTTCAGGCGCTTTGTCTCGGCCTTGACTTCCTTCTCACGTTCCTTCTCGCTCAGCTGCGTACGTCTCCTCTGCTCCTGGTCGAGACGAAGCTCCTCATCTCTGGCGCGTTTCTTCTCTGCGTTGGTATTGATCTCGTCAAGAGTGGGCTGGAGTCTGCTCTGGGCAATGGCATCCAATTCGGACTGATCCATGTACTTTCCACCACCAATGCTGACCTTGCCGAAGTTGCGCTGTCTGTCCTCGCTCTGAGCTGTAGCACGAGCGCGAGCCTTGGCCTCCCAATCTTCCATCATCGCAGGTGTGACCTGACCTGTCTGTTGGAAGACTTGCTCGTCCATGGTGTGCATCTGAGCCTGCACTCTCTTCTCGGCAGCAGCAAGCAGGGCGGCACGGTCTTGGTTTCGCTTCTCATCTTGCTGGGCAACCGAGTTGTTCAAGGATGACATCTGATTGCGAATTCTGCGTGATCTGAACTCGTCGTCAGACGAATCATCGTCGTTGTTCTGGACAGGCTTGGGGTTGCTCTCGGCACGGTTTCTGCCAGGGCGGTTGCGCAGAGACAAGCGCGAACGAGGCGATTGTTGCTCGTAACCGTAGTGAGCGCGATACTTAGCAGCACCATCAGGATCCATCTTTGCAAGACGTTCATTGGCAAGCTTTTGGGCAGCTTCCTGCAGGTGAATATATTGTACGGCCTGCTGGCGGAGATCAGGCTGAGTCGAAGCGGCTGAGGGTACACGGTTGTGCGAGACAGTAGCAGCGCTGGTTCCAAGGCGTTCCGAAACCTCGGCGGCTTCCTGGTCGCGTCTCCTCTTCTCAGTCTGCTCGTACATCTGCTTGGCCATTGAGATTGCAGAGGCGCGAAGAGCGGCCTGCTTCTTCTTCTCCTCAACCTCCAGGTCGACCGGGGGAGTACCACCAAACATCTCGCGGGGTACGTTGCGGCCCATGTTCTGGACGCGAGCGGCGCGCATGGCGTCAGAGTCGATACGGTTCGAGTCCTGGGCGACAGGAGACTTAGTGGATGGTCTGTGAGCCATGGTAGCGGCGTTCAAGGCATTGTGTGCTGAGTTGGCAGAGTCGGGGTATCGAGGGTGCTCAACTGTAGGGGCTCGGGTGGACTGAGACTTGGACAGAGCACCAGTAGCGGCCATGAGGGCCTTTTTGTGTCCATCCTCAGTGTAGCCATAGTCGAGTTTAGGGCCAAGGTTTCCCTTGCTCATAGCAATACCGGCGGCAGAGTTTCCTTCAGCTGAAGCCTCGGGTTGCCAGAGATTCAACTTGGGACCGTCTTTGTGCGCAAGCAAAGCGGCCTTGGAGCCAGCTGAGCTCAACTCTGGTTTCCACAATGGTGCCATCTTGTAGTCCTTTGCTGCCATTGCTGCGATACCCGCATTCTTAGACGGGTCGGGCTTCCAGTGTTCGAATTGCTTATGACCAGAGTTTGCCAGGTTAGCGGCGGAATGGGCGGAACCAGTCGTGTCGATGCCGACGACGGGGAAACTAGGGAGGTCTCGAGGGTTTGCGTACTTGAGCGAAGCAGCGGCACCTGAAGGTGGTTAGCGGCGTGGAAGAGAGCCTGGAAATGGTGCAAATCTTACTGCGTGACGAGAGCTTGTTGTTAGCATCAAGGACGTCTTCCTTCTGCTTCTTGCCAGTCTTAGTGGCGTACAAGGCAGCATTCGAGGCTTGGTCTTGGAGTCTGGTGTCGCGGTGCTGGTGGACTGTCGGATCGGGGCATACGGGCAGCACATCAGAAGCAGAGGTTGTCACTGGCAGCGGAGGGGACGTTCTAAACGTAGACGCCGAGGTGGTGACGGGTAGCGGAGGACCGGTCTTGGAGTCGCTCATGCTGGACTTGGAGCTGGAAGACGTCACAGGTGGAGGGAGATCAAGGGCCTTGGAGCCGGGTCTGTAGCTGCTTCTAGCGTCGGCCCTGCTGGCGCTCGTCGTGTCGGCCTTGTCGCTAGCGGTAGTGGTAGGCTCGACGCGCTCGGCAGACTCAGCAGACTCGGCAGGCTTCTGGCTGGCGCTGTCAGTCTGATAGACGTTGGTCGTCGTCTTGATGGGGGGTTCGGTTGTCGAAGAGTCGCTGGCCGGGGTGTTCTCGCTCTGGCTGGTCGTGGAGGCCGAGTGGTGGGCGGCGGGGTCTGAGGTGGGCGCGGTTATCTGGGCATTGGCCGCTTCGATAGGATTGCTTTCCGACATGGGCGCGTTCTTCTCCTCGAGGGGAGTCGGTTCGGGCGTGTGTTGTTCGAGTAGGAATGTCGTGTCGCCTGTGCTTTTCACTTGGGCAGACTCCATCGGAAGCTAGGAATGAAGGTTGTGACGACGGTTGGATGGCCGAGGGACAGACAGCCTTCAATATTGCGCCCAAAGAATGCGTTGCCCGTCTCAATTCTGCGACGTCATCGACGTCATTAAACCGCCAACGGTGCGACTCGGCAACCAAGCAAGCCCTGTCTCGACTTTCCACTCACATCGACAGCCATCTCGCCCACAAAGGCCAAGCCATCTCACAACTCCCTCCAGGTCCCTATGTCCAATGCTCTCCAACTTGATGACGAGAGCACAGATTGACTGAATCGCGGTCCTCATACCCCAGTTGATCGACGTCGGGATCTGTAGCCCGAGCTTCATTTGTCCAGAACCTGATTTGGTCCATGCGTGTCCAGGTTTCTTGTTGCTCATCAAGTGCCTGTATGAGCTCCTCCTGCTTCTTGTAGCATTGACTGCCATTTCAAAACATTTACTGCCCAGCTTGATCACTCCAGCTTTGAATACCACTGGTCACCACAAGACCAACCCGTTACAACTCCCCGCCGTGCACGTTTCAACCAGTTCATAATCACAAGCAGTCATGGCACACGCTGACAAGTTTGATCGCCTGCTCAACTTTCGTGATGTCGGTGCATTCGTCAACGACTTGACGGGCTCAAAGTGAGCCTTTCAAAACTTGTTGCTGCTTGCACTTTGTAACTCTTTCCAGGAAGCTCAAATCTGGTCTACTGTTTCGCAGCGCCAGACCGGACGAAGCTTCAACCGAAGATCGCAGGCGCCTGAAGGACGATTACCATATCCACACCATCATTGACCTACGCACAAAGTCCGAACACATTGTTCAAGCTCAAAAGCGTTCCGTCCCTCTAGCCTCCGCCGAGCCTGTTGCTCCCTCCAACAATCAAGCTGCTGAACCAGTAAAGATTCCCGGCTTAAACTATTCCGAGATCAACTTCAACGGCTCCTCGTACTCATTTGCTCTGATCCGCCAACTGCGATACTGGTCTGCCGCCAAGCTCATTGGTCTTATGGCTGCAGGATATCGCACCCAGGCAATCAGCATCTTGGGCACAGAGGTCATGTCTGAGCGTGGGCTCATCGGTCTGGCATACGACTCGCTCGCTCACTGCACCTCTGAAGTCCTTGCCGTATTTCGCGTTTTGGCTGACGAGAAAAGCTATCCTGTTGTAGTGCACTGCACCCAAGGCAAGGACCGTACTGGCTTGACTATCCTGCTCGTTCTCTTGCTGCTTCACGTCGACACAGCAGCAATCAACACTGACTACATGCGAACACAACAGGAGCTCGTCTCAGAACGCGAGGCTAGAATCGTTGAGATAAGAAGCATTGGTATGCCCGACTCGTTTGCTGACTGCGATCCACACTGGGTTGAAAGTGTGGCTGCTCACATCACTCAGAAGTATGGATCCATCGAGGACTACCTGCTTCGTTGCGGTGTCAACAAGGACATGCAGCATACCGTGAGGCGTATTCTGTTGGAGTAGCTTGACGCGGACGCCACAGAGAACTTCAAATCAATCATCTCTGACCTCCTCGCTTCTGTACTTTGTATCAGACTCATCTCTGAGTCGGTTGGAACTTGATATCGACATGTCTTATGCTGCAAGAGCCACCCTGTTTGAATATCAATCACACGCAATTCTGTCCGTTTCAACCTTCGTCCTGCCAAAAGTGAAGTCACTAGCCGTAAGGATCTTTGATTTTCCATCAAAACATAAAGTAAGTATCCTGGGTGCTTACCACAACACCAGTGATGCCATCAACTAGGTAAATCATCCGAGTTCCTATCGCCAGCACAAAGTCTTGCCATCGCTCCGATCGAAGCCTTATGCCATGCCAAGAAACCACCCCAACGGCCGTGCTCCTATTCTGCTATCCCATACTTTGACATCTACGCAAGTACTTACTGTAACGTATAGAGGATGCCGAAGAACTATGCCGAAGAACTATTGTAGCAGCCATGTGTACCAATCAGCTGAATACTAGGGTTCTACATGATGTTGTTCAGCCATGACCTGAGAACTATCCTGTCTCTCTATAGTTGATGTAACGCTCGATGTAGACCTATGAGGAAGCACGTGAAACAGTGTGCATTGACTGATCATGCCGGACCACAATGCCATTCTTCTCTTCTGATGTGACATGGAGATGCCGGAACCGGTGAGGCAGGTTGATGGCTCGTTGAAAGTGAATCTCATGGTACGAAAAGGTGTGACGTGATGGTGTTGATCGACGCGTCTTCCCGCAACCTCTGCGCGCCTGCCAGCTTTCTCGAGTCCATCCCACACATCTCGAGTCCAACACCTTGAAATCCACTGAACGAAACACATCTCAACCCAACTCTATACGCACTCCCACATAACACCACAATCATGTCTTCAGGCTCAAGCGCCACACCCGCCCCGCCAGACTCACAAATCGACACCTCAGTCGCCCTCAGCTACTGGAACTCCTGCGACCCCTCGGTAACAGGCATGCTAGGCGGTTTCCCCCAGGTCTCGCGCATCGACCTCCAACAATCCACCACTTTTCTCGCAAAACTGCGCCGCACCTCCAAACTCCACCCAACCTCAAATCCTCTTTCCCGCATCGTCGATTGCGGCGCTGGAATCGGTCGCATCACGTTGGGCTTGCTGTCCAAAGTCTCTGAAGTCACGGATATCGTTGAGCCGGTGCAAAAATTCACAAGGCAGATTTCAGAAGGAGATGACTTCAAGGCATTGAGGGAGGCGGGCAAGATTGGTGACATCTACAATGTAGGCCTTGAAGCCTGGGAGCCCAAACACACCTACGATATCATCTGGATCCAATGGTGTTTGGGTCAATGTACGGATACACAGGTCAATGCCCTCTTCACTCGCGCACAGAAACATCTGTCACCCGGAGGTTGGATTGTGCTCAAGGAAAATCTGTCGAATCATCAGTTTGGGGAGGATGTTTACGATGAGACGGATTCGAGTGTTACGAGGACAGACGACAAGTTTAGGCTCTTGTTCAAGGAGGCCGGTCTGAAGATTGTTGCGACGGAACTGCAGAGAGGGTTTCCTAAGGACTTGTATCCGGTGAGGATCTATGCTGCGCAGCCTAATGCTTGATGAGGGAAAAAGGAGAGAGAAGGATGGGAAAAAGACGATGCTTCACCGCCGAGAGGTCTATTGCGTTGCAACGCGAATGCAGTATCAGACGAACCACCAAGAAGGCAGCTAGCTATTTTTGAGCAGTTTATATGCCGGTGGCCTGCTAAAGAGCGCACTCGAGGCGAGCACTCGGACGAGTGGGAGCAGCGGAAAGTACACTGCACTCTTGGCCCAGTATGCAGACCGAAAGATAACGAACAGTACAAGAATGCAGTACTCCATGAACACAATGCAACCAATACCAACAGCTATGCTTCCTCGACACTCAAGAGCCATACTGTACGTATGCCATGCTTTTGACCCTGTGAAAAACGCCAGACCATGCACAATATAAGCAAAGCACCATACGGCAATTCCTCAGCCACCTCGACCGCCTCTAGCGCTCCAAGGCTTGAAACTCCTTCCCATGCCCAACCGTCGCGGCGCACCAGCATTCCTATTGCTAACTTGCCCAACACTGGTAGCATGAAACGTACTCGCCGGTCTGAAGGTCTCTGCTTTTTGCTCTGTTCCTCCAGCAGTACCTCTCTCTTCTGGAGGCGAAAATGGTGGATCTACTGGAGGAGGACTTGAGAGAAATGTATATGCTTTTGATGCTGGAGGTACAGTGTCCTCGTTCCGGATTTTGGTCGATGTAGGTTTTGTGGTCAAAGGTGTGGTACGGAGTTTGAAGTTCGAGAGTTGTGCTGGTTTGCTTGGAGGTGCTATAGGCGTATGTTGTGTATGCCCAGGGCGTGAAGAAGAGAGGTTTGAGATGTCGTTTAGGGGGTTGGAGACGTAGCGAGGTATAGATGCTGGAGGCTTGGGCAACGCGTGGGTCTCTGGAACACTAACTGTACGTGTCGATTCCACTGCTGTAGCGACGACCTTTGGTTTTCCGAAAAAGGACATGATGTTAGCTGTGCCCTCAGCGGCTTTGCTTTTCTTAATTGGTGCTTTGCGTGCGTCTATATCCCGAAGTCTGGCTTCCTCCTGTACAGAGTTCGATTCTTGCATGCGAGAGGTGGCTGTTGTAATCTTTGGTGGAATTGACATTGATGCAGTCGAGAAACCTGCTGGATTCTGCATAGTGACTTTGGAGGCTGGCATGAATCCAGCTACTGGCACTGTTGGTCCGCTTTGCTGCTCATTCTCTGTTCTGCGTCGCTTGTTTGCGTAAATACCTTCTTTGGATTCAATCTCGCGTCCTTGATCCCATCTTGTGTTTTCGCTCTTAGGGAAAGTGCCGTCGATGGGCCAGTGGGAGTCTTCGGGTGTCTCGTAGGTGCTGCGTGCTTTGATGAGTTGTTGTAGAGCAGGCTGGTCTCTTCTCAATGTTCTTGCCAGCTCAACAACTGCATCATCGTATAGCTTTGGTCCTTGAGTTTCGAAAAATGCTTCTATTCCTCTTTGTGTAAGGAAGTGGGACATGGTTGTTTCTCCCGATTGACTGTTCTTGTTGGGACAGCTCAAGTATAGCAATGCCTGGGCTCTGGTCATGCCGACGTACAACAGTCTTCGTTCTTCATCAATGTCATCAGCTCTCGAGTGTGGTATTGAGCCTTCGTAACAGGCGGGAATGAAGACCACAGGCCATTCGAGACCTTTTGCTGCATGTATGGTCGAGATCGTGACATGCTGCTGAGTCTCGTCAGGATTTTCCTCCTGCTTTCGTTGGGCCTCGCTCGAAAGCGCGATGTTCGCAAGGAATACAGTCAAGGCATCTTCGTTGGCATTAATGAGACGTTGTTCCAAACCTTCAATATCTGGAAGCACCTCCTCTTCAATGAACTGTTTGCCTTGAGCCATTGCGGCTGTCAAGTCTGCTGTTTGTGCTTTGAGTTCTTCAATATTGGCCCAACGAGTCTCGTAATCGTCAGGGTATTTCTTTTGCAAGAATTTCGAGAGATCCAACTTCTTGATGAGGTACTCGACCAATTCGAAAGGTGATGCTTGTTGATCTCCTGTCCCTGTTATCTTCTTCTGACCAGTCAGGACGAGGTTGACGAAATCTGTCAAACCCTTCAATCCCTGAGTGGAGAGTTTCGTATTTGATCTTGCTTTGCCTTGGACGATGTTGAGGACTATGTTCCACAGAGTGCTGCCTTTCTTCTCAGCTTCATCGATAAGACCTTTGACAGTCACATCGCCAACGCCACGAGTGGGGACATTGATAATTCGTAGCAGTGCATCGTTGTGATCTGGTTGATTTATCACACGGAGGTAATCCAATACCATCTTGACCTCGATACGATCGAAGAATTTGGTTCCTCCGACCATGCGATAGGGAATTCCGGAGTTGCCGAGTGCTGACTCAATATGTCTTGATACAGCTGCTGACCTGAGCAAGATCGCAAAGTCGTTCGGTTTGAGCAGCTCTGCACTCAGAGCCTGTGTCCTCCTGATTTCTGCAACAAGCCATTTTGCCTCCGCATCGGCTGTGGGCAGTTTGCGAAGGACTGGCCGGTCTCCAATACCGAAAGTGGGCTTCAGGGCCTTCGTCGGTCTGCTCTCATCTTGCTCAATGATCTGCTGGGCTGATTGGAGAATGGCTCCTGCTGATCTGTAGTTCTCTTCCAGATGTATCACATCAGTGCCAGGGAAACGCTTCTCCATCCGTTCAAGGTTTTTAATTTCAGCGTTTCGCCAGCCATAGATACTTTGATCAGGATCACCAACGATAGTGACGTTCTTTTTGAACTGAGAAAACAGGCACATAAGCTCGAATTGTACGCTGTTCGTGTCTTGAAACTCGTCAATGAGGACAGCCTCAATGTTGGAGACACACTGAGGATGTTGACGAAGAAGCAGAGCACAACGAAGGAGCAAGTCGTCGTAGTCTAACAAATTGGACGTTCGTAAAGCTTCCTCGTACTCAGCATAGACAATACTGAACTCTTGCTCAGCGGCTTTGCGAGTAACGCCATACTGCTCGGCGCTGACGCTCTTGGCTTTGAGACTTGAGATCCTGGCTCCTGCGCTTCCCGGTTCGATTGAGAAGCCCTGGCGTTTGATAATGCGAGTGATGATAGCTCTGCTGTCCGACATATCGGCAATACCAAAATTCTTCTCAATGCCGATCAAGTGGCCATAGGAGACGAGAAAGCGTCGAGCGACCGAGTGGAAGGTTCCTAGGACAAGCTTCTTCTCCAAGCCATCGCCTACAAGGTCTTTGATTCGTTCCTTCATCTCTCGTGCCGCTTTCACGGTAAAGGTGCAAACAACGATATTCCATGGCTTTAGTCCTCGTTCGGCGATGAGATAAGATACACGAGCGGTGAGTGTTTTCGTCTTTCCAGATCCAGGAGGCGCCAGGACCTGTAGAGCCAGTGAAGGCGAGACGACCGCAAGCCTTTGAGCGCGATTCAGGTCATCCAGTAATCTATTCATGGATGTGAGTTATTCCATTGCTGAATTGATTCGGGGAAGACGCGACTGGGGCAAATGTGGCGACGCGGATCCACGTGCACTTCGACCACGAAATTAGAAGAAAATCAAGATTACGAGAGTGATGGTGACAAGTTCGCGAGGAACGCGACACTCACGAGCAAAACAATAGAGCAGCGCGAGGCAGTTGCCAGGCAGCAATGACACTTAGTAAGTGCCATGCAAAACGAGAAAAGGATGCCTCGAGGGAGAATCGAACTCCCATCTAAGGATTACCCAAGCCATGCTTGGTCATTTCGATGACCGATATGAGACCTTCGTACTAGCCGTTATACTATCGAGGCGGGTTATGGTAATCTGGCCGACTGACAAAATCTATAACTCATCCAGCGAAGCCACCTATGCGTCTGTTCTTCCCATCAACCCGTTCTTGGGCTGATTTAGCCTCACAATCTTTGGATACAAGAACTGTGTCATTTGGGTAGTTCAAGATATAGACGAAGCATGATATTTTGAAAATGATGCGAGAGACAAGAAGCCCAAAAATGATCACATGCGACTCTCGGCAATGACGTGCGTGCCTGCCGCATTCGATACAAGCGTTGTTCGGTCAACTCCCCCACGATAGGCAGTCACGTCAAACTACAAGGTCTCTCTGTTCCTCTCACCTCTGATCACCATAATCAACCATGAAGACATCATCTATCCTTGCCGCTTGCGCCTCTGGTCTCGCTGTACAGGCATTCAGCGTCCCAAGAATCGCTCAGAATGCAGCCCAGCAAGTCCAGGGCTTCATGTCGCCTGAGCAGTACCTGATCGAGCTTGCTCCCGGCGAGACCAAGTGGGTGACTGATGCCGAGAAGTGGGCATTGAGAAGAGTATGTTCTTTCGCATTCACATGACAGGGATCGGACTGACAACATGACAGGAAGGCATCTCGTTCTTCGACATCACCGACACACCCGACCTGGGCTCTGTGCTCAAGTCCACCGACGCCGTCAAGTTCCCTGCCCATACCGAGTACAACTCGACCGTCAAGCACCTCGCTCGCAACCTGACCAAGTCCAACATGCACGACCACCTCGAGACTTTCACCGCCTTCCACACACGCTACTACAAGAGTGAATATGGCGCCAAGTCGTCATTTTGGTTGCTGGGTCAGGTCAACGACACTCTAGCACACGCTGGAGCTCTGAAGCACGGTGCGAGCGTCAAGCACTTTGAGCATGCCTGGGGACAGAACTCCATCATCGCCACTCTCCCTGGCAAGACGAACAAGACGGTTGTAATCGGTGCCCACCAGGACAGCATCAACCTGTTCTTCCCTTCGCTTCTGGCTGCTCCTGGTGCTGATGACGATGGTTCCGGCACTGTCACCATTCTCGAAGCATTGCGTGTACTGCTCCTGGACGAGGACATCGTTCGCGGCAAGCAAGAGAACACTGTCGAGTTCCACTGGTACAGTGCTGAGGAAGGCGGTCTGCTCGGCTCTCAAGCCATCTTCCAGACCTACGAGAAGGCTGGTCGTGATGTCAAAGCTATGCTGCAGCAAGACATGACTGGCTACGTCCAGAAGACTCTTGATGCTGGAGAGCCAGAGAGCGTTGGCGTCATCACTGATTTCGTTGACCCTGGTCTCACCGAGTTCATCAAGAAGGTTGTTACCGAATACTGCGACATCCCTTACGTTCTGACCAAGTGTGGCTATGCATGCTCTGATCATGCCAGCGCTAGCAAGGCTGGCTACCCCAGTGCTTTTGTCATCGAAAGTGACTTCAAGTACAGCGACAACAAGATCCACACCACTGAGGATAAGATCGAATACTTGAACTTTGATCACATGCTACAGCACGCAAAGCTTACCCTTGGTCTTGCCTACGAGCTCGCCTTCGCTCGCTTCTAGTAGCCCAATTGTTTTTGCTGACTACATACATGCATGAGAGAGGCGTTATTATGGTACTCCACACATCTATATCTGTACTTAATCCAATTCACTTTTTCGTCATGTTCATGATTGATGCTTGGAGATGTCAATTCAGCTCCTTTCGCGCACGCCACAACATGCCACAACATAGAGGCGCCGTCGACGTGTCTCTGCTAAGTCATACTTGCCACTAGAGAGGCAAGCAAGATTGACACGTCGTCCCCAAATCCTTCAAGATGAGTGTCATGCAGAAGAGAAGACTTTGGCTCTCAAGATCCCACTTCAGCAGCCAACTATTGTAAGTATACATGCCCTACCGGAGGGAGACAGAGATTAACCACTCTCAGCTCTGCTCAGCTCGACGGAATAATTCTCTACCACCAACGAGGATTCACCAGGGCTGTTACGTTACCTCTGACAGCAGAAAGTGTATTTCTCAAAAGACCCATGTCGATATCATGGACTCCAGTCCGTGACCCTCAGCCGATGGCAGCCGTGGCTGATCGGTAATGCGATGAGCCTCTTTGCCGAGATGAGGCAAGCCGAGACATATTCTTCTGTCACCTCAGATTCCGTCCTTTTCCACTGCTCTAAGGTCTGGCACATAGGGCTAGGCAGGCGCAGCAAGCAGTGCCAAACTGAGACTCCAACGGCTGGCAGCGGGGAGCGTTGAGATCTTCGGTGTGCAACGGCGATGAGAGTGAAACGCCAGCTTGCAGCGTGCAGTCCATCTGATAAGAATTGCTAGCCAACGACAACTTTTGCCTTGAACACACTAGAGTGGATATCTTTGAATTTGCTACGTCTCTCAGGAACAGCCGCTTGATCCGAGGACTTGGATACAAAAGGCTTGTCTTTGCTCTTGAACCTGAGCTTGTTTGGGTGGATACATGCACTATCATGCAGTATGGCTGATAAGGTGGGCTGTCCCGTGCTACATATCAAATGTATCACCTCAGCTGACTGGTAGAATTTTTCCGGTTACTTGTGTGCTCTCTTTTGGGACCGAAGTGCTCTGTATGCTTGCCCGTTTATGTTCCGCTTCCGCTTTTGAAAGCTCCGGTGGTTCTGACCAGGATATCGCCTTCGCGTGGCGGAACGACTGTTGTAACTCGTAGCTTATCTACTGCTGCGAGGTACAACCGTTCGGGCCCATGCAGACCAGAACCCCAACATGATCATCAGTGATGCGGAGGATTGTCTGCATCCCGCGCAGCTGGACAGGTTGACTTTTTGGCGGCTGTCAGCTTCTAGTCAGGGTGCCTATTTCCGAAGACCCTGTAGGGGCTTTGACCGAATATTTGCAGATAGACTTTAGATCTGTATACCTTCTCGACAACAGCACTGCCAGATGATGTTGGAGTGGTGCAGCACGTAATTATCGTTCCTCGCTGTCCAAACATCTTTTGACAATGAGTTGGACCATGCTTCAGATCTGAACGACTACTTGGGGAAATTGTGGGTCTTCAAACGTTCTCGCCCATCTTCCATGTCGGAGCTTGGTTTCCTGGAGGAAGACCTTGCGGCAAATCTCTCGGTGCCTTGTTAGCGGCTGCAAATTAAGCGACATCTGAAGCCTTTTTGCAACGATCCTTCACCACATGCGCGCCACGAGATTCCATACCCTATATTTGCACGTAAGTGGTGGGACTCACGGTCCATACTTGCGAAGTTGCGGCTAGCAGCTGTCCGTGAACGAAGCAGGTGATATCTTTGTAAACGATCAAAGCCACCAAAGTTTATCATTTCTAGTTCTCAACGTGTTTCCGGCTCCACTAAGCCTTCCGTGTCGACATCATCAAGGTCGAGACAGATTCGAATCAATCTGTTTGCATGGATCCCGAACGCGAGTGGCATGCCCTGCAGAGTTTAGTCGTGGTAGGCGCACGTCGTGGATCATCTTTGCGGCGCAGCGTCTCTTGCATTCTAGAGGACCATGCTGCAGATATCCCGCATGCTCGCTAAACAATCGAGCAGCAGAACTTTATCCTGGCCCTTAAACCAAATGGGAAAGGCTTGCTCAAGGTCCAGTGTGTCGGCAAATATCAAGAAATGAATTGACAGCCTAAACTCCACTATCTTGCTTCGGAAGAACTTCCACCTGGGACACAGTCATTTCGAAACATATACAGATGTCAGTCCAAGCTGTTCATTTTCAGCTCGTACAACGGATGAGTCCAGCGATCCACCAATCGTTAGAGATCTCGGTCTCGGGATATTTGTAGCCCTACGTCTTGAACCTGTTCACTGGTATCACTGTATTCTCGTTAGTGGCATGCACGCTTGACGCTTGTTTGCCTCCACATCGGATAATCCACATGCACATGGCCGTCAGCCGCAGCAGGAACACTGGAACTGCCCTCTTTTGACATTCGACTAGGCCCGGTCTGTGGCCCATCAAGCTAGTCGGCTCGTCAGACCGACCGAGTACCTACTGCTCGGCAAGGCCGAAGGCCATGATATCGGGCCCTCTAGGTTGTCCCTTGAACCTCGAGGAGATATATTAGCTGCATTGCTCACCATATATCGAACTTCTTTCCTAGCAGTTCTCCACTACTACACCACATTCGCTCATTCTCACCCCTCTTTGAGAGGTGGTCACCATCGTTATGAAGACTTCAATCTTGTCTGGAGTGGTTGGCGTTGCTGCTCTCGCGGCTTGCCAGAACTCGACAATTGGTTCATCGACCTTGAGTTCTTCCACTACTTCGCTCATCTCGTCAGTCTCGTCGAGTGTATCTCTCGTTTCATCAACAACGTCGACGTTCACATGTCCCTCAGCAACCGCGATCACGGTCGCGACCACTACTGCTACCGATGGATCGGCTCAGTTCACTGCTATCAATGCTGCCATCAGTTCTGCTCAGAGCTGCGGCGTTCCTACAGTCGTTGTCAAGGCAGGCACCTACTCGGAGATCATCGCTATCAGTGGAACTCAGACTGTGACAGTCATCGGCCCAACTGCTAGTTCTGTCGCACAAAACCAGGTCAACATCATTGCAAGTAGCAACACCCAAAACACTGGTGTTTTGAACGTCGCTGCTAGTTTGACCAAGGGGGTCACCTTCAAGAATCTGAACTTGACCAATACGGCATCCACCGGCACTGCCCCTGCTGCCGCGGTCAGGGGTAGCAAAATCGGGTTTTATACCTGCGCACTTATCTCCAGCAGTACTGGCGTGTTCTTCTCCTCCGTCGGTACTGCTCTGATCGCCAATTCATACATCGAAGGCAGCGACAAGCTTTTTGCTAACTATCCTTACGTATACGTCTACGGATCTACCATTGTTCCCACCGCTCAAGGCGCCTCGATCATGTATGGCAAGGGCTTACCCGCTGGTAATGGCAACGTCGGTAACGGCACTCTTGTCGTAGACTCCAGTTCCGTGGTCCAGAAGGCTGGATTGACCAACACTAATGTCTTCCTCGCGGCTCCTAATGGTGGCCTAGCTCAAGCTATCTACCGTAACACCAACCTAGGAAGCTTGATTGCCACGAGCGGATTCCATCCTACTTCCTGCGGAGCTAGCGTCCTTTATGGCGAGTTTTCCGACTTTGGCCCTGGAGCTTATGCAGCCAATGCACAAAGCAGGGCTTCAGGTTGCGACGTTCAGCTATCTGCCGATCAAGTATCTGCCTTCAACATCGACAAATTCTTTGGAAATGCATTCGCTGGATACACCTCTACCGATACTACTTGGATCGACTCTGACGTTCTGAGCACAATCCAAAAGTCTGACTCTGCTCAGATTGCTACTGTTTCAGGTTCAGCCGCCTCGAGCTCCGCTACTCCCAGTTCAACTGTCCTGAGCTCTTCTGCGTCGACCTCATCTGTCTTGAGCTCATCTGCCTCGAGCTCCTCCATCTCGAGCAGCTCCGTCCTGAGCAGCTCCAACAGCACTTCAGTCTCATCGACTGTGTCGTCTATATCATCCGTATTAACTGGAAGCAACACCGTGTCTGTCTCTAGCTCGAGCTCATGTGCTACACCTACCCCTTCAGCTACTTTGATTGTGTCTCAAAACGCCACAGCCTGCCAGTACAACAACATTTCTGCCGCCATTGCCGCTCTTCCTAACGACAGCAAGCCTTACACCATCTACATCCAGGCTGGTGTCTACAACGAGCAGATCAGCATCACCAGAAATGGCAAGGTTACTCTGATTGGTGAAACCAGCTTCAAAAATGACTACAGCCAGAACCAGGTCAAACTCCAGTTCTCGAGCGGTCGCCTTACCAGCGCGGGCCAGAACGAGCAGACTCCTGTCATCAACTCGAAGAAGACCAATGACAACTCTGGCCTTGCGCTCTATAACATTGACTTCGTCAACACTTACCCTCAGACGACCAACACTGCCGCTCTCGCAGCTGATTTCTATGGCAACAACATGGCCGCTTATGGTTGTTCTTTCATCGGCTTCCAAGACACTCTTCTTGCCAACAAGGGTGTTCAGGTCTTCTCGAACTGTTATGTAGAAGGTTCAGTTGACTTCATCTGGGGTTTCGGCACGGCATATTTCTACAAATCTGTTATTGCTTCGAACACTCCTGGCGCATGTGTCGCAGCTCAAGGCCGTACTGCAACTACTCCAGCTGCCTACATCTTCGATAGCTGTCTAGTCACGTACACTTCCACCTACGGGAGCTCATTCGGCCAGAGTTACCTCGGTCGTCCTTACAGCATCTACTCGACGGTCGTTTACAAGAACAGCTATCTCGATAAGCATATCAACTCTGCTGGTTGGCAGGTTTGGTCGACTGGAAACCCGCAGACATCTAACATCTTCTTTGGCGAATACAACAACACTGGTCCTGGGTCATGGGCTCCTGGAGCTGTCCGTTTTGCCAATGCGACCAACATGACCGCAGATCAGGTTGCAGGTTACAGTCTCTCTACCTGGGTTGGTGACACCAGCTTCATTGATCAGGCTGCTTGGAATGCCCAGCCGTCGTGGAACTTCCCTGCGTCCACGACTACTGGCGGCGCTAGCAGCTCCTCTTCAGCTGTTCCTGGGCCTACCAGTACCTCCTCGATCAATGCTCATCCTGACAGTGGCACTACTCCTCCTCAGTATGCAGTGATCGTCTCGGCTGATGGTCAACACAATGCTTCGTTCACAAACTTGACTGCCGCTCTTTCCTCCCTGCCCAACGACAGCACCAATCAGACCATCTTCCTCTACGCTGGCACCTACACCGAGCAGATCCCTTCGATCAACCGCCCCGGTGCCGTTCGTGTTATTGGATATACTTCGGGCAATCCCGGACAGAGCTATAAGGACAACTCTGTGACAATCACTTTTGCACGCGGTCTTTCGGTATCTCCTCTGCCTGCCGGCCACAACGATGCAGAAACCGCAACTGTCGCAACTGCCTCGAACAGAATTTCGTTCTACAATGTCAACTTCATCAACTCTGATAACCTTGACGGACTGGAGGCAAACTACGTAACTCTTGCCGCCTCGATCTATGGCAATGATATCGGCTTCTACGGATGTTCTTTCCAGGGTTGGCAAGATACTCTCCTCACTGGTGCGACTGCTGGCTACCAGTACTATGAGTCGTGTTACATTTCCGGAGCTATTGATTTCATCTGGGGTTATTCCAAGAGTTTCTTCAAGGGTTGCACAATCGGTGCTAAGAGACAGAAGTCTGCAATGACTGCTCAAAGCCGTGCTTCTGCTTCAGCCATCGGAGGTTACATCTTTGACCAGTGTCTTTTCACATCTGCCACTGATGCTACAGTTGATCTTACCGGCTCTGTCTACCTGGGTCGTCCCTACTCTGCTTATGCTCTTGTCGTTGTCAAGAACTCATACCTCGATGACATTATCAACCCATCGGGATGGAAGATTTGGTCAGTTACCGACCCTCGTACGGACTACATCACCTTCGGCGAGTACCAAAATGTTGGTCCCGGCTCTTGGGCAGATAACGTTGCCGCACGTCAAGCTTTCGGCAATGCCACTCTATTGACATCCGACTCTTACTCGCTGGAGTCCGTTATGGACAACACAGCCTGGATTGACAAGACCTACTGGAACTCAATTGTTACACCTGAGCCTGCAGTCGTCAACACTACTGCACCTAACAATGTCACAGTCTCCGGATCGAGCGCTTACAACGGCACTGTGCCTCCTACTGGCGCACTCATCGTTTCCAAGAACGCGATTGCCGGTGTTACTACTTACGACACCATTCAGGCTGCTCTCAACGCCGCACCCACTTCAAGCAAGACTAACGCCACTATCTTCATCTACCCTGGTGTTTACAACGAACAGTTGATTGTCAACAAGAGCGGTTCGACCATCTTTATGGGCTACTCAGACTCGACCGATGACTACAACAAGAACCAGGTCACCATCCAGCAGTCTTATGGTGAAGATACTCAGGGTACTGGAAGCGACGTGGACGCTGCTACTGTCTACGCAACGGGCAACTACTTCTATGCCTACAATGTCAACTTTAGAAACAACAACGGTACGCAGCAGAACATTGCTTCGCTTGGCTTCGCAGTCAAAAGCAGCAAGTATGCTTTCATGCACGGTTGTCAAATCTATGGTAACCAGGATACTCTGTACATCTCTGGTAACATGTTCACTTTCAAGAGTTACATTGAAGGAAATGTTGATTTCATCTTCGGCGCTGGATCTGGCTACTTCCTCAACTCGACCATCTCCCCTAACGAGGATGGTGATTCCATTACTGCTGCTAAGCGTGCAACCAACACCACAGCTGCTGGCTTTGTCTTTGATCAATGCTCAATCGTACCTGCTGCGGGCTCTTCTGGATTCAAAAATGTCTCGCTGGGACGTCCTTGGAACAACTTCGCTCGTGTGCTTTACGCCGGCTGCTATCTCGATGATTCAGTTGGCTCGGCAGGTTGGACTCAGTGGAGCAAGTCTTCGCCTCAGACCGACGGCGTGACCTTTGCAGAGTACCACAACTATGGTCCTGGAAGTAACACTTGCAACCGTGCCAGTTTCTCACAACAGTTGTCGGATGCCGCTGCCGCTCAATTCCAGTTGGCCAGCTTCTTCCCTACCACTTCGTGGATCGATTTCTCTGTTGTTGATGTTCAGCCCTTCACTGCTGGCTTCGGCTCTGCCCCAGCCGCATGTGTCAGTTCTTCGGCTTCGATCGTCCTCCCATCCACGTCGCTCAGCAGCTCCGTCCCTCTGGTCACAACCCAGGTCACCACCACCATCATCCAGAAGGCAACAACTTTCACCACTCTGACGCAAGGTGGTGTAACTTCGACTGCCGTGACTTACGTCACCGAGAATGATGGCACTACTGTGACTCCTTCGCCTATTTTGAAGACCTCAATCGTCAAGTCAACCAGTGTGATTACATCCACGACAACAAAGGCTGGCAAGACAGCGACAGTCAAGTCTACCTCTGTCGTTCTGGCTACTGCTACCGTATCTGCAAAGGACGTCACTGTCAAGCAGACTTCGGTCGTGTCAAGCGCCATAACCATTGCAGGCAAGGATACTACCATCAAGAGCACTGAAACTGACTACTTCACAACCACTGTTGCTGGAAAGACTTCGACAGTCAAGGCCACGAGCACTGTCTTCGCAACTTCGACCTCATCACCAAAGCCGGTCACGATTACTCAGAATGCCGGCTCTCTGGTCACCGTTTACCAAACTTCGACCTTGAAGGGCTCTACAGTCAGCAGTGTCACCACGGTCCAAGGTTCAGATGTGACATCCACGACCACTCTCAAGGCATCCACAGTCACCGTCTCGAGCTACTCTGTTAAGACTACCACGAAGGGAACGACCATCACTGCTTCTTGCGTACCCACCGCAGGTGCTGCCAGACTCTTCAAGAGAGGACTTGAGGCTCGTGCTGCCGGGACTACTACAATCTTCGTCAGCACCACAGTGACTTCCTACATCAAGACTTCAGTCATCACTAGCGCGGGTTCGACCTTCTACACCAGTATGACCAGCACCAGCACTATTGCGCCAACCAGCACACTTAAGGCAGCCACCTCGACAATTCTGACCACTTCGCTCGCAACCTCGACTCAGCTGATCACCGAGAGCGCCGCATCCGCAACAGAAATCTCAACCATTTTGACTACTTCGGTGGTCACCGAGACCGTCGGAGGATCCACCGTGACCAGCCTCGCATCTAGCACTGTCTTCAGCACTGTTTCTCTGCCTGGAAGCACGTTCACTAGCATTGTGACCGTCAGCTCGACCCAGCAGATTTCCGCAGCAGCAGCGACCACAACAAGCTACAAGCTCGTTTCTAGCACCACTGTCGTCACTGCCGCGCAGTCTACTGTCACAATCACCAACTCTGCAGACTCAACGACTACGGTCAAGACTACGCTTCCTGCATCTACTGCTACTGTGTACAAGACGAGCTCGATCAACGGCAGCACCGTCAAGATTACCGTAACACCTGCTCCAGCGACTAAGACGACAACTGTCAAGAGCACGTCTACAGTGTTTACGACTATCACAAAGACTGCAAAGAATGCACCTGCTTGTACGGGTTAGGAAAATTTGATGTTTTATTGTTCTGGGAGTCTTTCAGCGATGTGCAAATTTTGATGAGATTCATGGTTTGATTATCTATTATTACAACCTTTTAATGTACATACTTTTTCAACTTCCTACTGCAATCACACTTGCGTTTTTCCCATTTGCTGAGTGATGCACCTGTCTGGCTTTGTGAGTGCCAAATTACACCAGATGGACCTTTCTTTATTTGGCCCCAAAAGCGTCTGCTCAAGTTGTGACGACGTTTGTGTATTAGACAACAAAAACAATGTTGTTCTCGCCTGCCAAAGGTTAAGATGATAGGTGGTTGTCGTCAACGGGCATGGATAGGTATACCAAAATATAGCCTGGAAGATCGGTGTTGGATATAGCAACCAGCACTGGAGCTATTCCTCTGCAACTTGCACAGTCTATGGGAAGAGGGGTTCAAGTTTGACTCAAGGAGTAACAAAAAGCCAGAATGTCGTCGTCGAATACTTATATCTATACCAAGCTAGAGGCTCACAACATATTCCTCGAATATCTTGAGCAAGCCTTGAGCTACTGTTCTGAGACTTGCACGGTGAGTTCGAGAGGTACTCCCTCATCATATGTCTCGTCCACGACTGAAAGGAGCAAGTATCTCGGGCGAAATCTTGGATCAAGGCCTCAAACTTCAAAAATTAATCAAAACTCAAACCACTTGTCCGATTTCAACAAAAATAACGTGGATTGACAGGGAATCGAACCCTGGATCTCCCCCATGCGAAGGGGGCGCATTACCCCTGTGCCATCAACCCGCGAGCTTAGATATACAATTGATTTTGTATGAACTTAACCTAGCTCAACAGATCTCAGCGTTTTTTGCTACCACCAGCCGATAGAGCAGCCCTGGAGGTTCCTTTCCGTGTACTAAAGGCTAGATCAAGTCGAGGTTCAGGCGACATGTAGTTGTCGCAAGTTTCTGGAAGTCTGATATTTGACGAATCCGTCACAGCCGCGAGGACGCCGCTATCTGAAGAGATACTATGTTGTTTGCGCGTTTGAAGCGCAATGAGATGAGACAGAGACACTCTTTGAAGCATTTTGATCAAGTGTTTTCAAGTCCCGAGGGTGGTGGCCAGTGAGAATTTTTGGGCTGCATAGGCGATCTCCGAAACTTTGGTCACGAACTCAAAGCTTCAAACAAGATTGCCATGCAGTACAGCGACTCGAACAAAGAGCGTGGTGGACGAAGTCCTTCAAGGACGATTTGAATATTGTGGTACTCTGCGAGGACACTTATAATCCGTCTCGAGTAGATGTCTCGGGTGTCGTTCTCGAGGAGAACATCATATCTCCACCGGGTGAGCTGACCGTCTAATGAACACATTAAGCCGGGTTATTTGCACGAACTCGAAGAATACGAACACAAAAAATGTGTATGATGGATATAGGCTGACAGATAGTCAGTAAGTGATTGTATTTCTCTGAAGAAAGGCGACCCTACATCGATAGGCTGGATTCTCTAATATATAGTCATACCCAAACCTGTTACCCAAATTGTTGTACCGTCCACCTCCCGGTTAAGGGAGATCTTGCAGATCTCCTTGTCATGCATGTCATCTTACATCATAAGTGTAGATCATTTCCAGGTCACCTTTTGCTCTTTAGTAATTCCTTAAAGTCTTTAATTTCGGCTTAAGATACATGGATACTCACCGTCAAATCTACGACCCTGGTCTGCTGCTATATGTTGGTGTATGCCGCATAGCCGCGAATACGGTGATTTGATACGAGATGAGGTCTAAGCAAGCCGCCAAGCTTTGACCATATTTAGCTAGCGTCGACGCTCGAGTCCAACGCCAGTCCCAAAACAGTAACCATCCACATATGAGTGAAAAAAATTCTCTGTAGCCACCACAATATCCCTGACAATATGTATACCGTTCTATGGCAAAATCGTGGTCAGTACGGGGGTCGAACCCGCGACCTTGGCGTGTCAATATCATCAGGACAATACCACAGATATTAGCACCACGCTCTAACCAACTGAGCTAACCGACCAGGTCTATGGCGATTGAACACCACGTGATGTGCTCGAGATCGCCAGGTCCTTACTCAACCAGCTGTTTTTCCTGGGAACAGTTGCGATGGGGTCTGAACTGGCAGAACAAACTAACATTAACAATCGTTCATCGGATGTTTGCGGATGGTACTAACCACTACATTCGATCCCAGACATCTCACTGCGACCAATACGTATGTCATGTCGTACTTAGCAAAGACATGGGTCAATTGGGTGGTTCGGTCCAGATTTCTGGATTTTAGCTGAGTCCAAGCATTTCTCCACATACACATTCTGCTATGATAGAACATTTTTACTGAATATCCATCAAACCTCCTAGACATACAAGGCTCACTGCCTGAAAGTATCTGTAGTTTTATTCTCATCCGAGTCTGAAGTTGGTGATCGAGATGAGGAGGTGACATGATAACATCGCATTCCCGTTACCAGTTACCAAGCACCTCGGCAAGATGAAGCATCACGCCGAAGCGGAGTCACACACCATACACAATCCTACCATTCCTCTCTTACCTTTTCAACACTCCACCTGAAGAAGGATCTAAGTCTCGCACGGAATCAGGATGGAAACAACAAGACTTTCGAAAGCTTCCGAGCATAGGGTGTCAAAGAAGCCGAGAAAGAGCGTTGCGTATGATGCCATCTGACCCTCCTCCTCCGCCTCGGTAAAACTGACCAACTATACCGATCACAGTTGTCAGCGATGCCATTCACACAAGATCAAATGTGATGGCCAGAAGCCTTGTAAGAACTGTCGAGTCGCCGACAATGTCGTATGTGAATACCCGATCAAGGATCGAAAGACTACCGTCCGGGAAAGGTAGCTATCGTGACTCGCGATGAAATGGTAGATGAAGGCTGACGTCCTCTGAAGCTATATCAATGATTTATTGAAAGAGATTGAACGTCTCAAGAAAGACGCCTCCACACCTCAGGGCGACGATCAGCAACAAAGCCAAGGTAATACACCAGAGCCATCTACCACCACAAACTCAGGAAATCCTTTGGTGCGAGACGACGCTTGGTTTGTTCCACTGGATCAAAGTCCCATCTTCATTGGCGAGGCAGCATGTACAGCATTCTCATCGCGTCTACGGCAACTCCTACTTCACACGCAAGCAGAAATTCACATTGCTAGAACACACTATATCCAAGACAGCCAAATCTTACAAGCAGCAAACGAGAATGCACCATGGCCAAGCCGGCCTCAAGCATATCTGCTCGTTGAATCCGTCATTGCGACAGTGGGACAGTGCTATCATCTCTCTTCTCTGTCCAGTGTTCGAAGTTATCTGGAAAAAGCGTACACTGATCGATCATCCTTGAGCCAAATGCAAGAGTGTAAACTTTTTGCTCTGTTCGCACTCGCTCAAGTATACTCGCCCAGGTTAGCTGAAGCTCAGGACATGGTGTTTCCTGGATTACCGTATTTTGCAAGAGCTAGGTTGCTCTTGCCTGTACTGCCAGAACGTGCAACAGCGGATCATGTTGAAGTTTTGATCTCTCTTGTAAGTAAGAAATGATGATATAACTATATGATTGCTGATGAGAAGTAGACGATATACTCATTGGCGATGAATAGACGTCATTCGGCGTACTGGTACATTGGGTCTGCGATGCGACTATCCATGACTTTGGGTCTACACCACAATATCGCAGAATCTCAACTACCAGATCTGGCTGCCAGACAGATGAGAGCACGTCTATGGTGGACGGTGTATGCTCTCGACCGTTTCATCGCAAGTAAGATCGGTCACTCTGCATTCATCCTCAACGATAGTATAGAAGTCAGTCCACCTTCAGATGCTGGTCTTACCGACGCACAGAAAGGTGATGTGGTCAGTGCCGACTATATCTGTGCGAGTATGCGGTTAGCGAGTATCGCTGGAGAGACAATCTCGACGTTATACAGCCGGAAGAAAGACGATAGGCCATTTGTTCAGAAAGTACAAGCTATCTTCAAGAGCCTTCGAGACTGGTCGGCAACATTACCCGAAAGTGTTAGGATGTGGCCGGACAAACCTGCTAGTTGGCATATTGTCGCTTTGCATCTGTCTTTCAACCAGGTAAGTCGAATATCGCCGGTATTCTCAATGTCGCTGACAGTGTCAGTGTGTCATCCTTGCCACCCGACCAACCTTACTCCAAGTCTTCCACGTCACCAACCGTACAAACCGAAAAGACGAGATCCCTCAAGCAACGTTCATGCTAGCTGAAACTTGTGTCCACACTGCAAGACATACCTGCCGTCTCTTGACCCAAGCATGGACAGCACTTCCAGCACTAGACTACTCATCAGCGCAGTATCTCTTCGCTGCAGCCACCATCCTCGCAGTTTCAAACCTCTGTCTCGGGTCCAACGCACAAGCAGACAAAGAGACATTCCAATCAGCACACCACCTGATGCAACAACTCGATCGTTTAGGTAACATTGCTGCTAGAGAATTCTGTCAACATTTAGATGCTGTTCTTGACTGCATCACAAGATTCGAAGCGGAAAAGTCTGAACAGTTACTAGGAATTACACCGCAACAATCGTCAAGTATGGATGCATTGCGAATGGATGAGATGACCAGCGAGATGGCGATCTTCCAGCCAAATGTGCAGGATTTCTTGTCGTTTGATAATGCTGATCTAGAAGCGCTGTTTCCTTTCGATACGACTGATATATGGCCATATGTATCAATGCCGGATTTTGAGGCGTGATATAGTTTTGATATTCAGGTGGGACAATTACATATTCCCTACTAAAGGTTGCAGCTACATTTGTATAGCTATAGATATGCACAGAGATATCGAGACACGGGGCAGTATCCGCTGGAATATATCTCAAGACCGACACTCTCTGGACGGAGGTTTAGTCGGCGAACCGTCGTACAATTCTATAGCTAATACATTGCCCGTATTGTTAGTAGAGGTCACAACCCTACAAATTCTCCTCGTAGGCTGCAGGGCGTTTACGTAGCTATAAGAATGCACAGAGGTGTTGGGAAACTGAGAACATCATATTGATGGACCCTCTCTGGACAGCGCTCTATCTCAGAGACTTTTGTGCGTTTTCATAGCTGATATATCGTGGTGATCCGGAACGGAATTGTGTACATCAGCACTTAAAGAATACGGAAACATGGCACGAACAACACGGCTTGTAACGATGGAAAAGCGCGAACGAATTTCATTAATGTCACGTTCGTGACCCGATTGCCGATGTTTGTCAAGCCGTACTAGCTAATCGTTCACACACTCTGACCCGGGAATCTACTGTTGGTACCATCCCATGTCCACCTCGTGGTTCAGACGAGCCAACTCTGCGTTGTACTCGGCCTGCAACCATTCCAGATATGTCATTTCGACAGGGGCAGCAGCAGGCGCGAGAAGAGGGTCGTAGGGAGCGATAACGCCGGATTCATCAATTGTAGTGAAGATGGGGCTGAAAGCAAGGTCGTTGAAGGAACCAGTAGGAGCGCGCTGAGCATCTGGACATAAGCATGGTCAGTTCCATTTTCCAACACGCGCAATACGAGCGATGAGTACATACCACACTTTGATCTCTTGTGGTAGTTGCAATGACCGCAGGTGACAGCAGTGCTGTTTGCCTTCAAGTAACAAGGGAAACCCTCGCTTTTGGTACCGGGCTTGCAACCAGAGCACTTTACTTGTGCTGGTTCTCCCTTGGCAGTCTCGTGGAGGACGCCTGCCTTACTCTTCTTGATGAGAGTGCGTGTGGCGGCAGCTCTGGTTCGGTCGACGAGGGTCTGCTGACACAGAACGTCCCATTCCTGCTGGCTGCAAGAGTAGAAGACTTCAGTGGCTTGAGGGCGTCTAAGAGAACGGATCTTCTCGCTGAGGCCAGGGATGTGTCTTTATACAGGAGTCAGCGCTGAGGACAGTTGACAGTGTGTGCATACTTACGCGGCAGGCATGATGGATGCTGAAGGTGCGTTACTAGTTTTCTTGGTAGTGATGTCTGAGGAAGTCGCGTGCCGTGTTGCGGTATGATGGGAGATAGAAAGAAAAACGAAACAATCATGAGTGAACGTTTGTATTCGTGAGATGCTGGATAATTCGTCGTGCGTCGAGTGCGTCGCCAGGGCACCAGACTTGTCGACAAGCAAACACCAACCCGACGAACACGAACGTTCGCTCTGCTGCGAGTCACTTGTTTACCTCGACGCGAGTTGTAGCTATCCCTCCAGAAGACCAAGTCGAACGACATGAAAAGCCAGTCAGCCTGATGTCTGATACAGTGCTTCTATGTCTACAATCCCAACAGTATGAACTTGCCAAACTGGACGTTGTCCTTTACTGCACTGCTCAGAGATCGGTGGCAGACTGGAACATGGCAAGCCGAATGTCTTTATCAACTCCCATCGAAAATCTTCATGAAGTCTCCCGCAATCAAACCACAACTTCTCTTTCCGGTTCCGGCGTACTATGGATACCCCTCTCAGTCACATTCGCTCTTGTGTTCTGGACTTTCTTTGCAGCATCGCCCATCTTGACGAGCAACTGCTTGGCAAGGCCACTATCAGCGAAGGTGGCTTCTGCGAGTATTTCGAGGGTCTTGGATCTGACGATGCGAATCTGGACATTGCCATCGATCAAGTCGTATGAAGTCATGGTGTTGCCATTCCTGTGTTGGTTCATGAAGCTGTCGAAGCGCGCTTGATCGGTGAAAGCAATCGTATCTCTCATGGCGATCATGGTTGCAGTTGTGACTGATGGATGGAGGTATGTGGTAGTATTGTCGAGGAAGCGGCCGTGGACTGAATGATTGACTTGCTTGACAGAACTATCCACCGAGCTCGAGTCCTGGTAGACATCGTCTTTTGTAAGTCTCGATCCTTACTTGAATTCTGTTGAGCTTGGGAGGATTGATTATGGACACGTGAGACAGTCATCTGACTTGTCGACCGGCATGAGATCTTCATGGTTAAGATTCGAGTGAACCAGCGTCAGAAATGGACTCATGCCAGATGGCATCATCGTCAATCGTGTTCCTGTATGATTACGAAACACCTAACTTGATTACGATACCAGCAAGATCTCGAGGAGACAGAACTGGCAAAAGACTTTGTAGGATTGCCCCTCCGTGAATCCTCCCAAGACTGTACGTCAGCCGACAGGACATGGTCGACCGAATCAGGAAACCCATGTCTCCGTCGCAGGAGTTTACAAGGCCGAATCGAGAACGGTCGAGTACGGACCTTGATGGCTGACGAAGAGCCTCTGTGGATAAACCTCGGGAGGACTTCGTTGTGGCTGTTCATCCGCGCGAGTCGGTTGATTGAAGCTTCACAGAGACCGAGTGCTTCGGAGCAATGTTCCTCCTTGCGTGAGCTTGAAGCTTGAGCTCGAGGTACAAGGATAGATAGTAAATGTCGTAGGTATAGTCAGAACGGTACCTGAAGGAGCTATAAAGGACTGTGACTCCCCATCGTAAACTTGTATCAGCACCACAGCAAGAACATCCGATCCAGAGCTACAAGTATCCAACACAGACTTGAAACCATCATCCATCTCCGTCACATAACAACCAATTAACCAATCATCATAAATCAACGAAAACTCCCATCCAAAGCAACAATGTCCAAAGCCCTCCTCATCACCGGCGCAACAGGCCAACAAGGCGGTGCGACAATCGACGCTCTCATCAGCTCCCCATCCCACACCTCCGACTTCACAATCCTAGCCGTAACTCGCAACCCCTCTTCCGCCTCAGCGACCTCCCTGCAAGCCAAATCCCCAGCCATCAAGCTGGTCGCCGGAGACTTCAACGATGTGCCCGGTATCTTCGCTGCCGCTGAAGCACTTCAGAAGCCCATTCATGGTGTCTTCGCTGTCACCACATTCCTAGGTAAAGGTCAGAGTGTGGAGACCGAAGAAAAAACCGGCAAAGCATTGGTGGACGAAGCACTGAAGCACGGTGTCAAGCATTTCGTTTTCACCTCGGTGGATCGCGGTGGTGACAAGTCCATCGACAACCCCACCGAAGTGCCTCATTTCATTTCCAAGCACAACATCGAGCGCCATTTGATTGACAGCGCAAAAGGCACTGACATGAAGTACACCATTCTGCGTCCCGTCGGCTTCATGGACAACTGGGTCCCTGGGTTCATGGGCAAAACTTTTGGCGCAATGTGGTCAGCAGCCCTCAAACCAGACCGCAAGTTGCAGTTGATCAGTGTGCGCGACATCGGCCACTTTGCCGCTGAGGCCTTCCGCAACCCGGCCAAATACAACAGCCGTGCTATCTCTCTTGCGGGAGATGAACTCACCTTGTCTGAAGCTGATAAGGTGTGGAAGAACGCTGTGGGACACGGAGCACCAAACACATTCTCGTTTGTGGGATCGGGTTTGTTTTGGGTCAGCAAGGAGCTGAGTACCATGTTCAGATGGTTTCAGACCGATGGCTACAACGTCGACATTGCTGCTCTCAAGAAGGAACACCCTGGTCTGCAGACCTTGGGTGATTGGATTGTCAACGAGAGTGCTTTCAAGAAGAACTGATCAAGTCATGATTGGATGTCGCGAGAAATCTCAGGTAACCAGGCCTTCTAATGTCACATAAGAATGAGAACCTTAATGCACAATCTGCCGTCTTATAGCCTCTCTTTGTGCTCAGATATACAACTTCCATGCTTCTCCTGCAGAGTCCCAGCCCGTAGACGCTATATAAATGCATAGTCATTTTTGGATGACAGGCAAGCCCATATAGAGTTCAAGATGTCACGACTCTCAATGGATACACCTCTATCTTTTGAAATTATCGTGCATCTTCATAGCATGCTTGACGTTGGTAGAAGGACAAGGAGTAAAGAGTGGATGTCTACATCTCTTATACTCCTTCCACAAAGATGTCCACGCTATAAAACTGGATAACAGTGTCCACATCACATCCGTGTTTAGAGAGAGCCGGCAATACCATGGCTCTCCTTGGCAACCATCTTTCTTCTCGAAACTACTATGCATTCTGCAGTCACTTGTGACCTGCCATTGCACATAGTGAGGTATCACGCACTGCGATTAACTCATAGGGGATCAGGATATGGTGGGGCTAACGTAGGTGATTTATTACTAGCAATACTAGCTGAGGAGGTCTCGCGCCTCTATCAGTCCATCCATTCCCCTTTTCAACCTCTTTTATCTCTTTACCAAGCAACTGTTGGTCTACTGTTGCATACGTGGCGCCCCTTGGTTGTACTACTCAAAACATCGAAGCCAAGCTGTATCATTGTTGACCAGCTATTGCATCAAGGGGGCCGTTGGAACCACGCGATGTGGTATTAGTCTTTCATTACGAACGTGAGAAAGCGAACTCGTCTCTGTCATCAAGTAGCACTGTTGTTGTTCTTGGCAGCGTCCTGCTTCCTCTTCATCTCGGCCTCAATGTACGGGAAGGCAAGGTGGCCAAAGCGGTAAGGCTGGTAGCCCTCACGACGTAGAGGTGGACCGCGTAGAGTTGCGGGAATGGGTAAGCCAGGGGGAGGGCGAAGCGTAGAAGAGGTAGCTGAACGCATAGGGGTCGACCAAGAAGGAGCAGAGGTGTCTAGTCCAGAGGATGAAGGGCTGGACTGAGCATCATTGGTGGAAGAACCAGTAGGACGAAGAGTAGAGCATGCACCTCCACGGAGATGAGTCGAGGCTGGGTTGAGAAAAGGATCATGGACGCGAGGGGCGGAACGTACGGGAAGATCAATAGAACGGTTCCTGAAAGTCGGGGCGGCCAGAACACTTCCCTAAAGTGCAGCCTGGGGCTGGGTGGCGCCGTGTCTCTGATCCAGATGATCGTAGTTGAGCACAAACTCCCTGCGCTCGCGTCTCCAGTTGTTGGCGTCGAAGAAGATGTAGACACCGCGCTCACTACGCTCGCTGACACGGATGGGAGCAGCCATCTGACTATCCTTCATCATCCACTGCTGCAGCTCCTTGTGCCAACGCCAGTCGCGGCTGTACAGCTCACCCGCGGCGAGCTCCTGCACGACATCTCGGGGGTTCTGGTAGAAGACGAAGAAGAGGGTCTCGTCAGAGAAGGCGTTCATGCGCGTAGCCAGGGCTGGAACGTTTGTGACTGTGTAACCGCCAGGCAGGGTAAACTCTGGAATGACAGGACGTGATCGGTTGTCGGCGAAAGGGGTCGAGAAAGTAGCAAACAGCGGTTCGGGACTATCCAGATCAAGACCGAGCGAATTGATGTCGACGCCCATAGTGAAGGCAGAGGATGCGTCGTTGCTGCGGATCTTTGCCAGGAGACCGGGGAGACCCCATTTCTCGGCCTCGGTCATTTCATCGTAGGGTTTTAATTGTTGTGGAACAGCTTGGCTGGTGATAGGAGCGTCAACCATTTGAGGCGCAAAGTTGGATGAGTGTTGCGAGGGTTGTTGTTGTGCGCTGGCCTGGCCAATGGGTGGTTGTTGCTGCATCAAACCCATATGTTGTTCAATGCCGGGTGGGTTGGCGGGTCTGGGACGTGATGATTCCGAGCCGAAAGCGCCGTCTTCGTGAGAGTAACCGTTGACACGGCCATTCAGCTGGGCCTGGTTGCTAAGGGGTGGGAATTCATCTTGAGGCTGTTCGCTGCCGGCACGTCCAGAGATGGGCGATTGACCATCAAACTGACTGTCCATGTTTGAAAGTTCCTGTTGCTGTGATTCGTGCGTCTGGCCGGAGACAGAGCGTGATTGTTGGGGCTGCTGCTGCTGTTGGGGCTGCGATTGTTGTTGCTGGGCTTGCTGGGATTGTTGGACGGGTTGTTGTTGGGGCTGCTGCGAGGGAGTTGCGCGCTGAGCAGGGGCTTGCTGAGGTGTGCGGAGGGCTGTGGTGTTCCAGGCTTGCGATGCGTTGGCCTGCTGGGGTTGTGGGCCGAGCGAAGGGAACTCGCTGTTGTACTTGTCGTCAGTCACGGTGCTCTGGTCAACAATGTAATGACCCGAGGGAGTGCGTCGAGTGATGGGAATGCTCAGCATGCCCGCATTGAAGCTGGCATCATTCTCGAGGTCGAGAGAGGTGTATTTGGGTTTCCTGCCTCTGCGGATCTTTCTGTTGACCATGATGATGCAAGGTAACAATGGCTTTGGGTAATGGATGACTGGGATAGAATGGATGTAATGGATGCGAAGAGAGTGCGTGGACGTACGAGAGATCGAGGGGGGCCTGCGACGCAGATGCGCCTATGACCTGTGCAAATCCGGCAAGAGGAGTACGCGACGAGGCACTGAGGCCTGGCGCTCCTGCTCCTACTCCCATAGGCACACCGAAAGTCCAACTTGACCCTCCTCCCAGCTTTGCTGTCTGTCCTGCTCGTTGCGAGGCGAGCGGCGTGTTGCGATTTGCGCTCGCTGTCTGGAATACGTTGCCGGCCATTGGGCGGAGTGCTTGCTGTCCGTTTCCTATATGCTAACGTCAGTCCCAGATCGTCTCTGTCTCAGCCAGTCCACGCTGTCTCGATTGTGTGGTTGTGTGCTATCCTTCGTACCATGCTCACTCTGACGCGCATTGCTCGTCGAACATTGCGCACGCTTGACGATACCACATATCGGCTGGGCGCAAGAGAGTACCAAGGAAGACTGAGGAACCAACATACCTGATCGATTCATTCTACTCTGCAAAGGTTCTTCTCGACTCGGAACCAAGCGACTACTCGAGAATTGTGCGACGGCTCTGGAGGTCGACGAGTGTCGGCGTCGCAGTCGCAGTCGCAGTCGGCGGTGCTGCTGTCCAAGCATTATCGGAGCCTCAACGGGCCGATCCGCCGCTAGCTGTATAGAGCAGCAAGTGTGTCGATCACTACATATGTCCAGGCCTGTTGCCATCGAGGCCCTCACGCACGCGATCAATCCCAGACACCAGCCTGTGCATGACAGCCTTCTTGAATACCACTCGGGTGATGGCCTACATCTATACCTGCAGCCATAGAGCACATCTCAGCCTTGATCAGAATCACAACCGTCACGAATCTAAGATAGTCCTTGTTCGCTGGCAAAAGATTGTGTGTATATACAGGGAAGCCTGTTTGTCATACGGAACATGCGTTAAGCAGCCTTGGTCTGGTCCTTTTCCAGCATCTTCCTTCTGGCGGCCAGCACCATCTCCTCCCTTCTTCGTTTCAGAATCTCGGATCTTTCTGTCTTGTTCTGAGACCACCCTTTGGTGCCGTTTGTTTCTGCCTCTTGCTTGCCTTCTGCTGTGTTGACACGAGATGAGAGGTTGTACCGGGTGATCAAATCGGGATTGGTCTTGACCTCAGCTACAGGTCTGGTAGCGGCGGGTGCAGCTGCAGCGCGAGGTATCGGGGGCTGGAAAGATGGTGGGGGCTGTGGTTGCTGTCAGTCAGATCTGATAGCCTAATTGCTGCGGCAAGCGAGCAAAGCAGCTTGTACGTACCGTCTCCAAGGTTCTTCCACCGAGAAGTCTCTCAACAGTCGCCTGTACGCTGCCTCCGTTTCGATGCAAATCCCATATAATTGCTCGTCTGTCCAACTGGGGGTACATGGCGGCTACCGCTTCGACGTGCTCGGGGTTGACTTGACGTCCTCCATTGCGACCAGAAGATTGTGATGATGGCGGACTGGGTCCAGAGAACCAGCGGTATAGCAGAAAGCCCACGACGGCGACAGCGAATATCTGGCCAAAGTTTATCGTCTCGGAAGCCATGCTGCCAGGGGTCGGTGATGACGTTGAATGCGCCGGGAGAGATAGAAGATGAGTGGCGGTGACAGTCCTCGGAAAGATAACCTCGCAGAATGTTTATAGGAGGGAGGCAAGCAGAAGTGATGTCCGGGACAAGTGTTGCAAGGTCGAAGCAGCGGTGATGTACAACAAAGAGGAAGCGTCAGCAGTATCGGGCGGAAGACAGACGGCTGTGTTTCGGGCGGGCAGGGCTGAGCCGCTCAGGCCGCCGGGAGTGTGTGCCCTCCCACCTTCCTCCATCCCAATCGATAAGCATCGCCTTCTTCCAAAAGCATGCAGGGCAAGAGTTCTACCGACCACCACTTCTCTACTGCCAGTACTGCAAATCGAATTCGGTCGCACCTGCAGTCTGCTGTCACGAAGCAGCTGCCTACCCGTGGTCTTCTCTGACACTCGCTCCTGACGTGGATTGTGAGCCCCCACGTGATACGGTCACGACTGATGGTTCTTGCCTTGTCTCTGCTGCCCCGCGTCTGCAAACGACCTGTCTTGATAGCCAGCCTTGCTAGCTGCCATCCTACATCGTCTCTCTCACCGCATCTTTGCAACCTGTCCGTCTTCGACTTTGATCATCCAGACACTGCCACATCGCCCATCTGCGCTGCTATCTTGCTCTAAACCCCGCCTACATCCGGTTTCTGCCGTTCAGGGTCTAGCCACAACCTTTCCACTCATCACCCGTCGTACATCCAAGACTTCTGCCCACTCGGCAATCGCCCAGAGCGACGGCGATCCTGTTCTGCCCAAAGAGCTTGTCTGTCCATCACACGTGCTCTCTGTATACCTGAATCTCCATACTCTCCGCCCACCTTAGATCGCACCGCCTGTCTGGCGGCCCGCTCGAAACCCGGACACCTCCCCAGAAGCCTCCATCGTCGTTCGCCCAACATACGGTTCAGATCACGCAGCCGCCCAGCTGACAGCGACATGGGCCTGGCATACAACGTTTACCTCAACTGCAAGCGAATCTACGGCTGCAAGACCTGCAAGACCCACCTGGCAGACCACGATGACATAGTGAGCAGAGTACGTCCTCTCCAGTGCGACACGTTTTGGGTTCCTCCAAGCTTACGGTTGCAGAACTTCCGGGGCCAGCATGGCAAGGCTTTCTTGTTCAACAGCGTCGTCAACATCGTGGCCGGCGAGGCTGGCGAACGCAACATGACCACTGGAAGACATGTCGTACGAGACATCACCTGCAGACAGTGCAAAGAGACGGTTGGTTGGAAGTACGACAAGGCGTACGAAGCCGCCGAGAAGTACAAGGAGGGCAAATACATCCTCGAGGCAGAGCTACTCTGCAGCGTCAACTGAGCATGTTGCTTCATCGCTTTACGATTGTCGACAAGGAGTTTTGCTACACACTGAGCTTATGAGAACAACGCAAGGAGTTATGGTGTCAAGGCTAGGAGCCTGTATCGAGTATGTTTGTCTTTTGCTTTCTGGAGTTTCGCACGGTGGAGTTGCTTGTTACTGCTCAAAACTATAGGAGCTATATGTGCTGATATCTGCTATCTCTGAGCTCACTCAATCACAAATGATACAAATGACCAAAAATTACACTGTATTACTTCTTTGCATCCAATGTACCAACATTTGTTACAAGCTAGGACGACCAAATGTCCAACCATCAGATTGATGTCCCAAGGTAATCTCTCCAGGCCAATCTGTTCAAACTCTGTCGCTTAATGTTCAAGCTCGAAGACGACCTTCTGCACCTTCATCTTGTCAAAGAGATCATAGCCTTCCAAGGCTTCAGAGAGCGGCATGACCTTCTCAAACATGAAGCCGAGTAGGTGTTGCTTTGCCTTAAGCTTTTCGAGTGCTTCTGCGAATATCGAACGGACAGGGCAGCGACCCATCTGAACACGCAGATTCTTGTTGTATGCTTGATTGCCTGTCCACGGGATCTGTGCGTGCTCGTCAGCCCAAGTTGCTCATTTGCGGTCATCAAACATATTATTACCTCAGCATTGTGTACACCAACACTCGAAATGATACCCCAAGGTCTGAGGAGGTCGTAACCAAGCTTGAGTGCAGGAGACAGACCCACAACCTCGATCACGACATCAGCACCTCTGCCGTCAGTGAGCTCCTTGACTCTCTTTTCCAGACCTTCTCTATCGGTCATGAAGTTCCAGGCTTCGGCTCCGAGACCCTCGGCTTGCTTCAATCTGCTGTCCACACTGTCAACAGCGAGGAGGTGCTTGGGCTTGTAGTCCAAGGCATTAACCAATGCACACAAACCCACGGGTCCCAGACCGAGCAATACAACTGTGCTCTCCTGAGCTTCTTCCTTGCTCAGCTCCTTGAACGCATTCTTAGCCGCAAACATGCCGGTGGGGAAGATATCTGCCATCAGCACCAAAGCTTCCTTTTCCAGTCCCTCGGGTGCCTTCATCACCGTACCCTCAGCAGTAGGGATACGTACGTATTCAGCTTGACCACCATCAAGCTTAGGGCAGCCGAAGAGAAGTGACTTTTCGCAGCGAGAGGAGAATCCATGTTTGCAGTAGAAGCATTCGCCGCAGGAAGTTGTGAAAGGAGAGACGACGAGGTCGCCTTCTTTGAGGGTCTTGACGGCTGAGCCTACTTGGGTGATGCGGCCTGTGAATTCGTGGCCCATGATAAAATCGGTAGCTGAGGCTTGGTGGCCGCGGAAGACGTGCAGTTCGCTGGGACTGTGGTCAGGTGTGACAAAAAAGTGTACGGATGATTGTACTTACCTGCCGCAGAGTGCTGTGTACTCGACCTTGACAATGATGTCTCCATCATCTTGGATCTTCGGCACAGGACCTGTATGTTTCTGCGTAAGCTTGTGGTATACAACATTTCTCCAGAGAAGTAACACTCACGGTCCTCAATCACGACCTTGTGAGGTCCCTTGAACACAACAGCTTTCATAGTTTGCGACATGATTTCGATATTGGCGCTTCTCTCTCACACAGTAACGTGTTTCGAAAACAACCTCCTCTTCGATCGAAGGAATAGCTCTACCTTTTGTAGTCGTGGTCCCGAGGCTCGGTCTTTTGGCGGGGCAGCAGCAAGACAGCGGGGTCGGAGGCGTCATCGCATCTGCTACGGAGCAGCGTCTACAGAAGCTCGAGTTTGGACCGTGGTGTGATCAACCCTTTACACCTTTTGCTCGACGTTGGTCGCACTTATACCGTGATCGGAACTGTTTCGAAGCTTCGGAAGGCGTCGCAGGGCGCAAGGAACGTATCAATGGACGGTGGTATACCGATCAATGGTATGTAGTAGCGATGTTCTCTCAGTCGCATGTTTCGCCATCATAGCGTAAGCAAGAAACTCTTCCTCCTGCCCGAGAGCTAGAGGTTTGCGGGACTCTTTCATGAGATTCTTCGACTCAGCACCATGAACCTCAACTCTCCATAATCATTCATGAACAGGTAGGATTCCTGATTCGTGGACATGTCCACGCGCATCCTTCTTGTCAGAAGCTGGTCTCGTTTGGAAGTGGTCATGAATCGTTTGTTTGGGTGTCATCTTCTTCATGAGGCTCGCAAACCGCCGCCACTCAGCCTGTATATGCGAATCTGGGCATCCATACAGCGTTCGTCATATGCGGTTGAAAGTAGGTAGGTAGTATAGCTGCTCCTAGATTAAGTGTCGTGCACATTCCACTTCGATCGTCCCTTACTGCTCTTGCCCTCTTGTGTACCACTCTATGCTTCCTTGCCTTGTACGCCATCTTTTTTTCGACCATCCACTATAAGCGTTTTCTTTCTTTCTTATCTACTCACAGCTCCTATATACCTCTATTTAACAGTTTATAACCGCTACACATCATGACTTCTCTATCTACTTAGCAAGCACACATTGCTAATACGTTATATTAGAGATAACAATGCAGTCTATATGTGTATCGACTACATTGTTATTAAGTAGGGTCTGCCGACTAATATAACATGTCTAAAAGATTGTGGTCCGAGAAGAGCAGGGTCGTCCTGTATGCAACATGCCGGACTCAGCCCCGGGCCCTAAACGGGTGGGCAAATTATGGTAGAATAGATCGTTGTTATCTTTGATATGTTGCCATGTATAGCCTCAAACGTCGCTGATCTTAATCTTGTCCAACAGTGCTACATCACCATTTGTGACGTCTGCCACAAACTTGGCATCCGTGTTAAACAGCATAACATGAAAATGCTCCACAGCATGTATGGATTTGAGGGAAGCCCAGTTCTTGAACCAGATGCAATTTGCGGTGCCAACGTGGTCTCGGAATGTCTGGTTGACGTAGGAATCGATCTGCTGTCTGGCTGAATCGGTCAGGTCGCCGGTGATGGTGTCTTCTTCCAGTTGGAACTTGACCCATACGACTAGATGTACGATTCTTGTATCAATTCCGTAAGGCCAGTCGTTGAGCAAGATCTTGATGTCGTCTATGGCCAGTATCAACACTGTACGACTTGGAGTCTGTGAAGATCTTACCTGGGTTGCTGAAGGGCTCGCCTTGAGGCACTAGATCTTGCCATCTCAATCTCTCGGCCATGACAAAGTTCATAACCGAGCCGAATTCCTGCTTGAGCTTCGCGGTATAAGCCTTGTAGCGGCGCAGGTCGCTCGGGACCCGCTGGAACAGATCGATACGATTCGTCCGTATGAATTCTTGAACCTCGTGCCATGACAGACGACGGAACTCGGAATCTGGAGTTGCTAGGATCTTCTGATCCTTCTCATTTGCGTCTTTCAGGAAATCCGGACAATCGGCAGACCTTTGATCCGTGGGAACGTTGACCTGCCAGTATGGCGTTGTCTCTGGCATGATTTGGACAGCGTAGAGAGTACTTGAACAGCAGGATTAGTCGAGGGCAGCAAGGCCCAAGCCTCACCCCTATAAGACGTGGAGCCAGTCGGAAAGGAGGAATCCTCCGGTCATAGTGAACAGCGGCCATCACAGTTGGATACAGGATGACAATGCACAGCCGAGCGGTCGGCTATGCATGTCGGACGTGGCGTCGTTGCGAACCCCTGTGCTTGAAACGCCCTTGGTCGACGCGTTCCTGATAGAAATGATCAATTTCACGCGACGGCTCATGACCTACAACGGGATATTATAGAGAGCAGATATTTCGTAGAAGCAGGGCAGATGCACATGTAGAAGCAGCATCGGATAAGCGTATGCAGGCGTATCCGTACGCGCGGCACGGAGCGTGCTCTGTCTTGTTCATTTGAAGGATGAGGGATGGAAGACATCTCAAAGCTTCCAGCAAGTCTGCCCAGCTTTTGGCAGGGTCGCGCTAGAGCCACGCTTCGAGCCCGGCGCTCCAGGGCAGCAAATCACGGTTCAGAGATACAACGGCGTTAATTGTCTAACTTTACGGTATCAGGGGGAGGCTCGCTCGACTCGACTCGCGCGTGAGCAATTCCAATCGTCCACACGCTCTTTCATCTGCCGCCGGGTCCTGTTTGTTCTTACTGTTACCCTGTTTCTCTCTTTCCTTTCTTTTTCGATCCGTTTCACCTACCCTGGACAGCACTCTTTACAGCTCCCGATGAGCAGCGAGTCAAGCGCATGATTGCAGAATAGAAACAATCTACCTTTAAACAACGTCCATGCCATCCTAGCATCTCGTATTCACTCCGCCAACATCGACCACCAACATGATGCATGCTCCGAATCGCAGTCGCGACGACTCTCTGTCTGGTCGCGGCTACCAAGGACCCCCCCTAGCCCATGATCCATACGCTGCTGCAGCCAGCAGAACTGCTGTTCCTATCCAGAATTCCCCGCCATTGTCACAGGGCTCGACCGACAACAGCCTCTCTAGTCGCGCTCACTCGCGGCGCTCACCTAGCGCAACCAACAGCCACCTTTCTTCCTCGAGTTCCGTCAGCGGCGGTCCTGGCCTGTACTCGCCAGCCGCTAGCGAGTTCAGAAGACAGTCAGTCAAGTCGAACAACCAGGAAGCTGCATTGGCCCACCATTACTCGGTACTCAAGGTTTACCTCGCACCCTACTTGAGAGACGAGCAGGGAAACACACGGCCGACACGAGCAAGGGATAAGTTGCTCCGTCTTTCGCCTACGCAGTTCAATGAGCTGAGTACCGACGTATTCGACGAGCTGCAGAGACGCGAGGATGATCGCCGACGACCAGGAGGCATTGTGCCTCCGTCTCTCCCACCCAGAAACATTTTCCACCCCAAGAGAAACCAAGCACGCCAAAAGCTCTCCACCCTTCCTCCAGAGCGATTCCGACAACTTGCGACCGATGTCTTCTTTGAACTCGGGAGCCGAATGCCAAATCTCCTTGGTCCCGATGGGGACAGACCTGCCAGTCCCACAGGCAGTGTAGCAAGCAGAGTGTCGAGCCGACAGCACCCACCATACGCCATGCGCCGTCCGTCGGGCCAACAGAATGGCATGCGCGGGCCTCCTCCAGCCGGCATCAGGCCCGGACCACCTAGCAATGGGCCGTATTCGCCCTACTCGCCCTCGGACGAAACAATGCCACCTCCGCGTACCGATTCTCGCGGTCTCCCTATAAGCCCAAGCAGTAGTTTCGGAAGACCACTCCCACAAACTTTCCAGAGCAATACCATGGTCCCCAACAAAAGCACCATGGTAGAAGACGACGAAACCGACGAAGACGACGACGAGACATATGGCCTGGGACAAGTCTCCGGCACTAGCGAGAAAGACGCCGAAACAATGAGAGCCTTTGAACACCAGGTGTCAGAACTCGAGGCCAAGATTGCAGATTTGGAAGCAAAACTACACGACAAGGACGCAGAAATTGAAACACACAAACAAGATCACAGCAGAGACAGGAACGAGTGGTCACAGACACGAGAAGAGCATGATCTAAAGATGGTCGAGTCACAGAAGACCCTGGACACATTACACGCCGAACTCGAGCACACCAGAGCGGATCGTGACCAATCTGAGTCCAATCTGCGTGCTCATACGGAACAAGCGGTTTCAGATTTGCACCTCGAGCTGGACGAGATCAGGACTGAAAACGAGATGCTCCGAGCTAACGCAACGTCGGCCAAGTCGCTGGATCATGACAACGATTGGCAGCAACGCTACAAGGAATTGGAGCAAGAGCTGTTGCAACACAGAAAGACTACAGCCGAGGTACGTCTCACTGCCGAGCAACATCTGCAGGAGATGCGCCTGCTGTCAGAGCAGAGTGAGACAGCCATGGAAAGGGAGGAAGAATTGCAATCACGAATTGCAGCCCTAGAAGTAGAGAACGAGCAATGGAGAATTCGCTACGCGAAGACCAAGACACAGTTGAGAACGCTCAAAGCATCTTCGATCGGCTTGTCGATGGAGCACATGGCTGCAAGAGCACTATCATCCAAGCACGAACACATCAAGTCGAACGGCCTGGTAAAGGATATGGATGTGACGAACTTCCAAATTTCAATCGATGAGTTGCTACAAGCAGCACGCGATGGGTCTTCTGCCCGTCACTCGGCGCTCGACAAGGCCAAGGCTGTTGTTTTAAGCGTGCGAAACATGACATCTGCTGTCGACGGTTCATTCTCGAATCTTGGTTCTCCTCACTCTTCGACTACTCATCTCTCGCAAAGCACAATGGGCCCGACTCCCGAGAAACTCAAGGCCCGCGTGTCTCGCGATGCCAACAACCTTGTTACGGTGACTCGCAATCACGCAGCAGCCAAAGGTCTGGCACCGATATCACTTGTCGATGCAGCAGCCAGCAATCTGACCACATCCGTGGTTGAGTTCGTCAAGGTTGTTGGTGTTCGCGACACTCAAAACGACAGCGACGACGACTCTTCTATCGACGGAGAAGACATTGAAATCGAAGAGATTGCCCCTCTGTCAATGACGGGCAACAAGCCAGTTGTTCTCAAGGCACCTGTTCCGCCTCAGAAGCAACAGGCGGGTACTGGATGGTTCTCGATGCTCAAAGGACCAAAGAGCGAGCACAGCGACGACGAAGATGAATACGACTTCAGCTAAAGGGCGAATGCATACACACGAGGCGTATATTGCAGGCCACGGGCATAGCACAGGCGTTGGGATCATGGGATGATGAACACTGGTATTGAGTAATGTTTTTCCTTTCTTTCTCTCTTTTCTGCCGAACTCAGCGACGGCTGGGTTGAGTCCTACTAGATACAATCTCCGGTGGGGCGAAATAGGGCATTCGGTTTTGGACACGTAAGCCTTTTTTATAGTCTATCCACTCTTTGGAATGAATCCACATTGGGTAACTCAACGATCAACTATATTTGCTCGAAAAGTGAAGTTGGGACTGCCATGTGATATATCAAGCGTGGTAGAGATTATCTTCTCCATACCATCTTATCCATCTTATCTGATTGGAGCCACAAAGCGGGCCGAGAGGAGTGCCACAATGGTACGAGCGGCATGTTTTTCGTGTTTCCAAGTTTCCAGAAAAGGCTGGGAGCGATCTGCCAAGGGTGGTACGATTCGTGCAGACGAATGCAAGATGTCAACTCCTGGAGGCGTCATCTTGCAGCAGATGGCAGCCAGCTTTGCAGGGCGCTGGGCGCGTCCACGCTACACGCGAGAAAACAAGTTCAGCGTTCACAAAAACGTGGTGTTTGAGAGCGAAACATGCGACAAGCCAAGGAAATTCTGGAAGGACAAAGGAGAGACACGGCAAATAGAACAATGCAATGCAATCGAAGCTAACGACGACAGAGGCGTCAGTGGAATTTGGTTGAGGGAAATGAGAGATTTGGGGGAGGTGTCTCATGGTCAAAGGTACTCGGCGGATTTACGAGTTATGCTTTTTTGTCACTCAGGGGTTTATGAATAGAAAGTCTGGGGATGTTTGGAACATGCGGCAGAGGAATTCTAGAGATGCGGCCGCTGCGGGCGGCAGAGCGACGGCATGGTGCATCATGGCAGACAAGCGATGCAGAACAGAGTGTCAAATGCCAGTTCCTTTGTGAGATGGCAGAAAATAAGTTGTCGAGGCTGAGACTCGTACGAGAAGTGGTTTGAGAATGCGCGACTTGTGGCAGAAGTCATGGCCGACTGATGCGGCAATGTCGAGGAGCTTGTTCTGTCGTGTGTGTCTGCAACGGCAGCAGCGTCCCGCGCGGTGGCCGTGCGCCTGACCGCCTTTGATTGAGGCAGGTCCTCAACTTTTGGAGCGAGCCAGCTTGCTGTTGTCTCGCTCGTCTCGCTCCCTATTGTTCCCGTCGTCTTTTTGGCGTGTCAATTGCTTTGTAGCCTGTGAGGGGATGCGCCTGTGATCGATTGCTCAACCATCGACTCACTCATTCCCGGTCCATACATCCGTCAAAAACAACAATGCTGGGTGCTTCGTTGATTCCGGCGCGCTGGAGAGGCTTCTACAGCCCTCAGGACCCGGCCAAACCAGGTCCCTACAGCAAGCACATCACCCCCTTGTTGCAGAGCGTCACTCGCAGGACATGCACCCATCCCATCCACTCGATCGTCTTTTGCGCCTTGATCGCCAGTACCACCTACATCGGCCTCCTTGAAACTGGCCTGTTTGAGCCTTCGACAAAGTTCAACAACAACCAGGTCGACTTCTCTGCTCTCTCTCACGGCAGTCGCACTCTGCATGCCGGTCCCGAGACCGCCTGGGAGTGGCAACCAGAAGCCGTCTCCAACGACGCTCAAGCAGAGGTTTGTCCTAGCACCTTCGCTCGCCCCCTGAACATTACTAACACTCTGGCAGCATATCTCCCTGATCACCCTCGCATTTGCAGACTCGTATGCCGATGCTCCATCAGTTGTGATTCCCAACGATAGCTCGGCCGAAATGCTCCCTTCATCAGCCAGCCGCTTGTCCCTGTCTCAAGACTCGACTCTTGCCTTCTCCCTCCCTTCGGACGAGACTCCTGCTTTTTTGGCCTCAATCAAGGAGATCTCGGCTCAAGAATCTGCCGAGGACGACGACGAGCAAAAGAGATGGATCATGAGAGCAGCAAGAGGTTCGGCGCGTCGTTTCTCCCTACGCGAATGGGTCCGCAATTCGTGGATGTCCTTCACCGATTTGATCCGCAACGCAGAGACTCTCGATATCATCATCATGGCTCTCGGATACCTTTCCATGCACTTGACGTTTGCTTCGCTGTTCGTCTCGATGCGTCGCATGGGCTCCAATGCTTGGCTGGCAACCAGTGTCCTTTTCTCGTCAGCATTTGCCCTTCTTTTCGGTCTCGTTGTCACCATGAAGCTGGGTGTCCCTGTCAATGTGGTTCTGCTCTCCGAGGGCCTGCCCTTCTTGGTTGTCACTGTTGGTTTTGAGAAGCCCATCATTTTGACACAGGCTGTGCTCTCGGCTGCACTCAACCCTCCCAGACGCGAGAACGGCGATTCATCTCCTTTGACCATTCAGAACGCCGTGCAGACTGCCGTTCACGAGCGCGGATGGGGCATTGTGCGCGACTACATGGTCGAGATCACGCTGCTTATCGCCGGTGCCATGTCGGGTATTCAGGGCGGTCTCCGCCAGTTCTGTTTCTTGGCTGCATGGGTCTTGTTCTTCGACTGCATCCTGCTTTTCACTTTCTACACGGCTGTTCTGACCATCAAGCTCGAAGTCAACCGCATCAAGCGCCATGTCGCTTTGCGCAAGGCTCTCGAAGAGGATGGCGTTAGCCGCACTGTCGCCGAGAGTGTCGCTTCCAGCAACGACGGCTTGAAGCCTGACGCTGTAAACGGTGAGACTTCGATCTTTGGTCGCAAGATCCGCGATAGCAGCATCCCCAGATTCAAGGTCCTCATGGTCTCTGGTTTCATCATCATCAACGTCCTCAACTTCTGCACTATCCCCTTCCGTACCGGCGCCGCAAACAACTCTCCCTCGCTCTCTAGCTCTATGGATCCTTTCAAGGTTGCTGGAAACGCTCTTGACCACATTCTGGCTCAAGCAAAGCTTCGCAACCAGTCAACCGCTGTTACCGTCTTGTCTCCCATCAAGTACGAGCTCCAGTACCCCTCGATTCATTACTCTTCCGACAGACCCGAATGGTCTCTTTTCGACGGTCCTTACGCCAACGGTATCTTCTCCAGCATGGGCGGAAGAGTCGTTGAAGGTGTTCTCAAGAGCTTCGAAGACCCCGTTCTGAGCAAGTGGATCATCATCGCTCTGGCTGTCAGTCTGGTTCTGAACGGTTATCTGTTCAATGCTGCGCGCTGGAGCATCAAAGAGCCCGGCCAAACCGAATCTGCTGAGACTGCGCCCAAAGCTGCTCCCTTGCCTCCTCTTGCCGAGTACGATCCCAAGATGAACATCGATGCCGCCGGTCTTGAGGACGGACATGCTACCAACAGTGCAATTCAGAAGCGCTCCAAGGAAGAGTGCGAGAAACTGCTTGCTGAAAAGCGAACTTCCGAGTTGAACGATGAGGAGCTTACCGAACTGACCCTCCGCAACAAGATTCCTGGCTACGCCCTTGAGAAAACTCTCGGCGACAAGACGCGTGCCGTCAAGATCCGCCGCTCTCTCATCTCTCGCACTCCCGCAACCAAGCACGTCACTGCTGCTCTGGAACGTTCCAAGCTTCCCTACCTGAGTTACGACTATGACCGCGTCTTTGGCGCTTGTTGCGAGAACGTCGTTGGTTACTTGCCTCTCCCTCTCGGTGTTGCTGGTCCTATCGATATCGATGGCCGCAGCTACTATCTCCCTATGGCTACGACTGAAGGTGTACTTGTCGCCAGTACCAGTAGAGGTGCAAAGGCCATCAATGCTGGCGGCGGTGCTGTCACCGTTCTTACTGGCGACGGTATGACCCGTGGACCCTGTGTTGGATTCGAGACTCTTGCTCGTGCCGCTGAAGCAAAGGTTTGGATTGATTCTGAAGCTGGCACGAAGATCATGAAGGATGCCTTCAACTCGACCTCCAGATTCGCCAGACTACAGTACCTCAAGGCTGCACTCGCAGGTACATACCTTTACATTCGTTTCAAGACGACCACTGGTGATGCCATGGGTATGAACATGATCTCAAAGGGTGTCGAGCAGGCACTCAGCGTGATGAAGGACAGTGGATTTGAAGACATGGCTGTCATCTCCGTGTCAGGCAACTACTGCACAGACAAGAAGCCCGCCGCCATCAACTGGATTGACGGACGTGGTAAGAGTGTTGTCGCCGAGGCCATCATCCCTCGCGATGTTGTTCGTTCCGTCCTCAAGAGCGACGTCGATGCTCTTGTCGAGCTTAACATTTCGAAGAACCTGATCGGCAGTGCCATGGCAGGCAGCATTGGTGGATTCAATGCACACGCTGCCAACATTCTCACTGCTATCTTCCTCGCCACCGGTCAAGATCCCGCTCAGAACGTTGAGAGCAGTCAATGTATCACTGTCATGAAAAAGTAAGTTTTTGCGTACTCCCTATCTGTTGGTTCATATGCTAATATCTGCTCAGCCTTCATGGTAACCTTCAGATCTCGGTCTCTATGCCTTGTATCGAAGTTGGTACTATCGGTGGTGGTACAGTCCTCGAGCCCCAAGCCGCCATGCTCGATCTTCTTGGCGTCCGCGGAGCTCACCCTACAAACCCTGGTGACAACTCTCGTCAGCTCGCGCGTATTATTGCTGCTGGTGTTCTTGCTGGTGAGCTGTCTCTCTGCGCCGCCCTCGCCGCCGGTCACCTTGTTAGGGCCCACATGGCACACAACCGTTCGGCAGCACCTTCAGCCGCACCCAGCAGAGTCCAGAGCCCCAGCCCTGGACAAAGCAAGCCATTACCGCAAGGATTGGCCATGACTGGAATGGCCTCCAAGAGATGATGACCTGATGACCCTTCTTCCACAATCATCTGATTGCATGTTACGGGGCGTTTACCTTCATCACCTTCTGGCCCCAACCTCTGAGATTTAACGTTTTGAACCTTTAATGTTCATCTAAGATACACCCTACACTTCTGCGATGCCCGAATGAGAGTTAGAGGAATTGAGCGACAAAAATGTATTATTCGCTTTGCAGGGTGTAGGATTTAGGAAAGCCAGCATTGCGCATAGCAGAAGACGGCGTCTATACCTTTGATTGTTTGATTACCATTATCCGCCTGTATTTTCTAATCCAAAGCATCCACCTATCATCTTAAACCTCTTCCTCCTCAACAGTGTCAGAAAAAGTGAAACTCTCAAAGTTCGGCGGTAGACATCCTCCAGCAATCTCACAAGTCTCTGCAAACCTCCTGACTTCTTCCAGATCCTTTCGACTCAACTTGACATCTGCCGCACCGCAGTTTTCCTCTAGATACTTGATCCTCTTTGTCCCAGGAATGACAAAGATATCCTCGCCTTGCGCCAACAGCCACGCAATAGCCAGTTGAGCACTCGTACACCCTTTCTCGCCCGCCAACATTCTCCACTGCTTGGATACCTCTACATTCTTTTCTCGGTTCCCATCCTGGAATCTAGGCATGAAAGTTGGTCTCATATCTTTGGGATCCAGAGGTGTATTGTCAGCGAATGTAGAGGTCAGAATACCTCGTCCAAGCGGCATTGCAGCCACCAGTGCAGCACCCAACTCCCGACAAGTGTTGAGCAGGTTGGTGCCTTTGTCGCCCTCAATGTCAAGTTCGAAAGGTGAGTAGCCCACTTGTACTGCATCCACTTTGACCACTTTCACTGCTCGACGCAGGGTAGCAGAGGATACGGAGGATAAACCGATGTATTTGATTTTCCCTGCTTCTTTGAGTGACTTCATTCCGCGCATTGTGTCTTCAATGGGGGTTTGTGGGTTAGGGTGGTGCAGATAGTAGAGATCGATGTAGGGGATGTTGAGTAAACGCAAGCTTTCTTCGCAGGCGGAAATGCAGTAGGAGGATGTGCTGTTCAGTGTGGGGAATTTATTCTTGACGAAGCCGAATTTTGTGGCTAGGAAGATGGAGGAGCGGAGGTGGGGGTTGAGGGTGAACCATTTTCCGAGTGTTTCTTCGTTGTCACTGTAAAGACTGATTTGGGTCAGTGGTGGAGACGAATGGTACTGTTTGGCTGGTTGATGGTATTGTAGCATTGGGAATGCTTGAGATCCAATGGAAACAAACGTACTCTGAAGAATCCCAGTGTCGGGCTCCTAGTTCGTAGGCGCGGTCTAACATGGCGAGTTTGTCTTCTTCGCTGGAAACACTGCCGTAGACAGGCTGAGAAAGACCCATCATGCCGTAGCCCAAGGCAGGTACGTCGGGACCATTTGCACCGAGTTTACGAAAAGGAATGGATGGAGTCATGATTGTTGGAGAAAAACCAAGTCGATGTTGGATGATGTATTTCCGATAAGTGAAGAGTAGCTGACATCTGGTTACGAGAGCTGGCTTTATATCCCGTGTTCCAATCCTACGAATCTGCATGTATATCGTGATATCCGTGGTGACCGTATTGAGCCATGGTTTTGCGAGGGGGGTCGTGAGACAGTCGCGCGAATGTCCATGCTGCAACGTGCTAATCACTGATACGCTGTTCCTTCAGTTGCTATCGCTATGCTTGGTCAAATACAAGTGGGATTGATTCCAGTCGCGAGTTCAACATGCGGTCTCCTGATTAGGCCACCGTACATGAAACGACGTTGATTGGTCAGAACCGACTACTCTCGTATACATCTCACAATTTCCCTATTCGTGTCCTCTACTCCCACACATCATTGACAAAATCTCAAGTCATACGCAGGTGCAACAAGAATCTCGCACCATGGCACCACCCACAATCGCAGAGATAATCAAAAATACCGAATTCAAGCCCGAACTCGTCCAACGCATCGCCTTCCGCGATACCCAGCCGACTTTAAAAGTGGTCCCTTACAACCCCGAATGGCCCAAGATCTTTGCTTCCATAAAGCAACAAATCATCACTGCTCTCGGTAATGATTCAGTCATCGCTGTACACCACACCGGCTCGACCAGCATCCCCGACCTCCCCGCCAAACCCATCATCGACATCGACTTGGTCGTTCGAGACATCACTGCCGAATCAGAATACGTTGCGCCTCTGGAAGCAGCAGGCTTTAGATTCCTACTCAGAGAACCTCATTGGCATGGACATCGCTTTTTCTACGCTTACGTGCCTTATGCGGTGAATTTGCATGTTTGGGGCCCAGATTCTCCGGAAGTGGTCAGACATCGAATCTTCAGAGAAAGGATATTGGGGAATGCGGAGGACAAGGCGGCATACGTTGAAGCTAAGATGATGGCTGCGGAGCAGATTGGAGAGAAAGGGGGTGATATGCAGGATTATAATGATTTGAAGGAGGATACGATTAGAAAGATTTTGAAGAATGCGTTCAGGGAGTTGGGGTATATTGAGTGATGTTGGTGATGGCTGTATGGCTGATGAGAAAAAGAGTATAAAAGTTGCAATTACTGGGGGGTGGATATTAGACAGGAGGATGTATCCTCACATGAGCGACCACCTTCATCAATGTGATGGGTATCCACAAGTCACATTTGAGGTCACTGATAAGTACATCAGGTCAAGATTGTTCGTTGGTAAAAGAGGATATAAAATTGAGTCCTCCGACATGGACATAATGGTTGTAGATCATCAGGTCCAGCCAAAACAAATTGAAAGAGAAGATAGACATAGAGAAAAACCAACATATACATCCAATGCCTCCGTGGCCACAGAGACAGAGAATCGTGAAGAAAAAGAAAAAAAGCCAACCGAAACTTCCTTTGCAAGAAACCCTTAGAAACAGCCTCTCACATCAAAGAATCAAGACAGAAGGAAAAGAAATCGGGCGAGAGGACAGAACCATGAGCAAACCGTTTAGTTGCGGCTCAAAGTGCAGCTAGAAATGTAGAGCTGACCATTTCCTTGGAGGGTGCAGCTAGACTCGTACAACTGGCCCTTACCCTGCAGGGAGCAAGACGACTCATAGAGCTGTCCCTTGCCCTGGAGAGTGCATGAGGACTCGTAGAGTTGACCGTTGCCTTGGAGAGTGCACGAAGAGACGTACAGCTGGCCCTTGCCCTGGAGGACGCATGAAGAAACGTAGAGTTGTCCGTTGCCCATTTTGAGAGATTTCTGTGAGCAGTTCTGTTAGGAAGGGGTGTTTGTGTGTGTGGAAGGTGAGATGATGCTTACTGTAGCGATTGACTTGTAAGTTTATCGACGAAGAAGAAAAGCTGTTCTCGGCGGTCAGGGCAAGGTGCTTATATAGTTGAGATAATCGAGTCGATTTGTGTTTTGCCTTGTCAGAAGCTTCTTTCTTACAAAGGTGATGCCTCTACCCACTTTGCTTGTTCTGAGTGTGGATTGTCCTTGATTGGAGGCTCGTAGATCGGATATCTCTTTGACTCCTGCCAGAAACACGTTGCCTCCCACGTGGGAAGTTCTTTGGCTGCATTGTCAGATTTCGTCAGGAACGACTCGTCTCGTCCCTTGTAATCTCGAGTGCCTGACGCCAAGTATTGTTCGAAGTCTTGATATTGTTCTTCGGGGACAAAGACTCACCACGCGCTACCCATGCAATCGAAGATATGAGACTATGAAGTGGTATCTCGGATCAAAGCGTGTTGGATCGCCTGCGAATAAGCTGTTGTGTTTAGGAAATACCGAGGCTGATTGGTCATAAGTTTCAGGGATGTCATCTGCACCTTCCATGCTCGGTATGCAATCTTGGCCGAGGAGCAGAGTATCGCAACCCACACAAAGAAACTGACATCAAAATCTTGTCGAAACTATCTTGGTATTTTTCAAGCATAGTCGTATCTGTGTCTTGTTTTTGTTGGTGGACATTAGCAAACTTCGTGGTCTCATTGCGAAAATCAAGCAGAGTCGCCTCCGCGCCTTTCGCTCCGGGAGTAAGATAAGGAAATGTGCATGTGAACAGAAGTGCGGGACGGAGACAAAGAAAGAACGTAGGCGATAATGAGAGATGCACAAAAAGAAACACCATGGGTAGGAGTCGAACCTACGACCTCCCGATCCTTGAGAGAGAGTATTAGGAACTTAGGTAAGCGAATATAGGGACTTAGGTTACCAGATCGGGTGTGCTGACCACTGCACCACCATGGTCAAAGGGGACGTAACTTACCTAGAATATAAAGGTTAGGCAGGGGCTGGTTGTGAGCGCGAGTATTTGCGCGGTAGGCCGGAGTGTCAAGTCAGCCGACCTGCGGGAAGCTTAAACTGTTGATTGTGCAACTCAGATCAGACAACCACCTCTTATATTTGCGGACTCTGCAGGTATCCTTACCATTGTGGCAGACTCTTGTGAGTAGAGCGTTGGGGATGAAAAAAGGTCAGATTGGAAAACTGATAGAATTCTCGGATGATGGCGAGGGATGACACAAGTGACAGGATAGTGAAGACAGAGATCTTGATATAAATAAGATGTGAAGAGAAGAGCAGAAGATAACACTTGAATTTTACTCGTACAACCATGGAGAATACATGAAGAAAAAGATAAGAGACAAGATAAAAAAAGAGGAAAGAAAAAGTGTTTGCCTTACCGCCTTTAGAAATCACACTTACCTGGGATGGGGTAGACACAGGCTTTGGAGGAAGTACTTGCAGGGGTAGGAGATGCCTCGATAGGCTGGGAGAAAGGCACTGTACTCGAGGGTGCTGGAGTAGATGTGCTTGAGGGAGCGACGAAAGTGATTCTTGGGAAATCAATAGATGAACTGGGCACAACCTCAGAAGTAGGGGTGGGACAATAGTAACTAGTCACAGTAATGAACACCGGGAAAGGCCTGGCCTCGATCTTGGTTACGGTGATGGTGAGCTGAGTCGCACTGGAAGGCGAAGCATCGCTGAAACTAGAAAGTGTAGTAGGAGAGGTGTTGTTGCCTCCAGGTGTGAAAAGAGCTGGGGTAGCAACATTTGAAGGATTAGAACCAGCAGCCTCAGTTATGACAGGTACGATTGTCGTCCTGGTGATTACACTGTGAATGGTGACTGTAGTGGCAGGGAGAGCTAGCGCCCTGAGAGCCTGGCCTGCCAGGAATATCGTGGGAAAGATTGCTTTGGTGTACATTGTGTTCGAGGATATGGTGTTTGTTTACAAGAAGATCAGGGAACGCCCTGAGGGGATTAGTAAGAATAAATATACAGGCTTTGTATGCTCGAGTCAGCCATGTGGCTTCTGATAGATCAAAGAAGCAGCGCGCTTACGACGATGGTGTTCTTTGTGCTCCGGAAGTCTCTTCCATGTGCTTTGTCCGGATTGCAGCAGTGAAGCAATCACAAAGATATCGTCTCGAGTGCTTCAGACTGCCCTTTGTCCAGGGGTAGTGGCGAACCACGAAGTGAAGCAACCACTTCAGCAAACACCCTCAGTATCATAACGATCCCGAACTACTATCAAAACAAATGAATCATTGACTTGTCGAACCAATCGCTATTCAACCTGACTAAGTATCCGCAAGGACAACATGGTGCCAGGATCCAGAAAACAGCTCGGCGACGACGGCTGCACCGGAGAATGCGAGACCTAGCGCATTTGGGAGATTGGTATTATAGTGATGCCAGTCAGGATTCCTTACATCGAACTGGTGGTCTGGCGCAGTGGTCAAAGTAGTGTTCCTTCCGCTCAGTCGGCCTATGGCCACCGGTTCGATCCTCGGCAAGGCCGATCTTTAATGCCATGAGAGGTCCCAGTAATCCTCGCACGACAAAAATAAGGAAGAAAGCCTCGTGCGTTTTCTCTTGACCAATCTAGCACCACGGCGGCTAGGGGGTTTCGGTTTTGTCAGATGTTTTGGTATACATTCGTTGATTCAGTCCGCTGTTGGCTGTTGTTGTGGCTGCTGTTTGGCTCGAAGACAAGCAAGTTGAAGCAAGGAGCTTCGCCGCCATGTGTGATGGTGTGCTCACTCTCTTCGCAAAAGATATCGAAAGAGTGCGGGCAGCTTGCAAGCAGGAATATCTTTTGAGCATATCTGGGAAGGACTCGAAGCAGTGCACGCGATGTCGTTTTACTCGATGCGACACTACGTTCGCGTTGTTTGCTGCATACGACAATAATTTGTTGTTGTTCCTCTGCTCCGATCATACGGCCGAAGGATTCATCTTCTCGTTCGTTGATGCGCCGCTTTCAAGGTATCGAGGCAGGTTGTCTTGGGTGGGTGGTTGCTGATGTTGGCCATCTTCATCCTCTGCAGGCACTGTCCGCTCGCCATCGCCAAAGGTAGGCTTGAAAAAACCATCGTAGGTCCTCCAGCAAGCTCTGAAGATGGACTCTGAAAGGATGCGTAGCCAAGGTGGGGTGCGACCATGCTCATCGGCAAACTGTGCGCCGAGGCTGAAGACGAGCACGATAAAAGGCAGCCACAAGGTGAGGAAGATGAACTGGCCCATCTGTTGCTTGTTGGAAGTGATTGTATACGGTCTGAGATTGTTCAAATAGTCTTGATACTCGTATGGCAGTCTGCACTCAGCAGCTCCATCGGTAATAAGTTTCAAGTAACGAGCCGAGGCTTGTGCGTAAGAGGTATCGGGACGTTGGATTCTTCCTCCCTCTTTCGGGGGTTGAGAGCCAGGGGGTACAGCAGGAGCGAAAAGAGTATGGGCCTTGAATGGCTTGGTAGCGGGGTGTACTGGAACAGAACGGGTTGGGTCTGAGATCTCGAAGGGATGACAGTCGACAAGAATGTCCTGATACGAGGCGCCGCCGCCTTCGGTAGCAATGATATGGGCATAGTCTGTGGCTGTGACCTCGTAGACTACGCCGATCAAGCCTTTGTGCCACCTGTCTTTGTGGTAGTCGTTGGATGCGGGTGTTCCCTCCTTTTCCGTCGAAGATGGTACATCGTTCTCAGGATCGCGACGGGCTGTATTTGCAAAGCATGGTTCCGAGTAGGCTATGCCAGGAAGGTCGAAAGTCAAACGTAGTTCTGGTACTTGTACATTGATCTGTGACAGAGGCTTGATTCCACGCTTACCCCGGAACGTCTCGTTGCACAAGTTGGATCCATATGCAAGGTAGAGGAAGGTCTGGGTCTTGGATTCAGCAGCTGCGGGTAACGACTGTTCCCGTCGTTCGAGGCTTGTCTCTGGTAACGTCGGATAGGTCGAGAGGGCGAGGCTTCGAGGACGCTTGGTCTGACGAACTGCATCGCGTAGGCTGGTGTAAGCCTTGGCTAATCTGCAGGTGTTTTCTGGCGATTCTCCCATAGCTGTCTAGTGATTCTTGGTGGTGCTCGTCGAGAGTTGGCGAGTGCAAGACAGATACTTGACTGTCACCACCTGTCACCACGAGGGTGCTTCGATCGGGACCTTGTCGTTCCGGGATTGGTAATCCTATGACACCGGTGGTCTGTGCTTCTCGGTTTCGGTTCAATGCTCACCTCCGTCCTTCTTTCTTGAGACTGAACGTGACAAGAACTTCTTCTCGCTGAATATTCTCTCCGCATATCAGAGTCTGTCACCCAACCTCGCTCTCATATATGGTGCAGCGTATCTGAAGCCAACACTGCCCTTTCCAGATGGTAGTTGAAGCAACGTAGAGCTAGTACTATCACGACTCTGAGTGGATGCTTTCCACTTACCGAAGGAGCTGTGCATTTTCATGGCCACACATACGACAGACATTCGTGCATGGAAAGGATGTATCGTCATGTGGTAAATTTGAGATTGAGATGAATTTCGGAATGCAGTGTTGATAGTCTCTCTGCTCTTCCGAGCCCGTTAACCCTCAGATGTCAAGTCGGATCGCGCAATCAAAGCAGATGAATGGGAGCAGCGATGCTTTGCTAGCCGCTCTCGACTATTCTGAGTCACAACGTGACATTTTGTATACTTGAAGGAAAGGGCGACCGCTAAGTTGAAGGTCTAGAGAGGTAGGTGCAACAAGCATGTGACAGAAATCGATAAGGCCGCAACTTCCCTTCGCACTCAGCCCCAACATACACTCAGCCGAGTGCACGATCATGAACGCTGTTCTCTATCGCTACAGTCATGGCCTCGGCTGTGCCTGCTGAACTCGGTCAAGCAAAATACCATCGTCCTATACACGGCAGCCACAATCCGACACCTGTCAAGCAGACATCCCAAAAGGCTCTACAATCCATTACGCAAGTCCCCAGATCGCCATCTATCTCCCAGAGACCGCTTCTAGACCACGTCTCGCAGAAGGGCCCTGAGAGCATCGTCCACGACTCTCTCGAGGACCGGCCTCCTGCGCCTGCTCGCCCGCCTCGACCTCTGCTCGACTTCCTTGAGGAAAGCGTGCCCATTGAAACCCGCCAGCTTAAAGCAGTATCGTATGAGAAAGACGTCATCGCTTTAGGCCCGTCCGCCCAGCCCCCGGTCATTGCGCAAAACTCTCTTGAGGTGCCTTTGCGTGAGCACTCTTCTTGTGCAGATCACGCTATAGAGGAGGATTCATTCCAAGTGCTACCTCAAAACGTCTTTTCTGAGAAAAACACCACTTCAGGAGTTCTAGGCAAAGGCCAACTGCGAACCTCATCGTCAAAACACGCTGTTACCGCAAACGAGACGCAATCAGACCTTTCTGTTCACGTATCTACAAACAGCGACGACGACAGCGGCGAAGAGTTACAAGATTGTATCACAGTCCGCTCTCAGCCTATCGACCCTTCTGCCAAGTCCAGCTCAAGGGTAGCAAAGACTCCTGATCAAGTGCCCCTGGCTTTTCGAGAAGCCGAGGAGAATCAGAGCGCAGCTCCTCTGGAACCCACCAGATCTTTCTACCTCGGCGTATCTGCCCCCACTAGTCTCACCACGCCCAACATGCCACCCAAGGGCTCAACTGCCAAGGCTACCACAAGTAAACCCAAGAAATCAGCTGGCACTACCTCCAAGAAGTCATTCAAACCTGCTCCGCCTCTTCCTGACATCGTCAACCAAGGTGAGACTTCGGCCGCTGCTATTCTTCGACAGAGGAAGGCTGGGGGAACCAGTCAGTCCAACACCACAAAACAAGCATCAGCAGCAGCACTGGAAGCCATTTCCAAGACCGGTGCTTCTCAAAAGATCTCAGCGCGTCCGCCTCAAGTTCCTCCAGCCAAATCTTCGACCAAAACTACCACGAAACCTACGCAACAACACCCTCAGAGACTCCCGACCAAACAGCCATCGCGCAAGATCGAGACTCCTGCAGACCGCGGCGAGTTCGAGTTATCACCAGATCCAGACGTAGAACAGTCTGCGGAGCCATCGCGTCTCGAAAAAGGCAATTCGAAACAGACTAAGGCCACAAAGACTGTAGCTGCTAGTAAAAATGGTAACAGGAGCCAATTGAAGAAACAAGCTGCCAAAGTTCCAGACACTGATAGAGATGACGACGACGAGGACTACAGCGCGCCTAAATCGCAAAAGTCGAGGGCAGCGCCCACTACGCGAGCAAGCACGCGGGCTCAAACGAAGAAAGCTAACAGAGATGATGGATTCGTTGAATCCGCTCCAGAAACCACAACGAGCGATGCTATGAGGACGCAGAAGCGTGTATCACAGAATCCCAGTTCAACCGACAGAGAGAAAGAAGAGATTGAAGACTCCGAGGAGAGCGTAACACATATCAACTCGGTCGGTGCTTCACAATCTCAACTCGCAACTCGAGCCCAGCCGGCAAAGCCTCCTGAGCCCGAGCAAGCTAAGCCTCGACGTAAGACGCAGATGATGCAAGCCCTTACGAGTCCGGATCGGTAAGAATCGCATGCACCAATGGTGTTCTCTGCTTACCAATGCCAACAGTGCCACGATCTCAACAGCTACGGAGCCCAGGATCAACCAAGAGGCCCCGGCTGCACACACCTACTCCAGTTCAGCATACAGACCAATGCCTAAACAAGGCACCACTCACAGGAATCCCGTCAGCGTCAATGACGATAAGTCAAATGATGACGACGAAGATGCAATTAACCAAGATTACGATGCCAGCTTCAACCACACTATCCCGGAGGTGATGAGCCAGAAGCCACAGGAGGAACTCAAGACTCCCTTGATCGTGGATCAGACTTCCAAATCTGGGTCTGCAGATGCTCACTCATCAGCAGTACAGCAGTCTCTAGCCCACCTGAGTAAAGACCACTCTGATCTTGATCTGTTGGCGCAAGAGCGTGCTCAGCGTAAGCCAAATCTCGTGAGCTTCAGCACCGCTGGACCTAGAAATCAGGGGACACGAGCTATGAGAAAAGATTCCAGCCCAGATATGCATCGTCTACCTTCCGCAGAAGTTTCGTCTCCAAATCTTGACCAGTGCAATCTAGAAGACCCACCAGACAACTATAGTACTGGCCTGGACATGCCAACTAAGAAGTCATCTGGTGTGGCAGTCACTGGAACATCTGCTCATGCTGGCGCCACCTCTCCTACTTACAAGGCGCAAGGAAACGTCTTTAAGTCGGAACCAGACCCCCCCACTGGCTACCCTGATGAGATAGCGAGCATTACAGAGGTTCCTATCGCCAAAACAAAGGCTTCGAAGGGGTCAGGAATGTCGCTCAAGACCGCCATACCTGAGGATAGACATACAAGCGCTCGGTTGGCCAGAGACGCAGCCGACGACGGAACGTTAGTCGTGAATCGCACGGCAGTCGAAACCGGAGCTCAGACTGGATTTTTGGAAGACCTGGTTGGAGACCCCTCGAGACGACTACCATGGAAGCCAGAAGTCTTGCGCAAAGATACAGTCGCGGCCAACCCTTCGGTATCTCTGGGCGAGCCGAGGATATTAACTAAGTCCAGCAGTTCAAAAGATCTGGCGCCTGTCAGCTCAGAGCATCCAGGATCTGCCAACCAGACACTAGCATTACCCACTCCAATTGACACACAAGCGCCGCCTCGCATCAACCCACGACCTATCGACAGATCAGCTGAGCGAAAAGCTGGTCAAGGTCTGATGCCCCCTGCACAGGAGACCGAAGAAAGAGCCGTAAACCCACGTTTGGAAGCGAAACAGACTGAACCACTTGGAACCGATCGAAAGCGGCCTCCTGCTGAACTGACCCGACAGCCTGCTAAACATTCAAGAACAAGCACTTTCCAATCTCGTACACAGTTGACAAGGTCTCCAGCAGCCAAGGACCCAGTGTTGCGAAGGTCGTCTCAAGTCGCCGACAATGGATCCCCTATACCCTACGGAACAAAGATACCGCCAGACACAGTTCAATCCCCCCGAACAAGAGACGAGAGGATGTCGGCGACTCCAGTTACACCTCCTTCCCTGACACGTCAGCCTGTGGATGATCCATTTGCTCAGGTCACGAGATTTAAGCACAAAGAGGCAGTCAGATCAGAGAGCTCCTTAGAGGAAATGGGCGCTCTACAGGAAAACCTGCCAGCTCAATCCTCGCCAGCCATTACACACGCCGGTTTTGATGAAGACACACAAGCGACAGCCGAGAGCAGACAGCCACCCGAGCCTCAGAAGAAACCCTCAAAAAACACGGTCCCAGAGCCTCAGCAAGATTCGCCTCCAAAAGTTCAAGCTACACAAAGAATGCTTGGCCTGATGGAAGCATTACGATCAGAAGTGGTCCCTCAGACGGATACAGAAGCCGCTGATGGAGACGAGGTTGAGGACACTGGAGCCGAAGAAGCAGGAGAAGGAGAAGATCCAGACAAGACACTGGTGAATGAAGAATCAGTTGATGCCGACGACGATGACGGTGATGACTCGGAATCATCTTCGGATACAGATGATGAAGGCGACAAGCCGAAGAGCGGTTTCTCGATGTGGAGAAACGCACTAGAGTTTCATCAAGGAAATGTGTACGACCAACTGGTACGCATAGCTCACCGGTTGACAGAGCACCTGAAGGATCACGAGACAGCCATCAAGGACATCAGTTCGGACTACAAGCAAGATGGGGAAAATCTCATCGAACGTCTTGAGAAGAGCAACCAAGCAAGACTCGAACAGTATTGCACCAAACGATCGAAGATGCACAGAGGGCTTGTATTAGGGTACGAGAAAGTGAGTGGTATTATGGAAAAGGACAAGAAGGACATCAAGGCTAGTCGTGAGAGACACGTCAAGATATTGCAGAGGCAAGTGGATGCAGAGAGAAGACTCGAGCAGATACTGCAGACTTACCACCTTTGATGAGCGGCAGCAGGAGAAGGTTGCTTGACAAAGCTGATTCTGTATCTCGACGACAGACATTAGTGTTGGTATTTGCTAGAGAAAGAAGCAGTTGCTGCATAGATATATGGAAGAGTTATGCTTTGCTTCACAGCGGAAACACGGGAGCCGAGGCGCGCGCGGGACCGTCGTCATGGCTTGACATACGTGACCGGCGGACGCAACGGAAACTTGATACGCAATCCATTGACTTTCTTTTTGTCACAACCAAGACATTGTGATTCCTCGACTCTTCCTAAGAACCTCGGGCTCAGACCTCTACATTCGAACGCGCAACAGACACCCAACACTTGCACATCAGCAATCACGAAGCACCCGCTCGAGAAACACGCCTTTACAACCGACCATGTCATCAGGCTTTCACCCGTTCGGTGGACGAGTGAGTAGACGCTTTGGCGACAAGGTATGCTGGATTCTTGTGCAATCTGTACTGAGTAGTCAGAAGAGAAAGAAGATGCTGACAGATGCACGAACAGTCACTCCAGCCCGACGATGCATACCTCAGTTGTGAGTAGATTGCGCCGCAGCTATATAACCCTACAAGCTGACTGGCAATAGACCATGATATTCGATGTACGCTCTCTTCTTCCCATCCTCTCATGCATCGGACACCGGAGACTGACCCAAACATCCAGTGACGGTCGAAGACGTCGATTGCATCAAGAACGACTGGCTCACCGACAACGTAATCTCCCTGCCCTACCGCCTTCAACCCACGAACCTACTAACACCACAATAACAGGCCATTGCCTTCTGGGAAGAATACCTCGAACACGAGAAACTAAACGCCTACCCTAAAGCCCGCATCGTCCTCCTCCGCCCCAGCATGGCCTTCATGCTCCTCCAAACCAACGACCCCATGTCCCTGAAATCCGCCCTTCCTTCTTTCGAAAACACAACACACATCTTCTTGCCCGTGAACGACTGCCGCGATGTCGAACACGCAGAAGGCGGCTCCCACTGGTCCTTACTTCTCGTCAGCGTCGTCGACGGCGTAGCCTTTCACTACGACTCGCTCTGCCCTTCCAACATGAACGAAGCGAAAATGCTGTCACACCATATCTCGCAACTGCTGCAGAAGCCGCTGAAGTTTGTGAATCTGGACGATTCTCCTCAGCAGGAAAATGGGAGTGATTGTGGTGTTTTTGTGTGTTTGCTGATGCAGCATCTGTTGTTGGGGAGGTTGCTGCAGGCACACGCGCAGGACAAGGTCAGTATGAGTATGAAGGGCAAGAACGTCGATGCGACTGGAGGGAGAAAGGAGATGTTGAGGGTTATTGAGATGTTCAGGAAGGAAGGGGAGAGGAGACGCTCGTAAGTTTTTGCCCATAACTCGAATGAGAGAGTGCCCAGTGGATATGTTTGGGAGATGGACTTGTTGCTAACCTGGGGTCTCAGTGGATCACACCATCGCGGCGGCGAACACAGTCCCTTCTCACTCAGCTCACCGAAATCAAAATCCCCGCCGCGTATCGGAGATGACTAGAAGTCGTTGATACGAAGACCGTGGAGTTAGAGCATTCCCCTGGGGCGGCAGGCACGAAGAGTATGATAGGAGGGTCAAAGAAACAGACCAGCATTCTGGGAGCTGAACACGATTTGCGATGAGATACATGAGAACAAGAAGTTTCCTAACACACACACATTGAGTTTCGTTTGCGGCTACCCCTCTGAGTAGTCCACGTTTGTCCAGTTGTAAGGTTTGCTCTGGTCGTGGGTATACGAGAAGTGACAACTTCAAACTTGACTGAATCCTGCAAAATGTTTCCAAGACTATTCACACTTGTTCGAGGACGCAACCTTCACTATGGGTGGATACGGCTAAAGTCCGGGTCAAATGGTTGCGGAGAGTTCGGTGGCCGCAAAGCGCGGAGGAGCAGACGCGTCGAGCCCTGTCCATACCAAGTCACAACTCCATCTATTGATTCATCCACACACGCGTTGCAGCCTCGCCGCACTGTCGCATCATGGACCCCCTTGCAAGCGAAGACACTGTCAATGCCCCCGGAGCCGTGTCGGATGAAATGATTCACGCCGAGAACCAACAGATCGAGGAGCAGCAACAGGAAGCTCAAGGTACACCAACACATCGACTGGCAGCTTTGCGCCCAACACTGACTCAACCGCCCAGATGCCGAGGACACATCAATCGTCGACGACACGAATGCCACATCGCCGTCAGATAAGCCGACGTCGCTAGATGCGCCTGAAGGCCCTCCTGCCGAGACCGATGGACAACAGGCCGACGACGAGGACATGGCCGATGCCGACGCAAAGGATGCTGCAGAGGCTGCCGAGGACACCATGGACGTAACACAATCCCAAGACACACAGCAACAAACAAAGTCACAAGCCGAGGCATCCGCTCGCTCACATTTGATCGAGCAAACCCACGCCATCATCCTGCCTTCGTACAGCGCCTGGTTCGACATGCACCAAATACACAACCTCGAACGTAAGGCTCTGCCAGAGTTCTTCAACTCACGCAACCGCTCAAAGACTCCTGCTGTTTACAAGGACTACCGCGACTTCATGATCAACACATACCGCCTGAACCCTCAAGAATACCTGACCGTTACAGCCTGCCGTCGCAACCTGGCTGGTGATGTTTGCGCAATCATGCGTCTTCACGCCTTCCTTGAGCAATGGGGCTTGATCAACTACCAAGTACGCCGACTCCTTGCGCATCACTTGACGATCATCAAACTAACCATCTCCAGATCGACCCTGACACTCGCCCTTCTAACATCGCTCCTCCCTTCACTGGTCACTTCCGCATCACCGCTGATACTCCCCGTGGCCTGCAGCCCCACCAACCTGCTCCTAACTCGACAGTCACTGCTGGACGCGCAAACCCTGGTACCGACCGCCTAGCAAGCGCTACCCCTGCAATCAAATCAGACTTGAACTTGGAAGTCAGACGCAACATCTACGAGTCCACCGGCAAGGACCTCAGCGCGAAACAGGAGAATGGCACCGACCTCGAAGAATCACTCAAACAGCCCGGCAAGCAATACTTCTGCTACTCATGCGGCAAAGACTGCACTCGTGTGCGCTACCACAACTCAAAGGCCCCTCCAGCATCAGTCGCTGGTAAGAATGGTGCTTTGCTCAAATTCGACCTCTGTCCTACGTGTTTCATGGAGGGAAGATACCCCAACTCGACTGGTCCCGCCGACTACACCAAGCTGGAGAACGAGAAATACACGACCATCGCCGATCGCGAGGCTCCTTGGGCTGACTCGGAGTTGCTGCTGTTGCTCGAAGGTCTCGAGTTGTTTGACGAGAACTGGGAGCAGATCGCAACCCATGTTGGAAGCCGTACGAGGGAGGAGTGTGTTCTGAAGTTCTTGCAGCTCGAGATCGAGGACAAGTACCTCGAGGGAGAAGACACAGTTGACGGCGCATCAAACAACCTGGGTTTCTTGAGCAACGGTCGTGTTCCCTTCTCGCAAGCCGACAACCCCGTCATGTCTGTCATGAGCTTCCTCGCCGGTCTGGCTGACCCTACAGTGGCAGCTGTTGCCGCAGGCAAGACTGTGGAGCAGATGAGAAAGCAACTTCGCAGCAATCTGGAGAAGGAATCAGCAGTGACAGACACAGAGAAAGAGACTTCTGCAGAACAGCCAGAAGCATCGAAAGATGACGACTCAATGGAAGTCGATGACAAGCCCACAACCGAAAAGCAATCCGCAAGCCCCAAGCCTCTTAAGGAGGAGGCCAAGGACACTGCATCTTCACCCGCCACGTTGGCTCTCAGTCTCACAGCCGCTCGTTCCTCGGCTCTGGCCTCACACACCGAACGTCACGTCAGCTCGCTAGTCTCTTCAGCTGTCAACCTTCACATGCAAAAACTGGAGCTCAAGTTGCAGCAATTCGATGAGATGGAGACTCTACTGCAGACCGAGCGCAGAGACCTGGAACGCCAACGTCAACGCCTCTTCTTCGACCGCCTGCAATTCAAGCGCAGAGTCGGCGATGTCGAGGCCAAGTTTGCAAGCATGGGTATTGCCGTCGAGAGCGATGTCAGAGCAGCTGCTCAGGGCGATGCCGAGGAAAAGGGTGACAAGCTTGGAGTTGCAGGAACTCAGGAAGGTGCAGCAGCCGTTGCTCAAAACGATGATGTCAAGCCCGCCAGCGCAGAAGAGGCTGGCTACAAGACTGCCGAGATGTAGGATATCCCTGGACAGTCTCGCATGGTGTATGTTGGCGGCAGGTGGCGTTCTGAGCGGGTCATGGGCAACTTTGGAACGGATCCTTTCAATAGGTCGTTCTGAAGGTCTTGGGTATAGCAAATTCCTTCTTTCTTCCTTTGGCGCAATTGGGAAGTTTCCTCTTCTACGGTTGCTAATTACCTATATCAAAAATACAGATCAACTTCAACACTTGACTTTATTCCTCGGCGATTGTGATAGCAAACTGTTCTAGTGTTTGGTCATCAATGAGCATGCCCATGCTGTTTACAGCCGCATGGCCTTTCAGACGATGCCTTTTTTCGTCATAGTGTTGAAACGCTCCTTTCACTTGACATCCTGCCTCTCGGCAGCATGCGCTGAACAGAGTGTGAAAAGGCAGATTGCAAGATCATTTTTCCACCGACGATCTATTTGACATGAACACAATCTGGAACCACTGAACAGAATGTGGCTACTGGACAGCAAAGCTCTTTCTCTTCCCTCCTTTACTTGTTTTCCTGTTGGAGATGATGCCATAGAAAAGACAAAGATGCTGGTGATTGATATGGAGTCATTGATATAGATTCATTAGTGATATGTATGTAGATTGGGCTTTTTGGAATATGTGAGTTCAATGAACATTCATTTGTGATGTTGGAATCGTAGATGTAAGGTTATGAGAACTCGGAGTGTCTTTTGCAGTGCTTTGTATTGGTTTGGTGTTTTTTTTGTTGTGGAAGAAGGAGCAAGGAGCGATGGGAATTGAGGAGGGGAGATCTACTAAGACACTCTCAAGGATCTAGTGTGGCTAAAGTCACGGTTCCATCTTTGAGCTGAGGTGTCTGGATGGTTGTTCGCTGGAAACTCTGAGTTCCACACATCGAAATTGGGACCGTACCTCCATGACTCCGCGATTACACGGCTCACATATCTTGAGCTAGACTTGGCAACTGCCCATGGGATGCATGGGTATGTCGTGTGGGATATGGAGTGGATAGTGTGTGTAGCGCAGAGTCAAGTTTGAATCAGGTGGGAATAGGAATGTCTGTATGCAATCGAAAAGAGAATAGAATTGGAAGTCATTTGCACAAACATACACACATTGTTTTAGTACATAAGTTGAAATGGAAGCATGGCCGGCCATGCTAGAAGAAGAATATGCTGAGTATGGAATCAACAAGCGGCCCCACCTGGTCCAAATGGCAATCAGGCTTCGGAACAGAGATGGAAAAGATCAGTGTCGGTATTCACGTTGCCTGCCGCTCTCGACCACTATCTCTCTTGCATTGTAACTCGAGCGGCTGGTACGAGGATCCTCGATGTGGCTGCTTCTGGGGCCCAGATTACCACTGCTGCGGTGGCCCGAGCTTCGAGGAGGTTGTACGTAGCGATATGTTTCGTAATCGTCCTTGTTTGAATGATGCTGTGGGCCTCTACGCTCTCGCAAGAGCTCCTTCTCACGAAGGTGATATTCGCTCTGGGGGCCAGTGGCTCTGGAGCGAGAAGTTGTTTTGGAACGGCCTCCGTCGCTTGAGCTGCTGCTGCTGCTACTGCTGGAGCGCGACGATGGTGTTACTTCGACATATTGAGGGCCGGCGTGAGAGTGTCTTTCTGATGCAGGTGCTGGCGGTAGGGGCGGAGGTGGGTCGTAATGGCTATGATGATCATGTTGCTCGAATGGCGGGGCATAGGCTATGACGGGTGGAGTTTGAGGAGGTTGTTGTATGATATATGTTCGCTCCTGAGGACGTGGAGCTTCCTCATAGTATGCGCGAGAGACTCTTGTGGTGCGAGGTGGTGAGCGTCGGCGTTCTCGTCGTACGACACGAGCTGGAACGGCATACTCGTCGGGGTCTTCCTTGACGCTGACGAGACACATGGTTGCTTTGGTGGGGAGAATAGAAATGTGAAAGAAAGATAACAAAAACAGAAAGACCGACCTACGGTTGAGATAGGGTATGTGGACGAGGTCACAGCAGGGTTGCGACAAACCTGCTTGATGATCGAGGGTGTGGCTGGTCTGGCGAGATTGCGATTGGGCTTGCACGAGTCTTGCGGAGCCCCAGTGCCACTAGGACATGAGCACGACTAGGGTACAAGCAAACATTGTACCGTGAAGGCAAGGACGCATAGACAGTCCATCCATATGTCGCTTGATCGAGGCAGCATGGAAGAATGCTAGCGGTCTGGAAGGCAACAAGATGGGAAGGAGCGAGGGACTCGGATTGAGCGACTTCCGCTTGAGGGAGCGTGCGGAGCTTGTTCTCCAGACTGACGCACCAAGGGTCCGGTCCTTGTTGTTGCTGATGAACTGTTCATGGCCAGTACACACAACTATGTCGTCGGCTGCTTCCAATCTTCTCGTATCCCATAGAATAGCATCGTCATGAGCAGCAAGCCGCTGCCCAGGGCCGCTGCCGGAGCAAATGGCCTTCCTAAACAAAGGGCTGGTCTCACAAGTATAGATGCCCCTCGTCGACCAAACACACCAAGCAATGTCTTTGCTTCTCTCAAGGCTACTCAGATTCTGACTCTGAAGCCTGTCCTACCTGCTGGTCTATCATCCTGAGGAAACATACATTAATCACAACAATCATGCTGACCCAATTCAGAACTCATCGCTACCATCCTCGACTACCTCCCCGTATCCGACCTGATAACATGCGCCAGAGTATCGAAGCGTCTGCAAGAGATGGTCTACGATGACACGAGATGGGTTGCTAGATTGAAAGACATGGGCGTGTGGAACGAAACGGAAGCACGACAACGATACGAGGAATCAAAAAAGAGACTCAGTGGCCGCCCACAAGCCGATCGGAGCCTGACCATATTCGACGCACACGACGAGCAAGAGAAAGTACGGAAATCGCTAGAACAGGCTGTTGCCCCCAGGAGGCCGAGGCATAGCAGTGTGACTGATGGCTTTGACGATCTGACTGTATCCCAAAATCCTACTTTCGACGCAAAAGCTGCCACCACCGCTCTGCGTAAGGTTCGCTCCGTCCGCGGTCATGCTAGACAAGAGTACGGCAGAGTTCATGGTGCTTTGGGTCCTTTCTACTACGATCTGGTTCGCTCAGAAAACTCGTCCGACCCAGCCGTCTTTCGTCTCGTCCAGGACTCTGAACAGCAAGCTCGCATTCTTGCTGACTTGAGAGTCTTTGCACGAAGCGATAGTGCTCAGAAATGGCGCCAACGGCAGGACAAGCTTGATTCTATGCTTGGTATCTTTGAGAACGCCATGATCAACGAATTCCAACAGGCGTATCAAGCTCAAGATGTTGATCGCATGAGACGCTATGCTCACGTTTTGGTCTCCTTGAACGGAGGTGCCGCTGGCGTCGACATTTTCATTTCGAACCATCCTTATATGCGCCAAAGAAATCAAGTCGGCAACCCTCTAGATTGCTTGCAAGACGTGGCTCCTGGACACGTGGATCTCAACCCTGCACAGAGATTCTTCGAGAAACTGGCATCCATGTTATCCATGCAATCGTCCATTATCGATCAAGTCTTTCCAAGCTCCGTTAGTGTCCTTCTTCCCTTCACGACCCGCGTTTGTGAAGACATAGTCTCAGACTATATAACAACCCTGTTTATCGAAGCACACGAGAACAGTGTAGAAGTTTACCTTAAGGCAGTGGCTGGAGTATTCGAGCAAGCCATGCGCTTTGCGGTCTCCATTCAACCACCAAAAGCATCCGGCACAGATTTTCACGATCAGATCAAGAGCATCATTTCACACATTTTCGAGCCGCATGTGGACCGTTTCCTCACAGAGGAGCTCGAGTACTTCACCAATAGATGCAATGATGAAGTTGGTGCTTGGGAAAAAGAACTTTCGGAGCAAGAAGCAAAGACTGAGTCCTTCTTCATGTCAGGCATAAACAGACAAGCCGCGAAGCGCGATTTCTTGTCTTCGTTCAAGAAGGTTGTTATGATGCCTGTGAATGCTCTACCTACCTTTCCTTCTGCGAACAAGGCTACACCAATAGCTGAGGTCCCTACTCCAGACCAGACCTCACGGCCAGAAACACCGGATACTCCAGCGACACCAAGGCCGGCTCCGACGACAGAGTTGGCAGCCAAAACCGCCATCATGAACTCACGACTTGAGGGCATCAAGTCTCTATTCAGCATCGAGGTAGCGCTGAGCTTGATTCATCATGCAAAAGCGTCGATTGAGCGAGCTGCCATCTTCATCCGAATGGGCGATAAATATGCTACCTTAACAAAAGAGCAGTGTGACAAGATCTTCGTCAGCCTGTTAGAGATTCTCGGACGCCGGCATATCCAGAACGGCTTTGACAAGGCAGTAGGTCATCTGAGCAGCTACAACCCGCGCGACGTCAAAGAGTTCCGCTCAGAACAGACGGCAGGAGCGACTGCTGGAGTCGAGCCCCTCGTTACCTTCCTCGAGCTTGTCAATGTCGGAGACTTGATTCAACAGATGGTCGATGTCTTTTACGTGCAAGAATTAGTCACACCGGGCCTCACCGACCGCGACGATTTCCTTAATCCAGCCGTGAAGGAAAAGAAACGCTTCGAGCAAATGCTAGATGAGCGAGTAGCAGCAGGCATGGGCAAAGGCATCGATGTCCTGATGGACGAGGTCGAATACACGTGTGCAACACTCCAACTCACCGCCGATTTCAACACCGATGCCGTGGACGCCAAAAACTTGACAGGAGTTGATAAGCGCGCTAGCATGATGGGTCTAGTCGATATTGGACCCACGGAAACCGCTAAGCGTGTAGTCGACACCATTCAGCAACACACAGGCATGTTGGTCGGCAGCACGGACAAGAACATGCTGGATGTGTTCAACCAAGAAGTCGGGTTGAGACTGTTCGGAGTGCTGTGCAAGCATATAAAACGCCAACGCATCAGTGCTGATGGAGCGATAAAGCTGATCAGGTATGTACCTATCCTCCCTTTTTCCTTCGATACTTTCTAACACCACCTCTCCAACAGCGACATCAACCTTTACAGTTCCTTCATAACCACTCTCCGTCAAAAATCCCTATTACCCTACTACTCAGCTCTGCGCGAGCTCTCTCAGATCTACCTGGTGGATTGCGGCGGTGGCAATGCTACCACTACATCGACCTCCATCTTCTCGACTTCTGCTGCTGCAACAACGAGGATGGCTCGGTGCAAGGAATTGGCTACCATTATTGCGGATAACGATAGATATCATGGCATCTTCCGCGCTGAAGAGGTGTACGAATTTGCGGAGAGGAGGGCAGATTGGTATGCTGTGAGAAGGGACGTGGAGAGGGCTATGTATGGTATTGGATGTTTGATCATGTAAGCGGACGGGAAATAGAAAGGGCGGTCCTTGTGGTATTTGAGAAATAAGCGAATATCATAAAGGCATGAGATCTTCCAACTCCTCCAATCGAGTTCACCAATTCCACTAGTTACTTCATCTGCATCAGCAAGCTGAAGAACACCACAAAGTACATCCACGAAATTCGCCTCCCACCCAAACATACATCAAGGACCTCTAGCCTGAGATAGATATCATCGCCTGATATGTTCTTGTCCCAGCGCCCAACCACTACATCAGCCAGCAGTTAAAAACTCCCTCGTACCACCTCTTACCTCCCACAAAGTTCCATCTTCTCCACCAAAACACTGAGACCCTCCTTCCAAACTCCAAGCACTTATACACAACCTTTTTTGTTTGGTGCTTCTTCAACAAAGCAAAACAAGAAACAAAAGCCGTGGTGGTGTAGTGGTCAAGCACCACCCGATCCGTCACAATCTCTTGAATTTTCCTCTCGCTTTTTGCCTAACACACTCTTTTCATAAGGATCGGGAGGTCGTTGGTTCCAATCCAATTCACAGTGCTTTGTGTTTTCTTTTGCTGATGTCTATGTTTGTACAAGGAGGTAGGTGGTAGGATGCTTGTCTTTTGTGTTTTCGTCTCGTTCACGCAAGGAGGATAGTAGGTCACGATGTTGACTTGGAAGAACTGTTCTTATATCTGAGGTAAGGATACCTTGCTGTTTGGATTACATCTTGAAAATGCACGCATCACCCTTGACGAGTGTTGAGAATGTCAACTTACACAACATGTCTTCGTTGGCTCATAGAAAAAATCTGTTCATGGCAAGAATATCTATTGCTGTAACGTCAAAAACTCCCCATTCCAATGCACCGATTCCAACACGCTAACATTTCATTCTGTCGTAATTATACAATTTTTATCTTTCGAAAAAGAGAGGAGTACAGCCCTGAGTGTACGTCTAGACCTCAGGCTTGCCAAAGTCGATGGCCCACTGCTCGGCCTCATGCTTGAGACAGCGTCTAGCATACCAGAAAGTGCACAATGTCCAGACACCAGCCCAGATGAAAGGAACGGTCCAGCCGACCACATAGGCAGCGTCCTTTTGAATGGAGAAGATGAGTGCAGTGATGACAGCAGCTGCGACCTCACCACCAATACCCCAGAACAAAGTCAGACGGTGAAGCATTTGACGGAAGTAGTGGCTGGCTTCGTATCTGGTGTTGAGTCTCTCGCGGAATTCAATGTTACCGCCGCCATCGACTGCAATGATATCCTCGATGATCCAGTAGATTCCAGGGCGGAGCTGGGAGCCAGCAGGCATCGAAGAAATACGGAATGGTGAGGGGATTTTGAGGAGACGCATGCCATCCTGGATGATCAACTCTGAGCCAAATGCGAACATGAGAGAGGCACAAGGCATCGCTAGCAGACGAATAGGTGGATTCTCGGGAATGGTACCACTGGTGGAACGTCAGCAACGAATTCGAAACAACTTTGGATTAGATGCTTACACGATGAGCTCAACGATGATGATGACCCACGCAAAACTGAAGTTCCAGTGGAACCAATCGAGCTATTTCAAGAGTCAGTGTCTCTGTGTCTTAAGTGTACATGGAGGATATGCTTCTTACATATGATCTACGACCACCAATGACACGACACGTGCTGCCCTTCTTCCACAGATGCCAGAAGCGGAGTACGTACTCAAAGATACTGATACCTCCCAGAGCAGCTGTGACGATGGAGAAGACGGTATTCGGAGAGAGGTCGGTGCCGTACCAGAGACCGAAGTAGAGAGCCAAGGGCATGACGATGGAGTCGAAAAGAATGAGGAACCAGAAGATGAAGATACTACGCTTCCTCTGGCGCAAGTCGTATTCTAGCGATGGTGGGGCATACGGGTTGATGGCTCCGGGTTCTCTGGCGGGTGCTGCGAGACTGGTTCTGGGTAGGGCCAGAGACCTTCGAGGACCGAATGGATTGGAAGTTCTACGTTCTCCTGTGGGTGAGCGGACACCACCGCCGACAGGCGAGTGTACGCCGGATGGTGATCGTACACCATCATCAGTTGGCGGGAATGATGGTGAGGGTGCACCTTCGTCTGCCGGCGATGCGAAGGGTGAGGGCGCGAAGTCGACTGCTGGAGACGTCGGCATGGCGAGTCGTGTGACTTGTCGTATGTCGAGATAGTAATGTTATACTAGCAGCCGTCAGCAAGCAGCTATTTCGCGGCGGACTCGAGGCATGAGCGACGCACGTATTATAAGAGTGAAACAGGTTGAGTGTTGGAAAGCGTTTTCCAACTGACTTTCTGGTTCCGGACCGCGGGTAGAGATTGGGCCGAAAACAAGGGAGCAGAATGCCTTTGATGGTTTGGAGTTCAAGTAGAATGAGGGCGAGGCTGTGTGTGTGGATTCGAAATAGAGCAAAGTAGGTGCTCAAGACTCGTAATACATGTAAGCTCCAAGACTAGAGACCGGCGGTTCTTGCGTGTTATCCACCCTTGGACGCGGTTCAACATCGAGACCCTGGCCAAGTACGTGACGTCTGCCGCGCCCGAATCGTCATAGGAGTGCTATGAGGCTGATTGCCAAGCACCTTCGTTTCTCAATCGCCCGCAATCAGGACTGTCTACCAGACGCACGCCTAGCGCTACGCAGCGTATTCTCGTTCCCCTTTGCAAGTGTTATCGCCAGACCGTCTGGTCGAGATTCGACATTCGAGATCAAATCGAAAGGCGATATCGTAAAATATGCTGCCATTGCTCCCTGCCTGACCAACAACACTTCCCGAGTCTTCGTAGCTTGTTTCAAACAAAAGTGTCAAGGAGGCATGGCGGGCGCTGGTTAAGAAAGCTTGCGCGCTTGATACCAAGTCCTCTTCCCAGCCCTGTCGCGCAACTCGCTCGTCATCAAAAGAGCATGGCAATATATCACCTACGTCCTACAGCAGAGCACCTACCCACCTCCTCATGTCCGATCATGACATGGACCATCACTCTTAATATGCGCTTTCTTCTGCTGTCTCTCCTGAGTGTCTTGACGGTCGTCACGACTGCTCTCCCAGCCCACCAAGCTCCTCTTCTTCGCCATGCTGCAGACAATCGCACCGTCTCTCCCGAGCTATTCTCTGACCTCGAGGAGCTCGCGCGTGTCGTCGACATATCTTATTGTGTAGGTCTCACCGGCATAGGCATATCAAGGCCGTTCAAATGTCTCGGTCGCTGTTCCGAATTTCCCGATTTTGAACTTGTCAAGGTAAGAGGGTGTGTTTGTATTGACCACATTTGACCATGTGCCGACATGTACTCTAGACATGGAACACTGGCCAGTTGATGTCCGACTCTTGCGGCTACATTGCTCTATCTCACTCACAGGCGAATCCTCGCATCATCGTCGCGTTCCGTGGCACCTACTCAATCGCAAACACGGTTGTCGATCTTTCAACCGTACCTCAAGAATACGTCCCCTACCCTGGTGACCCGGACTCAGGAGCATCGAAAGCCGATCATGCAAAGTGCAACAACTGCACTGTGCACACTGGCTTCTACAGTTCTTGGAAGGTGGCTTCTTCTGCCATCTTACCAGACTTAGAGGCTGCCATCGCTGCTTACCCCAACTACGCCCTAACTCTCGTTGGTCATTCACTTGGTGGTGCCGTTGCAGCCCTCGCCGGTCTCGAACTCGAATCTCGTGGCTGGAATCCGACGATTACTACCTTTGGAGAGCCTCGACTTGGGAACGCAGCCTTGAATCAATACCTTGACCAGCGATTCAACTTGCTCGGCTCTTCACGTGATGCCTGGACGAACGTTTTCGATGAACGACAACTACGTTATCGTCGTGTCACTCACATAGACGATCCAGTACCTCTGCTACCTCTTACAGAGTGGGGATATCGAATGCACGCTGGCGAGATTTATATCTCCAAGTCTGCCTTGACTCCAGACATTCAGGATCTCCAGCACTGTGTTGGTGATGAAGACCATCGGTGCATCGCCGGACAAGATAGCAGTCTATCACCAGAGTCCACACCCACCAAACGCGATGATCTCAGAGCTCAAGTGAAGCATTCCGTGGATGACCTTGCTGAGGAGCGCGAGTTGGAAAAGCGAGCTATCGGTTCCTGGGTCGTGCCATCTCGCTACAAGTTGTGGCAGCTGTTCTTTGCACATCGTGACTATTTCTGGCGCCTCGGACTCTGTGTCCCCGGTGGAGATCCTTGGGATTGGAATCGCAAGCCATATGCACCGCTTGGTGGAGACGAGCAGGAGTCGGTCTGATCGTTTCTTCAAGATCGAACCAAGATTGTACCTGATGCCATTGGGAGTTCTTTTCGTTGTAATCTATCACATGTATCTTACCACTTTAACTATGCCGTGTTGTCACTTTTCTCCAATGTCCCATGAGGTCTGCCTCATCGGTTTCTTGTCCATCCTCTGATGTGTGCGCACTGTTCAGACAGATCTCTCTTGTTCGACGCATGTTCTCATCCGCTAACTCTGCTATACATATTTTACAACAATCAAAGCTCCCAAGCACTCCAACTTCATTGATCGGCTCTCCCCTGACGCTGACAAACAACATTTGCCTATCTTAGCAGGCCACCGAGATCATTACATCACAACTTCAGTAAGTATACCTACACATCTACATTTACTTATGTTCCCGGTTTCGGTTTTTTTTTTCTGGTTCTGAGCAATAGCCATCTGTAACACTCGTCACGCACAATCAGAGAGTTCGTAGACGTGTAATGTTCGAGGCAAACTCTCGCTATGCTGGCGATCTCTTCACACAATGTAGATTTCAAATTTTTGAAAAACCTACTTATCTGCCACCAACTGCGTTGTACACAAAGTCGCCGGTGTTCTTATGGACAAGAAGAAAGTTGATGTTGAATCAACACATGGATGTGAGATCGATCATCCTGTTCTCGCTCACAATTACGCAGATTCCAGAGCAGGTGCGAAATGGTAGAACAAAGGTGGTTGATCGAAGCTTCCATCTGAGGACGACCGTCAGCTGACCATTGTAGTTTTGTCATCTGTACAAAGAACGGTCTACAGGAGTAAAGCTGTGCTTTGATCTCGGATTTGTAGCATGCTCACATGACATGGTATCGAGGAATTCAGATCCCATCAGTGGAGATGACGAAAATGATGGCAGATGTTGTGATGACTCAACTACGAGTATAGCTGTAAGAGTAGCTAGTCGACTATCTCAAAAGTTGAGAGACCTGTTCGTTGATAAACTTCTTGTCATCAGCAGTACCAGCTCCTCCGCCAGCAAGATGGCCCCAGATACTCTCAATGACAGCCAGCTTTCCGTCTTTGATATGCTTGACCTCCTCTTCGCTGTCCTCGGGTGGGAAGTAGCAATCAGTTCTCGAAGGCATGATCAACGACTTTGCCTTGATGCGTCCCAAAGCTGCGGGCAAATCTCCCTTGTCTTCAGGGAAGCAAGCGGCGATGTTGCCATTTTGCCATGTCCACAGCATGGATAGCAAGTCATTGGCATCGTTAGACCTCTTGTCCCACACATTCTGGAGGTACTTCTCTAGCGTGTCGTAGCCAACTGCCTTCCAGCACTCATTTCTGTACCAGGCTTGACTGAGTGCCCAGGTTGAGTAAACCCGACCAAAAGCCCGGAGACCTCTGACGGGCTCTTTCTGGTATCTGCCATCTTCAAAATCAACAGAAGACTCCAAAGCAGCTTTTGGTCCTTCCAAGAAGTTGTAGTTGTGCCACGATGTGCGTGCCGAAGTCGCCAGCATAACCACATTGGACACGAAGTCAGGGTACAGCACACTCACATAGTAAGCCTGCTGTCCACCCATCGAAAACCCAATATACGCCTCCAACTTCTCAATGCCCAGACTCTGACACAGCGCATACTGCAGCCTTATGTTATCCTCATACGTGACTCTGGGAAAATCGATGCCAGAAAACGGAGCAGCCTGATTCGATGGCGACGAACTCTCCCCGCCACCAAGCTGTCCAACGACCAAGACATGGTACTCAGACAATGACAATGCGCAGTCCTTCGAATCGTAAAGGAAAGTAGTCGTGGTTTCAAGTTTGCCGGCAAAACACGTCGGCATCAAAACGCAAGGCTTGGAAACGTCGCCGAGACTCCAGTAAGCTAGCTTGCCCTCAAACTCCTGCCCGGCATGCGAAGAGCCAGGGGATAGCTTGATGGTATGCGAAAATTGCTTGGTTTCGGGCATTGCGTGCGAATCGCGATTGGACTTTTTTTTCCCTGATCAATGATAGGTGCGAAAAATAATTGGCAGTGTCAGTTGTTGTTGTTATTTTCGAAGGATGTGGTTGAACAAAAGTCTGGCTAAAGAGGAAGGTGGAGGTCAAGATGTCGTAAAGGTGGGGCCTGTCGAGCGACGAACGCCTCCCTGATCGCCACCAAAACTTACCATTTTATCCAGAATAACCTCCCCATGGGCAAATGGTATCTCACACGGTAGTTGTGAAAGTGCACAGCAAGTTCATGAGACACAAGGCATCCACCGAGAGTCGTGATTTCGGCGGCCCTCTCCGGCGTCATCCCCCATCCGGAAGAACTGCATCGTTACAGCTGCCGCGTGACACATACACATATGGATCGGGAAGCATTCGAGCCCACAAGATATCGTGATGCACTGTGTTCTGTTGAGCAGGCAGAGTGGATAGCGTCACAGGAGTCAAGAGAAATTCTCAAAGTGGTCTGAAGGAAAAATCATAAATTCAAAGCGAATGTGTATTCAGACATTCGGAGCATCGTAACAACCCATTATTCACATAACTAAGTCCAAACCGACTGTATATATCCTGCCGTGGTATCTTTCTCTACAGCTCTCTGTGCTCGACAGCCATGCCGTCCTTCTCGGTCATGTTGACGGTACCAAGACCACCGATCTCGGCAGCCAACACCTTGCTCTTCTCCGTTGCGGCAGCACCACCAACGATGGCTGAATCTCCGTCGAAGTACTTGGCAATCTCCTCGAGAGGAGTGTTGCGGGTCTCGATGTAGAACTTCCAGACGATGAAGAGCTCGAATCCGAGCCAGCAGCAGTAGACGATGTAGTACTTCCACTCGATAGCGTTGAGGGCAACGGGGTTGACGTATTGGTTGAAGAAGAGTGCGAGATCAACGCACAAGAACATGAGAGTCATACCCTTGGCACGGATGTTGTAAGGAAGAATCTCAACAGAGTATCCGACCAAAAGACCCGAGAAGGCAATGTTGTAGAAGACGTAGTAGATGAAGATGAAGGCAACGACAGCGTTGGCAGAAGCCTCAGTTCCAGCAATCTTGAAGCGGGCGGAGCAGATGGTCTGGACGATGAAAGCCATCATCATACCAGCAGTCGAGATCAAGAACAGAGTGCGACGACCGACCTTGTCGACGAAGAAACATTGTCCGACGGCGACGATGAAGTTGACGATCTGCAGAACACCGTTGATAACTAGCTGAGTGTTGGTGTCGGTGATACCGATTTGGTTGAGAACGATTGTGAGGTAGTACGAGACCAGGCCGTTTCCGGACCATTGCGAGAAGAAACCAACAGAGCAGAGAATGATCAGACGGTGGCGGTTACCGGGGGTCTTGAAGAGCTGGGCCCAGCCGTTGGCCTCGAACTCCTGCTCAAGCTTGATGGTGTCTCTGATTTCGGCCATTTCGAGCATAACAACTTCGTCCTCGAGGTTTCCGTTGGCGTGAACGTTGGCCAAAACCTGGTGGGCCTGCTCGATCTTGCCCTTGGAGATCAAGAATCTAGGTGACTCGGGAACGAACCAGATGAAGACAAGCTGAAGTACGGAAGGGAAAGCTTGTACAATCGAGGGGATTCTCCAAGCCCAGTGGTTGTGGATGTGGAAGGTTCCGAAGGTCAACCATGCAGCCACGATCGAACCAAGGTACCAAGTGGTGTTGTAGATTGTAGTGAAAAGAGCACGGTGTTGAGGGTGGGTGAGCTCGGTGAGCAGCAGAGGCGAAGCACCGTGGGCGACAGCAACACCGAATCCAATGAGGAAACGAGCGCCAATGAACATGTTGAGGTTCATGGCAGCAGACTGAATGACAACACCGACGATCATGAGGATACAACCAGTGAGGATACCAGCGCGACGACCCAGACCATCGGCGATGTAGGGGACAACGGGAAGAGCGACAAGAGAACCGACGGACATGATGGCGTTGAGCAGACCCAATGAAGCTGCAGAAGGGTAGTTGAAATCTGCAGACGGTTAGTATGTGTTTTGGAATCCGGTCGTTAAAGCGGACATACCCTCTTTCCAGATAGTGAGGGCCTGGAGACCGTTCATCATAGAGCCATCGTAACCATTGGTGGCACTGGTAATGACGACGAACATCAAGCAGATGTAGTTTCTCCTCAAACCAGGGTCAGTAAGCCAGTTGACCTTGGGGAATTCGCGTCCCGCAAGACGGAAGTGGCCTTTGGTTGCGGCCTCCATTTCGACTGTCTGTGGTGAAGAACGATTGTTGCGTGTATAGAAAGAGAGAAAAGATCAGCGAGTGCAATTGATGCCTGTGAGACAGTGGAGTCGAATGCCTGGCTGATCAAGTCATGGGGGTGAGGACAATGAAGCTATATATCTTAAATGAGAGTTGCAGCACAAAGCATGCCATCTCATTTAGCCGCCAGGCACGCGCACAAGCAGACCACCATTTAGAGGTGACAAAGATATCTGAACCTCGCTTGTATCGACCCGGCGGCGTGGCACATGCAAAAGAGAAGGCCAGAGTGGTCTTGGCCACTATTGATTCTCGTTTACCCCACAGACATGTTCTTTTAGCCACAGCGGGGACTCCGCATGAATGGGAGACCTCGAGGAGAGGGTGATCGCGTGGTTTGTGGCCCGGCGGCCAAGATATCTCGCTTGCAGAACTGGGACTAGACCATGCAGGATCGACGTCTGATACGGCGTTGATATTAGGTTGCCAGATGGCTAGCTAACGGTGGCGTCTTGGGGGGCGGAAGCATGAGTATTGCCGGGAGCTTGTACAGACGTGATGTTCTTGAATTTTGACAGTAGTTGAATGTCGAGCTATGCAGCATGGAGTCCACTCCATGCATAGTCGAAGGGATCACCGCTCAAAAATGTGGAGGAGTCTGGAGAAGGGTGATCCGGCTCGCAAAATCGGTTATCCCCCACAGCTCCACGAGAACGTCCGGAGAAGGAGGGTGGTAGACCGAATGGGGTATAGTCCGCTTTGCAGGCTACATTGGTCACAAGCACATGTATTTAACCGGCGGATTTTGCCTGTACAACGACGCTGGTGGTCAACCATCTAACATCAAACTTGGCTCGAACAAGCTTCGTGGCATGCTTTGCGACATCGATTATTGAAGTCCGACACCAAAACGAGTGACGACTACAAACGATCGTAGACGTAGGTGGTATGTTAAAGTTATACAGGCAGATTGACGATACCGTTGCTTGGAACCAAGTAAGCATTTTCAACGAAGGAGCCGCACAGAAAGACCGTGGGCCATTGGAGGGTGTCTTTAGCCAAAAGTTGTCTGGGCACATATGTTGTTATTTCTTCTAGTCGCAATCTCGAGGGTTATCTGGAGGTCTTACAACAAGAACATTCTCAGCATTGTCGCACTCGAGATGTCTGAATCTGGCAGGGCTGCATAAGCAACGAGGTATGCTGCAGCTTGCGTACAGTACGCCAAACACGTCCCAGGGTCTGCCATATTCATCTCTGCACAGGCAAGCCAGACGCGTGTAGCAGCCAGCTGGGTCAACACTGCAGCTGCAAACCAATCACGGAACCGCCCAGATTCCTCTCCTGTTGTCGCCAAATGGGGCGACTGGCTAGTGTCAGGTTCACGACAAGCGTTCGAAGGACGATAGGCTATTGTTGGCGCGTCTGGCGGCTAAAGCAACATACAACATTGCATAATACCGGAGATTCCCACTGCAGACGAGCGGCTCAGGCGAAGGCTGGAACGTTGGATCTCTTCACGATCTGCCGGGTCGCAGTAGCGTCGCGATCAAGCCATCTCTGAGCAATCTCTGGGGGTTCTGGGGTGATCCATGGGTCGTGGGGTCGCCCGACATGGCATGAGTCTGGATACACGGGCCGTAGGAGAGTGTCCGAACGTGGAGGATGCATGGCATGCGGTTCGAAGGCCCGGCGTTGCCGATCTCAGTGCATACAGTGGCGAGAGAGATTGATCTCGAGACCATTCGTTTGACAACAATATATTGGCAAAGGCGATGGATCACAGAGCTTTCTTTTGATGATCTCGATACGGGTGGTGTTGTTGTTTGATAGGCTGTAGTAGTTGTGATGGCCAGAGGAGGACAACGAGTGTATTTGTCACATGGTGTGTGTTAAATGTCGCACAACGGAGCTGAGGTGGGCGCGTCAGGAGCCAGCCGTCTTCTTTTCGATGACACTCCGGACCCATCTCCCACCATCCCAGTACTCCCGCTTGCCGGTCACGATGTCCTCGTTCTCGTCTTCGATGAAGGCAGAATGGCCAGTATCACCAAGATGAAGGGCAGCAGTCTCTTCCAGCAGTATACCCAAAGCAAGCAAAGCAGTCTCGTCCATTGATTGAAAGTCGATTTGCCCTTTGTCCGGAGTGGCGTTCGAGTAAAAGTCAGATGCATATCGGTGTAAAAACTTAAGCAGGTCGGAATCTGGTAAAGGAGTGGGTGGGTGTGGAGCCTGGTAGACGTCGGATTCTTGATATCGCTCAGGGGCTCCCTGACGGCGAAACAGGACCTCGTCTGGCGGAACGGACTGCAACGAGTTTGTCTGAGTGTCTCGATACTTTGTAGCAGTGCGTTTCTCGGTCGCGAGAAGACTTTCATAACCAGCCTTGCCAGCGACTGCTTCATAGACGGTTATCTTGCGGCGTTTGCGAGTGACAGCTTCAGGCTCAACAGCATCTTCGGGGTGCTTGTAGCGCTGCAGACGCTCTGTACGAGGATCCATCTCCAGCGTAGTTGTCTACAGGTAATTCGAAAGTTGCGTTCGTGGTCGAATCTAAAATTGGGATGGTCGACGGAAAGCTGTGTCTTGGCGAGAGGTTGGAGTCGCGATTTCCCAGCATACGTCACGTTCCTCGATCGCTCCTTCCATTCTTCATCGACCAAGACCAGACAAAGATGATTGAAGATGAATCTGTCGCCGGATGAACTCGTTCTTACTCAACCGCGCTCTCGGTAGCGTGAGCCCCGCAGCCCTGGCGCGCTCGCAAAACACCCGTCTCGTATACTCAATCCAGCCCGCCAGTCATGTATCATTGAGCATCAGCCCTCCGGACACTGAAAATGACCAAGACGCTCTGCAGAACGGTGTTGCACATCCAGCCGGTGTGAATAGCATCACTGTCGACAAGTTCGAAGGCCGATGGCTTCTCTCTGGTGGTGCAGACTCGTCCATTGGAATATGGGACCTCGAGACTCCGACGAGCCAGTCCGACGAGTCGCGTGTCATCCAACCACTCGGCTATGCCTCCAAGACTTCAAAGACGGCAAACTTTGGCATCACCCACGTTTCCTTCTATCCCTTCGACTCTCTGGCCTTTCTGTCTAGCAGCTACGACCACTCGCTGAAGCTCTACTCGTCCGAGACCCTCGAGACCTCGGCCGCCTTTGACCTTGAAGCCGTCGTCTATTCGCACGCCCTTTCGCCCGTCGCTTCGCACTTGCTGGTAGCCTGCGCCACACAAAATCCTGCTGTGCGTCTGGTCGACCTCCGCTCAGGTGCCAGTACACATTCGCTGCCTGGTCACAGTGGTGCCGTCCTCTCAACCGCTTGGCACCCGAAACGCGAACATGTACTGGCCAGCGGTGGCTCTGATGGCCTAGTACGCCTATGGGATATCCGTCGCAGCGCAAGTAGCTTGGGCGTGCTCGACATGGAAGACAGCAGGGGTGTTGGCATGAATGGCAATACCCTGCGGCGTGAGCGCGGAAAGGCTCACACGGGCGCTGTCAACGGTATAACCTGGGACGAAGCAGGAGATTTTCTCGTTTCCTGTGGTCAAGACGACAAGATACGTGTCTGGGATGCAAACACAGGCGCAAATACCCTGACCAATTTTGGCCCTGCCGTCAAGAGTTCCACCACATCCACTCTATTACCTCTCCTCAGCCCAAGTCATCTCACCGGTCAATCAAAAGAGATACTCATATACCCCAACCCACGCGAACTACTTGTATACGAGATGCACACGGGCAAACTGATCACACGCCTGCGAACCCCATCATATGCGTCTACACGCATACAAGTCACAGCAGGATCCGGCACACGAAATGTCGTCAACAAGACCACAAGTCTAGCCTGGCGAGCCCATAACATCGAGCTCTACTCGGGCCATTCCGACGGCACCATCCGCTGCTGGAAGCCAAGGACGTGGGAAGACTCGCTGGACGAGGACATGGATGACGACGATGACCAAGAAGAAACAGGTGAAGACGCCATAGAACGCAAGCGCAAAAGAGATGAACTAGACGACATGGTCAATGGCCTGACAAAACGCCAGGTAACGTATATCTAATATCAGCAATAATGAGCAATGCAATGCAATCATAGACAAACAAAAAGGCCTTCTCTTGAGAGTATCATTCCAGCCATGCTCAACAGTTTCATGTCCACCTTCTGTCTTTTCACCACATGACAAAACCCCGACAAACATACAATGCAATTTCAACAAGATGAAGAGCCTTTCTATAATTGGGTATAAATGCTATCTCCCTCTACCTATCACAGCATGCCTACAGCATAACAACCACAACATGCAAAAATCCATCTGCAAACGCCGCAGCACGCATCAAATCCTCGACAGGCGCACTCATCGGCACAACAGCTCCATGCAACACCGGCACTGCCAAGACTGGATTTCGCCTACTGGGAAACACGGTGGGCAGGATATGATTCAGGGCTGTGCCTAGGGTGTTTGATTGGCCTGTGCAGTAGTAACCGTCAGTCTACATGAAGGCGAGGAGGGAAAATGAAGAAAAGAAGAGGGAGAGGGGAGAGGGAAGGAAAGGCAACTCACGCGTTGTGGCAGAAAAGGGAGCGATTAATCCTTGTACTGTTCTGATACTCGCTTGCACCATCCCTGACACCTGACCCTCGTCATCTCCAGAACTTTGTTGCGGTGATGTGGTGGTTGGAAGGTATATTTTGATGGGAATGTTTCGAAGAGGCGTCCCTGGTGGATTGAGCAGTTTGTTGTTTATGGTGTTGAATTTGGTGAGGTTGTCTGGAAGACCACATTTTCTCATCAGTACAGTATTCTTCTTGAGAGCAATGGTGAGAGAAAGAGGTAGAAAGAGTGGAAGGGGGGAACGGAGGGAAGGCGAAAAGGAGGGAAATGGAAAACTTACGGTCCTGTACTGCTTGCCATAACGTATCAGAGTCGTCTTTGCTTAGACCCATGTATACGTTTCCCTTGCCATTGCGTATCACGTCTGCCTGTGATATGTCAGTCTAGAAGTCTACTTTCACCACCCAACACATCTTCCTCCATCATAACCAGAATGCGGAGTGGGGGCAGAGGATGATACAAAAACTCACCTCCTTGACAGCATTGACATAACAATCCCTCACCACCCTCCCCTCTGCATCCAACCCCATCAACATATCCGCCGGAAACTCTGAATAGCTCACCACCAATCTCCAAGGCTTCCCTGCCTCTGCACCAACTTCATCATCATCATCATCAGCATCCGCAGCTGCAGCTGCATTTCCAGAAAACAGATCGTGCAGTAATCCAACAGGATAATGATACTTCAACGGCACGTTTTCAAAGGAAAGCCAGGCTGTATGAGAAGAAACAGACGGGTCGATAAGGTAAGGAAGAAAGAAGTCGTGTAAGCGAGGCAGTAGAGTAGACAGGTGTGACAGGCGAGGGATGCAGATCTAAATTTGAAGTCAGAAGACATGATTTGGGTATAGAAAACCCGATATTTCGCTATTTGTATTGAATAAAAGGAGTAGAAAACACACATACCAAATACGGATCCACTTCATCGATGCTTCTGCAATCCGCACTCGCGAGCCTGATCTCGAGCGGTAGACTCCCCGCCCACACTTTCTTTTGAATGCTTGCGAGTATTGCTAGTGGTGTCGCCATGTCTGATGTGTGACGCCCGATGGTTATGGCTTTGTTTGTCGAATCATTTGTTCGATGTGTGATTTGATGCTGTGTTGTTGAGTTGCCAGGTGCTGCGATGGAAGGTTGGCGTTTGTCGTTGATGCCTGTTCGGTTTATGAACAGGGTCGTCCTGATTACAAGAATTGCAATTGATCAAATATCACATTTCGTCTCCTCCAATGGTACATGGTGTAGGATATATTCCCAAGCAACACTCTGGACTCAACTACGTGTATCGTGCTAATGTTTTCGCAGCCGCTGCAGAATTGTATCGTGGGAAAGGACAAAAAGGGATTTGGTAAACGAGCCAAAGCCAAAGCCTAGGGCAATTGAAGCATCGGGTTTGGAGTGCCAGATGCTTGCAAGTCACAGAACTGAAGCAGCGATGAATTACAAAACAGTGTCACATGTAAAACGGACAACGATGACTGCATCCAGCACTTTTTGCAGCAAAATTTTCTGCCATGTTGATACCAATTCCAATGCTCTTAACAGTGATCACACAGCCAGCCCATCCCACTAGCAAATCTCGTACACACCCCCGTACAAATGCCGATCAATCCTCATCCATAACGTCTTCATCTTCCTCTTCGTCTTCCGTGTCCGCTTCACCAAGCAATTCCCTTTCATCGTCATCCAACTCTGCACTCGGGCCAATGGTGATATTACCCTCATCATGCATATCTTCGTCTTCTCCTTCATTGTCCGGTCTTGCAGTGGACAATCTTGAGCCACCTGGTGTTTCGTCCTTTGCTTCTTCCGCCAGCTTGCTCGCGCCACCTTTCGATTTTCTGCTTGCACCTCCGCCTCCGCCACGACTCTTCCTGCCTTGTCTGGGCTTTACGATTGTAGCAGCTATCTCGTCCATGGCTTGCAACTCTCGTTCGTCTTCCATGTCGTCGACGGGCTTGAGTGGTGGTGATGCAAGTAATAGGCTGCCTCCGACATCTGCGTTTTCTTCGCGATCCAGTGTGACCATTCCGAGTGAAAATGCTCGCGAGAAGAACAGGGCTTCCTCGCCCACGTCGTCTCTCGCGACATTTGCGATGCTGTTAAGCGGACGCTGTTTCTCTTGCTCGAGCTCCTTGTCTGTGAGTGGCAGTGCGAATCCTCCAAGGATGCGGACACCACCGGCAGCACGACGGAGCGCAGCGGCTGCCTTCTCTTCCTCTTTTGACTTTCCTTTGCCAGCTTCGTCCTTGTCCTTGGCGTCATCTTTACCTTTGTCGGCATTGCCTTCATCCTCACTGTCCCACCCGGAGGGCAACATGCGGATTCGTTTCCAAGCACGCAGTAATATACCTTCCTCTTGGCGTTGACGTTTGGCAGCTATGTGGCGTCGTCTGATACCGGTATCGAGGATTTGATTGATTCGCACACGGCGGTAATCGCTGACTGCTTTTTGGTGTGATGTCAGCGGACGGTTCCGAGTCTGGAGTTGGTACGGAGATGTCGAGAGGTGGTCACGTTGGGGATTCGAATAGAGGCCATCCGGCTCGGTATACGGGGCAGGAGGGGATGTGTGAACGGGATTGGGCAGCAGAAAAGGGTGATGTATGTTGGTGGTCCGGTTACCTCGTCCAGCGCCTTTCTTGGGCAATACTGCAGCTTGTGGCGTGCCCACGGAAGGTGAAGCCAAGTGTCTGATGTCGTGTTCTTTTTCATCAACTTCGGTCAAGAAGGATTTGGCGGCCAAAGGCTTCGAGATTGTGTTGACTGCCTGGAAAGAGCTTGTCGGAGGAGTAGGGGAACGTGAGTAGTCACTACCTGCATACGGCCTACGCATCGAGTCTAGGTCGACAGGTCAGCTATCGATACAGACACCAACCAAGAGGCAACTCACCGTGTGGTGCTGGCGAGTCAAAGTCACGGCTGGGGGTCTTGGTTCCAGCATCCGAGTTTGCATCACCAAGACCCGCCGCGAACAGACTACGTTCTTTTTGTTCTCCCAAGTTAGTGTCTAGCCAGTAGTCGTGCCGTGACAACATACCTTTTCTCGCACGTTTGAGTGCCGTCATGGCAGGACTCGGCTCGCTTGCGACAATTGCTATTCTTTCCTTGCGCTTCTGTTCTCCATAATCCTTCTCTTCTACGCTGTCAACGTTCTCCAGGGCAGCCTGCTCTTCGGTCAAACTCTCGAGCGGAGGAACTTTGATGGGTAGACCACCACCGTCCGACTCACAACCAGCTCCGAAGGGATTGGCAAGAGCAGATTCGTTGGAGAAGTCGCTTTCTAGATACCACCACATGAGCCAGAGAAAGGCCGTCGCTCTGCTCTTACTGCTCAAGCTAGGTCGCATGACAAGATCGAAGAAGTCGCGAGGGTGATTGAAGTGCAGCTCTGATATCTTTGGAGCATATTGTGATAGAACGAAGATCAGGTTGACAGGGTTGGTTCGCGGTATTGAGGCCTGGCGGATGTCTTCAATGGTTCCTGGCTGTGGCGTATCCTCGGTAGCGCCCTTGAGGATGGATTTCAGACGTGGGGCATCTTGTAGTTGCTTGTAGGCATTCGGGTCTTGGTGTGCTTGCAGGGCAGGAATCGAGTGGTAGGTACGGAGCTGAGCGCGCATCTCGGGGAAGAAGTTAAGAGTCGTGTTCATGCGGCCGACGTTGACAAGCAGGCAGACCATGGCCATGGTGATGGCCGAGTCGAAGTCCTCCTTGAGCTTCTCCTTGAGGATTTTGCTGCACTTGCTGCTCTTTGCCATGGCATCAACGTAGACTTCGGCGAACGTGTGGCCCTTCTCATTGTCCGAGTAGCGAGTAAAGACGCGATGCTCGTCTTTGAAGACCATGTCGAGAAAGTCATATTGTATGTCTTTGCGCCATAGCGGCACGCCGTCCTCCTTCTTCAGATGGCGGATCTTGTTTCCTGAGTAGACTGATGACACGCTGCCATTTGCATTGCGCCGTGTTGTCTGTGTCGTCGATGTGTACAGTGGAGTCTCTGCCTCGTGCTCGTCGTCCCTATCATCCTTGTCGCCTTTGGGTGCTGGAGAACCCTCATGGTCGCCTGTAGCTGATGCGGCTCGTATTGCTGGCGCGGATGCTGGAGTTGCTGGCGGTGCTGGTCGTGGACTTTGTTCGACGGGCTCGTCGGCGAGGATGTGTCGCAAGCTGCTGCGAGAGTCCTGCTCCACCATGGCGCGCTTGTGTCTGATGTCGATTGCGAAAGTGATGGTTGGAAGAACAGTTTACCCTTCAATCGCGCTCCTGCCGATACCTGCAGATTGCGGCCACTCCCGTCCGTGACGACGCGGAGCGTCTGTCTGGGGGAAGCTTCGATCCACCCAAAATTCTCAAATCCCTGTCCAATACCGGTGCATACCATGACACATGCAAATAAATCACTCACCGTAGCATTTCCACCATTTGAAGCTTGCTATAGAGTTATGGGCACCAGGTGCTAGAAATCACATTTGTCACAGAAACGTCTTTTTACGAGCTCAAAAATGCCTTGATTTGCGCATCTATATCGAATCAAACACGGAACGAGATGTAGAAGTAACTTTTTTTAGGATTGATCCTGCCTAGTGGCCAGCATATCCCCTTGCAGGCAGCCGTTTTGCCATGCCTATCTCTTCCTGCCTCCAGATGAACAAAGTCTATAGAGTTGTGGGTATCCATCATCCGAGAGCGAAAAAAGAAAGCTGCCCATGCCATATGCGACAGCCGTAACATCGTGCAAGCCCAGCCTGGCCTAGCGTCCCATGAGAACGCCTTTCCAGATGCCCTAGAGCTTCGTGATGCTATGAAAATGCCAGGATCATTATTTGAAAAGGAGAATAAGCTGAAAAACACAACTGGTATCGAAAGATGTCCGAATCCTCTGGAAAGCCTCATATGCCCAGTACCGGATACCACGCTCGTCGAGTGCATCGAGCGTTTCATGTAAGAACGCTCAAGGCCGTGAAGAAAGTCGTAAACCGTGATGAGCGCCGTCTCCGTGCTGAGAATGAAGAAAAATCAACGCTGTCTATCATGCTGACTGGGGATGTATGAGCAAGGACCTCGTCCATCGATCTGTGAGTGTTTTGACGTCCAGAGAAAGGACCGCGAAAACGTGAAAGCTAAAATCAGAGACTGAAAGAAAAAAGTGACCAAAAGGTCGAGTGACCGAAAAGGGCGAAGTGGTCACTAGCGAGCTTGGGGAGTCTACCACCAAGAGTTGGCACCAGGACCTGAAGGGCCGGAGGGGTTGCCGTAGCTACCACCACCCATGCCACCACCGTAGCCGCCGCCCATGCCGCCGCCGTAGCCACCGGCACCGCCAGCAGATCCTCCGAAGCCGGCACCACCGCCGCTGCCGCCCCACTGGGAGCCAGCGTAAGCGGGACGCGAGCCGCCGCCGAAGCTACGGACATCGCGAGTGGCAGTAGCACCACGGCCACGGCCACCGCCGCCACGTCCACCACGGCCACCGCCGAAGCCGCTGCCCTCACGAGCGACAGTCTCGAGGAAGGCGGGGACCTCCTGGTTGGCCTCCTTGAGAAGCTCGAGAAGGTCGCGAACGACACCTCTATTGCCGCGGTTGAAGAAAGCAGTGGCAACACCAGTGTTTCCGGCACGACCAGTACGACCGATACGGTGAACGTAGTCGTCAATGTCGGTAGGGAGATCGTAGTTGACGACGTGCTTGACGTTGGGGATATCGAGACCACGGGCTGCGACAGCAGTGGCAACGAGGATGGGGCAACGAGCAGAGCGGAACATCTCGAGGGCACGCTCACGCTCGCGCTGGGTGCGGTCACCGTGAATCGAGGTGGCGGGGAAGCCCTGGTTGATGAGGAAGTCGGAGAGCGAGTCGGCCATACGCTTGGTCTCGACGAAGATCAGAGTAAGACCAGCGCCGTGGGTGTGGAGAATATCGAGCAGAACGGAGCGCTTGTCAACGTCCTCGACATACTCAATCTTCTGGGTGATGTTCTCAGAGGTGGAACCGACACGACCAACAGAGAGGAAGATATACTCCTTGAGGAAGTCACGGGCCAACAGCTGAATATCGCGGGGGAAGGTGGCCGAGAACATGAGAGTTTGACGGCCAGTGACGGGAGGCATATCCTCACCCTCGACGATGCGGCGAATCTGGGGCTCGAAACCCATGTCCAACATGCGGTCAGCCTCGTCGAGAACGAGATACTTGATGTTCTGGAGCGAGATGCGACCACGCTCTATGAGATCGACAAGACGGCCAGGAGTAGCAACAAGAAGATCGCAGCCGCGCTCGATCTGGCGGAGCTGGTGACCAATGTCGGCACCACCGTAGACGACGCAAGGGCGGACCCACGAACGGTAGGCGAACTTGCGGGCCTCCTCGTAGATCTGAGAGACAAGCTCACGAGTAGGGGCGAGGACGAGCGAGGTGGGGTAGGCCTTGCGCTGGCGGGCCATGCCAGTCTGGGCAGGGGTAGCGCTGGGGCCGTTGACGAATGCCTGAGCGAGGATGGGGAAGAGGAAACCACCAGTCTTTCCGGAACCGGTCTGAGCACAAGCCATCAAGTCACGGCCACCCATGACAATGGGGATAGAGTACTTCTGAACGGGAGTGGGGACCTTGTAGCCAGAGAGCTCGATGTTGCTGATAAGGTGGTCATCGAGGGGAGGGTTGGAGAAGGTGGTGACGGGCTCGGGAACGCCTTGACCACTGGCCTCGACGGGGATGTCGTCGTACTTCTCGAAGTTGATACCGCTGTGCTGCACGTTGGGGTCGTTGGGGACACCGAACAGCTCGCGCTCGACACGAGGGTTGGAGGGACCGGGAATGTGCTTGCCGTCCTTCCACTGGCCGTCACCGGAACCACGGGCTTGCTGACCACCGCCCTGGCCGGGGTTACCGTAAGCGTTTCTGTCGAAGCCATTGCCGCCTCTGGGAGTGAAAGTGGGAGCACCACCCCAGCCGCCGCCGGCAGCGCCGCCGCCACGACCAGCACCGTAACCGGGTCTGGAAAAAAATTGGTCAGTCAAACGCGCGTTTGCAAGCGATGCCAGGAGACGTACCTGGGACCGTCAAAGTGGCCGTTCATGGGAGGAGCGCCGTCCATAGCAGCGGGACCAGGAGCAGGGCCTCTGGTGCTGCCTCTGGCGTGAGGGGGAATGTAGGCAGAGCGGACGAAACCACCGTTGCCGTTTTGTCTTGGGGCGTGCTGAGACTCGCTCAGCGAGAGGTTGTTCATGTTGAGTTGATCGGCCATGTTTGCGATGTGGTTTTTCCGGGTTGAAAAAGCGGTCGTGTTATGGAATGGCGATTGTTGGGATAAGGCGTGTGATGACTGAAAAAGTCTTGATTATATGGAAAGGAGTCTGGCGACGAATAGACCAGAGACTTGTATCGGATGCGCAGGAAAACAACTGCACAGACGACAAAGCAAATAAGAAAACAACAGAACTTTTGAGTAAGTGAGGTTTCTTGGGTTGTAGAGAGGAGAGTGGACAAGCAGGAGAGGTAAAGGCACTCGCAGACGAATTCTCTGACTTCCCGCCACGACGCTGCCTCACCCTCACTTTTCCTTGGCGCGCGTCGACCGAGACCCTGATCCGTCTAGTTTCCGTCACGCTCCAATCACCTTCTGTCGTCTTCCATCTTTTGCTATCGCTCCGGCAAGGGGGGCGAAGCACCACCACCAATAACTTTTTGTCTCTCTTCTCAACCTCTGACGTTTCGTCTAAATGGTTGACAGGCAGAGTCACTCAACCCAGACCCGTCCAACGAGTATCGGTACCTGCGTTTGTATGGTTGTCACAACACAGACGTCATGATTCTTCAGTCTTGAAACTTATACTGCTTCCAATCATATTCTAGAGTCCACATAATCTCATGCCTGTCTTATTTACAACGAGTCACGTATGAGTACCTGGTTAGCTGACTTGACACCTTCGTATATAGCATACCAATCAATTCAGAGATAAATATGTTCATAGGTCTTCGTATATACACCAAAATCAATTTCAGCAAACGAGATGCTTTTCGCCAAAAACGCCCTTTTCATGTATGCATCTATGCAGTCCATGCTGTCCAAGCCCTCCCAAAAGCACACGCATGCTATTCAGATAAATCACTCGCTGAAGGTGGCCTCGGCGCTGGAGAAGAAGTCCTCCCTGCGAATACCACTGCGGTCACACATACTGCGGAAGATACCTCCCTGGTCGTAGAGAGTGATGGGACGGTCAAGCTCGGCGATTTGTCCCTTGTCCATGACACAAATACGGTCGTAACCGATGATGGTCTTCAGACGATGGGCAATGCACAAGAGAGTCTTGCCTCGGAAACCCTTGACAATTGTGCGTTGAATCTTTTGATCCGTGTCGAAGTCGACAGATGAGGTCGCTTCATCACAGACAATGATGCGGCTGCCACGTACAAGAGCACGCGCTAGAGCCATAAGTTGACGCTGACCAAGGGAGAAGTTCAGACCCTCTTCTTCGACAGGAGCATCGAGATGGATACGAGTCGATGAATCAGCAATGTCTTGATCCTCGCCAACGAGATCAGCTTGGCGAAGTGCACCCCACAATGCCATGTCTGTGTGCTCGTTGAAGGGGTCGAGGTTGCTGCGAATGGTGCCCTTGAACAAAGTAGGATCCTGAGGAATGATGGAGAGACGCGATCGCAGATCCCTAAGACCGATCTTGGCGATGTCGAGACCATCGACTGTGATGCTTCCGCCACTGAGTTCAACAAGACGGAACAGGGTGGACATGATGGTTGACTTTCCAGCACCGGTACGACCAACAACACCGATACGCTCACCTGCATTGACGTGCATGTTGAGCCCCTTGAGAACAAGAGGAAGTCCTTCACGGTAACGCATCTGAACATTGTCGAAGACAATCTCACCCTTTTCGGGCCATGAGGGGCGAACCTCGATGGTGTGGAGAGGGGCTTCCTCTTCGAGATTGTTGCCGTAGTAGTAAATACGCTCAGTAGAGTTCATGTTGTTCTCGACTTCAGCAAGTTGGCGGACAGTAAACTGGATCATCTGCACAACTGAGAGAATGTACGACAGAACCAAACCACCGATACTGGGGTTGACAGAGAAGCCGGCAGTGACGACCAAGATACCAGTAACAAAGACGAGAAGAGTACCGATGGCGTCGAGACGGACAGACAACCAGCGTTGGTTCGAGAAGGTGAGGAAGTAAGCGGCGTTCATGTTGTCAACTGCGTCACGGACAGACTCCGAGAACTGATCCTGCAATCCGTAGGCACGGATAGTAGCGACACCAGACACTGCTTCGCTGAAGCGAGAGAAGACGCTGCTACGAAGAACAGCTTCGTGACGCTTGATCTCACGTGCCGAAGAGCGATAGTAGCTCGCGGCAAACAAGAACATGATGAACAGAGGACCCAGAGCAGCAGCGAAGTAGTAGTAGTAAGCAATGATCAGGATGAAGACGGCAATGATCTGTGCTAGCGTCATGAAGAACATACGGAAGGCATCGGTCAGGGCGTTATCCATGGTATCAACGTCCTTGGAGAAGCGGTTGGTAATGCGTCCGAGCGGTGTCGTGTCGAAGAAAGACATTGGTGCGCGAAGAACCCGGGTGACTGCGTTGTGGAGCAGAGTCGCACTGGCTCGAGTACCACAGATGGTCAGGATACTGGAGAATACGAACATAAGAAGAGCCTGCGAGACACCAAGTGCGGCGTATACTCCAATGTATTTTCCTCTGGTATAGCCGAACTTGTTCGAAGTCCACCACGACAACCACAAACTGGTCGCAATGTTGGCGCCTTGTGATAGAATGAGGGTAAGGAGAATCAGAGGTGCAACGCCGAGGGAACCCGAGGCCTTGACGTAAGCCTTGTAGATGCCAAAGGAAACACTCTTTACAGCACGCTCTTCGGCCTGCATGAGTGCTGCGGCTGGCTTCTTGCCACCAGTCTTTTGTTGCACATCCTTCTTCTCTTCCTCAACTTCATCACCATCAACCTCCTCTTCCGGCTTCTTTTCCTCTTTAGCAGTGGTAGCCATCATTTTCTGGAAGTCTGCATCAGTCGCCATGAGGTTGTCGAAGGTGTCGATTTTGTATGCAGTGCCGTCCTGAACCCAGATGATACGATCGCAACGATGTAGAACATGAAGTTGATGAGTCGCAAGAACACGAGCCTTGTTTCTGAGAAGTCCACAGATAGCGTTGTCCATGATGTGACGTCCGACGTGAGCGTCGACAGCCGAAAGCGGGTCATCCATGAGGACAATGTCGGCGTTGAAGTAGATAGCTCTGGCAATGTTCAGGCGTTGCTTCTGACCACCGGAAACAGTTATTCCACGCTCTCCGATCTCGGTAAGATCACCGTTGGGGAGCATGTCAAGATCGGCTCGCAGAGCGCAGGCGTCTACTACCTCGTCGTACCACTCCTGATCGAAGGGCTTTCCAAAAGTGATGTTGTCCTTGACGGTAGCATTCTGAATCCAGGCGTATTGAGGGCAGTAAGAGCGTGAAGCACCAAAAGTGACCTCGCCTGAAGTCCTACGCATCTCTCCTCCCAATGCAGCCAGTATGGACGTCTTGCCCGATCCAACACTTCCGATGACTGCCACAAGCTCGTCACGGCCAATCGAGATGTTGAGACCCTTGATTTCGAATGGATGCTCGGTGTCTTCGGCCAGTGTAGTGCTGCTGTCAGAGGCCTCGTGGCCATTCTCCTTTTCGGCGTTCTTCAGTGCCTTGGTAGCCTTCTTTGCATCCTTCTTCGCTTGCTTGTCGGCCTTGTGGTCGGCCTTCTTGCCAGCTTTCCTGGCAGCTTTGGCTTCCTTGGAGCCAGGAGCTCCTACTACTTTCTTCTCTGCTTCCTGAGTTGGAGTCCTTTCCCAGGTGAAGTTGGCGTCCTTCATCACGATGGCACTCTTGCCCTCGTAATCCCATACAGCTTCATCCAGTGACTCTTCGGCTAGCAAAAACTCTTCGATCCTGCGAATAGATGCACTGGCATCGACGGTTTGACCGATAACAAGTGGCAGCAAGTTGAGTGGCAGTCTCAAACCGTTGAAAAGAGCTAGAGATGAGAAAATCTTTCCAGCTTGAAGGCCGTGGTCTGTAAGACTGTAGGTGATAAAAGCCAGCATAGAAGCGAAAACAGGCATAGACATGGAAACAGCCATGATACCGTTACGAATGTTCAGCAAGAACTGAATCTTGCCAATTTCTCTGCGACGAATCTCCTTCAGGCGATCGAGGAAACTGCTCTCCCAGCCAAAGTATTTGACGAACCTGACACCAGCCAGGATTTCTTGGGTGAGACCGACTCTTTGATCGGTGACTTTGTTGATGGCCTTACGGCGGACGAATAAGCTCTTGATCGATCGTCCAAGCAAGGGCATTGCTACGATGAGGAGGGCAAATCCGGCCAGGGCACTGTAGTTGATGTTGATGAGAAGCAGGACAAGCGTCAATATGATGGAGATGGGGGAGGCCCAGATCATGTGAAACATTCCAGAAGCTGTATCGATGCGGTACGTGTCGGTAGACATCAAGTTGACGATTCTGCCGTTGGACCATCCCTCGCCACTGCCCGAAACTCCCTTCTTGTCTTTCGAGTTTGCCTTTTCTTTTTTGAGCTTTGCCTTCAACCATTTCTTCTCTTCTTTACTGCCAGGAGCAATACCAGGAGGAAGGCCGACAGGCTCGGTATTCGACTTGCCTCCAGCTCTTGCTCTTCCAGACAGTTTCATGGCTTTCTCGAAGATGACAGCGATCGTGACGGCACGAGCTTGGCCACCAACAGTCATGCCTCGATACAAGAAGTGATTCGTGCAACAACTCTGGATGACTTGAAGAGCGGTAACGGCGATGACCAGACCGATACCATGGCCAATATCAGGTTTGGGCGTGTTCGTTTTCTCAGCAATCCAGATTTCGGTAGAAAAGTTGATCAAATATCGGAGAACAAAAGGAGCCAAGACTTGGACCACGGCGGCGATAAGTTCACAGAGACCTCCCAGCAAAAATTCGCCTTTGAAAGTATCGTAGAGCGCCCATTTCAGAGGATTTTCGGTTCCGTTGTCAACTCTTTTCTTGAAAGCAGCCTTGAGTCGTGCAGATAGAACATCTACACTGCGATCAGGATTGACCTTCCACAGATCGGTGAGCTCCAGTGGTCGTTGGTATCCGACGGACATTATAGGTGCCATCCATTGGAAGGTGAGATGACTGAAGAAATTGGCCTTGTATTCCCTTGACTCTCCTTGCTCAGCTGGTACCGGTGGTTTGATTTTCCTCTTGAGTGGATTTAGTTTTTCGCCCCATGATTGCTTCTCGCCCTCTGTGCTTCTCTGGCTTTTGTCGTCTGGCGTGATGTTGCTCGAGGAAGATGTCCAGTCACTCTGGTGTCGGTCAAGCGGTGATCGACCATGTTTCTCGGCGTGCTTTTCGGCTTCCTTCTGGTGTACGTATTCCGGATCCAGTACTTTCTCAGCGTTTAATTCTTTTGCGGTTCCGACTCTCTCTAATGGCTCGGTGGCCACATTTCCATGTTGTGCAATGTCGGCAGCTGGAGGCGGGCTGTTAGTGTCGCCTGATGTCCAGACCGTGTCTGGCACTGGGGCAGACATGTTCCGGGAGGCGTGGTAGGGGTCGTAGGTTCAAAGACAGGTGAGAACCAGATCAGGAAAAGGAGCGAACGACAGCAACAACACTATAAGGCGGCAGGCAGCTACCCATTGTTCATGACGCCTCCATATCTGTCGTATCGTCCCGAGTCGGCCTCCGCTTGTGCCGTCTTTGATGCATCTTCGATGGAGGGGATACGCTAGGCAACATAGACTTTTTGATAGAGAACATCAACGATTCGCCCACGCTGCGGACATGCACCACACATGGAACGACATGGACCATTCACGCATGGATGATTTACACGTGGACGATTCTCGCATGATTAACCAAATCAGAGAGAGAACAAGGCTTATCAGTTCTACAAACACAACTTCATCGGCTGTGGATCTCATAGCTACTGTCGTTTACTGCAACTACCTAATCTTTGACGGATGGTGTATTGGTAAGCATGTCGACGTTCTCTAGTATGGTCACCCAGCCTGATAAAAATGTCGGCGCGTCGGCGAAACTGCGTCCTCCTGGCTCCTCCACATTTCCGATGCAGATAAACAAAAATACGGCAGATCTGATTTGCAGATGTTTTGTAACAAGGTTCAGCCCCCAAAGGCTTGTCCTGTTCTTGTTTTCGGTGCAAGAGTCAGGCGCCGCCGGATTGTTGTTCGGCCGTGATACAAACCTTCAAAACCTCTTACCAAATCATGTTCTGAGCGGGTCGGCTTGTCGAGACAGCGAATGCACTCTCGTCAGGAAGGATCAATAATTAGTTGCAAGCTGAACGATAAAGGAGTTGTTCCTACGACGACTTCTATCCAATCGTTGGTTTGTGATTCACCTGCCAAATTTGGCGACGGTGCCGACAGCCGGGTTCCGTACTCCGTAGAGCAGACTCAGCAACCCAGTCGATGCAGCGGTCAAGACATGCTTAGAGCACATACTAACAACCAAATCTGACGGGGCACCTCGAAATTTGCTTGGTCCAAAGTAGAGGTCTCAAAGACCACGCTGTTGGACGAGAGGTAGGCAGCACAAGGCTTGGGCCAGCCCTGAGTTGTCGAGGTTGTCGGGTATAGAAGCGAAAAGTCCGACAATGCCTCGGCCAGGCACCGTATTGACCGTGTTCGTCGCGTTTAGCGTATCCCGCATCTAACACGCAGCTTGCCAGCGCAGCTTGCTCATCTGCATACACAATGTCTGACTTCGTCCACGACCAAGCTCCTAGCAGCGACCATATCGCGTTTCAGTATCCGTTCGCCTCAGCACCAGACATCATCCGATCACATCAAAAAGATGCTTACTTCCAGGGTGTGCTGTTGGAGCGCCTCTCCTCGGTACTACGAAACCTCTATGGCGCTCGCTTTGCGCAAACCAACATGACGGGTACGCGGACCTTCGCAGATCTGCTATATCTGTCCTTGACGACCCTGGTGGGCAATCGTACCCTCGGAGAGGAATACTGCGACATCGTCCAGGTGGAAGATGACACGCTGCGTCTACCTAGCGCATACAGAAGAGGAGGATACATAATCGCCAGCGTCTTGCTGCCATATGGTCTCACCAGACTCCTACCAGCTTTTCGAAGGAAATTGCGCGCAAAGTTGGAAATTTCCTTGCGCCGCCGGAACAGCAAGCCCGACCAGTCATCATCGTGGCTGACCAACCTACAATCTTACGTCCTTCGAAACCTCGACACCATCACTTCTCCTTCGCCGATACATGCTCTCAGTCTGACAGCCTTCTACTTTACCGGTGCATACTATCACCTCGCAAAGCGGCTTGGTGGTCTCCGCTACATCTTCACCAGACGTCTAGATCCCAGCGAGCAGCGCATTGGCTATGAAGTCTTGGGTGTACTCCTAGTCCTCCAACTCGGTGTTCAGGCCTACCTGCACGCTCACGAAATCTACTCTTCGGTCCCTGTTATCAGCAACCCCGCAACGTTGAGTGGAGGTAGCGCTGTCCTCGACAACGGCGTCGAAGTCTCTCTGGACCCAAACGCCTACAGCTCGAACAACGCCCTATTGTTGGAAGAAAGTGGCGCTCAGCACGATACTTCCAGTCTCCACACTAAGATCTCGAGAATGACGCATACGCCTTTGCCGCCTTCAGACTCCGAGGCCGCTATCCTCAATCTCGAAGATGAGGAGAAACTTGGTTGGATCGAGAGTAGTCAACAGAGAAAGTGCACGCTGTGTCTAGAGCCCATGCGTGATCCTAGTGCTACTACTTGTGGTCATGTGTTTTGCTGGACTTGCATTGCGGATTGGGTGAGGGAGAAGCCCGAGTGTCCGCTGTGTAGACAGAGTGTCATGGCCCAGCATATTCTGCCGCTCAGAGGTTGAACGGATTGCCTGTTGAATAGCTTACACGTCATAATGAGAAATGGTTACATGACAGAGATTCAGCAGTCTCTCTTTTTGAAGACGAAGTTACCATTGCTACTCGTGAATCGGACTCTTTGACAACCTGTTTGAAGAATGTTTTGGAGAGTTTACCACACTTGTGTGATGAGGAAGAAATTCATTCCGGTCGAGTACACATGTAAGCCGGCCATCTCATACATGTCGGCGATACGACATGTCGCTAGCTCCATAGTTTGGATGGGTAAGTGAATGTGAAAACTTTGCGTCTTTGAAAATGTGTACAAATAAATGCTCTATCAAGTCTCAAACTCCTCTATTCTCCTGCAAGTCTTCCTGTTGTTCTGTTTCATCTAGTGGAAATGCATCCGTTTCTTTGGCTTTTTTGTGTCATAAAAACTCAATCATATCTTCTACTCTTCCTATCTTCCTCGGTCCCATTGTTTAGCAGTAAGAAGCATCAGTCTGCTTGGTAATAACACCAGCATTGATGAGGTCAATGTACGACCAGTAATCCCTCTGAGTGCCCTCACCATCAACAGCAGCGGTAGAGTATGACACAGCGGTCCAGAAGGAGCCACCGGAAACATACTTCTGCCATGCGTAGCGCTGGGTGTCGAAGAGGGTCTTGCGAGTGGTGACGTTCAAAGTGTTGTTGTACATGGCTTGCCTGTTTTGATAATCATCAGTCATAACTCCTCGCAGATGAAAAATGTCGACATGTAGAAAGGGCAAAACTTACAATGACCATTCGCCGATGAAGACGGGGAACTTTGTCTCTTCGGCAATGTATTGGGCTTGACCGCAGACGGCAGGGTTGACGTAGTTGGCATAGGTACCGGCAGCAGCGAAGTAATAAACGTGCGAGTCGAAACAGATGTTCTGGTCGGCTGAGTAGAAGGGAGCCCAGAATGATGCGCCCTTGAAGCAGTCCTGGAGTTGCAGGGGGATACGCTTGTCCACAACAGCAATCTTCTTGAGCACACCGTTGATGTAGGTGTTGATCCAGTTGACAGCCTTGTCAGACAGGCCGGCAGCAGAGCCGAAACCAGCAAGGTTATCAGAAGCCTCGTTGATGGGAGCAATGGTGAAGGCGTTCTGGTAGCCAGAGCTCTTGATAAAGTTGAGGACACCGTCAATGGCTTGGAAACTGTAGTCGAGGTTGGTGGCATTGTAGAACCAGTCGTCGTGGAAGAGGGCCTCGCCAATATCGAGGTTGTTGACACCGCCGGGCAGAGAGTGCAGGCCAACGATGATGTGCATGTTGTACTTGAGGACTGCATAGTCGGTGATGATCTTGAGCCACTTCTGCTGGGCGCCGGAGTACAGCTGAGATCCAGGAACCTTGACCCATGCAGCATAGGTGGTGGGGATTCGGAGAGTGTTTACTCCAACGCTGGCGAGCTGATCGATGGTCGAGGTGTTGAGGAAGGAGGCGTAGCGCTCCTCGAGGATGGGTCCGCATTTGGATCCTAGGGTCTCGCACAAAGTCCACTCATCAGGAGCGCTATCACCACCAACTGCAGACCACCAGATAGGATCGTGAGTACGCTCCTTTTCCAGCCAACCGCCCAAATTCGCGCCATTGGCACGATAGGTGCGCCAATTTATGTAGTTTCCGCCGTTCACACCAAGTGGCCAGTTGATTTCGTGACTAAAAACGTCACTGGAGATGCTGACAGACGAGTTGATGGTGAAAGGGCACTGATCGTGGAAGGGAATGACAGGGCCGTGAATGTTGGCATTGGTCTGGAGCTTGATACCAAGGGAGCCGAGGAGGGTGTTCAGGTCATTGGTGAGTTGACCGAGAATGCTGCTCAGAAGCCCTGGAGTGGGAGCGGCAGTGGCAGAGCCAGCCAAGAGAGCAGCAGCAAAGGTAGCTGATGTGCGCATGGTAGCGAATGTAGAGAAGGAGAGTGAAGAGAAGGTGTTAGCTGAGGAAGCTGATGGCATGAGATGAGATATTCTATCCTTGGAGGAGATGTCCACAACTACTTATACTCTTTCTACGCTCATCGAGACCTACCAGAATCTGTAGAGACATAACATCAAAGCATGACAATAGACAAGCATGCCGACAGCTCGCTCCGTTCCCGCGGACCGCCGCTAGAGGTAGGTACAAAGTCTGTGCCTGGCGACAGACAAACGGCTATGACGAGATAGAAGTCTGGTACGCGGCCGTAGAAGCACAATCGACTCATGCTGGAAGGAAGGCGGTCTTCGATCTCTCACGAAAAATTCTAGCTTGTAGAGTAGTTGGAGCCGAAGTTTAACTGGTATTGGGCGTGCCGGGCCATGCACTGACCACGTTGCTTAGACTTCGCAGCCCTACATGGCCGCTCAATCCTTCCTAGCAACAGCTCGCAGACATCTGCCTTCTCTGCCCCAACTTCAAATATCCCATTTGGGAAGTACAACTATCAAATTCACCCCATGGTACCATATACCATGACTGCCGCTCCGAGGATGCGTTTTACCATCCGCTCGGCATCCAAGTCCCGAGTCGACCGTTGCGCCCTCACAGAATCTGCTCGCTGCCCTACATACACTTCCGAAAACGGCATAGTTTGATCTCTCGATACTCTTACAGACACCCCCATCGATCTACGGAATATCCCCATGAACATATGACAATACCATCCATGGCCAGAACACTCCTATCTGACTTTGCTTGAGTGGGTACTGTCCTTGCTCTAGATGCAGGTTACCAGAAAGATCATCTTGCGACCTACACGGCTGCCCGCGATCCATGAACTCATGACAATACATAGCAAGTGTTTGCTTCTCATTGCCTCTGATCCGGAGAAATACTGTCATCATATCTCTTCCGCGCTGGCCCGTAATGTCGCTCGAATCGTTTCCCACTGCCGAACTACACAAAGCGTAGACCAGTCTACAAAAGCACGGCTGCCATGTGACAGTATGGCACCTCACCGTTGTCAGTGTACCTCGTGGCGTCGAGACAACATCTGTGTTCGTCAACGTGATTGCTTGTTGTTACTGACGTGCCACGGTCCACGGGAGAGCTTCGACCTTCAGCATCATCCATCACCTCCGCCCCATCGATCGTACCTTTAGGAAGGCTGGTTGCGGCCGAAGACTTGATCAAGTATGGGGAAAATCAACAGGACGAATTCTGATCAGGGATGAAAGTCTAGAACCCCGGCACTCGGTGATCGTAGTTACGTTGATGCTCGGTCTACATCTCTCCTTAGTGCTAGATGCCGCTACCCCGATACTTTGGTACGGTCACTTGGGCGTGAAGGTCAAGATTTACTCTGGACCCAGAAAGGCCTGAGCAGAAGTGAGAGCTGTCGAGGTACGCACCAGCTCCGATTTGCTACCATATTTGATCCATCTCCAGCGATTTAGTTGGACAAGATTAGCCGATAAGCTTCATTCTAGTTCATACTATCTTAGGAGAGCACGCCCCCCTTGTAGTCAGTCTAGTCTCGAATAAAGCATGGACGAAGATATGAATGGACATTGAAGAATGAAAGCGGTGATATTAACATTTGAACTAGTTGATTGACATTATGACAGCTGAACTTCATTCTTTTGACGTGACGCTCCACCTGCCAAACCACAGCAAGTGCACTCTGCTTTTTAACAAGTCCGTTCACTGCTTAGTGTACCATATCTGCAGCGAGCTTCGGTCTTCCTCTTCTCGGGCTTTCGGGTCATCGATGTCGTACTTCATGTGCTTTTCGTCACAATGTCGTCTCCTCATCCAGCCCCCTTGAGTACATAAACAGGAGAGCCACATTGATCATCATCCCATTCGATCACAGCTTCCATGGGAAGGCAGGCAAGGTGAAATTACCCATTGCCCAGGCCTTGAAGGCACCAGCAGCAGAAGCTGCTTGGACCACACCAGCAACGACAGGAGCGCCGTAACCGCCCATAGCTGCACTTTGCAAAAGACTGAACAGAGCATTGACACCCCAAGCAGACTGGAAGACCGCAACGAGGGAAGCTACCAAAAGGTCAGCGAAGGTTGGGCATTCAAGACTTGTACACATCCATACCAGCAGCGGGACCGATATTCGTGAAACCCAGCATGGTCAAGAAAGGTGTGGCTGCGGCCATGGGGAAGCAGAAGATGATGACAAACGTGACCAAAGCAGCGGCCATGAGAGTCGCTCCTGCGCCATGGAGCTTGCTGGCTTCCTCGTAGAGCATGGTGACGGTTTCGGCGTTGAGCTCGCGTCCTTTGGCTGTGTTGACTGGGTGGGTGAAATCAGCCAATGTGACATTTGTGATGGCTTTCGTGATGTCTTCGAGGTTGACTTGAGTAAAAAGCTTGTGGAGGCCGTCTGGAAGAGCGAGACCATTGGCGGCCATTGCGCTGGTATATGTGATTTAGGAGAGTCCAATGTGGTGGACGTGGTAGTTGGTTCGGGTGTTCGTGTTGAGAGTTTGGTCGATGGAGCCCATTTTCGGGAAGGCGCGACCAGAAGGCGCGAGAAGCTGCAGGCAGGCGCAAAAGTGATACAAGCTGACTGCATGCCTTCCATGCGCAGCTATGCGAAGCTATTGATCCGCGATGAGACACCTTTGTTTATGAACAAGTGTATTTGCATGTCTATGTTGGATGTATGTATATCTGGCTATGCTTGTTAAAAATTCAGGGGTATCTTCCTTCTCCAAAAATGCAGCCAACAGTCCCAACGCCATGATCGTCTTTCACCACCAGTCTCAAGCCAGGACCTCACCGCGGAGTTCAGCACTCAGCTCCTCGAGACTTCCCTCGCCCAGGTTGTCAAAGCCAGTGAAACCCTCTTCGACAACCCACTTCTGGTGGTTCTTCTCCAATACCTCGCACGCAAGACCAACAACGAGAAGGCCGGGCGGTCTCGAGCCCTCTTCTTCGACTGCGGCACATACGTATTCAAGTGTGGTGCGAATGACCCTCTGGTCGGTGCAACTTGCTCGCTCGATGACTGCGCAAGGCGTGGTTTTGGGGTAGTTCTTGCCTTCGGCAACGAGACTGTCAATGAGAGCGCTGAGTCTGTGCAGAGACATGAGGAATACGCAAGTCTGATTTGCCAGGTAGGCAGGTGGGTCAGGGGCAGCTCCCTTACGACCAGTACCAGTGCAGATCAAAACTTGATCACTAACAGCACGGTGGGTGACAGGAATCTTGGCGAACAAGGGAGCACTGAGAGCAGAGGTAATGCCGGGCAACACACTGACTTCGAAGCCTTCACGGCGGAAGAAGTCATACTCCTCAGCACCACGTCCATACAGGTAAGGGTCTCCCTGCTTCAGGCGAAGGACTGTTTGACCCTTCTTTGCTGCTGCAAGGCCGAGAGACAGAAGCTCTTCTTGAGCGGCCTCGGCATTTCCAGGGAACTTTCTCGCAATGTGGACAGGCGTGCGTCTAGGGATCAGGTCAAGAACTGGGGCTGGGACCAGCTTGTCGGCAAGAATAACGTGGGCACCACGAATCGCCTTCAACGTCAGTCCAGTCAAGAGATCCGGATGACCAGGACCAGATCCAGCCAGAATGATGCGACCTTTGCGGGTTCTGGAGTCAAGAGTTCCAGGACTGAGCAGAGGAGTACTGGCTTCAATAGCAGCTTCCTGGCTATATGAAGCCAAGACAGCATCAACATCGGCGTCGGTAATGGCAGCCAAACGGCGTAGCGGCCAATACTCGCAGATCTGAGAAAGCCAGCGCATACGTCTGGTTTTGGCAGCCTCGAGGTCGGTAGGTGTGATGAGCTTGTTGAATTGAGCATTCTGTCCAGCATCCTCCTCTTCGGCCTCCAAGTCCATAGCCAATTCGCTAGCGTGGTCCTCCTCCCAGATACGACGACGGATCATACCGAGTCTTTCGACAGCAGTACCGAGATCAGAGGGTAGAGCAGCGGCAATCTCACGTCGAATGCGAGAGGCCAGTTTACAGCCCTTGCCGGACGTTGTGACACCAATCTGCAGAGGACCTGACGAGTGTGTAGATAACAGGGTGAAGGTGCAAAGGTTCGGAGCGTCGGCAACGTTGACGGGGATTCTCAGTCTGCGGCAGAGTGTAGAGATGGATATACCTGAGACAGAAATTAGCACTGCTTGCGAGATCCGACAGTCGAGTCCAACTCACCCAGAGCACCTTTGCCTGCCGTCGTGACAAAGACGGCATCCACAACGTTGTCCACCTCATCTCTTCCAAGACTCGTCAAGTCTGTGTCCTGGAACTCTCTCTTGATCCATTCCACCTTGCCGTCCTCAATCTTCTTTGCCAGTGCATAGTGTATTTGGGCGTCTTCGGGTGCGATGATCTTGGGTACTGCACCAACTTCGAGTGCTCTGTTGCAACGTGCACCAGCCAGAGGGTTGGATCCAACAATCAAGTGGACATGGTTGACCGAGTCAACAGCAGTGAGCAATGCCGGGGTGGCCATGTTGACAGCAATCGCCTCCTGTTGTTTCAAGCTTCGGATGGATATATAAAGTCGTTTGGTGTCGAAGAAGAATGAACTGTCTCTGAAACAATGAATAAGCGGAAAACCAAAGGAGTGGCAAGTAGTCGGCAGTATAAATGGCAAATATGTCAATCCTTTCCAAGGAGAAAGATAACAAAGAAACCAAGACTCGTATCATTTGGTTTGGTGGTACATTTTCTCTCGGCCTCCCAAAACCAAAGCCCGATAACGCGATGCCGCGATAACGCAATTGCCTCCGTCCAATGGCCGTCTTGTTATTGGTCGCCCCCGCCATTTTCTTGCCGCAGCCCTTTCCCGCGACTTCAACACGCTTTCCCACCAGATCTGTTGCATCACGATTTGAATGATAAGGAACCAATCTTATAAGTATTTCGCTATGTTATAAGTGATGTCTTGAGTCACACTAACATCTACGTCAGTCTTGAGAGACAAGGAGGATAAAACAGCTGCTAGGCAATGTATTCTGGACACTACCTTGTTAGTAACAACCAAACGTTCTCTATCCTCCCCCACTACAGATCTCCGATCTTCCGCCAAGAACGTGCGATAGTGGCCGGCCGCGGAGAAGAAGGTCAACAACTTCCTCAGCGGAGAAAGGGCGTTGTTCAATTCCCATCACGAAAATTGTTGACAGCACATCTGAATGTGAACACGTCCATCAGGACATGCTTTCTCGTCTTTACATTTTGGGAGTCAGGATTGTCTAGACGTGTGGTTCGACGAATGAAATGATATTCTCCCGCTAGCAATGTCTACATCATGCCAACAACTCCCGCCAAATGCTGTTGATAAAACTAATGCCTTCTTTACGGAATGTATCCTTCTCGACAAAGCTAGCAGTGGCATTTAAGACCATATTCGTAGGATTCTCGATGCTATACTGAGGCCAGTGAGCCAAGCCCGTACCACTAGTCGTGTTGACACCATTCGGGTTGTGTGTGCCCACAAAGTTGGCATATGACTTGCCGATGCTAGTACTCAAGGTCCTGTAATGCTGGTACTGCGGCAAAAGCCCCATTGCACCCGAGATGTTCTGGAAACTGAACATGACATTGTCAAAGTGCTTCACTGAGCCGGGTACAGTGGCATTGTATAGAGGTGTGTCGAAGCGGTAGGAGAAAACTTTCTGGCCAGCTTTCGTGTAGAGCTCTGCCGTCCTGCGTCGTTGTGCTATCATGACGAGATCACCTCCAATTGCAGCAGAGCGCCGCCATTGCTGTCCGTATTGAGGATATGTAACATTCGCATGGTTGGAGTATGGAGGCTCTACGGCAGGCTCGTTTGGGTAGAGTTGCAACAGCTTTCTAATGCTGGAGGGAGACAAGGCGTAGTTGCGCCAGTAGAAAAGAGAATTGTAGACATCCAGTGTGGTGTTCAGGTTCTGCACGCTGAAACTGACGCCTTCATCAGTATTTGCACCGGTAAGCAGCGGTATACGAATGAACTTGTTCTGGGCCAAGAGAGACGAAGGGTAGTCTGTGAGGAAGTCGCCATCAACGATTGGGTTCCAGACAACAGTATAGTTCGAAGCGAACAGCGCCTCTGAACTGAGATTACGGAGACATGCAAGTTGAGATGGACTGGTCCAGGTTCTAGGACATCCAACCGTCCTCGTGAGATTATCAGTGGCAGCAGAGTAGAAGGGCAAAGTATTTAAACTTGCACCTTCAGGTCCACCAGATTCTAGGATCGCAGCTTGGAACAGATTGTCGTTGCGGCCATCATAGCTGGTTAAATGCAGACCAATACTCTGAGCACCCTGTAGCAAAGTCACAGTCAGCATAATCTCAAGAGAAGCAGAACAAGGATACAAACAGCGCTTTCTCCCCATACAGTGACTCGCTTAGAGTCACCGCCAAATGAGTGTATGTTTTCTTGGACCCATCGCAGGCCAAGTCGCTGGTCGAGTAGACCTGCATTCGAAGAACCTTCGGCATGGACGACCGGAGTGTTGAGAAAGCCCCACACGCCGAGTCGGTAATTCATGCTGACCGCAATGAATGGGTTATCGGTTTGGGTCGAGGCTTGGACAATGCCACTCAGGTTATACTGCTGATCAGCGGTGCTGCCCAGAGTCAGACCGCCGCCGTATATCCAAACTAGAACTGGCAGGATTTCGTGCTCGTGTCCAGACGGACGTACGACTATACAGATTAGCTGAGACAGGGCATGGTAGAGGGTACAAATTACCATTAATGGTCAGACAATCTTCACTCAGATTGAAGTTGCTCCCATATTGATAACAGCTGTAGCCAAAATGAGAAGCATCAAAGACACCTTCGAAGGATGTGTTTATGGACTGAGGCCATCTGAAACGTAAGTCACCGAGAGGAGGTTGAGCATAAGGAATGCCTAGAAAGAAGTCCTGGTTCCATTCAGGGGAATGTCGACCCTGAAGGGTTCCATTCTTAATTGTGACGACAGGTGAAGATGCAGAGATACATGCAGGCAGAAAGACGGCCAGCGAGAGGATGGACAACGGGCATCGCATCTTGAAGGATTTGGATTGATAGAGAGAAGAGTAGGAGAAGCAGAGCATTAAAGCTTCGTGGCCAGAAGACCGAACCTAGTATGTGGACCTACATGATGGCTCGAGAACAAGACAAGTGGATGGAAAAACTCTCAGACCAAAAGCAATACTCAACCGGACTCATGATGGCTTGGCCTGGCAAACGGCACATATAATGCATGCAGAAGCGGAGAAACTGGAGGATATGGCGGGGGAGCGACGAGATGTGGCGCAGATCACTGACTATCAAAGAGCGGAGAGAGGTGCTGATCGGACTGCTGTTACTCTACCTTCGATGGCGTTCAGTGCATGATTGAAGTTGTGTGTAGAGTATAGCGAGTCCATAGAGGAAGAGGTGGGAGGGAAAGGAGATGGATGCAGACATGTGGCTTGGCACAAATATCAAGATACGTCATGACTGATGCAATCACTTCCACATGCAACATTTCCTTCTAGTACATCATTCTCGTGCAATTTAACAGGAGAAAGACACAGGCATAGGAAGAGATGCTTCCATCATGCCGCAAGGGCGTCTTTGCAGCGGCCCTGTCACGATCTGCCTACGGTAGCAGAGTGCCGCATAGATTGTCGCCTTCATGGACTCGAGGCCCTGTCACCAAGCACTTGCAGAGACACCAATCACAGTTTCAACCCTTAGTACCGCCGTCGCCAGAATCGCTAGGCAAGCCTGTCGCAGCAAAGCAGTACCGTCGAACACGAGCCCTCCTCAAGAGATTGATTCAATTGGGCATCTTATCCGCCACTGTCCTGGCAGTCGACAGCTACTTCTTCGATGCCGTCGTTACACGCTCCGCCCGCACATTCAAGACTGGTCTCGTTGTTGCCCTCGACTACAAGATCAACTTCCGCGCAAACCCTCCCTTCGCCGACTCGATAGCCGATGTCCACCACCGCAGTGCTGAACGCCTCTTCCACCTTCTTCGCAACAACGGTGGTCTTTACCTCAAAATTGGACAAGCCATTGCTATGCAGAGTGCTATTCTGCCTCCCGAGTTTCAAAAGATGTTCGCTTCCATGTTTGACGACGCCCCTCAGAACTCTTGGGAGGATGTGAGGCAGGTCATCAGGGAAGATTTTGGAAAAGATGTCGAAGAAGTCTTTGGTGTGAGCTTCGACGGTGTCCAGGGCGACAAGGGTATCATGGAGAGGACAGCAAGAGCTAGTGCCAGTGTCGCTCAAGTTCATTGGGCCCGTCTGCCTGACGGAAGAGAGGTCGCCATCAAGATCCAGAAGCGAGAAATTGAGAGACAGGTCGACTGGGATCTGTGGACCTTCAAGGTCGTCTCAAAGATCTACACGTGGTGGTTCGATATCCCTCTCTACACCCTGGTGCCCTACATTTCTGAACGCCTGATGCTGGAGACCGACTTCGTTAACGAAGCCAACAACGCCAGCGAGATGCGAGACCTCATTCAGAACGAGCCTCGTCTTCGTGGTAAGGTCTACATCCCGAAGGTCTACCGCGAACTCAGCTCCAGACGTGTCATGACTGCCGAATGGATCGAGGGTGTAAGGCTGTGGGACAAAGAAGGCATCGAAGCAACCTGGCACGGTGGCTGGCGTAAAGGCAGCCCCGGTGCTGGTGGAGAACTTCTCCCTCCTCCCACAAATGTCCAACTATCGAACGATCCCAATAACGAGAAACTCAAGCCCAGCCGCGATGACTGGCGCGGTGCGAACAAAAAGGGAGGTCTCGGCCTCAACTACAAGCCCGTCATGGAAACAATGGTGTCTCTCTTCTCCGCCCAAATGTTCCTCTGGGGTCTCGTCCACTGCGACCCCCATCCCGGCAACATCTTCATCCGCCGCCTCCCCAACGGCAAACCCGAACTCGTCCTCATCGACCACGGCCTCTACATCCGCATGTCCCCCGAATTCCGCCACGACTACGCTCTGTTCTGGAAATCCCTCATGACCTTCGACAACGATACCATTGGCCGCATTGTAAAGGGCTGGGGCATCAATTCTCCAGACCTATTCGCTTCTGCAACGCTCATGCGTCCTTACACCGGCGGCGACAACAGCACCAGCGAAAGCATAAAGAAACTCACAAAAGCAGAACAAAAAGCCCGCGCCTACGAGATGCAAATGCAAATGCGCAACGGCATCCGCCAAATCTTGGGCGACGAAAAGAAGTGGCCTCAAGAACTCATCTTTATCGGTCGCAACCTTCGCATCGTGCAGGGGAATAATCAATTCCTGGGTTCGCCTGTCAACAGAGTGAAGATTACTGGGCTCTGGGCGTCTAGGGCGCTCACTGAACAACCACATCTTACCATTTCTCAACGCTGGAAGTATTATGCCAATCATTTGGTCTTTAGGGCTGTGCTGGTTGGTACGGATGTGTGGTTCTGGTATGCGAAGATCAAGCAGTGGTTTGGATTGGGCAAAGGTATGGATGCCGATATCGAGGAGCAGATGAGGGCGGTGGCTGGGGATATGGGTATTGAACTTAACCATGGCATCTTTGAAGGATAGAGGAAAGCTAGTGGTGCCACTTCATAGAACATGTTTCTCATCTCCCTTCTTTCTTGTTAATGTATAGTCATTTCATCTACGCGTGTCGACAACGCAAACATCAACTCCCGCATGAACCACCACGTTAGAAAATGTAGCTGTCAATTTTGGCTTGCCTCAGACTGATTGTGGAACTGTACATAATTCATAAGGCTAGCGATAAACAAACAGTGTTGGTGTGTAGAGTGCATGTGCAGATAGCCCGACAATCGGCTTTTCCGGCGCGAGACAGGTAAATCAGGAGCGTGAATTTGGTCGTAAAGCAGATATGAAAGGCGGCGTGAATTAGATAGCAAACAAAAAGGGTATGGGGTATAATAATGGTTGTGCAAGAAGAGAAGATTCGACGGCAAAGACAGGGGATGGGAGGGCGAGGTCGTTCGGGATAGTGTGATGAGGGCGAGGCGGTCTTCACATGACAGAACAACTGCTTTGCTTGTCGCCTTTGACATTCTTGACCTGTAGGGCGACGCGAGCAGCCTCGGTAAAGGCTTCGTTGACTCCGCGATTCTTCATGGCCGAGCACTCTGCGCTCACGGTTAGCATGTCCGTCGGACGTGTGTGCCTTATATTCGAAACATACCAAGATATCTGAGCGCCTTGATCTTCTCGGCTACGGCAAGCCCGCGCTTGTAGTCGATCATGGGACGTTTGGGCTCTGTTGACTCTTCGTCGTCGTTCGCTTGCTCTCGCAAATCGCACTTCAAGGCTACGAGGACGAGCTTGACGCCAGGGCAGTTTTCGGCGATTTCAGCTACCCATTTCGATTCGACGTTCTCGAGCGAGTCCGGTGAGTCAACCTGTTAGGGGAATTGTTAGGCGAGATTGCGGATGGAACGCGGTCGCAACGTACGCTGAAGCAAAGCATGATGGCGTGCGTGTCGTCGTAGGAGAGGGAGCGCAAACGGTCGAACTCTTCTTGGCCGGCGGTATCCCAGAGGGAGAGTTCTACGTGAACGTTGTCGATGAAGATGTCGTGGACATAATTTTCTGAGTCGCGTCAGTGTTGAGCAAAGAGCGATTGTGTTCAAGAGGCGGTACCAAAGACGGTGGGTTCGCTGTGAGCGGGAAGCCGGGTTAGCGATCAGCGGTTGGCACGAGGGTGCGAGTCGTCTTACTAGACTGTAGGGAAATATCTGGTCGCGTGTTAGCAGAGTCGCAAGGGCTGTTGTAGCAGGTGTTTCATACCCTCTCGTGAAGACGTTTAATAACGAAGTCTTTCCGCAAGCACCGTCGCCTCTGGACACGGCAATGTATCAGTATAACTAGTCGCAGACGGATTCCGGATATGAGATCAGACGCACAGCAGGACCAGCTTGCGCTGGACAGTCTTTGTTCCACCACAAAGAGGCATGTCGAGAGGCGGATGTTGGTTGGTAGAGGGAGTGGCTGAACAGAGGGCAGCGAGCTGAGGGCGTGGTCGTGGGCGGGTGGTGGTTTAGTGCGTCGGCGGAGGCTGGGGATGATGGCGTAGAGTTTGGCTTGATCCGAAAGCTGACGTACGAGAGACGACACTGGACAGGGCTGATCGACCGGCGATTGGGGCTGAGGCAGATGTCGATGGATAGCAATAGGAAGTCAGGTCGTGGTGGAGGAAGACACGAGCAGACTCGACGTCGATGCGAACGTTGATAATTCAACAGCATTGGCTCTGACTCTGGTTGCTACGAGCGAGCGAGATCACGGTTGGAACGGCTTGCTTTAGAGCTACGCACAAGCCACCCACCTGTACCCCGACTTCTAGTCGCAACCACTCCGCACTCCAGCGACAGTCTTGCCTGTGGCCATGGAGAACTTCACCCTAAGCCCACTGAGTCTGGATCTGTGTTTACTCTCCCAATGCTGAAGTCTCGTCTGATCTTGTTGCGGTCGATATGCTTGGAACGTCTCGTCTGTTGCTCTGCGGCTGCCATGCTCGAGATAAGTCTGTTGTCCAGGCCTCTTGGCACATGTTCCAGGCATATCTCGGCTCAACTCTGATATACTGCGCATTCAGAGATGCTCTCTGGCACTGTAGATGGCCACATAGATAGCCGAGTAGCGGATGCTCTGGGTAAGCTGTACATGTTCAGCGAACTTGTAGAAAGAACGAACCTCAAACTGGAGAGCAAGCGAAAGTCGCTAACGCCAAGCCTCTTATCTTATCGGAGGACAACACCGTCATCAAGCGCGGAGCTCGCTTTCACTTGTTTGCCTGGCCATAGTCGTGCAGAGTACCGTCCACCGGATTCTGAATCTTGTGCTTCGTCGATACTCACCGCGCCTCTCGTGCTACCCATCACTGTACCTCGTGTACAAGATTCGACCTGTCGACTTCCCTTCACCGCACGACAAGCCGCCACAATGTCCGACGACGATGATTTCATGCAGGACTCTGACCAGGAGGAGTACGGAACATGCGCTACACTCACCTATGCAGCCAACCAGACCGCTGACTGTTGCCCAGCTACGATTTCGAGTACGAAGATGAGGACGAGGACCAGGGCGGCGACGTTGACATCGAGAACAAATACTACAATGCCAAGCAGATGAAGGCCGAAAGTCCAGAAGAGGCCATCGATGAGTTTCTGGGTGTTCCTGCTCTCGAAGAGGAGAAGGGAGACTGGTGTGTGCCGCTGCCCTTGTCCGTCGACACCTTGGACTGACACAAGCCAGGGGATTCAAAGGCTTGAAGCAGGCCATCAAACTCGAGTTCAAGCTCCGTCGCTATGATCAAGCCGTCCAACACTACCAGGAGTTACTCACCTATGTCAAATCAGCCGTCACGCGCAACTACTCGGAAAAGTCCATCAACAACATGCTCGACTTCATCGAGAAGAACGCAGAGGATGACGCTGCCAACAAGTGCATGGAGCAGTTCTACTCCAAGACACTCGACTCTTTCCAGAGCACAAATAACGAGCGTCTCTGGCTCAAGACAAACACAAAGTTGGCCCGTCTCTGGCTTGATCAGAAGGACTACCGTCGCCTGACCGATAAGGTGCGCGAGCTACACAAGGCCTGTCAGTTGGAAGATGGTTCCGACGATCCAAGCAAGGGCACATACTCGCTCGAAGTCTACGCTCTCGAGATTCTCATGTACGCCGAAACTCGCAACAACAAGCGCCTGAAGGTCCGTGTCGACATCTCATGATTTTGATTGACGCCGTGAGCCGCCAGCTAATCTTACCGTCTCATTTTAGGCCCTCTATCAACGCGCTCTCAAGGTCAGATCGGCCGTGCCCCATCCCAAGATTATGGGCATCATCCGAGAATGTGGTGGCAAGATGCACATGAGTGAAGGTTCGGGAACGCCACGCTTGCGCCTTTTCACACCCCATTGCTGACCCCCTCGCGCAGAAAATTGGAAGGAGGCTCAATCCGACTTCTTCGAGTCGTTCCGCAATTACGATGAGGCCGGCTCGTTGCAGAGAATCCAAGTGCTCAAGTATCTGGTCTTGACGACCATGCTTATGGGTTCCGATATCAATCCCTTTGATTCGCAGGAGACCAAGCCATACAAAAACGATCCTCGTATCGCTGCCATGACCGAGCTGGTCGATGCTTATCAGCGAGATGACATTCACCGGTACGAGTCAATCCTGCAGAAAAATAAGGATCTGTTGGCCGACCCCTTCATTGCCGAGAACATCGACGAGGTCACGCGAAACATGCGCACAAAGGCCGTTGTCAAGCTGGTTGCTCCTTACACGCGTTTCCGCCTCTCCTTCATCGCCAAGCAGCTGAACATCTCCATCCCAGAGGTCCAAGACATCGTAGGCTTCTTGATCATGGATCAGAAGCTCCACGGTAAGATCAACCAAGAAGCCGGAACTGTCGACATTGAGAGCAGGGCAGACTTGGATCGCATGCACGCAGTCACGGACTGGACCTCAGCGGTTCGTTCACTGGCTGCGTTCGTCTTGAACGATGGTGAGGGTTTCAAAGGTGACGATGGGGCGCTTTCCATGGGAAATCCCGAGACGTACCTCACTCCCTCCTCGCAGCGGACCAGTATGCCTTCTGGGAAGCGCAGGTTTCAATCCCGGGTCCCAGGTTGAGCTCATCTCGACATGACTTGCATACATCTCGGGTGTCATCCAATCACGGTCCTTTGCTCTGCCTCCACACCATGCCTCCACAATAATGCCACAAATATGCAACGGATGGCGTACCTGGCGATACCCGGAACGTTATTTGGAAGAACTATTATGCGCCCCATCGCTTGCGCATGCTGCTGACACAAAGCGGCCTATGCCCCTCTCCTCCCAACCTCCCTCTGGGCGTTTTTTGTGCTCCCGTCAGCGATTGACGAGATATCGCTCGTAAACAGCTCCTTCCATCAATACGCTCCGGACAGTTATGGGCACCAACGGTTTTTTTCTTTTCTCGCTCAGTGGTAGCACAAGCATTAATATCCTTGACCAACACAGACAGGTCTCATCTCTGAGGGTGGGGCGGCGGGTTTTGAGTGTGTGATAGCTCGAGCAACGTGGATAGAAGGCCAACAAAATAACGAAGTACAATGATTAGTTATTGAGAACCCGACGCAAAGGTCGAGATAAATTAAAGACATGGCGAGAGATGTTGCATGGGATCATCCCGTGCTCGTAAGCTTGCAGGCAAACAACAGGTCTTGCCGACGAGAGACAGGTTAAAGAGCTTGCATGCTGCATTGTCGTGTAGTCAAGTCTTTGTACTACTAGGATGAACACATAGCTCTCCGCTTTTTCGGAGCCGCCCAATGATCTACTGCGGCCCGGAAGCTCCTGATCGGTTAGTTGGCATCAAACCCAGCCTACCATCGACGAACCCTGTGCGCTCAGATTAGTTACCCACTCTGTCGGGTCATGGAGCACCCACTTCGCTCAGTCTCTCGACCTGTCGCATTTTGCTCCTAAGAGACGCTGTTCGAAGTTAGATTCCCACTCTGCGTGCTACTTCAATCACAATATGCACTTGCAGCGTCAGGGACTTGACACCGTCGTTCAAATCGCTCAAAAGCTGTCGTGATCTCGTATCTGGACTCGGAGTCAGCGTGCCGACCTTTCGTCGACTTGGATCATCTCAGAGACAATGCATTTGGCCTTGTCCTACTCGAAAGATCAGCCTCTGTTTCACAGTGCAAGCTTGGTGATGGTTTGATGTGCATGAGGCGCCGAGTCTAGTGGTTTTCTAGATTGGCTCCCAGCGGTGCAGCAGTCCCAGTCGATTGCCACGCTCCATCTTCGTGACCCGATCGGATATGTATGCTCTGATACATTCTTTTTTATCCCGGCACGCGCTTTCGGTGCCTGGCAGGAGTCAAGCCGCATGACCTATACTCCCATTCGTCTCTCTTCATATAGTGGCTCCTGTATCCTCTCGTTCTACCGCAGCAAGGGAACCGAACTTTTGATCAACCTTTCCCAGACTTACGGATCCCTTTCTTTTCTACTCGCACCGTCGTGCCAGTACCTCTCCGGCTTCCTGCACCTCAATCTATCACGTAGGGGACAAGGCTATTGTGTGAAAAAGCCATCCACCCCTCACGCCCACGACCTGCGTGATAGACCTCCTGCTACCTTTGCTGCTTTCTCCTTGTTCTGTCCTTCGCGCATCTCTTCCATCATTCTTTGCTTCTCAAGCTGTCCGCCTGCCTGCTCTTCGCTTGCTCTTACTTGCCACGATCGGCGTATTGATCAGCACGACACATTCAATCGCTTAACATAGACCGACTACTGTCGCCATGTATACGTATGTGGGAGTGCCCAACTACTACCAGGGCGACCAGATGTATCCCTATGGCGATTTTCCGTCATACACCACGTCGTACCGGCCAGCAGAGATGCAGATGCCAATGCGGCCATCGGCGCTTGGAATGCCCGAGCTTCATCATCATCAGCAACACTATCACCAGCCCTTGGTTGACCACTCTCCATACATCCACAGTCATCAACACCATCAACCCTCACCGCCTCAACACACGCCTGCAGTCATGGCCTATTCGCAGTCGGAAGATGAAATGGCACAGCTCCAGAAGTTGTCAGCCGAGTTCCAGCCTGAGGTGACGGTGAGTTTGCTCCCTTCCCCGCACCCGCCCGGGTCGTTTCGTTGCACAAGCTTTCGGACCCCGTGTTGACTGACTTGTTTATCAGGGACCTCTTGTTGGCGAGAAACAACTGACCAGTGCTCTCATCGAAGAGTATGCTGCTGCCGATCCAGTCTATCGCACAAAAACTTCGGTGCGATTTCATCGACTCTTACTCATCATCACATGTCTAATGTTTCTGTGACAGGCACTTCCTCTCAAGTACTCTCACTATCGTACTACTCGTGGTGATGGAAGATGTGGTTGGAGAGGTGAGCGACAGTTCTTGTCCTTTCACTCAAAGAGAAATTCTGACATGTGTTAGCCGTCGCCTTCGGCTATTTCGAGAATCTCTTCCGCGCCGGTGACAGACACAAGTTCTTGGAGGAGGAAACTCGTCTCAAGTCGTTGGGCAATGTCATCAACATGGCTGGCTACAGCCAGTTCATCTGGGAAGATTTTGCCGATGAAATATATGCTCTGTTGCGCAAATGCATGTCGGCTTCCTCGGCCAACTCTGAAGCCTTTCTACTTGAGCACTTCAACAATGAAGAGATTCAAAATCAGATCATCACATATCTGAAGGTATGTGATACAAGGATTCGAGTGGCGCAATCACGTACTGACCCCGGTAGACCCTCACCTCGGCTTGGATGAAGACTCGTGCCAAAGACTACGCTCCTTTTGTGCTCCCCCACACCGTCGCCAGTTACTGCGATGCCAACATCGACCCTCATCAGATCGAGATTGACCACCCTGGAATGCAAGCTCTGACTGATGTCTTGCTCAAGCCCGCTGGTATCGCTCTGGAAATCATCTACCTCGATCGTAGCGCTGGTGTTGAGGTGAACGCGCATCAGTTTGCGCCCGACCTCACTCATGCCCACACCATTCGCCTTCTCTACAGACCGTAAGTCATCATTGGTTGCTCCCTGCATCACATACTAATGTCAGTTCCAGTGGTCATTACGATATACTGTATCAGCCGGATCAAATCTTCTCGCAGCCCCCGCCAAGTCAGCCTATCGCTGTACCCACATACTTGCAGTCTTCTCTCCACCACTACGAGGAACCTGTCATGGATCTTGGCATGTCCGACTTCATGACCATGATTCCTGGCATGTCACTGCTGTCCAACCAATCCAACTGGATGCCCAACCGGTTCTATGGCGTCTCCGACTATTCTGCCCCCGCTGCTGCGGTGCCATCTGTGCCAGCTCCGGCACCATTGCCTGTTCAACACCACGCACCACCTCCTGTCATTCCCATTGCCACTCCAGCCTACGTGCCCGCCGTTCAGACTCCTTCGCCTACTGCAACAGTTGATCACACCTTCTCACCTGTATCCCAGACCACCTTCTTCAACTACGACCAGCTGAGCTATGGCGGCAAGGGAAACTTCAGACCATCTACTCACATGTTTGAGCAGAATGGACAGAATGTTATAGATGCAACTGCTCAAAACTCTGTCTGTCAAACAGCTCAGTTCAAGCAGTAAGTCATGCAAGCAGTCTTGTCCAATTTCGAGTATCTAACACTCTATAGTTCCCACTTCAACCGCACACACTTCTTGAACCCCGACTTCCATCCCGATGAATGGGATCCTAGCAAGGAATACATCGTTCCCAACCCGCGTGGCAAGAGTAAGTTGGGCCGTTGATCGTGCCCAACTTTCGTCTGCACCGGCAAACCGATCGTCTACAACAGTTCGACGCAACCACTATTCGGAACCTCCACTCGTTTCAAATCGACAGCCACAGCAGCCCCAGTTTGACGACGTAACGACATAAGACATAACTCAGGGTCACCCCTTTTTTTTTTTAATCTCTGCTTCTTCTCTTGTTAGAACTCAAGTCATTCAAGTCGCAACCAAGTATCATTTAGCGAAGGCGTTCTCAGTGCGTCTTTGGTGCATTTCCTTACTTGCTTTTCCTTCTCTCTTTTTTCTGGGCAGTATCTACAGTTGAAGCGTTCGAGGGGGTTTATGCGAAGGTTGTCATGACGATATGTCTTAACGCCTGCGGACTCTCGTAAGAGGTCCGACTAAAAAGATCAAGGGAGTTTCGAGAATCATCACTCCTGCTTTTCGGACACGCAGGGCCAGGGGTCGATAGGATGTTGTTTTCTTTCTCATAGCTAGTTTCTAAATCTAACAATCGAACCTCTCCACTCGATGTTCCCACTCGGAGTGTCGCGACTCGCGTGAAGAAACCTGATTCACCAACATTTACGACTGCCGATTTACCTCACCGTTCAGAAGAAACTCTAACAAATCATATGCTATTCTCGGATGGGCATTGAGCAGCACCTCATTGCGTGTTTGAGGCTATCGAAAGTATGGGTCATGGCTCACTGTCCATGCTCTCCAGCCATGCTCCAGCCTCCAGCCACCCTTCGCTGTCAAGCTTGGAGCAGCTTCGGACCGCACCGTACCCGTGATTCTGACAGAAGTATGAACAATTTGACAGCTCATCAAATTTCTGACCAAATCCGGACCACTCTCAAAGTGTTTGTATATTGCCTCGCTTCTTCCGGAAAGTTGCGCCCTTCAGACCAAAGCCATGTCGAGATGACCTTTCCTTGGCGCACCCGTCGCGATCTCGCATCACTTTACAGATTGTTGAACGTCACGCATGTCTAGATCGATGGGTCCCTTGAATCATTAGCACATACAGTAGTCAAAAAGAAGGGCAAAAGGTAGATAGATTGGATGACTAGGCTGAGAGATCAAAGACTGACAAGCCAAGAGAGAGGCGGGACAGATCATTCTTCCGGCCAATCATCACACGTGTCGGCTATGTCTTCTTGAAGACGCGCTTTCCTTTTCGCAATCGTCCGGTGCATCGTTCCTTCCGTCGATTGGGCCCGAACAGATCCCGGACTTTGTCACTCTCCCTGTCTCTAGACTCTGTGGATTGAATTCATCTATCTTACATGAGAATAGGAGGTGGACAACGTTCAATGCCATCCTGCAAGAAATTTGTCAATCGGGTGGGTCGTCTGCGTACATCGTTCTCCCTGACATAGGGACGTCTTCACAATACACGCCGTCACCAGTACGTTCGGCAGGCACCCAATGCGTGTCTCTTTCCTTGCAGCATCCAAATTCTGTATGCACAAGTCTATTCAGCCAACACGATCGAGAGACTCATCGACAGATGTGATCCTCCATGACTTGACAACATCTGTCTACGTTCTCTGGACGAATCTCGGTCATCTGTCAGAATACTCAGGGCTCTCAAAGGATGCGGGTCGGTATCCTCACCCATTCCCGAAATCGAGATGGCGCCAATGCAAGTAATATATTGCGCAACTCGAGCGTCAAGCGCGTCTTGCCAAAGCCACCTTTTCCTCCCCCCGTCGATCAGTCGTCTGGATAGTGCTGCTTGTTGGAATTGCTGGATTTTCAATATCCACGACCCGCGCGCAAAATACAAATGATGCCTGAACGATGACTAAGGATCAAACCTGAAGGGTCCGCCGTCCCCCCGGCGCGAATGGCATCAGCATCATTTATTGGCGCCCATGCAATGCACCTTTTGCGCCGAACACCGCGCTACGACAATTGCTGGTATGTTCTCGTTCCCTTCCGGTTTCACGCCCCCCTGTTCCCACTGTGTGGCATCACCTGGAGAAATCTCATGATCGATTTGATTGTTTTCTTGACCTGTCATCATGTCTTTGAAGGATCACCTCGGTACAGGACCTCTCGCCTGGGACCTTGATTCTGTGCCCCTGGTTGCTTACATCCCAACATGGAGGGTCGGATCTCTTCTCCAGCTGTCTTGGGTCATCAGTCCGCTGTCTCGGAGGAAGAACTCGATCTCCAGGTATGCTGCACGTCGACTAACACAGAGACCTTAGATCTGGGCCGTGACGTTGAAGTGGAAGTAGAACCGCAAGCGTGAGCTGCCGGTCCCTTGCTTCGGATCCGAAAGCTGTGTTTGCAACTGAGACACGTGTTTGCCGAAAAACGACAATCGCCTCACGCGTTCTCTGCTGCAAGGGAGTTCGATGCAATCCGCCGTCGATGGATCAGTCACCTCAAACCCCTTCCAACGGTTCTGGCAAGGGTGGTCGCATGTTTCAGAAGCCGATAAGCAAGTCTGATGACTCCAGACTTCAGATGTTGAAGTTCGAGCTGCTGCTATCCGCTGCGAACGAGGAATCAGAGTGATCTTGCATATTCGTGTTGCTTCTTGGTTCGAACTTGAATGGTCTTTGCGCTGCATGGATCAGGCTGTCTGGGTTTCCGATCTCTCGCTAATGCAATGTACACGATGTCTGCGAGATTGACAGGTATGCAAGCCTTTGTCTGTGTTCGAATATGAAACGTTCGAACTACATGCTAAATCTCTCGGGTCTCGAGCCAATATACCCCATACAGATCAGAGAGGTTCGATGAGGGACTTCCAGCATCCCTGTAAGCTCGCTGAGAGGTTACAAGACCGTGGCTTCTGCCGAACCATTGGGACTCATGAGCTATTTGTGGTTCCTCGTCTTGTCATTCGCCAACTAATTACGTCGCCTCCGATCAAGTACGATCACCATCTCCGCCATCGAGGTGGTCGTGAAAATTCGTGCAGAACGACCGAGTCTCGCTAGTGTCTGGGTTAATTCTGCCCTTGATCTCAATCCCATTCAAACCCACGCCAGCAACGAGGATGTGTATGCTTAAGCCATTGAAAGCACTCGACACTGATGCTCGCTATCGAGAATATTCGGTTCTGATCTTCTTGCCTGTTGGTCTTCTGTAGCAGATACAAGAGAATATGTCAACGATTCTCGAGATCAACACATACTGAAATGCTCGACAAGGAGCTTGATTGGCGAGACGTTTGTTCAAAACGACCAAGTACTCGAGGTATACAGGATAACCCTGCTCTCGCCTGGATTTCTGTAAAAACATACGCCAGCGACGACAGTGTATACAATTTTCCTTCAAAATCCTTACTCCCAAGCGACATATAGCTCTGCTACTGGCTTTGATAGATGCTGTTCGTCAAATATGGCCCTCCAGAGCGTTCCAAGAGCTTTTTCTATGTACAACTTATCAGACGGTATCGTATTTATACATTTACACCGTGCTCTGCTGCGAAAGAAGTCATTGAGAGAACAACTTTACTATTTATGTTTTTGAGGCTTGTAAAAGTCTCAGTGCACACGCGCAATGCATGCCTACCTTAATATACCATAACTTGCTCGATCATATGCACTTAGCCGCGCTCTGCGATCATATTCGTCTTTTACAATAAGAGTATATATATTGACAGAGCGACCGCACCTCCATCAGTCAACAGCCAGTTCACGCAGTGAACTAGATCAATCAGACCTGCCGGGGTAGCTCAATCGGTAGAGCGTGTGGCTCTTATCTTCTCTGATATTCCCAACCTCAAGGTCGCGGGTTCGAGCCCCGCCTTCGGCTATTCCTACACAAACGTTGACATCACTTTTTGTTCCCGCAACGCTGGTTGTACCGGGACGTGTTTTTGGGGTGGGTGGTGAGAAAAAAAAAAATTCCTGGTGGACCCTGACTTGGCGGACAGGGTCGGCGTCGGACTTGGGATCTGATGTCTCATCCCACTCCTCAATATTGTCACTTTCTCTTCCATGAGGTTGTTGCAATTCATGTTAGAGGAACCAAGTACGAGTATTCAAGCAATAAAGGGCGTCATCTACAGCCCATCCGAGAAGCTGATGGTGATTATGAACGTATAACCCAGCGATTCAGACAGACTGGAAACTCGAGGTTGAAGCATACAGGCAGCCTTAAGCAGGAGCGACACGAGATGATTAGGGCATAGTTATAGATGATGCCGAAGTTTGTTCACTGCTGGAAGAAAGCATTATTGATTCCTATCTATCATATCTCATAAGCGTCCCGAAAGAATCTCTTGTCTATCCGTCTACCCTTCATGCACCGTTCTGCTTGATCTTCTGAGGCTCGACGTTCCAGATCATCTCGGCATACTCCTCGATACAACGATCGGCGGTGAAGAAACCCATGCGGGCAACTGCGAGAATGGTCTTGTGGAGCCAAGCCTCCTGGTCCTTGAAGGCCTCGTCAATGGCATCGTGGGTCTTGCAGTATGCTTCAAAGTCGGCAGAGGTCAACCAGTGATCGTGGTTGACGACGGTGTTGGTCAGGGCGGAGAACTCGTCTGAGTGGCCAAACATGCCATCATGAATAGCATCAAAGACCTTCTGGAGACCATCATCAATCAGGACACCTTCGTAGGTGTGTTGATGACGGATATCCTCGACGTCCTCGGCCAAGTTACCGAACAAGAAGATGTTGTCCTCACCGATTTCTCTGGTGATCTCAATGTTGGCACCATCGCATGTTCCAATAATGAGACCACCGTTGAGGACAAACTTCATGTTCGAAGTACCCGAAGCCTCAGTACCGGCAGTCGAGATGTGCTCACTGATATCAGAGGCAGGTGCGATGATCTCACACTTGGACACATTGTAATCTTCAATGAAGATGACCTTCAAGGCATCACCAATCTCAGGGTCGTTGTTGACAACTCTGCCAACCTCGTTGACAAGATGAATGATGCACTTGGCCATCCAGTAACCAGGAGCAGCCTTGCCACCGAAGATGGAAACTCTGGGCTGCATCTTCTTTCTCTCCTCTGGTGACATGGCCTTGAGAGCTAAGTAGCGGTGGATGACACCGAAGATGTTGAGCTGCTGACGCTTGTACTCGTGAATACGCTTGACCTGAATATCGAACAGGGCTGCAGGGTTAACCTTCACGCCAGTAGTCTCCTTGATGTAGTTAGCAAGACGAGTCTTGTTGGCAAACTTGATGTCCTGGAATGCTTTGCGGAACTGCTTGTCGTCGGCATATGTCTCGATCTTGTGCAAGAGAGTAAGATCCTTCAAGAAGTCATAGCCACCAAGCTTCGAAGCAATAAGCTCGGACAGCTTAGGGTTGGCTTGATGCAGCCAACGACGAGGAGTGATGCCGTTGGTGACGTTGGTGAACTTGTCTTGACCATAGATCTTGACAAAGTCCTTGAAGATGGTTGTCTTGATCAGGTCGGAGTGCAGCTCTGCTACGCCGTTGACCTTGTGAGAACCAACGATGGCGAGGAAAGCCATGCGAATCATCTTTGGGTTGGACTCCTCGACGATGGAAACACGAGAAAGCATGTCACGGTCCTTGGGGAAGGTACGCTCGACATACTGCAAGAAGTGCAGGTTGATCTCGTAGATGATCTCAAGGTGGCGGGGAAGCAGATGCTGGATCAATGGGACAGACCATTTCTCGAGAGCCTCTGCCATGACGGTGTGGTTGGTATAGCCGAAAGTGTTTACAACAATGCTCCAAGCAGTGTCCCAGTCAAGACCTTCGTTGTCAACCAAGATACGCTGCAGTTCGGGGATGGCAAGAGTCGGGTGGGTGTCGTTGAGCTGGATGGCAATCTGGTTGGGGAACTCCTTCCACGCCTTCTTCGACTTCTTGAAACGGCGGACAATGTCATTGAGCGAGGCAGCACACCAGAAGTACTGCTGCTTGAGACGAAGCTCCTTGCCACGGTCAAGGCTGTGTTGCTGTCAGTGGGCAGTTCATTGCCGATCGACAGGCTCAACTTACTTGTCGTTGGGGTACAAGACGGCAGAGATGGTCTCGGCTCTCATCTGGTCATGTACAGACTGCTCATACTCGCCAGAGTTGAACTTTTGGAAGTCGAACTCGCCGCTGGCGGCCTTGCTGGACCATAGACGCAAGTTGTTGGTAGTAGGCGTGTTGTAGCCAGGAATCGGTACGTCGTAGGCATTGGCAGTTACTATCTCGCCATTCTCCCAGACCGAAACCTGTCTTCCGTTGTCATCGTTGTACTTGCGAACATTACCGTAAAACTGGATGTCGACCGTAACGTCGTGTCGTGGGAACTCCCAAGGGTTGAAGTCGAGCCAGTAGTCGGGAACCTCGACTTGGTAGCCATTGATGATCTCCTGCTTGAAGATACCATATCTGTATCTCAGACCGTAACCCCAAGCGGGGTAGTCGAGCGAGGCAAGACTGTCCAGGAAACAAGCCGCAAGTCGACCAAGACCACCGTTACCGAGAGCAGCATCGCGCTCAATGCCAATGACATCTTCCATACGGAAGCCTAGATCAGCCAGGCCCTCTACTCAAGAGTTAGACCCGCCATATGTGATGTGCAGTTGCATTCCATACCTCTTGCAACATCTTTGAGACCAACGTTGAGCATAGCATTGTCCAAAGCTCTTCCCATCAAAAACTCGAGAGACAGATCTGTGTCCGTCAATAACAGTGCTGAAGCCGAAGGGTGCCAATCTTACAGTAGACACGCTTCTGATCAGCAAAGGTGTGGCTCTGCTGCGTCTTGTTCCAGTCAATGATCAAGCGGTCACGGAACGCCAAAGCTGTTCCACCGTAGGCAGCGCTACGATCCTGGTCAGCAACGTCTCTTGTCCAGAGGGACGGCTAGACCAACCCTTCATCGCAGTTGTAAAGTGAGCGAGCGAGAGTTGTCTCGATATGACGGATTGCTGCAGCCTGCCAGTGCTGTTAGAACTGTAGGGTTTGTGTTTGTTGCAGGCTCTGGTACCTCGAAGTCCTCCTTGTTCTTGAAGCCTGAAGCACTCTGCTCGGGTCAGTGCCGGTTCGGTTTCAGGTCAACGTTCGGGCTCGGTCATACATGTTTCTTCCAGCTAGAACATTCGTGTTAGTATATGGCTTCCAGAGTATTGCATTTCTGGCTGACTTACGCAGACTTCTGAGCATCTGGGATCTCGGCTTCAACGCTCTTGATGTCAGATGCACCAAAGCCAGTAATTGTACGCTTGTGCTTAGGCCTTGTGATGCCTGCAGGCCCAATGGGACCCGAGAGCTCAGCCACTGGAGCTGATGTTGATGGTCTGCGTGAGCGGACGGTAGGTGTAGTGGCCATGGCGATTCTGTCACTGTGATGCAGAGAATGAGGGGAATTGAGGGGTACGAGGGGCAGCTCGAGCTGACTGCAACCAGGAAGGTGATGGACAGGGGAAGGAAGACGATGAAGTGAGGAGAAGGACGAAGAGAAGACGTCGACGACTCCCAACGTTTCCGGAGCTCTGGACTGTGTGCCGTCAGTGGCTGCTGCGTGTGAGTGGTGGTAGGATTGGCTGTTCGTCCTCCGTGAGGTTCCCCCGATCTAGCTTGTGATGCGGGGTAGGCGCCGGGTCTGGCGTGATCTGGAGCCGCTAAGACCGACTTCCCGAAACCTTCTTTCAGCTCCTTGGATAAAAACCTGCCCTCTCGGTTCACAGTCGCTCCGAATCTTGCACATGCATCGTAATCACTAATTGACACGCCATAGCTCATGTTGATGTTAGCATTACTAGCTAATTCTCTGTCTGCTTTCTGGGCACTGTCGCCACGTGTAAACATCATGTGGGTATCATCGTGAAAACAAATCATCCAGCCTGCCTTTTTGCCCGTGCCCATCATACGCCGTAACCCTAATATCCATAGTCGCTTTCGTTCCTCAATTAAACACCCGATCCTACATGCAGTGTGTCCATTTCAACCTCCAGGGTCATAATCGACAGTCCGACGAAGCCCGCTTTGTCTCACTGCAGCCTTTAGATCGACTGCTGCGCTGGAGTCGAAGGGAGGTATTGGAGGATCAAATCATCATCGCCGTGCATACAGTCGGGTGATGGCTCCGGTGTGACGAGCCCATGTTGAACAGTTGTTTTTGGGCCAAAGACCAACCTGAGGCTTTCATCCTCGTCAACGATGAACGGCGTCAACGATGGCTGCTTGCTGTGCGCCATAACTCCTGAACCTGATAGAGCCGTGAGAGCTGCCTCAATAGCCACCGGTGCAGCGAGAGGATGGATCGACCATTCTAGCTTGGCAAGAACGATACGGTTCATCGTGCTGATCTGCTCAGTGCTGAAAATACCTCCGGCGACCGATCTTGACCAGTGGAATAGGTTTCTGGGCTGATCCTCTGTAAAGGATACTGCAACGCTCAGCGCCGACAGGATCACCAAAGCTCGTTGACAAGAAGCATCCGATTCTGGTCCATGCATTTGCTGAATCTTTGACTGCATGTGACCGGAAGCGAATGCAACCGGGTTGCTGTGCCAGCAGTGCATAGCTGCAACGGTTGGTTGAGATAAGATATTGTAAGCCAGAGCAACGGTTTCCATGGGCACTCGAGAACTGTTTAAAAACTGCGCGATCATTGACCGTAATGGTTTGATGGAGTTGCAACTTTCGCATGCAGTAATGTTGCATAAAATGTCTGCAGCAATGGTGACTGGAATTTTTGTCAGCTCACGTGCCTGTCAGTAATTGTTCTTTGGAAGACTTACATGAGGATGAGATGTCGGACATCGACGAGTCATATCTGCCGTGAAGGGTTTCTTCTCTCCACCAAGCTTCTTTCATCGTGGGCGAGGGTAGTTGAGATAGAGGTGAAAGACTGTCCAGGTAGGCATCCAGATCCGGCGAGGAGAGAGAGTCGCAGAAGCTCAGAGCTGGAGAAGACAGAGCCGACATTTTGTATGAATGGGAAATGCGTTGAGAGTCCAAATGAGCATGCTCTTCTAGGTGGGTCGATAGCGATATGTATATGTGGTGAGCCGGGACCAGGATAGAGAAGGTCGTCTGAGTTGGGAATGAGGTAACGTGAGGGAGAGAAAGATGAGAAACGGCGAGATATTATTTACCAGAGAAGGCACGGGGAACCTTTCTTTTTCCTTCGAAGCGGAGTGCCGGACTAGAGGTTCGAAGACTAACACAGGCAAGGTGCGAGACACGCAGGCCTGTGGTGTGGGGATAGTGGCGTGTGTTAGGATGAGAACACTTCTCAACGGCAATTGTGAGGCCGTTTCAAAGTGCTCAATGATGCCAAAGGGAGAAGCATACGTCTTTTGGAACGAAACGGCAGAGAGCCCGGTTCATGCCCGGGCTCACCGACTTTCGATGTCCTGCACCCACCGTGTTCGTAAGGGCTCGGCTTAACTCGAGAGATTGCGTATATCAAGAAGGCGCAGTACGGAGACGGGACGAGACGTCGCCGAGAGGCTCATGCGTCTCTTGGCGAATTGCAAAAGGGTCTGTTTCCAGAAGTGATGCTGCACAAGGGTAGCCAAAGAGTTGCACAGGCGCTCTCGTGTCGCAATTTTCTTGTTGATCGTATCATATGCGTCTTGCGCCAAGTTGGGTTGTATGTTTCGAGAGTCAGGGCTCAAGGTTCAACAAGGCCCGAGGCTGCCGAAAGTCTGATTTTCTTTGTGGCTGACTACGCTATTGGACGGCCTCTAAATCCCATTATCTCAAACGTTGTCTCTATTGAACTTCTAGTCAATTGAAGAGAAGCCTGACACTGCCGTCAGAGGCTTCTACGGTGTTCATAACTCGCCATGTGGTTGTCTTACTGGGCTGAACACCTTTACAACCCGGCAGATGTAAAACAGTTGGTCCTAGGGCGAGACAACGATATTGCACGGGCTTGCTATTCAAGACAGCCGGTGCTCGATCGGCAGTCTGGGTGTGCGATGCGGGGAAATGTCTTGATGATCTGCAGGAAGCTGCTGTGGTCAAGAGGTACCTTCCAGTTGTACCTCACCATCGCGAAGATGGATTTCACGAGGAAGTTGGATAACAAGATACAAGGTAGGTGCCATGTGTCGATTCGTCGAGGGGTCCTTCCCCGACGAAAGACGAACGCAGGGCTCGGCATAAACAATCTCTTGTTCGTTTACCTCACTTTTCGAGACCAACTCGACATCACCATACCTGCAGAAGGTCATCTCTCATCACAAGTTATCATTCGCACATCTGCAAACATCACCCCGCATCACGTAGAGTATCTCTATTGATCGTGGCGCACTCTTTTGATCATCCCATCATCGTCACCACCACCAATCATCCAAAAATGGCTTCCCACACTGCTTCTGACCAGGATCTGATCAACGAGCGTTCCGGCACCTCAGCTGGCGGCAGTAGCCCTGCCTCTGCTGGTTCCCCGACCTCTCCTGACATGGGTCCCGAGTACCACTCTCCTCAGTTCCATCCTCCTCACTCTCATGCCGACGTCGAGCAAGAGACCCGCGAGCACCACCAGCCTCACGTCCAGCGTCGTCTTACCAACAACTACGAGCAGGCTCTCAGAGACCGTGCTGCTGCCACTGGCAAGCAAGAGCACATTGACGCCATCAACGATGCCATCCGCAGTGACCCCAATGGCCCCGAAGTCGGTCCCGCCCTTCACCCTGGCAGACAGCCCAGCTTCAAGCTGAGCGACCAGAAGAGAGCCGCCATGGAGCACATCTTCAACAACGACCCCAGAGGTCCCGGCTACACCTCTTCCGCCTCCAAGAAGTAGCTTCAAGATCGTCCAGCGGAAGCTCCTGCATCTTATTTTCTGCACACATGGGCAGATGCTTCATCAACGCTACAATTCGTTCATTCAGTGCTCCAGCTTGGCCAGTCAATGTTGAAGAAAGCGACGAAGATGCATGGCCGTCATGCAAAACGAAAAGGCTCGATGGAAGAAGCTCTTGTTGACGATCTGGGCGATGGGAGCTCGTATGGCTGACGACGTTCATGGGCTTATGGAGTTCATGCTTTATGTCTTTATGGGAACGTTGCTGACGATGTTGATGACGACGACGACGACAAAAACCTGGGATGCGAAGGGCGTTTTCACTATTAGGTCCGGGAAGCACAACGGGCGTTAATCCTTTATCTGTACCGACCTGCGCTGCTTATCCACAAACCTTAATCTCAAGTCTTTGTTCCCCTGCTGATCGTGCTGATCGTTTTGCAACGTTTCCGGTTCACTGGAGTGCTTTTCGTGATGGATGTGACCATGGATATCCTGACGCATATTATAACCTGTATCTGTCAGAGAAGAGGAGAGACGCGAGACGCCTATGATCACAGCAAGTGGTTGTTAAATGAAGATCTCATGACATCGTCACAACAGGCGAAGTCGATGCAAACAAGAAGAGTGAGCGTTTGATCAAGAAACAAGATATCTACCGAGACTCGCATGTTCCGCTCTTCTTCTGCAAGACGTCTTCAAAGCCAGAAGCTTCAAGCAATCAAAAGATCAAGAGAGCGAGTCACGAAACGCAGAAGATGGCTTGCTCTCTCACTTCTCATCCACAGTCAAAACGTCTCGTCTCATCGCATCTTTTGCCGCAAAATTCTTTCTCGCCCAGCAGCCACAAAAGCGAGTCCCTGTCAAACTCCTGCCTTCCCATCGGTCGTGAGGTCAGGCTGTTTCGAGGGGTAGCCGAGGTCATCGAGGAAAGGCCTGCAGACTTGAAGTAAAATCCTTACCGCTGTATCCGAAGAACTTGAGCAACTGCTCTGTTGTTAGGCGATAGTATGGTCTCGATGTCGGTGACTCGTTAGCGAGGCAAACAGCTATGAGGAGCTTCGTGTCGTGTGTCGATGGTTATCGATGTTCATTTCATATCGATACCATATTTCAAGTCCTGCGATTGCCCGACGGGGGGCCTTACATCAGTCTCTTGTCGTTTCTTTATGCATGCATCTGCTCTGTTTTTTTGCTCAAGCCATCGATCTCTCCATCTCGCTTGTTCAAGAATTGCCAAGGGCATCAGAGCCTGTAGAAGGCTTCCTCTGCTTCTTGCTCGCGACAATATATGAATCCAAGCTCAATTCGGTCTTTGGTTTTTCTTTCTGCAATGCATGAGGCTGGGAGGAGGGTTTGGCATACCAGTCTACATCACTGAGCTGCAACTTTCTGCTTCTGGTGACATTACGTGAAGTTCCGGATTTATCGAGACGAGGTTGGTTGTAGGGCGACTGTGCATCTAGAGCAGCTGCGGGAACAGAAGAGGAAAAGTTAGCAGGTGTGGTAGATATGCCAGATCTAGGCTTTGTGTTTTCATTGTTGCGTGTGCAGGCGTAAGAGGATGTGATTGCAGATGGACGGGGATGAGGTGTACGAAGACTTAGACCATGGACAGTGTTGACATTGCCATGGCTGCTTGATTCATGTGTATTGGGTGCGTTTGCAACCACTGGATTGTTGGAATCCCTAGGTTGTAGTGATCGGTTCAAGGCGCCTTTGCCGACGAGAACCGTACGATTGGAGTTGGGCTGCATAATGTAGTGGAAGGATGATTCACCATCGTTGGAGTCGTCGTCGCGAAGGTCGTAATTGAGCACGAGGTTCTTGATGCGCTGCTGCTCTGCGCGAGCTTGCTCTTGTTGACTACGCATAGCGACCGCAAAGTTGGAGTCTGAAGGCAAGTCGATAGAGCGAGTCTGTGTAGGTTAGCAAATAGCCATCTTGCGGTCGTAAAGGGCTGAGTAAGTAATCTTGCCTGTGGTTTGTTTCCTCTTCTGCTGAGCAGTGCGAACTTCATCGTATTCGAAGGAGGTTCGATTGGCTGGCTTGGTTCACTGTTAGTAGCAGTAGCGGTCTTACGCATTGGCAAGGGAACGTCGAAGACAGGCTTGCGATCGAACTTGCGAGACTCAACACTGTCTGCCATCATCTTGGCCAGCTCTCGATCGAACTCGGCGTCTGCCTCAGGATCACGCTGGTCTTCAGGACGTGTCACGACGATGTGCTCTTCCTCGTCTTCGGTACCTTCCTCGGGAGTCTCGCCAGCGCCCTCATCGTCACTAGGCTCTGCGGCTTCGTCTCCAGATGACTTGTCGTCGTCGCCGTCATCGTTGTTGACATCGTCAATACCGCGGTTGTCTTCCTCGTCCTCTTCCTCTTGTTCTTCTTGCTGCTTGTTGGCCCCAGTCGTTTGGTAGTTGTGTTTAACAGCATCGCTAAAGACTTGCTGTGCTTCTTCAAAGGTAGCAGCAATCTTCCACTGTGATCTGAGCAGAGCAAACATGTCCTGGACCACAAACTCGACATCCATAGGCATCGGCTCCTTGGTATGAATATAGTACTGGAAGAAGGACAAGAAAAAGTCGAGCTTCTTCTTCACTGCACCCTTGTCAAAGTACATGCCGCAGGTTTCGAGGAGGCTAGCCACGAGTCTGATGCGGAAATAGTCATCTGGCAAATCAAGAACATTGTATGAGCCTGGACGAGCAAATCCGCCCGGATGACCGCAGTTTACAATGTGGTAGAGTGTGTCGAAGATGAGTGCAGAATCGACCAGGCGGTAGACATACAGCTCACCAAGATACTTGACTTCGGCGATGCGCTTCTGATTTTGTTTGAAGTCGTTGGTCTCAAGTCCGACGGTAATTTGCTCGAGTATGTCGTCCAGTACAGAGACAGTGAAGCTCTGATGATAACGATGCAGTGCTCCAAGGATGACAGCCAAGAGATGAATGTTACTGTACTTGATCTTGCCAGGCTTTGTGAAAATCTTGCGAAGGAGCTCCGGAACCTCTGGCTCCTCCCAATGCAGCTTTCGAATCTGCTTGATGACCTTCTCGAGGGATCGTTTGGACAGATCCAGGTAGATAAGCTTACGAACGTACAGCTCTAGAGGCGTGCGCTCCTTCTGTTGAATGGCTGCACGCTCAGGTGGGTTGACATAGTACATGGCGTTCTCGATAAGCATGCGCTCTTGCTGTCCAAGATGCTGAGCACCCTTCTTGCGCTGCAGTGTCTCGAGGAAAGAAGCCATTCTGGGCGAAGTGTCTGGATTGCGAAGAAGGTAGCGACCGCAGTTCTCGAGAAGATTTGAAATGATCTCGATGTTCATGCGTGAAAAGTCGTCCAGGCTGACCTTCAGACAATGGAAGATGACATGCTCAGGGACAACGCCAAACTTGGTAAGCTCGGCAATGTATCTGATGTTAATCATACGGACTTGTCCGAGAAAATCTTTTGACTTGCGGCGTTGCAGACTTCTGAATTCTTCATCGAGATAAGCGATCAATGCCTGCGGAACATCGATCAAGTGCTTTCCAAGAGTAGCGACAAGGCGTGAGTAAAGAGGTAATAGATCGGTTCTGCCTTTGGGGATGTCCTGGATAGCTCTGACCAAGCGGTTTCGGGATGCCTTGGAGTTTAAGAAGCAGAAGTCGATGGCGAATTGATCGACTTGGTCTTTGTTGGTCAAGTCGACGAGTTGGGCAAGCAGAGCGTCAACGTGTGCACCAACGGTCTTGTTGGCAATCGCGGTCGACTGGTCATCGCCCTCTGCTGCCTTGGACTCTGCAGGCTCGATTTTGTCCTTGACTTCTAATGCCTCGTCATTTCTCTTGCCAACCTGATCATCACCCTCAGGTTTCTTTTTCTTGCCATCCTCGAGTAAGATGCCAGGAACTCTGTCTTTGAGATCGATCAAGTTCTCGTAAAAGCGTCTCTCTTCTTCGTCTTCCCAGATCCCGGCACCGTCGCCTTGGCCGCGTAGATATTCGCCAGTCTTGACCAAGCCGATACCACCATCTCCGCCAGCATTGTCAGATTCCTTCTCGGACAGATCTGGCATTTCGGCACCAAGTGCATCCGCCAGGACCTGAGCGTTCGAGACCAGCTTTTCATGAGACTTTGTCTGTTTCTCGAAATTGTTTTGGCGGTCTTCGAAGACTTCTCCGGATTTGACGTATGCTTCAGCGTTGCGGCGGCCTTGGGCACTAATATGCTTCTGGTCGCGCAGAATATGTGCCTTGACGTCCTGGAAGTAGCGGTTGAGAATGTTCTTGAAGCGCTGTTGCAAGTCGGGAGCGCACAGTGGAGGGTCCTGGGTACTGTTCGGGTCACTGTCCATTTCGTCTGCGGCACCGTTGGTAGTGGTTGAGCCATCCTCAGCAACAGTTTTGCGGCCGTCCTGTGTGGGCTTGGACGCCAGAATGTCCCAAGCGAAACTCTTGACAAAGATGACAACCAGCGGTAGATTCACATGCTCGCGGTCATAGCCCAGCATATCCTTGAGCACTTCCAGAGGGAAAGGTTCCGGATCTGCAGAATCGGATCGGGTAGGTTTGGTCTTGGGCACAGCATCCACAGGCTTTCCCGACTCTTTCAGCTTGTTGGCTTCTTCCGGGCGAGCAATGTCTTCCAGACTACGCAAGACACCGACCAGCCACAGTTCGGTAGCCACACGCAGAAGAATGCGCTGCCTCGAGATTCGCTCCTTCTCTTCTCTTTCCCGTACGTCTTGGGCCAAGGCCTTCAACTGAGCTCTATCAGGTGTAGCCAGACCACGGCCGACAAACCAGCCAAGCATCTTGGTAAACTCATCAGGACCAAAGCGTTGGTGGAGAGCCGAGACGATCTCGACACCAGCAGCGATTTCTCCGGGAGTCTTTACTTTGGTGAGGCCTTCGAAGCAGGCGGAGATGATCTCGGAGAGGTATTTGTGCAGCGAGAGGGTGCAGATTTCCTGCAGAAAGACGGACTGGCCGGCGGCGTTGATGGCGGTTCGAAGACGCTTGATGAAGGCCGTGTTCTTCTTCATGGACGAGTCGAGCGAGCCCTGTACGGGGAGGACGTTTGCTTCACCAGCCCATGCCCGCTGGTTGAGGTCGCGCAGCTCGCCTGCAATTCATTATCAGCCATGTATACTTTCCTGTCGAGCTTGGTCTCCGGCGTACGCTTCCTCTGTCTTTCCATCGCGTCGCCTTTCTTCAGCGATGAGGCGCGATGACTGTCAGAATTGAGGTGGTGATGTAGCGAAGTTCCAGCATCTGGCTACTGCTCATGAGTGTTTGCTGGTCAATGAGATCGCGAATTGCTTTGGCGATGATGCCGGACCGGCGTGTTGGCGCTTTCCTCCGATACATCGGCGATACGCGAAGCTTATATCCGAGACTGTCCCCTGTCCCCACCCTGAGTCACATTGAGTGAGGACAGTAACCACGGAGCACATGCATCCTTTAATTTTGATAGAGGGTAGCTGTAGGCAATGATGGATACAGATGCAATTGCATTTCTACGACTGTGAAAGCTTCATGATACTGATAGTCGCATGGCAACGATAGAAAAGCCATGCCATCCAGAACGCCATGCTCGTAATTCTACCAGAGGATACCTCCTTTTCCCCAATAACGCCTGCTCCCTTTGTTTCACATCCCTCTCGGTCCTGAGACTAAGCCAGGTAGCCAAGCTCATCACCTTCCAAGCGCTCGAGGTACTCCTTCTCCAGGAGGATGTCGATACATTTCTTGATATCGGGGACCTTGGGCACGAATCTGTTCTTGATCTGCGAGATGACCTCGGCGACCAGTTGTGTGTGCTTCATCGTCTTGCGAGACTTCATGATGCGGACAATAGCAGACTGTCGATTTTGTTAGCATACTGCATAGAACAGAGAATACACTATAACAACTTACCTGCATGAGCATCTTTCTGTCCTCCTCGATAGTCTTGTGCGTCTCTTCGACTTCCTGCTTCTGCTCCGACTTGATGGCGATGTTGAGATTGACCTTCAGCTTTTTGTTCTTGAAGCCGTGGTTGAGAGTGTAGGTAGTGCCACTTGCTTGGCCAGCACCTTCGGGCTTGGCTGTAAGCACTCTTGCCTTGAGCATGATGGCCACCGAGGGATCGAGAGTGTCCTTATTGAGTTTGGTGGCTTCGGCAATCTCGTCATAGGACACTGTCTCGCTGTCGTTGAAGAGTAGCAAGATTGCCATCTGATATGTCGATACCTGGAAGGTGTATGGAACCTTGTTCATCCTAACGTAGTTGGCTCTGATCTCGCCCTTGCAAAGATGCCAAAGCCAAGTGAGCTTACGGCCACCGTGTTTGCTCAAGTAGTAACTTTGGAAGCGCTCATACGTGCGTGCAATGTCCTGTGGAGGTGTGAAGGGTGTGCTTGATGGTTGCAGTGGCCAGAAACCGGTACCGAGTACGTTGTAGTAGGAGTCGATGATAGCCTTACGGTCAGTCTCCTCGAGGTTCTCTTTGCACCATTCGTCGTATGATGTGTTGAGATCCTTGGAGGTCTGCATGTCCTGAAACATACGTTGGAGCTTGTTGGTGTACTCGAAACCACTTGCATCTTTCAACTTGGAGATCATGCTGGTCTCAGCGTCACCGGAAGCAGATGTGCCTTGGACCAGACGCTTGGCCAGGGTCTTCGAGTAGAACTTGTTGAAGACATCCTTGTCCTCGATGTACTTGAAGACGGTCATGACCTGGTTGAGTTGTTGCTCCATGTCGTCTTCCTCGGTGCTTTTGGTCGATTTCTTCAACAAAGTATCGGCGTGCTTGGACAGAAGCTCAGGGGAACGAGTCGAGCCGTTCTTACAGATGGCGTTGCGGTTGACATAGTTGCGGCAAGCATTGTCGAGACTACGCACAAACTCGGACTCGCCGTTGAAAGCAGTCTGCACGAGATCTGAGTACTTGGTGTGAACTTCAAGCAGAGCATCCACGTAAGTCTTGGGGTCGACAGAGCTTTCTGTAGCAGAGGCGACCTTGTCGACAGCAGTGTTACCAGCCCTGAGGACGTGAGCCTCAAACTTGCTACGCAAAGGATCCAGACCGTCCGGAATGCGGGCCAGTAGCTTGTACATGCGAGTCATGTCTTCGACTCTGTCATTGTCGAGCAGAACCTGGAACTCGTCGCGCAGAATGGCACAGTGATCGGTAATCAGGGCCTTCTCGCAGGTCTTCATCAAGGGAGTCATGATCTCGTTGAGCAGATATAGAGGGACGCGCTCTTTCTCTTCCTCAAGACGTTGTTCAGCCTTCTTCATGTATTCGACAACGGTGTTCTCGGCGAGGAACTGGCGGGACTCTTGGGCGTAGTACTTCTCGGTGGCGTCAAGGTAGGGCTTCTCGAAGTAGATGCGATACACATCGAGGGTCGACTTTGTGCTGTCCTGCTCGTCAATGCCCAACGAGACGAACGAATCAACGACGCTTTTGATCTGGCTTTGCTCGATGGTCTCGCCGTTGCGCTGCTTCTCGACCAGGTGCAAGACGGCGTCCATGACGGCGTTCTGGGTGGTGCCGAACATGTCTTCCTTCCATCTGACCAAGTGCAAGGTGTATATGTCGTAGATGTCCTTTTTGCCCTCATCGATCTCGCGCTTAACCCAATGTCTGTTGAGGTAACGGAAGAGATGGTTGTTGTAGGTGCCGGCGGTGGTGTACCTGTTCCACTCCTTAATGTAGAAGGTCAGGAGAGCTTCGTCTGAGTGCTTGACCATCTCTGCATGGACACTAGCCAGGTGAGTTTTGAGGTAGTCATTTAGGCGTTTGTAAAGATCTTCTCCAAGTAGGTGTGCTGTGTCTGAGTTAGCTTGCTGGATCGTATAGGCAGCTAGGGTGGTGTTTGGACTGACCTCCACGATGCGTGGCGTTGAGGTTTGTGGATTGGCCGACGGCCTTCTGAGCTGTGCAAAAGTTGTGGATGGCCGTGTACAGACTCATGTATGTCTTGAGATCGATGCCATCACGCAGGTGGTTCATGATCTTCTCGACACCTATGGCAAGGAAGTCCCATGTTCCCTGGATGTCGTCCTTGCCTGGCAGAACGGGCATAGCAGTGGCATTCTTTGCCATGATTGCGGTATGGCGGGTTTGAGCACGCGGGCGATTGTGAAGATGCGCGTCTTGAAATGAGACTGTGTTGAGGGAAAGTGGCGACGAGGAAGGATGGATGTGTTGATATTCAAGACCCAGGTGACGGGCTCACGATACCAAGCCTGAAGTGATTGTCGTAAGGTGGTAGGTGATGGAGGGGTCGAAGTGAACGCGGAATTGCCAGGCCGATGTCCAGGGCCGTATGTCATAGCGACACCGAGCGATTGCTGCTGCCTCGGATGTAGCCGAGACCTGGAGGAAACGCCGTGGCTGCCTGATGAGCCAGGAAGCGCGTTTCACTTCCAACCGGTGTGACAACTTACAAGTGAAAGATTTAATGAACGTCTCCTTCCATCTTGACCTGTGTAGTGGATTTCAGTAGGCCAAAAGGGGCGGTCGCTCTTCGCAAGCAACCTGGCACAGTAACCCACACTCCCCGAAGGACGCATGTTCGTTCGAATCGAATCGAATGATGCTGCGTACTGCACCAGATACCACCATACCGTCAAGTCGGCACTAAAGCATCAAGGAAGTATCAGATACTCAGACCTCACTCGCAGGTCCCCCTTCACCATACACCGGATCCTTCTCAAACCATCCCAACTTCTCAATCCCCTTAATCTTGCTTTCCTCTCCCTTTTTTCCATAACACATGTCCCAGCTCAATCCTCTCGGATACGATCCTACCATCTCGAAGCCTCCTTTGATGTCTTCCAACAACCTGTGAGCAACCCCTGCAGGCACAACAACAACATCACCTTGCTTGAGCGTTTCCTCTACACGGTCCGGGTTGTCTTCATGGCCGAAACATAGTTTGGCTTCTCCGTGGCAGATGGCGAGAACTTCGTGGGAGGTGCTGTGGAAGTGGGAGGTCGAGTACATCTGCAGTCAACGCTAGGTCAGAACGCCTGTGGTTTCTGTTTCTACGTAAGTGTGTAGGAGGGAGGGAGGGACTTACAGTGTATCTCCATGCGGGATCCACCACGCCCACCTTACTCAAGTGTTCTTCGATTTGGCTGGCACTCGTCTTTGCCTTGAATGCATTTCGATACAGTAGCAGAGGTTTGTTCTGGATGGATGTGTTTGGCGTCAAGCCATGTGCAGGGATGTGATGTTTGGCAACTTTGAGATCTTTGAGTGGGGTGAGGATGCTTGATGTGGTCATGACTGATTTTGCAAGCTTTTGGATCGTTGGTCTCATTGAAGAGTTGATACAGATGCTTTGCTTTGCTTGCTGTCACTGTTCCAATGTGAACCGCTGGGCGATTTGAGCATACGTCACTATTCGTTATCGTTAGGGTATCATCTTGTGGGGTGAGGCTCAACTTGTCACTTTGAGTGGCGCTCAAACAAGCGGTGCAAGCACAGAGACGAAACATAAAAAAGTCGGATAATCAATTGTGATTTCTTGCAATGAAATGAGAACGCTTGAATCCTATCCCCATATTCCCTTTGCAACACTGGTTCCCGCCCAATTGACCAAAAGCCCTCTTTACCCTACCACCTATCCTTTGTGTTAGAGAGGAGGGGGAATACATATATAAGACACCATTCCACCCAAAGAAAAATCGCTAAAACTCCACAAAAGATATAAGAATGTCAAAGAAGGGGAAGAAGTCACGAGTATTTGGCTATCTAGTTGCCATCATTTCGAGACTCGCTCGCTTGTACGTCTCCAACCGCAGCTTCATAAGAAGGAATGGGTGGGTCGTGAGGTAGTAGATACGAACGCTCCGAATGCAGACTCTGCCTCGGTGTCGAGAACTGGTTCTCCTCATCGGGGCTTTCGTACTCTGGCGGAGGAGCATCCGAGTGCGAGGGCATGGTGAGGGGGTCTTCTTCAGACACGTGACCAGCTGCTGTGTAGCTCGTACCTTCACCTATATCTTCCCGTGACTCGTTGAGACTAAGCTGAGCAAGTGAAATTTCGGTGGGTGATCGTCGAGGGCCGGGGCTGGTTGCAGGTCTCCCGAGGCGGACGGAGGCGCTATGTGTGCGACCATGAATATATGCTTGGCCCTCACGAACACCTTCCCTACCGCCTTCGAGTAGGATGCTGCCTTGTTCGCTACCATATGGCGGTGGTGGTGCAAGACTGCCAGTCATGGGAGCAAGACCCCACTTTTTAACATTGGCCTCGATGAAGACGAAGCCCATCTGGCCAAAATTGACTTGGATGTTGCAGGGGCCGTTGGCGCCGACGGTCGGAAAGAGATTTTGTGATTTGAGACCATGAGCGATATCTTCCAGCTTTTTTCCGTTGCGGGTGAAGAAGACGGTTCCAGTACGAGGTCTGTAGCCGACTCCGACAACATCTCCCTGCTCGTATGAAGGTGCATAGTTGGTGCCGGAGAAAGGCTGGTTGTATCTCCGTTGGCCAGAGGAAGTGTAAGCTACCGAGTACTTGTGCATACCTGTGCGAATTAGCGAAGGATTCAGAGTAGGTAGAGTATTCGCGGCATACCAGGGAGTCGGAAAAGCGGGTAGGGTTTTGTGGTCATGCCAATGCTTATCAGAGTGTTGTCAGGCTTGTCGAAGATTTTTGCTTCCCAGTAGTAGACCTCGTTCTGTTTGGGCACAGGCAGATTGCTCTGGACGCTGCACTCGGCATCGAAGAACTCGATCTCGGTACGACCCTCGACAAAGCAGTTTGCGATTTCTAGTTCCGGCTCAAACTCCCAAGCTTGTACACCCTTCTCTTGAATTGCCAGGAATTGCGAAAGCGAAATGTCGGTTTGTACTGACTCCGGAGGATTGGCCGTGACGTAAGCTATAAGAAAGGAGGTTAGTGATGGTTGTAGGAGAGTGGGTATGCGGTTGTTCACCCTTGGCGCGGAGGTACTCGGCACGCTGCAGGTCATCCATGTCCTCCAAAGCATCCTCCTCTTCACGCAAGAAAGCTTGCTCGTCGTCGTATTCTCCAGGTCTACCGATACTGTCGAGGAAAATGCGTCCGCGATTGGTGTAGCGGAAGAAGTAGATGAATGCCAGAATGATGGCGACAAAGGCGGCGGATCCAAAGGCCGACAGCATGCCGATGAGGATGCCTTTGCCCGTCGAACTCAGCCCCATGCCATTCGCGTGTGCATTCTCTGATTTCCAGGAGATTGTGCTGTAGTGGGAGCCGACGGTCCATGGCTTGCCGTCGACCATGATGGCACGCGTCGAGGCGGGTTGGAGATATGACGTCGACATTGTTCGCGGAATAGACGGATTGGGGGATGCCATGTTGTGTGGTGACTATCGCCGCACTCGCGCTGTGGCGATGGGCCTGGTTGAAAGTCTGTGCAAGGAGTTGAACTCTTGGAGGCCTCGTAGCGGAGAGGCGGCGAGCGGTACAAGTCCGAGTGGGGAAGAGACGGTTGGAGGTCAAGCCTATACAAGAGCAATAATTCCGCTATGCCCAAGATCAAATATCGCAAACAAAAGTCCCGTGTGCCTTGGAGATGTGTGATAGCTGGGGTTCGAGGTAATTAGAATCAAGAAGTTGGTTTCACCTGCAACATGGAGGGCATGTGTAATGTCGTCGACGGTTCAGCTTGGCACGCTCCTACGACGACTTGATCTAGACCTTGTTTGGCCTGCAACCACAATCCGAACCTTCTCCCCTTTCCCATCCCTGATTTATAACACTTCTCGGATTAAGACAGTCAAGGGGCTCTATGTGTCTGTTCATGCACATCGTGTCTACGCACACTCCAAAGCCTTCTCCCGCATGCGCATTCCCGACACTTCCGATGCTAAGACGTATTGTGCGTTTCCTCCAGCTTGCACATTGCTTAAAACTGTCGTAGGTTTCGGCAGATTGTGGTAATCGGAAAGCTGCCCACGAACCATGACATCTTCCAAGGCCTGTCTTGCTTGTTTGAGCACATTCAGCTAAGTAAAGACAAACCACTGCAGTGCAGTTTCGACCGGTTGGTAGCATACCTGTCGCATTGCATGGGGAACCACGGTGGCTATCCTCTAACCGATATGATCGCAACGGCTGGGGCTCTCGCTGAACCATGATCTCATGAAATGGAACAAATCATCTAAAAAGAGAAGAGGAAGAATGTATGACTAAAGAAGGCCTACCTATATAACTATCTAAAACTGGAAAGGGGAAATCAAATCTTGTCTTTTGAAGCATTATTCGTCTCCCTCGTAGAGCATCGCTTCCCAAAAAGTCCTCAGACGACGACGATAAGATCCACAAAACGCCATTTGGTCAGTCATGCTGTGTTGAATGAGTAGGAGCAAGAAAGACAGAAAGAAGGATCAAAAAAGAAAAAGAGAGAGAAAAGAGGCTGCCGGCTAGCCCGTGCAGATGCTACGCTACGCTAAAGTACGCTCAAAATCATCAAATAAGCCAAATACCACTTTTCGGTGTGCGTTTCGTATCATGCCGCCGTCATCCATGCGTTGCTATAGGTATAAATACGGAAGTTTCGTTGTTCATTTACAGCCTGTAGTTTTGTCTGAGCTCGTACTGCTGGTCTTGGGGCAGGTGGCTGATGAAGCCATCAAAGTCGGGAATCATGTTCTTGTATGCCTGGAGAGCCTGGACCAGTTGTTAGCGTCAAAGTCTTGCAGTCGCGGTCCATACTTTACGTACCTTGTGGAATCCTTCAAATGGTCTCTCATTTTGTGATACTGGCACCTTGCGCGAGTCGGCCGGTACACTTGCGATTGCTGCGAAGAAAGCAAGCAAACATTGCTCGAGTGCCTGCGGGTTGTCCAGTACTATCTGAACGAAACCTCTGAATGCATCCAACTTCTCGTCGGTCCAATCGACAGTTTGCATAACAGTCAGGAAGGCAGGAGCGAATTGGGCAAGATGGGGCGCGATTTTCTGGTCGTTACCCAGACCCATGCGGCCCAGTGCGATTGCCGCGTTCTGGTTCAAAGATTCAGGAACCTGCTGGCTGAAGAGGATCATACCAAGTTTCTGCAACAAATCTTCGACATAGGGGTCCATGCCGGCTTGGTGACGCATTGCGATCTCTCCGACAGACCAGCAGGCGTTGTTGATCACTCTGAATGCAGTCTCCTTGAGCATCGGGTCGGTATCACGGATAGCCTCGGCCAGATCGAGCTGCATGCTAAGAATACGCATGATAGAATCCAAGTAAGGCTGCATCTGAGCAAAGACGTAGATGGCGCAATCACCGAGCAAAGCATATGCGGATTGCTTGACATCGTTGTTACTGTCCCTCATGCAATATGCGAGCAGTTCGAAGAAGTTGGGGTTGGCAGTTGCGATGAGCTCACTGGCTCTAGCCTCGTCAAGTGCCTGGATGATGGCACTGAGAAGATCCAAGCTGGTGACTAGGAAATCCTTGTCAGGTGTGTCCATGTACGCTTGAGAAGCTGCGAGGTTGCCTTCCTCCAGGTTGTCCTGGATGATCTTGATGCAACGCGAAAAGAAGGGTTTGGCGTAAGGAGCGAAGGCCTCACCGAGGGCAGTGGCAATGTATGCTAGGCACTCTAACAGAGGGAACATCTCCCGTGACTTGTCAGAAACTGCGGTCCATCGTTGGATGAGTGCAGGCATAAGTAGATCAACAATGGCTGGCTGAGCCATGTCAGGACCCACATGCTCTGCCAGAGTCTGAACACAGTCATACAGAATGTACATGTTCTTGTCTTTGTACTTGCCGAAGCACCTCACGAATTGCTGCGCGATGATAACACAGTAGGGGGTAATCTCGGTGGTCGCCTGGTCTTCCAGGTTGGCGAACGCAGAAGCTGCAGCTTCCTGTACCCGCTTGTTGTTGTCCAACATACGGAACAAGATGCCCTCCATCATGGGCTCGAAGAACTGGCGCTTGCCGGCTTCGTCCAGGTGAGACGCCCAGGACGAGTAACGGCCGAGTGCCCAACAGGTGATTTGTCTCACGACGGGTTGCGAGTCTGTGAGAAGAGAGATCAAGAAAGGAACCAGGTCAGGAAGACTTGGCTGAACGGTCTCCATGCAGCCAACGGAGATAGCACCCAGGGCAAGCACAGCAGCTTCTCTGTTGGGCCATTCTGCGTGATTGAGGTTGTTCTTCAGATATGGCAAGGTGAACTCAAAGACGCGCTCGTGGAAACGCGTGGCAAATGTATCCAGGGCGGCAGCAGAGCATTTTCTCAGGTTCCACATCTCTTCTGGATCCTCTCCGTAGTCCTCGTCTTCCAGCTCACCGTCGCTGAGTTCGTCGTCGTCGTAAGCGTAACCGTTGCCGTTTGCGAAATCTTCGGGCTTCACAGCAATTCCCTTCTCCTTTGCGCTGGCGAACTGGGGCTTGATGTCCTCTTCCTTGTCTTCCTTTTCGGCGTCTTCTTCTGCTTCTGCTTCCAGCTTTGCTTGATCATCTTGGCTGTAGATCATGCTCTCCAGAAGAACGGGTACAATCTGCTCGAGATGTCTGTTGAATTCGTCTTGTAGCTCCTCAATCTCACAGTTTTCGAAGAAGAACTCGGCAGCATCCAGGGCCAGATCAGACTCGGGATCGCTCTTTTGCTGAACCAGGACGTAGTCGATGATGCCATTGAGATGCGGCATAACCAGTGCGGGGGTGCTGCTGGCCAGTTTGGTGAAGGAGCGACAGATGAATCTTCGGACTTCCTCATCCTGATCATTCTGAGCCAGTGTGAAGAGTTGGACGAGGAACTTTTCGACATTATCCTGCATAGCTTGAGGCATTGGGTCGTCGACGAAGAAGTTCAGCGTGCCCAGCGCTTTTGAGCGAACTTGCGATGTGGGGCTGGTGGTGAACTCGATGAGCTTGGGGATCAAGAAATCCAGAGGGCGTTGTCCGTCGTATACTCGGTTGAGAGCCTTCTTGTGGTCCTCGCAGATTTTGAGCAGAGCGCCCATGGCACCGTCTTGAATGTGCGATGCGATGTCGCCATTGCGATTCTCGATCAAGGAGATCAATTCAGAAAGGACCTGGGGCCATCCCAGGATGCCGCCCTGGCGTACCATTTCAGTAACGACGTTACCGGCGTAGCTTCTGATGCGCTTGTCCTGATCCTGCAGGCCTTGGAGGATGGTTGAACGAAGATAGTCCTTGTTCAGCTCGGCCATGGTCTTGTAGGATGTCTTTACGTTGTTCTTGAGCATGACTGCAGCGGCACTCCTGGCGACAAAGTAGTCATCGTTGGACATAGCGGTGGGGGCTTCGGGACTGATGCACAGGTAGGCGAGGTAGTTGTTGATGTCGGGATTGGCGCCGGCATTTTTGAGGGCCTGAAGGGTTATGGTCAGCTCTGGTAGATGGCGCGGCGAGCGGGTAGCAGCCCACCAGCTCAGCATTCTTTTGCGCAGTCTTGTCGCGAGGGTTCAGCGACTCCTTGAGGAACTGCGCCAGCTGGCCCAGAGGCTCAGGCTGCGGACTCCAGGACATGATGTCGGGATGTGGACGTTGATGACACTACCAGAATAGGAAGTCGGAGAAGGGAGCGCTTCAGAGGCACCAGGTCAGCACGCACAACGAACAAGATTCATGTAGAAGCCTCGAGCATACCTGAGGAGTAAGAGGAGGAGAAGGAGGAGGAAAAAAAGTCGGTCGTGTAACTGACAAAGTTCCCGTGTGGAGAGGATGTGGAAGCAAGCAGCCAGGGGATGCGCACAGCAGCTTCGGCACAATGCTTGACGACCTGCTATTCAAGCGGCTTGCGACAATGGCAATCTCTGCTTGATATCTCGGTCTATTGTCGTGTTTGCAAAAAGTTCTGCTTTGCCTGGCGGATGTGACAGCAGCAGTCCTTGGCCGTATCAAAATCGTCACGGTCAGTGCTCGCTCGCCCCGCCATTTCAGAATCTACGACGTGCCTGCACTCAAGAGACAAGCACAATTCAGTGCAGAATCATAGGTACCTAACCATCATGTGTGTTCAAGTGTAGCACGTAGCAGCGGTCAATTTCACATGGGTACAATTGTTCAACCCCGGCAAACGTCTTTGCCTTTCGACGTGTGCACCATCACTCACTTGTGCTCGTGCTGGTTCAATGGACAGCAGTGAAACAGCCTGCATGACTACCTTCTAAGCTGAAGTGCACCTCCAGATAAATTCTCTTGGTGAATGGTGCCTCGTCTGAGAAATGTTGCACATTCTTATGACTGATTGTACTATTCTATGGTACACGAGAGAGATTTACCTATCCTGCCACGCTTTTCCGGCGTTCTACGGTAAAGAGTACTTCCGCGTCGGTCGAAATGGTGACCTGGTCCTCGACAATGTGGTTGCTGGTGCTAACCTGTCCACCCATCTGCGTGTGCCAGTCCTGGACATCCCACTCCAGTCCATTCGTTGATATATGCGCGGGTCCGAATATAGGCAAGACACCGATGTTTGGTGTGATAACCTTCTCGGCCAGTGGGGTATGGATGGTCGTCGTTCCAGGTGCGAGAGTGAAGGAGATGCTCGATTCGGAAAACAACCAAAACCGAATATTTGGATGCTGTTCCGAATGTTGCTCCCGATGCATCTCTGATAACAGGCCAATGCCCTGGTCAAGACGTCCTGCAATGGTGCCCAGGACAAGAAAGTTTCTCTGCCAGGGTTGCTCTCTCAGCACTTGTTTTATGGCCTTGCCAAAATCTGTGCTGTACTGGTCCGGATCTTCTGTGACGTCTACGTTGCATCCCTTGTAGTAGTCTTTGACATCTCTCCGGAGAGAATCGAGATCACCATGGATAATATTGGGTAGCTGGGCACATTCATCACGGATCAGATGGCACTGGAAGAAGATGCGAGTCGGCTTACGTATTGATCGAGCTGGGACGGATCGTTGTGGTTGAAAAGGTCGTAAAGTTGATTGGCACCACCATCCGCGCAAAGTCGATAGCTGGTATGACTCCACAAACGACTTAGTATCCTTGTGTCTGCTATGGGCTGGTTCAATATAATCAGAGCAGGCTTGGATTGTCCTTCGCCAAGATGCGTCAACTCGTTGCCAGATTTGATGAAGTCAGCAGGGTACACGTCGGCATGCTTGTTAGCCATGTTGCTGTCCGAGAAGGATTATCCAAAGGTCGCACGACTTACGTACGACTGTGCGATGACAAGCAGACGATAAGTTGCTCTCGCGTGTGGCTAGAGCACTATGCACCAGCCACAATGTGGCGCACGACCCGGACTTTTGGTTGGTAATGCTTCCATCATCTTCGTTGCGATAGCCATCACGCTCCGCTGCTTCCCTTCCCTTTGTCTACGGCCTTTCCTGGATTCAATACACTCGCAATGTTTCGCCCGATAGTCAGACGCGCCGCCGTGCAGGCCTCGCGCAGCAGCGCTCCATCGCGGAGATTTCTCAGCACCGCACCTCCACACGCAAAGTCACGAAGCTGGAAGAACTCGGCTGTGAGATGGACATTGGCTGGTGCTTTGGTCTACTACTACAACACGAGCAATGTCTTCGCCGAGGAGCAATCTTGTAAGCACATCTTGTGCGGAATGGCGCCATTACTGGAACTAACACCGTCCAGATGTCAGACATGCGCCACCGGAGACACAGATTGAGTCCGAGACTCTTCCCACCCTCGATGCAGTGACGGCGAAACGTCACGCTCTTCAGGCCCAAGTCAAGGCCGACGCAGAGAACGACGCACGAAAGGTTGCTGCCACCGCAACCGACGCCGTACACAAGGTCCGCGAGGCTACCACGAACGCTCCCGTACCAGAGCCTGAAGACGGTGCTCCCGCCGGATCGCCGCAGGATCTGGAAGAGGAGGCCGGTCAACAGGGTGCTTTCAACGAGGAAACGGGCGAGATCAATTGGGACTGTCCATGCCTCGGCGGTATGGCTCACGGACCTTGTGGCGAGCAGTTCAGAGAGGCTTTCAGCTGCTTTGTCTTCTCCAAGGAGGAGCCCAAGGGTATGGACTGCATCGAAAAGTTCAAGTAGGTCGACAATTGGGAGGAGTGTATGAAGTGGGGCTAACATGATTGCGTAGGGACATGCAGAACTGCTTCCGCGAGCACCCCGACGTCTACGGTGCAGAGCTCGAGGATGATGTCGAGGCTGAGGCAAGAGAGCAAGACGGTGGTAGCCGAGCTGGTCAGCCTGAGCAGTCTCAACAACCCAAGCAGCCCAAGGCCAACCCTGAAGCTGAGAAGGTTGCCGACAGCGGACCCGATAGTCAGAAGGCTATCCAAGGAAAGAGAGAGCGTTCCAACGCTGCAACCGAGCAAGTCAACCGCGACCATGGTATCATGAGCGAGTCTGACAGCCTCGTGCCCAAGGCCGCACACGATGCAACCGGACAGCAAAGCAAGGGCGACAAATAGGCCGGTTCGGCACGCATATACTGTACATTACGCATCTGGCCCTGTAACCCTACGAACCAAGGCACACTTAGAAGCCTGAAAAAGCGAATTTATCACCACTTTTAGAATGTAATAGACGGCTATGAATATTCTGCTAATATCCAACGTTGTATTGATTGAGTCAAAGTCCAAGCAGCAAACGCATGGGCGACGACGAGCATTGACGTAACGTGCCAAGCAAGCTCAAGCCTCTGCAGTAACAAGTCCATCACCAGTGTCGTGGGAGTTTAGGTAGGATTAGCAAAACCAATCACGATGAGTCTCGAGTTCCTCCAGCGACCGAACAGTGACGACGGTGCAGCTCCTGTTCCTGTTGCAGAACCCCAAGTCAACACCACAACCGCTCCCATCCCCGTCGCTGCATCCGCTCCCGCTGCTTCTGTCCAAGAACCAGTAACCACCCAAGAACCCAGCCCTTCTCAAGAACCCGACGTCGCTACCGAAGAGCCCGCACCCGCACCTCCCGCTACCATGTCTTACGCATCTGTCGCCGCCAGTGGGCCCCAGCAGTCCGAGGAAGAGGTATGTTGTCACGTTCTGATATGCTTATCTTGATCGCCGACTAATTACCTCACAGAAGTACATCTTGGTCAATCACGCGCCAATAGCCAGTCAACACTAACAAACACTCAGGCGCGCACACGCCGTTCCCGAGATCGAGCACACCGACGACGAGGTCCATGAGCTCATCGACGTTGACAGCCCTCACATTTCATCCGTCCCCTCCGACTTCCAGTCGCAAGAAGTCCAGACCGAGACCCAGGCCGAGCGCGAACGTCTTGAGTCCGAGGCCCGCGAGAAGGCGCAACAGGCCAAACAGCAGGCTGAGGAGGCCAAGGAGAAGGCCGAGGAGCTCAAGGAGAAGGCCAAGCAGAAGGCACAAAAGGCCACAGAGAAGGCTAAGGCCAACAGCGACAACCCTGTCGTCCTTGGTAACACCGTCGCTGTTGTCGCTCTTGGTGGTCTTCTCGGGTTCGGCGCCTACAGAAAGTACACCGCCGGCGAGCTCACCTGGAAGGTTGCAGGAGCCTGGGCCGGTGTTGTCGGTGTCTTTGCCCTCGGCGACTACTACGCCAGCAAGTGAGTGCAGACTCCCAACTCCTCATCTGCGTTTACGACAGCACGAGAACAGACGCTCCTAGAGCGTTCTAAGTGCAGACATTCGATCGCATAGGGAACAACGCCGACTTGTGACACAAATGCTGACTTGTGCTCTTTAGATTCCTTTTCAAGAAGTACCCTCCCAAGAACTAAAAAGGCTGCCACGACGTCCCATTCTTGTACTACAAGCGTCTCCTCTCGGTTCAATTTAATCCGTCTTTCTGCTTTGGATACTCTGCTGCGTTATGCTGGTCAAATGAATGCTCAGGCGCTGGAGGCTTGGATGTGTGTATCATAAACGAACTTTCATTCTATACTCGAATTCTTTCCTTCTTGCTCAGCAGTACGTCCAATGTGAAGCTATTCGCTCGCCTTCTCGGCAGACGATGGTGGGGTTTGGTGTTCCGTTTCCCTACGTACTGTTTGTATCGTCCTGAGATTTCAAAGAAATCGGAAGTCCTGCATAGGATTGAGGATATGAAGCATGCTAGGTATGTCTATTGACCACGTGCACAGACACGAGGATAGAACGCGTGGCTTAGACTGAGAGAAATCGGGATGATATCCCGGACCGAGGCGAACAGACTTGACTGTTGTGTCGTCGAACTTACCCGGGTTGTCTTGACTGAGGCTTGCGGTCAGCTGTCTGCTGTCAATGCAGAATGTCACAAGCATCCTTGGATGGTCAATCGTGACAAAGGAACAAAGAAGTCGTCGGCTCTCCACAAAAAACAAGGTCTCGGCTTCGGGAACCCCGGGATTCCATCAAGGCCGGCCGTCTTTCACATGTCAACAAGATTAAACCTCCATGTCAAATAACGAATTCCTAACAGCACTAGGCGCGAGCATGACGGCCCTGTCACATGCCATCTCGAGCCGATCTACATTGTGCTCGGTTGCGTCTAAACTGCTCCTCGTTGCGGTCGTTGTCACGAAGACTTGATTTTGACCTTGTGGTTCTCCCTTTGTCCAAGCCAGCGGCTGTCTGTCCTTCTTGTCCTACTGATGTTAGGTTCTCCTTGACACTGGACTCTCCTTTGGTGGCTTACCTCTGTTCTCTTTCTTCTTTGCATGTCCGTTGAACTCTTTGCATCATGATAGGTAAGTCATGCCTTGTTCGGATGCTGTCCACTGTAGCTGAGTAGTCCTTGTACAGACCATGTCTTGGGCAGGCCATCGGTCAGATTTCGCAAATACCAAGTCTTTGCTGTCGTTTCATTCTGGTCCTACTATCTCTACAAGTATGTCACTGGTCTGCTGCCCAAAGGTCTATCGCTGACAGTCAACAAAACAGAGGCAACCCGCATGGCCCGCCGTACCTTCGTCGAATATCCAAACTCCTATCCTCGCGCTTGACGGCCTGGCACACTGTTGTTCTGACCCTGATATATCTTTACATCACACGAAACTTCAGTAAGCTCGTAGGCCTCGAGTGCCCAGAACCACTTGCCAACCTCTACACAAGATCGTACTTCCGAGCAACATGGGTTACAACAGCGCTGGACGCAGGCTTCTGGACCGCCATGAATCTACGTCCTGTATGGCTTAAAGACCTAGCGAGTCTTGTCTTCTCAGTCTATTACCTTATCTGTGCCGAACAAGCAGACGAGAAGGTGCGGAAGATAAGAGCTGGCTTGACATTAGAGCACCTGAGGGTCAGCTGGAACAAACCCAACACACCATACATCAACTTCTTTGGCAAGCTGATGCGTCCGAAGTTGATGCGTTACCCACCACGTGCCATCCGCATACCCAGACCCAGACAAAGCAGCTACGACGAACCTATCCAAGCTTGGTTATACTTCGACGGCCCCATCAGCGATCTGAAGAATCATGACAAGATTGTGCTCGATATTCCCGGCGGTGGATTCGTTGCAATGGATCCTAGAGCGCATGACGACAAGTTGCTGGCCTGGGGAGCAAGAACAGGCTTGCCCGTCCTGGCGTTGGACTACAAGAAAGCTCCCGAACACCCCTACCCATATGCTCTGAATGAGTGCTACGACACCTACCACACTCTGGTTGCAACCAAAGGACAATGTATCGGTCTCTCTGGGGAGACTATGCCAAAGATTGTCGTCAGTGGAGACAGTGCTGGTGGAAACCTGGCTGTCGGTCTGATCCTCATGATCCTACAATCCGGAAGCACAGCTGCTCGACGTTGGCAAGGCGAAACATCACTCCCTGTACCTGAGGGTGCAGTCCTAATCTACCCAGCTCTCGACATGAACATTGGCAATTGGATGACAGACGAACAAATGTCTCTGATCAAGGATCGCAAAATGCGAAAGACCAACAGAGGCGTTCTGAGCAGAAAGAGTGATGATTACAGAAAACTAACTCCCAACACCCCACATGGATCCGAGGATGAAGAGGATGACACCAGTCCTCCAAAGACGCAACGTACGAATACCGCAGTGCAGCAGTTGACTGACAAACCTATTGTCGCTTCGCCCGCAGAGCCTCACACCAGCGCTGCTCATACCATCGACGCCACATCTACTACACCTGTTCCTCAGATGCTACGTACCCGTCTTGCCATGTCTTCTATGATCTCCTACTTCAACGACCGTGTCTTGACACCTGAAATGATGCGAGCTATGATCATCTTGTACATTGGGCCCCACTCACGCCCAGACTTCTCAACGGACTATCTTCTTTCACCACTACTCGCACCCGAAGCACTTCTCACCCGTTTCCCAAAGACCTACATGATGACCGGCGAACGTGATCCTCTGGTCGACGACACCGTCATCTTCGCAGGCCGGCTGAAGCAAGCCAAACTGGCTCATTGGAACAGCCGCAAGGAATTAGGGTTGGTGCGCGAGCGTGACGTGTTCGTTGACACAGATCACGTCAACGTAGTCCTCATCCCCGGCATTTCTCACGGCTTCCTGCAGTTCGCGGGTATATTCCCAGCAGGCTGGAAATACATTTCACGGTGCTCACGCTGGATGGCTGATTTGTTCCGTGAAGCCGACATGCGCGCCGAGCTGGAGGAGGAATGCGAAGAAACAGACCACTTTGGCAATGAAGCTGGCTTGGGTATGAAGAAAAGCAATGGCATCAGACACCATCGCCGTATGCCTACTGAGTCTTCCGGTGATGAAGACAGGCCACTCGAGATGAGTACACTGAATGGCGGCGCCCGGACGAGCCCGAAGAAGAAAGGAAGTCCGAGGGGTGGTGGCAGAGCTGTCCGAGGAGCCAGAAATGAGCGACCGAGGAACGAGAGGATGAAAAGTCTGGTCAGTTTGGCTAGTGAGGATGATCTTCTGGGCAGGAGAATGAAGGGCCTGACAGGCAATCTGATGGGTGATGGAGGCATGCCTCAAACTCCGTAGTCATCCATACTTCGCCCTATAACTTCATCGATCCAATGCTTGGATCTTGCTGAAGTTTAGAAATGATACAATTTGACAAAGACTCAAACGCGATCCTGTCACCGGCTCCCACGTAACGGGAAGCCTTCTGCCTCGCTACTAGCGCCCTTCCACCTCTCCATCTCCTTGTTTACGTCTGCGTATCTAGCTCAGACTCATGTCGATGTTTCGACTTGATAGAGGAAGAGGTGAGCCGCATGAGTGCCGCCCTGGTGAGGTACATCAGAACTTTACTGCGACTTAGCAGGCACTCGCCTCGGCTCGACCGGGGACAGCCCTACATGTGTACTTCACGCTCTAGACGCAGATGCTCGCTGACCACGAGCTGAGTGTGATACTATGAAAGTATGTATGAGGTGTGCGAAGGTTAGTCTTGTTGTCTCTGCTGTTACTACTCGATTCTCTGGATCCCGATAGCACTACTTCTCAGCCATGGACTCGAACGGTAAATCTCCTATCGAAGAACCATCTCAGTCGAAGGCGCATCTAGAGATCTCGAGCACCGAGCGACTGTGCTCGAGCAGGTCAACACAGAGGAACCCTTCAGTGGGACAGACGACTACTGGAAATGGGAAATTTTTAGGCGTGGTCGGATCCGCACTCGCCTTGGTGGGCATTATAGTCTTCGCCAACCATTTCGACAACGGTCCGACGCCTCGTGACGAGCAGAGGAGGCAGGTTGGAGAGCACGATATGACGGAGCAGGAGTTGGCGCAAAAGGCCAAAGCTTTGAAGTTGAGGTTGCAGCTTGATAATAATCAAGCAAGATTGGTCAAGTCAGAATAGACCAGTGTAGATAGTTGGAGATCCGAACAGATGCTGGATGGACCAGGGCTTAACAGACAAACAGATGGGAGTTGGACGTATTCCAGAATGTCCAGAGTTACAAACAGTCTACCCTGCAACCTCATCCATCCGACTTCATCAGCAGTTGCCTACCCAGATATCATGATGCATAAAATAGGTAATGTCCAGCATGCCAAGAGATGTCAGGGTTATCTCGATACCCTACGACATGTGACTTCTCCATTCTACTCCACCAATGGCAACCTTATTGTAAAGCTCCAAGCCACAACTGCAGCGATGTCCACATTGCTATCACTTCCGCCCGAGATATTCAACACGATCGTTGCAGAGGTGTCCGGGCGCGATGTAACGAGTATACGCCGTGTTTGCCGACGCACGAATGCACTATCAAGCCATCAATTCGGACTCAAATGTCTCGCAGATCTATCGTTCATCTGGTCTTCGTATAGTCTGCAAGGACTACTGAATCTCAGTAGGCATCCGTTGGGTCGATATGTCAAGCGTCTGACTCTTGCAACTCACTTTATCTATGCGGAACGACTCACCGAGGACCCCGTTGAGCAGCGGACAGCTAGATCGAAGAGTATATTCGAACAGTGGGAAGAGCGAAATCAACTACTGGTGCAAGCATTGAAGAATTTACACGCTTTGGGTGTACAGCCTATTCTGGGAGTTTACGACATCTCGGTCCCTTGGGTGTCTCTAGACGGCAGCAATAGCAATGACGATGACAAACATCCTAGGAAAGGGTATGGCTTCGAGAAACATTATGGCGCTGTTGGATCAGAAGCCTTGTATCCTTCTTTCGTTCACACAATCGAGTACGTTCTAAAAGCCGCACAACAAGCTAGTGCCCCCCTCAAAACCTTTTATGTGCATTGGACCGATCGCACACGGCATCAAAATGACGAGGTCCGTATCCTTCGAGACCGATATCTCTTTTCCCAAACCGGCGAAGACAACCCTGGCCTTAAGTTCATAGCCAGCATGACACCTTGTAGCACTGCCACTACTCACGGACCGGGCCTGACGAAAACAATCACCCTCGACACCCAACACCGAAAGCTCGAGCTCTACGCGGTACATGTGGCCGGTATCAGCTACCCACTACACTACCTTGACAGGGACTGGGGCTACCCTATCGCGACAGCGATACTTCCCCGCAACAATTTGGATGACTACTTTCACGAGATACGGCTATCGACGCTGGATGCGACCGTAAAGACGTTGACCAAGTTCCTGAAGAGTCAAGCGAGAAGCCTGCGCGTGCTTCATCTCGAAAAGATCGGTATGCCGCTCTACGATGAGCTTGGGGATCCTGAAAATGCGGGCCCTGATGAAACGGCTCTGAATTTTTTGTCGGTGCTCAGGAACGATCTGTCGCTAGAGTACCTCAGAATGACAAAGTTGAGCGAAGAGGTGGACAGAGCGAGGTTGATAGGTGGCCATGACGATACCTGGGTGGGGAGACACGAGATCCAGGATGGGTTGCAGATGTATATACAGAGAGAAGAGGACGACGAATACTCTGTTGACGAAGACGTGAGTGATGAGGACGAGGGCGAGTGGATATCGGTGCATCATTCAGAAGATGAAGATGGCGGCCAAGCTCATGATGGTGACCATGAAGCAACGACGCAACAGTCAGCCGCTGGAGAGGGCGAGGACCTTTGAAGCATAGAGACCCCTCGTGGGACCAGTCTTGCAGGAAAAGGGAAAGGTCAATGGTGAAAAGCAAACTCAATACAAATGGGTATCTCAAGCAACAACGAATGACAAAACGGACAACGACGACAACACCTCCAACCACACCTTCCTAATATTTCTACCTCCTCCGCTTGCTGGCTCTAGACTTTGCAGCAGGAGCAGCTTTCCTCTTGCCCTTCGCTTTCGAAGCTTTGGGTGCAGGAGTTCCACTAGCCATACTTTCCTGCTCGCTCTGCTCCTCCTCCTCACTGCCTTCCTCTTCCTCCTCTTCCGCCTCGTTGTCGTCATCAGGGTCAACGCTATCGGCCACACGACTCGACCTTCTAGGATTCGGAGGTGCTTGTTTTCCTTTTGCTTTTGCAGATGCCGCTGTTTTTGACTTTGCCGTCCGCGTGGTCGAAGGCGTCTGCCGTGCTTCGTCGACCGCAATCTCAAAACTGGGTGTAAAGCGTACGGGTGGACTGTCTGGTCTTGCAACCAACTCGTCATGTGATGGTGGTGAACTTTCCCGTTCTTCGTCGTCGTCAGAGTCTGGGAAACGTGCGCGCCAGACAAGACTACCAAAGTCTTCGTCCGGCAATCCAAATTCTGTGTCGTGTGTGTGTTCCGCTTCATCCTCATCGTCGCCCAACTCGTCTTTCTCATCGTCATCGTCGTCTTCGTCTTCAGAGGTGGACCAAGGCGCAGCATTGGAATCTTCGCGTTCGTCCAGCGCTTCCAGGTCGTAGAGATGGTGTAGTTTGGCCCAAATACCCGGGATCCTTGTATGCGGTGCTTTGGGGTGGATGTAGCCATTGCTCAGCAGATGTTGATATAGAGCAAGCAAGTGAAAGTGTTTGTGCATGCCAGTGGGTTTCCAGCGTATGAGGCCTTTGAACAGGCCAATCTCCTCGTCGTCGGTCCATGGATCTGCGACTAATGCGGCATTTGCGGCTTCCTCGTCGTCTTCCTCCTCTTCCTCAGGCTCTGCGGCTTGCTCGGAAGGTTTCGTCGAGGGTGTCTCTTCGGCGGGCTTCGGTCGTCGGCGCTGTTCTATCTCGACTGCGACGGTTTGGTTCCGAGACGGGGTCGGTGCCGGACTGGAGGTTTGTGATACACGTGCTTTTCTCTTTGGCGCCATGTTGGTCTTGTGGTCTGCGCCAAACAAGATTGAGGTGGATGGATAGAAACGGATAGGAATACGACTTGGTGATTCCCTCTACGAACGCTTGAACTGCGCGGCGGGCTGGCAACTTTTGGCGGGCCGTTCCTGGCCGGGCCCGGGGAGCTTAGGCCGCTTTGTCTGTCACAACCTGGTTTGACGCGCCTTGCTTTCTACCTCTTTGATTTCTCGGTCAACTTTCATAGCAGTCCACTACTCTTTTGTTGCTAATATATACGACGGTGTACAGAATAGAAGCGATGCGTTGATTGCCTTTACCCGGCCATATTGAACCATCCTTGAAGCAAACTACCACCTTCTCGCCTTGCAATGTGGTGTAAGTCTTATCATAGTCTCGATCATTTCAAGCTAGACTACGAAATACCAACTCCCCGATCAGTCTGAAGATCCATCCTCTTCCTCCCTCACCGAGGCTAGACGCCTCTACGCTCACAACGCACTCAGCATCACAGGCTCGCATCGATAAAATCAGGAAAGCGTGTTGAGTCAGTCTTTGAATCGATACAGCTGTGAGGCTATAGAAGCCAAGGATAGTCATCACTTTGCATACGAGTATCATCTTCGCTATTCGAATTTCAAGTTTAATAGCCACATATGCTCTCCCTTGCATCATTCCCCTTTTCAGGTCACCACCCACCTGGTTGTCTGCTAGTCCCAATAATCCAGTTTGTGGAAACCACTGATGCAAGGTGCTTAAGTGTATTCTGCACGGCAGGTGGTCCTAGTCTGGAAGGTAGTTCTGCTCGGTAAGTGTTAGGCTACATGTGGTGAACTTGACGGGACACATTGATAGTCGTTGGATCATATGTTGATGGTAAGATATCGTGAGTGTCATTATTTCTTGAATACCTTGCGGTCGCTATCTGGAAGAAGAAATTTGATGCTAGCATAAACGACACACTATTCGTGTATCTGCAGTACGCGACAAAGAGAGAAAACAGAGAAGCTATCAGAAAAGGAAGACTTCGACCAAGATATACGCCGGCCCCGTTCCTTGCGGAAGAAAATTGTAATCCCCATTCGCCAATTCCTATGTCCCAAGTGTTGTTGTAATACAGCCGTGAGGCATCGTGATGACGAATCCGATCTTTCAAAAAACACTCCGAGTGCAATTGCTTGCCGAAAAGATCTTCTTTTGTGAATCGATAAAACGAAAAACTCCTCGCTCGGCGCCAGATAAACCAGATGCTCAGTAAGATAAAAACCCAGACCATGGGCGAAATGTACGAAAGACTGTTGACAATAGAGAGATCCAGGCAGAAGCGTTTGTTGATACCTTTGCTGGTTTGGTTGAAGATGCTCCAGAGCTTAGTGATGTGTTTGCTGATATGTAGAAGCAGATAATAAGTGGATGCAAAAAGCGTCATACGCTACTGCAGTAGCACGTCGTCGGTCGATCGCGCAAAAGATCATTGTGACCCGAGTGGTCGGGAGGAAAGAAATTGCAGCCAAGCGAATTAGAGGCGATGGAGCTCATGGTGGGGAAGCATGCATGTCGGTGGATGCAGGCGATTGATCTGCATCCAGGGGAAAGTCGGCACGCCTTGTAGACAAGACTATTCCAATTCAAGTCAGTCCACTGAAAGATAGTGCGGTTCAAACATGGCCGAGATCGAGGCCATTGGTATGATGAAGGGAGTGCAACGTACCTGCTCGATGTATTTGACCGTATTTTTCTTCCGGCTCCTATGCTTTGCGGGTGCAGGGTTCGCATCTCTTGACCTTGCACTTGGTGCACTCATAGATGAACCAATGCGGGCCAGAGTGACAGAGGCTGCAGTTCCAGATGATGAGGGTTGTGTCTGATTTGATGACTCTGAAGCGGTGTTCGCAAGATCCGGAGATTGCCATTGTGCTGTATGTGTCTGGTTAGTCCAATTGATCAATGATGGGATAGCGGGGTAGCCTTACCTTGATGATAGTGAAAGACGGAAGACCTGGATATGTCGAAGTCGAAAAGTGTGAGATTGAACAAGCAGCTCTGGCCGGAGATGTTGAACGGAAGAAGCGAATGAAGTATGTCCGACAAGCAACGATGGTCGAGAGCAAGCACGAGTAATAGAAGAGGAAGGTGGGGAGGAAGGTGATGAGACGAGAGATGTCTTTTCAAGTGGTCGAAGCAAAAGATATATATAACAATCAAACCAAAACAATGCAGGCCAGATCTGCTACCAATGCAAGATACCCGGCAGCAGCAAGAGACAGAAGTAGAAGGGCAGAAGATCTTCGTTCTGACGAGGCGTTGGTGGATAAGCCAGAAAAAAAACGTTCGCGCCGCAAGCAAAGCTGAGACCTTCGTCCAGCCAGCATCCCACAGGAAATGATGGCGTCTGGAGTTGGGAATGAACGGCTAGCAGAGGAGGGGTGGATAAACCAAAGTGAAAGAGGCTCTTGCGCTATGCGCACTTGCTCGAACGGGTAGCCAGCCCACAACCGGAATGGGTTGAGGCGTGTGCAAATGTAGTGGAGAGAGCAGCAAGCCTATGTCGTACTGTTGCATGCGCCGCCATCCCGTTCCTTGGGCGTCGGGTCCTGTTGCTCTGCTCATGTCACGATCCATCTCGGACAGGGGTGCTGAGCTGAGATGGGAGTCTATTCGAAAGCCACGGCAAGGGGACCCGTGTAGTACCTGCCGCCATCATTCTTGGTCATCCTCCCTCGCTGCCGGCCGCCCATGGCGAATGCTACCGACTTCTCCAGACATTCAAACCAAGACAATCCATCCATGTCCACAGGAGCGGATGTGGTGATCAAACCCAGAACTAATTAACTGGAAGAATGTCGCATGGGTCGAGCATGCTCGAGCATGCAGAGAAGGGCCGGCAAATTCTACTGCAGAACGACGTCTTGTTCTGGCGCGTACCGCCTTTCGTGCTAATGCTAAGATACCTTGTCATCCTTCCCCACCGGCGGGGACTTGAATGGCGTAGCGGAATGGCCGTGCCGGACATGCATGAGATCTAGCAGGGAATGGTCGCAGCGTGCATCAGTCATCACACGTCTGCTTGGTCGGCCGGAGACTTTCTCCTTGCACAACGTCGTGGACTTTCCTCTTTCTGCATGGCACCTGGGATCCAAGGGAACACATAGATCTGCAAGCGGCGGGAAGATCTGTGAGACAAGATCTGTGGTATCAACTTCGCGGCAGAAATGCTTCGAAGAGTTTCTGAATTTCCCCTTTCGCAACTTCTGATACTCCCATACTTCAATTCTTCTTGGCCAGTACACTCATGTCTTTTGAGGCTGGCTGACACCATCATCTACATGAATTGGCCAAGTCTAACCATGGCCTGTAGCTGCATGTCTAGCACATCGGCAGAAAGCCTGGAAGAATGATGTCGTGCCGCTCGGAGATTCATGTGCGTGATCCGAAGAAGCGTCGTGCGTCAAGCCACGGCGCGCCAGTTCCCTCAAAGGCCCGGCAGGAAGACGCCAGCAGAGTGAGAGATGCCAGATGGTGGTGGAGATAGCGTTCCGGTCAAGGGTCTAAAGCCTACAAACATAGACCTGTCACTTTATTTCTTCCTGAATATACATTCCTGACAGACTCTCGATCGTGGGCTTTGAGCTTAGAAGATGATACATCCCCCTGCAAGCTCTAGCTTCGTTCGAGACATAGTATACAACATTGCTACTCTATGTCACTTTTTCGAGTCATCCATGTTCTTGCGCCAGGTGCGACCTGAACGGTATAGCATGCGACCTCTGTGTTGTGATATCTAGTTCCAGTCAACGAGCAGCCGTGATTGTAACACAAAGCAGCGGTATGCTATCACCCCTTTCCCACCAACCCGGTTGCAAGAGAGGTTTCTGTCATGCAGCCACACCTTATACAGATTCGTGCCACCGGAATATTTATCCTGCTGCTGCCCATCGACACCAAACCTGGTCGGTGGAATGCCAGGCATGCAGCCCGTCTCAATCTCGATTCGATCCGACGTGTCTGGTCTATGCCACAGTGTCGACTTCGTCGAGTATCTGCATACGCATACCTGTTCTCTCGCATCATGCTGCACTGCGTCGCACCGGATGAGCGAAGATGTGAATGCATGGAACCCCCTCGGGCTTGTGTGGATGCGGAACCAGATACCTAGATAGTTAGCCTGTCATTCCATAAACCAGTGGCTGCTCGTTGTCTGGTGTTGCAGCGGAACTTTCCTCCGTAGAACGATCAGAAAAGAGTTCTTACACGCCGTATGCACGCCAAAGAAGCGGTAGCATTCCACGAGATCCAAGTCCTCAGCGTAGTCTTGCGCAACATGAATGGACGCTTGCGCAACTCTTCATATTTGGGCGATTACTTTACCTATTCCAAACTCGGCCGAGTTTGAGTTGGAACTTCCATTTCTTCTCGAACGATGACTGACCCAAGGTACACAGGCGTGCGGATCTGTCAAGCCATCTCACAACCGCCTCAAACCCAGGACCGGATTCGACTACTGCAGGAACAGTCTGGGAGCGAGTGCCACTTCGTACCACCGAGTAGTGTTACGCCGGATGCGTCATGTGTTTATGGCGTACTAACAACTCTTCTCCAAGCAATACACTCTATGAGGCCGACAAACGAGGCGTGAGCATCTCAGATCCAGATAGTCACTTCGGGCCATTTCAGGAAAGGTAATTGAAGACGATAACAATGGAGTTAGGAATGGAAAATCAGGTATCGTTGTCTGTGCTAATCATGAACAAAGGTCAGTCTTTTCATCCTCCAACATCCTCCAGGCAGCTTGCTGACACAGCTGCGCAACAACATCGCTTTCTCTCGTCCCCTTCCTCTATCAACTTTTTGTTCTCGTCAGAGCATCATTATGTGCAGGGTTTGCTCAATCGTTATGCTGTGGTGTTGGAGCCCGGCCTCGAGACCAAGAGCACGTGAACTCCGAAGCGTCGATTCAGTCTCGATGGTAGACCACAAATGAACGACACGAGTAGTTTACTGAGTCTTCTTGGGAACACCCTGCTGCTGAGCACCACCGTAGCGGTTGATGTCAGTCAGGTCAGCGGCCTGCTTGATACCACTCTTGAGACCACCCCAGCCCTGTCTGATGGCAGGAGGCAGGTCCTGGCGGTTGGCAATAGCGTCACCGCGAGCGCCCAGCTGGTTGACGGCGGACTGCACGAAGGTGCTTTGGTGGAAGCGAGCCCTGAGGAAGACAGTGTAGATAACAAGCAGAATCCAAGAACCCTTCTGGAAGAGAAGACCAGAGAAGAACAGACGGAACCAGAGAGCGATCTCGAGAATAGCAACGAGGGTCATGGACGAATCGTAGTAGTTCTTAACGAAGTTGCCAATGGTCTCGGCGAGGCCAGACGACTTGGGCTTCTCGCCAGCAGCGACAGCGGGCTGGGGCTGGATGGTGGGCAGAAGGTTTGATCTGGTGTAAGTAGCAACGTGGAAGATGGAGTAGACGGCGAAAGGCAGAATGGCAAGGGGGATCTGGCGAGACCAGAGCCAGATCAGAGCCATGGCTAAACATGTCAGCATTGAGGGTCGAGGTCGTGCGCAGCTCGTTCAGAAACTTACCCAAGTATTGGACGTTCTCATCACCAATGATCTGGAAAGCACCGCCCTGGGCCTTGCCGGCACGAGCACGAGCGCGGAAGCTCTTAAAGACGACGATACCGTAGGTGGCAGCGGCGGCAATGAAAGCGGTGCGGTACGAGAAGATTGCCCACTTGGAGTTTGCGTGGAAGGTCAAGTACGAAAGAGCGTAGCGGACCGAAGACAGCAAGAGGGTGACATGGCCAGCGAACCATGCGAATTGCAGTGTCTGCACGAGCTGGAGCAAGCGCTCCTGGAGAGGGAGGGTTGCGGGAGGAGGGGGAGCCATTGTTGTAGGAGAGCTTGAGCAGATTGTGTCAGTATTGATGCTGAGGAAAGGAGTGCAAGAAGGAAGTGAAGGAGAGTGACAGCAGAATGACAGGTGTTGGCCCAGTGGGGTCGTCTGCTCCGCCGTGGCTGGCGCGCACAAACTCACGCGAGCTAGCAAGCTAGGGAATCGGGACGTCACTCACGCTGCTGGTGCACTTGTTGCAACTGGGGATGCTATCCTGTAATGGTCCTGAATGTGATAGGTGATGGCAGAGTGTAGAATAGACAGTTGGTAGTAAAGAGAAACAGACTGCGGTCTTGCTTATGGTTGAGAGAAGACACGAGGCAGGTGCGACCTTTCAATCAGGGAAGCTACGGTGACGTATACGCTAGTCATTCGTCTTCGCGTCCAAGCCACTGCACATGCGTCCCGAGTCGAGACCTGCCGTGCGTTGAATCATGAGGGCATTGTTCGAGGGGATGGCATGCTTTCTTGCCGACACTTTGTAATGATCCTCTCCAACTATTCTTTGTGCAGTCTGTGATGAAGACCGAACAGGGCGCACCGATGCGTCTCCATGCAAAGTGTATAGTCAAACCTCAAGCACAAGTCCGTCTGAAGAATAAATCCATGCTGTTTGTCTTTTTCTCGCTTTTTGTTGACTAAAGGTACATACTGAAAAGCAATCAAGTAAATTGACATGGGGGGAAACGCAACGGGAAACAAACAAAAAGCGCTGAGGTATCACAACTTTGGACCCAACTTGTGCAAAGGCAGTCCTGCCTACCCTTGCCTCGCTGCTCAGCAATTGATGTTGATGATGGGGATTAACCACAATAGTAATCTGGACCTCTTCCAAGTCCTCAATCCTTGACAACACCAAGCTTAGCCGCGGATCGAGAAGCCCTTTCTCTTGCCCTTCTCTTCGACCGGTCGGCCGGTCTCGATGCGACCCTTCTTCTCCTCGAGCTCGTTCTTCTGCTTGTCTAGCTGTTCCCTCATCTCGCGATGGCGGGCGTACAGCTCCTCCTCGCTCTGTTTGAGCTTGTGTTCCTTCTCTTGGACCTTCTGCTGGAAGACTTGCTTCATCTCGCGCTCCATCTTCTCCAGCTTTTGCTCGTGCAGCGAACGCTCCTCCTCCTGCTTGGCTGCAGGGTTGATCTCCTTGAACACAGAAGGGTCCTGCTGCATGCCCATCGACTCGAGCTTGTCGGAACGGTAGTTCTCGTAGAGCGTGTTGTTGGTGTGTTCCTTGAGCTCCTCCATATGTGTTCGGATGAGCATCTGGCGGAGTTTGGCAAAGTCGCAGTGATCCTCGTTGTCGACCTCGATGATACCCCAAGGGTACTTGCGGCCACGCACCTTGCGACCCTCGGGAGTGCTGACCTCGGCGTTGGCACCAACAACGGCGAAGGGAACCTTTGACATGATCTCCTGGTTCTCGGCAATGGTCTCTTCGTCGTCCAGCTCGTAGCGAGGGCCCTCGAAGATCTGAATGCCCTGGTGTTTGATATCTGAGAGAATCTGTTGTTCGTGTCAGAACCTCATCTTGCACAACTGTGGTATCGATCAACTTACTCTTGCCTTGAAGGAGACGACCTCCTCATCTGTGAGCGTGTCGGCCTTGGCAATGACGGGAATCAGGTTGACCTTGGTGTGCAGCCTGCGCATGACCTCGATGTCGAGAGGCTTAAGCGAGTGACCGGTAGGCTGGATGAAGTACACACAGGCATGGATGCGGTTGTCGACAATGTTCATGCGGTTGACCTTGTTCTCGGCATCGAGATAGGCATCGAAGCGCTGCTCGATGTTCTCGACGATAGGGCGCCAGGACTCGTTGTTGTTGACAAAGTCACCAAAGCCAGGAGTATCAATGACGTTCAGTCTCAAACGTACACCGTTCTCCTCAATGTCTGCACTGATGGATTGGATGGCAACAGTGGTGGGTGCGAAGTCGAGGCTGGGTTGTTTCTGCTCCTTGGGTGGGTAAAGGGAAGTGTTGAACAATGTGTTGACGAGAGTCGACTTTCCAAGACCAGATTCACCTGAATGCCGTAATCAGAAGCTGCGCGTGTGCACGAATACACTGATGGTAGACTTACCGACGACCATGACGTTGAAGCTGAATCCTTTTCTAACACTCTTGCGGTGCCATTGGTTTGGCAGGTTGGCGAATCCGACGAAACCGGTCAACTTCCTGCGCACGATGTTCTTCATGTCGCTTGCTGCTGCGGCGGCGGCCTTGGGGTCTCTGTGAGAGACGGTCTGGATCTGAGGCGATATGGATCCCATCAGAGGAGAGGTAGGGCTAGTATCGGAAGGTATCTGGGGAGGAACTGGCGATGCGCGGACCGGAGGAGGTGTGTGAGAGACGCCATTGGAAGCTGTATCGACGAGCTTTGCATCAGCATCATTCACGGACGACGTGTCGGCATTGGCAGTTGGGTCTGCGTTCGCAGGCTCTGTCTGGAGAGGCGAGGCGCCTTCTTCGGTGGTGGCGCTCATGGCGACGGAACGAGAGGTGATACAGCTCGCGATGCAGTGAGAGGCAATGGGGGATGGTGGATTGGGAGAGCTGGCTTACCCATGGCGGGTGGATTTCGAGTTACTGCGAGAGCCGACGTTCGTTCTTTCTTCTGTTGGGAGAGCACGTGTCAGCAACATGCACACGTAAACCTTCGTTTGCGCTGAGCAAGTTTGCGGTGGCAGGAGCGTTCACGGTGGTGGTGGCCCGACGCACTTCAACAGCTCGCCTGCCGCTGGAATTGGCACTTTGCAAACTCGCCTCAATGGTTCCACATACCCTTGAATTGTTGCAGATGATATAACAAATGTTATCCGAGAAGCGATAGACGAGAGTGAGAGTCACGGCAGTGTCAAAGCTACAAGATGGAGGTCTGAATTGTGGAGGAAAGGGACAGCCAAGTGCAGCAGCCAAACCGCCGCGGAAAGGGGTCTGTGGGCGCGTGCGTCGAAAGAGGATGGAGAAAGCACCCGTAGATCCGTTACGCTGTTCACAACTCGTCTATCAGATAGTAAGCAGCGTCCTTCGACAGGTCCCTTTCTCGTCAAGACTCATTTAATGATTGGTATGAGAATGCGACCCCATGTTTATTTTCTCCAGACGCACGGCAGCTTTCTTTGGCAGTCAACAACCATTTGTCCAGATCAGGGAAAGCGTCATGCCGGCCCTGGAGAGTCAGCACGACTATCCTGGACACATCTCGAGCTTATTCCACGTACGAGTGGTAACATGATCCTCCCGCACCAACACATCTCCACTTGTGCCTCTGTCAACCGTCTTGCTAGGGTACACATCCAAAAACTCCTGACACCACGCTAAGTTCAGATCCCGTCACCTTTCGTTACCCCAGATTCGTGAGCACCGCATTGAGCTGCGTCTTGTCATACTTGACGTACTTGCCCCTACCCTTGTCAATCTCATGGTATCTGTCCCAATGACGACCGTAGAGAGGCTCGATGAACCTTTGGACATCCCGTGCGAGTGAGGTCTTAACCTCTTTCTCCATCTTGTAGGTCTTGTGTTTAGCGACCATCTCGTCAAATGATGCGTTGAATCCGCGGAATTTCTCCTTCAACGAGTCTTTCTCTTTCGAGGACAAAGCCTTGACGAACGCTGCCGAGTCGACTGCGGTGCCGGTACTGGGAGGACGAGGACCGCGGTTGGTGTACTGTACATCAAGTAGATAAGCTGATACCTCGTTCCAGGTAGTCATATAATGCTTAGTCGCTTTGACACGCCAGGCTTCAATCTTAGGCTGTGCGGGCTCCAACAGCGGACCGAGTTCAGAGCTTCGAATCATACGATCAATGATGGCAATATTGTTCGCGAGGAACACACCTTGTACGCCTTTTCCTTTCTGCAGAGCTTGGGACCGTGCTTCAAGATTGGATAACAGGGTGTGTATGGTGTCTGCTGCGTAGTCTGCGAATAGTTTGCGACCGTCTGCGCCAACATCGAAAGACTTGAGAGTGGGTATAGAAGTGCTGGACGAAGCAGGTCCTGGCGCAGACCAACCACCCTTCCCGAGAGATATCAAGATGGACGACAAGGGCACAAGGAAGCCAGTCATGGCCTGCAATCGAGTCATCATCTCCGAGGTCAAGGAGATTGCGGAACCATCGGCAGGGAGCTGCATCATCTGCTGCACTCGGTTTCGCACGTCTGTCAAAAGTGCCGAGAGAGAGGATTTGGCGGTTTCTCGTATGGGCTTCAGAGCATCGGCTATCTCACTCTTTAGTTGTCCTGTCTTGCTTTCAACCTCAAGAGCTGTGTTTGATACAACTTCGATGATCTCGTACGCTAGGAAGCAATCACTTGTAATGTTATCCTTGATGTGACGGTCGAGATCTCTCAAAGTGGCAGCAAAGGCTGTCAAGGCACCCTGGCAGGTCATTGACAGAACCAGACTCCACTCTTCGCGATCGAAGACAGGACAGATATTGTCGTACTCAGCGATAAACATGCCTTTGATACCGGCAGCATACATACCGATAGCATTGTCACCTTTCTTATATATAGTGGCAGTGCTGGGGTTCTGCTTCCGCGCAGTTGCTAGACAGGCAGCGGCCATGTTTTGTAGACTCGAGGTGATGTACTGGCCCCGTACTTCAGCGTAGATCTTGGCTGTTGGTGTACCTCTCGAGTCGCCCTGCGCAAGCTCAGACGCTGACGAAGATGCGTGCGCGTTGATGGTGCGGAGTTGAGTTGTCTTGTTTGACGAGATACGAGGAAAGTCGATGTTCTTGGTGATGAAGTGGAGAGGCTCGACCGGGGCTACGCCGTCGCGAAGAGTGCCTTGGAAGACGTCTTCGAGTTGTCGACTTCCCACGCTCAAGAGACTGTTGAGCTCAGAGATGGCTTGCTGATTCGAACGGAGGTTTGACTGCTTCAGATCACCCAGAGCCTGGCGAGTGCGATCGATAGATGATATGTACTCGGTCAAGCCGACAGACTGAGGATTGGAGCGCAAGACCTGCTCCTCCCTGTTGCGCATGTCCAGGGGCTCACGGATCCTGTCGATGGCCATGATGACGCGATCGATGTTTGCATTGGTCGTCTGCAGTTTTTGTGTGTTTCCATAGATGGGCCCAATAGCCTCTTCGACTGTCTGTCCACTCGTCTCGAGACGGCTCATGGAAGCTTGGATCTTCTTGGTCAAGCTCTTCATCTTGGTCAAGTTGGCGTAGAGCACCTCGACCTCGGCGCTCTCCTCAGCGAAAGCGGCCCTCTTTGGACCCGCCATGCTGGAGTCGTATGAATGTGGTTACAGATTAAGAAGTCGGGCGAGATCAATACATGCTGGAGGGCAAAGGTCTAACGTGGGTAACGGACACCAGATAGCGATACAAGCCAAACACTGGAGAGCTCCAGGCTGTTGGCAACAAGTCAAGGGGTGATCCGGGCATGCAGCCAAGAGGAGAGGTTTGGCCTGACTCGCGATCGCGGAGAGGGCGCACGTGGCGCATCAGTCGGCAGGATCGCGCGATGCAGATGCGTCTTCCGGTTCCTGAAAAACGCATATCGTAGCCATGACGAGCCACTTCTGAATTCAAAGAACCGGATCTTGCTGCACAAAAGCCTCATCGTGGCAGTGCATTCTGTTGCGCCCTGCCCCGAGTCTTGATATCTTTCCATCCTTTGTCCACAGATGCTTTTCTAGAACCCCATCTTTACTAACGACAATGCTATCTCACCTACGTTACCAATGCTCAGATCAAGTACTTTCCACTTCAACACAAAGGCTCGTGCGGCCTGGTGAGTTTTCTCAGCTGGCTGAACAATCCACATAAATAGATATACTGACACGAAGTCCAGTCGCCGGCAGCTCCACCAAGCATCGCTAAGCTCCAGGCGCTCCGACAGAAGCACAGCTCGTGCTGTCGCTGCCATTGTAGTCGGCGCAGGCACTTATGCTTTAACTTCCTCTCATCAACGCGTCTTTGCAGACAGCTCTGGAGAATCAGAATCCGAGGACTGGTTTTCATGGCCAGTCATTGTCAAAAAGATTGGCCCTCAAGATCAGCACGCACAATCTGAACTCTACAGCACTGGAAATGATACCAATCAACCTCGACCAGGCCAGCAAGCACCGCCATCCCAAACGAAAGGCCACAGAGCGTCGGATATTAGTGAGGCTTTGGAAGCCTCTGATGTTTCAGCATGGCATACTATGGTTGGAAGCTTCGAAACGGCCAAAGACAGTATCGTCAATTTCGAAATCTCCAAGCTCGGAGAGAAAATTGCTGGTACGATTGTCCCTCGGTGGGCCAAAGTCATACCGGGCTATATAGCAAAACTACAGAATGAACTATCAATGGCCCCTGGTTCTCTGGCGGAAGAAATCTGGTACGAAGCAAACGACCCTGAAATCAACCCTGAGATCATATGGGATGCTCGGGTCCGAGTATCAGATGAGATCTGTAAAGAAGAGCGTGCTTTCTTGCGCAATCGGAAAGTGCATACGACTACCGCTTTAGCCAGATACCTTGGTGTCCCCGAGGACGAAATACATCCAGCTGACGTACCGACTATCGCCATGTGTGGATCTGGCGGCGGACTTCGAGCTCTCGTCGCAGGAACTTCCTCGTATCTCTCTGCACAAGAGGCAGGACTTTTCGACTGCGTAACATACACAGCAGGGGTCAGTGGTTCTTGCTGGCTACAGACTCTCTTTTACTCGTCCGTCGGCCAACAAAGTCACGAACGTATGATCAACCATCTCAAAAGCCGTCTCAATGTCCATATTGCATACCCTCCAGCAGCACTCTCGTTACTGAGTAGCGCACCGACCAGCAAGTACCTCCTCAGCGGAATAGTGGAAAAGATGAAGGGCGTGCCGGATGCTGCGTTTGGTCTCGTGGATGTATACGGACTACTTCTAGGTGCTCGTCTGCTGGTTCCTAGAGGCGAGCTAGGCATTTCAGATCACGATTTCAAGATTTCGAACCAGCGGCAACATACTGACTCCGGTGCTTATCCGTTACCTATCTATACAGCCGTGCGCCACGAGATTCCTGACTTGGTTCAGTCGCATGATCGTGCCATGAATTTACAGGACGAGACCTCTAAAGCGATCGCCAGAGCAGAGTCATGGTTTCAATGGTTCGAGTGGACACCATACGAGTTCTTTTGTGAGGAGCTTGGGGCTGGCATTCCAACTTGGGCGATTGGTCGCAAATTCGACGGAGGCTACAGCGTTTGGAGAGAAAACGGTCTTGCACTGCCTGAGCTCCGAGTTCCCCTGTTAATGGGTATTTGGGGTAGTGCGTTCTGTGCAACGCTGTCTCATTACTACAAGGAAGTGCGACCCCTGGTCCGCAGTCTAGCCGGTTTCAGCGGCATCGATCAACTGATTGCTGAAAAGGATGACGACCTTACAAAAGTTCATCCTTTCGAGCCAGCATCTATACCGAACTTTGCTACAAACATGGCGAGTCTCCTGCCTCAATCGTGTCCCCAGAGCGTCCACCACGTAACAACGTTGCAACTCATGGATGCCGGAATGAGCAACAACCTCCCGATCTATCCGCTCCTACGCCCAGGGAGGGATATCGATGTTCTGATCGCATTCGACGCTTCCGCAGATGTCAGGAAAGACAACTGGATCAAGGTGACTGACGGTTATGTCAAGCAACGCGGGATTAAAGGCTGGCCAGTTGGTGCAGGATGGCCTAGCGAGGAGATCAGCGAAGAGCAAACACTGAAGGAACTCGAACAAGCACAGGCTACCACTGAGCAAGAAGCCACTGACAGGATCGAGCGTGCAAGACATGCAGAAGCTTCCAGTCCGGTCATGGCAGGCGAAAAGGTTCCAGCCAAACCCAGTGAGTTAGGGTACTGCACTGTTTGGGTGGGCACAACAGAGGAGCGCGAGAACGACACAGAGCCACCATTGTCGAAACAAGTCGAAGAGGATTGGGAGCTCATGAGGCCGGATGCTGGTATTGCCGTCATCTACTTCCCGTTCCTCAAAAACGACAAGGTTCCAGGGGTCGATCCCCAGACATCAGACTTCATGAGCACGTGGAATTTCGTCTATACAACCGAAGAGATCGACAAAGTTGTGTCACTGGCTCGAGCGAACTTTGAAGAAGGCAAGGAGCAAACGAGACGCACAATCCGAGCAGTCTGGGAGCGCAAGAGGAAACATCGCTTAGAGCGCGAGGCGGAAGCACAGGAGTTCCGGAGACAGACGAGGATGAGAAAGGCCAACAAGACCCGACAGTATGGTGATCACGGCGATCAATTCAGCTGAAGCTGGAAGAGAAGGTGGAGTTCAAGGAGTGAGCGGGGATCCTACTTTCGATCTTTATAATACCCAGCGTGACAGCGCGCACCATCATGAGACAATAAACACTAATTCGAGAACATCGATATCGTCAAGACAGCACCAATTTTGAAAGTTACCTATCTACCATGTGCAAGTTGACTGCCTTATGCTTTTTGTGACAGCTGCACAAGTCAGCTTGAATAGATCTTGGCATACATCACGTGACCGGTGCGCGTCGCGTTGGTTGATCTGCCTCCGTCCATTAACATAATTATCGACGTTGACTCCAATACCAACAATCGCGACAAGTCGACATATGCTTCGCAGCTGCCGAACTGTAGCATCTCTAGTCCGACTCTATCCCTGGGGACTTGCTCTTCTGTTTCCACTGTCTCCGGCTCTATCCCAACACTGTTTGCGTGACTGAGCCTTTGGCAGTGCGGACTGCAGACTCGGACCTTGTGTGAATGAGTCTTTCTAGCTCTGCAAACAGCGCGGCACAATACGATCTTTTGCACCAACGAGTCAAGGCTGCTCTGCATCCCACAACGCGAAAAGCCTGGGCGGGTGGGAACTGCGCTGCTTCCAAGCACGCAGGGAAACGGTAAGCTTGACTGACTGATTAGACATCGACATGGCTTGCGACGACGATAGCCTGCAACTTGAAGCCGACACCGGCGATGTGTTGCTAGGGCCTGGCGCACGTCTCGAGTGGATCGTAGGAGGTCACCAGGTTGGCGCTCAGTGGAAGGACAAAGAGCTTGAAATCATGCATCATCTTGGAGGACCATCACCTATACACGGCAATGACGGTTCTCTACGTCTCTGGTTCGCGCTTGATCAAGACGAGAATGAGTTGCTTGTCGTTCTGACAATGTCAGTCAAGTCGCGTTCTAAATCAAAGGCACGCCCACGCAGCTTCTTCCTCGTCGTACCTGCCGAAGACTTGTGCATGACAAGTGCAATGCATGATTTTCACCCCATGTCTCCTGAACTTGTGCCCGAAGCTCTGTTCGAGCGCCCCGCCGACACTGTCTCGGCCAATGCGACTCGCATCCTCCATGTATCCTTCGCTCTTGGCCACAAGCGCACATGCGGAGTTGTCATGAACAGCCGACCTTATTCAGGCAAGATGCGTGGTACTCCTCTTGCACTGCTGGACGGTCTAAAATCCTTGTCAGAAGCAAGGGAGTTTGATCTGTATCTAAAGTTTAGCTCTTACGCTCAAGTTGGGCTCCAACGCCTGTCTCGAGTTATGGATAGGAACGTAGCTTTCTTCACGCCAAAGTTCGACTTGCGCGGAATGTATGGGAGTGGATGGGATGGCGCTTTTGACGTGTGGGAGGCTCAAGGGTGGCATCATGCTCAGAGTGTTCTGTCGAGGAAGAGAAAAGCATGCTCCCCTCTACTATCAGAAGAACAGACCGAAGCGCTACCAGTATACAACCATCCACCAGCATATACAAACTCCTCGTCACTGCCAAGAATACCGCACACACGTCCTGCAAAGCAACCCGGACCAGAATTATGCCATGCTACCTCTCCCAGCAGTATCGTCTGCGAGAACATTGCACCTGGTATCTCAGCTACTCCGTACTCACCCTATCCCGTCGTTTTTTCTGGCCCTGCATCCCAGAAATCCCCGAATCCTATCACATACTCGCCATTGCCAACTCTATATCCTGCAGGAAATGCTTCAACGCTGACTCAGATCTACGACAGCGAGATGGGCATTTGGCTGCTCACAGCCTGGAACCTCGTCCCGAACATCCACTTCTTACTCATCCGTGAGTTACTCACCGTATCCGCCGCCGCCAACAACAAAGACGAACTTGGCTATCGCGCGGCTCGCGTGGTGTGTGCAAAAAAGTTGGCTGGTGTTGTGGCAGATCGAATGCAGCAGACCGAGTTCACAAGCAATGTGGATGACAAAACACAGCGTGAGGAATCGCGTAACAAGATCTTGGTTTCTGAGCCTGATAGCTGCATCTCTTGGTTGTTCATGCTACGACCTGGGGGAGATGTGGGATTCATGGAATTGCTTGGGAAACTGGAGGTTAGGAAAAGAATCGCGCTTTGCGCTTCTGGTCATGATTTTGATGACGCGTTCAGGAACGCGATGGTCATCAGGGCCGCGATTGTCTTGCAAGCCTTGAGTATAGAAGGCACACAGGGCTGAGAACGACGACATTTCGAGGCTCGCTCAACTGTCAGCTAGCCTAGGTGCTCAGACATTGTATTGGAGTACGAGAGTGGCTGGGGTGATCGATCCTGAGCGTCGATAATCTGGGACACTTTCTTCCGCCATGGCCAATAGGCGTTTTAATTGACAAATGTCCCGATGGCAGTTGTCTTGACAGCTTGGAACTTCGATAAATCAAGTTTATACACTCTTGTGGTCTGGTTGTGTTCGTTATGAAGGTTCAAGTATGACGCGGACGGCGCCCGATGTGGCTTGATCGCCGAGTAAATCACCACAAAATTGTGGCTGGAAGTCCTCGGAGCAACCGTTCGCAGTCTTCCACCCTCTATTCGGAGTCGATTTATACCCTTCTAGACGGTCAGCACTCACGACTCTGACTTTGAAGTTACCCCTCAAGTGGTATGCTTATCTGTGATCGGAATCCGATTCTGGCTTGCAAAGTAGGTGTGGGCACGTCATGGAAACTCTTAACAGCAACGGCAGTAGAGAGATGGTATGATTATAAAGGGAGAGCATCAGGATGACAGGGATGTTTCACTTACACTAGGAGCATCTACCCTATCTGCACATTCGTCTACATACATTCATCGATCCTCACTTTGCTAGAAAGAGTAATACCTGATTGGAGCTTAACAACATGCATCTCTCTCTACGCGAGAATGCCTCGCAAGTCAAGAACCATTTGACAGCGGTGCTTGGTGAGATTCTGGGCACTGCTATGTTCTTGTTCATCGTTCGTTTCACCCGTCTTCCATGCTTGTTACTTTCACGAACAATCGACTAATATCTGCGACAATAGGCAGAAGGCGCAGCAAAGACAGCCAACCTCGCCAGGACCGCATCGCAAAGCAACACAAATGCTCCCCTGGACTCTCAGACAATCATGATGATTGCGACCTCATTTGGCTTGGCTCTTCTTGTGATGGCTTGGATGTTCTATCGCATCACTGGTGGTCTTTTCAAGTATGACCATACCCCCTGGGACGCTGATCTCAGGACAAGGCTAACTCATGTGCTTCTATAGCCCAGCTATCACCGTAGCGCTCTGGCTGACGGGTGTCCTTACCACCGTCCGCGCAATCATGCTCTTCGGTGCTCAGCTGATTGGTGGTATCATCGCGTCTGCTCTGGTTCTCGGGTTGACACCTGCAGGATCGGGCGGCGTGGATGTTGTCAATACTACTGTTTCGGACCAGATCTCGTATCAGCAGGCATTCGTTCTGGAGTTCTTGGGTACCAGCTTCCTGGTATTCAGTGTCTTGATGCTCGCAGTCGAGAAGGTATGTCTACGAGCTTGCCTCTCAATTATCAAGACTAACGGATGTGATCAAGCACCGTGCAACTTATCTGGCACCTGTCGGCATCGGCTTGACTCTGTTCACACTGCATCTCTTCCTCGTTGCCTGGACAGGATGCTCTCTCAATCCAGCACGATCGCTCGGTCCCGCAGCCGTAGCTGGAAAGTTCCCTCAATACCACTGGATCTACTGGATCGCTCCCCTATGTGGCGGCGTACTCAGCGTCATGTACTTCCAGCTCCTCAAAGCACTCAACTACAACTCGACCGTTCTCGACCAGGACTCTGATCACGAGGTCGGTGGCCTGCGACCTGTCCATATGAGGGTCTACAAATTCATGGCAGGCCACCACGACTGGGAAAAGGAGGAGTCGCATCACCACAAGCACAAGAAGTTCTTGACTGTGCTGCGCCACAGAAAGGTCATGCGCCATGATGGATCATTCTACTATGTTCAGGAGCCGACTGTCATCAATTCTGATCAACGACACCCGCATGATGATGTTCTCGAAGATGATGACATGACTGTTGTCGGATCACGATCAAGTGGCCACCAGATGCGGCAGCAAGCCAATACGCAAAGTGTATGAGAACTACGGCCGAGAAAGCTATTCGTTTCGAGAGTACTGATTCTTTTGCTACGAGTTTTGATTTGAGAAGCTTGCGATTACGATCCGGTGGAACTAGTATTGATGCAGATGTATATTGGATTATGACAACCTTGCCTCTACGTACGGCCACAGTCAGCTGAAAACTGGGCATCCCGTCCGCTCTGCCATACATAAGCAGTTGAACGGCAGATTAGTACTACGGTGGGTGACCACGTGGGAATCCCTGCTGCTGTACGTTTTGTTCTTTTGTTGCTTTCTAAGATAATCGGCACTGCGCTGGCAACTCAAATTATCTCTTCAACAAGGAACTGCTCTTTTTGACGACAGCCTGGTCAACGGTAGGGTCGATTCGTCCACGGACCGACTAGTATTGGCCAATAGTTCGGCTGGGACTCTGATGCAGGAAGTCGCCCGAGAAGGCCGATTGGCATCCTTGGTTGTATTGTATCGTAGTCATGTTCGTCGAGCAAGAGGCTCTATAACAGATACCTAGTCAACGGATTGTCGTCGGAGGTAAGCGACCAACCGAGATGATTGACTTTCAACATGCCATCTCTCCTCGGCAGGAACCCCGCTTCCACCCGAGGCACGCTCTGTACCACACCTTTGGGCTCCTTGACCAGCTCTACCAGAACATCTGTATACTTGACACATATAAAAGAACCACAAATAATCAGCCCAAAACCAAGTACATTGGATCCTCACATACTACAAGGAACGAGTCGCAGAAACCATGGCATCCAAATATACAGAACAGAATGCAGACAAGGTCAAAGAGGCACACTCGACCCTCTACGATGCTGGTCTCGAGATGCGCAACAAAGTCGCCGGCAAAGAATACGTTGATCGTGCCCTCGCCAATGCCACCTCAGACTTTGCTAAGCCCATGCAAGAGGTACAAGTTCTCTCCGTATAACTTCATTTTGCATCACAAGCTTACCAACAAAAACAGCTAGCAACAGAAGCGGCATGGGGAAGCATTTGGACACGACCAGGCCTAGATCTCAAGACTAGAAGTTTGTTGAACATAGCGATGCTGTGTGCTTTGAACCGAGGTCCTGAGTTGGCTGTCCACACCAGAGGAGCGTTGAACAACGGAGCCTCGGAAGTCGAGATCCGAGAGGTCATTTTACAGGCAGCGGTATATGCTGGTATGCCAGCTGGAATGGAAGGCACAAAGGTTGCTGAGAAGGCTATCAACGAGTGGAAGGAGAAGCAATAGCATTGGTTTCATAGTGACTTGTATATTGTGGATCATCATAGAATGAGGTGCAACCGACCCAAGTCCTCTTGTTCCCAATTAGTAGAGAGTGTTGACCTTCACCGCACCATCAGGCAACTTTGCTCTCAACACTGCACCAGGGTGTGTTCTTCCATCGACACCAAAGTTCCAATCGGGTTGGAAGGGCAGCTGGTTGATGTTGAGATAGATGTAACCATCTGCACCGACAGTAGCACCATCAGGCCACAAGATTCTAGGATCTCTGAGGAAACCGTGCGTCTGGCCATCGCTAGGGTCAAAGTAGTACACTGCATTCTGCTCAGGCATGAGTTGGTAGATCTTGCCACTGCTGTCACCCTCGAAGCCGTTGGCGTCTCCACCGCGCTGGCCTTTTGAGGATACATTGCTGTGTGCCCAGATCTCGGCGAGTGGGTTGCTGTCTCTCTCGCGAAGGTTGACGGTGGGGATCGAGTACAGAGTTTTCGATGTCAATGGAGAATAGTATGCTGTCTTGCCATCTGTGGACAGCTGAAGGCCATCGAGTCCTTCTTGTTGCCAGCTGATTGGCATTCCTAGTTGCTTGAAGTAGAAAGGCTTGCCGAAGTATGTCGGTACATCGTTGGGAACGCGCAGTACACTGTGGTCTTGGTTGAGCCTGCGCCAGGACTCTCCGGTCTTGAGGTCAACCATGATCATGGCGTTGCGTCCTTCATTGCTACTGTCGACTAGGTAGGCGATTCCTTCTCCTGCGGTGCCCGAGACGTTGGCTCTCAGGTCGAAACGCAGATCGTTGAGGTAGGAGTCTGGATAGTGAACTGTGCTTGGGAACGTGTATGTCTTGTAGATTGTGTCGTTGGCAAGAGAGATCGCCATGAGCTTCGGGCCTCCTGGCTGGGCGTAGGGCATGCTTGGGTCTCCAGCTGCGCTGTGGACTGTGGGTCTTCCGGTATCCAGGATCCATAGCGTCTCTGGTCTTGTGCTGGTCTGAGGAGTGATGTATAGAGCCTGTACGGAGACAAAAGCTGAGCTGTTGCCGCTACCGAAGGCAATGCCGTTCCATGTCGTGTTCAGACTGTCGACCGGCAATTGTAGTGCTTGAGATGGGTATGGTTTCTCGGCAGTCTTGTTGACTACCTCTCCGACAGTGTATTCGTAATCTCCTCTTGTATAAGAGACGAAGAATCGCCCAGTCGAGCTAACAGCTAGACCGATGGGCCACTGATCATAGTAATAATGGTACTCCTCAATCTCAGGACCATAAGTGCCATTGTCGACCCGAAGAATGGTAGAAGACGAGTTCTGGAAAGTGACCTGCTGGGCAAAGGCACCAATGGCCAGCAACGACAGAGTGTTCAAGTACTTCATATCGACGGATGAAGTTTGCGTTGAAGAAACTCAAGCACGAACAGTGGGTTTATATAGCATTCACAAATCAACTGACCTACGTACATCCTGCAACAACGGAACAATCACCGAATCACGTCACCAGCGATGGGAAGAACAATTCGATAGATGCACCGTGAATGTTTTATTTTGCCATACCCACGGCAGATACATTTCGAAGACGTCATGCGTGCCTGAGAGATGAGGGGGAGAACGGGGGATCACCCTGTCAAAATTCGAGTTGTGCTTCGTGCGCAACGGCAGAGGCGGCTCTTCCGTGTTCTTTGTTGCAGATCAAATGCCAGATGATGCATCTTTTGTCGATCGTGAAACATGCTGCATATTCAGCCTGTCACCAGCGTGGAACGTGGTTGTGTTCAGATGCTGACGTTGCTGTGCCGTAAAATTCGTGGAATCTCAATCTCGTTGCGGTATGGAAATTACCAAACAGCTAGATCATGGATGACAAAGGTAGCAGAGTGGAAGTTCGGATGCTCATATGTCGTTATTGTTGGCTACTCTTATTACTCAGAGCGCATTTGGAGCTGCAAGCACCTCTCACGACACCTCCTCAACCATCTTAGGAGGTGCTTCCCAGCCATTACGCAATACTTGTCCGACAGGCTGCCCTTCTTCTAGCCATTCTGACGGTACACCCACGCGGCTGCCATCCTTGTTGTTGACATAACGAACAAAGAGGGGATTGGCAGGGTGGAAGTACTCCTCGCCATCTTCCGTGTATACTGGAGTTCCATCTGCAGCACTCTGGGCAGCGATAATCTCTGCGCGAGTCCGACGCTTGGTGGCCGGTTTCTTGAGCAGCTTGTTAATGGTATCCATCTGAAGATTTTGATTAGCCGTCAGAAACCACATCAGTGGAATGGGAACAAACCTTTTCCTCTTCATTACGTTTCTCGGATAGATTCTTCCTTCGTCTCGCCATCTCGGCTCTGCGCATGGCGTGTTCCTCAGCCGTGAGATGTTTCTTCTTCTGTGCCTCGTTGGAAAGAGCCATGAGACTCGCATCCTGCTCTTCATCGTAGACTGCACGTTGGCGACGAGTCAATTTGGTCAAGTCCAGAGTCGCATCGCCGTCCTCGCCCTCGAGGTCGCTGTCAAGGTCTTCTTCGTCGTCTTCGGCACCAGGCAAATCATCGTCTCCAGACTGCAAGTCGGACAATTCATCGTCGTCGTCTTCGTCGTCATCTTCCATCTCCTTGGCTTCAACACTTTTGAGATTGGGCTTGCGCGCCGGGGCCGAAGCGGCGGGATTGGTCTTCTGTTCTGGCTTTGCAGGAGGCAGTGATGGGGCGACACGAATGACGGAGGGTGTTGGGTGTGGAGAGTCCATTTCGATATCGTCAGCATCGGCATCGGCGTCTTCGTCGCTGGCCTCGGGGTCCATCATGTCTGTGTTGTCCATGTCGTCGTCTTCTCCTTCGGCGTCATCGTCGTCGTCGTCGTCTTCTTCGTCATCGTCGTCTTGGTCGTCGTCGGACTCGTTATCGAGAACGGTGCGAGGATTACGGGTAGAGCGGGCGGTGCGTGCAGGAGGCTCGGGAGAGTCGTAGTCAGATTCCGGGTCGTCGCCGGAGATGGCCTGGCGCAATTTGCTGGGGGGAGCTTTGACGGTGATTCGTAGATGGTGAGAGTCTGAAGCTTGTCTGTTGATGCTGGCGGACGTGCTGGTGAGTGCTGTCAGTCTGGATGATGCGGCTCTCGTTGATCTAGTGGAGCGAGTGGGAGGCATTTTTGGAAGTTGATGTGGGGATGTTATGGGAGACGGATGACGAGTGCGAGCAGATTACACACAGCAGGGGGGTACTAACCTGTTGGCATGTGGGTGGCTCGTTGGGGGAGTTCGTGTACTTCTGTTTGCATTCGATGCACCCACGGGGCTCCCGTCTGGACCCTTCTGTCTCTTGTTCGTCGGCACCGACATGTCTAGGCGTTCAGGGGATATTCAAATAACTCGAGGCGTATACGAAAGGATAATTGGAAATGTACGCAGCAAGCTTTCGGTCTACCGTATGGCAGACAGACAGAGGTGGTGTGGCTGGAGCGAACGTGTGGCTTGAGCGCAGCCACGGCCCACACTTGACTTCTCCACGGACCGACGTGCCGAGGCATCGTCGGCCGATGCTCATCGTGGTCATTTCACATGCTTGATGCTTCCTCCACACTTGCTCGACTTCCCCGTCTGCTATACATCACAATGTCGGACAAGAAAGAGCTCCCATCCTGGCAACGGCATGCTACCGATGCGTCCACCCAAGCCGCCACACAAGAACACGATCCAAGTCTCTCGCCCATTGACCGTGTGCGCCGCTTCCTCCAGGACCCTGCCGTCAAAGATGCCCCGTTCGACAAGAAGAAGGCTTTCTTGTTATCCAAGAACATTTCCGAAGACATGATCTACCAAGTCATAGGCTCAGAGGATAGCCAACACACGCCTGCCACAGATGGTTCCGACGACGCCGCACAACAAGAGTTCGACGCCAGCAAGACGCATCCCACCACCGACGCCTCGACCGAAGCCGCTCAACAAGAGTTCGATGCAAGCAAAAACACTCCCAGCCCTTCAACCTATGTCAAGACAACAGATGGCTCGCAAGAAGCAGCCAATCAGGAGTTCGACGCCTCCAAAGCCCTCTCCTTCTCGGCCGCCGAATTTACCTCCAATCGTCCGTCTGCTGCTCCTCGACCACAAAGAGACGTGCCTCCCATCATCACATACCCTGAATTTCTCGTTCAACCTCAAAAACCTCCGCCGCTGGTTACTGTAGGCCGACTCATAAATGCTACATACATAGCTGGCGCCGTGACTGCTTCTGCCTATGCCTTATCCAAATACATCATCGCCCCCATGGCCGACAATCTGAATCACGCTCGTCATGATATGTTTGAACACACCTCTCAACAGGTCACCGGGTTCAATGACAAGCTGTCCAAGTTGGTATCCACTGTGCCTCATACAGTGAAATCCTCAACATCTACACCGGCTGAGTTCGTCGATTTCGATATGGACAGTGTCACCTCGGACCCTACCGAGCTCTTCCATCGTGATGTTGGCACCCAGACTTCTCCCTCCCTCTCTCGCCGTACAAGTCTTTCCTCTGATGCTGAGATTGCAAACCCCGACTCGGTGCCTCAGAAGCAAGCCACACGACTTGAGATCATGAAATCGCATCTGTCAGAGCTTCTGGAAGGCACCGAAAACAACGGCACAAACAACCAAACTTTGCAAGCAAGCATCAGCGAGACAAGATCCTACCTTGACGGCCTCTACTATACCCCGCCATCATATTCGTGGAACGCAGACAACTCACTCAATGCATCAAGTTCCTCTAAGGACAAGCAGCCTGACGCTGCTGTAGCCCTGAAAGCAGAGATCCGAGGCGTAAAGGGCGTGCTCCTCAGCGCCAAAAGATTCCCTTCAGTTGGCAGGGTTGGCGCTTAGCTTTGCTTACGAAGCAGGAACTTGGAAGCGAGCCAGCATCCATCATTTTGCATCATGCCATTCAATGAAGCCCAGAACTTTATTGCGGCTTGGTGAACCGGGTCCATAATTTTCCACAAGACAATTCAAAGGTACCCGGTAATCTGAAATTCCTGTCTCAGGAAACTGATAGCCAAGTAGGTACCAACCATCAGGGACACGTACAACTTGCAGTCTCGCTTAGCGAGTCAGCCAACAAGCCGGCCGAGAATTGATATGTATGATGCCTTGCCATAAAGTAGCACAACCGGAAAGAGGCCGCCGTGAGTCTCGAGCTCCACGTGGATGGTTTGGGAGTTGTGGGTTCCGTTCATCAGGGAGACAGACTGGCTTACCTTAAGAAAGTTGCGTCTTTGAATGATTACGAGCTATGAATATGTAGCAGAGTGTACACGCTCTATGACCGCATTTACCTTAGCAATCTGTGCCCCCTATGAAATAACGCCCTAGTACGCGCGGCTCTCGTATGCTTACGTTCGCTTCCACATATTCGTGCAAGAAATCAGGGTTGCATCCCTTGGAAGATCCACAATCGAGTACATACAAGCATTTGCCAAGCTTCTTCGAAGTGTTTGGCGAATGCTTGTTTTACGATCACTGTGTCGTCATGCATCCGTTCGAACCGGTGGTCTAACCAAGCATGTCAGGGCCCAAAGTCTCTCAAGCGCGGTTTGCCGAGCCAGTAGTCCATACTGTGAGGCCGCGTCAGCAGAAACACACATGCAGGACGTTTGTGGCTTGAAGTCCAGTCTTATAGAACATGTCAGCCTCGCGAGGGTAGTGCCTTCTGCCATGCCTCGAGCTACCTCTTTCAATGCCACATTCTCTGCACTCACACCCTCGTAAACACTCACCACAAAAGAAGATGTCGTTATCCGAGAAAGTCGAAGGACTCTGTCGCAATCCTCACAGTGTCTCGCAGGCACTGGCCGAGGACCCCTCATTGTCACCTGGCGAAGCTGCAAAGAAGCTCTATCAGCCTGACAACATCTCTATAAGCGAAGGACATGTGCCTTCTACTAGAAAACCGGCGACTGAAGAAGAACTCGAGCGCGCATTGCAATGCGGAAAATTTGTTGTACAGCCTAGCGAGCTGTTCCTTCGCGTCTTCCATGATAGCTTGATGCCTCTGGAACATGATCCTCTCATGGGTTGCTGTAGTCCGTCGTTGATCGGTTCCTCAGGAACATGTCCTTTGACCATCGTATCTGGATTGCCTGACATCTGCAGACACATGGTGAGGGACATGCCTTTCTGACCAGCAGTTGAGCCGTACTGACAAATTCCACAGTCCAACTTGATCGCAAGAGCAGAAAAAGAGGTCTTGCTTGCAACAAATTACTGGATGGACTCTGATGCTTCACGACTTATCACTGATGGCCTTAAGGAGCTCTCGAAACGTGCTGGCGCAAGAGGTGAACGAGCAGTCGTGAAAATCATGTACGACAGGGGCAATGTCAAACAGGTAAGCGGCTCCAAGAAAGTCAAGTTCAAGACATTGAGATTGGAACTAGGTTCTTGACAACCACCAAATGGTCTCAGAGGACGAATACACTGGCAAGAACATCCGTCTGCCATCCACCAAGGAAGCACCCAACCTTGACCTGCAAGTCTTGAACTACCACAGACCAATGCTGGGCACTTTCCACTCCAAGTTCATGGTTGTGGACAGAAAGATTGGTGTTGTGAGCTCGAACAATATCCAAGACAACTCCAACATGGAGATGGTGAGTTTGACTATGGCGGACGCTCAGCAAAGAGGAGTTAGCTAATCGCTCTGGACAGATGTGTCATGTCGAGGGTCCTATCGTCGACTCGCTCTACGACACTTTCTTGATCTCCTGGCATAATCAGCTTGAGCCCTCTCTACCATCTCGAAACACACCTGCTGCTCTAGGAGGCTTACCATCATTCGACCAACCTTCGTTCCACGGATTGTTCGATATGAACGGCAACTTGAACGTTCCGGAACGTGGCAACAGCCGTTCGCTGGACGAAGTCGCAGAGGCAGGCAAACGTCAAGAGCTGCCATTGCATGCTCCGGGCGACCCACACTACGACGTAGACATTGCAGCTGAGGTCACCCGTATGCAATCAATCATGTCACCTCGTAGCGGTGAAACTGGTCCGGAAGTCGCAGCTCGCCATCTCAACCGCGGCAGACGACTGGACGTCAAGGCGACCATCGAAGGCGATTACGCTCCAGGAGAGGAGATGACACCCTACATCCCGCATAGAGTACACGACCTCGTGCCAATGGCATTGGTGAACCGCAAGCCGTATGGCGCAACCAATCACAACGGTGTGTTCATGCCACAGAATGAAGCTTGGCTATCCGCTGTACGCAACGCTGTGTCCGATGTCTTCATCCAAACTCCCGACCTCAATGCAGCACCTCTGATCCCCGAGCTCCTGGCTGCTGTGCGCCGTGGAATCAAAGTAACCTACTACGTATGCCTGGGCTACAACGACGCCGGCGAGCTCCTTCCCTTCCAAGGCGGACACAACGAAGGTGTAGCAAACAAGCTGTACACATCTCTCGGCAGAGACGAAGACGCAGCACGCAATCTCCTGAACATACACTACTACACCGCCAAGGACCAAGTCGCACCCATCCACGATAGCTTCAAACAGCGCTCTTGTCACGTCAAACTCATGATCGTAGACGGCCACTTGGGTATCATGGGCAATGGAAACCAAGATACCCAATCGTGGTATCACAGTCAAGAAGTCAACATCATGGTTGACAGTGCTGAGATTGTCGGCAAATGGCGTGAAGGGGTGGAAAGAAACCAAAACACTGGCAGACTGGGTAAAGCAAGCAATGCCGATGGTATCTGGCGCGATGCTCAGGGCAATCAAGCTCCAGGAGCTATCGGTGCCAACGCCGGCAAAATGAGTTGGGCAAAGGGTATTGTGGGTGCTGTGCAGAGGGTCAGAGGAGCTGGCGGTTTCTAGATTGCCAAAGGTCTGGGAACGAGAGATGATTGGGACGAACGGGTTTCATGATAGGATGGGAGAGTGGGCGAGGGGAGAAAGCGGTATTTGAGCGTATACACGAGCGTAATTTCCATGCCGGTTCATCTCAGGACCACACAAAATTTGAATGTCCCGATCCTCGACTAGCTCAACGGACACATATCGCATCTTTGAGCAGTCTGTAGACGTACAGTGAAAGTACATAAATTCATGGTCCCAGAATCCATGGCAAAGACAGAATGACAAGTTTCTGACAATAGCCGTAGCAATCCTATGACGATCGATCCACATACAAGCCAACAAAGGGATTCATCATCAGTTCTTCAAACTCTTCAACATCTCCTTCAACTCTTCAATCTCCTTTCTCAACTCCTTGACTTCCACAAGCGTTCCGTCAACCTCGACGTTAGGTTTCGTCTGCTCACACTTCTTAGCCCAGCCATCGCCCTCAAAGTCAAATTCACCGTCCATTTGCTCCCACTCCTCGATAGTGTCTTCATCCACTTCTCCTCTGTTGCGGTTGAATTGCACTTTGTGGGCTACTCTTGTTTCCAGTGCGGCGGTGACGAGGAGCAAAGGGCTGTAGATGGTGGCCATGACGTAGTCGTTGAGACGCTCGTAGGTGTCCTTGTTCATCCACCATTCAAAGGGGATCACCAAGAATACCAATTCAATGAGATTGAAGGGAGCGATAAAGACGTTCTCGTCAGGGGCGCGCACGAACTGACAGGTCTTTTGTGCGAAGAGAGCCATGTATTCGTCAATGGAGTGTTCGGTGATATCCTCGTAGGCGCTATTGTACAAAGCAACGAGGATGTTCAGCAGCAAGACGATCACGATAAAAGTGAAGATGTAGTAGAGAATCAGACCAAAGGGTGGAGCAAAGTTGTCGAAGCCGTCGAACTCGGGACTGCCCATGACGGCGTTGATCATGGCTTGCACCACAAAGTTTGTGGCATCCAATTTGCCGTCTTCTTGATCCAGACCAATGAATGCTTGCAAGAATCCGATGCTGACGAAGAACAAGAGGGCGAAGAAGATGAGTGACTCCTTCATCATGACCTTGAGCACGACGAGCATAGTACCAAAGAAGCGGAAAGTGTCAAAGTAGAGCAGCAGACGGCACCAGAACATGGGCGCACTGAAAGCCAAAAAGTTGTAGCTGAGCTCGTTGAATCTGTTCCTCTCGTCGGTTCCGATGTGATGGCCGAGAGCAATCATTCTGGTAACGAACGAGACAGTCAACAGGGCGTAGAGAGTGTTGTTGAAGGAGTTCCAGAAGCCGAAGTAGTATTTGCCGACTTTCCAGAACTTGGAGAGCTCGTCGCAGACAAAACCGAGGGTGAAGATGTAGAGCAGACCTTCAATGATATCGAGATCACCAGAAGGATTGATGGTGTTGATAGCACCAGTGTAGAATCCGAGGTAAAGCAGACTGACAAAGACTTGGAGCGCGTTCTGGTAAAGAGGAGCGCGCATACGGTCGGGATCAAGATGGTCCCAGTAACTTGTCGAGGTCTTCAGCTTGTAGTCGACAAAGCGAGTAGGGTCGTCCTCGTCTTGAACCAACCAACCGCGCCAGAGGTACGTTACACACTTCTGGTAGCCCGAGCTTCCAATGACTCTGAGAGCGTGTAAGTCGACAGCCTTCTCAATAACATTGTTAGGAGCGGTTTCCTCTCCGTCGATGACAATGCTGTATCTCTTGAGAAGAATGCTTTGCAGCAAGAAGCCAGCGTCCTCTTCGGTCTCGATGATTTGCTTGGCGATCACCTCACAGGCAACGGCACGAACTTGATGCATGTCGGCGTCCCAGAGCTCCAGCAGAGCCTGTCGCTTGAACCATTTCTTGCAAATCAGCAAGCAAAAGACGACACAAGCAGAGTAATCATCGTCGGAAGAGCCGGATCGACCATGCTTGCCAGCAGCGCGGGCGGTTGCAATGACAGCTGGGGTGATGACATTGGAATGAGCAGCGGTGACTCTATCCTCCTCGAGCTCACAGGGGATGACTTGTTCGATCTGGTGTTTGAGACGTAAGGCGATCTTGGTGACTTCTCTGGCAGGCACGGCGCTGGGGATGTGATCGCCGTGGGTTGGCAACAGAGCGCTAGCTTCGTCAACCATGCGAGTAGCACCGTCGCGGTCGCGGCTGAACATTGACCTCCACTTCATCGTGAATGAGAAGTCGACACGGCTTCACAGGGAGAAGTTGAAGATTTGGGACAGTACGAAAAGAAATTATCTCGTCTATGCAGAATTGCTTTTGCGTTTTGTTGAAAACAGGGAAGTTGACAGGCTCAGCCTCGTCGGGTGGCTGCTAGCAGCAACGCTTGGGTCCCACATAACAGACGTGATGCAGTCTAGGAATGCAGTGTATACCGTAGATTCGTTGACATGTGTATCTGATAGAAGATTTGCAAGACTCGAGTTCAAGCTCTCACGTGGTGGTTGCGATGGAAGGTCGAAGAAATGTTACAAGTAGGTCAGCCACACGGAAAGCGCGCGCACTCGCCACGTGGGTGTGGCGGCGACGACTAAACAATGCTGTCATGGTTCGGAACAGCACAAAGCGAGTGACAGCGTCCTGCTCCAGGGCAGTCGATTCATTGTTTACAAGCACACATTTTGTTCTCTGGCGATACGCACACCTAAGAAAAGCTCTTGCTACTATTTGCAGAAAAGTGACGGATCAGTAACGACTGCACGACACGACATTGCATACACCTGCAGACCACCGCATACTTCCGAACATAACCTTCTCTTTGCCAAAACACTCGACACAACCAACCGCCTTCACCTCGCGTCCCAATCCCCGTCGGCCATCATGGACCGTCAGCGAGACCTGGTCTTTTGCCACGAGTGCGAGAACGAATGGTTCCGCGATGAGGGCGGCCTCACATGTCCAGAATGCTCTTCGGACTTTACAGAGATCGTAAGCAGGCCCATCACCCTGTCGCTCTTTCCGTCAGCGCCTCTTGCTGACATTGCTATCAGATCGAGGCACAGCATGACCCGAGACAGGCTCTTTCCGAGGAAGAAGATACGCCACACCCTCTCCACGACCACAATCCCTGGGCAAACACTCCCCACGACGCCCCCGATCCTGAAGAGAGCCAACTGCCCGGCTTCCAGTACCGCACCAACCCTCAAGGTGGCATTTCCATGAGCTTCAGCCATACTTTCTCTTCCTCCAACCCTCCTCGCAACCCTGCCTCGCCCACTCCTCCACAAAATGGCCAAGCCCCCGATGCCATACTCAGAATGCTGAACCAAATCATTGGTGGAGTCGCTCGTCAGCCACAACCAACCACTCGCGATGCCGCAATACACTCGCCAGACGGCGACCCAAATGTGCGCGTCTTCACCGGCGGAGGTCCCAACTTTCAATACACGGCTACTACCCGTCTCACTCCTCGCGACGCCAACACTCCCCAAGCCCGCGCCCCGACCATCGACAACCTACCGGGCATCCTCAATCACATGTTCCAGGCTCCCCCACGAGGCGCTGGTCCCGACCCTAACTTCGAGCCTCTTGGCTTTGGCAACTTGTTGAATACTCTCTTCAATCCCGCCAACATGCAGCACGGCGATGCTGTCTACAGTCAAGAAGCTCTGGATCGGATAATATCTCAGCTCATGGAGCAGAATCACTCCAACGCCCCGGGTCCTGCCTCGGCCGACGCTATCGCCGCCTTGCCACAAAAGTCTATCACAAAGGAAGATCTGGATGAAACAACCGGAAAGGCCGACTGTTCGATTTGTATGGACGAAGCCCTGATTGGCAGTCAAGTTACTTGCCTGCCCTGCGGTCACTGGTTCCATCCCGACTGTATCAAAGCCTGGCTGGCCGAGCACGACACATGTCCCCATTGCAGGCAAGGCATCATGCCCAGGGACGCTCCCGAAAATGCTTCGAGGCCGAGAGAACCTGGACAGGTCGCGAGAAACAACAGAACTTGGGGCCAAGGAGAAGGCACCAGAGATAACCCTATCAATGTTGTCGAGAGTCCTGACCGTCCCCGGACCACCAACGATGCCGCAACCGCCTCGGCATCTACTTCAGGGGTTGCCACTGCTGCTTGGGCTCGCATGAGGGACGCCTTTGGTGGTGGCAGTGGAGGGAGCAATCCTCCTTCGGGAGCTTCTTAGCGCGGACGCTCTCTCAGACGTCTCCGCCGGCCATGGGATGCTCTTCGAAAACGACCGCATTTTTCCAAACGACCATCATCTCTGCGACGCTCCGATTCTCATCGATCCCTGAGGGAGTTCTTTTGGACTAGCCCCACAGGACCTACGCCCCTACAACCCCTTTCTACACTGCCTCCACGCGACTGAGTTAGTTCTTGTTTTATTAGTATGATACCACCCACAATGATTCATTTTCTTCTTCCTTCCTACCTTTTCATGTTCCCTAAAGACAGCTATAGAAATGCACAGTAACTTCACTGAATCGAGAGTGACTCATTGAGCGTCAATTCGCTGTAGAAAGGCATGATGGGTCTTTGTACTAAAATCTCTCGTACGATTCATGTCTCTGACTATGTTTCCTACCTTCTCGTGTTCCTAAACGCAGCTGTAGAAATGCATAGTCACTTGACCAAATCGAGAGTATACATCGAGATTTAAATCTGCTGTAGAAAAGGCATGATGAGTTTCCGCACCGAGGTATATACCATCGCCACGATCGCCGTGTGCTTGTATAACAGCTTTGCGAACACTCGAGATTCTCATATATATCTTCAATCAAGGATTGGAGAATTAAGCAAGCGTTCTTTTAGATTCAATCATGTAGCTTTGACTTGGTCGCCAACCCTCACCCATCCTTTCGTTTCTCCTTTGCTCAGAGATAAATGGACGCCAAACCACACTTTTCCATCTTGACGTCTGGTTTTTGCTAGTGTTACAAAGGGTTCTTGTCTGGTCTCTGCGGTCTGCTGGTCTACGCATAACATGTGGCATCTCCTGCATTTGCCCAAGACTTTGAAATTCGCTGTTGATGAGGTTCCTTCGCTGCTGTGTGAGTGGCGTTTGTGTGAAAAGATGCACAGAGATGTCCAGGTGTCTTCTATGTATGCTGTTGACGTTGAAGACGAAGGCAGGGATGGAGAGACGACGATGTTGGCGCGGAAAGTCGATGGCGGGACTGCGGTTCCTCCCCTGGCTTTTATGGCGGCGTTGAGGGCGCTCAAGGATGTGCGGGATATGCAGAGGACCGGGCTTTCGTTTGAGAAAGCTAGCGGTGTGGCGTCTTTGCTGTCGGTGGTCTTACTGAGATGCGCTTTTGCGTGTCTGGAAGCAGAGTTTGCGGGAAAGCGAGCCAAGGTGCAGGAGACGCCTAACACGGCAGACAAGAATGTCGATATATAAGGTGAAGCGTAGACTCTTGAGCTCACAATATCACCGCAGACATTTGTTGGCGTAGAGGTTTTGCTATTAGCAGTAAAGCACCGTGGGTCTGCAGAAAGTGGAACATTGATCTCTGTGGCAGTGCTGTCTTTGGTGGGTACTGCACAACTGATGCGTAATAGCCCTGCAGCAAAATCGAGAGTCGGACGTAATAGAGCCATGCGTGGATACTTCTTTTGTGAAAGCGCAATGGAGGTTCCGCTGTGTATGATGCACCATTCTCGGTCCCAGGCAAGTCCTTGTGGTTGCACTTCCCAAGAAGTGTTTGCAGGGATTTGCCAGCCAGCACAGCTTTTTATTGGGTATACTGTCAGACTCTCGATATGCAGTTGCTCTGACACCGGCACATCTAGCGACGATATGGGAGAGTCTGTTCGATTGAACGGCACGCATGAAGTGTCGAGGAAGAACTCGGCGATGAAAGCGACAAAGACTTCGACGTCTGTTAAAGTGGACATGGCACCTATACTTGCTCGTATCATACCAGTGGGTTGACCATTGATGACATCGTCGGTTTCGGAGCCGCAGCGTTGGCCAGAAGAAAAGTTGTCTTTCATTTGCCAAGGCGAGAGATTCAGTGCTGATTGAATACCCCCAGGATTGCAAAGGCCGCCAGTGCGGATGTTGATGTTGCGGACATGGGCTAGCTTTTCAACTTCCAGATTACTGACCATTTGTCCCCTGGAGTCGCGGAGATTGAAGGCAACCACGGGGCCTTGAGTGTTCTTGTTGCCATATGACGAAGTCGGATCCTTGTATATCTCACACACTGGTTCATCGTTGGCATGGCGCAGCGATTTCAAGGACGAATACAAGCGCTCAGCAAGTAAGGATGTGTGTTCAGAAACACGTTCCAATGTGCCAAACAAGTCGCGGTGGACTGACAGAGCAGACTTTAGAGCGATGATGCTGTGAATGGGCAGAGTACCATCCTCGAGCTGTTTATGCAGATGAGCAGATTTGGCAATATGCCACTGCTCCTTGAGCGACACAACCACATCGACGGTGCCACCACCAAAGTACCTTCTCTTTTGCAAAGCCCAGGCTGCATCTTTGCGAACGATCAAAGCTCCCAGATCCGGGAACCCAAATGTCTTGTACAAGCTGAGAACTGTAAAGTCGGGGGCGGTATCGAGGTCGGCTAGGGAAAGTGGGGAGGTCGAGAGCAGGGCAGCGGCATCCAGCAGAGTCAGCACACCCTTGTTCCGCATGCGGCGACACCAATTGAGCGGCAGACGGCGGCCATTCATGTTGGATTGGGCAGGGTAGGCAAAAAGTCCGAGGCGAGTTTGTGTATCTTGCGGACCGTATTCAATCCAATCTTCGACTTCCTTGTCCTCCCTGAAACAGAGATGTTCCTCGGCCAGCTCACGCATACCGACAAGACTGGTATGCGCATCTCTGTGATAGCCATACCAGAAGCCCGACTCGTGTTCACGGAGAGCATCGGCCACCAGTTTGATGCCTGCAGTGGCATTGGCAACAAATACCAGATCGAAATCGTCGGGGTTTGCATCGAAGAAACGGAGGAGTTGTAGTCGGACGTCTTGTACTTGGTGGGTAGATCGTTGTGAGGCTTGCGAGGCAGAGTGTGGATTGCCGAAGAGATTGCCCATCATGTCTTTGGTAAAGGCATCGAGCAGCGATTTGCTATATAGAGTTGTTCCGGCATGGTCGAGATACGTCGCTCCTAGATACTTGTCAACTGTAGGTTCCTCGGGCAGCGCTACTATCACATACCCTTGAGCATAGGATACTCAGTCTGCCTCATGTGCTCAATGTACGCATTGTATTGCGCAGCGTCCATGCTGCATGAGCGAGTCATCTTCATCCAAAGTCGTCGACTACCACGGCAGTCTTCTGTCGAGTATATAGAGCAAAGCAAACTGCCATGAGGGCAACAGATGAAGTTCTGAACAGACAGCTGAGGACCGAGAGTCTCGAGTGCGGCGAACAACGAAGGCCCATCGGGGTCCCCCGACAGACATGGACCCTGGCTGGCCCCGTTCCTTATCACCACCTTTCTCCGTAACGAATACCATGACTTCTGCACATGAGACTCTCTCCTCTCTCAAGGCTTCGCCGAGTGCGTTGCTGACATAAGCATGGTCCAAGCTCCCCTCGAATCTCACTGCTATAAAACCAGCCTCTCCCCTGCACCCTCTTCAACAAAGCGATCAAAACACCAAGGCCATGCCACGACCGGCGCTTATGTCGAGCTCTGGAACCCTTGCGTTTCACGACGCAAGGCAATACCACCTCACAAACATTTCCTCTACGGCGTTGCGTTGCCAGTCTCTTCTGCCCTCGGGTAGAAGAGGCGTGGCCTTGCAGAACAATTCTCTGGATTTAGGAAGCTGATTCTCGTAATGGTCTTATTAATTTAGGGCTGTGAGTCTCGGTGTCCAAGAAGGAGTACATATCGCTTTTTTCTTATTACTGTTTTGTCACAATCAAGAAAAAATTTTGCTCTCTAGTTTTCACTCTCTTCATGTTGTGCCCACGTGTCTATCCCGTACTTTACGCTGCCCATACAGCGCCGTGTGGCATAAGACCACCTTTTGTGCTGTGCGGATGTGCATCAACCGATCTCTGCGTGTGCTTCTCGTGGTTCGAATGATTGCATCTCACAGGATCACACAGACAACGTGTGTGTACTGAGTCTGCTAAAGCATGGCTATAAAGTCGCGTGTTAATTCGCTGGCTGGACAGATGGTATCTCCACGTATCTCATAGCCACACCTCAGAGTCAATTGACTGTGCATTATCACAGCATACAAATTCGGTCATTTTACATCCAGAGAGTGCACAACCTAGAGTTTGAACAGGAAGATTTGCAAAGGGTACCGTTTCCTACAAACGCCAGAAGAGCAAGATACGAGATGCTGATGATGGAACATGCTTCTTCTTTTAAACAGATCAAGAAGGGTATATGGAAATTGTACAGAAACGCTTTTTATGCAACACATCACTCGTCCTCTGCTTCCTCAGCACCCTCTATCGTTCCGTTCTCCGTCACCTTCTTTGACACGCGGAACAGCATGGCGTGGTTCTTTCCAGCATTCGTCATCCATCGACCAAGCTTGTGCTCTTTGCCGACAGCTGCAACGATCGCCAGACCATCTTTGCCTCTGTCACCGCGTTCGAACACAGCAAGGTCGTTGATAACGCCATTGACCGTCTTGTTCGACTCTGGTACAGCGTGTATTGAGTCGTCCATGTACATTGCTTCTCCGTCGATGAGTTGGTTGTCTTCGACGCAGCCGATGGGACCCAAAGCTTCCAGCCTTCTCCTGTCTTCGGTGATCTTCCAGGCTCTCAGTTGGCCGTCCCAACTGCCACTGATGACAATGTTGCTGAACGGTACGCAAGCAAGAGCGGTGATCCATCTGGGTTGAGGTTCTGTGTATACGCTTGCATCTGCTGAAGGATCGGCTTCCGCGCTGACATCGTCGGGGTTCGGTGGTGGGTCAAGGCCGTGTGCGAGTGGTAGAGTGAACATGGCCTTCTTTTTCTGGATGTTCCAAAGCGATAAAGTACCGTTGTCTGAGCCAGTAACGAAAGTTTCATCGTCGACCATAGTCACTCTGTCGATGGAGCCTTCGTGGAACTCTCGTGGTTGAGGAATACCGGCTGCAGCATTCTCCTTTCTTTGCTTGGACGAGGCACCGCTACCGCCACCGCGGAAGACGAGTTGACTTTCCTCGACGACTCTCCAGAATCTCGCCGTCCTGTCTCTGGCGCCTACTGTAACGCACAATTCTTGGTTCAGAGCGCCAACATCAGTGACTTCATCTTGGTGACCGAAAAGTGTTTCGACGTATGCCAATTCGTCCAGACTCCAGAGCTTGATTGTTCGGTCTTTGCTGGCCGAGTACAGCTGATTTGTGGTGCGGCGGAAGCAAAGAGAAGTGACAGCATCTCTGTGGTGGTGGAAGAACTTGAGGGGTTTGAGTGTTGCGGCGTCCCAGACAATGAGCTTCCTGTCTTTACCACCAGTAGCTACAAACTTGCCGTCTGTCGAAGCGGCTACACAAAGGATAGCGTCGGTATGGTGCTTGAAGTCGAAATCATCCTCCCTCTTTCCATTGCCGCGTGTGTAGATGAGCTTCTTGGGTTTCGTGGGTTGCGTGTGTTTGGATGAGGCGTCAATTTGCTGTGGCATCTCCCACTTGATCAAAGTCATGTCCTTGGAAACGGTGTAAATGTATGGAGCGCATGTGGCCACGCCGGTCAGGGACTGCGAGTCTGCGCGGAACTGCGACTTGATGGCGTTCTGATAGTCGTAGTCGTCTGCGATATAACGGTAAATTTTTCCCTTGCTTTCTGCCGAGTCTTCTTTCAGGCGCTCGCCCATACGCTCAGCCAACAGCTCTGCATCAATGTCCTTTGCGTCGAAGCCCTCGGAGATAATCTGTTGTCTCGTGTTCTCGAGGTATCGTTCGGCCAGCCGTGTTCTCCTTCCTGCAGCATCTTCGCCTTCGAACTCTGATTCCGAAGACTCATCGTCAGAGTCGGCAGGCGGGCGAGGGCCTAGGTCGTCGTCGTCGTCAAAGTCGCTGCCGGAGACAGAATCGTCGCGAGTTTCTCTTCGCTTTGTAGGGCGTGCATTCGAGCGATCGTTTGTGCGTTGAGGTCGGGGAGCGCCGGCTTCAGGTCTCTTTCTCTTCAACGAGGCGGGCTTTGTGAAGAAACTCGACATTGTTGGCGTGGCTGTAGAGTTGGGCCTTCCTGTGCAGCAAAATGCGACTTCCTAGAAACTTTTTTGCCCGCTGCGACTTGCAATCCGGAACCCACGCCCGGACCATCTGCTTCACCGCCTTCCCGCTTTGGATGCACCATCTACGTCCATGTCCACTTGCTAGACCAAACATGTTCTCATTCTATCACGAACGCTTATATTGTTGTTATCTCGAATCTCATCGGGCTTCTGTTGAATTCTCCATCCCAGAATAACTACTAAACACATGCTTGACCGAGCTACCAAGCATGAGTCGAGATGCATTTCTCGCTCGTATGGCCATGGTAAGTCTGTCATTAGAATATCTGAATGATCGTCATTTTTCTGTGACGTCTGCTTGATCCAAGAGGTTTATGAAATTCATCACGACTCTCTCCGGATCGTGTATACACATTGAGCATCTTGATCGCCATAGCTGACAGCATCCATCAAAGGGCCGATCAGTGTACGAGGCTCCAACAGAAGATTCAGAAGCAGCTACACGGTTAGCGAGACCTGGTGAGCAGCAATACAACACCAGAGGTGAACCTGTCTGTCTAGCCACCAAACGCCAAAAAGAAGCCATGATAGCAGCCTCAAACGAAGTTCTGGCAGCTGTAGGCGTATGCGAAAAGAAAGATGCACTCGTTGATTGTCTGGACGAGGACCTGCCTGAAGATCAACAGCGAGTCCGGCTCACAGATCACGAATGGAAGATTGTCAGAGAAGGCGAAGATGACTACGGCGAGACCATCCGTATGGTTGCAGAGACTTCGAGAAATTTCTTGACCTGGTGGGTGATGAGCCTGCGGAGAAGGATACAAGTTGGCTTCATCTCATCCAACCTCAGTTTTATCGACATTCTTTGGGGCGAATGGACATCCTTCACCAGTAACGGGTTTCTCGGTGCTATCCGGTATCTCACGGTTGGAGGACTGGCAGAAGTCACATCACAACTCATGCTAACTTTTGTTGACTGGTATCTGGGCGAGCAAGTCATGAAGATCAGCAAGAAGATCATCCAGCTAAAATCTAGCACTAGGAAACGCTTTTTGCTACTCAAATGTGTAAATTACACTTATCAGGCCACAAATGCCTTGCTCCATCTCTTGGTGTACCCGTTAGCTTCCTTCTCTTGCCTGCAACAACTCGGCCTTATATCCTCAAAGACGCTCCTACCTTCCAAGTCCTGGTTGATACCATGGAGCCCTTCGTCTCCAGTTCGCTGGGCCTTCTTCGAACAAAAACAAGTCGGGAGCTCGAGAACGATGGGATTGTTACTCTCACCAGCAGCTCTTTGGGTGACTATGACTCTACTTCAACATTCTGCCGCCTCAGCCTATGGTCATGTGCCCCTGTTCGAGTACAGCTGCATCCTAGGTCCTCACAATGTCGCCTCATCGCAGCAGACAGCCGACTCGAAAACCAGTTTCGCAACACCCTTTTCCCGACTTCGAGACAGTGCACTGCAACTCCTGGGCTGGGGACCCATTCCCTCTGCCTCAGAAAATAAGTCACAAGACTTGTCACGGGAGTCGAGTGTGCGCAACCCTGCAAGCACAGCACTAAACGCACATCATGGTCCGACTGCAAGACACCGAGTCACCGAGCTATCAACCCTACCCTCGAACCTTCTGGCCTTGAATCTTGACTATCTTTTCTGGACCATCATCATGCTCCCGCTGGAGATTCTGCATCTCACTTCTCTCTTGTCGGCGTTCTCCTCGACTCCGGCAGCAAGAATGAGTGTTGTGGATGGCGGGTTCGTAGGAGTGGTGCCAAACCTCGCAGCATCTAGGATGGCAAGAATGAACAAGATAGGCTTGTGTCTGGCATTGGAGTTTACGCTTGATACGGCAGTCTGGGGTGGAGCATTCGTCTGGGCAAAATATGTCGGTACTTCCAGATACTACTGGGGACGCACGTGATGGAGTCGGACGGAATGAATGATGGCGAGGGCAAGAGACTGTTTTGGGTATCTGCAGCTGTGCTATGCGCAATACAAGATAAACGCTTGCAAAACAAGAAACAAGTGAAAAGAAGACATGGATGTTCTACGACAGAAAAGTGAAAGACCAATGTGGAAGGAGTCATCATTGTTCGATGCCCCAACGCTTCCAAATGGCCTTCAGTCTACCTTTTGCCTCTTGACTGATACACAAGCTAGGATCCAGAGGTTTTAGTTTCTCCTCTCCAAGCAGACTCAAGGCTGCAAGACCGAGAGACGAGTGATACAGATCGGGCAGATCGCCAGCGATTTTGCCAAAGCCACCGAGTTGAGGGTGAATGGTTCGTTCGAGAAGCCATCGGCGGAGGGATTCTGTATTGGGGAGATTGGCTTGGCCAAGAATCTGTTTGATGTCGCGTTAGCCATACAGAATCGGTGATACAATTGGTGACAAGTAGATGGAAAGTAGGACGTACGGATAATGAACCATGGACCCAAAAGGCATAGCATGTGTCTGCAATCTTGTTGCAACGGCCATTGAAGCCCGTCCACTCCAGACTAAAGTTTATACTCGGTCGGCCTTCATAGTTCATTTGTCCCTGTTTGCTCACAAACTTGTCTTGATAGACGAAGCTATGTGCATCGTGGCAGGTTTCGGCCGTGTCTGTTTCATCGCCGTATGTGTCCAGTTCGTCTTCTTCGCATATGGTGGCGGTCTGGCGCGAGACTAGCCATTTTATCAGGAGGGAAGGGTTGGTGAGGGAGTCGTTGGGCGAGGGAGGGGAGGGTAAGGCAGAGTGAGGTTGTGGGGGTAGGCGGTTGATGTTGCTGAGGGCACCGATGGCGCAATAAGTAAAGCCTGCGTGGGCTTCGTGGTAGGGCGCGTCTGAGATGCCGCCGTCGTATGTCTGGGTTGGTGTTAGCCAGTTCCTTGCTCTGTGTCTTTGATCGCCTGTACTCACCTCAGCGCTCCGTATGCATGTTACGAAGTTGTCGATCTCGATGTCTGGACAGCCTTGTATGTCACCCTCGTAGGTCCCCCTGAGAACGTAGCGCACACCAGTGGCGCAGTATCCGAATCGTGAGTCTGTGCCACCGTTGATGGTGCCCTTGACAAGCGTCTCGCCAAAACTGCCGTCGGGTCTTTGCAGTCGCGTGAGCCATTGTAAACACTCGCTTCTCTTGACTCTGCTCAGATCGTCGTCCAGGACGAGTAGCGAACACAAGGCGAAGAAGGTGGCAGGCAGATTCGCGGGGTCCCAGTGCTGGTTGTCTTCTGTGGTTGCGTGTCCAAAAGTTGCGCCAGGGAAGGCGCGGAAGCCGCCATGTGGGTGTTGGTTATTGTAAATCCAGTCGATGTAGTCTTTCCTCTGCTCTTCTGTCGTGTTTTGCTGTAGCGTGCCTAGCAGGTCCAGACCACTGAGGGTGAAGAAGGCGAGGGACATGCGATTACTGTCATTGCTCTGGTAGGCGGTGGGCAGGTATGTCTTGAGTGTGCGCAAGAAGTATTTGGTGTGTTTGGGGACATCGAGTTCGGGAGAGGAAGCCATAATGTGCTGCACCTTTGGCTGTTGCGGTGCCGGTTTGAGGACAGCGGATGGCATTACAAAAAATTACGTCAAGGTTGTCAAAGCGAGTCACTTGGACTTCCCCAGACCCCTGTTATGCTCATCGCAATATCCATCTTTGTCGCTCTTATCAAATCAAAAAGTTGAGGCTCAAGTGGCGCACCCGCCGCCGCCAAACCCTCTTCCATGACGCTCACTAGTCATGCTCCCACACGTCTGTGCCCACCAGCCACCATGCTTATGCATGCTTGTGCTGTACCCATTTGTCTACCATGCATATATATGCATGCGGTCCGAGACAACGACATCAACATCATGAAAATACCACGGCCCGTCCATTTGCTGCTGGACTGGGATGGCACTTTGACCCGCAAGGACACCCTTTCTCTGGTCGGTAGCATGGCATACTACGCCAACCCCGACACATCTCTACCACCATGGTCAACTTTTGTAGATGGATGGATGACTGACTACACCGACCACGCAAATCGCTATGAACCCATCACACCCGCCAGAACAACTCTGGATCAAGAACGACAATGGCTAGCGAGTCTTGCACCCATCGAAAACAAAAGCGTCCATCGCGTCGAATCAAGTGGTATATTCAAACGTGTCAAGGCCAGCCACGTCGACCATATCGCTGCTTCATCCATCAGACGCGGGGATCTGCAACTGCGCAGCCATTGGCATCTGCTTTTTCACACTCTGCTGTCCAATCCATCCAATAAGATCAGCATTCTGAGTGTGAATTGGAGTGCTCGTTTCATTCGCCAGTCTCTACTCTCCGCGTCCTCAAATCTTGCATCTCCGGACAATGAATCACTGACTTCTTATGTCCGTACTATGGATATCGAGGCGAATGAAATCTCCAATCTCGAGCACACAGAGGGGAGTGATGGTAGGTTGTCCAAGGATTCTAGCACTGGTATACGCACCTCTGCGGACAAGCTGCTCCGCCTACCGCTTCGCTGTCAACAAAAGCTCGACAAGTCCATCTCGACAACAGAGGCAATCGAGCAACAGGAAGAAATCGTCGTCTATATCGGCGACTCCGCTACCGATCTTGAAGCTTTACTTGCAGCAGATGTGGGAATTTGCATCAGAGACGATCCCATGGGAAGCAGCCAAAAGGAACTATATGATACGCTTCAACGGATCGGCGTAAAGATCCAGAATATAGATGAGGGTATAGACATGAAGCAGAAGACAGGCCATGTCGTCTATTGGACGCAAGATTTTGATCAGGTGGCTAAAGCGTTAGCAGGCCTGGCATCGTGAGGGCGCGTGGAGATTGTGGATTTCAAAACATAAATTCCGTTTTTGGCGTTCCACACATCATACCAATTATTGTCGCAGACATATCGTACAAGATCTTCCATAGTTGGATACTCTCGAGTCAGCAAGACTCCTCGTGACAATCGATGATCGACTCTGTCCTGGAGGGAGGCGCATTTGAGTCAAGCTAGGGTCGCCCCTACCATGTATTGGCCATGATTTCTGGAACAGCCGCAAGCTCATTGGAAGTCGTTCATTTCGTTTATACTTGACAGACCGCACTTTATATCATGATCTCCGGAGCAACTGTGGCCCAAAAGAATGCAGAGGACGCACGGAGTCGAGATTGCAGAAACAAAAACCTCTCAAAAAGCTTGCAACATTCCTGCTGTCTCGATCAATCGATTGTTGCTGCTCGCCACATTGTGAGTAATTTCCAGGAGAACAGAATACAGCCGATAGAGCGGCTCCGCAACCGACGTCTCGCGGCAGAGAATCCACCGTCCAGAACGTCTTTTGCAGTCGTGTCACATCACCCAAGCCGCGCGGGTCCAAGGTATCCAATACTTGGTTGGTCGTCTGGATAGCTCGGAACGCCCACACACAGCAACGTCTCATCATGTGTCTAGCACGCTGAGGCTAGCGGCCATGCTGTCTTGGGTATGATGCATCTTCCACGTTGACGCCGCTGTTGTCGGGTTCAGTTTGTGAGGAGGCTTGAAAGGCTTGCTTCCACCTGCTGGGCGCCACCAAAGCTTGGCCGGCAATGGCGTTCACAATCATTGTCTGCAACATCCACAACAGCTCGACGACTTTGCTCGTTCCATGTCTTTGCGACTAACATCGAGTGTCTAAATTGGTCTTCTTTTTACTGCGTATGCGTACTCAGAGTATGTCACCAACAACCTGTTGACGGGAGCGAGAATATCACAAATCTTTAGCCCGTCTAAAGATGTCGTCCGCATGGGCCGATACAATCCATGGTATTCCTTCCCAAACCGCTCAGGCTAAATCGACTGGGCATGCATGCCCACCCTGAGATGTTCAACCCGAACGCACCTGATAGGTACGGACTCGCGCGTGCTCCACCATCTCCGCGCTCCTCCGCATCGATCCCCACATGCTATCGAGACCTCCATGTCTCCAAAACAGTAGGAGTAGGCTGACAGCCGGCGGCTAAATCCATATGTATCCTAGTCCACGCCTCGTGCAATTTGGCGGCTAATCATGCTCACCTGTACTTCATACACACACAGACCTCTGACCGTCTACGAGTGCCGTAGATCCATGTACCTGGCTCGTCTCCAGTCATTGCTCAAGTATAAGATCTGTGGAGCACCTCCACTTCCCCCAGACAAGATCGATTTTCGTACGACTATCATTAACCATTCGAGAGAAACATTGACACATCCTCCAACATGCATACCTCGACAAGTGGAGGCCATGACGCTTTGTCCAAGCGACGAGCTCAGTTCGCTGGCCCATCGGGTGTCAAAGGTCTCATCCAGAACTCGCGCATTTTCCTTCTCGCCGTCTTTGCTTCGCTTGGTGGTTTCGTCTATGGATGTGAGTATAATGGTGGAATGCTTGAATCGAGCTTGTGCTGACGGCAGCCCTCCAGACAACCAAGGAATGTTCGGACAGGTTCTGAACATGGCATCTTTCAACAGAACGGTCAAACCAGAGTCTATCAGCAACACTACCACTAGAGGTCTTCTTACTGCGTAAGCTCTCTCAACGACCACACATGGAAGTGATACTGACCCGAGCAGTATCCTCGAACTCGGAGCATGGGTCGGTGTATTGATCAACGGATACAATGCCGACAAGTTTGGTCGCAAGGTCGCCACCCAGATCGGTGTGGGCGTCTTCATGATCGGTGTGATCGTCCAAGCATGCGCTAAGAATGCCGACTACATCTATGGTGGTCGTTTCGTCACTGGTCTCGGTGTCGGTATCTTGTCTATGATTGTTCCTCTGTGAGTAACGAGGACACCTTACAGCCGCCACTCACTCGACTGACCACGACCACAGCTACAATGCCGAACTGGCACCTGCTGAGATCAGAGGTTCGCTCGTCTCGCTCCAGCAGCTCGCCATTTGTACCGGTATCATGATCAGTTACTGGATTGGTACGTCGCTTGCTTCTGCCCATGTCTAGACTCATCTCATCTATGTATTTAGGATACGGCACCAACTACATCGGCGGTACCGGTGCTGGCCAGTCTAATGCTGCCTGGTTGGTTCCCATCTGCATTCAGCTGCTGCCCGCTCTTATCCTCGGTGTTGGTATCATGTGGCTTCCTCAAAGGTGAGATCTATCAACGACGATGGAATAATCCTGCATACTGACAATTCGTAGTCCTCGCTGGCTCGTGTCGAACAACCGTGAGGACGAAGCTTTGGACATTCTCGCCGACCTCAGAAGAGCACCCAGAGACAGCGAGGTCGTGCAACTCGAGTACCTCGAGATCAAGGCCCAGCACATGTTCGAGGTCGACAGGTCGAGAGCCAAATTCCCTCAGTTCCAGTCCGGAAGCTTCTCGGACAACTTCAAGCTCGGATTCTACGACTACGCCTCCTTGTTCACCAACAAGTCTCTCCGCAAGAGAGTTTTTGTCGCCGTCTTCACTATGGTCTTCCAACAATGTCGGTCCCCATGATGTGTTGCGTTGAGTCGCTCTGACTAACACTGATGCGCAGGGTCTGGTATCAACGCCATTTTGTACTACGCCGCTTTCATCTTCCAGGATCTAGGCTTGACTGGCAACACCACTTCGCTTCTGGCTAGTGGTGTCGGTGGTATCTTGCTCATGCTCGCCACCATTCCTGCCGTGCTTTACATCGATCAGCTCGGTCGTAAGCCCGTCCTCATTGCCGGAGCCATCGGCATGGGTATCTCGCACATCATTGTCGCTGCTCTTTACGGTCACTTCGGCCCTACCAACTGGGCTGGCAGTGCGGGCAAGGCCGCTGGTTGGGTCGCTGTTGTATTCGTTTGGATCTACGAGATCAACTTTGGATACTCTTGGGGAGTGAGTCATTGCATCTACATCACGTTCCTATAGCATGACATTCACTGACTATTCTCCCAGCCTGGCGCATGGGTCCTCGTTGCCGAAGTCTTCCCTCTCGGTGTCAGAGCAAAGGGTATCTCGATCGGTGCCTCGTCCAACTGGCTCAACAACTTTGCTATCGGACAGGCCACTCCCGACATGGTCTCTGCCATGGGCTATGGCACCTTCATCTTCTTTGGTATCATTTGTTTCCTCGCCGCCGCCTTCATCTTCTTCATGGTTCCCGAAACCAAGGGTCTTACTCTGGAAGAGATGGACGAGGTCTTTGGTGACGAGGCTGGCAACGCTGCGGACGACCGCGCTAGACTCGACAGAATTTACACCGAGTTGGGTCTCATGGATGGTGGTGATCACCCCATGAACAGCGGCAAGATGAATGGCGAAAAAGTTGCCGCTATCGACATCATGAACGATGGCACTTACAAGCACGTCAGCAACTGAGTCTAGATCTCGTTGTTCGTTGACAGATTGAGTTTAATGTTGCACAGGAGGAGGGTTTGTTGTTGGTTTGCTCACATTCGCTTTCTCAATTCTGGTTCACACCTTTATATACTGGTCCTGCCAAGAGAGCTATGTGCACATATGGTTGTAATGATACTTTATACCTTTACTATATTCTGCCGTCTCGAAATGCACCACGAACTTGTATATGAAATTGCCTTTTTTTATAGTGTTTTTCCGCACAAGCATAGATTGACTACATAGTAAGGCTGTAAACAATCGTTCCCATACACTACCACATCTAAACCTTGTAAACAATCTTGAAGGACGAAATCTTGCCCTGACGATGCATATCAAAGCCCTCGTGGATAGAGTCAAGGTCCATCAACTTGACCTTGTTAGGCTTGATCTTGCCTTGCTCCAACCAAGAGGGAAGTTTCTCAAACAATTCAGCAGAGAGTTCGTGGTCATCAACCGAAGCCTTCGAGCATACACTATCAGCGATTGTTTTGTCATAGAGGGTCTTGGGCAGACATGACTTACCAGCCAGTGGAACTCCTTGTACTGGTGGTCCTTGAGAAATGCTGTCCAAACGAGCACATCTGTAATCTTTACATGCTTGGCAACGCCCTCTGTGTTGGCCTTGCCGGGACGTACAGTGCACAAAACACCACCCTTATCGGCGATAGCGTGAGAAGCCTGTGTCGAGGAATCATTTTGACCGATAGTGTCGAATGTATATCTGAGATCTGGCGCAGCTTTCTTGATGTTGTCGACGACGCTCGAGTCATTGTAGTCGAACACATGAGTGGCTCCGAGTTTCTTGACCAGATCGAAGTTTCGAGGGCTGCAAGTGGTGATGATGTTGAAGCCGTAAAGCGCAGCAATTTGAATGGCGTACTGTCCGACACTCGCTACACACGTACAAAATTAGCAGCCATCCATATGTCTGGTTATCGATGTACTCACAACTTCCACCCCAGATCAAGATACTCGTCTTTGCTTCCTGTTTGGGAATATTCAAACAGGTCTTGGAAAACAGGGCCAACCAAGCAGTGCAAGAGGCAAGTGGCACCGTAGCCGCATCTTCAAGTTTGACTCCCTCGGGAACCTTGAAGCTGATACGATCATCAGCAAAAGTGTGACTGCCATAAGCTCCTAGCCCTTTGATCTCTGCTCCCCAGATCAAGCCTGCAACCACGTCTCCTTTGCCAAGTATCTTTGCGTCTTTGCCGGGCTCCTCAACGGTGCCGACAAAATCGCAGCCGAGGACTGTGCCTTCGCCAAATGCGTTGCTGTCGAGTGTTTGGACTGCACGTCGAGGTTAGTGATATGCGAGTATTTCAATATTGGATGGCAGGAACATACTATCGGTAGGATTCTGGGCTACATATCGTACAGATACAAGACTCTGGTGTGCTTCACGTGATGGCAGCTGGATTTCTTCCTTGGTCAAGACTTGTTTACCGTCGCGCTCGTGCTGCACCCATGCTGTGCTGCTAGTCATGTTTAAAATTGATTGAAGTCGTGCAAGCTGGAAGCGAGGAGGTGAGGATCGATCCCAATGGATGAATTGTTCAAGTAGACAGGAAGTATCAAGACAAGTTGGTACATTGAAGTGAGATGTTTGTATGACGCCCAATTGATAGACTTTCGGATAACTTGCTATAGAACGAAGGCGGGGTTCGATTTATAATCTGGAGACAGGGCAAAAGTTGACGATCACGAAGAGTTCTAGGCGTCTTGGAGAACCTTCCTGTACACTTCAATACGCAATTGGCATAGGTCTGATGGAGCTACAAATGTGAGGTGTCGTGAGCTTGATTCAAGTTGAGATCCACTGTGTACCTATTTACACCGGGTAAATAGACACGAGAACGCGTCACAGCGTCCGGGCGTCAAGGTAGTACAGTGAACCTGTTACTGATTCCAACCTTAGATCTGTCATCATGGCGTTCGACATAGAGCTCTTCAGGAGTCACAGACTTGATGCTTGACGGAGCTCACGATCTACGAAGTACTGGAAGGAGGCATTCGCGGACCCCCGATGTTCCTCCGCTTAGTCATCATTCAGCCTGCTTGTGGGAAGAACAATCCACGGGCCATGACAACAACCAGTACGAACAAGCAGTCACTCGAGCAATTTGCTGGTCTCCTTCTACGGCCGAATAATACAATGCTTGGAGCGACTTCCTTCATTGCGTTTGTCTAGAGAGCAACGTCAGCTCTCTAAGACCACTTTCGACTGGTTCTCTAGAGTTGGTGGATTCAAGTCACAAGTGTGAGAACATGTTTGTACTGAGAATTAGCGTTTCTATTATCTCATGTCGGTATTGATATCATTACGTCTAATCTAAATCATCCCAGGTAGTAGACTTTGCCTTCAAATAGCCGGCGAGCCGTTCGGAACACGACCACCTCTTCTACTTGACTCTTCGCATCTAATCGGACGTCGACATCCATATCACCGCCGGGATGTCGGAGACGAACGGTCTCAAGATCTGGCACGTCATTCATCTCGATAGGAGAGTCTTCCCTTTTCCTCGTATCAGATGAGCCATTGCGAAGCTCGTATGCCACAGTGCCTTTAGTGCATGCCGCAGTGCCGAGACACACTGCTCCGGTCAACTGCAAGCTTCCGTGAACTTTGCCCATAGAATAAGCAACGACTTGGAAGTCTACCGACGGCCCGTCTTCTACGGCTACTGGTCTCGTCAAAACTGCGATCTTCGGTGTGCCTCTGGTGAGCGCTGCTTCGTTGGTGTTCTTGGCTAGACCCATCAAGACTGCTGCTTCTCTTCGAACCTTCTCAATGAAGTCGATAGAGACTGCTGCGCTAGGTCCCTCCTGGTGATAGAAGTCCGGCAGTGTCGAGCTGTCAACAAGACAGAAAGGGTTGGCAGCGTCAACAAGACTAACTTGTATCGGAATAGGTTCGGAGTTGAATGAGGTTTGCATAAGGATGGTGTTCATTGCGCGTCCTGAAGGTAGTAGTTTGCCGGTCATGGCACCGGCTGGCTTGGAGAAGCCCATTTGCACTCGGCTACCGACCGAGTATAATCCGGGAAGTTGGCAATCTCCATCTTCTTGGAAATGGCCTTCGTCGTCGACTTGGACTGTCTCGATCATGACAGAGTTTGTGTTGGTGTTGAAGACTCTGACTTTGACCTGCTTCTGTCCTGGCAGAACATCAACCAAGCCTTCATCGACCGCGAATGGACCGACACCAGATGCGATGTTGCCACAATTGCCTGTCATGTCCAGCTTAGGAGCGCCAATTGTTACTTGGACAAATGTGTAATCCACATCCACGCCGGGACGAGTGGACCGCGATACAACGGCAACTTTTGACGTCGTTGAAGTTGCTCCGCCGATTCCGTCCAACTGCTTGGGGTCCGCGTCATACGAGCCCATAACTCGTGTGATGACAGAAGACCAGTCTTGTTGGCTCTGTGGTAGATCTTTACGATGCAGGTAGAGACCTTTTGAGGTACCAGCTCTCATCCAGACGGCTGGGAGTGCTCTTCGCTTTTTGGGTATAGCTTGAGGTACCACAGTAGTGGTAGAAGTGATGATTCCTGGCATGATTGATGGGTGGAAGTCTATAATTCGAGGAATGATTGCAGCGTCAATGTGTCGTGCGGCCGTCCTGAACATAGTAAGTTGGAAACCTCGAATGAATAGTCAATATTGATACTACGTAGGCCTTGGCCTCGGGACTTATATCCATTGACTTTTTAATATACGCGACCACTCGCGGCGTCTCTTCTCCCGCGTATATTCATCCTGCCACGGAATGATACTAAAGAATGTCGTAGAATTCGCAGAGCTTACCTCGAACACAACTGCCGAGGGACTCAGCAAAGAAAGCCACGGAAAATCATGTTCCACGGCTATATATCGCCGTTCTGACCCACACTTCTCCGCAAACACCAAACTCTACTCCAGACGGTTACCCCGGGACCGAAGCCGGATCTTCCTCATCGGCGAACCCCAACCTGGGGCTACGACTGGAGTCTAATCCTTCTGGCGGGTTCATAAATACTAAGCTCTCTTGTCCTCTTGGGACCAAGAATTCCAAGCATCCCATCGCCCAACTCAGCTCAACATGCCTGGAAGACACGCAGCAACCGTCAATCTTGTCAACCCGGCGCCAAAAGAGGTATACAATGCATATGTCTACCTCGTTGCCATGGTCGCCGCCATGGGCGCCTTCATCTTCGGTTACGACTTAGCTTTTATCGGCACCACAATCACTCTTAAACCATTCCTCAAGGACTTTGGCCTCACCCACGCCTCCGCAACCGCTAAAGATGCATTCTCCGCCAACATTGTTTCTCTGCTACAAGCAGGGTGCTTCTTTGGTTCCTTGGCTGTCGCACCACTGGGAGATCGTCTTGGACGCAAGCCTGCGTTGATGATCGCCGGTCTGGTTTTCTGCGCTGGATCTTTGATGCAAACCGTCAGCTTTGGCCATGTTGCAGTCATGTATGTTGGTCGTGCCATTGGCGGTCTTGTAAGTATTGCTTCGCGCCCCATTGGAATACTATCACTAACGACATCATCAGGGTGTCGGCGCTGCCAGTGGACTTGTACCTATCTATTTGGCTGAACTTTCACCACCAGCCATCAGGGGTCGCCTGGTTGGGATTTATGAGATTAGTGTACAGACCGGTACCTGCATCGGCTTCTGGATATGCTATGGTGTTCAGAGAAACATGAAGCCTACATCTTCACAATGGATCTTGCCCTTCGCCGTCCAGCTCATTCCTGGCGTGCTTCTGATCATCGGAATGTTCTTCGTGCCCGAGTCACCCCGATGGCTGGCCCAACACAAGTCTCGCGATATTGCAGCACACACACTTTGCAAGCTTCGCGGTCTGCCCGAGGATCATGTCTACCTCCAAGAAGAGCTTACTCACATCATGGATACCGTCAATGAGCAGCTGGAAAGCCCCCACGACCAAGGCCTGGTTTCTCAGGTCAAGGAGCTCCGCGTTCCCAGCAACCGCAGACGTATCTTTGTAGGAGTGGCTATCTTCATCTTTATGCAGTTCGCGGGCAGTAACGCCATCAATTACTACAGTCCGAGGATCTTTAAGTCTATTGGCCTGAAGGGACAATCCACCGGTCTATACGCCACTGGTATTTACGGCATCGTCAGACTCGTCTGTGTCATTATCGCCATGCACTACGTAGTCGATCGCTTCGGACGCAGGAAGATGCTCATGGGTGGCGCAGCTGTGATGGCTACTGCCATGTGGTTCATTGGTGCATACATCAAGATCGCGAATCCTGCCGCACATACTGTCGGGCTGTCTGCCGGAGGCTACGCAGCAGTTACATTCATCTACATCTTCGCAGTCGGTTTCTGCTTCTCCTACGCAGGAGTACCATGGATCTATTGCTCTGAGATCTTCCCTCTTCGCATCAGAGGTCTGGGTATGGCTCTGTGTACTGCCACGCATTGGTTGTTCAACTTCGTCATTGCCAGATCAGTGCCATACATGATCTCCAACATTGGATTCGGCACGTACTTTGTTTTTGCCTCTTTCACGACTGTCTCGATCGTCTTTGTTTACTTCTGCGTGCCAGAGACCAAGGGCTTGTCACTTGAGGAGATCGACATCGTGTTTGGTGGAGAGCTGACCAGCGGACTCGATGGCGCTGCTCTGGAAGAGGTTAAGATTGGCGAGGAGGCCACACATGTCGAGTACATCCAAAAGTCGTGAGCGGTGCTCAACTTCTTGGTTCTGACTACGAAAGTTATGTGAAATGTTCTGGAATTCAGTGACTCTTTTTTGTACATATTTTTTACACATAGAATATATCTACGCGGATGATTCTTAACTTGTTACACATCTCTCTCGTGTGCAGATTAATATCACGTTGCTAGTTGTGAAAATGCACATAGGCTTCAAGAAGTAGGTATATGTCCGTCGAGAAAGGCTTCACTCTTGGCACGCGGCACTCTCTCTGGAAACAGCTCTGGTCCGGAGATCATCATGCCTTTTGACGGGCTCCAAAGCTTTGTGGGAGGCATATGGGAGATGTATACTTGAGCGCAACCCCTATGTGCCGAAGTGTGTATCTCGCACGCTCCTCCTTCGATGATCACACCTATCAAAATGCACAGTACTTTCTGAATTGTAGGCAAGTCCACAGAGAGCCGACAAAAAAGCGGCTCTCAGTGGACGCGTTCGATTCGCACAAGGGACTATGCATTTCTATAGCTAGAAGGGCGCCATGTTGTTGGGATAGAACCAATCGAAAGCCGAGGCATTGAATCCGAACAAAGCGTCGTCGTACGATTCAAGGCCTGTATTGGCCACTTGTCCCTGGCCTGTGGTCGGCATAGCGGTATACATAGCGTTGGTTGTGTGGTCTTGCGGCATGGGAAAGCTTGCAGGTTGGCCATATAGCTGCTGTTGTTCGTGCATAAAGCTGTGGATGATTGTATCCACGTCTATATCAGGGTCAAACTGTCCAGCAACCATTGTGGGCTCATGATTGATGATCGTGTCGATAGGTAGGTGCGATCTTACGATGCTAGAAGTATTGCTAGGAGACGTAAAAGTGTTGGATTGTGATCCTGGCGTCACGTTAGACGAGGTGCGGTCAGTGACCGTATCCCTGGGATTGCTAGTGGCGCTGGAGCTGGTCCCCGGGTCGTCTAGTTTGATGCCCATTCGCTTCTTTAGGTTCTCAATCACGATAGACGCCTTCTTGACTGCGTAATTCGTAGCTGAATTCTGATCAAACACAGCGAGGCATGTACGAAGATGTTCGTGCGCCTCAGAAGTGGACGCCCTCGTGGCCGCGATGCGGACGTGTATTGTGGCAGCAACATAAGTTGCGTACGAGATGAGATATGGTGCTCGTCTCACGGAGAAAGACTTGTCGTAGAGCCGTACTAACTTCACTATGTTGATAGCAGCTTCTGTGCACGTCGCCAGTGACGACTTCGAAGTTGATGGCAACGTCAGATGTAGATGACCGTCGGCTACGAGCGGACGGTGAAGAAGCACTCTGAGGACGTTCCACATACATTGGAGTGAGAAGACATGTGGTGGAGGAAGCTGCTGAGCTCCACTGTCGCTATTGGTGTCGATGCGCAAGTGCTCAGGCAGCTCGGCCATCCAGTCTTGCAGCTGCTTCTCAACATACTCCAGATCTTGGACCAGATCTTGAGTAGTTCGCTTCTGCTCTCTCTCGCAGTAGGTTCTGTCAAGAATTTGCTGGAGAATCATGCAGAGTTTACATAGTTGTCCGAAGGTTGACACACTGTAGCTTGGCGAACCAGGATAACTTGGACCACTAGCATACGCGAAAGGATGCCAGGCCTCTAATTCTTCGTAAGTGTCCATAAATTTGATGGGGACTTGACCATCGATAGCTCTAAGGCTCGCCGGACGACCTTGGTACAGCGACTGCATCTTGTCGACGACATATGCTGACCAATAGACTCGTCGGCGAATCTCAAGATCCTCTTCGGAATATCGTTGCATGGTTGGCATCATGGCTGCATCTACGTGTAGCCCAACATCAACCAGCATTCTAAAGGCCGTTCCAGCGTAGACCCAAGCAGCACTCTGTTCGTCGCCGAGAGCGAAAAGGGAATTACTCATCTGTAGCAAGGCTTGAATTGTGGTGATCTCACTGTGGTCAAGTGCTTCTCCAAGGAGATCACGCACACGATTGCGGAACTGCCAGCCAGCTGTTCTGACATCATTCGGATCTTTGCGTAAGTCCAATCTTGGGCTGAATTTAGAGGCTCCGTAGAAGATTGCATTGAGCAAGATCTTTGAGAAGTACGGCCCGTTGCAGGCCATATCTCGCATGAATGCCGGTCGATATGTGATGAGGAAAGAGTGGTGTTGCCGATTCCAATGGAGATTTAGCAGATGCATACCGAGTTCGGGATCCACACCATCGAAATCAAGCTTGCCAGCACGAAAGTTGATGCTTTCAAGCTGTCGCTGCTCCGCTGCAGCAGCCACCAAAATCCTAGGCATCCATGTCTCTCGCTCTTTGGTCAAGTATGATCGGGATTGTCGATTGGACGCTGCTGCTTCATTGAAAAGTGTACTTGTCGGACCATGATAAGTTGTGCTTCCGACGGATGCTGGCGTCTCGACCGGATCGTCACTCTCACGACGGATTGGCTCTGCAGGAACAGTAGTGGTATGCTCCGCTGGAACATTTGTGATAGGCTCATCCACATTTATTGATTGTTCTGGTGTTATCCCATGGTGGCTTGCTTCAGGACGAATCTGACCGTGACTTGGTTCAGTGTGAAACTGACCGTGACTGGCTTCAGTGGGAAGCTGATCGTGTCTTGCATCGGTTTGGACCTGATTGTCAGGGGGCGTGGTGCCCCCTGAGGCTCGTTCACGGAGACGGCGATTCTCTTCGAGCAATTCGTTCAGTGCAGCATTCGTGGGTCGTGGTTTCCGCGTGGGGCCACTAAACACGCACTCCTGCTCGTAGACCTCACAGTTCTTACAGCGAGGTCGCTCCCCTGTGCACTTCATCTTGCGCTGTCTGCAGTATGCGCATGCTTGCTGTGCACGGACATGCCGTCGCTCAGGAGGCATATTCTCCGCGGATTTTCCTGCTGTGGAAGCGTGGTGACACTGGTGAGAGGGCACGAGAGATACCGCGAGCCGGGCTCATGATGTGAGATGGCGGGGTCCGTGACGCGACATGCGCGTGCCAACGGTCGTGGTCAATGCTCAGCCACGGCCAGCTTGCTCCGAGCCTTCTTCTTGTGTCTGCCGGTCTCTCTCTCACAACAACACGCAAGCGGGGCTCGAGCCATCGAAACGCACAGTCCTTTTCAAATGGCAGACAATCTCACAGAGAGCCGAAAAAATCACGATTCTCAGTGGATGCTCTCTATCTGCTGAAGACTTTGTGCATTTCTATAGCTCCAGTACTCGCGTAACATACTTTGCATGGGGGATGTTCGACTTTCAATGGTCAGGCTCCTTACACATCTATGCTCTGATCTCTCCATGTGCAAAGGTATGTCCCGTGAGAGCTATGAAAACGCACAGTATCGTGTCGGGCCAGGACGTATTCACAGCATGGAAATTTGGCGACTATGTGACGGCGAGTGCCAAACACATCGGCTGTAGGTAAACGCTGAATAAGCAGGATCTATATGGTATATAACACTCGGATATCAAGGATACACGGCCCGATTTTGGGACGATCAAAGAACAAGAATTTCAAGCCAAGACGCCCAAGATTCTCTCGTAAACCGAGAAGACAATTCCACCAGAGAGCAGGAGTCTACCCAATCTTGGGCCGCTTCCCTTCCAGAATGCTCTGACACCCCCATCGCTCCAAACGCCCCTGACAGCTCGTAATAGCGTTTCGCCTTGACTACTCTGTGTACGAGTCTTGATGGTATCGAATGGTTGAGTGGCATACACAGTGATGAGTCCTGCACATGCACCAATCGCGAAAGTCTCGGGTGTAGTCTTTGGCGCATGTCCGATATAGCTGGCGTATTGGGTCTTGAGCGTGTTGTATGACCCCATTCTGACCGCTGAAGTGGCTGATTGTTTGATGGTCGTGCTAACCAGACCTCGATACAGCCCTGCGATGCCTTGTTCGCGTATGAGGATACCGACTGCATGAGGAGTAGACCGGAACCGTTTGGCGCCTTTGCCATCATCAATGAGAGCAGTCTTGATTCTTTCTGTCGGTGTCACAGCCAGAACACTTTCCACAGCTCCTGCCACACTTCCAGCCAGGATACCTCCGGAGGTCGAAAGTTTTCCATTCTCGTCTGCAAGTTGAGCTTTGATGGTATCGAATGCGAGGAAGCGAACACCGGCTTTAAGTGCAGTACCGACGATCAACGCGCTACAACCAGTGTAGATACCTGATAGTCCTTGTGTCGCCACTACGCCGCGAAGTGCTTGGAATGCATTGCCTTGTTTTCCTTGGGATCGCAATTGACTGCTGGTTTTGGCATACTCAAAAGGGTAGGTTATGCCAGCTTCCACACCTCCTGCTACAGCGCCGGCGAAAAGGGATGTGAGAGGATGCACATGTGCTGTTGTCTTTTTCTTTTGAATTGACGGCGTCGATAGCGCGACTGTGTTTGAGGATACGGCGGTCGTTGACATTGTGAAACTTGAGTCTTGGGATTCGATCAAGGATCTTGGTGAATGATTTTGCTTCCAAGAGTTTGTTGAGTTTTGTGGTCGTCTCACCTTATATTGACACATTCTGCGAGCTGGGTGGTCACCCACGTCTATCATTTCTTAGTTCAGTGTCCGGCATAGGCTCCTACTCGGATGTAGACTATGGATGCTATTACTGCGCTTCTGATACGACACTCTTTCCACGGACTCATATTGGAGAGTGTAGTAGGATTCGCAGTGCTAGCCTCGAATACAACTACCGAGGGAGCCATGGGCGTAAGCCACGGATACTCTCATGCCACGGCCATGTCTAGCCGTTTCGAGGCACACTCCTCCGCGAAAACGAAACTCTACTCCAGACTGTCATCCCGGGATCGCTACGGATCCCACGGGTCACGCTTTGCCAGCTCCATGTCCCCACAAAAACCAATAAACATGGCAAATTGCCAAGTGTACAACATCTTGGACCGTTCCCTACTGTCCCTAGCATTCTCCCATGTCCCTCTCAGCGACCTTGCCCCATGGGGTATACCCCACAGAGATTTCAGGTCTTGGTCTAACTTGGCGACTACCATAGAGGATTACAGCGGCGAGGTTGTTTCGACTTGGCGATTGAGAATTGCAGCCACATTGAGTCCCGTCAGGATGTCGCGGACAAGTATGAATAGACCGTCAAGAACCGCGTATATCGCCTTTCTATCATCATCACAACTTCAACCTTTTCTGTACCGAGCATCACTTCGAGAACGATTTCCAACATGTCGACTGAGAAATCTGACGGCGCGTCGATCGAAAAGATCGACGTTGTCATACAGACTACCGAGAACACTTCGCCAGCTGCGATCCAAGCACGGTTCACAACGCTATGTGATCTGGACGACGAGCAGATGGCCGCGCTGAACAAGCGTGTTCTCCGCAGAATCGATTGGCGCATGATGTACGTAAGGCGAGGGTACAGATAGTGCAGGTCAAAAGCCATCAGATGACTTTTCGACTTTCGCCTGTACTTTTATGACCTTCATATAAGAAGCATGCTAACTGTACCCTCACTTTTAGGCCTACGATCACGATCATGTTCCTACTCAAGTATGTTCTGCAACAACACTAGTGGTTGAATAGCATCAATTCTAACACCCAAACTAGCTACCTTGATCGTATCAATGTGTCCAACGCACGTCTTGCTGGCCTCCAAGATGACCTCGGTATGAGCGATACCGTCTGGAGTGCCGGTATCTCGACCTTCTATGTCGGATATCTGGTCGGTCAGCTTCCAGGTAATCTGTGGTTGGCTAGGGTACGACCTAGCTTGCTTCTTCCTGCCATGATGATCGGCTGGAGTATCTGTACCATCACTATGCCTGCAGTCACATCGTGAGTTGGGCACCCCTAATCTCTATTCTCTGTTAGCTGATCTTGTCGTCACAGTGGTGCTGGTTTCTGTATCGTACGCTTCTTTACTGGACTGTGCGAAGCGCCTTTCTTCCCTGGAATCACCCTCAGTAAGCTCAACCCTGGCTCATCATTGCTCGTTATAGTCTAACAGATTTTAGTGACCTCTTCGTGGTACACAAAGGCAGAGAATCCAACTCGTATGGCTGTCTGGCACGCCGGAAACACCATTTCGAACATCATCTCAGGCTTCCTCGCTGCCGGTATCCTTCAGCACATGGGCGGAGTCGCAGGACTTTACAGGTGTGTTTCTTTTGCCTCGGACCTATTGTTACGTATCATACGCTGTTAGGACCACGCGCTAACAGGGGTTCAACAGCTGGCAATGGTTTTTCATCATCGAGGGTGCGATCAGTATCCTTGTCGGTGTCATCGCTTTCTTCACCCTACCAGATTGGCCAGAAAACACCAGATGGCTCACCGAAGAGGAGAGAGAGATGGCCCAATACCGAGTCATTGTCTCCAACGGAGGCAAAGAAGAGCAGGTTGGAGGTACTTGGGACGGTCTCAAGGATGCTTGCAAAGACCCTTTTACCTGGATGTTCTGCGGCATGCACTTCAGCTTGATCAACGCCCAATCGTTCAAGGACTTCTTCCCCTCAGTGAGTCAAACCTCTCACACGCTTGTTTGCTTTTACTAACATCAAGCCAGATCATCAAGACATTTGGGTTCGGACAGCTAGAGACATACCTCGTGCAGGCTCCACCATACGCCATCGCATATGCAAGTGCTTGCGCCCTCGCCTGGAGCTCTGGAAGATTCAGAGAATCATGCTACCACATCATCATTCCCATCGCCGCCTCTGCTGTGGGAATCGCCGTCATGATCTCAACCGCCAACGTCGGAGCTCGCTACTTCGGTGCTATCCTGCTCGTTTCTGGAACGTACAACGGTCTCAACCTGCAGCTGTCCTGGGAGACTACTCTTGTGCCTGCTCCTCGCAGCAAGAAAGCAGCGCTGATTGCCATTGCCAATTGTGTCAGTCAGTGCTCTCACTGGTACTCTCCTTACTTCTTCCCCAGAAGCCAGGAACCTTTCTACAGATTGGGCGGTGGTCTGATTCTCTTCGGTTGCTTGTGCACTGCTCTGCTCGCTTGGACCGTCAAGTGGTGGGCCAAGAGATTGAACAAGAAGCTCGATGAAGCAGAGGGCTACAGTGAGCACAGCGGTGTTGAGCGCGGCTGGAGATATGTGTACTAGATGCTGGAAGGTACGTGTGACGAATTCGATATGATGGTGTGATGACGGAGTTTTGCGCGGTTCGCTCTTGCCATTCTTGTATATGCCGCCGTGTAGTTACTTGTTTCCTGCCGTTTAGCTTGGTAAACCATGCACGTACTTATGAATTTATCTCAAGATCGAAAATTCCGTCCTCTTTGAAGATTGATAGGCCATTCTTGAGGATCATATACCCCTCATTGTGTCATGGTTGCGTGATGGCGGGGCAGAGGGCGATCACCTCCAACAAAATATAACCAGTCTCCAAGCTTATCTCTCTTACACACCAAAGCAAAACTCTATCGTATATCGTCTTGTCCCAACATGTCCGAATCCAACAAAAAAGTCTTCCTGATCGGTCCCGGCTACATCGGCCTCGAAGTCCTGGACCGACTCCTGGAAGATGGCTACACAGTCACAACTCTCGTTCGCCGAAAAGAGGCAGCAGAAGAATTAAAGCAGAAACAAAACATCGAGGTGGTGATGGGAACAATCGACGACCAAGATCTCATCACCCAGCAAACTGCAAATCACGACATCGTCATTCACACCGCTACAGCAGACCACTTGCCTTCCGTGCAAGCCGTAATCAAAGGCATTGAGCAAAGAGCTGCCAAAGACAAACACACCATCTACATCCACACCAGCGGCTGCAGTTTCCTCAGCGACGACAGCCACGGCGCATACGGAAGCGATAAAATCTACAAAGACACCAATCCAGCAGATCTCGATGCACGACCAGATACTTCTTCGCACCGTGGCATCGATCTCGCCATCCTCGACGCCAGAAACAAATTGGGTACAAAGGCCAAATTGTTCATCATACTGCCTCCATTGATCTACGGCGCTTCAAGTCATGGCAAGTTGTCCATTCAGGTCATCACAATGGCTCGCTTTGCTTTGAAGCACAAATATGCTGGTTATGTCGGTGGAGGTAAGGGAATATGGGGTCTGGTCCACGTCAAGGATCTCTCCTATGGATATGCCACGGTCCTGCAGTTGCTAGAAAACTCTCCAGGCACGGTGAGCCTGGAGAACCCATACTTCTTCTGCGAGAACGGCGAGGAGGCCACTTGGGGACAGTGTGCAGCTTTCATTGGAAAAGAGCTGAAAGCAGCCGGCAAGATCGATGATGCATCGCCGCGAGAAATCCCTCCGGAGCAGTATGTGGATTTGTTCGGCAAGTATTCGGATGTGGTCATCGCGAGTAACGCTAGGAATAGAGCTGAGAGGTTGAGGCAACTGGGTTGGAAGCCCAAGCACACGGATATCCATCAAGCGTTCAGAGATGAGGAGCTGCCGATTCTGCTCAAAGAGACTGCTGAGTTCAACGGTTATGCGAAGGAAGCAGCATCGGGCTCTGGCTGAACCGAGGCTTGAAATTTATCCTTTCTGCCTCTGACATGTCTAAGTTATTCAGAAGCGTATATCATCAGCATACTCATCTGGCAGTAAATCAGAGCAAGCTCTTTTGCTCAACAGGCGTCTCTTTCTTGTACTTTTCAAAATCGAAGCCCAGCTCTTCCAACGTTCTGACTTGACGTCTACCTTCACCTCGATCCTGAAAGGCCTTTTTTATCTCTGGGAACTTTTCACGCATCCAGTATTCCTTCTCGCCCCAACGCGGTGGCTGCTTGCCCTTGGTTTCTGCATCGGATGCTGACATTGACCAATCATACATGGCATTGATGTAATTCGCATCCTTGGGGAACAAGAGAAGGTGGAAGTCTCTCTCGCCACCATTGGTCTCTTTGAGTAGATTGTCCTCCCAGGCTTTCATTTCTTCCACCGAAGGCAATGAGATACGATTATTCCATAGACGTGCAATGACAGCGCTTTGTGCTTGTGCCATCTGGAAGGGGATGACGCGTTGTTGCAGATTAGGGAAGCAGAGAGTGGGATGCGGGCGATAGACCAGATGCTGATACAGGTTTTCAACATGAGTACCGCTGGTGACGAGTGGTGGGTCCATGTTGTTGAGGAAGGGGAAGGAAAAGAAGTAGCCAGTGCAGAAGAGAATGGAGTCAATGTCCTTCTCTATCGTGCCATCGGCAAAGCGCACAGCCCTGTCTTTGACGATAAACTCGACGATCTCTTCCCGTTCTTGCTTTTTCGGCGTGGGATCCGACAGTAAGAAGGACTTGGACTTCTGAGATTGTAGGAGGGGTAGTTTGCATGCTTCCATAAGCTGCATGGCGATGTCAATTCCCGAGGCACCACTGCCGACAACGATGGTCTTCTTGCCGGTGTAGTCCTCTGGCTTCTTGTAGTACATGGAGTGGGAGACGACATTTGGATATTGCTCGGCCCACTCCTTCATACCCTTGATTTTGGGGATGAAGGGTACGGCGAAGTGACCATTGGCGACAACGACGGCGTCGTACACCGTTTCGACGACGTCGCCCGGTGTGTTATGTTGGACTTTCTGCGTCTTTACAGACCATGTGTCCTGACCGTCTTCTTTGGTAGCAGCCAAGCTAATGTCGACGACTTGGGTGTTGAAGTGTATGAGGTTTCTGATGTCGGCAGCGTAGTCCTCGAGGTATTGGGTAACGGTCTCGTGCTTGGGAAACAGTTGCGAGTCTTGGGGCCAGTCAAAGTCGGAATAGCCCATCAAGCTATAGTAAGCGTCAGTCGGCTTCAGGCTTCAGGCTTCGAACGTGTTGCGACTTACGTGCGCGGGATGTTCGTCTCTAAGCGATCATACAGCGGACTCAGGAACAAAGAGTCCTCTTCGACGCGACTTCCGATGGCCTGTCTGGTACCTGATTGCCGCCATTTTGGTTTGGCGAGACCAGCGTGTGGTGTCACTGAGGGGACGGGGAGGTCGTCGGGAGTCTTGTCCTCTGGCGAATAGTCCCAGATTCCTCCTACACGCGATCGTTGCTCGTATATATCGATGCGCTCGAAGGCCTTTTCACCAAGTAGGTATCTACGAATATCAGCTTCGATGGTCGCACAAGGTCGACGAAGTCGCGACGCTGCTCACTTTGCTGCTGCCAGCCCCGACGGTCCCGCGCCCACAATCGCAACATTTTTGACAGAAAACTTGCCCGTCATTATGCCTGCTATTCTGTTCCTCAACATACACGCTGGCGATGTATACTCTGAGATATTAGCCACACTCGTTTCTGCTATCCACCTTTGGTTTCGTCATGGATCCATGGCGTCAACCATCCACTGACTAATGCTCTGCCTATCTTCGGCCCGTCCGATGTCTGCCTTGACTCTCGCCGTCTCGTCATCACTTTCTCGGGTCCATCTTCGCCAACATGCATGCACGACATCGTGCAGCATGCACTCGAGTCAGGGTGTGAATGAACAAAAGTGTCCGTTATTCGTCAAGGCTATCGTAATACATTATCTCCAAAAATCCCAAGCGCCTACGCTGTTGTAACAACACACATCAAGCCAAGTCAGCCTCATCGAACCATGCTGCCGATTCTGTCAAATCCAGCCATTTTCATCACCCACTCGTCCAGCAGCGCTGCGCCATAGTCTCCTCTGTTGGGCAAACGCTGCGTGGCGTGGATGCGATATTGTCTACTCGAAGTTCCCGGCACCATAATGCCATCTTGGTGGTCGAGCTCAATCATCACTACCGGACTGTGAATGCGGAAGTAGAAAGGTGCGTCCCTGTGAACAGGTCCGAGCCATGAGAAGTATGTCTCGTTGAGGTGACTCTCGACTCGCTGCATGAACAAGCCCAGCGAGTCTTGCGGCAGTACCTGGTTGAACGATCTCACAATATCGAGAAGTGCTCTTTGTTGGTGCGCGTTAAGATCAGCGGCGCAAATTCCTTCGTAAGGCACGATTCTGTTGTCTTGGTGTGCGCCTCCCAGACTGCGGTAGTCCATAGGATCGAACAGGTCTTGATCCATGCTGAAGTCCTCGATCTCGCCTGAAAGACTAGCCTCACACTGTTGTTGTGGGTTGAGAGATGCCATCAAAGCGAGTCCAGCTGCTTCTTCTCTCTCAAACACCTGAACGCCGTCTACCAAGCCTTGCTCGGTGAAGCTGGGACCAGAGCTGACAAAGAAGGGTCCGATGACAACCTCTCCGCCAAGTGTGAAGACGTTTACACACACGTTGTCGCCAAACAGATTGAATCCCCAAGGTGAGAGTAGGCCAGGTTCGCCGAAGAGACAGAATTGATAGCCAGCGATGCGGTGCAAATCCTCCTGGTTTTCGGCTTGGGTCATCATCATTGCAGTCCACACGCGCGCGAATCCTTCGTGACTCAATGATACTCTGAGCAGCTCGTATACTGCATTCATGGTGTCCGCACTCATGGCATCGACACGGAGACCGCATTCCATAACAATAACCTGGTTTTGGTCAGTCAAGGGTCATGGAGATGCCAGTAGTACTATCACGAACCTCTGGGTTTGACCACGCACGCCATTCTCTAGCGGTCACGAGATGACGGAATCGTGCCTTCTCATTTGGCGATGCTACTGACAGCAAGAACTGAGCTGCGTTCACCATCTCCTGTGTTGGTCCATTGGCATGGGGGCTGGACTTCCAGAGTCCAGGAATAATGTTTCCATCCGATGTGAAGCCTTTGTAGGGTTCCCTGTAGTTCCTGAGCCATTTTTTGGCCAGCGGTGATAGCGAGATTCGTCTGTCCCGAATGTGTGCCTGGGCATAGTCGTGATAGTCTTGCAATTTGGGTGCCGAGGCTGTGTGGAAGTAGTCCGGGGAGAACATCTTTGCTGCTTTTGACCGGAAAGAGGGAATTTGGTTGGTAGGGTCGCACGACTTCTCTCTCTCTCTCTCTTTTGTCAAAAGAATGGGCGAGGCATCGGAATAAATACAAACGAGCTCGCGGCTCTTCATTGCAACACACGGCGCTGCTGCGGGCGAACTCGTGGGCACATGCCCCCGTCCGGGACGGCCGATTGTCTTACCCTCGCTATTCCACTGTCACCCTTTACCCGGCGGCGCTTCTCTCTCCATTGTGGAGGAGGCCCAAAAGGTCTCACAAGGCGAAAAAGGGCCCAGGTCGGGCCGATACACAGACGTAATGATCTCGCGGCTACTCCGCAACCATGCTACGCGCTGGGTTAGCGACGGGTAGCGCCAAACTTCCCACAGATTTCACATGTTTCCCCGCTGTGGCTCGACGGCTGTTCTGGGCAATTTGTGGGGGGGAGGAAGACATGTTTTGGCAGTGGGGAGGGATATCGGTAAGTCTTCACGGAGAGCTGCTTGTGTACGGTCATTTAGGGCAGACGTGGACGTGGAGAGCTCATCATTGCGACTCTACTTATAAGCAAACGTGACTGCTCTCGGTCCCTCCCACAAACCTTTCGCCTACTTGTCATCATCATGCCTTCTGCAACCTCTTCAAGCTTGGACATTGTCGTGATTGGAGCTGGCCTTGGTGGCTTGGCTGCCGCCATCTCCTGTGCACTCGGCGGCCACAAGGTAACAGTGTTGGAACAAGCAAGGGAATTGGCAGAGGTACATTGTGCAGACGCGGCATCCGACGGAAGAGCTCATCGCTGACCGGCAATTCAGATCGGAGCAGGCCTACAAATCACACCAAAGTAAGAGCAGCAGATCCGGGCTCACCCGGTCTTCAATAGCCGAGGGCAGAAGAAGAACAACTGGTCCTGACACGCATCACAGCGCATCGAGACTCTTCCAACAATGGGGTATTGATAAGGTTCTCGAACCGTTGGCGGCCGAACCGACCTTCCTCGCTGTGCACAGGTATTCTGATGGAAAAGTACTCGCCTTGCAGAAGGATTTCGACAAGAAGATACGGGCCAAGTATGGAGCGCCCTTCTTGGATCTGCACCGTGTGGATTTGCAAAAGACACTCGCACAGCGAGCAAAGGATTTAGGCGTCAAGCTGAGGCTAAACTCCAAAGTCACGAGCGTAGATTTTGAGAAGTCGACATTACAACTGGACGATGGAGCCACATACGAAGCAGACCTTTTGGTCGGTGCTGATGGATTATGGTCCAAGTGCAGGGCACATTTTCTGAAGCAGTCCGGAAAGGAGGATGCTCCGCTTCCGACCGGAGATTTGGCATACCGTATCGTCCTCAACCTAGAAGACCTTCAAGATCCTGAGCTCCGGCAATGGGTGTCGAAACCGGCATGCCACTTTTGGATTGGGCCTGGAGCTCACGTTGTCGCATATTCAGTCCGTGGTGGACACCAGTACAATATTGTGCTTCTCGTTCCCGATAACCTTCCTCCAGATGTGTCGAGATCTTCCGGAGACATCAGTGAGATGAGGGAGATCTTCACCAAATGGGACCCTATCTTGAATCGCTTCCTCGACAATGTCAAGACCGTCGACAAATGGAAGCTGATGCATCGTCCAGAGTTGGATAGCTGGGTCAGCAAGAAGAGTAATTTCGTCTTCCTTGGAGACTCCTGGTGAGTAAAAAGCATTCTACCTTTGAACATGGTATGACCGTACTAACAGAGTCTAGCCATCCCATGCTACCCTACCTAGCCCAGGGTGCGAACTCGTCACTGGAGGACGGTGCAGTGTTAGGTAACCTGCTCGCTGTAGTCAAGGGCAAAGAGCAGCTGCCCGAGGCATTGCGCCTCTATGAGAATCTGAGAAAGAAGCGTGGTGAGGCCATTGTTCGCGAAACATTTGCCCAGAGGAACGACTTCCACATGATGGATGGAGAAGAGCAAGAAGCGCGCGACAAGCTGTTCGCAGGTGAACTTGGCAAGGATGAGCCTGAGGTCAAGTTTCCGAGTCGTTGGTGAGTAGGAGTAATCGCCGAGTCTCTTGAACATCTGCTGACATCAGTATGTAGGACCTGCCCAGTGGTACAACCATGGCTCTACGGCTACGATGCGAAGAAAGAGGTAGATGACGCCCTGAGAGGGTCATCACTTGTTCAGTAGACCATACCTACCATGAAATAACGCTTCAACTTCAACATCCTGCGTATCGTGGCTTACCTTGACGATGTCATGCCTTAGCACGTCAGTCGTAATACTTGGGCAATATTCACGTCTTCTTTCCCCATGTCTTCTCGTTGTTAGAGCAGACGGGGTCAATGTCGGCGTCGATTGGCATGGACGTTGCTTTTCAATTCGGTCCTGCTGGCGGGTATTCACAGTCGAGGATTTAGCCTGTGTGACATTGCAAGAAACCCATGCAAAAGAGTGAGCCCGAGATAAAAGCAAAGGCGTTAAATCGGGCCTTCTGTTGTGATCCCTAGGTTCTCCACGAAATAATATGCCGAGCTCCTCTCCGCAGAGTCCGCAGTGAGGCCGACTTTCTGGGATGTCACCATGACCCCACGCCTTCGAGAAGAAGAGGCAGGTGGCTTGCCCAGACAAACTTCCTTCCGACTTCGTCATGTCGGTGCAGTCGGTGACTTCGGCGATGACTTTTGGCGATAAGAAGTCAGGCGGCCGGTGTATGCCACATGCTTCGTATGTCGCCGAAATGTGCTTGATTTCCACGTCAGAAGCCTAAACTTTTCGTTCTCGCCCGTCGGAGCGGCGCTTCTCTGTTGTCGCTTGCTTGAAACCGCCCTTCCGGCGGCGTCGTGATCCCAAAGCGGGCGCGCTCCGACGGAAGGGTCTCATCTCGGTTCAATTCGCATCCACCTCGCATTCAACTTGCGAGGTGCTTTCGCTCCTTCTCGGTCGCTCTTTGTCCGAGTTTCTCGGATTCGCAGTCGCCCGTCTGTTCGTATCCACACACAACCATCTGCCCTAGGGCTAGGCCTCTCCACACACAGGTTTTGGCCTCTCCACAATCCACGGAGTTCGGAGCCTCTCTTGCGGTACTGCCGACTGTATATCTCTCCATCCTCACTGGACAACGTTGTCGCGAGGTTCTCATCGACTCCTACAACACGATCATGTACTCTGTAGATCTTTGTGGGGATACTGTAGCAATGCGAGAGCCCTACCTGCCGGCCTTGAATAGGACAAGATGAACACAGTTAGGTGGAGCTATGCAAGCTTACGTGTTGTACAGAGAGTACGATGGACTCCTCTCTCTGAGATTGTCTTGTCTGTTTATCTCATCTTGGCTGCAATCTCTCTGGACTATCCACTGTATGACTTAACACATCAGAATTTTCTCCGAAGTCATGTCAGACAAACCACAAGAGACTCGGGTCAATGATGTCGAAGATTTGAAAACCGCTGGAGAGACTGGTAATATTCGTTTGCCAGTCCCCAGCAACGATCCCAACGACCCTCTCGTACGTCTTAATCTAAGAACAGATGGCGAAGCCTATTGACACTCTTCGCAGAACTGGTCTTTGCCTATCAAGGTCTCAGTCTACCTGACAGTCTGCTTCTTCACCTTCATCGCCAACGTCAACGGCAGCAACTTCACTGTCGCTATAGTGCCACTCCGAAGACACTTCCACATCGATGCCACAGATGCGACTCTCCTTGTCGGACTCAACGTCTTGATGTTTGGTGTTGGCAATATCTTCTGGGTGCCTTTGATGCGCGTGCTCGGCAAACGCCCAGTATACCTCATGGCCTTGACCGTCCTGACCGCGGCCAACATTTGGAGCGCATTCGCACAGACCTGGGGCAGTCTACTGGGAGGACGCGTGCTCAGTGGTGTTGGTGCCGCTTGTGCTGATGCAACGGTTCCTTCTCTTGTAGCCGAGATGTTCTTTTTCGACCAACGAGGCCATTGCATGATGTTCTTTCATGTAGCTCTGGCATCTGGTCTTTTCTTGGGACCGCTTATCAACGCCTATATTGTCGGACTACACGGTTGGCGCTGGAGCTGCGGCTTCATCGCTATATTCTCTGGTGTCTTGCTCGGTTGCACCTTCTTCCTTGTTAGGGAAACACAATACACCAAAGCTCGAGTTCAGCATCCCGAGGACGAGATACCCGCTAAGAGAAGCTACATGGGATGGCTCTCCCCAACGATCGGATACAATCCTCAAGGTCACTTCCTACGCACATTCTGGGATATACTGCGCATGGCGACTTATCCACCAGTCTTCTGGGCTGGCATCCTCATCGGTTGTTTCGTCGGCTGGACCATTGTCATTCAAATCGCCACAACGCAAACCTTCACGCAACCACCCTACAGATGGACCACAGGCACAGTCGGTCTCTTCTCCCTATCCGCATTCATCGGAGCAATCCTATCCTTCTACGCCGGAGGTCGTCTTATCGATCTGATCGCCAATCGTGCTCGTCGACACGCCTCCCACCCACGCCCCGAGATCCGCCTCATCGCCCTCCTCATCCCCGCCATCATCGGTCCCCTCGGCGTAATAACCTACGGCCAATGCATCGCCCACCAAACCACCTGGGTAGGCCCAGCCTTTGGCTTCGGCATGCACGCCTTCGCCTTGACTGCTCTCAGTAACATCGTCGTCACTTATGTTGTAGACTGCTATTCCTCATTCGCAGGCGAGGCATTGGTGATTGTTTTCGTCATTCGCAATGCCATTGCTTGCGTGCTGAGTATGTATTCCAGCGATTGGATCGCAGAGCAGGGTGCGTCGATTGTTTTTGGGGAGATGGCTGCGATTCAATATTTCTTGTTGGCGTGGGCTCTCGTGTTGTTTTACTGGGGTCCTGCATTGTTGAAATTCACGGCTGGTTATGGACCTATGCTGAGGGTGAGGTTATTGCAAAATGAGTGATGGGTGACTGTGTTTGCTATACCATATATACTAGGATGCTAGAATACAGAGATACACCGTAATCTTTTCTTAATCAAATGGTGTTTATCACGCAATTGGGCAAGGAAACACTGAGTGTAATATTATATCCAGCAAGAAGTGTGTTCAAAATCGGATTTTACAGATTTTGGACCTATCAACAGATATACTCCTCCATAAAAAGCATCATCACCTGAGAGTATATCTATGGCATATATCCAGCCTGTAAATAAGTACATATCCATGCTAAAATAGAGCGTAGTGCTTGATCTAGGTCGGGCACTACTCGCTGTGGGTAACACCCTGACCACCAAATTGGAGCACAACACGAATGCGGAAATGACAAAAACATGCAAATGATGTCTGACTCGCCGACGAGTATGCTGATGAAAAAGAGGAATGCGAAAAAACGGTCAAAGACGTGATAGTCGGCTTTCATTGACAATCTTTCTTCCGATCTCCTGCCCAAACGCGTATTCTTGCGTCGACGCCATCGAAACACAGACCATCACTCTCATAAAGGCAAAGAAAGCACGGCCTACTCCTCATCGAGGAAGCTCAGTCCCTGCATAGCTGTTCCACCACAAGCTCTCTCCAAAGCCAAAAAGGCAAAGTGACTACCAATAACCGGTCTGGCGAAGAAGTTGGGACCAGGGAAACCGCCTTCACCCTCTGTGTCGTACAGATCGGTAAAAGGTCTATCAGTAACAGTCTCGTTCAGCCACTTGGAGACTCTGTCTAAGATCTCTGTTCTAGTCTTGCGGGAAGCAACGGCTGCAGCTTGGAACTCCCAGTCGGATTTGGTGTAAAGATGGCGAGAGTCCAAGGGAAGCCCGTACTTTTGCATCACCGTGGCATACCAGTCGGACTGAATCTTGTAGATATGGTCCGGAATGAAGTCATGAGTCGATGGCTCGAGAATGGGCTCCTGCTTGCCACCTGACACCTGAGCATAACCGCCAACAGATCCAGCACTGCTGCCATTGGTTGTCGAAGGATGGAAGCAAAGTAGTGCGTCGGCGTACAGTGAGTACAGAGTGGTCCAACTTCCGTACCAATTATAGGCCAGCTTTGCATGAGTACCGTCACGAGAGATGGCAAGCTCTTCCCAGCGCTTGACGTATGTGTCCGAAATATTGCGGAAGTGCTTTGCGTCATCTTTCTTGTCCATGACTGTAGCCAGCTCTCCCATGGCCCGGATACCGACGATGCCTTTCAGGGCCAGATTAGTGTGGAGAGCCAACCATCCAGCAAAGTCATCGGTCGACAGTTGGTTTTCGGGCTCCAGACTGTACTCAACCAGATACGAAGTCCACTGCTTCCACAAGCCGTATGACTTATCGAGCCACTTACGAGCCTGCTTCAGTCCTTGAGCCGAGCCACCCCAACGATCATCAAGACCGACCATCTCGTCACGTTTTTCGAGAGTGCCTAGGGCAAATGGACTAGCCTCGTTCGGTCGAGGAACATGGTCGCTACCGAGGGCAGACCAGACTGACTGAGCCTCTTGTCCAGAGCCGTAGGTCAGCGAGTTGACAAGAGCAAGACCCATGATAAGCATATCTCCGCACTCTTCGACTGGCATGTATTCATCCCTGCCATCAGCGTGACCTGTCAGATTGGGGAAGTGTGTGCCGAGATCGTGCATGCTATAATCGTTAGGATATTGGCCGGAAAGCATGTGCTCAAGAAGAGGCTCAAGCAGGTACGCGAGCCATCGAGGTTGAGTGTAGAGGAAGAAGGGGAAGGCGGGGAAGATGACATCTACGGTCTGGCTGTTTCCGTTGGACGAAATTTCCTTGAGGAAGAGCAGAGGGTTCTCCTGGGTGCCTGAGAAACTGGTGGCTCCCATGGTCTGACGAGCCGAGAGAGCAACGATATCGACGTAAGAGTCGGAGCCAGACTGATATGCGTCGATGGCGAGCTGGTCCGAGTAGTTCTGTGCAAGCCTCTGAGCGTTCTTGAAGTCCGTGTAGTGGAAAGACGTAAGATTGTCATCGGTGGGGAACCACGTCTTCCAAAGAGGGCGCATCAGAGTCAGGCCTCGTGCGGAGGCATACTGGGTGACAGGATCTTGGATGTGGGCGATGGTGAAGAGCACGCTCTCGGAAGACGTCTTCTTGTGGCTGCTCGACTTGGGAGCGAGGTTGAAGGACTTGGAGAAGGCGAAAACGGGTTCGTCTTGCATGATGCTCCGGAAGCGGTTGTCGTTCTCGTTCTGAAGCGTTCCTGTACGAGAGAAGCGGTTTCTCAAAACACCCGATGTTCCACTTTCGTGGCGTACATCCTGTTTGTATTGTCAGCTTCATGTTGAAGGATTCGCAAAACAAAATGGACAATACTCACCGAGGGACCAGTGAACCTCAGGCTTCCCCACTCGGCACGATCGCTCCATTCAGTGAACAGAAGCTCATCCCTTCTCTTGACAACCCAGCTCTTGAGTTTCTCCGTCTCGGCATTCTCAAGCTCCCATACAATCTCACTGCCTCTGTCTCCGCTGACCCACTGACCGTTGAGATCGATGTATAGGTCAACATCGAAGTTGCCTGTGGCATGGATACTAAGATACGAAGCTGGAATCGATTGGCGAAGAGTGGACGAAGGCGTAACTGGAGACAGGAAAGAAAGGACGATCTCGACGTAGTCGGAGCTCGAGTTCTGCGAAGGGATCTGATAGGTAAGGTTGGTCACAGAGGCATCGTATTGCGCGCCTTTGTAGATGGGGTAAGAGATGTTGTAGCTATGGAACCAATCAGCAACATTTTTGTTAGGTGGGGCACAGAAACTGACGTGTGGTCATCTCCATCGAGAGAGTCCTGAGGGCGACCGAGCAGAGGGTAGGCGTGTTTGGTCTCAGGTACGCTGGCCAGAACAGAGAAGCCAATCTCTTCACCGGTATAGAACATGGGCCACTTTGTCCATGGCTTGTCTCTAGCGTTACCGAGCCAGGTAGAAAGATATGGGTTTCTGACAATCAAAGGCAAGACAGGTGGGTTCAAGGTGGAAGCAGCAACCGACGAGACCAGCGAGGTCACGGCAGCCACAACGACCAGAAGCTTCATCCTCTAGATTCTATCCAAGACAGGGACAGAGAGTACAGCCCAGCTGATCTATAGAAATATGAGGATCGGAAGAGGGTGGGAGACAGAAGGAGAGTGTTCAGGACCTCAATAGCGCACTCATAGACAAGATGGGTGTGTAAGAAAGGGGGAAGGAAGGTCCTGCTGACACTCGAAAGTCTTAGCCGGCATGGACACGCGAATGGCTGCGTCAGGCGTGAGAAGCACATGTTCGAGATCGGCATCAGTGGCTTGTGTGCCTTGCAGCTTCCCCACGATCCATAGTGGGGTACGTTTTCCATACTCCGTACCGACGATACGATAGGGTTGCTTGCAGTACTTGGACGCTCTAATTTGATGGAACTGATGCATGTCTTACTGAAGTGTCCGGACGTAATGCGCGTGACCGTGTGCCACAATATATCGACCTGTTGTTCTGCTGCAATACCCATGTCTTTGTATTCGGTTCACAGCCGAGGAGTTCCCACGTTGCATGTGATTTTACTTTTTTCTTGGCTTCAATCACGTCACCAACTCAAAGACGACCAGACAACAACTCTCATCCACCAATAACGACCGCTAATTCCGTCTCTTTGCTCTTTGCAACATCTCATCACCTTCCCACGTGTCGTTGACAGTTGAGCGAGTCTCATACATAGAGATAGTTGAGGTCGCCCATGGGTCATGACAGGGATGCTGAACTGGTCTTGTGTGACAAGGACGGATGAATAGGGGATGTTGATCTGGTAGCTCTTCTCTTAGAAAGGCTTCCAAACCATTCCTTGATCTTTGCTCCACTGCGCTTTCTGAGGCTTGATGGTGGTGTTTGCGTGACCCGCTGCTCAGCGTCCAGAGGTGTAGGCGTTTGCACCAAGTGCTTCCGAGTGGTTGTCTCCACACTGCTAAAGCGCTCTTGTCCTCCGTACTCCGAGATCTCTGGCGGTGATGCTCCACTGGAAGGACGTTCTGACTCTGGGGGAAGCTCGTCCATCGTGGGTGGTTCTGGGTCTAGGATCGACATGTCCAGCTCTGAGGGGACGGATATCTCTGGGTCCAACTTTGTTGGCGAAGAGGGCTCGGTGCGTGAGGAGGTGGGTACGAGACTGATGGCTGGCGGGTAGGACAGTCTGCGAAGCTGCGACGCGTCTGGAAGGTGCTCCGGGATCTCAGGAATCTGTTCGTTTGTGCTGACGCTGGAAATGCTGCTGTTGCTTCGTTCAAGGTCCTGGTCGGGGTGATGTGCGTGGACATGGGGTCCTCCTCGTACATGATAGCGGAAGGTAGCGTATGGCTGATCAAGTGGATCCAGGAGAGCATACTGGTAGAATGTCTGAGGGTGATGCTCCTTGAGGCGACCCCAGTTGACCAAGTCGAAGCCCTTCTCGCCGGCGGGAGGCATCTCGTCGAATTGTCTGCATGTTCGGCGTCTACCCCTGGCGCGGTATGCGAGGATGTCAAAATCCTGGTCGTCACCTGCAGGGCGAAAGAAGAAAGAGCGCTTTTCGACAGTGCGCCAACCTCCATGGTCTTCTCCTCGGAAAAACGCCCACATGGTCTTGCCTTTCCACTCGTCTGCTTCTCCGACTCCCCAGCTGACGATGCATTCGTCGTCGAGGATGAGCTTGAAGAACATGTACTTTGTCGGCGCGTGGGCGGGCGCGAGCATGGCTGGGTTTATTGTATAGGATACCCAGAACTGGGAGCCAAGATAAGACGGAACGTAAACGTCGACAATTCGCTCATCATCGGACGCGTCGCTTGTGTCGGCGGCTGCTACGGCTGCTTCAGGGATTGTGTCGGCGTCGAATTGCGACTCCAGCATCAAGATGATGCCCTCGGCTGCTGGCATCTTTGTTGCGTTTTGTGTGGTGGACAAAGGCACCTGTCTGTGTGGAAATGAAAGACTGTCTGGCTTTGTTGTCGCGATCTCAAATATGGTTGGGCTTGTTTGGGCTGCGCTTGCTTTGACACTCGCTTTGTTGTTCCGCTTGCTTTGTGTCCATGAATGCACGCCGCCAATATCAAAATCCTTCAAAACCCAAGGCCTTCGCCGGACCTCCATCACGCTGCTACCACCGGTTACCTGATTCCATTCGTTTGTTCGACTCCCTATCCGACTACCAGTCATATCTTCCCGTGTCCGAGAGCTACTTTACGCGAGCTTCACTAAAATCTGCGCAAGTCACGGGTCGCTGGTGACTCTTTTCTCTCGGCACCAACGCTCATATATAACTCCAGGAAAGTGTTGCATTTCTGCGTTTCTTGTTCACAATCTCACCCATCTCACAACACATCACACCAGGCCAACGCATACTTGTATTACTAAAATCTTCCACAACACTTGAACTCCTACATCTAACACAACAAAATTATCCACCATGGTTGCTAGGAACCAGAACAAAGCAATCGAGAAACTTCTCAAAGATTGCAGAAGAACGCAGAAAGCCTCCGGCCGTCGTTGGAAGACTGCCTTCCCTCGCGATGTCCTGAAACAACAGGAGCTGAAGGTGATCAAGGCCTACGTCCCACCCACCAACACCTTCAAGAATGCGCAGGATCTTCTCGACACCGTCGAAAAGGATATCCAGGCAAAGTCTGCTACTCAGTCTATCCGCAAACTCGAAGATCCTATCGCCGTACGCAAGCCAGTCGCTGCAGCCAAGCCGGTGAGTAAGCCACGCAAAGACTCGCTCTCACCGCGCTCCACCCCTTCTCAGGCAAGAAGCAAACTTGTAAGAAAGGACAGTGGCATAATCCTGAACAGCTCTGGCGCGGTGACAAGTGTCAAAGATGTGCATCTGCACCTCGCTACCGTCCCCCTATCCAACATCGGCAGCTGGACTGCAGGCTGGGAAGAACTGTGTCGCTTCTCTGAAGACCACATCGATGCTTACTTCTCGACCATCGAAACTGTCACTACCTCTACTGGCCTCATCGTCTTCTACGCCGACTGCGAAAACAAGCTCATGGCAGACCTGCTGAAGGGCAAGCTCGCCAGCGAGAAGGTACTCGGCAAGAAGTTGATCTGCCAAATCATCTGAGAAAAAGATACAAGACATGTGCTATACTGTATAACATGAACGGATGTTGGAAAGATGTTTAACAGGGAGTTTTGGAGAGGTTGAATTTAAACATTTGCAAATCGGAGTTGGAAATTGCCACTTGCACTGACGGTATATACCTCACTTTATCATGCTATGTCTTGATTTTGTCCTACAAACTTGGTGTCTCTTCTCCAAATACAGTGTGCGTGATCAAGAAGCTGCTTGACTCACATGGTCATCGCTGCCTGACATGCGTGTGAGATTTGAGGGAATTTGCGTTTGCGCTTCTGACATTGCAAACATCTTTTTCTTGAACCTGTTCACGAACATACCAAAGCAACTCAAATGTGAATGTGATGATGGTGTCTAGGAAGCCGAGATGTTCTTGATGTCGTCGCGTCTGTTGATTTTATCCGAGTTAGTCCTTGTACTGGTCAGGGAAACGTCCAAAATCTTAGACCAACTTGAAATCTCTCAAGACCGGCAGACGACGACATTAACTGGTTTCTCAAAAAGCAGTGCACAAGGAGTGAGTGTCAAGTACACAATCCAAACGTACCATTGTACTATTACTGCACAATGACATGAAGTTGATGTTTGCCCAAAGCACAAAGCCGCTTTGAGCCGAGCTGTATAACATGCATCATGTTTTACCAGATCGACATCCCCAGGAAACCCTACCTGAATACAGCATATGCTCTTCCCGTCCAAGCATCAGATACCGTCAGACCTCAAGCGTGCACCGATATCGTGTTTCGTACCTCCAGCCGAGATATCCAGCCGTTCCACCCCGGTCACGCATCAAACCCTCGACACGACCAACCCCATGGAGTGACTCGTCATCTGAACCCTATGCATGCGGAGCAGCTGCATCAGACACACGGCAGCCCGGCACGTTTGTATCCCGGCGAGAAAGATATTACACAGATCAACGATTGATATTCGCTAATGCCGATGCTATGCGCGAGCATCCCTGAGCGTCACCACCAACACATTCATCTCTGCAACGGATGTATTGCGTTTCGTTTCTGCTAAGCCGAGAGCGCCGACGGCCGGATGCTAGGGCTGATAGGAGGGGAGGCCTGGTTTTGTTCTGTGAGATGCAAGGTTTGACTAAAGGTACTGACAGACGTGTTGGTATGATGCAGAGGATGAGATCTGGTATCTGCCAGATACGAGGACTGGAGTTTTCCTGCATAGCCTACAGGCGAGAGCGGGGTTCGTGATAGGTGTAGTCTCGGTGTGAGGTCATGGGTTTTTGGTCCTTTGTGTCAAGCAGAATATTGTGGCTTGCTTCCAGATCGCGTTCAAAACTCTTCTTCGGTGGGTGACTTGAGCGAGATAAGCATAGCGCATGTTGAGCATGGCTTCCGGTAACATGCACGATGTGTTACCAGGTTTGAGTCTTATTCCGAGGATTGTTTGGTCTTCGCGAGGCTTGTTCAGCAGACACTGCAGAATCTCAGGGGCGCAGCGGATCTTCCCAACTACAGCATTTCATGATTTCCTGGGCCTCACAAAAGTCCAGATACCTGCGATTGCTGCCTGATGAAGATTGCAAAGTGTAGTTGTTGTGAGGTAGATGTCTCTTGTCATCTCTCGGGACAATCTCGTCCTGCTTGAGAAGTTGCAATGAACGTGAAGCACATACCCGTTCATGACCACCTCTGACCAGGCTGCCACTCATCTGGTATTCTCAAATGAGTCGTCCTCGAAGGATTTATGCACCGTAGCAACGTCCAGTCCGGCTTTCTTCGCGATGCAGCGTTACGTCCGAACGAATCCCAGAGTAGCCACAATCATGACCATCTCAGCTGTCTTGACTCGCTCCATCAGGCTGATCTTCATCCGACGAAAGCAAGCGATGGATTGTTGTTGAAAAATGAAAGTCTTGGCTCGGTGGATCAACGTTCCGTGACGTGTGCTTTTTTTTCTTCTCTTGCTGAAAGCCTGAAGTCCCTAGCTTCAGGCCGGCGCGAAAGCCACTGACAACGAAAGAGGGGAAGTCTCTGCGCTCGGGCTGTCGAGTATTCGAGGATGGGCTTGTTGGCTCGAGGATATCTGTAGAGACTTCAGCAGCGTTCGAGATGAGTTGCGCTGGGTACATGAACGAGTCGAAATGTTGCAGTGAGAGGGAGTTCGTGAAATGGTCATAGTATTCTTCTCGCCATATCTATCAAAAAGGTATAAAATTTCATCAAAACAGTAAAAAGCAGATTTCATAGCATACAAGCATCCAGTGCTCGTCGCTTAGCGGTTGTCAGCGCAAGACCAGGCGTGACCGCTGGAGTCCTTGGCCAGCTCAGTACCCGATGCGTAGAGACCAACAACGCAGATAATGACACCCAACAGCACCAAAACGACGTTGCAGCAGAAGAGGAAAATTCTCTTGGGTCCGGTGAACCACTCGCCCTTCATGATGTAAAGCCACATGACACCGGGAAGTCCGTAACTGAACCACGAAGCGAAAAGAGCGGCGACGAAACCGAGCAAGTTGCTGAAGTTGGGGATAGACTCGGCCAGGATCCATGCGACGAACCAGATACCGAAGATGATGGCGAACCAGGAAGAAGTGGCAACGACACCACGGCTGTGAAGATGCTTGGTGCCAGCAAAGAGACGGATGTAGATGTACTTGGCAGTGACGTGACCGAAGATAACACCAGCGATGATGATAGTGGGCAAGGCGATACCCCAGGCGATCTTGGAGACGAGAGGAGAAGCACTGCTCAGGGCAGGGCTGGTCACCATGTCACCGGCGAAGTAGTAGATAACGACAGCAGCGACCAAGTAGAGGGAAGTGTCAACGGCCTGGAGGGTGATCAAAGCCTTAGGGTAGTCCTTGGGGTCACGAAGCTCACTGATGAAGCTCAACCATGCAGCGTGTCCGCCGTAGGCAAAGACGATGTTGGAGACGCTGTTGAAGGCAGTAGGGAAGTTGGGGTGGGCGGCATCGACGAGGTTGCGTCCCTCAAGAGGGTTGACACCAAGAGCGATCATGGTGATCATGACAGCAGCAAGAATGGAGATGAAGGAGGCGATGGCCAAGAATGACACATTCTTCATCGTGCGAGGAATGGTAAGAAGGAAGAAGAGAACCAGACCGACGATACCGAAGACAATGCTGCAAGTTCCGTGGTTGGTGAGAGTGTTCATCGCGATGATGAAAGTCAACACATGAGAAGCCATGCCTATGCTCAATTAGAATGATGAAGTCTTCGCATGGTCAAGAGTTAACTTACAGAAGACACAGAAAGTAACGTAAGCAAAGCCAAACAATTCGCGTCCGAACTTGCCCATGAGGATCTGGCCGACATCACCAAAGGAAGCGACCTGAGGATATCTCATGCGGAATTGCCATAGGGTGTAACCAGAGTATGTGGTGATGATGCCCATGAGAAGGATGGCGATGATACCACCAATCAAACCAATGGTCTTGAGGACGGCGGGCAGAGACAAGATACCAAGTGAGATGTTCTCGGCGATCATGATCATGGCACCTTGCCACCAGGTCATGGTCTTGTACTGGATTTCGGCACCATCTTCGTTACCAAAGACGTCAAGCACTTCGGTTTCCTTCATCGTGGTGTTAGATTCGACATCGTCGGCAATGGGGGTTGAGCCGATGGCTCCGAAGTCATCAACCCTTTTTTCCTGGTCGTATTGAGGTGGTTGACCCATTGGGGTAGGCATCTCGTTTTGATGCATGTTGAGAAAGACGCGTCGAGGCCTGAAGAGGATGTCTAGGTGTTCGCCTTGGGTAGGGTCCGACCGGGTATAAAGGGAGTGGCGTGACTGGTAGCTGGAGATATCCCCACACGAGTGACAGCTGTAAGAATGACCAGAGATGACCGTGGGAGAGGAGGGCAGGAGAGCACACGACGGAGGGGAAGGTAGTTAAATAGTTGTTGGGGTAGAAGATGACTAGGCCCGGCAGATCACCAAGCAAAGCGGTTGCAGGTACGTAAAAACTTGCTGCTGTCGTTTGGTAGTTGGTGGAGGAGAAGTGGACGATGCACTAACGCTACGGCCTTATAACGGAGCCTTTCCCCACGGTTTAGGTAAAAGAATCATGCTCATCGTTGAGCACGTATGCACGAATATGCGTTTAGGTTTCAAGCAGCTCATTGGACTGGTTGAATTGACTCGATGTCGGTTTGTATCAAGTAATGAGAATCCTTTCGACTCTCAGCAACGTGGCCCCCGGTTTTCTGATATGGGGATGCATGTGGAGCCCCAGAATGTGATCAATCTTGAGTCCCCTTGAGAACTGCTTGACCATCGAACATCTGGATGGCATCTCTTTGCCTGCGGATAACAGAAAAAATTCTACTGCAGGTGTCGTCAGAAGTAGCGCTATGTAGGTGGATCAAGCTTGCGTCAATCGACGCCCCCAAGCCTCACCAGGCTTTGTGCCTGAACGGCATCCAAGAGCCTCCCACTCACCTCCTATCGGATGCTAGAAATTCGAATGCGTAAAAGGTTAAGGCTCGGTTCGGGCTTCAGACATCCGTCGTACGACTCGGTATCAGCTTTCTGGTGCGGATCTTTGCCCAATGGCGATATCGGCAGGGCCCGCCGAACAAAGAAAAAACCCGGTCGCTTACCGGCGGTTTTACTCGGTCTTGTATCTATTCAACGACACACCGTGCAGTTTTATACTCAGACATGCTTTTATGCCCACAAACACTTGGTCGCGGTGCGAATGTTCAGATGTCATTAAGGAGTAGAACTTGAGGATTGCATTCATGTAAAAGTTACGGCAAATTTTGACCAACATTCGGCTGCTTTTCCAGAAGAATAGAAAGCAACGGCAAGATTTGCCCTGCAGGTCCTGCGAGCTTCGGCCATCTGATACTGCCAGAGCGTTCCAGTCTCATCTCGACCTCCGTCGCACGGTCGAACAAGGCGGCGCGCGACGGCCTCTGAGCGCGCCAGAAGCTCAAAGATTGTCCCCGCCTTCTCACCAAATTCGGTGCCAAGGGCTCGTCTAAAGAAAATGGATCTGCCCTGCTCTCGTGGAGTATTCGTTACCGACCACTCACGAATGACGTTGTTCTTACAGGGGCTTGCTCCTGTCAGTGAGACTAAGTTGATCTGGCAGCGATCGCAATACTGTAACATCGCTGCCTGATACACATGTCGTTTGACAGAGATAGCGGGCGATAAGTACAATAGCATGGCGCTGGCTACAGCATGACTGTTAGGATGGAGTACGATGAACAGGTGACCTGACACGCGAAACAAACGAGCCTGTGCGCTGTGCGTTCGTGTGCTGTTGCCCATCACAGGTGTAGCTGTTCAAAGACACAATCCTGTCCAGATGAAGCAGTATCACTCGAGAGACATGCTGCGACAACTCCTCTTCAAACACAGCTCTACTTGACGCGAAAGAATTTTTGAATTGCAACAGTGCTCTATGACTTGAGATGAGGCAGGGTGCATGATTTGACAGGCACCCTGACTTCGTCTCTCGATGGCCCTCAGCAAACAGGGTCCTGCCATACAGGGCTCTGTGAGTCTAGATGGCTGACACTTGGACTGAATGTCCCCACGAAATACATAGGCTAGATGTGACAGATTCTAGCCTGGGTGGTTTTGGTATAATGGCCCTGATTCAGATTGAGGTTGATTACGACCGCGCTCAATGACCACATCTCAGGAACTGTTGTCGTTGCTCATCGAACGGGAAAAAGATGGAGTATGGTCAAAATAGTGTAGTGGTTCTGATATACAAAAATTCTACGGCGGTAAACCGAGTGTTCTAACAAAGTGAAAATACAAACGTCCAGATGCAAAACGCCGCTCCAATATGCGTCTATCATAGCTTGGGTCTGCAGATGAAACGCCCCTGAAATGCCACGGATCCGTTCTTTATAAATACAGGGTTGAGAGCTCCCTCACGACAAGGTCGATTCGTCGTCATCGGCTTCGAAAAGTGGATGTAGCTCGAAATATTTGAGGAGCTGCTGATACATGACAAGCATGGTCCCGCTTTGTACACTTGTCCATACGAAGCGTGGACCAACGCCTCTGAAAAGTCCAGCAAGACCCTCGTGTTTGTATATCACCTTCAAGCCCGCAATAACATTCTCGGTCTCGAGAGCGATGGCGCTGTGATTCTTCAAGGCGGTCGAGGGCCCTCCTGTCGAGATGGGTCGTTTGGCGTCTTGTATCGAATGTGCTTGTCCAGTGGGTCTATGCGTTGAACTAGACGGGCTGACAGCAGGACCGGTTTTCGAAGGCTGCGATGCAGGTTTGTGCGCAAACTCGGGATCCAGTTGAGTCTGAATGCGCGTCTTGACCACATCAAGTGGACATGTGATGACACCAGCCATTCCTCCAGCGCTGGCACCAGTAAAGATCTCTAACGGAAGACCGATATCTTTGCTTCCCATCCAAGCTTTAGCAATCCTTTGTTCTTGCTCGTAGAAGGCGAATTGCAGAGCGGAAAAGGGCAGGTCGCGTGCCAGTGTGGCCGAGTAGCCGGAGAACATTTCTCTCCAACCTTCGACACGAATGATTGTTCTGAAAGCGTCCCATGTGCCATGATAGTTGTAGCCGCTGTAGAAGTATGGGTTGTTGTGTCGGCCCTGTAATTGCAACCTGGTCTTGAGCACCTCGGAAGGAACATACCAGGGGGAGGCGGCGAGATCGGCGAAGAAGCCTGACAGCATTGTTAGTACGGAGAACAGCAGAAGATAGCACAGGTCCAGCATCTTACCAGAGGTGAAGTATGCGACAGAGGGGTTGACGCCCCAGTCGATCATGGCGCGCTTAGAATACTCGTAGGCACCGAAGAAGGTCATGGTACCAGTAAAGGATCCAAGAAAGGCAGGCGTCACGCCTCCATAGAGACCTCGTACCAGACCTTCCTGGCGCCATATGGTGCGGTATGTCAGACCCATGGAAGTGTATTTTGGCGGCATGTGAGGGTCGCCCTGTTGCCTCGTCTTGACTGTGTCGAGTGAGTGCATGAGCATATCGCCCATCAAGCCTCCAAGACCTCCAGCAAGCATTGCCTAAATTCAGTCAACCCTGATTGTCGTTGGAGAGTCGTCGTCCAGACTAACATGGATATAGGGCGGACGGGCCGCATCTAGGTCGTCTTCGTCCATGGGCAAGTCCCGGTGGACTATTGTTGGTTGATTGAGCCGTCCCTGTGCCGCCGTCTCTGTTGGAGCATAATGTGAAATGGTGTTGGACGGGAACAAGTATTCAGCCACGCGGGCTAATACCATGGGAGCCTTCGGATGCGCTTCCGTATGCGCTTGTGAGGGGTCGACGAGGGTGTTGGAGTGGAGCGAGCGTAGGTGTACAGACGCCGGGTAGCAAAGCGTGTTTCACGAGGGGGGTGAGTATCGAGATGTACAGGTTTGTGCTCGTCGGTTGTCTGCCTTCTCAACTTTCTTTGAGCCTTCTGCACTCGGCGTCATGCTCTTGGCGGCAATCAATCGCCTCTGCTGCACTCCCGCTTCCGTGCGCCGACTCTCCGCCCACTACCTTGTCTTGACTCCAATTCCTCTGAGACACATGCTTCTCGTTCATATTCTGTTATTTCAGAGACATTGTGGTATATTCAGTAGAGAGCTCAGTAGGACTACATCGGTAGCGACCAAGCCGTAGCAGATCACATGGTCAGGTCACTCTTAGTACAAGCGCCAAGACGTTCGTTGCTTTTGCTGCTACTCGTGCTCCAGACTGTTTACCTCTTTACCTCGTCCAAGCTGCTACTTGACGACGCGTCTTCCAACCACTCGCGTTTTCCCTTTCCACCACTTTTCTCTCCACACACCGCTCTAAACTCTTCCATCTCACGAGATCACTGGTCGCCGCACTCACGCGATTCTTGCCGTAGTATTCTCACACCATGCCAACCTGGTTGTCTTCGCAACGCAAAGCTGCACTTGCCGAACTTGCTGGCCAAGTCGGAATTGATGAGTATGCATAAAAACGCGTTGCTTCCAGTCGCTTTTCTAATCTCTATAGCGTTTCCGATCTTCGAAAAGATCAGATCGTCGCTCTTCTCGACGAGCAACTTACCAACAACGCGTCATTACACTCCGAAAATCCTTCTTTCGAGCGCTATTATGCTCGCAAGGGCTCTCCCACAAAGCGCGAGCTGGGCTCGACTCCTGCTGACGAAGTCGAGTTGACCCAATCCGTTAGTCGAAGACGCGCTCCTCGCATCAAGGGTGAATCCAGTGTGTAAGTGATTCCCAACTTCCGATGCATAACATTCCGTCTCATGGCCATCTGTTAGTGAGCCCATATCATCGCCTACTGCAGTTACCGGAAGGCGCATCGCTCGTGCTGTGGTCGTATCCACTCCCGCCAGAGTCGAGGCACCCAGACTAGTAGAGCCTGCCATCGAGGAACCACGCCTCGAAGACTCATTGCTTCTCAGCCCTCCGCGCATGGCACTCCCTCCTTCGCCTGCTGTTGTGACTGATGTCATCGAGGAGCAGACCGCGCGTATTTCCGAAGGTATGAACCAGCTCTGGACTTCAACGGGGATTATGGATATGCTCCATGAGGCTCGTCTTGACCTCTCATCTGTCACCGGCATCCACTTCACGATTCTTCTTCTCGAGTCCGCAGCACTTCACTACGAAACTGTCCCTTGGAAGTTCGCATTCGACTTCCCAAGTCTGTTCGGATTCCCTAGCTTTGCGGTATTCCTGCCTGACATATTCGTCTTCCTCACACATCACTACTGGGCACCTTCGTTGCTGTGGGCGACGATGAACTTTTGGACCCCGCTTGCGACTGGCTGGCTCTTCAATCTATCTTTGAAGCTTAAGAAGAAGGATGGATTCGAAGACTACAGACCAGTTTATCGCATCGATCCTTTGATGTTCAGTATCGCTAAAGCCGTCATGTCTTGGATGGTGTACGCTCAGGGTAACAGACTCTATGGAGCCTTCGCCGAGCAGACCGTCAAGACGGTCGAGAATGCTATGCCTTACGGCTATAGCGGTGCCATGGTCGCAGCATATATTGGTATCGCCACAAGTATCTGGGATGGGATCCAGAACAAGAAGAGAGTTTAAAGCATTCCTTTCTCTGGGCTTACGTATAGAAAGGACTTGTCGACAGCTCGCTTCTCGGTTCGTGCCATGGTATAGAAGACCAACAACGATGTGTGCCTCTGACGCACAGAGGACTAAGATACGTGTGTCCATTACCCAATTCTTGATCTGTCGTTGGTTAGAATGCTTCTTGGCGTTACTTGGGGTGGTCGGATATAGTCATCGGCTGGCGACTTACTGAACTGCGCAACGTTTTGAAGATTATGTAGTTTTTGTTAAGTACTTGACCGAATCAAACCAAAACCATCAACTCATCTCCGAACTTGAGTTGTATTCTACTGGTGTTGTAGAGTCAAGCAGGGTGGTTGTCTTGAAAACGGAAGAAGCCGCTCTCAAAAACTTCCAGCGGCTTCGATCTCAAGCGCATCCGTTTCAGGGTCCAGAGAAATATTGTTGCAGAACATCTGCAATTCGAAAACACCGTGTGTCTGTCACAACCATGGCCGACGCCTTGCAAACTCTTTTCCGCAGGTCTCTGCCTGAGGAAATCTCTGAACACCTGAAGGAACGACTTTCGGAGCTGGAATCTGGAGACTTTTCCGCCCTTCTACAATCGAAAGATGCACAAGAACTTCTTGGATACACACCAAATTCGGAACTGGATGAAACAAGACTGAAGGATTGTGCGACATGGAACGAATTCATCTCGATTCGTCTCGGCAAGATCCTCGCCAAAGACCAAGAGAATGCAAAGTACAAGCAAAGTCTTCTCTTCATTGTTGGATATGCTGCTCTGCTCGCTTTCCTGCAGTCCAACGCTACTGGTCCTCCTCTTCCTTTCACACCTTCAAAAACCGTCTTACCGCAGAACGTGGCTGAGGATAAGCAGCAAGTAATTGCTTTGCGCCGCCAGCTGATCGACAGCCTTTCAATCGACGGTATTGCAGCATACAGATTGACGCCGAATATCGAACTACTCTGCCTGGCAAATGTGATCATCAGCAATCCGGATATTCTCGAGAATATCTCGGTCTCAAGGTGGGCTAAACTGAGAGTGACTTTCATGCACCAGAGGCTGTTGTCAGAAGACTGCGGAACACTGCAGGACAGAATTTTCGCAGATATCGATGCAGTACAGGAGAAATTCTTCGACAGCTCGCTCAAGAACAAATCAAAGGCTAGTTACGACGATGCAAAGGTTGAATTTTTGCTCGAGCGTGCCAGCATCGAGACTTTCTATGGTCTAGATAAAAAGGCCAGAAGTGATCTGGATGCGGCAGTAGCTGAGCAAGAGTTCCAATTCGCCTTGACTGGTATCTTGGGAAGGAGAACCAAGTTCCAACAGCACGATGTCAGTCAGCTGGTCGTGCTTGCCAAGAGTGCACGCGATGCAGAGGATGCCAAAGATGTGAAATCGGTAGAGGCTCAGCAAACGGAAGGTGCCACGGGCGGCCCCAAGAACTTGGATCTCAACGACGATACCCTCTTGGAGAACATCTCCTTCACGGAGAAGCCGACACTCAACTTGGATGTACAGACCAAGGAATCTTTGCCACCGGCATTAGCTGAACTGGATCCCTCAGACCAGCCAAAGCTATTACCATTGGACTCGATCATCTTGCTCGCTCTTGCATCCTCTATCACAAACACATCACCTGCAAACGGTCTTACGAGAGAAGAAACTCTGCCATATGCCACTCGTGTTTTGGAAGGTGGCAGCTCGAACTGGCAGGTCTACACTCAGGGTCTGCTCGTCCGCAGCAGAATGGAGGGATACAGATCTAGAACCATCGAACGTGGTCTGTTGCAATTGCAAGCAGTTGTCGATCAAGTCATTGCCGATACTACAGAGACACCCGCAGATGGCAGCACGGATGTAACGGCTACCAGCTTCTTGCGCAAGGGAGAAAGTGAGGACTCGGCTCCAGCTTCTGAGAGATTACGATACATCTTCCAGATTGCTGCTCCTACTCGATGGGAGTTGGAGGGAGAGCTGGCTCAAAGATGGGTTACTCTTGGTGGTCTTCGCTCAGCACTCGACATCTATATTCGCTTGGAGATGTGGGCCGAAGCTGCACTATGTTACGCAGCCACTGAGAAGGAGGAGATCGCAAAGCGAATGGTGCGCCGTCAACTCTACCATGCCACCAACAACGGAGACGAGGATAATGCTGGAGACGAAGAAACTTGGGAAGGATCTGAGAGGCAGCCAGCACCGACTGATGCAGCACGTTTGTACTGTATCCTCGGTGACCTTGACCAAGATGTTTCTATGTATGAGAAGGCCTGGGAAGTCTCAGGCCAGCGTTACGCGCGTGCCCAAAGATCCTTGGGTCGCATGTACATTGGCCAACGCGACATGGTCAAGGCTGCAGATGCATATGCTAAGAGCTTGAGAGCGAATCAGCTAAACCATACTTCGTGGTTTTCCATGGGCTGCTGCTTGTTGGAACTTGCAGAGTTTGAAAAGGCTGCCGAAGCCTTCTCCCGTACGGTTCAGCTTGAAGAGACGGATGCAGAAGCATGGAGCAATTTGGCTGCTGCCCTACTCAAGAACCAAGCCCCTACTGCCAACAACGAAACTGCTGCGCCAGCAGTCGAGCTTGCCGAAGACGAGGATGAGTCTATGGCTCCTCAGCCCAAGAAGGCTGATCCTCAACAGAACAAGAAGGACGCGCTTCGCGCACTCAAGCGTGCTGCTACCCTCAAACACGACAGCCATCGCATCTGGGAGAATCTTCTCATCGTTGCCGCCTCTCTCTCACCTCCCGACTACGACACAGTATTGACAGCTCAACGCCACATCATCGACCTCCGCTCAAAGACAAACGGCGAGTCTTGCATCGACGTCGAAATCATGGAACACATGATCCGCCACGTCGTCGTCTTGAACGACGAATACGACCCAGCGAAACCCGGTTTCGAGCGTCTGTTGGTCGAACTGTTTGACAAGAAGATCGTGCCGCTCATTACTTCCTCTCGCGAATTGTGGCAGTTGTACGCCAAACTCTGCATCTGGCGCAAGAAGCCATCCACCGCATTAGATGCCAATGAAAAGGCATGGAGAGCAGTGAGCAGTGCACCTGGCTGGGAGACCGAGAGCGAAGACCGCTGGAATGTCGTTGTGGATGCGACAATAGACTTGTGCGATGCTTACGAGAGTTTGGGACAGATGGAAAAGACAGAGGGCATGGCTGCTGGAAGCGGTGCGTTGGTTGCCAAGGACTGGAAGTTCAAGGCTAGAAGTGCGATTAGATCTATTATGGGCAAAGGAAAGGATTGCTGGGAAGATACTGATGGGTGGGAGAGATTGAAGGAGGCACTTGATGGGTTGCGTGGTTGAGTCTAGACACACAGATATAAAACGTTCATGACTACTGTCTTCAGTCATGTTTGTGCAAGCACAACCTCGATGGGAAGAGCTTGAATGTGACGTCCACGTCAACGAGATCATACGAATGTGGTCCAATATACACCTGAAACGACAACACAGCAACATGACGCGGGAAACAAAGATCATCCGTCGTCTATACGGCCATATATCCATCCAATGCCCGTCCACCCCTGCTTACCCAACTCCCATAGTCGACCAGCATCTAAACATTATCCGCAGCATTGAAACTATCGTCCTTCCTACACACCAATTCTTCAAAGCCCTCTTGGTTTTCGATAACCAAGCCCTTTTCGTTGGCAAGATGCAAAAGACAAATGAACCCGAAACTCGTGCTGATGTCTGATAGTTGTTGTTGAGGATACACGTGCCGCAGATTGTTCATCACGTCCGTGAACTTGAATGTGCCTTGTTCTGATATGTCCACTGTAGGTGGTGGAGCTTTTGAGGGCGTTTGGGAAGGTTCGACCTGCGCAGATGTTAGAGAATTGTATATGGGAAAAGAGCGAAAGAGGAAAGTCGTACTTCGAAGCCGATGCCTCGCCACATTTCTTCCTTTAGTCGTCGCACATCGACCTTTTTGGCTACACGTGCATATTGTACGTATTCCGGTCGCAAGCGTCTGCTTTGTGTGATGAGATTTGATCCAAAGGCCGTCTCTTGGCTGCTGGGTGGTAGACTGTTAGGTACCCCTGACTGAGCAGCGTCGAAAGCATCAGCAGGTGGCAACATCTCCTGCGCATCTGCAAAATCGTCATCGTCGTCTGCGGCGCCGGCTGCAACACCCAAGCCATCGTCTTGGAAGAAATTGGCGTCGTAGTCGCCTCGTGCGCCTTCCTCGTCGATAGGTTGTGGTTCGGCTAGCCCCTGAGCGTTTGCCCAGTACGCCTCGTCAACATCGCCATGTTGGAACTGCTCGACTCCTCCACGAGCTTGTTGTTGTGCTGATTTTCGTGATCCCATGCGGGCCTTGGGTTTGAGGAAAAGTCGTAGTAGATCGCGCGAACTAAAGTGTTTGTCATCGGGCAATAGATTGCGGGTCTTGCTCTTCCAGTCCTTCTTTGGCAGACTGATAGTCGCGTTCGAGGGTGCTGGTGTGTAGAGAAGATCGGCAAGCTGTTGGTTCATCGGACTCATGAAGTCGATTTCAAATGGCTCTTTGTCCTTCTTTTTTGTGGTTGCGGGCGTTGCTTTTGCGGCATCCTTGATCTTCTTGATTTTCCAGTGCTCTGGACCAGCCCAGTTCTTCTGAAGTGCTTGATCGAAATAGCTGAGGATGTTCTCGTGCTCGTCACCGCGGTGTGCAAGGGTGACGCCGAATTGATTTCCATTCGAGTCGAACCCACCCACCTCACCACCTTCCATATCGACACCCACGCCGGCGTCGACATCAGCGCCCTCATCGTGAGGTCTGAGCTGAGGCTCGACATGTGCTTCCTTGGCCCAAGCTTCACCTCCTTCACCGAAACCAGCATCGATAGGAATGTCAAAGCCACCAAATGCACCGTCATCGTCATCGAAGCCAACGGCATCATCATCGCCCAGCACAATCCCGGATCGAGCATCATCATGATCTTCCTCTTCTTTTTGAGCGCGCCAATCTTCGGGAGCTTTCAAGAAGGGCAGATCCATTGTGGCGCTGCCACCGCCGAGTTCGAATGTTTTGAGTGAAGGACAGATATCCTGCGAGTCCAGCTTCGAAAGATCAGGAAAGAATCGCGCGGCCAGTCCAGAGATGTCGATGGGTGCCGGCAGTGCAGCCTTAATGTCTTCCTCGTCCGGCTTCTCCTCGTCGCCCACATCCATGCTGTCGGTTCGAGATTCATCGTCGTCTTGAGTGTCGTCGCTGCTGTCGAAAACGATTCTGCCAGTGTTATCGATGGAGAGATGGTTGAGTAATAGGCCTTTCGCGCCTCCTTCGTCGAAATCCGCCGAGGCTTTCTTGAACAAAGGGTCGACGGAGAATTCGAGTTCCATCTTCTTGAGCTGCAGTTGGGCGAATGAGGTTGCGAGAGTGGCCTCTGAGCGGTGTGTCTTCTTCTTTGCCTTTTTCTTTGTGCCATCCTCACCCTCTTCGTCCTCGCCGTCCTCGTTCTCTTGGTCATCTGAGTCGCCACGCTTTTTCTTGTTGTTGCTGTCAGCGAGACCGCTCAACAGCTTTCCGGTCTCGGTTGCGACACTGTCGACTCTACTGGTGTAGATTTTGACGCAGCCATCCAGGGTGCAACTGGCTTTTTGGAAGTTGACACCGTCGCCTTCTCTCAACAGAGACATGTCGTGGAAGTAGTCGATCAGAGCGAAATTCCACGAGTTTGTAGCGTTGATCTTGTTGTCGGTGGCCATCTTCATCCATTCCTCAAAGTTTGCCAGGATAGGAACACGCTTCATAGGCGTGACAGCACTTCCTCCGACATGGAAGGCTTCATCTTGACTTTCCTTTCCGGTGGGAGTCTGAGGAGCTTCGGCAAGCTCGGCGCCTAGAGACTTGCGTTTGCGGGCAGGTGACGCGGCGGCTTTGAGCGAGTTCATGTGCATCTCATGGAAGGCTTGACGGGACTGTAGGCGCTTTGCTTTTTCCTCGCGATCGTCGTTGAGCGGGATCTTGATGCCAGCAGATTTGTGAGGAGTCGCGGCTACGGGAGCATTGGCGGCGGCGCCGCTCGCGCGCACTCGAGGCATCTTGACGGGTTCGGAGTCGCCGGGGGACGTGAGTTGCACAGCGGACCGCTTTGGTCGTCGAACCGTACGGCTGAGTGCTTGGGATGGCGAGTGTGTGGGTTTGCGACGGCGATATGTTCTGCGGATTGGCCGTCTGGCTGTCTCGAGCACCGTGCGGTGCAAACAAACATTGCAGTTGCGGGGAGCGCTCAGCCCTACTCAGCCACGTGGAACAGCAAAGCACAGCCACAGATTACCATTCGAGCGTCATCGGCTATCGGCGACGAGGCGCAGGCCCATTGCCGTGTCCGTCGCTATGCCCTGCTGAACCTGTTATACCATTCGACAGTGCTGCGTCATATCCAACATCAATCATGCTGTCCTGACCTCTCGACTCCCGATCTTCGACATCCACTATTTCTCCAACTTGCGACCGCCCGCCCCGGTATGCGACACAGCGCGCAATGACCGCTCTCCAACATCCCTACCCCAAGTACCGAGCCCACGCCGCGTCCCGCCTACATAGACGCCGATACTCGCCTCAGTCTTTCGTCTATACCGTCCTGCTGTTCTCTGCTCTCGGTCTTGCTGGCTACTTCTACCCCTCCGCTCTCGCCTCGCAAACCTCCCAGCATCCATACACCTCCTTGGCCCGCCGACATGTTGGCCCACTCGCATCCACCGACGAACAGGTTTGTTCAAACATGTCTGAGCCTGTCATACACATCTCTGACTTCTCTCACAGTGTCGTCTCGTCCACCAAGCTACCGATCAATGTCGCTACATAACCAAACACTGCCCCGCCGAGGATCCAGGCTTCTACTCGTATCTCTCCCTGTTCTACTGCTCCATGCCTCATGCCAAACCCGTTGCCTTCCTTATCCTGGTCTCCTGGCTCGGTCTGCTCTTTAGTACCATCGGCATTGCCGCCAGCGACTTCTTCTGTATCAACTTAAGCACCATCGCTACAATCTTGGGAATGAGCGAGAGCATGGCAGGCGTCACCTTTCTGGCCTTTGGAAACGGCAGTCCCGATGTCTTCTCCACCTTTGCCGCCTTCAGCACAAACAGTAGCAGTCTGGCTATCGGGGAGCTCTTCGGTGCTGCTGGCTTCATCACTGCTGTCGTCGCTGGTTCCATGGCCCTGGTCAGACCTTTTAGAGTGGCTAGGAAAGCCTTTGTCCGAGACGTTGGCTTCTTCACCGTTGCTGCGGCTTTCAGTCTGTCTTTTCTGTGGGACGGAAGGCTACACTTGTGGGAATGTATCACCATGGTCCTCTTCTACGTCTTCTATGTTGCCTTTGTTGTCGTCTGGCATTGGTGGATGGGCGTCAAGAGGCGACGACGTGAAAGGAATGCTGCCGTAAGAGGTCAGTTTCTGGTTCCTGGAAGCGAGGAGATCGAGGCCGAGGAGAATTATCACGACGCCGACGACGAAGAATCAAATACTCGCCCTTCGTTTTCCCGCGGCCCATCGGTCGATGACTTTTCTGTTCTTGAGAGAGGAGGCACACCCACCATCGTTGAACCTTACGAGGACGAAGATGACGACGAGGTTAGAGACCGATGGCTCGGCGAGCTCAAAAGCAACATGCGCTTGACAAGACCCGGCCCTGGTTCGCGACGCAACACGCTCACTCCCATTCGTCCCAGTCTTGTAGGTGCTTTGGAGTTCCAGGCAGTTCTCAAGTCTCTACAGAAGTCCAGGTCCCACCAGACAATTCCCATGCACACTCGACGCTATTCGGATGATCCGACGTTCACTACTGCTCAGCAGCAGGAAGAAATGTCTGGCGAGGCCGATCCGGCTTCTCGACCTCCCTTCCATCCGACCGCCGATGGTACTTCACCAGCTCTTGAGCGTCCCGCCCTCGATGTCTTCAAGAACACCTCTGGACGTACACGTGCCGTCTCTGCCAATGATGCTGCTCATCTGCGCATCGATCCGCGCTTCGTTCAAAAACATACCCCCAGTATGATGGATATCGTCGAAGACGAAGACAACAAGCTTCGTCTTCCTCCTCAACGACCAACATCGTTCCGCAGTATGCCTTCCCCAGGATCTGATCGACCAAAAACTCCCGAAGTTACTGTCTCAGACTTTGATGGTCAACCTGCGTTTCCATGGCAAGGGCTTCATCCTGAGGGAAACGCAAAGTCCGAGCACGGTCGCACTCGGTCTACAAGCTCCATCAGCGTACCGGCTATCGATATCTCGGACGAAGCTACAATGTCACCCTCTCGCCGATCGCGTAACAGCAGCCCTAGCCACTCGCCTCGTACCTTTGGCAAGGACCTCTACAATCTCAAGATCCCGACAAGCAGCCACATCTCACCAAACACTTCTGCGCCCACATCTCCTTTCCCAGCATATAATGAGCCAACTTCCGCTAGTAGCAGTCGACCACCTAGTCTGTTTCTTCCTGCCGCGAGCGTTTCTGTTGCCTCTTGTCCCTTGACCCACATTGACAGCGAGGAAGACGGGACACCGCTTCGCTGGTGGCCTTACAAGATTCTCCCTCCCCCTCTTGTACTACTCTACAGACTCTTCCCCACGATTGAGCATTGGCGAGACAAGAACTGGTGGGAGAGACTTTTGGCCATCGTCGCAGCCCCAAGCATGTTCTTGTTGATTGTTACCCTGCCTGTCGTGGAATCGGAACGAGAGGAGGCCGAGGAAGAGACCGACATAATCGACCCTACTGGACCAAGGCCTTCGAGCCCAAGTCCTCTAGACGCTGAGAGCCTGCAATCACACCACTCTGACTATGTTCATCCTCCTGCTGGTCCGGGAGCCGGAAGTGTCGCAGTGGCGACCCATATAGAACGAGACTACCTATCGGTACCTGGCGAGCGAGACCCTCTTATATCACCCACTGTAAGCGCTGTCTTACCATCGCCCCACCCATCGAGCGCCAAAATCCAACCTCAGTACTGGAACAGATGGCTAACCATCGTTCAGCTGTTCCTGGCTCCTCTGTTGATCGTAGTGGTGATCTACACACAATACCTCGATGATCTCGACAGCATGAAACCCTTGATACGGCCAATGTTGGCATCATTGCTTGTGTCGGTCGTTCTTCTTATTCCTTTCCTCCTGACTACCACACCAACTCATAGACCGAAGCCTTACAACACTATCCTCTCAATGGCTGGCTTCGTAGTCTCTATAGCCTGGATCTCGACCATCGCGGCACAAGTCGTCGCCGTGCTGAAAGCGCTTGCTGTCATCATGAACATGTCGCATGCGATTATGGGTCTCACCATCTTTGCTGTTGGCAATTCCTTAGGAGACCTTGTCGCAGACATCACCGTAGCAAGATTAGGATACCCCATCATGGCTCTTAGTGCGTGCCTTGGTGGTCCCATGCTCAACATTCTCTTGGGCATTGGTCTCTCTGGGTCTTGGATCTTGATTCGTGGAGCGGAACACAGGCACGCCAAACATCCCGGCAAGCCTATACACTACCGCACCTATGAGATTGAGGTCGGGCAGACCTTGATTGTTAGTGGTGTCACATTGCTCATCACTTTGATCGGACTGCTCATCGCGGTGCCCATGAACAAGTGGATTTTGAGCAGAAAGATCGGATGGATTCTCATTGGCGTATGGTGTGTCAGCACTACAGTCAATGTCGTTCTAGAAGTCCTTGGTGTTGGCGAGTCAGGAGGCGAGGAGAAGAAGATTCTTGGCGTGAGGTTTGGGTCTGGGTAAGCTCACGAGGCTGGCATTTCGATGCCGGACAGCATTTCCTTTTCGCATTGCGTTCTTCACTTTGTTGTCTTTTTACACCGTTACTTGAATCATTCCTCTTCTCTGTTTATGATTCTTCTGAGCTGGTGGCGTTTGGAGAAGGGTTTCGATGCAATGTACATAGATTGATGATACCCCCCAGCATATTAGGATGCCGCATCTTCCAGGCACATGACGTATCGAAATTATGCGGACTAGTGCTTTTTGCTGTTGTGACTGGTCGCTGCTGGCATCGAAGGCCTGTTGCAAGCTGCTGGGGTCGAGAAGCAGGTCGCCGCTTGTGGGCGGTACAACTCGTTGGGTATCGACTCGACCGTGTCACAGTGGCGGATGAGAACCATGGGAGATGAATCTGTGACAAGCTCAAAATCGACTCCTTGTCACGATGATAGAGGACAGTAGTTTGGGCTAAAGGTATACAGACGCACAACTGCTCTTCAAGCTGGAGGTCGGCCATGTCACACTCATCGTCTCCCCTAGCCTTGACTTCATCGGAAGAAGGTATTGTGCATCTCTACAGCTGCATTGTGACAGTCGTCATCACACGGCGAGGATTGATGCGACGACGACCGGAGCGCGCTCCCAACTGAACTGACTCGTCTTTGACTCATCAACGATAGACCTCAGTGGCAGTCGGCATGGAGGGCTTCTGGGAGGCGCCGTTGTTAGGCAGGGGTCTTGACGCCCGAACGATGTTGGGCATCAAGACGCTGCGGGACAGCACCTCGAATCCGGGTTCTTGTCGCCTCGACAAACACATTGTACACCTCTCCGAAAGCCCAAGAGGACTTACGGGCGCGAAGATTGGGCTCCAAAGCAAGAGTCAGAGTAAATTTAATAGGAATGCTTCGCCTTGAAGTCAAGCGGAATAATCGCTGTCCACGTTTCAGTAATGCCCCATTGAGTGTGTCACAACAGGCTACTTGATCAGCGTTATCGAAGAGCTTTATTTCCACTGCTTCCCTCCAGCACCTCTTCGAACCTCATGTTTTCTCACAGTTTCACACACAGCAAAATTCGCAGACCACGTAGTAGAAGGAGACCTTGATCATTCAAAGATCATTGCTGTCCTTGCTATCAGAGATCTAGAGAGCACACTGTCAGGGTGTAGCTGAAAGCAGGTTGGCTAGGGAACCGGGTACGTCAAAAACGGTCAAGTCACACGCTTCAACCTCCTTGTACAAGGGGGGTGATAGACGCACGAGTCACAAGGAGAAATAGAGCGCTGTCTGCTTTTCTTGATCTCATTTCGAATCTCATGCATGTTTTGCAAGATGGCTGATTTTGCCGGGGCCTGAGCAGCTACTTGGACCGGACCCGATTTCTTCCTTTGGGTAAATAGAGTAGGCGCGACCACAAGGCTTCGGCGAGTCGATCAACCTTGCGATTTGGCGCAGCTCTTTCGCACACGCTCAAAGCACGCTGCAAGGCAATTTCTAGACGTCGCACTCGACGTGGACGACGCTCAGTGGACAGGCTTTTTTTCGCAGGCTGGACCGAAAACGGCCGTCTTCTACTATTCATCCCACCTTTTGCATGTTGCCGTCATTGTGCGCACTCACCGCCAGCACTTGTACACAACTAGCTGCTCTCGAACCAAACTTTCTGATCAAGCCGTATCTTGATACATTCCACGGGATTTTGTGAGCGACAGGGTTAGCGACGAACACAAGACGGCAAAAAGCAGTCACGACGGGCGTGCAAACAGAGGGGTATACAGATTGAAGCGTCGCTGCCCAATCGAACCACCTGGCAGGCAGAGGGCTGATTGTTTACTAACCGACAAGGCTCGACTTTACGACGCTGCGCCATCAAGAAACCGAAGCTTCTCTCCCGCATCTCGACAATTAAACTTTGACCAAGTAAATACTGGATCCTGTCTTTGCAAGGACGGCGGACTGAACAAACAGACCTGTCAGCTCTTCGTGGTACATGTCGTGAGTGCTCGATTTGGGCTTCGGCCATGGCGATTTGACGCTAATTGGGCCTTGCAGGAGAGCCAACTTGTCAGTCTACTCGTCGACGGGCTCTCAGCCTCATTCTCCCTACGACGACGTCGACGACTCTAACTACGCTTCTGGCTACTACCATCACCACAACCAGACACGCTACACCAGCTCAAGCAGCTCGGAGAGCGACATCAGTGCAAACGACTCGGCTTCCGTAGCTGCCGCCGGAGCTTCCACCCACGCCAGATACCAATCGCATCATCACCCTCAGCCACGATATCCTCCGTCGCACCATCGTCCTCGTCAAGAAAGGCCCCTTCGCAAGACAAAACAACGTCGTCCGCCAGCTGACTACTACTCTCATCCCGAGCCAAGCCGACACGACGCATATCCCGAACACTCTTCGACTCCGAGCGACCCCTCGGAGCTCTCAGCCAGTGTGGCACATCACTACGACCGCCCGGGCTACTCGACCCGCACTAGCTATCATGAAGGACAATATGACCCCCATTACGCTGACCATCACTGGCCCGGGCAACAGGGACACTATCAGACACCAATGACATCGAGCACTTCCTCAGCTTCGCACTATTCGAATCCTGCCGCACTTGCTCCTTACGGAAATTACTATGCCGAGCAGGCATATCCTTACGCAGGCCAAGCTAGTTCTGGCAATCCGTTCGTGACCACTACGCTTCCTCATGCTCCATCTCTTCAATCAGGCTACCCTTATGAGATGTATGCCCAAGCATACCAATTGCAGAGGCCGGAGATGTTGCCCAGAAACAGCACGGGATATCTCCCTGCGGAAATGCAGTATACTGGTTACCCTCAAAGACCATACTCGGTTCCGCAGAACATGATACAAGGCATGGTGCCATCCCCGTTTCATCCTTACCCTCATGCATCGCCCCCAGCCCCGGAAGAAAAGCCAGCGCCCCCGGGGAGAAAAGAAGACCCCCCAGCAGCCCCTCCTGCTCCACCTCCGCCCACCGCCGAAGAGATCAAGAAGAGAATGGAAGAGGAAGCCAAGATCCAAGCCGAGAATCTCGTCAACGCCCTCAAGGCTCTGCAAGTCGAGGAGAGGGCTGCCGCTGCTGCTGCCGCTGAGAAAGACCAGAAGGTGCAGGCCGAATCTGACAAGATCGCGTTGTTGCTGGCAACCTTCGAAAAGGAACGTCTTGCCAGAGAAGAGGCTGCTGCTGCCAAAGCTGCCCAAGAGAAGGCCGAAGCAGAAGCCAAAGCAGCTCGCGAGAAGGAGCTCGCTGACGCGGCCACTGCTGCTCGTGAGAGTGCTGTGAAGGAAGCCGCCAATGCCGCTGCCATCGCTAAGGCGGAAAACGAGAAGGCGATAGCAGAAGCCAAAGCGGAGCACGAGAAGAAGATGGCAGAGGCAAAAGCTGCCGCCGATGCAGCCGAAGCAGCAAAGAAAGCTGCCGAGGAAGAATTGAAGAAGAATGCGCCTGGACCGGATGCCGACAAAGCGCCTCTGAAGTTCACCGACGCTGTGGATAGGAGCTTTACCTTGCCCTGGCATTTGGTCAAGAGTTGGAAGGGCATGGAGACGTTGATAAGACAAGCTTTCGTCAACATCGAGCGCATCGGACCGCATGTTGCTAACGGTCACTACCATTTGCTAGGCCCGAACGGCGAGATCATTTTGCCTCAAGTTTGGGATGTCGTTGTGCAACCCGGTTGGGACATCAAGATGCAGATGTGGCCGCTACCGCCAGATCCCTTAGAGGAGAAAGTCAACAGCGGCATTGGCGGATTTCCCCCTGATATCCAACCGGTCCTTGAGCGACCAAGGGGTCCAAGACCACGTCATCAGGTCAGTGGCAATAAGAGCGCGGGCAAGCGTGCGTCCGTAGGACTCGCGCCGCCACCACCTCCCCCTGCACCAGTTCAACATGTTTCCACTCTTCCACTTCCCATGCACATACCTCCTGTCATGATCGGTCACGATGACCTTGATGACCCAGTCATCGAAATCATCGAAGACCCCCCCAGCAGAGGGCGAGGTGGAAGCAGCGGCGATGGGCACAAGCCAAAAAGCAGTGCTAATTCAAGCAAGAAAAAACAGGTACCGGCGTTTACCAGATGGATGCTCGGAGGTGGCACACGACCACGCCCAAAAGGGGCTGAAAAACCTGCTGCTGGTGTCAAGGTCCGTCATATCATTGTCTGAGAACGATGTGGCTAGGATCGATCACACTTGTTGCGATGAGTCGAGGGCTTTTTTCTCCCTGTGTGTAGGAGTTTTTCCTCGCCTCGAACCTTTCTTACGAATGTTTTTTGCTTCTTTCTGGCTGTGCATCTTAGGATGCTTGTAGCATTGCTCTTGATTGCTTTCTTCACGACAGCGTTGCGTTTTGTTTGTCTATCCCCTTTACGTCTTTGTTTCTCTACTTACGAATTGATGGTTTTATGGTGTGATGGTTTGATGGTTTCATGATTCGGTTGGGAGAGCAAGGCTACAAGAAGGAACATTTCAGATACCCTTGGCATTTTCATATGGAAAAGGAGATCTGGCGTTCTTTCCTGGCACAGAAAAGAAACATTTCTAAGAGCGATGCAGGAGTCAAAGGCTTATCGAAATCTACAGTGATGTGGTGAGAGAGGATTGTCTGTTGATGCAAAAGATGTCTTACATTTCTCGAATCTATTTGCAGAACACTCATTGAGCTTTGCAAGGCTGTGACTGAATTGGTAGGTGCAATATTGGGGTGAGTTCGATGTCAGACTCGTTCTTTCTTGCTTTGGCTGTCGTGCTCTGTCTCTTTCGCTCCATCTCGTGAGTCTCACGCGAGCGTCACGCTTGTTTCCCACGCTTGTTCGCTCGTTTGGTTTGTCTGAAATACGCGTTTGTTTCCTGTTGCGGCCAAGTGTTTATCAGTCAACACAGCTTCGGTTGTTTCCTTCACCTCAGCACCGCATCAACAAGCTGAACCATCGGGTTCCGCAGTCCATCACTAATAGTAAGCGCGCACCATCGTCGTCTGCACATCTCCCTCTGACGAATTCACAGACATGGGTCTGCCCAGGTTCTCTGCGACACAACACTTCAAGATGGTATCTCCTGGCGAGCACATCAAGAACGCACCCACCGCGACAGACGACAACGTGATCTCTCGCGTCACCGGCCCTGAGAACTCCAACTCCGACCAGCGTCCTCCACCCACTTTTGACGGTCTGCCTGCTGAGCTGAAGAAGCTGATCGTGCACCACGCCGAGGACTCCTGCCTTGCCAACCTTCGTCTCACAAACAAGGAGCTCAATGCTATCACCACTAAGCCATTCGGCGAGAGACTCCTTGTTGAGCGTCGTTTCGTACTGTCTGAGTACAGTCTCCAGGGCCTTGTTGATCTTACTGCCCACCCTGTTTTTGGTAAGTGTTCAGAGGCCATCTGTCGAGCCTTTGGAACGCGCTCTGATTCCTGTCAAGGTCCCTGTATCCGCAAAGTCCTTCTCAACACTCACAGCTTCAGTCACAGCATCAAGACTTGGCGCAACACGAAGAATAAGAAGATGCCAAAGGCAAAGCGTGACACGCTGTGGAGACGCATTGTCTCCATCGACAAGGACTTCTCGGACAAGGCCACGATAGACAAGAAGTTGCACCTCATGAAGCAGGCTCTGTCTAACCTCAGGGAGCACGGCCACCGAGTCACGCTTGGTGTTTATGACGACGTCGTCAATGTTGCAGGTCGCAGACTTCTTCGCAAGGCGTATGGTTTTGATAAGTTGTGGGGTGAAATCTCGCCTCTAACCGATCTCACATCCGAGCAGTGGCTCCCTGTGGGTGAGATCTCGTTCATGGCCCTCAGAACAGCTATGTCGATGTCTGCATTTCCTGACTCACCTCTGGAGTTCGATCTTACCTCCGCGTTACATAGCCCGGACGGCTATCTTGACAGACTGCTTGGCGCTGCAGTCATGACGGAAGATCATGCGTTGAAGCACGACGTGAACGTTCGTGTTAAAGCAGGACTTGACTGGACTTTCCGACTCTCCAATCCTGATGTTGCTCATGACCGCCTTATCTACGAATATCAAGGTACTACGATCAAGGCGTGCAGCGAAGACGAGATTGATCCCGACTTCATTCCCGAGATCGTTGGCTCGAAGAACTCCGAGCCTCGCTACGACTACGGTTCCGGCACTTGTTCCCTCTACTCACCATGTGTGCTTGGTTATCTCAACCACGCCATCGACAGCGGTGGCGTGACCGATCTCCATATCTCATCATGTGCAACCGAAGCAGACCATCTGGTCTTCGGCATCTGTCACACCGGAGCTGTATCCCTACATCGACTTGTTCTTGTCGACCTCCATCTCTTTGGCCATGGATGTCGCCGCTTTCTCGACGAGAAGAACAGTGCTTGGCCATATCTGGAGGGTCTCCGCACTATGCTGATCCACCACTGCCCTAACCTTTGCAGTTTGGTTATGGAACGTGTATACTACAATGTTGAGGATACTGCCGTCAGTATGGTCCTTGTTGAAGAGCGCCGCGAGTGGGAGGGTGTGGATGGTGTGCTCTCAGGCCTTGTCTCCTTGATCTCCGAGATGACAATTCTTGACGAGGAACAGAGAGAAAGATGGCTGATTGGCGAGATCGACGCAGATGGCAACAATATCATTGGAGAATAATGAGCTGCCGGTCAAGGATTGCAGAATGCAATGACAAAGACGGAAGAGTTGACGATCGGACGGTAGAAGCTTGGTGAGAGATGAGGATTGATGAGCCGAAGATGAGGTTACAAGAAGTGAGAGTCAAAGAAAAAGAGGGAAGAGACACGACAAGATGGACGGAGAAGTCCTGGAAAGACGAAGTATTGAGAGTAGTCAGCAGAGAAATGGAACACCTCTTGCCATTTTCGTCAAAGTTTGAATGCCTTCATGGTATGAATTGCATACTTGAAGCTCCTGTTGGATGAAGATAGTCCCACCGTCGCAATGTTCATGTCTTTTTATGGCTCACGATGACATCTTGAAGCTCTGAAAGAAGGAGAATTTTCCATCATCATCATCATCATCATCATCATCATCATCATCCACCGCTCCATCCTCGGTAACAAAATCCTCCCCAAGCGAACAAACTGGTTGTTGCAATTCCCACTCGAGCTCACGTATCGCGGGAAAGACTCTCGCCAAACTGATTTGCTCAGACAAGTAAATATCCGGGGTATGAGGAGTGAAATATAGCCCAACAGGTATTTCATGCTCCAATTGCACTTGATTGTTTGTGAGTTTTAGAGCGAAGTGGCAAGTTATTGCCAGACCTGCGTAGTCTTCTGGCTGCATGTGGGAAAGGATTCTGTAGATGATTTCGAGGGGGAGCGTTGTTAGGAGGTTTAGAGTCGGGGAGGTGGGACCGGAGGGCATTTGCTCGCGTGTTTCGTGTGTGTATAGAGGTTGGTTGGAGGGTTCTGAGTTGCGACGGTAGCTTGAGATGGTACATTCTTTGCTTGTTGTGTTGGGAGACTCTTGGGTGTCTGTGGCGATTGAAGGGGTGGGAGAATTTGTTGCGACCGCCATATTGAAGCCTGTATAGAAACTGCAACTATCTGTTGGCTCAATTTGTTGAGTTGTGCAGAGAGATGGAGGTGGATGAGGTGTGAACAATCAATGTCTGTGCTCTGTAGAATCTGCTGACTTATCCTGTCTTGCCTAATCTACTTCAATCTATTCGTCGATCCTTCGGCGAGAAGTAGCTGTAAGGCCTCAGGCATTCCAATGTAGAGGAATTCATACACAATCAAGGAGGAGAGAACGAGTCAAGGTGATTGACCACGATATACAGCAACATGTATGATCAAGACGTACATGCCATTGCAGAGGCCACCCGACATCTGCTGAGGCTCGAATTCTTGAACACATCTCCAGTCCGGGAATGATGTTACGTGCCTCTAGCTTTGATGTTAGTATGAGAGGGATAGAGACCTCAGCCACAGCGATAGAAAAGCAATATAGCACAGCCGAGGAGGATTGATGGAGATGAAGTCGTGATTGACGGTCACGAGTCAAGCGGAAGGAAGCTTGGCAGAGGCTGAATGCCCGCGCCGCCTTAACAAACCTCACATTCTTGGCCGGCTTTCCCTCGGAAGGATTGCACTGCCACTGATTAAGTGTTGGCCTAAGACATGAATAGCTCTGATGTGAGTAGGATGCTAGGATGAGGGGCACATATAAGGGTGGGGTTCCTGCCTCAGGTAGGTGATTTACTTTTGAGTATTATAGGCCTTTACCCGTCCAGCCAACAACACCTTCCCATCCAAGTTCAACTTTACTTGACTTGGATACTTCTGATACCAATCAACACACCAAGCACCGACTTCCAATCATGGGTTCCAGACTTATCGAATCACTCCAACACGCGGCAGGCAAGAATCAAGAGCTGCTCGCCGTGCTCTCACAAACAGACAACGCACCCACAGCTCTCAAGCAAAACTCGACATACATCAGCGACCTCGAAACTCAAATTGCAAACACGGACAAGGAAATCACGCGACTCCACCGTATCACCGAGGATGAAAGAAAAGACCACGTCAAGTACGAGGAGAGCACTTTCACTCGCTACATGTACAAGATGCGCGGCTCGAAAGGAGTAGCAAGGTTCGCAGAAAAGGCCGGCAAAGAGGAGAAGGAGTTTGTCGAGGCATGGCAAAAGGAGCGGGAAGCTCAAGAGTCTCATGCCGAGCTCACCAGAGCTTTGGCGGGTGCTAAGCAAGAAAGTCAACGTTTGCAGGGTGAAGCCACCAGACATGACCGCGCACAATCCGAACTCGACAGACTCTACTCTTCCATCTTTGACGGTCCCACTCCCGAGGTTCCCGGCGAGGATCAGCTAGAGTCAAGTTTGTGGAACAACAAACAATGGTCCGACAGCAGTACACAACACCAAAACCTGCAACGACGAGCTGCAGAGGCGTTGAACGCAACACTACACAGTCTAGAGTGCGCATCAAAAGACATCAATGATGCTCTGGACATGTCCCGCTGGGATATGTGGGGCGGCGGCACCTTCACCGACATGATGGAAAGAGACGCTCTCTCGCGAGCCCAAGTCGGTGTCTCGGAGTCTTTGCGCCACATGGACGAGGCTCGTCGTTGTCAACCCGGCATCCCGGCTCTATCCAACATCAACATCGACAATGGACACTTTATCAGCGATGTGCTGTTTGACAATATCTTCACCGATATGGCTCAACATGACCGCATCAAGAACTCTGCCATGCAGTTGCAACAGGCGTTGCAGCAGTGTAGAGATCTACTCGAGAAGCAGAAGCGCACATACCACGAAGCTTCTGTTCAGTGTAACCAAGCTACAGAGGCTACGAGTGCTTCTCGCCTTGAGCTTCAGCGTATCAGAGCAGAGGCGTTCGTGAGATATGCTGGCAATGGTGCTCCTCCGCCGTTCCAGGCCTCTGCGCAGTATGCTCCTCCTGCGCAATACGCCCCTCCGACCTCTCAGGGGTATGCACAGTACGCTCCACCTCCAGCATACTGAGTTGGCTGGTGAAACTCAGTACACCTCGACTAGCTTGATGATTTTATGTATTCTGTAGAACGAGTAACTGTAGAGTCAATCAGTCGAGAGCAACTTTTCACCGAGAGCCTTTTTCCCTTATTGAAGAGTACTGATGAACGTGATAAGATTTGTGCAACCCCTTCAAGGGCGCGACTTGGGTATCTCTACTGCTCGACTTGCTCTCTTTTGGCAAAACAACACCCCAACTCCAAAGTATAAACACCGTGATGAAACGTAAAACCTCATTCCCTAGCACCAGCGCACCCAATGCGTAATGTAAAGATAGACAGACCGACTGAGAGCGTCTAGAAGGCGATCTTTCTCTTTCTGCCAGTGTACTTTGAGTTTGCCTTGACGACCTTGCCCTGCTTCTCCATCTGATCCTTCTTTCTCGTGATCCAGGCTTTGCTTCCCTTGACTCTTGCCATGTCCTTGCGTGAGCGTTGATCCTTCTTGCGGCGAGCATCTTGTATGTCGACGTCGGTCATGCCATTCACAACGCCTGTGATGTCTCTGCTCGCAGCCTCCTGCTCTCTTCCCAGATCGCCACCGCCGACTGTGAGAACAAGGTACAACTTCTCGCTCTTGGTGCCGGGGTCGTCCTCGAGGATACCAGCGCCAAAACCAGCCTTGACTGCAGCAGCACTGATCATGTTCCTTTGCACCTTATTTTTGGGGTAAAACTGGCAGACAGCGCGACCACCGCGACGCAACGATGCATACAAGCCATCGAAGAAGCGCTTCAGACGACCTTCAGGCGTGACATCACTGCTCTCTGCATTACAAAGCCACTGGATGGCCGAAATACTGATGGCGGCATCGAACGAGCCAGGACGAAACGGCACACCCTGGCCGATATCCGCCAGCATCAGATCTCCATCCACATCTCTGTCGAGCGCTTGGCTCAACATTGATGCCGAAATGTCCATGCCGATCCATGTGTGAGGGCCTCCTTCTTCTGGTTCCACTTGCGAGAGGATTTCGCCGGACAGACCGCTGCCGCAGCCGAGATCGAGGATGAGGGAAGGCGAGCGCAAGTCGAGGAGTTCGAGGGCGCGGTTCGTCATGGAGGCTTGAATGTTCTTGATACGGGAGTTGGTTGTGTATTTGCGGCTCTCGACATCGTTGTAGAAGAGGTCGGGCGGCAACAAGTCTTCGGGACGCGACATGTTTGCGATTTCGAGAAGGTTTGATTATGCGGCTCGTCGTTGGCGCCTTTCGAGTAGAGTTCGCGGTCAGGTGTCGCAATGTGAGAAAGATCAGTTGGTTGCTCGAATAATTTTTGGGCCGAGGGCTTTGCTGCCTGAATTTATGCAAGATTGCACAAGTTTTGTGGGGAAGGCGGACAGGGTCCAGTCGTCCCGTGTCCAACGACACTTCCTGATCCTGCTGGATGTCCATCTTGACTTTTCGTACTCCATCAAATTGCAGTTATTGACATGTGACCGATCTATTGGAGTACGCACCTATCTAAGGGCTACGAATTCATACAGGCTCTTCACGGATGACCAGACACTCAAACACTCCTATTTTGCGAAAGCTACCTTGCATTGCCCTTGCTAGGCTAGGGATCTTGTGGGAGAATCAGAGTGGAGTAGTACAGATGACATCTACATCTCTTTAATCACGACTAGCTCAAGAGTGATTGAATCGAGAAGAGTATCATGCTGTCTGATAAATGGTCCATGTGCGAATCTGGTCTTACATAGAGTAGAGCAGGCTTACTCCGATACAGTGAAGATTACCTAGCAAGCTTTCGGGAGCTATACATCAAGTGCGAAAAGATATAGCCACTAGGAGAGTCGAACCCACAGCCATGTTCCACGGATTTGCAAATCAGAATCATCTGCAGTATAGAGCAGTAACTCTTCATGAGCACAACATTGCCAACCACTACCGAATCTATACAAACAAGACCAGAACAATCATGCACAAAGGCCAGAAAGAACAAAAAAAAACTTGCCCCTTGTGAGGGCTAGGAAACTATCCTTCATCGATAACAAAGCAGCGTTGTCCGAGGACTTCACCGAATATCTCAAGCAGTTTGCTTCTTCAAGAACCCCCAACGCTGATCAGACGTTTGGTAATCAGGACTATTATGGAATGTAACCCCTCAGCTAACAAACCGCAGTTGATGCAATCTGTCTTGGTGATGGAACACCACCTCCGCTAACTTATGTAGTAAGCACTTTGATTGTAGTGAAGGTCATGGTCCTATCCATTCAACTGTTCGCTGGAGCATCTTCACGAGTAGCCCGCCTTTTCATGAGTAACTGCCGCACGACAACTAGCCTCCGCCACTGGAAGTAGCACCCGACACATTCTGTGGTAGAGATAGACTTGGAAAGAAGCAAAGCAAAAATCTTAGGACCCTGCTGACTTTGTTCATCTTTCGATAAACACGATTGTTTATCACGCATGCCATGGCTACAGTGGCGTGTTGGATGCTTGTAAACAACCAAACGATTGTGAGTCAAAGTATCCTTGTGTCTATCAGGCAGCAAACATGGCCATTGAGATGGTCCCAAGTATTGTAGTAAGGCAGATGTATAGATCTACCGCAACCCTAAGTTTTGCGGGTAGGCCGAAAGCTCACTCATCCGTGAGCATAGTCGAGGTCCATATCGACGAGTACACCAGGTCACTCTCCACCACGTTGTCACGCGAATCTCCATCCTGCCAATGGTATGCTGGATCAATTGAAGCACTCACGATTTGCATCTCATCCATCTGCCGTCGCAAATGGACTATTGCCTTCCGTTTGATTCCATCTAGACCCCGTGCAGTTAGCTATCCCTTTACGAGTACCGAGACGGAGGCACACAACCGTGTTGGAAGATTCTTGGTTACCATCATCACCCATCAACACCAGTCAAGACACAACTTTATCATCACATCAACAACATGGCAGATCAAGGAGTGCAGGAGGAGGATCTGTACATTACCACAACAACAATCACCCTCTACGACAATTTCACGTGAGTGAATCTCCTCTTACTACACGCCATCTGACGTACTGACGCATTCAGGGGTACCCTCGAGAGATACACCATCATACGCGGCATCTGGTTCGAAGAGGTGGTCTTCGCAAACGTCCGCAGACAGGTGTTTGTCATTAGACCCATCCATCACAACGCACCAGGACCTCGTCCAATTCCCCACGACCACACCCAACCGCCTTCCGGAGACGGACACAACCCTAGCATGCCCACTTCCACTGGAGATGGCAGCGACACTCAGAGTCATGTCCCCAACCAAGACTACCAGGCCCATGTAGCTCCTCTGCTCGCCCGTCTCAGAGGTCAAGGCGTAGAGTTCAACGAAACACCGCGTCGCTTCAACTTGGCCGCCGACCTTGCGCACGCGCCCCGTGCCGCCAGCTCTTCTTCAGCACGCGGTAATACCTCATCAGTCGCCAGACAGACTTCTGCCCAACGCAGAGATATCATGCAACCTACTGGATTCGTCTCAGATGGACACGCTGTGTGGAGTCTCCCTGGACCAGAGCCCGATCATGATTCTGGGACAAACCGTGAAGGCGGTTCAGGTCTCTGAAGCACGGCATGGAATCGCTTTCCCTTGTGATGCGAGCTATGCCTGTCTTCCTCTTCTTCAGGATCACTGTCATCCCCCTTGCTCGGCCTTTATCTACTCTTCAGCAACAGAGTGGCACAGCGTGTTATGAGGAGGCGAAACGACTACTGGGAGCCCAAAACCCCCTGGCTACACTGCCCTCCTCCCCTGGTCATGAACATAGATTGGAAGATACTGTGTCGTTGCCCGAACTATTACAGAAGAGACTTGCAAGTACGTAACACAGCTTGAACCTCTTCTCTGATCCAGAGCTGTGCCCTATCCTAGTTATAGAAATGCACAGTATACTTCAGAAAATACCATCGTCCATTGAGAGCCATACAATGTCCTCACATGTAGTTTCACATCAAGCACACCAAGAAGAGCCCAGATCCTTGACGACAAGCGGCACTGGATGTGCTGCAACATTCCAACTATCAGTACGCCAGATGCCAACATACCATCCAGCATGACCTGTACTCATTTCTTGATAACATCCTCACGCATCCAGAAAGTTGCTTGCTTCGCTTCAGTGTCGAAATCCCATGTGGTGACTACATGCAACCCTCTTTCCCGCAGCTCTACCAGCAATGGGATACTGTCGCGAACATCCCGGTCTTATTGGCAAAGCAGTGGACGTAGAGGTATAAGTGGTCCAGTACGACCAAGAAGATTTGCGTCCATAAAGACAAGCACGAATGTTTTTTCGAAGGCGTTCTCGAACCTGACGTACTCGAAGTCGATTGAGTATTTCTTGATGTCCTTTGGCTTTGGCAGGAGCTCGTGGCCTTTGAAGAGGCCAAAGCCTAGCGCGGGTTGCCAGATTGACGTCAAGGTCGTCAGGTCGGCCATGAATGGTTTGAGTGAGATCTTCTGCAACGGGCGAGACTTGTCCAACATTCGTTTCGCGTCCGCAACTGTGACTGGTACGGAGCTTACATGAGTTGCACGAGTTTCGAGTGGGCTGGTGATAATATTTGTCAAGATCTCGGAAAGCCAATGAATGGGATATCCTACCCCTTTGAGATGAAGCAGGACTCGGAACATTACTGTCAGATTGAATGGTGACATGACCAGAAGAGTGTCGGGAACCATTCTTTCTGCGGGTATTGCGGCCTTGAGTAGAAGTGCGTGTATCCAAGTAGTCAGACTCGGTCGGTCCATCAGTTTGTCAAACTCGATCTTCGTTCCCAAGTTCGACCAATGCATGTAATCCTCGGCTATCATGGCCATACCCGGAGGATAGACCGGCAGTCTGGCCTTCCTCTGGAACTTGCATGGGAACACTTTCTGAGTTGAAGAGTCGTCGGGCAGCAGATTGTACTCACTGTTGTAGTCGTCCACCTTGTCAAAAGCGGGTGGATTCCGTAGACATTTGAATGCAAAAGTATCGTGACCATCGATGCTCGTGCGAGTAATTGGTGCAGCGAACAAAAGGGCACTGAGACTACAACCGGTATAGTCTGTAACATTGCTCAAGTGAACTCTGTTGTAGACAGTAGGGTAGTCTTCGGCTGGTTTGCCCGGACTATCCCCTGTTTGGCCCGGCACTGGTTTGTTTTTCCGGTCGGTATACACACCCAATCTCATCTTTTCGAAAGTTTCACACATCTCTCCAAGGATGGGCTCGACTCTCGGGCGGCCTCTGAGATGAGTCAGTGCACTTGCTAAGACCAAGAAGTAACCTTCGGCGTAATCATATAGACACTTTGAATTCCGTGGGTGTGGTGTTTGGATATAGTCCGCCCATTGAGCAAAGAGGTCGGTTGCCAAGTCTATATCCATCAACTCAGTGGGAATGCCTGCTTTGGCTTGTTGATTAACCTGATCCACATCGATGGGCGTGACATTGGGCATCCAGGTGCTATCCAGTTTGGACAACCAGCTGGCAGTGATGTTCTTTGGGAACGACTTGTCTGCTACCAGTTCTCTCGCCTTGATGGGATCTTGGTTTGAGAACGATGGCGGTGGAAGTGTGATACCAGCTCGATCGTAGAGGATCTTATCCTTCGCGAGTCCCTTTGCCGGAGGCGGCATATCGCCAGGCTCCGGTGTCCATGGACTCATAGATTGATTGGCGGTGTCGATTGCGATCTTCAAGCGGAATGTATTAGTCGAGAACATCTGAGATGTCTTGTGTTGCCAAAGTGTCAGAGCTTTTATGACAGCTCCACGATCCTTCTGGAGCACATCAAACCAACTGAGAGTTGTCGTTGGCTGTGCGAGAAGTCTGATGGCTTTTGTTATTGTCATCTGGAGTTTTTTGTACGCCTGCGGAGGCATGATGTGGTTCATAAAGGTGTAGAACAACGTCGCGAGAATCTCTTCGGCCTTTTCTTGATTCAGTGATCTCTTGTCTGTCAACTCCTCAAGAAGTAGAAAGACTAGCATCGCACGGGCAATCACTTGAGGTTTGGTGTCTATTATGGTGAAGTGGTATGTCGACTGCTTAGTCTTGCGTTCACCTTCTTTGACCATTACATCAATCCAGCTCGCGTGCATATTGCGAGCGTCGCCTATTCCAGCAAAAAGATAGGCGTTCTTGCGATGGAAAATGTCCTTTGGCTTGAGGATTGAATTCTGTGTGTCATGCCCTATATGGTAGTATTCTTAGATGCTCAATCTGTTGTGCTGTCAGCGAGTTGTAAAGACATCAGACCTACGAAGACTTACATCTGAGGCTTAAATCTGGGCAAGACGTCGACAACCTTCTTGAGATGTTCGATGGATGCTTTGTTAGAGTTAGGCCCTAGTGTCTGGAAGGTAATTCCGTTTCGAGCAGCGCGCCCGAGAGATAATGTATCTTGTGTCAGATCTTTTTCATCTTTCACGACCTCGATGGCCTTGTGAAGATCGTTAAGCGTGATGTAGGTTTTGCATAGGCGAGCCTTGAGCTTGTTCGCCAATGGCTGATCCATGTTTTCTTTGGAAGCGGCAAGTCGCAATGCCGTTTCCGTATCGAGGATGCATTGCTCATATTGACCAGTCTCATACAAAGCGGCAGTGAGATTTGAGAGTGGGGTTGGATCTGATGGACTTGCTTCGGATGCCTTTGCGGTAGTACTTGATAGCTACGAGACTGTCAGTCGAGTGGGTTGTTCTTGCCTTTCTCAGTTATGCTAACCTTCTAAAAGCTTTCCTTGCTTATACAGAGAGTCACCCTGCTGCCGCAGCTCGATTGCATCGGCCGACTGCATCGTTGAAGGACGAAATTGCTAACAAGCCTTACTTGTATCTATTATGGAGAAGTTGAGCGAAAGAGATTTGTTTAGCGACGATGAAATGTGAAGGCGAGGCTAAAGCTCACAAAATGCCGCCTTCTAACTCACTATCTAGGATCGGTTCATCGCTTCGACGAACGCTGCGTCGTTTCTAAGGTTTTTTGAATGCAGTTGATGTTGCTTACGCTGATACGAAGGGTTATTCTCGTGGAAGCAAAACCAGAGCAAAACGTACAGCAGCAGGGATTCCCACGTGGTCACCCACCGTAGTACTAATCTGCCGTTCAACTGCTTATGTATGGCAGAGCGGACGGGATGCCCAGTTTTCAGCTGACTATGGCCGTACGTGGTGAAAATGCTGTCTGTTAACAATCTAACATCTGATCCCTCCACGAATACAGCTGATCTTCGCGGAGTTGCTCTGTCTGCTGCCTACTCTCCGTATGCAAACGTTTGTAATGCGTGTAGCCGTAAAAAAACACCGTGGTTTCTAGACCACGGTTTGCATCCGAAGAGAGGCGACGAAAGTCGTATCTCGATGGTGATTGTTCTGTTTCTCGAGACTACTATGCCTTTTCATAGCGTAGACATTGGTTTATACCTTCGTAAGAGGAGCTAAAGAGTTGCAGATTTGAGCATTCGAGAAACAATGTTCACACGCGAATGATCTTTTGTTACCTCTGCATACATACACCTATTAGTGGAGTCAATTGTCTGATTTACACTCACAAATGCTGTTTGGCAACAAAACGTCTTGTGCAAGAAGCGAAAGAAGTTTTCCGTGAGAGAAGGCACCGAGCCTCCGCACGTATAGCACAGCGTGCATTACCTGATGCAGAGAGATGGAGGCATATTGGGACAACAGTGCATTGGTGAGATGTGTAGTTTCTAGTGGTCAATGAAGCGAGCGATAGAGACGAAATTTCTTGTCTACATGGAAAGTCTATGATCAACCTCCAGTATAGAGCTTCTGTATAGGTACGTACATACCAAACATGTCCTCCATCAGTGGTTGTATAGTGTAATGGTTAGCACATCGGATTCTGATTCCGGTAATCCAAGTTCGATCCCTGGTACGACCTAAATTTTGTCATTTTGCAAGAGTAAACAAGGACAAATTTTTTTGTTGTGAACCAAGGAAATCCGTGAAAGGGAAAAGGGCTGGAAGGATGCCAAGCCATGAATGCAGTGTGTTGTCATGATCCGTCTCTCTTGAAACGGGGATACCTTCGACCAGCAGCTTCTCCCAAGCTCAGACATTCCACAACCGCATTTTCGCAGGTAAGTGATAGTCGGTGAGACATGAATCACAAGCTCGTAGATTGCTAACACTGTATCCTGGTCGCAGATAATACATCCCCTTCTCTCCTGAACTTCTGCCTATCTGTCCGTCAACTCGTCACAAACACACACAAAGATGCGTTTCGCTCCCGTCCTTCTGGCTCTGCCCGCCATGGCAGCTGCCCAGCAGCAAGTCCCTCTCTTCGAGCAGGCCAAGGGCTGGTTCAACAACATCGTCGGCGCCGCCACCTCCAACATCAACTCGGCCAGCTCAGCAGCTGCCTCGGCCGCATCTGGCGTCCCCAACCCCGTCCACGCTGCCGCCGGCAAGGTCCAGCAGCTCGCCGTCACCGACCTGACCAAGGAAAACTACAACCAAGTCCTGAAGCCTGGCGCCGCCACCGCCAGCCCCGGCATCGAGAACTGGATGATTTACACCACCGGCGGCAACCGCACTTGCTTTGGCTTGTGCGACAAGGCTGATGTCGAGTGGACCAAGGCCATCCCGCTCCTCTCTGCTATCCCCAGTGCTCCTCAGCTCGGCCGCTTGGATTGCGAGAAGGAACCCCAATTGTGCAATGCATGGGGTGCCGGCGCTCCCAGCGTCATCTACATCCAGCTGCCCCAGCCTCTCCCCGATCAAACCACTCCCGCCACCACCGTCCACTACCTGTCTCTGAACCGCACCACTGTTTCCGCTCAGGACTTTGTGCAGATTGTCACCGACAAGACTTACCAGCAAAAGACCCCTTACGAGGGCTTCTTCCACCCTTTCAACGGTATCCTTGCTCAGACCGGTCTTGCCATTCCCTTTGGTTGGGTCGTCTACGGTTTCTCCGTCATGCCCAGCTGGGCTTTGATGATTGGCATTTCCTTCTTCTCCAGAACCTTCATGTAAGTCTTTCCACTGTCCCTCGGCTATGTCAGAGACACAATATACTGATACTCGGCAATAGGAGCAAGAGAATGGGTCCCCAGGGTGGTGCTGCCGCCAGACCTGCCGCCCCCGCCGGTCGCACCCAGTAAGCGACAAACGTCGCGCGATATGTCACAGCTTGTCATTCTGAAGGAAGGAACTACAAGAAAGATTGCGAAGATATACAGGACTAAACAGATCCTGGTCGAGCGAAGGAAGCAAAAAAGTGTAATAAGCTTGCGTATTTGGAACATTGATTGTTTCTTCAGGAAATGATATCTTTCTTTGTGTATATGCTGGAAGCGCCCTTTCTCTACGACACCGATGCTTGTCTTTCTTTTACATAGTGGATATGATTGCCTTCTTGTCCAACTTGAGAACATCGTGGCGCCCAACCGAAGTGCGACGCTCATCTAACGACTCTGATCGATATGTTGGTATGAACGAAGAAGCTGCTCGTTGAAATAAGTAAGGCACGAGGGAAGGGATACGTGAAACTAATTGATAAAGTTTGAAATTCATTTATTTGCAGAAAAGCGCATTCTTAGAATGATAAGAGGACCAAATCGTCACTGTTTGGAAACCAACACCTGACCCAATGCTTTGCTCTGCGCCCCTAGATCCGATAAACCCAACCCTGATGCCGAGAAACAAACGCCATGAGAAGAAGATACTAGAAAAGTAGTAGACTTGAGAGATGTTCACTCCTCCATGAGCTCGACAGGAGGACGAGCAGTATGCACCAAAGGCTTCTGAGCGTCGAATCCAAATGTCTCATCCACAGGCGACGCCTCGGCACTGGTATCCTCGACTGCAATAGCGGGTAGCAACGGCGAGTGGCCCTGCTCAACCGGCGAATACACGATCGTTCTTGAATCAGCCCTACTCCTCTGCACCTGCGGCACAGTCACTGGTGCCGTCTGCTGCTCTGCTTGCTCGGTTTGGGGAGCAGCGTCGTCTTCAGGGACTGAGGAAAGCTTGTGCAGAGCGTCTGCGAGGTCCTCGGCGTGGACTTCCTTGTTAGGGGCGTCTTCGAGGCGGGACTCCCAGCCGTGGGGTGGCGAGGGGGGAGGCGAGATGAAGAAGAGTTTGCCAGTGGATGGAGCTTTCAAGTGTTGGTCTTCGTGGCTTGCGATCTTTGTCTCTGCGCCAAAGTAGACTCTTATCCTTTGGCCCAACACATTTTCGCCATCGAGTTTGGTGCGAATGTCGATTGCGGCCTCGACGCTGTAGAAGGAGGCGATGATACGACGGAATGACTTGAGGGGAGAGAAAGAGTAGGTGGTTGCGTGTGCGTCCAAGGCGGCTTTGATGGTTGCGAGGTTGGTGGGGCCAAAGATGGCAGGGTCGTTCAGGTTTGTGATGATGAGGGTGTTGGACGGCACGGGGATTGTGGTGAGTTGGGGCAGGTTGCTGAGGTCGATGGAGAGGGAGGGCGAGTGCTTGCGCTTCGTGGGCGAGGCCGAGGGTGAAGAGGCGTGGGGGGACATTGGTGGTGTTTGGAGGGAGGTTACTGCTGCCATTGCTGCTGAAGATGTGGTGGATGTAGAATGTCGAGACTCCCGGGGTTTGGTCTTGTTATGTCCGTTGGAAGGCAAGATCTAAACGATCTCTTTTATCTTTCCGCTTTGCTTTTGTAGGTGGAGTCGGGTCGAAGTAGGTACTGATAAGGTAGGTCTTTGTGCTTCTCTGACCTTCCTGATAGGTAGCTACTGACCTTTGTAGCATTTACATATGCTGCCAGTCCGTTGCACTGCCCCAGCCAGCCGACCACTGCCGCAACCGTCATTCTTATGCGCACGGACGCTATACGGCCACGGTTTGCTCAGCCCGCCGAGGCCCGCAGCTGCTTTTGCTGCACCGTTGCATGCCCGCCATGGCTGTTTTGCTGTCTGACCTTTTGTCTCTCGAGAAACACAGGCCAGCAGCCGCAGTCAAGAATCTCGCTCCGACCGCTTTCTCCCTTAGACAACACAAACCAGTCCAGACAGCCTAGGCTGAGTCCGCAGTCACTCGCCTAAATGGAATTTGGCTGGCCGGCCTACTACACGGACCTGCGTCCCTCTTGCTAACATCTCTAAGCCTCACGAATTGCCACTGCTACATCGTTCCACCCTGCACAGCTTAGACCGTTCTCTGGGCTTTTGCTTGGAAAGAGAGCAACAAGAACGAGACAAGACGAATCCCTCTCCACTGCTTCCGCTGTACACAGCCCCAATTGTCCTTTGAGCCCGCGACGGACCGGCTGCAAATGCCTAGATGGTACGGAGCTGTAGACCAAAAACACAGCCCCAATATCGGCTTATCCTTGTCGGAAAAAGGAAGGTAACACAGCGATAACGACTCTATACTCTGTGTCTAGCAACGCCATACATTGATATACAACGCTATCACAATGCATAGAAACAGGGTAACGTCCACCGAGCGCTGTCAGTGTAGTCAACCCACCTTTTGTCACGCCCTCAACCTCGACATGACTGTGCATATCCGTAGACACAAGACTGACAGACTTCATCTGGAGAGATCACGTCGTCGACTCACCGGTCCTCGTCACTGCGTCGTGTCCGGTGTCAACATATCTGAATACGCACTGCTTCGCCCTGCTAGCCAACTCAGCGGAACAACTATACCAACGTAGCAGGATCGTCTTTGCTGTGCACAATTCCCCTGCGAACTCCAGGCAGACCAGGAAGACGCGTGTTTCGACGGAGCCTACGTACAGCCTCGACACTCTGCTCCGCCTGCAACAACTTGCTCACACTCGAAACACAGTGTCCAGAACCTTAGCGAGTTGGAACACACCCCCGGATGTTCTTTGCCCATCTGCCTTACTGGTTGCACGGCTCAGCTATTCATCTTCCTGTGGATGACAGGCAGACTCTCTCTTACTACCATACGTAGCTCTGCTGCTGACACCCAAGGCATTGTTCCCTTGGTAGGTCTCTCTTTCCCTTGGAAGAACCGTGCATAGTATACCCACTAGAGATGTCTGCTTCGTAGAATCACAGAATATCAACAAGATTCCAAGAGAGACAAAAATCACATGTGTCGACAGATACAACAACGCGTCTTGCCAGTACCTACCCGTCAATCGACTACGCCGGCTGATCGACAAACCTTTCTTGTCATGCTGAATATCGGTTTTTGGCACTGACGGACCAAAATCGCGTGCCCATGCCACAACGACCCCCGCGGCGGCAAGGAATTGCAAGGACCAATAGATTGAACATTAATTTGGTGAAAACAATCAGTAGCTCGTGAAGACTGGAGTTGATCGTGCTCAAGAGCATTTTATGTCCCGCGTCCCATGGAAAAACATTCATCACACCTGTCTTCGGCTTCGAAGTCCAGCCTACTCGAGACCCTAATCAGGATTACCATCGTCTGATCGCAACTGTTTCCTTCTTAAGACGAAAGGTGTTCAATGAAATAGGGCCATCGATGATATTTAGAACAATCAAAATCATGACCAGGGTCACCCTACGATCATGGATACTTGTTTAGGAAAGTGATTGAAACAAGCAGGTCTCGACGTAAGATGGCTTCAGAGAACCTGTTTCGAAGGATGTACGGTGCACTCGAGGGTCTGTCTATGGATTCAGTGGAAAGATGCAATCCGAGCAGGCTAACCAGAGCCCAAACATCTTGCAAGTGGAGGAGGCTCCAGGCCAGCGGATGCCGCCATGGTGTAAGCACCACATCGTGGTCGGCAGCAGAACAAAACTTAGCTATAAACGAAGAGGAAGCAGATGACTAGAGTAGTAGAGCTGCGAGGAAGTCGTGGCTTGCGCGAGGACGATCACGGTGTGTGACTCGCGGTAAGTGAATCGATAAGAGCAGGGTGATGAAGTAACGACGCGAGTGGAAGTTGAACAAGGTTGAGCTCGTAACAACTCCAGCGATTTCTGAAGCATGTCACACTGAGATCTGAAAGGTCATGGGGAGGCAACAGAGCCAGGCCCGTGAGACCTTTATGATGGTGTAGCAAGATATTTTCGAACACACTAAACACACAAGAAGATGACATGTTCTGTGATGACCCTTCACCCACCATTTTCAACCCCACACAAGGGTCCTTAGAGATTGACAGATGACACGGCCGTCGAGATAGCATGAACGGTAAAGACGGTGAGCTGATTGAAGAAGTGGGTGTGCCCTATATTCAGATAGGCCTTGGCACAGGAGCTGAAGGAGAGTTGGCCGGCAATAAGATCCAAAGGAAGCCAAAAGCCACCCCTGAGAGATACACTTGGCGAGGCTGTGGATCATGAATCAGCACCAGTGTCGCATAAAGGCGCCACAAAATGGAAATGTCTCGAGGGCACGAGACGGTGATGAATCAATCTGCAGCATGGAGAGACGCAGGAGTTTGGCATAGGCTTGTAGTATGCAGGTGATAGTTAGCTTCGATAAGGTGTCCCGGGTGTCGAGCAGGAGAGGGACGGGAGGCTGCATCGTGGGAGCCACTGTCGGAGGCGGTGAACGCCGAACGGTAACGCTGCTCGAGCCTCGAGGGTTTGTATCCGAACAAAACGCGCGTGGGACATCGTGGGTCCGTGCCGCTTATTTGGAGATGGAATGGTGAAGGGTACACGAAATTGAGGAAAGAGCAACTGGTCACAAGACAGAATTCTGCAAGACATGTACACGTCAAGACTGAGGAGCCCGAGGAATACAGGATGTGAATGAAGTTGTAGATGTCGAGAGAACGGGACTGTCATCAGTAGGTAGTGTTCCGTTACGCAGTCTCGAAGCAGTAGCATGGCTCGAAGAACGACGCGTGTGCAGGAGATCTTAAAGTTGAACGATTCTGTCAAAGTAGGCCCAGTGTCGTTTTCAGAAGCGTAGAAGACGACAAGGAAGGCGCAAGGTACAGGCAGGATTTATGCGGTCCAAGTAGAAGACAAATTGGCAAGCGGGATTAATAAGAGAGTGCAGAGGAGCGAAATAAAGTTATATCGCCGTGGTAGCTGACGAAACGGCTTGGCTGCTGCATCTGAGGCTCGTCGTGTCTCCTGCAAACACAGGCTCGACTGTGCTGCTCTTGCTCGACTGCTCCAACAGCGTCCATCGCATGCGTGCGCACGTAACGACGAGCAATCGACACCGGACGAGGTCTTGCACCGCACGCGGCTGTCGCCAATCTTGACTTCTGACATAGCCATTCCCCTCGCTGAAACATCCTGCGAAACACGTCCGCTGCCCGTTCGCTGCACCCGTTCGCTCGCCCACTGCATCGTCTCTCAGCATCCCACAGGCCCGTGGGCCCGTCGCACCTCTACTCAGCCGGCGATTGACGGCCGCACCTTCGTCTACACCAGGTTTCCATCAACATCGTCATCGCCGCTGCCCGGCCTCCATCAGCATGGATGCCGATACCAACTCCAACTATCCCGAGTCCCCCACAGAGGAAGATGAGGTCTTCTTGTGCAAAGGCTGCGGCGAGGTACGACCGACGACAGGTCTTGTGTGTTTGCAGCTTGACTGACTCTTTGGCTACGCAGATTCTAGAACAGGGGCGAGCCTTTGAGCTTGGTAAGTCACACGCAGCGTCGAGGGGTAGTGCCCTTGCTGATAGACTCGTGTATAGCTGGCCACCGGTGGCACCTTGGCTGCTTCCGCTGTCACTCATGCGCCACCCTCCTCGACTCGGACGCCAACCTGTTGCTGCTAGGCGATGGCTCGCTCATCTGCAACAACTGCACCTACAGCTGTAGCTCCTGCGGCAACAAGATCGAGGACCTCGCCATTCTGACCGGTGATCAAGCTTTCTGCGCCACTTGCTTCAAGTGCCGCAACTGCAAGAGGAAGATTGAGAACCTACGATATGCGCGAACCAGCCAGGGCATCTTCTGCATGAGTTGTCACGAGAGCTTGATGGCCAGACGACGGAAAAAGGCAAAGGCGTCCAAACAGATAGCCGCTGCAGGGAGCAACAACCCTATAGTGCTAGACAAGAGTCTGCCTGCACTACCGCCGAATGCCGTCTCCCAGAGTGCCCTGCGAGAGTCTTCTCCCTCGGGTTCCTACTCCAGCGACCACCTCAAGGCCAGCCACGACAGGCAGCGGGACGCATCGCCCATGTCTGTGTCTGACCATGGCGAGAGAGGCAGCAGCCGTCACCGATCCCACATGGGAACTCCCTCGGACCAAGCGCCAGACACTCTGACACTGCCAGCTAGCACATACAAGCAGGAGCGTGCTTCGACCATGTCATCTAACACCATGACTACCATGTCTGACACCGACGACGGTTTCTTACCCATGGCATACGACCCCAACCCTGCCCCTCCTCCTCTACCACGCCGTTCACACCCCGAAACCACCCCGAGAATGTCCGACAACCTTTCTCCTCAAGGTGCCATGTCTAGAAGCAACAGAGAGCGCCCGTCATCTTCGAGATCAGTGTCGACAGAGCGCGATAGTATCCGCAGTCCTGGTGTTGGTCATGTTGACAAGAGTCGTCAGCAGGGTCTTCGCAATGTTTCGGGTAACAGCACACCCGTCACCACATCGGCCGTCGCCTCGCCCTCGTCTCTCACCAGCCAACAACGTCCTCGTCTGCCGCAAGCAAATAGCGCTTCTTTCACCTTGGCACCGCCAGAGCCCTTTAAATTGCAGGATGTCCCACGCGATCGTAGAGTGTCACGCAACAGCCCTCGTGTTGGAAAGAACTCACCCGCTTCATTGGACACTCAACATCAATCGAGACACACGCCGACCGACTCGAACGTTTCCCTATCACCTACCTCAATCGACACACCCAGCTCGAGCATTAATCCCTTCGACGACCCAAAGCTCCGCGAAGCTTCTACCAGCACCGGCACGCTAGCTGCAAAGCATCCCGCCAGAGGCGATTCTCTGCCACCAGCCAACGACAAGGCACAGTATTCACGCGTTACCTCTCCCGACACCACTCCCGCTCTCAGACAGGCTGATTCTACTCACGAACGTAAACAATCCTCAACCTCCGCTCAATTCGTGGATGCCCTACCCCGACCCCAGGCCGAGTCACAGAATGCACCGGATGCGGGAATACCGACCGCGCCTCCCAGAGCTGCAAATCGTCCTTCTGCTTCAACCAAGCCCGCCGCCAACGACGATTTTACAACCCCCAGGATTCCTCCTGCACCTCCTGCAAACGAACGTCCACGTGCCGAATCTGTCGGCAACCTTCAACATGACCACAACGCTGCAGCCTCGCCGAAGGCTTGGCGTACACACCTGCCGAAACACAGTGCTGGCGAAGCCTTCTCTATGGAAGAAGAAATGTCCCGTATCTTGAGAGGCGATGAGCAGAAGAGAAAGGAGAATGAGCACGCTGGCGTCCTTCGTCGTGTTTCAAATGCTGTAAAGCATGGCAGGAGCTTCAGCGACAAGTCAATACCCTTACAAAAGACGCCTACTATCAGTGCGGCCGACATCAGCAGCCCCATCCTCATCTCCAGCCCTATCACCTCGCCCGGTCAACTGGATGTTGCTTCCTTGAGGTCTCAGCTGCGTCGCGCTCAACAAAAGATTGCTGAGCTTGAGGCTGATAAACTCGGCCTCGAGGAGAAGATGGATACTTCTGCCGATATCAAGCAGGTCAACACCGAACTGCGCGAGAAGCGCTCAACCATGGCCTTCCTTGATACTCAGCGCGAGATGGTTGTCCGTGAACTTGAGATCATGACCGAGCACTTGACTAAGGCTAAGGAAAGCAACAAGCCTTTGGACATTAGTCAACTCAAGTCTGAGATCTTGCAGGACTTCGCCCACTCTCTGCAGAAGTTGAAGGACAATCTCGGTTCGCAGATTGAAGACCTTGTACACAAGCGAAACGAACTAACCGACGATATCACGAACCTGATTCAAGTGAAGGACAAGGGTTTGCAGGAGTTCGAATCGCTTTCTTCCAAGAATAACCAACTTGCTGAATTGAACAATCAACTCGTCAGCGGTATCCAAGAGATGTACAAGTCTCAGAACATCAAGCACGGCGGGTTCGACCGATCGCCCCTCACTAACGGCTTGGGGATCTACAACGGCTCGAACAGGGGCGACATGCACTCACTGAACTCGTCGTTGCAAGAGTCTACCAGCCTTCACGACCTTTTGCCACAGGCAGCCGACGCAGAACCAGCTACTGTGCTCACAGCACCGCAGGTCGTCAACATTCGCAAAGGACAACCCAAGAAGTTCAACTGGAAGAAGGGCTCGTCCGGTCTTGCAAAGAATATTACCAAAGGCGTCAAGGGCGCGTTCGCTGGCAACAACGATCGCGGAGTTCCTATCAAAGCCGACGGTACTTACGACATCACCGGTATGCCCTACTCGCAGATGCAAGCAGGCCCTGGTGCTGTCATGGGCGATCAACCTTTGATGAGAGCTGGCGATCCAAAGGGTTTTGGTTTCTTCTCTTCCGCTCAGAAGAACGGTCTCAAGCCAGGTGTTCAAGGCATTCATGGAAAGAACGCCAGCAGCTCCAACCTGCTTGCTGAGAATCCTTCTGGTAAGTCTACGATACGCAACTCAATGCCTTTAAAGAGCACTAATGTTTGTTCAGTATTGTTCGGATCAGATCTCCGCGAACGTTGCGACTATGAGAAACGCATCTTGCCTTCGATTGTCACGCATTGTGTCGAAGAAGTCGAGAAGCGTGGCATGGACATGGAGGGCATTTACAGAAAGTCTGGAGGAAGTGGTCAAGTCAAGCTTATTCAGCAAGGCTTTGAGAAGGATGGCACCTACGACATTGCTGACCCAGATCTTGATATTCATGCCGTCACCAGCGCGCTGAAGCAATACTTCCGCAAACTGCCCAACCCGCTCATCACATACGAGGCATACGACCCACTTCTGGAAGCAGCCCAGATCACCGACAAGGACAAGCAGATTGCCGCCATCAAAACTGCACTAGAGGCTATGCCACAAGCTCATCACGACGTGTTGGAGTATTTGGTTCAGCATCTATGCCGTGTTGTCAAGCAGGAGTCGGAGAACTTGGTAAGACAACTTTTCCCGACACGACCCACAGCGCAGAAGAGCTAACACACCGTAGATGACACCGCTCAATCTTTCGGTCGTTTTCGCACCCACGATCCTGCGACCTCTGAGCATTGAACGCGAGATGTCGGACATGCAAGCCCAGCGTATGGCAGTGCAGGCGCTGCTCGAACACGCGGACTCCATTTTCGAAAACTAATGAATGATACATCGGTTTATGGCGAGCGACTGTTTTCGACCCGGGTTTCCAGATGCAAGTCCCGAAGGTCATGCCTGGCGTTTCTCTTCTTTTGCAAAACTTCTCTTCTTGCAAAATTACTTTTTTCGCTGTTTCCCCCTTTCCCCTTAGCAGATACGTTATGAGCGCCGTCTTCATTTGGTGTGGTTTAATGGATGCGGAGTTGAGGCATATACTTTGATGAAATGCGCATACTCAAATTTTGACAGAACCACCACTTGCGTATCCACCTTTTAACAATAATTTGCTCAAGTGTACTACAGTCTTTTCTATACCCTGCCAAGCCACCTCGAACGACGTGGCCCCGCCCGATGCAGGAGCAATCAATTACACCAAGCTGACCTGTTGCAGGAAACAACGACCTCACGCGATCACCTGCTGTCTTCTTTCGCAACTACCTCCATCAACCCCACTGTGTACTCTGAGTGGCACGATTGCTCACGGACTAGACCCACAAACAATCATCACTCTGATTGGTATCATGCCTCGCATCACGAAACTCGACCCTAGGTAGATTATCGGCTCTCTCACTCTATTGAGCATCGGGAGTTCCACTTCGTGGTCTGTTGATCCTCTGGTGATCCACCATAAAGCATGACGAAAAGAAGCTTCCTCGAAGACCTGAGGAGAATATTTGCTGCCTACAAAGAAGGGCAATGTCTTCCCATCTTGCTTCGTTCTTGGTCCACACGAGCATTCTCAAGGAGCATAGCGACCAGGATGTTGCTGTCAAAAGTAATCTATCTATCGGGCATTGCTGTCTCATCAGCATTGGCTTTCGACAACGGTCCATACATAGGGTCGACTCTGTCGACAAAATACATCGAGCCCCATTCTTCAAGCGAGGGGACGACCGTCTCGACCAGTTGGCGCACTCACAAGGCTTCTGCCACAACTCAATGTGATGGAGACGATGATGGCTGGACTCTTGTCTCCAAGGTGAAGCCCACTCAGACAGACACTCAGCAAACGACCACAATCGACAGCACCAATCCAGAAGCTACCAACGATAGGCCGAACAACGCAATTGTTGCACACAGGATGGCGGTGATAGCTCGCGAGAAGTGGGGTAGATTCCCTGAACGGCCTGATGCTGAAACAGATGTGAGTTAAACCCCGAGATCGTTGTATGTCCTACAAGTTCTCAATATCGCCATACGTTACCAGAGTATAACTTAATGATATGTTCACTCTAGGCCTGTATCAACAACACCAATTTCGATGATGGTACTCAAGGCATTACATACGATAACTTCACCGTCAACTGCACCGCCTTGATGTTCGGCGACAGGTGGCAAGGATGGAAGTGCGACAAAGCCTGTAGAGCCACACTCGGAACCGCAGTACCAGCGGCGCTCTTAACAGCGGTCGGTAAGAAGCTGGCTGAATCTGACGCGGTCGAGAAACTTCTCCTCGCGATCCTGGAACTCTTCGAACAACCTGTCAGCTTCTTGCGAATTGCAAGATTTTTCAAACAACTTCGCGCTTCGAACTCTCCTCTCAGCGATCTCAGCAGTCTCAGCAGTGGCGACAGCTGGCCTAGTCCATCAGAACTTCGGGTGGCGGACTTCTCTGACACAATCGATTGGCTCCTGAGTCAAGAGGCCTCGAGGGCAGGTAGAGAATTTGGTCTCGATCAGGAGGCGATAGAGCGGGCCATAAATCGCATGGACGAATACCAACGTCCGTTCGAGTTCCCTCATCGCACGCAATCGGACCCCGGCTATTACGATCCTTTTGAATTCCGCTCCCCGAGATCAGAAGAACTCTGTAGAAGACTCCTCGACTCAGATTGGTTCGATTCCATGGAAGAGTACGAAAACTACATACGCAATCAGATGGATGTAGCGGACATTGCAAGACATGGGAGAGAAGAGTCTGAAGGAAGCTACCTGCCAGAACAAGATCTCTACGACTCGGAGGCAAGTAGTCTTGAGGAGCCTCTGTCACCAGAGGAGATGACAAGATATCCTGGTGAAGGACCACCACCTAGCGAAGGGCCTCACGAAGAAGGATCTCCTAACGAGGAAGGTTCACCCAGCGAGGAGGGCTCACCCAGCGAGGAGGGCTCACCCAGCGAGGAGGGAGCACCCAGCGAGGAGGGAGCACCCGGAGCACCAGGATCACCTACCGAAGAGGACCATTTTCTCAGGTCCCAAATTCCACATTGCCCAACGCACGGCGGATCGCCATCCTGTATTATCCACAACAATGTTCTTCCGGGGACCCATCTGCTTCCCAATCATTTCTCTACACTGAACCCAAAGAATAACAAATGACGTGCTGAGGTTCTATTCTCGGGATTTTTTTCGCCAACGTTTCGTAGTAATCTTGTGACATCGCAAGGCCAGGGCTTAACAGATTAGATTGCAGTATCCATGGATTGGCATATCGACAACGGTTTTTCGATGAGATGACGAGAACAACGGTGCAGGAGGATACGGGCGCAAGGTGCGAAGTTACGTAGGACCCTTTGGCAGGAAGCAGACGAAGAGGGAGGAGGGAGGGAGAGTGAAGGTGAGATGTCTTGCGGTGCAGGGCGGATAGAAGCGTTATGCCCATATGGAAAAGGCTGCTTCTTTGGTGTGTCAGAAAACTGACAATGAGAAAGCAAGAGTAGAAGGTCGATGTGCTGGTCAAGATTTGTGTGTTCGTCATGTTCAGGAGAGGAAACGGTGTAGCGAAGGAATGAGGTCTTCTTTATCATAGAGGTTTTCTGTATCGCATCTTTCGGGTGTTTGAGGGAGGAGAATGATGTAGAAGAAAACGGGTTCTTTTTGATTATAGTAGTTTGTATCATCTTTTGTGGTGGGAAGAAGGAAAGGACATCATGCTCCCTTCTTCGTTCTCTAAGCCTAACATGAAAAACAAGATGCGGTCGGAGGCATCAAAACAAAACAAAACAGGAAGTGGCAACAGGGGTATGGCCTTTTCTTTCCTTTTAGACATGAATAAAAAAGACACCAACGCCGCCGTCAAGCATTAAGTATATTGAGTAGGGTCGTTCAAGCAGCCACAGGCTTGGAGTCGGAGGGTGCAGCGGGTGCATCTACGGAGCTGTCATCGCGGACAACATCACTCAGACGGAGACGTTTAGGAGCAGGGGCAGCTTGTGACTTGTAGGACTCGACCTCGGCCTCGAGGAGCTCGACTCTCTTCTTGAGAGCGGCTTCGCGAACCAGAGCAGAGTCGAGGTCGGCTTTGTATTGGTCTGCGACATCACGGGCAGAAGACTCTTTGGCACGGGCGTCTTGCTCGCTCTGTTCGAGCTCGGCGACTCTGCCGCGGAAGAGGTCGTTGATGACTTCGAGCTCACTCACGCGAGTCTTGAGCGAAGCAGTGTTCTCTGGGTACTGGTGGCCGTGTTCGGGGTGCATGCCGTTGACTGAGGGTGCGGGGGAAGGCTGGCGGAGAGCGAAAGTGGGCAGGCCAGCGGGCTGGAAGGATGACTCGGACAGAGAGACGTTGTCGAAGACGTGTTGGGGAGCAATGTTGGGGTTGTGCGAGTGCATGCCAGGAGTGTTGTTGCGAGATGAGGGCGAGGGTGAGCGTTGGTGCTCGCCAGAGGACATGCGGTCTGAGTGACGACGCTGGGGAGGGTACGAGCCCACGGGAGTGCTGACATGGTGGAAGTTGGGCGACTCAAGCGAAGGCTGTGGCGATGTTAGTATGTTGCAAGGATGATGGAGGGCGAGGGTTGACGGACCTTCTTCTTGGGGCCGGTAGCAGTCTTGACGCGGTTGCGGCTCTTGATAACGTCCGTCTTGAGACTGATGGGACGAGGACGGCCATGCAGCTTGAGGAAAAGACCGCAAGCATTGCACAGGACCGAGCCCATCTCGTCGCGACGCCATAGCGGAGTGGTGCTGGTACCGCAGTTCTGGCATACAGGCTGTGATGATGATGGAGTCAGCAAGTCGTTATCGATTTGGAAGATAAGGATAAGAGAAGGGCGTCGCGACGCGCCTCAAATGCCCGTCGCAACACCACCAACTCTCAGGGACACAACGTACAGGTCCGTTCTGCTGGCCACCGGCAGTGGCAGCAGGCGCCGAAGTTGCGTAGTTCATCGTGTGCATAACATTAGAGGTTCTGCGAAAGGAAAAGAGTCAGTCCTGTATCGAGTGCCAAATGCGCGCTGATAGGGCAGCTCAGAGATTCCCGAAAGCTCGGACCCTTATCTCGGATCCGCTTTCCGGCTTTGATAAGGATCAATGCCGACGCCGAGCCTTCTCTGCCTCAGGCACAAAGCTTCTTGCATTCAACAACAACAGAACAAATAATGCTTACCTTGGTATCATCATTGGAGCGCTTCCAAACGGTCCCAAGCTCGACACGCCAGGGAGTTGCATTGGGCCACTGAACGATCGCTGCGGAATCGAGTAGTGCGGTGTGGTGTACATTGGAGCTGCTGAAGATGGTCGAGGGATCTCACTACCCATGTGTGCGAAGAAAGGTCTGTCATCGGCATAGATTGGAGGTGTGAGAGTGACTGGGTAGTGGAGACCCATCGAAGACTTGGGTCTGTAGGGATCCATTACAGAAGGTCTGTACGAAGTATCGATCGAAGCAGGTCTGTATGCATCCATGGAAGTTCGGTGAAGCATCGTTGCGGCAATAAGGTCGTCAAATCTTTGTATATCGTCAATCGATTAGATCTCGTTGATGTCAAGAGAGTGTGTAGGTCGGATGAAATGAGCGTGTTTCAGAAGGTGTCGAAAGAATGAATGACTGAATTAATATGGATATTAGTATAGTGGCGAACGAAAAGAGTGTCGTGATAGAGGTCGTAGGTCGGATCAATTAGTTGTCCAGCGTGTGCCTAAGTATACATAGGTCCTGAAGCCCTGCCCAGGGGTGGCGACCATGTAATGACAACGGTAGAGGCTTGATGTTCGGCGTCGAGGTAAATTGCCAAAACAACAGCAACAAACGCAAAGCGGTTCTAGCAGGCGTTGTGTCTACCGTTCTGCGCTTCTATCATACTGTGATAGCTGTGATAGCATCATCGTCCATGGTAAACTTGTGATAGCTGGCCGAATTGTTTCAATTGTAGGCTGACTCCAGGACATGTCAACATTCCGCATCCTCCAAGTCCAGATTGGTTTTGCGTAGTATCACTCATTCCTCAAGAGACACAATTGGATCGCAACATTTCCTTCAACCGTCATCTGTGGAGTCGAGAGCAGGTCAACAGTAAACAAACGCTCCTTTGAAGAGCCGCAATTGCAATCAAAGTACAGCTCGCCTTCGACGGCTGTGTAACGGTCGAGGCAGGAGATTGGCGGTAGAGCAGTGTACGAAGCCTATCCCTAAACCGTTACGCATGAACAGAGATGAGGTCCATCCTTCGCGGAAGCGATCGACGATCGATTGTAGATATAGATCAGCGTAACAATGCTGGTCGTTGATACCAGATTGTGATTGACACGATGTATAGTAGAGAAGGGAAGGGCTTTGCTTAGAGATGTCATGAGCTTGGGCCGCCTGCCACCGACTGCGCAGATCCGGGGAACAGGTTCAAGGGGCCTCGAGGGGCAAGAGTTTCTCATTTACCAAGGACTTTGCCATGATCATTGCGCACACAAGCGAGCATGGTTCGACTACCCTCGGGGCGGTGCAATCGTATTCGAGAGTTGAAATCTCCTATCGTCCAACAACGACTGTTCTATCGCAGGCACGTCTGACAAGTCGAGCCGCGATAAGCAAGCTATACCTATCGTACTTTACTTTTGGATGAAGTGGTGTACCATGGGATCTATCTCAGACTGTAATCCAGACTCATTGTCAGGGGGCAGTATGGTTGGGTAATAGTGTATCAGGGCTCCGCAACAGTCGAATGCTCAAACAAGTTTCTTTGTTGATACTCGTACCCACCAACCCCTGTATCTGGTTCCTGGGGACAAAGCTTGGCGTCCCCAGTCGTCATTCCATCGACATTCGTGTTCAAGCTGGTCACTGGTGTTGATAACGTGACAGGCCACCTGTCTCTCTCGACAACCACAATCAAAGCTCACCATGGGCAAGTCCAGACCAGCCACGTCTGGCTACGCCAGAATTGCTCAGGCAGAAGAGGAGGACGATGAATCCCTGCTTTCCGACGACGACATCATCCACCAAGGCCAGTCCCGCATCTCGCTCGACGCCGATGGTACCACATATGCGCCCATACAGCCGAAGCGCCGTGAGCGTATGGACTTACCAGAAGGCCGATCCCCAAACCACCGACGACGGCGTACAAACTCTGGAGTCGACATCAAGGCCATCAACGCTAGACTGGAGAAATGGGCCGATGAGATCGCACAGAAATTCAAGATTCGCAAGGTCAAGGGAAAATCGCAGGAGGAGGAGCATCTAGAGATACACCACTCGGTCTTTGTGGCTCCTGACTGGATCAGACCCGCGACGGCCGAGACACTAGCCTCAGACCCCGATGAGTCCAACGAGGACAGGATATCCAAGACCGATTTCGAGGAGATCGTTGAGAGCGTCAGGGTCGCCATTGAAATGGGTATGCAGCCCAAACTCATCACTCAGGGCAGTTCTGGAAGTTACTTTGCGAGAAACACCTCTGGCAAGGTCGTTGGCGTCTTCAAACCAAAGGATGAAGAACCATACGCTTCAAAGAACCCCAAATGGACAAAGTGGATCCACCGAAACCTCTTCCCATTCTTCTTTGGAAGAGCATGTCTCATTCCCAACCTCAGCTATGTTTCCGAGGCAGCCGCTTACGTCCTGGATAGCCGTCTACGAACCAATCTGGTACCTTATACAGACGTCGTTACACTCTCCTCCAAGGCGTTTTTCTACGATTTCTGGGACAGGCGTGCACACTACCGCAAAGGTAAACCATTTCCCGAGAAACAAGGCAGTTTCCAGGTCTTCCTCAAAGGCTTCAAGGACGCAAACATCTTCCTAAAAGAACACCCGTGGCCCGATCAACACAACTCAGGATTTCGAACAGATGCTGCGCCTAGCCGGAAAAAGAGGAGGTGGGGAGAGGACTGTCGACCTAGAGGTGCTCCTTCTGACGATGAGGATGAAGACATCGAGGGCTCTCGAGCGCCGTATAGCGATCGCCAACGCTCCCGGAAAGTCTTCTGGACGCCTGCTCTTCAACAGTCGCTTCGCGAACAGCTAGAAAAGCTTGTGATTTTGGATTATATTATGCGCAACACCGATCGCGGACTTGACAATTGGATGATCAGAATCGATCAGAAAACTCAACAAGCTGAGATTGTGCTCGAACCACCTAGAAGTTCGACAAATGGACAGGCTGATCCGTACAGAAGAGAAGAGATGATGACTGCTGGCGGTCAGACCAACCCACGATCTTCTGCTTCCGTGTCTCTTGGTGCTATCGACAATAGTCTGTCATGGCCTTGGAAGCACCCTGACGCTTGGCGCAGTTTCCCATTCGGCTGGCTGTTTCTCCCTGTTTCTCTGATCGGCCGGCCATTTTCGGAGAAGACCAAGCAACATTTCTTGCCTCTACTGACATCCAAGCAGTGGTGGAGTGAGACTCAGGTTGCTTTGCGCAAATGTTTCGAACAGGATGCCGACTTCCAAGAGAAGATGTTTGCTCGTCAAATCGCCGTCATGAAAGGACAGGCATGGAACGTTGTGGAGACACTCAAGACGCCGGATCACGGTCCTTTGGAATTGACAAGACGTGCTCGAGTCTGCGTTTGGGATGATCTGGTTGAGATCCCTGTGGCCGTGCCTCTGCGACCATCAAACGATCTGCGTCACAAGCACGCGGACGTCATCAAGGTCCCCGGTATCAGAGAGGAAGAAGAGTTGGACATAGGTGCTGCCTATGCTTCAGCGCCTCCATTGAAGTTGCAAACTGATCTTCTTGGACCCGACCATCCGCACAACAATCGTTTCAACATCTCACGACAGAACAGTAGTGGCGATGTCAGAAGGAGCGAAGACAGCAATGCTCCCCTGTCACCGTCTAGTGTACAAGGCTTCACTTTCGATCCTGCAAAAGAGTCGAGATCCAAACGGCCCGTCGCGACTCGCTCAAAGTCAAGGCTTAGTCTTGATGAGACAAGAAGACTGTTCGACAACCTTGGGGAACGTAGGAGGTTCTCGTTCGCTATCGGAAAGAGAAACGATGAGATTGACGTGGACGATGCAGAGCTGGATGGCGATCTTGGCTTTGCTGCAGCAGAAGATCAGGAGGGTTACAGGAGAAAGGTCATTGTTGAAAGGATCGAAATGGTCAAGGGCAGGGCTCCTGTGTTTACTTGGTGCTAGGATGACATGATACCTCGGCGTTCCGGATGTGGTTCGGGCATGGAAGGGCACAAAAACATATGGTGGGCAGCATTATTGCAAGGCGCTGTAAACATAGCATGTGTACACTTAGGATACCTGAAACGAACGATTGATGACAATCTCTTGACGCGGCGTGTGATAGTAACAAGCTGGTTCTTGATGAGGACCACAATCGTCTTGATCGTTTCTTGCGCAGTGAGCGAGCCATAACCCTGGCTCAGATTATTCGGCTCTCGTGAAGGTGAAACTCGTGCATCTCGGAGACCAGCAATGAAAGTCAATATGTCATTCAACTGTAGTAAAAAAAAAATGAACATGCAAGAGAATGATAGAGTCGATGCAAGACTTGGAAACCCCGTCCCCGAGGGAGATTGCCTGGCTGTGGCGAGGAGACGAACTTCTGCGCACGCCGCACCGGTCTTTCACAATCATCAGTCCAAACAAGATATTGAAATCATTCTTGATCAATGTATCCAGTCAAGCGACCCTGGCTCTTTCCTCAAGTGCATCTGATCAGATAATTACGTTGTGTGATTTGGTCTTGTCGTCGTCGTGGGTCGTTGAATCCTCGACGACGATGACGGGTGCTGCTGCCCCAGACCTCATCGGGACTCGGTGTAACAAACATTCACCCGCCTTTCCAGCGACCTACTCATTCACACCAAAATACTATTGTCGTCGCATGTTCGAGTTTCCGCTCGTTTTGGCTATTGTGAGATGAATGCTGCGCAGCGAGCGGCGTTGCTCAATCCAAAGGCGGCTCGCAGAGCAGCAGCGGCAGCCAGTAAGTGACGGAATTCAATCAATCATCCATTCATTTGGCTTCATATCGCGTACCCATTCTTACTACAATCTCCGTCTCTGTGCATTCACATCTGTCTGTTCATCGCGCTTCTCGGAAGATTACTCGACTCGAGCATTTACCTACTACACTCACCGTTGCTTGCTTTATTTACACTTCCACCTCCACCACATTCTCTTTTCACTCCAACTACTACATCAACCTCCCAATTCATCCGTCTACTCCACTTCAACACTTCAACACTCCACCACACAACCATCAACTACTCGCTCGACCCACCTTTTATCTCATCCACTACACAAATATCAATCGTCATTCAGCACAACCACTTCAGCATTCATCAAACCATATCCAACGCTCATCATGGACGAAGATCTGACTGTTCCTCAAGGCAAGAAGAGAGATCAGGACGATCTCACCACGGAAACACAGGATGAGCCGATCACTGGTGTTGGCTCCTTCATGGAGCGACAGTTCAACCTCACAGATCGTGAGGCCGAGCCAGTCACCAAGAAGCAGAAGATCGACGAAATCAATGGCACCAGCCACAACGCAACCTTCAAGGCTGGTAAGGGCGGTGTGATCGGTCAGTATCTCAAGGAGCAGCGTGATCTGGGCGCTCGCGAAGCAGGACCTTCCGCGGCAATCGACCTTACGGCAGAGGAGGACGATGAGATCCAAGTGGTGTCAGTGAAGTCGACCACTCAAGATCTCAGACGTGAGATTTGTCTCGGCTCCATCACCGCCAAAGTTATGGCACACAAGGTTCCTGCCGCCAACAGAAACCTGAGCAAACACTCCGACAAATGGCCACCAGCTAAGATGACCTTACAGCCTCGCGTCGGCCAAGAAAAGACGTACCTCGCGATGGATGGCAAGAATGTTGAATTCGGCAAGCTCGATCTTATCACCGCTACCGCCATTGCGCCTTTACTCAAAAACGCCAATCTCAAAGTCCGTCTCGCTCCTCTTTTGAAGGAACGTGACAAGGATGCCGGCGAACAACCTGGTCAACCTATCTCGAAGTCCTTGGATATCTCTATCACTCTTTACAGCGCCGCGGAAGCCGCCACCGGAATCGGTCGACATCTCAGCCAACGTCAGATCTTTCTATACAAGCCACTGGTTATCCCACACGGCACCGAAGTCCTCAACCCACACGTTCCTAACTATAACGTCGTGCCCAGAAACAAGGCTTCTGCGGTTGTGACAGCTCAGTCCACCACCAGCTATCGGGTCCGTACCACCGAGGAGATCAAAAGTGATGTTCTTTCCATGTTTGACAGACTCGGCAAGACCGAGGAACTTCCGGAGGCCGAGGCTGACACCACACTCGTCAAGACGGAGCTGATGCAGCATCAGAAGCAGGCCCTCTGGTTTCTAACCAAGCACGAGACACACACTCCGCCCGAAGAGGATCCGCTCTGGAAGTTTGTGATTCGCAAAGACGGTTCCAGAGCCTGGTACAATGTGATTACTGGCGACGAACTGAAGAAAGTCAGTCCAATCATGGGTGGTCTTCTGGCTGACCAGATGGGTTTGGGCAAAACACTCTCCGTTCTTTCGTTGATCTGCTCGACGCTTGAAGATGCCAGAGCATTCGGCGCTGGTGACTTGGACGATAACGACCGAATCAACGATGTCGAACGCCGGTCTGGCGGTACTTTGCTTCTCTGTCCCAAGTCAGTCATTTCGAACTGGCAAGAGCAGATTGGTCAACATCTCGACAAGTCCAAAGTCAGCTACTACATGTACCACGGCAGCAAGAGAGAGCAGGATCTTGACGCCCTGTCACAGTACGATATTGTTGTCACATCTTACAGCACAGCCGCTAGCGAGTTTACGTCTACCTCCAAAAACTTCAGCGCACTCACGGGCCTCGCATGGTTTCGTATTGTTCTAGACGAGGCACATTCCATCCGCACCCAGAACACCACTACCTTCAAGGCCGCATGTGCGTTGGTCAGCAAGCGTCGTTGGGCAGTCACTGGTACGCCAGTTCAGAACAAGCTCGATGACTTTGGTGCTCTCGTAAAATTCCTCAAGATCTATCCCTTTTCCGACAAGGGTATCTTCGAGAAGCATTTCATGGCACCTTTCAAGGCAGGCGATCCTCAAGTGCTTGATAACCTTCGACTTCTCGTATCCAGTATCACGCTCAGACGTTCAAAAGACAAGATCGACTTGCCCGACCGAGTTGAGGAAATCCTTCGTCTCGACTTCTCATCTGAAGAGCAAGCTCTGTACGATGCCTTCGCCAAGGACGCCAACAGAAAGGTTCGCGCTATGACACGCGGAAACGACCGTCTTAGAGGCAGAAGTTACGCTCATGTTCTGGTCAACATCACCAGACTGAGATTGATCTGCGCACATGGAAGAGAACTGCTTAGCGAAGACGATATGAAGGCGCTTCAAGGTACCTCGTATGAGACGGCCATCGATCTTGGTGAGGAGGGTGATGCAGAGAACCCACCCATGACCAAGGATCAGGTCTACGACACATTTCATCTCTTACGCGAGAGCACCATGGACGTCTGTTCATGCTGCTCGAATGGTATTGGCCAAATCGAGCCCGCCGGAGCCGACAGTGACAGCTCGGACAGCGAAGACGAGACGGAAGACATCATTGGTTACCTGACTCCATGTCTCCATTTGGTGTGCCCAGCTTGCGCAGACAGATACTGGAACGAGCTCAGAAGCACTCAAACTCAAGATAATTACGCCACATGCCCTCAATGCGAGCAATACGTCAAGGCCGTCATGCACCCCATCAGCCAAAAAGACGTCGACGAAGATGCCGAAGCCCGTCAAAAGAAAAAGGGCCAAGTCAAGAGCAAGAAGGGCGTCGAATACGGCGGCCAGCATACCAAAGTCAAGGCCTTGGTTCAAGACCTCAAGCGCAACATTGAGGATTCTCGCTCGCTCGTCGAGATCGGCGAACCTCCCATCCGCAGTGTCGTCTTCTCGTCCTGGACTTCGTACCTTGATCTCATCGAAATTGCTCTCAAAGACAGCAACATCGGTTTCCTGCGCTTGGACGGCAAACTCTCCGTCAGCGCCCGCACCGCCGTCCTCGACCGATTCAAGTCAGATGCTTCCATCACCGTCTGTCTCGTCTCCATCAAAGCAGGTGGCCAAGGCTTGAACTTCACCGCCGCCAACCACGTCTTCATGATGGAACCACAATTCAACCCTGGCGTTGAACTGCAAGCCGTAGATCGCGTGCACAGACTCGGTCAAAAGAGAGATGTGCATATCAGAAGATACATCATGGCAAACAGTTTCGAGGAAAAGATTGTCGAACTCCAGAAGAAGAAGATTCAGCTTGCCAATCTTGCTACGGGGGGGAAAGCCGTGAAGCAGGATGCCAAGGAGATTTTCCAGAGTTTGATGAGTCTGTTTTGAGCGTGGAGCGCGCGTGCGCGAGAGGAAAGAAGGAGATGCTTGCGTGCGATGGGCATCGAAGAGTGATGAGATTGCTCTGAGCAAGGAGAGGAAGAGAGAGATATTCATGCATTGAGCGTCGAGAGAGGAAGACTTGCATTGAGCAAGAGGGAGAAAGGCACATGTCGAGGAGAGAAGAGGACAGAGTCGCGTGGATCTTCCCAAACAAGGAAACAATGAGTATTTCTTAGAAAGCAAGCAAGAAGGAGCTATACAGAAAGAGGAAAGGGAGAAGATAGCTTCCCCTTCGAAATGCAGACACTGCAATGCTACCGTATCACAATCATGCAAAGACAAGAAGGGACGTGACATTGAATAAAGAAAACGGAGCATCGTATTTCATTTGTCACTTTGCAATGCACTCGATTGTCAAGATGGTTGATCAAGGGGGAAAAAAAAAGATGCCATGGACAATGCGCCTGGCCAACCTGTAGTACTTATACATGACACATCCCTTCTTTGGTGTGTTTCGTTAACTGAACTTATGCCTTGAGCTTCTCGGTCAACTCAGGAACCTTCTCGAAGAGATCGCCCACGAGGCCGACATCAGCGACCTGGAAGATGGGTGCATCGGCATCCTTGTTGATGGCAGCAATAACCTTGCTATCCTTCATACCAGCCAGATGCTGGATAGCGCCACTGATACCAGCACAGAGGTAAAGCTGAGGAGCGACGTTCTTTCCAGTCTGACCGACCTGCAGACTGTTGTCTGCGAAACCGCTGTCGACAGCAGCGCGGGAGGCACCAATAGCGGCACCCAGAGCATCAGCAAGCGGGGGCATGATGCGGTCGAATTCCTCCTTGGACTTGAGACCACGGCCACCGGAAACGACCTTTTCGGCGGTAGCGAGATCGGGACGGTCGGACTTTGCGAGGTCCTCACTGATCCATTCGGTCGGGCAAGCAGCCTTGGGATCCACGCCCTCTTCGACCGAGGCACTACCACCTTCTGCGGCACCCGAGGGGAAAGCGGTTCCACGGACGGTGACGACCTTGGGGCTATCGGCGGTTTGGACGGTGAGGATTGCGTTGCCGGCGTAGATGGGGCGCACAAAGGTATCTTCCGACTCGATGTTGGTTATGTCTGAGATTTGCTGGACGTCGAGCATGGCGGCGACGCGGGGCATCAGGTTCTTGCCGAAGGCAGAGTGGCCGGCGAGGACATGAGTAAAGCCTCCCTTTTTGATGTTCTCGACGAGCAGGGGGGCAAAGTTCTCGGGCAGACCCTAAAGAGCATGTCAGTTCGTGGACGCAATGTGGGAGGCGAGGAACACACCTTGTCATAATCGGCATTGTCGACATAGATGACCTTTTCCAAGCCCTCGACCTTTGCAGCCTCGTCGGCAACAGCCTTGACGTTTGATCCAGCGACGAATCCAGTGACACTCCCACCGAGCTTCATGGCAGCGCTCACGGCGGCAAGCGATGACATGTTCAGCTTTCCCTCTCTTTGTTCCAGGACGGCCAGGGTCGACAGCAGGCGAGCGAGGGCGGCATCGCGCGACAGAGGAGCCGTGACTCTAGGGCGCATGCATGATGAGCGGGCTTGCCGCAGGGCGGTGTGTCGTGCTGCTGAGAACATTGTGCGATGCGTGCAAATAAAATGGAATCACAGACTCGAGAAACTCCCCGCTTCATGCATACAAAGGATGATCTTCGCGAAGCCGAGGTCGGCCAACAAGCTTCCCCAGTGCAAGAAAGCCATCACCCGAGGGCCGTCGGACCGTCCTTATCAGCAGCAGAAAGAATACTCACTAGCCTATTCGTCTGAAACAGGATTTAGTTTGGGTATCATGTGAAAAGACACTTCATGCTCTCTTTTTCAAGCTCGTCTGTCTGTCTAGTATCACTAGGGAGAAGGAACTACCGTCATCGCATCATTGTGCTCCTACCAAGATATCAATGCCATAACATCCCTGCATGCAGTCCAAGAAAACCTACCTGGCTGCCGACTATGGCTCCCCCTCGATATGGTCTATACGATGTTAGCAGATATACCTCTATCGACTGCTTTGCTTTCAGTCACGTTACGCATCGCATACTAATATTAATAGAGAAAAGTACCATTATGTTTTCTAAAAAGCGGTTTCTATGAAGCTCAACTAAAGACATAGCATTTTCAAGCCCGTTAACACAAGAGCAGACACCAATGATCCGAAAGTGAAAAGAGTGTTTGCAAGGACGTAGGTAGTCATCACAATTTTGGGGGTTATTATACAGTGTATTTAGTTGAACAGAACGTCTGGAACGTGTGTGATGTTCATTGTCTGAATTGGCAGATTGATGACGAAGAGATTTTCACGTTGTCTGCATTCTTGCCCATTTCTACACTTCGCGTCTCTTATCGTCCTAAATACACGACACGAACATACAAATCTAACAGCAGCGCTTCTAACCTATAACAGATCAAGGAACGTCTGTTTAGGTGCTATGCGCAAGGTGGCGAACCATCCATGCTGCCTGCGGGAACAAGTGAAGCCTCGGTGAAGCTTCGGGGAAAAACAGTCATAGCTACTGAGTTATTGAAGATTTTGATCTCTACATCAGCGGATGCGTGGCCGAGTGGTTATGGCGCCAGATTCAAGCGATTAAAAGCTTCTCAGTTCAATGAGTTTCCTGGTAACGAAAGTTGCATGGGTTCGAGTCCCATCGCATTCATGATTTTTTTTGCGGTCTTGCAGGGCTTCTGGGACTACAGACCAACGCGGAACGGCAAACTGTGAGGCTGCTCCCGCTGAGGCGTGTCGAATGGTAGCTCTGGTCGCTGTGGTTGTTGAGAATTCATCATAGAAACACCATTTTTGTGCAGGCTTCAGAAGAGTAACAGAAGCCTCAAGTGGTATCTGTATTCTTTGATGATCACTACTACTTGACTTTTCATCGCTAGGACGTCTATGTGGGGCATGACCATCTAAACATCAGCCGAAGCAGTGGCAGCAGCAGACCTTTTCGAGTTCCGCTTCGCCTTCTTCTTCGGCGCCGGTTTCTCCGTCTCAGCAGTCTCAGTATACTCCTCTCCGTCCTCAACAACACCACCCTTCCTCTTTTTCTTCGCTTCCTTTGCCATACGGTCAAGCGCACTACCCATACGTTTGCTACCCTGCTCGAGCCTTTTCCTTGGCGCATAAGCACCTGCACCAATTCCACCATCAAAGAATGCAGTGATGTTGGCTTGTGTACCTTCTTCTTGCCTACGATTCATGTCTTTGATGACGGGAACAAGAACTTCATCTGTGCGCTCAGAGTTCCAGCCGATGGTTGCCATCAGGAAACTGCGCAAGGCGCTCAAGTCAGGAACACCCCATTGGAAAGCTGAAGGATCGCTGTCGACTTCTGGCTGCAAGTATGCACTCTCCACTCTCGGGTCTGGAAAGTTTGAGGGAAGGAACAGTTTGTTTGCTTGGCGGCGGAACTTCTTGCGGAATGGGTTCGTGGCGTCTTCAGACTTGGGAATCTGGTTCATTTGGACGGCATTGTACCAGTCGCGGAAGTCAATCAGATTGGGGAACTCGGAGAGAATCTCCAGAGCTGTGACTGGACCTACACCTGGTAGACCTTCGGTGTAATCTGAACCAAGGAGATGGGCAATGCCGATCATCTTCTGGCGTGTGAGATCAAATTCCTTCTCAAAGTCGGAGGTCAGGTAGCATTCAACGAATTTGGCCTGGTTGAACATGTTTTTGTAGATGCGAGTGCCGCCGAACAGGAAACAATCCGAGTCGTCAGTCACGATGCCATCGACTAGGCCAAGAGTGACAAGCTCTGCGCATTGAGCCTCGGCTTCCATCGGTGCAGTAATGTAAGGCAAGCCAAATAGCTTCAACAGTTGTTGACACTCTTGGATCATGACATGTGTAACCTCGTCAGCATCACGTCTATCTTTCTTTTGTTGCGTACGAAGCTGTTTGAGCTCGCGCTCATAATCTTCCACATTCTGTTGCTGTGTCTTTTGATTCAGCGTTGAAGCAAATCGTGCATGCTCTTCTGTCTCAGTGGCAAGTTGGCGGAGAAGCTCGTCGTCTTCCGAATCCGAGTAATATCCAAATTCATCGGCTTCAGGATCCACAGGGAGGTTTTGGTCTGCTGTACCGGTCACAGATCCTGGTACGTCAGCAGCCGGATCCACTGTTGGGTGATTTTCTGGAGTCTCTGCCTGTATTTTTTCAGGCTCTTGTGGGATATCTACGTTCTCGAAATCCGGAGAGGGTGACTTTGTAGGTTCTCTGGCAGACTCCGGCGTCGGCTGCTTTGTGAAGTTTGGCGAGGGCTCCTTGACTTGTGGCTGGACCGTCACCGATGGCTCCTTCCCAAGATTGGTCTGCTGTTTGTCGACTTGTTCCCATTCCATCTCCTCATCGTCGTCATCGTCCTCTTCTGCTGCAAACGGGTTGCTCTTTGATGGTGCAGCAATTTTCTTCGGCTGCTCTGTCACGGTAGCAGTCCCATTTTGTGTGACTGCCTCTGGACTTTCGCGACTTATCACTGGTACATTAGATGTTTTAACCTGCTCTTTCTCGGAACTGGTCAGAGTAGGAGGCGCGGCTCTGACTCGATCTGCTAGGTCGCCCATAGCGGGCTGCTCCGCTGAAACCGTGTCGGCAGGCTTTGGTGAGATCACGTTCTCTTCTTCTTCGTCGGAGATGTCGATGATTTGACTTGCGACCTTTGGTTGTGATTCTTCGAGATCCAGATCGATGATATCTCGTGATGACCGACGACCAAGAGGCGGCACCTCAGCAAACTGGAACTCTTCATTGTATGCTTTGGTCTTTTGCCAATCGTCACGTTCGAGAGCCTTCTGTTTGGCAATATTGGCACCAAGATCTCCGTCGAACCATGGAGGCAGAGGCTCTGATGAATCCCTTTTGGCTGGACCCGCATCGTCTCTCTCGAACCCTCCTGCCATCTCTTCTTGCGCTTTTTGCATCTTCTTCTTGCCAAGTAGGGAACTACCTAAATCTAGCTTTTCGAAGGGAAGGGGACCTGCAAACCCGCCGGCATTCTTAGGTGCCGGGGTTGCCTTGGGCGGTGCTGATCGGACCGGTGGTTCAGGTCGAGTCTTCGGTAGTTGCTTCGACTGATACTTAGACTTGCGCGACTCAGCAAGAGCGGCCTGGAAATCCATATCATCGTCGCTGTCATCACTTCCCTCGCCAAAAGCACTAGGACCGGACGCAGTCTCGTTGCGAGACTTTGCGGGAGCAGCTTGTACCTCTGCGTCTCCGTTATTACCACTGGTGGCTGAGGCGATTGGCACTGCTTTGCCTGCTCGACTGTTGACGATATGAGCAATAGCTAGCCCTCCACCACGTGGAATAGGACGACCTTCATCGGCACGGGACTGCTTGAACTTCTCAAGCCAATCCTCTTTTTCTTCTTCCTCTTGTGCCGGTCCTTCCTCTGGTTCAGCATCCTCATTCTGCATAGACATGGCGATAGCTCGCTGCAGCTCTTCGTCGTCAGAGGCACTGCCATCTTCGTCGTCGACTTCCATGGCGGTGTCTTGATCATCTTCCACGAACAAGCCCTCGGCTTCTGCAGGTCTACGAGATTGAGGCGCCTTGGCTCGCTTGCGAGGGGCACTTCGTTTGGACCTGTAGAAGGCTTGTCTTCGTCTAGCCATCTCGGTGCCCAAAGTCTTCTCGTGCTGAGTAGCTGTCGCTTTAGGTAAGCGATTGAGGCCCTCGATTGGGACGTCCTCGAAGTCGTTGTCTTCGTCCTCGTCTTGCTCTTCATTGGCGTCTTGCTCGGGAGCATCGACATCGATTGGCTTGTTCTCAACACCGTCGTTCTTACCCGTGACGACACCCAAAGCCCAGCCACCTTCGACACCGTCATTCTTGACCAAGACATACTCTCTGCCCCTCTCGCCAGCGACTCTTCCAGGAGCATCAAGACCGTACATGAGGTCGTCATTCATGCCATTGAGGTTCATCAAACGTTGTGTTAGATCATTGCGCTCAGTCACTCGCTCGATTTGAAATTTGGAAAAGGCCATACGGTCGGGAAACATGGTGTCCAGCTGGTCCTTGGAATAGCCCATTCTGAGTCTGCTTCTCAGTCTGGCTGCGTTGAGGATGTTGTAGCGATCACTGGGCGGAAGACTGAGAAAGAAAGGACCGTCAAAGTCAATCTTTGAGAAATCGTATACGTTGATGTCTTCGCCAGTGTCGAATTGACGAGCGTAGTTCTCGAGTTCCTCTAGCGACATGATTCTCGGATCATTGGGAGCACCCATCTCGGAGAGAGGGGCACCCAGATCAGGCAGGTGATATTGATCCTTCTTTTTGAAAGTCTTGTTCTGCTGACGTTCCTGCGGAGTCATAAAGACCTCATCGGCATAGACCAGGGTGTTGGGCAGTGGCTCTTCCTCTTCTGGTGGAGCAGCGTGAGTGGCACGCTTGCGGTTGTTCTCCTCTTCCTCAGCAATACGCTGCATCTGAAGGGCAAGTAGCTTGCCGGCAGTGCGAGTAGCATCCTCCCTTCTTCCTTCTCTTCTCTGCTTGCGAGCATTGATGGTGGCACGCTTGAGGGCAGGAGCGCCGCCATCGAAGACAAAGACGGGCTTGATACCGAAGTATAGCAGTTTGCAGATACGTCGGAAGAAACCGACGACATGACTGTTCCTGAGTGCATTGCCATCCTTGTCACGAACGGCCTTCAAGAATTGGTAGATCCAGATGGAAGCATCGACGGCGAGTCGTTTCTTGTTCAGGGTCTCGATCTTGATAGGCCGGGCACAGGGCTGGACGACAGACCACAGGCCAGTGACACCCATAGCGACGGTATGCTGACGAGAAGCATGTGAGTAGTGCCTGACCGAGCAGCTCTGTTCGCGTGACGGAGACTCAAAGAAAGTCGAGCCTTTGGTGACGTACACGCGCTGACAGGTCTGTGCGCGATTGCACATGCAAGCTTGGACCATTTTCACATGCCGACAGACTGGCGGGTAGGGTCCAAGGAAACGAACTCTCTCAACACGCCGAACTGTCTTCCATTTAGAGGTCAGTTTCTGCATGCATGTGATACTCAACACGAGTCAACGCATTCCCCTCGTAGCCGCCCGCCAGATTGCTATATCTCTCAAGTATCTGCCTCGATCCTGCCATGGCTGACTCCAGCTCATCCTGTTTGTTGTGTTTCGACAAAAATGGCTCCCGCATCGCCTATCCTACCATCTACTGAACAAGAGAACATCTCTCTCATCTATGCTGTGCTGCCACCGCTCATCAAAAACTCCATGCCAAAAGTGCCATCTCTGCGCCGTTCGCTTTCGGGCTACAACCGTGCAGCTGCATTAGTCGGTCACGTACGAGCGTTGAGCACAGAGAGCTCGAGACCTGGCTCAGCTACCCCTCCACCGCCCTATCAGGAGCCCATCGCTTCTCTGACTTCCGTCCTGTCTGATATCGATTTCCAAGATACACCGCCGACGTCGCCTCGTTCTTTACCCGTGGATGCACCTGTCTTCGTTGATGACGAGCGAGCCGGGATAAAATGGGAGTTTGCACGTCAAGGTAACTTTCAACGCCTGCAACATACTTGTTGCTCATTATCTCATGACTATGTACATAGGCTCGAGTCTACTCCAAAGCTCATCGTGTCTTTCCTCCAATCCGGACTTCAGTCGCCAGCTGTACATTGATGCTGTCAGCTATCTTCTTCGAGGTCTGCCACGGAACCTTTTCATGGAAGAGACAGTACGACTTCAAGCGGCTATACCATCCGAGATGATGCCGCCTCAGCAGCCTATCGAGACAGTTGTTGTCCAAGGCCAATCTCATGATCATCGGGCCACACAGCAAGAAGAGGATCCAACAATACTCCATCGTATGGTAGCAATGGTAGTGCTCCAGATGTTCCTTCTCCTCTCCTTCCTCTGGCCGTACGTCCAAACGGGATGTCGAGGTGCGTACGAATACGAGAGAGAATACCACATCTCGGAGAAGATACTCAACCGGTCCTGGACGACCGCAAATGCATTGAGCAAAAATACCATGACTGTTGCCAAAACGGTCTGTAGCTGGAACGATGGTCAAGTGGGTGCAGCCCTTGAAGATGTGGTCGTCTGGTGGGTCCATGGCATCACTGGTGGACTGCGAGATGGTGTAAAGGATGGTATGGAAATGTTCGGCGTCAGACCAATAGATCGCAGAGACAAGAGGCCTGCTCGAACTTGATGTTTTACGAAACTAAACGACATAAATGACGATTAAACCATAGATCATGAAATATTTACTAATTTCAGTTACTCCACACAAGTTTTGTCTTCACACGAATGCAAAGGAGAAAATACACGGAACTTGTGTGATCAACTGCACGTTTTGGGAGAAAGAGAAGAGAAGTAGTGCTTTGATACGTTCATTTGTATGCTTTGAAGCGAGTGTATCGTTCTGCCACGCCCTTGAAAAGCAAATTCCGAAAAACTCCCGTTTCCCTTGTGCAACAGAAAGAAAAAAGGTCGTTAGAGCCATCCGTCGTCAAAGTAAAACACGAATTGAAAAAAGGTCTTGATCAACAATCACAAAAGAAGTGAAGGTGAAGGTGAAGTGGAAAAAGCATCAGGAAAAGAAGACGCCGGTGCTAATGCTTTGCAGAAAAGGGGGTCGTTGAGGAAAAGAAAAACATGTCCTGCATGCTTGGGTTGCAAGAAGGAAAGACAAGCTCAAACCGTCACACTAGATGGCAGAGATGTTCAAACGAGAACGTGGTTGTGGTGGGTCTGTCTGGCATGGCGGCGGAGGAAGTCGCGCTTGACCTTTGAAGAACCACTCTGCTGGTACACTCTGAGGTAGTTGACAGCCCAGTACGCATCCTTGAATGCAGAAGGGTTGGTGGCGACGTAATCAACACACGAGGATGCAGAGCAGCCGTCATTGGCGAAAGTCTCGCCGGCCCAGGTGCCACAGAAAGTGGTGTCGAAGACAATGGCGTGGTTGTAGAAGTAGTTGTCGAGGTCGCAGCCTTGGAAGTTGGCCATGGGCTGGCCGAACTTGCTGACGTTAGGCTTGCCGGACTTGATGGACGAGGGAATGTTGTTGCGAGGGAAGAACCAGACGTTGATGTGCTGAGAAGTCCATTCCATGGCGTAGACACCGCCGCCGATGCTGTTGAAGCCGGAGCCAGCGGAAGATGTGGAGGGCGAGAGGAAGGCGCAACCAGCACCATCACCAGCAGACTATAACTCGTTAGCATTGTCTATCAACATGAGGAAGTGGGACATGAAAACATACCGAGCAATCAGTGCCTTGAATTCTGCCGCTCTGCGAGGTGCCAGAGATGGAGCAGCCAGGCATGGTGTGGCCGGAAACCTTGTTCTGGTCGGCGAGGTTGGCAAACTCGATGATGTCGATCTCACCAGACTGAGGCCAGTTACCGGTCTGACCAAATGTCCAGAAGGCAGGCCAGACACCACAAGAGCTCTGAGGCATGTGCTGGATGTCGGCGATGAAGAGACCGTGGGTGAAAGTATCCTTGCTAGTCATGCGCACAGAAGTGCGGCCACCGGAAGAACCATCAGCGTTGAGATGAGTGTAGGAGTCAACTCCCCAGGTGGGGATGCTCTTGTTCCAGATCAGACCGTACTCGACAGCGTTGTCGTGCGACACATAGTTGACGAAACCCTGAGTGGGATCGGCGCCAGTGAAGAAGTCGAACTGGTTGTAGAAGTTGTTGCCCGAGAAGTCCTTGACGAGATTGTAGTTGGTAGCCGACACCAGGCCGACGAGAAGCGAAAGGCTCAGAGAGAGTGATGAGCGCATCTTGATCAACAAGATAGAGTGTTGTGAGATTTGTGGGAAGAAAGAAAGTTGCGAGAGAGGGAGAAGCAAAGGCAAAGGAGTGACTGAGTAGAAGACTTGAAGAGCTACAAAGCAAACGTTCCACTTGGTAGAAGTGAGGGAAAAGTAAAAGAGTTTATAGCTAAGGCCATCACATGCATACGATCACACTTGAAACACAAGACTAAAGTGAGGGACAAACAGCAGGGGAACCCTTTCTAGAGCCATGCTAGATGCTATGCGGTTCCAACAGAGCGTCACACGTGGCGTACTCGAACAAACCATAGTGCTCCAGGGATGGTGTTGTTTGCTGCTGCACGATTTGATAGCTGCATATCATGGTGCAAACAAGCTTTTAGGCCGTGTGGAGAGGGCTCTAACAACCGCCTACCAGGTCAAAGAAGAGTTCTGAAACCTGACTGTGAGGGTGTGCAATAGGCGCATGACAGGTTGGATCAGGGGGGACCTGTGGGTGCACGAAGCACTCGCAATGCAGGAGCAGTCTGGCGGCAGGAACAGGCTCCCTGCAGAGGAGTCTCCACTCTTGGGCAGGGAAGCGACGAAGGAAACCAAGATATGGTAAGCATAGAATGTGACTTGAGATTGGAAGGCACGAATAAGGAGGCAGGAAGCACACGACGAACAAAGAATGCCAAACGGCAGTCAAGGGTAGAGGCAGATGGTCCGGCTCCGGATAACTGATGGCCAATCGATGCAGGCTACCGGACATGCAGATATGCGACTCTAGACCAGCAGCTCCACCTCAGGCTTAATGTATGGAGTCGGAGATGGAGGGGACAATACCGAAGTGCCGCAGCGACGGACAGGCAAGAAAACGACATGTCCAAGTGCGAGACGTCGCATCAGTGGACGAGAGCAAGTCAGACAGCGTGGCAGTCACTTGACGTTGGAGTGGTGATGGGCAAGACGATGCGAGTCTGATCGGCGGCGCCGCTTGGCATGTCCGTCTCGTGGTCGGCCCGGGGCGCGTGCTCCAAGTTTTTTGTTCTTCCTTCTCGACAAACAGCATTTCTGTACATATGCACATCACCATGCCCAAAAGGAAAAGAGACGGATCTGAGGCGTCGGCCAGTGACGCAGAAGGTGTAGAAGGCGGTGTCAGCATTCGCCAGCACAGAGTGCAACACAAGCTCGAATATGCCCATAAGCAACTCGCGCGCGCCTTCAAGACGGCAAAGGGCTTCGAGGCTCAGAAGTCTGGGAGACGGCGCAAGACTGCTGGTGCAAAGAGCGACGAGAAAGAGGTCGCGCGCATAGAAGCCGAGACTGCTGCTCTGAAGGTGGGTCGTTCTTGACGTATCTCTTTCCCTTGTTTCTTCTGCTACTGCTCGCATCTTTCTTCCCATGAGTCCAGACCGGTCACGCTCCCGCCGTAAAATGCACAGTACTCTCCAAATGGCTAGCTTCACCGACCAGGATTGTGGGAACATGCACACGTGGGACTGCCATGCACCTTTCTCTCAATTCACACCGCAACATACTCATTGCTACGTTGCTCACAGACACTGGATCTTTCCGCTACCGCACGCAACTACCTCTACAAGTCTTTGATCAAGTTCAAAGCAGTCGCCGAATCACCCGATCTGCCCAAGGCTGTATCCACTCCTCCACCACCCATCGATGACACCGCCAAAGCCAACGTCATTGCTCGACTCTGCAATTCCAATCCTGTCAAGGAGGCTCTCCCTCCCCTGCTCAAGGACATTCAACGCGCCCTTGGCATCGAGCCCAAAGATGTAAAAGAAGGAAAGAAGAGACTGAGAGCCAAAGACATCGAGATGCAGAAACAGGAAGAACAAGCAAGACTACCGGCCAAGAATTCACGACCTACCGCAGAACCCGAATCTGGTGATGTGAGTATGGGAGAGCCTGACGATGGAAGCGACGCTCAACCGTCCGCGCGCCGTAACTTAGGCAATGCCAGCGACGACGATTTCGCAGAGTTTGACGACAGGCTCGCTGGCTCATCCGATAGCGAGGACGAAGGGGAAAGCGACCAAGTGGACATTAAAAAAGGCAAAGCATCACGTGCTGCAGCATTACGAGCTGCTCTCGGTGACATCTCTCAATCGATATCGGCATCTCCTTCAGCGTCACCATCACCCTCGCGTTCTCCCTCACCCGAATCAGACGCCCCACCCGCTAGAACCACCAAGGCTGGCACGTCTGCGTTCGTGCCTTCTCTTACCATGGGTGGTTACTGGTCTGGCTCGGAGTCTGAGGCCGAGGACTTTGAGGACGGGCCGCCAAAGAAGAACCGAAGAGGTCAACGAGCACGCCAGGCTATTGCGGAGAAGAAGTTTGGCAAGAGTGCAAAGCATTTGCAGAACCAAGACAAAACAGGCAAAAATGATAGAAATGCTGGATGGGATGCAAAACGTGGAGCAACAGATAGAACAGGTCCACGTGGCGTTCGTGGAGCACCTAGGGGCGGCCGATTTGAAAGACCTGGTCAGGATCGCGGAGTCAGAAACGACGCTGCTGAACCTCCAAAGAAGAAACACAGAGATGACCAGGGCTCCTTGCATCCCTCATGGGAAGCCGCAAAGAAGGCCAAGGAGGCAAAGAAGGTCACCGCAGCTTTCGAAGGCAAGAAGATCTCCTTCGATTGATCTGTTAGTTAGAGTTTCTACGACAGTCGCTCACTTCAGACCGTGGCCCTTGCTTCTTCTCTCGCAACCCTCCACAATCTTGTGACGATGTGCTTGAACGAGTCCGAGGCGTTTGCCTATCACTTTGTAAGCAAGAGCTGCTCACATAAGCCAGGAAATGCCAAGTCGAACGTGAGAAGGGAAGTCGGCAGCAGGATCTTCTGTTGAGGCCAAACATGACTCTGACTTGAATCACGACCCCACTGAACCCCCCGAGTGTTTGAGATTTGCGAGCGTGGACGCCCGACGATGACTCCATTTCAGCCGAAGCTTAACTCCGCAGAGTCATGGAGTGGAAGCTCGACAAGCAGCTTATTGTGGACATCGGGAGACAATGCCGTATGGCTAGGGGATCATTCATCAAGTTGTTGTCAGTTTCCAAGAAATCACTTCGTATGCCATGAATAAAACAATGCGAAATAGCAGACCCACCCTCTCAATCTCGTTCTGTTAATCTCGGGCTGAGCTGTGATGAGGACTTCCCTTTTTAGCAAGCGCATACTTTTCCATTTGATCAACGCATGCCAAGCACTCTGTTTTGCTCGTTCCTTTGTACGAAAGGTGCAGCACCATCTCGACATCCCCTCAGCGGAAGCAAACATCACATGAAGATACATCGCACGTGAATCGATAGTATCAACACATGGATGCACTCATGCACCCGGGTACGGGTTTGAATGGTCATGATTCAGAGATGTCAGGAAGCGCCAAATGCTTGAATAAGGCACGGGGATCATCTTGGCTTTGACGCCTCTTTTGACCTGCGGGCATGGCTGAAACTTTACTCAACGCCTTTTCTGATGGAACCCCTTTGTACGACTGAAGCAGATGCACGTTACGTTGGAGCAGACAAGAGATGCTTCAACGCAAAGAGTACCTCTGACGAGTGCATGTTGCAGGGTAGCCTTAGATTGCGTGATGGCATCTGTACCAGCAAAACCATCATCGCTTGGTAATGTATGTCCGGATAAGCTCCAGTCGATCGACATTCACGCTACCCGATTACGGGTGGCCGACGGGCAAGGCTCAACCGTCGTTGAATTGGTTGGCGCTGACGTCGATATCAAAATGTGTTAGGGCTGCCCGTACATTATTCATCAGCGGCGCTCATGCTAACTCCGGGCCATGTATCAATGCCGTACGTGCTCTTTTCAAAAAACCCTCCTCTTGTGATTCTAAACGTTTGAGTTCTTCCCATCTTACTGTGACGCAAGTTTTGCGACCTGCAAACATCGGTCGCCAATCTCGGACACCGCACAACTGGTCTAATTTCCCGGACGGTAGTTTTTGTGCTTGATACATAAACCTCTTTTGCTCAAGTCACAATCGACTATACACCGCTTTTCGAACGCCAAATACCAACGCCGGCATGTGGGGCAGCGGCGTAGCTGACGATCCGCGTGTTGCTCGTATGGACAGCCAAGGAGGACAGAATGCCTGGCACAATCCCGCTGAGCAACGTGCTGGACGACTGCACAACGATCCGGAATCTCAATCAACTAGCTCCGAGGAAGCTGATCGCAACGGCACCTGGGGTGAACATGATGCAGGCATCCCCAACGAAGTCATGGCCATGGAGGACTACAGAGCTCTGAGGAGAGAGCTCACCAACCGATCGAGAACCAGCAGACCACAATCGCTAGGCCGGTCATCGAGGAGACATAGCACAGCCACCAATGCTGTAGATGAAGAATCCGTGGTCGGAGGAAACACTGAAGTCCAAGGCAAGGATGAGGATGACTTCGAACTCAGCGATTTCATGAGACAAGGCCATCTCGGCCAACGCAAGGGAGACAAATCAGCCAAGAAGGTTGGTGTGGTATACAAGAACCTCACTGTCAAGGGTGTTGGCGCTGGCGCAACCTTCGTGCGTACCCTACCTGATGCCGTCCTGGGCACCTTCGGACCGGACCTCTATCACATACTCTCCAGATTCATTCCCTTCCTCCGCTCCAAGAACGGCGAGCTGAAAACACTCATCAACGACTTCTCGGGTGTCGTAAGAGATGGAGAGATGATGCTTGTCCTTGGCCGACCAGGCGCAGGTTGCACAACCTTCCTCAAGGCTATCGCCAACAACCGCGAAGGTTATGCCCAAGTTGACGGTGATGTCTCATACGGCGGCATCTCTGCTGAAAAGCAGAGGAAGATGTACCGCGGTGAAGTCAACTACAACATGGAGGATGATGTCCATTTTGCCACCCTCAACGTTTGGCAAACATTCATGTTCGCTCTTCTGACAAAGACCAAAAAGAAGGCGACAGGGGACATTCCTCTCATCGCCGAAGCCCTGATGAAGATGTTCGGAATCAGTCACACGAAGATGACTCTTGTTGGTGATGAATACACAAGAGGTGTCTCAGGAGGTGAGCGAAAGCGTGTATCGATCGCGGAAACTCTCGCGTCAAAGAGTACCGTCGTCTGCTGGGACAACTCCACTCGTGGTCTCGATGCCTCAACAGCTCTGGACTATGCCAAGTCGCTTCGTATCATGACCGACGTCAGCAACAGAACCACGCTGGTAACCCTTTATCAGGCAGGTCAAGGTATCTATGACCTGATGGATAAGGTCTTGGTTATTGATCAGGGTCGTTGTATCTTTACTGGTCCTGCTGCAGCTGCTAAGCAGTATTTCGAGGATCTAGGATTCCAATGTCCTGAGCGCCAAACCACTGCCGACTTCTTGACTGCTATCACCGATCCTGTCGAGAGAAAGTTTAGACCGGGTTGTGAGGCTAGTACTCCCAAGACACCTGTAGAGCTGGAACGCGCTTTCCGCGAGTCTTCGTTCTTCACTCGCAACAACCAGGATATTGAAACATACGAACAGCACCTCGAGCAAACCAATCACGAGGACGCAAAAGAGTTTGAGGAGACTGTTCAGGCTGGTAAATCGAAGACTGTCACCAAGAAATCGCCGTATACCGTCAGTTTTATCCGCCAAGTACTCGCCTGCACCAAGCGTGAGTTCTGGCTTCTCTGGGGAGACACTACAACCTTGTACACGAAGGTGTTCATTATCATTGCGAACGGTCTTATCGTTGGTTCTCTTTTCTACGGACAATCTCTTAACACAGATGGCGCTTTCTCTCGTGGCGGTTCTCTCTTCTTCTCTATTCTTTTCCTTGGCTGGCTCCAACTTACCGAACTGATGAAGGCTGTCAGTGGACGTGCTGTCGTAGCTCGCCAGAAGGAATACGCTTTCTACCGCCCTTCTGCCGTCAGTGTTGCCCGTGTGGTTGCTGACTTCCCAGTCATCCTGGTTCAGGTCTGTCTCTTCACCGTCATCATGTACTTCATGACAGGTCTGGATGTAGATGCCGGGAAGTTCTGGATCTACTTCCTCTTCGTCTATGTCAACACCATCTGTATCACTGCTCTTTATCGAATGTTCGCTAGTTTGTCGCCAACCATTGATGACGCCGTCCGCTTCTCTGGTATAGCTCTCAATTTGCTTATCATCTACACCGGTTACGTTATTCCCAAGACTCAGTTGCTCAACAACTACATCTGGTTTGGTTGGATCTACTACATCAACCCTATCTCATATTCGTTCGAGGCTGTGTTGGCCAACGAGTTCTCTGGGCGCACGATGCAATGTTCTCCAGATAACCTGGTCCCTCAAGGCCCTGGAATTGATCCTGCATTCCAAGGATGTACTCTGACTGGCGCAGCAGTAAATGCCCAATCCGTCAGCGGCGCCGACTATCTCCAGACACAGTACACCTACACCCGCGCTCATCTATGGCGCAACTTCGGAGTCGTGATTGCCTTCACTGTTCTTTACTTGCTGGTCACTATCGCGGCTACTGAACTCTTCAGCTTCGTTGGCGGTGGCGGCGGTGCTTTGGTCTTCAAGAAATCGAAAAAGGCAAAGCAGCAGGTCAAGGCAGCTAGCTCTGTGGACGAAGAGAAAGCTGGATCTGACAGCGACACTGCTGTCGGTGGATCGACTGGTGAGAAGGAGGAACAAGAAGCCTTGGACTCGATCGTGAAGAGCGAGAGTATTTTCACCTGGAGAGATGTTGAGTACACTGTTCCTTACAATGGTGGTGAGCGCAAGCTTCTCAACAAGGTCAACGGATATGCCAAGCCTGGTCTCATGATCGCCCTAATGGGTGCCTCCGGTGCAGGAAAGACGACCCTCCTCAACACTCTCAGTCAAAGGCAGAAGATGGGCGTCGTTCAGGGTGAGATGTTCGTCGATGGTAGACCTCTTGGAAAGGAGTTCCAGCGTAACACTGGTTTCTGTGAACAGATGGATCTTCACGATGGCACTTCGACTATCAGAGAAGCACTCGAATTCTCCGCCATCCTTCGTCAGGACCGCAAGATCCCTCGTGCTGAGAAGATCGCATATGTTGACAATGTCATTGATCTGCTGGAGCTCAATGACATGCAAGATGCTATCATCTCTTCTCTCGGTGTAGAACAACGCAAGCGTTTGACGATCGGTGTTGAGCTCGCGGCGAAGCCGAGCTTGCTACTCTTCTTGGATGAACCTACCAGTGGTCTGGATTCCCAGAGCGCATACAGTATTATCCGCTTCTTGAAGAAACTCACTGCCGCTGGCCAAGCTATTGTCTGCACCATCCATCAACCTTCGTCTGTCCTCATTCAGGAGTTCGATATGGTTCTCGCGCTCAACCCTGGAGGTAACACATTTTACTTCGGTCCTATTGGCGAGAACGGAAAGGATGTCATTGAATACTTCGGCGCTCGAGGTGTGAAATGTCCTCCTGAGAAGAACGTGGCAGAATTCCTTCTGGAGACCGCTATCAAGCCCCGAAAGCGTGCTGATGGAACCAAGATTGATTGGAATGACGAATGGGCAAACAGCAAGGAGGCTCAAGCAGTCATTGAGGAAATTGATGGCCTCAAGCGCATGAGAAGCAAATCAGTAAGCGAAAAGCAGAATGATGACGATGCTACCGAATTTGCTGCTCCCGTTTGGCTGCAGACTACCATGCTCACCAAGAGAGTCTTCACTCAATACTGGCGCGACCCTTCGTACCTCTACGGTAAGCTTTTCGTCGCAGTCATCGTCGGTATCTTCAACGGTTTCACTTTCTGGCAACTCGGAAACTCTATTCAAGACATGCAGAACCGCATGTTCACGGCTTTCTTGATTCTGACTATTCCTCCTACCGTTGTCAACGCCGTCGTTCCCAAATTCTACCAGAACATGGCTCTCTGGATGGCTAGAGAATTGCCATCGCGTATCTACGGTTGGTTCGCTTTCAGTACCGCTATGGTGGTCGCCGAGATCCCTATCGCCGTTGTTAGTGCGGTTGTATACTGGCTCCTGTGGTACTTCCCATCCGGACTACCTACTGACAGCTCTACTGCTGGTTATGTCTTCTTCATGGTGCTGCTCTTTTTCTTCTTTCAAGCATCGTGGGGACAGTGGATCTGTGCATTCGCACCTAGTTTCACTGTTATCTCGAACGTTCTACCTTTCTTTTTCGTCATGTTTTCACTGTTCAACGGTGTCGTACGCCCCTACGCCTCTATCCCCGTCTTCTGGCGCTACTGGATGTAAGTACCATGTCATCGTGTTGGCCTCGGACTCGTGCTAATATCAACTCAAGGTACTACGTCAACCCCTCGACTTACTGGATTAGCGGTGTCTTGGCCAAAACCCTCGACGGCATCCGCGTTGAATGTACTCCAAGCGAGACAGCCAGGTTCAATGTCCCTGGCGGCCAAACCTGTCAATCATACGCTGGCGCTTTTGCAACTTCAGCAGGTGGATACCTTCTCAACCCCGACGCTACCGCCGATTGCCAGTACTGCCCTTACGAATACGCCAACGGCTACCTTGCTTCTCTCAACATCAAGGCTAGCCAAGCATGGAGAGATCTCGGCATCTTCTGCATCTTTGTCGTGTCCAACTGGGCTTTGGTATACTTCTTCATCTACACTGTGCGCATTAAGGGCTGGAGCTTTGGCTTTGGACCATTGTTTGGTGCGTTAGGTAGCATGGTCGGAGCCATCAAGAAGCCTTTCAAGAGCAAGAAGAAGGAGTAGAGTTTTTTTTTTCTTCTGTCATTTTCTTTTTTGTGAGGTACAAAAGATGCGGGTTTTAGCATGGTGTTTTGCATGTGTTATCTCCGGAGTCATCTATATTTACAGTTCGGCTTCACTATCAAAATTCATATTTTACATTCTCAAATATCTTGGAAAGCACAGTGCGTTGCTTGCTGAACGCTGTTTGTGGCATAACTAATTGATCTCGTTGGTTTCGGAAGGAGCAATGAACTTATTCGAGCAAAAGCCGAAGTAGAGTCGATCTACGATCCTCCCCTCGTGCAATGGTATGTCAGATGAGTAGCTACAGAAATGCATAGTCTGGCTAGTGGACAGCAAATATCCACTGAGAGTCGTGATATCGTCTACTCGCTATGGACCCGGGCTACCGTTGGGAAAGAACTGCGCATTGTGATAGCTTCAATTGTTGGAGGACGATGATAGGAGGGAGAGACTTTGGCATACGAGGAAGGTGCTTTATGCAAAGAGGTGCAAATCCCACTCTCCCTTCTACTCGAGTGAACACTGCGGAAGGCTTAATGACTTCAAGTGAAGGCATATATTCGAAGAGAGCCAAGAGTAGGTGGCTTCTCAACGTATACTATACGCTTTCTCGAAGTTGTGTACTTTCGCAGTTTTCGCGCGACATGCCATTGGACCCGGGGAGCACGAGGAACAGACACGGAAGGCAAGGAGTAACCGTCAAAATCAGATGTAATTGTGATTAAAGGCTATACCCGCGCTCATCGTTACAATGTTCACCAAGCACTCAGAGCTCTGAATAACAAGCTCGCCGAGCGCTTAGATGTTCTTGAGGATACCAGGCTGAATCTCCTCTAGCTTGGCAGTCAATTCTGCCCAGACCTTCTCCTGTGTCTTTTCGCCCTCTTCACTCCTGACAAACTTGGAAGGCTCCTCGACCAAACAGTTACTCATGTACTGACCATGAGTCTCGTGCGAAGCCAGTGCAGCAGCGACAAGTGTTCTGCTACCCACTTCAGTAGTCCTGGCCAAGAGCTTGTACATCAATTGGAAAGCAATGCCGCTGTGTTCTCTAGACAGCTCGCTGTAGCAGAAGCCAGGGTTCATGGTATTTATGGTAACAGGATATGATGATCCTGTCCTCTCGACCAGAGCGCGAGTACCGAAGACATCCATAAGCTTGCTAACAGGATATCTGATACCCATCTCGGAGAGCTCGGGTGTTGCCAGAGCGTCGAGAATCGAATCGCCCTTCTTTCGCTCGGGAAGATCTGTCCAGTGGTGAACTTCGGAAGCGACGATGGTGAGTCTGGGTTGGATGTTGTGTTTTTGAGAAGATCGCTTTAGTGCGGGCAAGACGAGGAGGGCGAGAAGGAAGGTCGAAATTACGTTCACTGTTATCGTCGACTCCTGTCCCTCGAACAGTTGAAATTTCTCGGTGCTGATGCCTATCACGGAGGTTAGTCTGCTTGTAAATTCTGAGAAGGATAACAATTAAACATACCAGCATTTTCGACTATGGCGTCAATGCGAGGCAATGTATCGACTCTTTTTGCGAACTCTTTGACACTCTCGAAGGAAGAAAGGTCTAGCGACCACACTTCTGCTACTCCCGTCCTCTTAGTGCTCTGCTCGATGTCTCTGACTGCCGCTTCGCCTTTCTCCAAGTTTCTGCATGCGAGGATGACCTTGTCTGCACCAAGGCGTACCAAGTGACGGGATGCTTCACGTCCCAAGCCGACATTTGCACCGGTGACAATAAAGGTTTGTCCCTTGCACGATTGCTCTGGATATTTGGGAGTGATGAAGAATTGCGAGTACAGGAACGTGAGGATAGATGTGTAATCCATTGTTGTTAAGATTGAGATTGGTTCAATTGACCAAGATAGCGATGAAGACTTCGATGGACGAGGGACAGCGGTTCTCATAAAGTCTCTCTTCTTCGTGGTAACACACGGTCTTATGTTCGACCGTTAATCCCTTTTGGTGATGTCTGGAAATCAACGGACATAGGAGTATGATTTCGTCCGGGGGGGCCAGGAGTGACTGCGCATGGTGGCTTCCGTATTGCTTGGCGTTTAGCGTGGATTTTATCCATAATCGGCCACATTGTTGCGCCGACCGTCTGCGATCTCGAGCCGTGACAGCGCCATCAATGTCAAGATCAGCTTCGTATGTTCCTGATGGTGGAGCAAAGCCATCCATGACTTCAATGAGAGTCCTTTCATGGTCTCGACGCCGGCTCAGAACCAAGCCAGGAAGCCATCCGATTTGCAGACATCACAATAGTCCCATACGGCGATGGGTCCTCTGTCTTTGACCGTCAACGGTCTTTCTTTCTGAGCGGGCCAGACGCATTTCAGTCCGGTCATCTTTGCGGCATGGCATTCGAGGTAGCAGCGCTTGACCAAATGGCCGCACTTCAATGATTTGACCAACTCGAATGTGCACATTGTGGCTGTTGTTCAGGTCGCAATACAGGCTCCAGGGTTTAAGAAGAACTGGATGATTATTACTGACTTGCAATGATTTGAACATGGGAATTTGCCAAATTATTGTATCGTTGTCGGATACCGATGAAGCCCTTCCATTCTCCGGCGGCGTCACGCTGGCATGGTGTGATTTGCTACCCTGTTCGCCCTGACACGCATTATAGCGTCCAGAACACTGTTGACTGGGGTCTATGGAGTGTTGCTAATGCATCAGATCACCGAAAAAGCCATAGACCTAGAGGTACGGCATGCTCATTGATGCATGTATGCATGAACGATGGACCTTACATCAATCCGAAACGGAAAGGCATGTAAGCGTCCAAAGCTGTCGCTCTTTACTACGACACACTCCACTCCTGCCATGTTCAAGCACGTTTACATAGCAGATGTAGGCAACGCATGGTTGCGTGACATGGTTCTAGAGCCTGGTTACTACTCTGGCTGCACCTAGGTTTGATGTCGGTCCATTGTCAGATCACAATACAGTCCTAGATGCATATCATGTCGTTTTGTCACGACTCTTTTGCGTTGGCTGTACACAAAATACATGCAGTAAACATGTTAGGATAATCCCAATGAGCTCAATCATCTGACAGATCAATCACGACAGTTTTCCGTTTCTTCCGTCGTGGCTATGGGTCTCAAGCGAGTACTCTTGTCCGTTGTGCGACACCGTAACAGCACCTCCCCAGTGTACAGATGGTAGACTGATGACCAGTGTTGCAAACATGCCAGGTATCTTTGTAGAATCGGCGAGCGACAGACCGTCATACACTGTGAGATATGTTGCGACCACGCGCTGCTGTACACTGACGATGAGAGCCCATATCTGGGCGCACATTTCTGCCTGTTCAAAGGTCATCGCCATGCCGAGGCCGCTTGATTCGGTCCATACGATTAGTGTTTCCTCTTGCTTTTGGTATCCACAGTCGTGTAAGATTTCGGTATCAAGCAGCATGGGCTGGGCATTGTCTTCAGACCGGACAGCAATACGCCCTTCACCACTGGTCAAGAGCTGACCGGCACAAAACCCGGTGCCACGGTCATACCGGTTTTTGTTCTGGAGCTCATAGACCTTGACGCGCTTGTCGTTATTGTCGAGCCCGCCAAAGTCCATCGGCTTGTCGTTCTCGTCGAGCTTGTCAACCTTAACAGGCTCATCATCCTTCTGAGGCTCGTCGACTTTGATGGACTCTCGGGCATCATGATGCTTTGAAATTGCTCCTTTCTCGTACAGGAGCATGTTGTGCAGCTTCGCACTTGTACCATCTCCGCGTACTGCAAGCTCCTTACATACCGTGTTCAAGATTGTGTTGACGTAGATCTGCCAGTGTTCGCCTAGCGAGAATCGATCCGGAGTAATCTCCCATCTACTAGAGGGACACAATTAGCATATCCATACGACGAGAAAATTCACCTTGGCACGATGTCATAAGCTATGATCAATCCCTGCCGCCTAATACAAGACGCAGAGATGGCTGCTAGCTTGTCATGAGGCTTGGAGACTTGACAAGAAAGACCACATAGGCCGGGGGATAACGTACTGGGCCGCTGATGCATCGGCGAAACTCTCCTCTCCCTCGCCAGATAGAGCTAGCTGAGCGGCTTCGATAAGCTTGAGAGCATCCCTTGGGCACAGAGAAATCGGAATATCGTGCCCAGGTGAACCATCTGTACCCGCTAGTCGCACTTGTGGATCCACGAATATGTCGAGTCTTTTACTGGTTGCAATACGACCCGCGATACTGATCTGATCGAGATACTTGTGAAGGTCGCCCAATAAATCATCGGAGAGCAACTCAATCTCCTTTGCGAGGCGTTCATCTTCGGAACTTGCCATAGCTCCTGGTGGTTACAACACTGCAGCAGCCATTGATTTTGTGTGATCCTTCGACAATGTAGGTATCTGGAGGTTTAGGTTGACGTGTTTTGACGCGTTTCAACGCGCACCGTCTCGCGAGAGTTTATTTCACACAGCTACAGGCCATCTTGTTTCATGCTTGATGGAAAGCGATACCTTATACCGTAGGCTTCTAGCTTTCACTCTCTTGCGAGAAACTGCTCATCGAGCATGGAATGGAGCTCTTTTGAGGTTGGACCGGGTTGCGTACACTGTTGGCAACACGTGGATTACACAAACTGAATTCTGACAGTTTCTTACTCTCGATATCCATACCCTTCATTAGATTCAGTCAGCAATCTAGTATCGATGGCAATGCTCGTACGGTGACCAAAAAAAAGAAGTGGCTGTGGGTGGGTGTCGGTACGCGATCGTGCCTGCGTCTTCGCGAGATCCATGACGTATTTAAATCTTGGACCTTGGACGGTACAGTCAAGCCGTCACATTTCACGCGCCAAAAAGTATGCTCTACAGCTTCTCAAGATTGGTCTCTCTTTTGTTCTGATCTAACACTGGGATACTATTCTTCGGCAAACAACATATGAGCCGAGCTCTCTATCACCTTCGAAGCACATTTACAAGCAAACGTATCCCAAGGCTCTTCATAGCTTCCAAATACAGAACCATGTCTTTCAAGGTCACAAAAACACTCACTTCGAACGATGGAAAGAATGAGGACGTTCCCTATGGACCATCTGTTTGGTACACGGACAAGCACCTTTTCACGTATGGCCACGAGCTTCAACTGCCAGAAGCCCGACTTCAGAACTGGTATCCATCGTCCTTCACAGATCCCAAGGATACGAGCACACGGTTCCAGACAATGGAGCACTACATAATGTGGCGCAAAGCCGTATGCTTCAGTGACCAGGAGACAGCTGAAAAGATCCTCGTGGCGGCCACGCCTAGCGAAGCTCAAGCACTCGGCCGCCAAGTCAAGAACTTTGACGGTGCAAAGTGGCGCAAAACTGTGCCTGATGTTGCAGAGGAAGGAACGTGGTTGAAGTTCTCCCAGATTGCTGAATGCCGCGAGGCGTTGTTGGCGACAGGAGACAGGATCCTGGCCGAATCCAACCCTGCGGACCGGAACTGGGGGATCGGGTTCCGTGGAGATGAAGCTGCAGAGAACGAGAGTGAATGGGGCACAAACTTGCTCGGCAAAGCGCAGATGAGGGTCAGAGAGAGACTGGTAAAGCAGGAGAAGAAATGAATGACTGCGAAGTTGACCGACTGGTGCAAATACCTTCGTAGAAGGCGTCTCACCATATCATGTTTCCTAGCAACCTTATCGATACAGTACAGTTAGTCGCTTCACAGATAGCATGGCGGCTAGGTGCAAGAGAGCTCATCGCAACGACTCTCGCAAGTCAGGCCGAAAAGCTGCAGCTCAACAACGTCTGGATCGACTCATCCCCTGCGTTACCCGATGAGCCTTGCCCGAGTGATATACTTCGTGCATTGTATAAATACGTTGTGTGGCACAAAACAGAGACGAGACTTCCCATCCAGTTTACCCGCCGTATAGAACACCACGGGCGATAAGAATAGTGTAGCGTTCTAGCAACCCCGCCGGGTGAGAGACACGATTAGCAAGAGACGTTCCACCACGAATGCTGTGGAGGTCGAAGGATGGGGGGGGTGGTTTAGGGCTTGCTACCATTTAGCCTGTTCGAAGGTCGCAGTTCACAAGCTCGTAAATTCGCTATCATGATTCTCATTATTATCGGCAGCGCTAGCGAGCTCTGTGCTGATCCGGATGGCCGCTCCTGAATCAATGAAATTCCCGAGTTTCGAGGTGCCAGGGCAACAGCATTCCAGCATTAAACCGGCCATGAATTCTGGCAATATGGAAGCTATGGGGAAGGAATGAGAGGACAAGCTAAAGATACAAGACCTGGCCAAGGAAACTCTCTGCGCGGGCAGCTGCGGTGTGGAGGTTCTGTGGCGTGACTTTGAAAATGCCAATTCAGACCTGCATGAACGTACTTGATACAACGTAGTTCGCATCGGTATTTTATTGGTAGATCTAGTCACCAGACCTCTGGCAGAAAGAAGAAGGATGTACCATATTTGAAGTAGATTGTCAAATTGTTTGAAACAAGTATTAAGAGGTGTAGCTGAAATGTTGAAAAGATCTGAGTCAACTCCTCCTAGTGAGACCTCACCTCGATCCTTCGTGAAGCTTGGGTATCCTGCGAAGCAATAACAAAAACATACGAAAAGTATTCATCCTAGTTCCAAAATCATACGGCACCATGCGTGCGTAGACGTAGGACCAAGATATCCATAACATTGTTCGTTAGATTGCCGTTTAGACAGACTCTGCGGCACGAGCCTCAGAGTTGTCAACCTTCTCACGTCTCTCGCGACCCTTGTCGGACCAGGGGAAGTGAGCAACAGGGATGATGAAGAACGAATTGCTGGTGTCGGCAATACCGGCCAAGGCGTTGTACCAGGCAGCGAATGCAGCAAGCATACCGAAAGCACCACCAGCTCTGAGGCAAGCGACGTTTCCGTGCTGAAGGTAAGAAATACCGAGCATAAGGAACGCAAGATCGAGGGTGAAGAAGAGGAAGAAGAATGCAACGGTCGAGCGCAACGTGCAAATGAGCAGGATGAAGGTAAAGATGAACCAGCCCTGGTTAGGAGTCAGTCGAGTGTGCTGAGTGTTTCAAGAGTAGGTTTTGCTCACCATCAGATAGAAACCAAAGACGTCGTCGAATGAAGTACCCTCGTAGGCGCTAGCGATTTCGAAGCCACCAGGAGTCAAGATGATAGCAGTGCCAATCCAGAAACCACCGTAAGACGAAAGAGCAGTGGCACCGAAAGTGTTTCCGACAGCCATCTCCCTGTATAGTGGTTAGCTTCTGTCGCATATGCCTCATCATGTCTCGGCTACATACCACATGCCAGCGAGAAGCTGGACCAGACCACCGTATGCGAAAGCGGCACCAACGACGATGTTAGGCTCAGCGATACCGCGAGTACCAAGGTTGATGAGAGAAAGGACGAAGGTGGTGAGGGCGAAGGCGCTCAGACCAAGAGGTGCAGGGTTGGCGAACTTGCGGTCGGCAATGGGCTTGTAGAGACCGGGTTGGAATTCACCACCGAAAGCAGGAAGACGAACAGATTCGCCAGTGTTGATGTGTGCCAGAGGGTTGCCGCCGTAGTCGTAGGGCTTGCGCTGCTTCATGGGGCCAAGGTTGGCAGGTGCGTGGTCGTAGCCGTTGACACCATTCAGGCCATTGAGGCCATTCAGACCATTGGTCTCTTTCTCCATGCCAGCATAGCCTTCGGCGTTGATGGCGTTCTGCTCTTGTGCAGTAGACATGTTGTAGGGTAGTTGGGTTGTAAGGATGTCAGGAAGAGATACAAGTGACTGCTTCCAACAAGCGGATCGAGCTGGAAGGAGGGGAGTCGTGGGTGATAATGCGGAGAGTGGAAAAAAATCGAACGGCAAGGGGGGAGCTACATAATATATTCGGTACCGCTAGCTCATGACGAGATTGTTTACCTGGGGTACTCCGCGTGGAGTTTGTTTAGCTCGAGTTAGCGTGCGGAAGGTCATGATGTGCCGCTGACTGTGTGAGGACAGGGCCGTTGTTGATCTTGTTGCCCACCCACAATTATTGCTTTGTCAACCTGGTGATCGAGTGGTTCGATTCCCTCATCTGTCAAGCCTCTCTAAGACTTGTCCTTGGATCTTCTGGGCATCACATAGATCTAGCACACCGAGCGCTATGCCTCGTTGTCTGTTGTCCGGAGGATCTGAGCATGTCCGACGTGCCGCCGTCTCCATGAGGTCCTTGCATACCCTGCATGAGCCATGTCTCTGTGTGTCGAGTATTCGCTTGGAGGACACCGACACGATGGCTCTCGAGACCGTTTGCATATATCCTGGGATCCGTTGCCAACACGATGTCAGCCCAGGCGACGATCTTTTGCCGTGGCCTCCCTAGATCCCCTACTTCCGCGCGTGATGCCTTGACTCCTCACGCCCACTCCTTGAGTGCGCCATCTCGAGAGCTTGTCTCCTATGCCGTTACTTCCCAGATGGATGACAGATGTCGAGAGTCTGACTTTCAGGCGTCGCGAAGCAAATAACGAAACGCCACTAAACGTGGATAATCTGCTTACCTCTCGAGGCCAAGCAACGCCATCTGTGCGTGCAAAGGCTTCATCTCAATCAAAGTGAAGCTTCGTTTATTCAGGCCCGTCACCCAGAAGATTGTTCACAACATCGCGCCGTCTTGCAGACTGCTGCAGCTCGAGTCCCCTCCTGAGACTGCTCTCGGCTAATCGGTCGCTCGACCGATCTTCTATGATTATCCGTCGATCAATAGCCGCGAGTCCGTCGCGCAAAGGGTAAACGTGAGCCGCACGAACGCCTTCAGTTGGAATTTGTTGTAAACGCCTTACAAATTCTCCAAAAACTCAAGCCCCGGACTCTGTCTCAAGCCCTCGGTTCCCACTGACGATTCCAATTTGGTAATGTCCGGTTACATGATACGACAAATGGGCCGGCGGAACGGAGGTCTGGTGGACAGTGTGCACGGTGGAAGATCAACGAGTTCTCGCCCGTCAGTTCTATCCGAATTGCCGTAGATGACAAACCCGATCATAGGCAGACCGCCGTTACCGGTCAACGCCTTGGTATTGCAGTGCTGGGCCGCCAACGCAGACGCCCAAGCCTATGTGATGGTCTTCTGGAAGTTCATGTCATAACTACTGTACACATGCAAGGACATTAATTCCGCGCTTCCACGGGCCAGAATCCTGCAGCTCCTTCGATCCATCCTGAAACATCCTATGCATATGTACGGTATGAGGTCGACATGGATTATCCTGCGCGACTCACATTTATTCTCAGGGTTGTGGTTCGACTAGCGAGCGCGGATGGATGAGACCCTTCTTGTGGGTAAGAAGAAACCAATCAGAAAATCACCGAAGTGGTCGAACGAGAACAGCATAGAATGCACTGTTGATGACTCTCCTTTCCACTGGGGTTGATCATCGGTGCCAAGTCGTTCAGCATCTCTCAGGGATCGAATGCTTATATGCGCAATCATCACAAAGTCTGAACGGCTCGCGTCGCTGTACAAAATTGGAATGCACGTTTCAGTCTCCAGACCGGCCCGATCTATGTTGCACGCATCGCGCTTGGGTTCATGCGTTGCGAACAATTGCATCTTTGGATCGTTCTAGCCGCTCTGATCAAGATGCTGAATACCCAAGGTCTGTAGCGATACAAGATCCGCTCACGGTGCTCGAGGCATCTGAGGCCAGGAACAAGACAGTCTGAGCAACCTCCCCAGGATTGACCATCGTTACAGGCCCCTTCATCATGGTCGAGTAACCTTCGTCGTTTATACTCTTGATAGTACTGGAGATGTTGGTCTCCATTCCTGACGGGAGCACAGCATTACACCGGATGCCCTTATCCGTATAAAACGCAGCTGTGTTTTTCGTCAAGCCTACAAGACCATGCTTGGATGAGGTATAAGCAGCGCCTGTAGAAAAGTGTGTCAGCACGGTGTTCAACTAAATGTTCATGGAGATTCTATTTACCAGCTGCAAAGCCGCGCAGAGCAGCCACGGATCCGATGTTGATGATCGAGCCTTTGATCTGTTTCTCTAGCATGTGATTCACGCCAAGCTTGGTGACCATCATGGGGGCCGTCAGGTTGACCGCAATGATACGGTCCCAGAGGTCCTTCTCTAGTGAGCCTACCGGATCTGGAGACACAGAAAGTCAGCTGGATCACAAAAAAATGACTTCAGTTTGATCACGTAGTCTATATGTCCTTGGTATTGGCCGCCTCGAGGCAATGGACACCGAGAAACCACGGAACGCGTGCGATATCACTTGATCTCGAGAAACTTACCGAGGCGATCAGTAAGTCCTGCATTGTTGACGATGATATCGATTTGACCAAATCGCTTGGTTGTCGCTTTGAATACATCATTTAGGTCATCCTCGAGTGTCACATTTGCTTCGACGGCAAATGCTTTTGACGAGTCGTGAGAGGCTTCGAACTTCAGAACCAGATCTGTATTGATATCGACAGCGACCACGTTTGCTCCAGCTTCCAGGAAGAGATCTGTGATGGCGAGACCTAGGCCTCCGGCACCTCCAGTAACGATGGCAGTCTTGCCTTCTAACGACAGGACAGGCGACATGGTTGATGTATCTGGGCGATTCCGAGTTGATTTGGTTGCTGTTCCCTTCACGGCTTCAATATGTATGACTGGCGAGACGAGGTACAGCTGGGTATGGGTTTTGGTTTGAGACGTAAAGTCATGAACCTCATATTACGCATCAGGCGTGCTCTAGAAAGGCGTGGAAGTCCCCGCAATCGGTGTCATTGCCTTGTTGTTGCCGACGCCATTCCAACATTCAAGCACGCAATGAGTATTTTCTTCTACCAGAACTACGAGGATAGCCATGTCTTCATACAATAATGATGCTCATATGTCTCAAAGTCATATTCGACCCTCAAGTGTGCCATGACGGTCTGCCGACATAGCTGGACGGAATCGCAGTTGACGTCATCTATCGTCATCATGCTAGTCGGATCACCCTGGTCTGATAATGCCAGGAGCACTAAACATCCACACCACGCTTGGTCGCAAGTCAGGAGGCTCGTCTGTGAAGTGTAAACACAATACTCATTGGTGCCTGGGACAAAAGACGAAAATAGAAGCATCTCGAGATCTACAATCAGGAATGGTGATCTTCTGCACTTCCGTTGGACGGCATCCTTCGATAGCTCCATCCTTCAGTACCCCGCGCCTGGCAAGCTAGGCAACACTTCACTATCTTGTTTATCTTGTTCCCTTCCCTCTTCTCACTTTCCAACCCCAAAGACATCTTCCGGAGCTGTAAGCACCACTTCACTAGATTGACACGTCTCGCGTTGACAGCATCGCGTTCTGACTCGAAAACAAGCCCTCTTCCGGAAATTGACTACATCTATCACCAATCTTTCCAAGATGACGGGAGAGAACTTTGTTTCCAACCCGAGCTTCGCCAATGAGACGTCGAACGCGTACTTCGAACATGCCTCTGGCCTGCGCGTGGACACCAATGCCGTCTTGATCGAAGCTATTCGCCGCGAGTATCCTCAATTGCATCTGACTGTCACACCGGTGAACTCTTGCAACCTCATGGCCTTCGCTGCTTCTGGGGAAGCTGCTGTCGCTCCGATAGATAAGGAGAACGATCGTTTGTACCTTCGAGACTTCGTACCGCCAGCCAGACGTCTTACCGGAGAAGACGGACGTCTAGTTGATAGTGTCAAGTTTGGCAAGTTTCTGATCGACTGGGAAGGCAAGGAGTATGTCGTTTACATCGCTGAGGGTCGTGACGGCCAAAATTCTTATCCGATCGTCCGAAATCAGTACATCTTGTCGTCCTCGATTCACGCAACCGAGAAGCTCCTTCTTGAGGCTGGACGCTTCACCAACAATGTCAATGGAGCGGTCCTCGTTTTTGACCAAGGCTACTGGCAGAAGAACCACGAGTTGTGGGATAGTATTCAGCAAGCCGAATGGAGCGACGTCATCCTTGACGAAGATATGAAGAAGGATCTGATCAGGACTGTTGACAACTTCTACAACGGCCAAGATACATACCAGAAGCTCAAGGTACCTTGGAAGAGAGGATCAATCTTTTGGGTAGGTTTTCAATCAAGCCAAGCACTTGCTCCTACTTAGCTCACGACGTCAGGGTCCTCCGGGCAATGGAAAAACGATCAGTATCAAGGCTCTGATGCACACGCTCTACCAACGCAAGGACCCGGTTCCTACCCTCTACGTTAAATCGCTCGTCAGGTAGGCACACCTCTCTGTCGAACGTGCCTTGAAGCTTACAATTCGCAGTTACGGTGGCCCGGAATACTCACTCTCCTTGATCTTTGGACAAGCTCGACGTTATGCGCCCTGCTTCCTCATATTTGAGGACCTGGACTCCATCATTACCGATCAAACGCGCAGTTACTTCCTGAACGAGGTGGATGGTTTGCGTTCAAATGACGGAATCTTCATGGTTGGGTCCACAAAGTACGTACAACAAACGCTTATTGAGTCGGTTCGGTTAGCGGAGTCTCGGGCACCAACCTGTACGCCGCGAGCACGATATATCGAATAGGCTCATTGAGAAGTTAAAAACCTCTTATCGGAATCTCGCTGACTGTCTCTTGTAGCCATCTCGATCGTCTGGACCCTGGAATCTCCAAGCGTCCAAGTCGTTTCGATCGCAAGTACCTATTCCCAAACCCAAATCATGAGCAGCGCGTAAAGTATGCGCAGTTTTGGCAGGCAAAACTAAAGGACAACAAAGATGTTGAGTTCCCGGATAGAGTCTGTGAGGCAGTCTCGTCTATCACGGATGGTTTCTCCTTTGCATACATGCAAGAGGCCTTTGTAGCATCTCTACTCGCTCTGGCAGTCAACGATAAGGAGGAAGGGCACCACGACACTGACCTGGACAAGCTTCCCTTGTGGCAGCAGCTCAAGAAGCAGATCAAGATTCTCAGAGACGAACTTGAGCAGGATCCAGAACAGGCAATGAAAGGTCTGAGGATCTGATGCCGACGGTTCCAAAGTGAACCGTTTGTATGACAGTCGCTAGCCAGATAGTGGAGCTTCCATCCTCATCAATGAAACAGCTTATTTGACATGTCTCGTGCAACATTGCATTGTCCTGCCGTGAGTGCAGAGATGGCGAGTGGGAGAACAAGCGAAGAAATAAGTTCGAGTCGATGGAGATGTGCGAAGGAAGCTCGAGGAGAAACGGAGGGGCTTTTTGGGAGTGCTACACCTGGGTGACGCGAAGGACGAAGTTTTCTAGACACATGAGCCGTCATGTCTAATCTTGTCTATCGTTGTTGATTGCTTGCGCAGTGCAAATCGGAAGTGTCTATACCCTTGCCAACGGCCAAGAACCATGACCATGTGACATACCGAACAGCGATGACGGCCTCATGTAGGTACCTACTTGCGAAATGGACTCGCGTCCACTCACATGTGAAGGCATGACGCAGTTGCTGGCAATGTGTTTGTGACGGCGGCACCGGCAGGCACGAGATGGGAGATTGGTCTACACGCAGACACACATGGCTCTTCGGTGTAACGCGTGCTCAAGTTCCGAGTGGAAAGACTCAACCACCCGTGTTCTATTCTTGATGAATTCCTCTGTCAGAGAAGGTTGTCTGAAACAGGGCAGATTGGGTTTCGTGTTGGCCGCGTGCTCGGTGCACGGGCCACCAACGCGATATGACTCCATCTTTGGCAGCTTCACCTCCACTGCGCCGCCCTCTGAACGTAGCACCGCCTCTGTCGAAACTTCCTACATCACCGAAGTGCTGTTCTGATGACGATGCTGCCATCTCGCCGTTGCATTCTGCGGAGAGTGTACGCTGTCGGAAGTACCCCAGGCAGCCACTAGCCTAAGGATGAGGGTTGGCGGCAGCCTAAACATCAGCTCTCTCTCTCACATTGAGCTGCTCGTTCCTTGCATCATACCTATCCTAACAACCGAGTTGTGCCTGGAGTACTGCAGGTACCCCCTTAGATTGTGTAACGCGGTCAACATTCGAGTCTTCAACGCTCTAGTCCTCGACAGCTGCCTCTAGAATCATGCCATTGGTCTTTCGGCCTTGCTGTCCTCGGTCTGTCACCGCGAGAGTATGACTCTTCGGTCTTTGGGGCTGTGTTCTGGTAGGTCAGTGGCCGAGCAAGGTCACGATGTCGTTGCCTGTTAGTTCGGGCCCCCCGAAGTTCCTCACCATGGTGCGGTCGCAACGCGGCGGCCGAGGTTTGCTCGCGTCAACTTGTTCCTTTTCACTATCGTGGCACACCTCGTCGAGAGGGTAGGAGTACCTTGGCCGCATAGCCACTGACCTCTTGGTTGTTCCCTCTGTTCCTCTCCCTTCCTCAAAGGTATAAAGACCTTGTCAGGGCCGCAAGAGTTTGACCTTTTGTTCCCTCTGCCATCTACCATCTACCATCTGCCTACCAGTTAGCAGCCAACATCACAGACAGCAACACTCCAACCAAGCAACAGTACAACTACATTAAACGAACCATCTCCGACACCCGCCATCATGCCCTCGAACAACACCTCTTCCAAGTCTTCGGGCGGCAAGACCCTTTCGTCCAACTCGTCCGGCGGCAAACCGATCATATCTAGCCCCAAGGTCATAGTTCATAACCACGGCTCTGGTGTCAGATACGGACCCTCTGAGCCGTCCTCTCGCGATGCTCATTATGTCAACAAATGGCGATGAGACATCCTCAGCGTTCAAAGCCAACCTTACTGAGAACAACAGCAACAAGAGATTCTGGTTATCGTCATGGACACTTCCCGCGCTTCCCACATTTGCTGGGCAACGAATCACCACCGACCGACATCGGACTGCAATTGTGTCGCACATGCCCTCGGCTCGAAACCCGACAAGAAGATCCATGAGATCCAAGCTATCAAGTTGAGCCTCACCAAAGAGGTCCGGCTATCGCACAAAGATGAGACGATTCAAGTCATGCCCTGCGCACAAGCAAACGTCACCCCTGATCACGCGTTTTGATTATTGCAGTCAGTCTTGCACCTTCTTGATTGGACGTCGTTTGTTTTGCGCATGTCTTGTTTTTTCAACGGGAAGCAATGTAGACGGAAACACTCATTTGTCAGCGGATGGGCATGAGGTGTGAAGATGGAGAGAGACGGAGGACACAGAAAGATAGGAACAGGCAAGACGGGAAGGGACATGAACTACATGCGAGTCAAACCTTTGTTGTGCGACGGGTTCCTGAATAGCAATTTGGAATACGATGGCCAAGCCGACACAGAGGAGAAGAGGTGGGGTTTTGCAGTCCAGTCACGTTTTTTTGGCAGCATCATTTGACGCAATTGAATTCAAGCTTGATTTGGCTCAATATCTAGGATCTCGCCCATAGCCTCCCACTATCGTGTCTTTATGATGCCGAATCTTGTGACGAGCTCTTGCTTCCTTGTCAGAAGGGGAAGTTCGGGCTTGACATATATGAGAGCTGAGGTGCAGGATAGAGGGATGATTACACGGCGTTCGGGGGCTCTCTGGCTGTCAGGGCGAATCTCAATATGTGTTCGATGGTCATTGGCGGCTTTGATGGGTCGACGTTGTGTCGTTGTAGTGCTTTGACAGGCTCGGGGATGGTGTCTACCATATCCACGTCCATATCGAGGTGTTTGTCGTCTTTTGTTTTGGCTTGTGCCTCGCCTTGCTCGTCGTCCTCGTCCTCGTCCTCGTCGTCGCTATCCCACAGCTTGCGACGCAGACCAGTAACGACGTTCTCGATGCCTAGTTCGTGTTCTTCGAGGGTGAAGACGTCGTCAAAGGCATCGCGGCCCATTTCGCTACCGATACGGTTGCCTTCCTGACCGGCCCATTCCCAGAGATCAGTCATCTGGGTTGTGCTCATGGGTTGCGGTTCGGAAGCAGTGGGAGCCGCAGAGGAGCCATTAGTGTGGTTCGGATGGATGGCATTGTTTGCAGCGTGTCGCTCTCCATTGGCGATCCAGTCTTCAGTCTGTGGTTGTAGCTTTTTGCGCAACAGTTGAGTGAGTAGGTCTTCCTGGGTGCGGCCTGGGTACGAGGGCAGAGGGTAGACGTGGGTGTTTGCGAGGAGTGGCTGAGCACCGGCGAGGACCTTGTGAAGTGAGTCGAGGTTGTGATAGAGCAGATTGGCAGAGTTTTGCAGTGAAGGCCTGTGTTCAAGGGCTTGGGCATTAGTGAGCAGTTGGATGGGCACGAGGATGGGCTTGTCGCATACCACGATGGTAGTGGGTCGTTGGTGTCTAGATCGTGCAGCAGCTTGCCAATAGTGTTGGCAAGGGTGTTCAGACGCTGGCGCACCTGCTCTAAGGAGCGCAGCGATTCGACCGACATGGTGGATGGTATGAGAGCAAAAGAGAGTTGATGGTCGGAATGCTCAATCTTGATGGCGCTGCACAAGTTGTGGAGCGGAGGTTTGCACAAGCGCGCACAATTCTGGCGGCCGACTATGCGCGATGACGCTCGCTGCTTCTTGATCGAGACTCTCCAAAGTGGACGAGCTGGTGTTGATCAGCAAACACAAGGCCGCTTCTTTCCTCCGATACTCGCTGGACTCGCACTCGCTATGCTGCACATATAATGCCGGTATCGATATAGGACCATACACCCATCTCAGCGACCGCACTCAACCTCGCGTGACGCCTTGCAGGCCCGCAGCGCAATCATGTAGGCTTTGGCACCATGCGACCATGGGCCTAGTTACGGCCGCTTACTACGACCAGGTTCGAAAAAGATCTCTACGCCCTCATCCGGGGCATGCGGAACCACAAGGGCAATGAGAAAGAATACATCCAGAACAGCCTGAAGGAATGCCGTCGCGAGGTTCGCAGTCCCGACATGGACAACAAGGCCACCGCTCTGCTCAAGCTCGTCTACCTCGAAATGTTCGGCCACGACATGTCCTGGGCCTCGTTCAACGTCCTCGAAGTCATGTCGAGCCAGAAGTACCTGCAGAAACGCGTCGGCTATCTCGCTGCTGTCCAGACCTTCCGTCCAGACACCGAGGTCTTGATGCTGGCCGAGAACCTGCTTAAGAAGGACCTGAACTCGCCCCAACTGCCTACCCTCGGCCTTCCGCTCGTCACCATCCCTCATGTCGTCAACTCTTCCATGGCAAACTCGCTCCTGACCGACCTTCTACCCCGCCTCACCCACTCCTCGCCCGCAATCCGCAAGAAGACTATCGTCACCCTATATCGTCTGGCCCTGGTCTATCCCGAGACTCTTCGCCCAGCATGGCCAAAGATAAAAGAGCGTCTGCTCGATGAGAACGAGGACTCGAGCGTTACTGCCGCCATCATCAACGTCGTGTGCGAGCTAGGCTGGAGAAGGCCGCATGATTTTCTGCCCCTGGCCCCTCGTCTGTTTGAATTGCTGGTACAGGGCTCTAACAACTGGATGGCTATCAAGATCATCAAGCTCTTCGCCACTCTTGTTCCCCTGGAGCCCAGGTTGATCAAGAAGCTGCTCCCTCCCCTGACCACTTTGATCAAGACAACCCCAGCCATGAGTCTACTCTATGAGTGTATCAATGGTATCATTCAGGGCGGTATCCTGGACGGCGCTGAAGGAACCGTCGAAGGTGATGAGATCGCTCGTCTTTGTGTCAGCAAGCTCCGTGGTATGCTTGTCGTCGAGGGCGATCCTAACCTGAAATACGTCGCGCTGCTCGCCTTCAACAAGATCGTTGCTTCACATCCTCAACTCGTCGCACTGCATTCTGATGTTGTTGTCGAGTGTATCGATGACCCTGACATCTCAATCCGCACAAGAGCTCTGGATTTGGTCTCTGGAATGGTTGACTCTAGCAACCTCATGCCTATCGTCGAACGCCTTCTTCGACAGCTTAGAGAAGCCACTCCTGCCTCTGCCGTCGACGATCCGACTAACGACAGAGGTATGCATGCTGGTGTGATTCCTTCAGGAGATTCGGACGAGGAAGAGGCAACCGAATCTTTGCGGAGGCGAGAGGCCCGCTCCTCAGAAGTTCCTCCGCTCCCCGAAGACTACCGCCGAAGTGTCATCGAAAAGATACTCGACATGTGCTCACGAGACACATATTCCAACATTACCGATTTTGAGTGGTACGTTGGCATTTTGGTCGACCTTGTTGGCCACTGTCCAACCGTAGGCATTCAGACTTCGGACGTTTCTTCAAAATCAACGAGGGATGTCGCGCAGACCATCGGCTTCGAACTTCAGAACGTTGCTGTTCGCGTGAAGAGCGTGCGACCTGAAGTGGTGGCTGCAGCTCAATCGCTCATCATCGTCGAGCGAAGAAGAGAAATGTTCCCTGCTTCCGGTAACGGAGCCCAGGCTGTGCTTGCTTCTGTAGCTTGGATGGTCGGCGAGTACCCTGATCTGCTTCCCGATCCGCAATCTGTCTTGAGTTCGCTACTTCATTCTTCGAGCGCTCAACTCCCTGCCGATATCCTTGCCATTTACGTTCAGGCTATACCTAAAGTCTTCGCTCGTCTGACTTCGAACCAAGAACGATCATGGACTGCCTCTCGAAAGTCGCAATCTGATCTGCTAATGGCTAGGATTATCCACTTCTTGGAACCGCTTGTGCAACATCCTAATCTCGAAGTGCAAGAACGAGCTGTTGAATATCTGGAATTGATGCGTGTCACTTCCGAAGCAATCCAGGCACATGCCGTCGAGGGCGAAGACGACGGATTCGTTGATGCTCCGTTGTTGCTTACCCAGGCTATACCCTCACTTTTCATGGGACAGGAATTAAATCCTGTTGCTCCTGGTGCTCTCACCAGAGTACCACTTACCGAAGGATTGGATCTCGACACTCCGATCAATGACAATCTGCAAATACTTTTGTCCCAAGCGGACTACGACGACATGTCATATCCTGACGAAGACAATGTTTCCAAGTTCTACTTTGAGAAGCCTTCGGCATTGGCGGTTCAGCCCACAGCAGCCGCCGATTACCTGGAGCCAAAAGAAGTGCAGAGTTCAGGATCTTATCAGTCCGAAGACCGAAATATCGATCCGAAAGATATTGCCAAGAAGAAGGCCGAGAGACGCGAACGTTATCGTGACGATCCATTCTACATTGATTCTGAGCGCGGATCCGGAACTTCGACACCGTTGCACAATATTCTCAAGAGTAGTAATGGCGAAGATTTGGATATCGACGCCATCCCTGTTATGGACCTACAACTAGACAGCAGCAACACTGCGGCCGAAGCAGATCGTCTTCGCAAGACTAAAGCATCTAAAAAGTCACGCAACAAACGTGTCGAGATTGCACAAGACGAGACTATAGGCGACGACACACCCAGTTCTATAGCGGCACCCACCAAGCCATCTCTCCTTAGCAGGCCTAAAAAGTCTCTATTGCATGTTGACAGCAGTGGTCTCTCGTCTCTTTCGCTGTCAGAAGATGTGTCTGCTCGCGAAACACAACTAGACTTTGAACGCCGCCAGCAAGAGGAAGAAGAGATGGCAAAGGCAATCAAGGAAGTCGAACGCGCTCGCTTGGAAATGCAGCGAGCGCAAGAGAGAGTAGAAGCGAGTCATATACCCGAAGAAGGCACTGTAGTCAAGCGCAAAAAGAAGAAGACGAAAACAAAGACCGAAGAGGAGCGGCCGTTGGAGTCGGAAAAGACATTGGGCGATGATGCACCAGATACTACGGTGGTCAAGAAGAAGAAAAAGAAGAAGGCCAAGGAGGAAGATGTGGAGGCTGCAACACAGAATTCTGGTGCAGAGGTCGAGGCAGCTACGGTCAAGACAAAGCGGAAGAAGAAGAGGCAGATCGACTTTGGCGAGCAAGCGGGTGCGCCAGCTGCTTGAGCTGGCTCTTTCCTTTCCATGTTCCAGAATACGAACCGTGACTTCCCGCAATCTCCAATTCTATTTACCGTGCATCACTCCTGCCAAATTCTAGAAGGTTGCCTCTTCCTGATAGTCTCGTTCTCAACAAACCATTCATGGAATCCAATCTGACCATCCTTCTTTCGGGAAACCACAGTATAAACCATTGATCTTTCACTAGACAGCCAGTCATGCATTTATTACCTTCTTCCCTTCTTCCCTTCCGCTTCATCACTTGACAACATCCATCTTCAAAAACTCGCGATTCGATTTCCTAGCGCAGATCTATCATCGAGTTGATCGATAGCATCAAGGGCTCTTTGCCATCGTGCAACCCGCGAACAGACTGTCAGCGAGATTACCTGCTGTAGAACCAAAGCGAGTCCCAAGTATGATGCGCCCAAGCTAACTTTTCCATGATTACCTTCATCTTGCGTCCGCACCGAAGACTCCTCATCATGCGTACTGCGATATGAGTTGCAACTCGACAAGATGTCGATGGCAAAAATACCTGCTCTCTCCCTTCATTGACGGTCCGTTCAACATGTGTATCACAAGAGATGGAAACCAAAGAAATCAGCTCCACAACATACCCATACAATGCTGCCTCAAACCCTCGTCGAACCCTCCATGCCCTCCACAAGATGCATAGCGTTCCCCATCGGCGACAGTCCACCACGCGACACTCTTTACTCCCGTAACCCTACGGGGCTGGCGAGACTCGAAGATGTACCGTTGAAGCAACAACCTTCCCTCTGCTATCTTTTTTGCTTGCATGGAAATTGCTGTCTTTCAACGCTTGACTTATCTCGAGGTGCTTTTGTGTAAAAGCGGGTCGGTTGATCGAAATGGGGAAACTTTCTCTTGTGGCAGAGTGGCTGGAAACACCAGGTCTGCTCACGTTGTGTTGCGGTATCAACTCGAAACTTGCATATGGTAGATTGGAGTTGTGGCGGGTTCTACTGTGACTTGGATACCGACAAGACCGTTTCCAAGAGATCACGGGTTCTAAGCTCTGCTACCTCTTCGAGCACTTTGACATCGAGTGTCTCTGTGGTTGTCAGCTCGATCTAAACAAGATCATGCTTCGTACAGCCACACTTCACGGGTATGAGCACACGGGATGTAAGACCTTGATGACATGCAAGATTCTTTTCGTAGATAGTAGGCTTACACAAAGTCTGTACTCACGAGTCGCTCACATGTACGAGCAAAGGAAGGACAAACGGGATTAAAATTATTTCTCATTGTGATTCAAGGGGTATATAGCTCATGTGTATCGTCTCGACCCATGTACTGCTTTCTTGCAAAAAGATCATTTCGCTTGCGGTACAACAGAGTCAAGGCAAATTGATCTTTGCCAAAAGAAGAAGTAAAAAGTAGAAAAGACAAGAAGAAGAGAAAGCCGAAAGAAGTGGAAAATGATGGGACTAGGAGGCCGAAGCATCAAGAGCATGACACCTAAAATCTAGAACCCGAATCTCTTAGAGTATCGAAAAGTTTGTCTGCGTCGTGTTTCCTGGAAAGAGCCTTCGCGAATGACTACCCTGGTCTGGCAAGCTTTATGTCGCGAAACCCGTTTCTGCAGAATCGAACTGCGCAGCGATTCGTGGACTGGGTATGTAAAACTCGGAGTAAGTGGCTAGAGGCGCTGTCGTAGGCTAATCTGTGACCACGCTGGCGGGGCTGACAGATGCGATGAGACTGTCAGCACGGGCTCGCAGGCCGGTAGTAGTATTGTGTTGGTTGCTTGTCCATACAAGCCGATGTATGTCGGCGAGAGATGCGACCAATCATGTAAAGTCCTCATGCTGTGTAAATTCTCGGCCCGCCGGACTCGTGTTCAAGAGTAGTAGCGCGCGAACCCTCGTACTCCAAGGCTGAGCCCGACTGCAATGAACGGCGTAGACAACCCTCTTCTTTCCTCGTTCAACAAGGGAGAAGGTGATTGCTCCACAGGCGGAGACGAAGGAGCCTACTCGTCGTCTTCGTCCTTGCCCTCGTGCTTACCACCATCCTTTCTTATGGGGATCTTGATACCCTGGCCTGCAAAACATTTGCTGAGCTCGGTACTCTCAATGACACCAGGGAATTTCTTGGCCGAGAAGACCTGGAATGGCTCAGAGAAAACGGTAGCCAGGACGGGGCGTTTGCCAGTGGACAGCTTCGAGCCACCGTCACCGCTTCCAGCACCAACATCGAAGAAGCTCATCTTGAGACGGAAAACGGCCTCGGTACGGACAGACAAGTCTTGCAAGACGAACCAGTGTCCCTCCTTCCCGTGAGGGTCGCGTAGCTGATTGGCATTCACAGTCAAGCTGCCGATGAGATTGCGGGTAAACATTCCGCTGCTTTGCTGTTGCTGAGGCATGGGAGGTTGGTATTGGGCTGGAGAATACATTTGTGGCTGGGAACCAGGATACTGTGCGTAGCCGGGAGGCATGGGAGGTTGTGCATAGTGGCCAGCAGGGGGAGGAGCACCTTGCATGTACATTGGCATATGTGGTTGTGGGTAGCCCCAGGGTCCAGGAGGGTAGTTGGGTGCAGGGCCGTAACCAGCGAATTGACCAGTGCGAGGATCAGCATATGGCACTTGGGGAGCATAGAGAGCCGGACGCTCCGGCGGCGGAGGATATGAGGTGGTTGTGGCGGTCGAGATGGATGTAGCAGGAGAGTTTGTGGCTGCTTTGACGATGTTCTTCTCAACCTGACCATGTTCGTCCCACAGATCAACCTGGAGGATGAAGAAGCTGGCGTCTAGTTGACTGCAACACGTAAGAATAGGGCTCGCTCTGGACAGGGTTTGAGGACACTCACTCGGCAGGGACCTCCTGTTGTGTCTGTTCGTCGGTAACGACGAGCCGCACGCATGGTGGGGGAGTGATGGGTCTGCGGTCCTACAAATGTCTCAGATGGGGTCAAATCCTGTGGCACGCGTGTCTTCTCACCTTGTCACCAAAGCCACACATGCGCGCTCGGACGGGCTGCTGCACAACAATCAACGAGAATCGCAAGCCATCCCGAACGACTGATATCGTCTTCGCAGTCTGGGAGACGGGCGCTGCCTGCATTGCCTGTCCGTTTGCTTGCATTGGCACTTGTCGATTGTGCTCGTACTGAGGATGAGGGGGGCCGGGATATCCGGGGTGACCGCCATATACGGGCGGGAGGTTTTGTGTCTGAGCCATGCTCATGGTAGCCAAACGGTGAATTGACCAAGAGAAGCGTCTGCGGTGCAAGACGGGCTACCAATTGAAGATCGGAAGCGCGGGAACTAGAGCGTGAAGAAGGCTACAGCCACGAGCAAGACAAGAGTGCAGAGCGGGATCTATGCGCAGAATGGCACACAAAGGGGTGAGATGTGGCTTGTTCCAGTGAAGACTGCAGTGTAGAGAAGAATTGTCTTTTTGTCTGCGTCAAGACGAGCGCATCGACAGGATGGCAGTCGCGCGCGTTACACCAACGGGGGGAAAAGCGCTCACGTTGCAGCGGCCGTGCGTTTCAGAATGCGTGCTGCTCAGGAGAGTCGTCGAGAAGGGCGAGTCGTCGAGTGGGCCGCGTGTGTGAATGGATGCGACAGATGAATCTAGCCTTGTATAGAGGAATGTTCGGCGGCGGGCGCACGAGAAGCGAGTGACTCGAGATGGGTTACAGGTCGCTGGGAGAGAGCAGCAAAGGCCGAGTTCGAACAGCTCACGGGCAGGCACGAGGTCAATCGCGACACTTGTTCACGCAGAGTGGAGAAAAAGACAAGGAAGGAGCAGTGAAGCAGCGCGTCCACGCCTTGATCAACTTGGACCTTGGACCTGGATCGCCCGCCATCATCTTTTGGATGATAGAGAACCGCCACTAGGCTGGGTTCGGGCCTCTTAGTCTGTACCGAATGAGCGTACCGAAAACCTTTTTGCCCGCCCGGGAACGAATCGGATCCCTCCAGGCCGTTGCGCCATACCTCCAGTCTCGAGGGCCAGGGATCCACTGCCCAATTTCACCACTGCACTTCTCGATCATTGCCATCAGTCACTGAGCGTACATCTGCTCACAGCGCTGTGCCTCCCATCTCCCGTCTTGCAAGCGATGTCCGCCGTGGCTGACCTGATTGATGCAGCCCGACTGAAACCTGCAGGCACAGTCCAATCTGAGACAATCTTACTTCACGCCTACGCCCCAGCACAATGGCGCAACCTTTCTCCATGACAGCCACCATGTTGCCTCAGTCGGGGTTTTGGGTCGATTTGTGACCTAGGTACGCAGCTGCGCGCGATTGACTACGGCTATGGCTTGCACAGGGGCCGCCTGCCGTTGCGAGACGAACCCATCTCACCAGCCTTCAGTTCCCACGAACTACCATGCCGGCATTGCAGTAGCGCGACCGTCCTCATTAACGCGTCAAGACCCATTCTCGGGATGCATACGATATGCTCCATATCATCCAATCTACTCTGTACATCTATAGTGTTGTCCTTATTGTCCAATACTCAACGATCAATGTGAACAGCAAATGGTCTGCTGATAATGCCTGATGAACCGAGACAATCTGGACGGTGGTCTAGTAGAAGCTTCCAGGCCTAAGGCGTCAAAAATGGCAATCTTAGCCTCTACACATGGCGGCTCTTACGTGCGTATGGAAGCAGCACTTGTATACAAAAACTTCCACGCAGGAAATTCCTACCCGAATGTCTGGCCGGAAGACAAAAGGCTGAAAGTATACGAGACGCAATCTCCGGCGTCCAAGGCGGCAGCCGTGTGGGTGATGCTGGTGCATGCAGGCAGATGATAGTACGAGCACAGGGAGGCTTGCCATAGAAAAAGCATCTACAAGAGTGCATTCAAGAGAGTGGATGACACGTCAATGCTCGATGGTATAAAAGCCATGGCGCGCCTTGCAGCAGGCGTACATGATACAAGGACGAGGTCGGAGAGAAGGTTGGTCAGGAGCTGCCGTGGTGCTCTTGATGGCTTGGCATATGTTCTGCTTGACCTAGGAGATGTGATAAGGTGGAAGTCTAGACTGTACGCAGAGGCCAGAGTGAAGACTCGAGAAGGTTTCATCGTTTGGAGGCTGTCAACTCGTCGCGTGGAGGGAAAGTCGATCCCTGATTCGTGTGCGTCGCAGTGACGTAGCGCTCGGGACCTTTCAACACGACGAACCTGGAGAAAGCACCTGCGACCAGGACACATTTCTTCCTAGCAATACATATCACGACCTCTCATTACAGTCATGTCAGGTATGAGAGTTGGGTCTTATCGATCAAATGGTGTGCTAACAACTGTCCAGCACCGCCGGTAGATTACTACGCCGCTTTGGAGGTCGACTCCAAGGCAACACAGGAGCAAATCCGCACCGCCTACAAGAAGTACGTCTCCTTCGATCTGGATAGGAAACATATCTGACGAGAACCTACAGGCAAGCGCTCAAGCACCACCCTGACCGTGTGCCCGCCGACTCGCCCGAACGTACAGCCCGCACCAGGAAGTTCCAGCAGATCAACGATGCCTACTACACTCTCTCAGACCCTACAAGACGAAGAGATTACGATGCCACAAGACGCTACCATGGCTTTGGCTCTGGATTTAGCTCCGGTTTCGGATCCAGCTCAAACACACCTCCAGGTGGCTATGGAGATCCCGAAGAGGAGGTTCCGCGACCCGAGCCTGGTAACCAGCAAGGAGGCGGCTTCAGCTTCCCGTGGAGCGCATTCGGCTTCGGAGGACAGGCAAAGACTGAAGAAGATGCAAACAAGTTTAGCAGTGAACAGTTCGGCAACGTCTTCGAGGAGATGCTCAGGTATGCTACATTCTCCACATGGAAATACACACTGTCCCGTATCTGACTTTACTCAGGGAGCAAGGCATGGCCGAGGGCCAGAACAACTCACCTACAGGCAAGTTCTGGTCCATGATCGGCGCAGTCAGTGGAGGTGCAATGGGCTTCATCATCGCCAACGTGCCAGGTGCCATTGCCGGCACCGTGGCTGGCAACAGACTTGGTGCTGTCAGGGACAATAGGGGTAAGAGTGTTTACTCAGTCTACCAAGAATTGGACCAACCAGCAAAGATGCGCCTGCTCAGCGAGTTGGCGAGCAAGGTGTTCGCCCACGCCATCAGCTGAACGCCAGTAATATCATGAAGCTTACGACTGGTTATACGGCTTGGTTTGTCTTGATTTCTGTTGATCTTGGAGAGGATGGTGTCACGATGCATGCAATACCCCTATTAAATGAATCTTTTGTTCCATGATGTACATTCTTCCTACATATAGTACTTGGGGTGGGTATCTCGCTTGCTTACTCTACATGAACTCTGACAGGTCGAAGAAACTAGCTCATCGTTGAACCGACTGAGTGTCTCTATCCAGGAGTTCTCTGGCAGCGATGAGCTCGGCTTGGTCGTATCCATCCCAACCTCGCTCACCGCCCATGCTACGTCTCACAATCTCGGAAAGCTTCCTGGTTGAGAGTTCGCGCAGCTTCTCGACCGAAGCCACCGAAGGAGGTGGTAGGTCTCCGACTGTGGCGTCTGAAGACTGTGCTTTCGGAGGTTTGCTGCCCGACTGTGACAGAGCTACCAAGAGATGTTGTGATGTCTGTGTTTCACTCGATTAGCCAAAAGATGGATGACAGGATGAAACTCGGAGAGCTTACGAGTTTGAGGCCATAGTAGCCACGGAGGTAGTCGTCGCATAGCTCAATGCTGCGGCAGAAGCTGCGTTGGGCGTCCGCGAGCAGCTTGAGCTTACCGCCAGCGTCTTCGGCAGCGTTGGCAGACACGAAGAGCATCTCACCCAGACGAGCGTGAATCTATCATTCTGTCAGCAAGGCAGACCCATTGGAAGGGTACGGAAGAGCAAAACATACATTCCAAGCATTTGGCATGATGAGCAAGACTTCCTCCAAGCAAAAGACAGCCTGCGAATGCATGCTCTGCAAGAAGTACAGCTCTGCCAACTCGGACCACGCCTCAGCGTCAATGGGCGAGCTATCCAACAACTCAGTCAACGTCTTTGTCGCCTCGGGCAGCTTGCTCAAACTCCTCAACAGCGCAACCTTTCTCTTCATGACGGGCACGTTTGCCGGCTTCTCTGCCAGCAACTCATCATAGCCCTTCAACACGTCCAACAGGGCTTTCTCGTCCGGCGCTCGGGCTTCCTCGTACAGTCCACGTAATGCTTGCACGCGCTCGTTGTCGGCTCCGAAACGTTGAGACAGTTTGTCCAGGCAGATGGAAGCGGTTTCGTCGTCGCCGGTACGCAGGCAAGCGATCATGAGGTTCTCGTTGGCTTGCCATTGTTCGGCGGATTCCGAGGTGGTGAGGAGGGAGAGCGGGTAGGGGAGACTGCTGGGAGCTTGGCTACGCAGCCATCGGGGCGCCAGTTGTGACAATCGCAGGGACTCGGTCGGCGAGAGGTGTGTTGGCGGTGCTAGTAATTGATCCGTCATTTTGTTGCGTGGGTTGTTTTATGATGTACGGGTAGCTGACTGCCCTGACTTGGTGGAGCTTCTCCAGCTTGCTGCCGACATGTCCGCCAAGCATCCCCGAATCATGACCCTGTCCCTATCTGTTCGGCCTTCCTATCTTGCTGGAACTTCCTACTTTATAGCTAAATCTCTAACAGCATATAACTTATCTGACTATGTGTCTTGAAATACTCAAATGAGACAAGGAAGCTGCTTGTTATGTGATGGCTAATGGACTCGGACAGCAGATGCACAGGCTCCAGTATAGAAATTAAATATCATATATTAACGAGTAGAATTTAAGATATCCTAAAGCCTTTGCGTCTGAGTCTAAGTTTCAAATTGACCTTTGATAGGTAAAGAGGCCCGTGAAAGCCAAAACAGGCCATGATATCGATCTAGACATCCTCCTTAAACTCCTCATGGCTACCGTCTGTGCTGAGCATAGGGCCTCTGCCATCCTTCTTCTCGTTGTACTCTGTAGCATTGCTCTTGTTGCCAGCTGCTCCCATTGCCATACCGGCATGGACAGAAGAAGTACGCCTGACCTCGTCACGCTCAGCCTCAATGTATGCCAGAGGACGCTCGGTGCTGATGGCTTCCTTGTGGCGGAACACAAGAGGATCGTGGTTCTCGCGGAAGAAGCGGTCCATGTCTTCTAGCGTTCGAGAACTGGTTTCTGGATAGAGGCAGTATACAATCGGGATGAAACTGAAGTTAAAAACTGTCCAGATGATGTAGAACTTCCAGTGGATGCTGTTGATGCCGATGGGAGTAATCTCAACAACCATGAAATTCATGATCCAGTTCGTCGCAGTACCCAGAGCGGCACCCTTGGTACGCATTGATAGAGAGTTGATTTCTGAGATGGATCAGTCGGTCAAACATCACATCGAAATCTATGGGTACACTTACCAGTTGGGTAGAGCCATGGCACACCCTGCCAGCCGATACCGAAGAAGACGTAGTACAGGAAGAAGAAGGCAATTGAGGCAGAGGCGACTTCGTTCTTGTGAGCATAGCCATCCATCTCGTTGAAACGTAAGAGGATCGTGATCAGTAGGTAGCAGCACCCTTGGCCTAGCGAGGCGTAGAGCATCATATTGCGGCGACCCCACTTCTCAATGTTGGGAATCGAGATAAAAGAAAACAGGAGATAGGAGACAGAGTTGCAAGCTGCGAGCAGACGGGCAAGTTTCTCGGTCAAGCCGACAGATTGGATCAAAACAGTAGGTAGACTAGTGGTCGGACACAAATTAGCGCCAGCTCGTGAAATGAATAGGAGAAGAACCTACTAGTAAGAAGTGACATTGATTCCACCGAGCTGTTGCATCGCTTGGGCCCCCATCCCAAGAAAAAGACGTCGCATCGTACAAGTACCTCCTTCTTTGCCAGTCTTGCCTCTGAGAAGTTCGCTCCAAGACGGCGAGTTCTGACGCTCGTAATCGACAGCATACTGAATCTCGTTGCTTGCAGCAATGATTTGTGGATCGTCATGAGTGGTCGACTCGAGCGCTGCAAGGATGTGATTGGCCTCTTCCACGCGACCCTTGCTGATGAGCCAGCGAGGAGACTCAGGCAGCCATGGGACGGTTCCGTAGAGGATGAAGATAAACAGGAATTGTAGGGCTAGTGGTATACGCCAAGCAGCACCTCCGTCGAGGTAGGAGAACCCGTACGTCACCCAGTTGCTGAGACTGAATCCAGCGATGTTCATGATCATCTCGATGATGACCAGCTTACCACGCCACGACGCCTTTGAAGTTTCTCCTTGCCAGACCGGTGCCGTGGACGTGTTGATACCGTTGCCGATGCCAGCAACTACGCGCCCGACAATCATTTGAGGGACACCAAAAGCTGTGCATTGTAGAAGTGCTCCTATGGACATGATCGTAGTTCCCAGCAGGACCGAGTTCTTGCGTCCAAGGGGATCACCGATCATGACTGCCGCAATGGCTCCAAAGAAACATCCTATGTCGTAGATGGCGGTAATGGTTGACAGAAGACTGTTGTTGTCGGCAAGGTTCAGCTGTTGGATGTAGTCTTGCGTGACCACCACTCCACCGAAAACACCCTATTGGACGAGTCAGATATATCTCACTGGCTGCGTGGCTCTTCTACACACCTGATCGTAACCAAAGAGAGTCATGTCTGTGGCACAGGCAACAGTAACCCATACTGTCAACCATGTTCCGGTCATACCGAAGTATTTCGGTTTTGCCATTGTCTTCTCAGACATGTTGCTGTCAAGTAAACGGAGTGTGGAGAGAAAAGGTGGAGAGGAAGACAGCGGAGATACAAGTCAATGAGGGGAAAAGTCAGATGTTTATATACAAGACCCCCAGCATCTTGACCGATCTTACAGGCCAGATGATTTACGATCCTTTCGTACAATAGGTCGCGTGCATGGAGTCTGGGGCACAGACAGGGACGCTCTTTCCGAAGATGACGTCGCGTGTGGCTGTTTTAGTCGCACGTAACTACCTATATAGAGGTTGTCGAAACGTGCGAATCGTGCGAATCATTGGGATGACCTTACAGAAACTATTGAGCACATCAAGGATGCCGTACACTGCTAAGTAGTGGGCGGTCAGTGTCGTGGTCCATCGAGAAAACAAGCAGACTTGACCTTGAGTATGGCTGTTCCTCTGTCCCACGCATAGTGCTTGCAGAACCCTCTCCGTCCATAGGATTGGAGCTAAGGCTGTCGATCTGGAGACGAAGTTGGAGTTGGTGCCTCCCCGCACTTTTGCACGAGCCCGGTCAAATCGGGCCTTTGCTGGAGATGATTGCGATGACGGCAAGAGCATCAATGGATCATTCGCAAAGTCCTAGATTGCCTAGACAGTCGTCGTGCTGTTCAAGACGACAAGACGCGAATACACGGACGAACAGTGACCGATATAGCAAGCTGCTACAACCAATGTATAACGATACTGCTCAAGCTTCTTCCAAGAGACGAAGTTGAGGGCAAGCTCACGAGGAATAAAATAAGCTCACCAGCCATGCGTCAACGGCGAGCACCTTCGCATAAGATTCGGAATGACGCAGGCGGCACTGAGCTCTACCTGTAACGCGTGTCATACCCAGCACTCTGAACAATCCTTTCAAGCGATATATGGCACACGAACAGAGTGCTGGAAGTTCGTATGCATCGCCAGAAACTTGACTATGCTACTAAGAATGCCATGTGTAGAGTGTCGGCTCCTGACGCTCATATCGAGCTGCATACCAACACAACGGTCTAATCGACGCGATTTTGATTTCTTCCAGGATGAGATTGAGTTGGAAATTTGATACCTGATCTAAGTAGCAATCAAGTGTCCCTCTTCCCGTCTAACAACCGTAGTCACAGACAAGACACAGTTTGTTGTACAGCTGGGTCGAGCCCGTACACGATAGAACGCTGAAACTCAAAGCAGAAGTGAAGGCTGGAGACGAACCATGTTGTATAGATATCCGCCCCAAGAGCAAGCCTGTAGGGTAAGACAGAGGGCTTTCGGGGATATATGCAACTAACTGACAGTTTCAGAATAGACATGAGATACATCGTGGTGTTACGAATGAGCGAGCATACTTTTAATATCGGTCGGCAATTCTAGTGGGAAGCGAAATAACCAGTTTATATTGCATAGGAAGCAAGCGACACATCAACTGGTGGTCAAAGACCGACTTCCCATCATATCAACCTGAGCTCGCGTTGTCTTATCGAGTAAGAGACTCTGCATTCTCGCTGCAGCAACAAGCTGGATCAATACCATACGACAACACCCATCAGACAAGTTGTGTCCACGGAGTGACGAGCGACTAGCCAGCCGTTGGCACGAGTCCATTTCGGTGCAGACGATTGAAACAACCCAAGACCGTTGCAGACAAGGGAAAACTCAGCAGGAAATCTTTTGACTGGGTCTGCAAAAAGATCTCGGTGCCATTGGGTGAAGAAGAAGGAGGAGGAGGAGGTGCACATCCCACACCTCACACAAGTCATCGACCAGCCTTCTGATCTCGACGCTTCACAATCTCCCACCTTCAATGCGGAACGACCTTGAAGCTGCCATCGACGTACGGACGGCCAAACACTCAGACCCTGGTACTCCATGAATTCTTGGAGCTGGAAATCCATACTGGCAACCTTTAACCTACGCTGCCGTGGAGACAAGCGACCAAGACCTATGTGTTGACATCAAGAAGGCATCGCTGCGGTGCGTTTCGATCGGACTTCAATTCCTTGTCGAGGTGACCCCTGCCAAGCATGTGGCTGGCGATCGATGATGAGTCACGTTGCCAACATAGATCTGGCACTCACCAAAACTGAGTCATGGCCCCCAGCTCGATCAGTCATCAGCACAGATGCTCGGTTTATAACCGCGCGCCTATGGCGTCTACACTAGACCACATGCCGTAGCATATACCATTGTCTTTCCACATCATCTCCCATCGAGTCGGCCCAGGGAACCAAAATCGCCATGTCTACAGACTCTGAAGGGAAATCGTCTCTTGAATGCGGTAGCGAACTGTTGAAACGTCAATTCCTATTCGACCCTGGCTATAGGAACCTCAACCACGGTAACCGTACCCCCCTTCTGAAGCATCAATGCTTTATTCTCAGACATCGTACGGCTTCTGCCTGTCGTACTCGGCAGTTCCACTCACATCTGTCGCAAGACGCGGAGCCATCGGCGAAGAGCGATTTGCATGTGACCGTGGTATGCTAATTATGTTCACTCACAGGTAGCTTCGGTACTTTTCCACGTGTGGTAAGAGATGAACTGAGGCGATCCCAAGACGAATGTGAGGCAAGACCTGATAGCTACATTCGCTTCGCCTATCCGAAAGCGTTAGACGTATCAAGGGAGGCCGTCGCAAATCTGGTTAACGCCCCTGTGAACACTTGCGTTTTTGTTCCTAACGCTACTACTGGTGTCAACACAGTGTTGCGCAACCTCAAGTTTACAGAGGGAGATGTCATTCTGTATTTCGCCACGATCTATGGCGCTTGTGAAAAGACTGTCGGCTACATCACAGAGACCACCGCCGCCGAGTCGATGAGGATTGATGATCACATTTACCCTATGTCGGACGACGCGCTATGTGAGTCGTTTGAGAGGGCAGTTGCGCAGATCAAAGCCGCCGGCAAAAAGCCCAAAGTTGCGATCTTCGATACTATCGTGTCGCTACCTGGCGTGCGCGTTCCATTCGAGCGTCTCGTTACTGCGTGCCGCGCTCACGGTATCCTGTCGCTTGTGGATGCTGCTCATGGCATCGGCCACATCCCCCTGGACCTAGCACAACTCGATCCAGATTTCTTCGTCTCTAACTGCCATAAGTGGTTGTTCACACCCAGAGGTTGCGCCCTTCTCTATGTCCCAGAGAGGAACCAGGGTCTTGTCCGTTCAAGTCTTCCCACCAGCCACGGCTTCACGCCTTTGCCGAAAAGCAGTGGGCCGATAAACAACCCCCTGCCGCCCAGCGCGAAAAGTGCATTTGTCACCAACTTCGAATTTGTAGGCACCATTGACAATGCGCCATACCTATGCGTGCCCGCTGCTCTCAAATTCAGGCAATCCGTAACCTGGCAAGGCAAGAGCGGTGAAGACGCAATCATCGGCTTTTCGCAGAACCAAGCACGCGAGGCAGGCAAACTGGTGGCTGACATCCTCTCCACCGAGGTCATGCAGAATGCCGAAGGCACCCTAACCAGATGCAACTTCGCCAATGTCAGGCTGCCCCTTGATTTCACCACTCTTGCGGGTGGCGAGACACAGAAGGCAGTCAAGATCGCCCAGTGGATCTCAAGGACGCTGGTGGACGAATACGAGACCTTCATCGCCATCATCTTCTATGGAGGTGCCTTGTGGGCCCGCCTCAGCGCGCAGATCTACCTCACCATGGACGACTGGGAGTGGGGCGGGAATGTTCTGAAGCAAGTCTGCCAAAGAGTCGACAAGGGGGAAGCTTCGGAAGAGTAGTTTGGTACAACGCTAGAGTCACTCGATGCATGCTTGTGCATCGGGATGAGTCTCCGTAGTAGAGAGCAACGGTAGAACTCGGTATACCAGGAGACACGACCTGTAGGCCTGAGACGGATACTAAGAAGCACAGCTCTTCTCCACAAAACTCTGGTCTGAAGCTGGTCTTTGCAGAGTCTGTAAAGATCTTACGTATCTCCGTGACGGGGCACTCCGTACCTACACGCAATCGCCGACTCGATCCTCCACGGATAAAGTCGTCATGCATCCTTTCCAAATGTTTTTCGCAGGGGCTCATATGAATAGCAACGCTTAGTATTTGCAAATCGAAATCTTTTTGACAGGATCTCTACCATCACTAACATGTGATATTCTTCAATGCCTAGAAGAGGCTAGGTCACCTCCCTCATGGGGTGAAACATAGAGCTTTTCACGGGTGTAGCGAATTATAGAAACGAGCAGTCCGAGAGCTCGGTGGCCGGATGGCGCAAAGTCTCCTGAATCGTGCAATCGAAGTTGATGTCCAAACTTGACATGGTCAGAGCAAGGAGGTTGTTCCGTTGGAGTGTCACGGACTCCGGTAGGGTTACGATGTTTCAGAGACCGCTTGGTATCACTGCATTCACCCGGACAGGTGCTTGCGTGCAAGGTCGAAGTACATTGTTGCCTAAGAACTTGTTCGAGCAAGGGGTGTAGAGACCCCTTTTTCTTGCTTATGAACATGTGCACAACTAATCATTAATATCGTGCATTTCTTTACGGCATAACAAGTTTTCTCTCCGAGATTGACGTTCGAACGGATTCAACCACTCACAGCCGGAGACCTGTCCAAGCCGAGTTGATGACCCACAGTAGCTTGTCCTTAGCGTCAGTCAACACGGCCGGCGACAAGATAGAGCTGCCATTTCCATTTCTGCCCAACCACAGTGACATAACACCGATGACAATCGCGAGCGTGAATGCTCCAGCAGGCCTTCGGTATTTGTGGGCCAAATAACGCGAGTGAGCAGTCATTTTCTGGAGTGTTTCCTGACGCTTGATCTGTGCTGCATGTTTCGCGTGAAGAAGCTCGCCTTCCTCAAGAGTCTGCCTTGCAAGTTCATCCGAATCACGTGTGGTCTTTAGTACGCTGTACTGTGACACTTTGCGCCATGCACTGAATGGTAGTGTCTCTGGTGGGTGCTGTTCAAAGAGCGAAGCCGTCCTTGTGATGAGGGATTCGATATCCAGTGGCTTTGGGAGTTTAGACAAGATTGCGTACATCATATCCGAATCATCGGAGTCGTACTCCAAAAGCTCGTCTTTTCGAGTCATGATGATCTAGAACCTGGTTAGCCAAAGACGATCGACCGGGAGGGCCGCTCCGTTGTTGGCCGGATGAAGGGATTCAAGACTTACTGTTGCATACATGTACACTGATATCACAGCTTCATGCGCCAGGAGAAAGTCGAACAAGCGAGAGATACCGCCATATTCTTCGATGTCGTGTGCATACAGAGTTAGTGTTGCAGCAATGGCAAAGTACGGCCGCAATCCAGCCAGATGCTGGCAGAGTTTTGGATCCGTAGCGTAGACTATTGCCGGCAGTAGCTGCACGTGTGATTCACTGGCAGAGAACGTAGGGAGCATGTAGTCTCGGATTCGCAAGAGAGACAAACGGGCCAATAGAGGTGCAGCCTCGTCGGCGCCTAACACAAGCAACAGTACTTGAGCAATGTCATGGAAGCCCTGAAAGTAGTGTAGGCACGAATGCCGACGCAGTAGCCCAGTGATGAGGTCCGAGAGTTCCTGTTTTCGACCTTCGATTTGCTTCTCTGATTCGTCTGTTGCATGTTAGCAGACCGCGTCAGCCATCGGGCGTGTCCCGCGTGTGCATACTAAGAGGATAATAGACGAAAGCGCGGTGAACATCGAGTTTGACTTGCTCCTCATCTCGTTGTACAGGCAATTGTTGCCAGCCGACTGTATGATCGGCATCTGTAGGAGACTCGCCCAACAGTATGGGCCCTGGTAACAATGTTGGTGAGGTAAGTCGCATAAGTTCACGGTCATTACGTACAGGCGATACGTCTAACACGATCCTCAATGAGACCGCCCGAGGTCGTGGCAAGTGCGACTAGCTGCTGTCTATCTTTGTTCTCACATGCTCGGAGAATCTTCGTGACTTTGGTTAACTCGGCGGGTGTCAGAGGCTCGTCTCGCCATGAATTGGAGAACGGTCGGCCAGAGCTTGTATCATTGCGGTCTGACGCAGCATGTTCAATTTCTCCATCGAAATTCTGAGGTTTGTCGTCCATCGTTCCTGGACTGTGTTTAGGAGGAGTCGTCGTTGACGGAAAAGTCCACAGAATCCAGCTTTGTGGGTCATATGCTGCATGCAGTTGCAGTAGCGCAGTCTGCGCGATTGGAAGTCAGGAGCGATGTACAACGGACAACCCTTCTGAATCGTGATGACGATGAGGACGGAAGACTGGTCTAACGACCACAAGTATGTGTTGGTTGGGAGTTGGCCATCGAGTGAGTCGTTTCGTAGCACCAAAGGAATGTTGTGTGGTGTGGTTGGTTGTCATCGACTTTCAAGCCAATCGCAAACGGCGGCTCCGAGCGCAAGGAACCGCGACGAACGCCGAGCCGAAGTCCAACTTCTGCCGGCGGCGGCCATGCCTGACCGACATCCTAACTACCTGAACCTTGACCACTTCACTTGTCAGTTTCTTCCCAGCTACGACTAGTCGACCAACTAGTTCGTCGCCTGTCCAATCACTTGCTCACTTAATTCAATATGTAGGCTAGACGCGCAAACCAGTTGCATGTAGTGAGCTCCCGACTCAGCGTCTCGTTCTGCAGCTTCAACAATCTCTCCAAACTTGATTGCTCCGGTGACAGGTCGCTTAGTTACGTCCTTGCTTTGCAGACAGTACAAGCTTCTCCTATGCTTCTGCAGCTTGCGTGTCTTGTCGGTATAAATTCTGTCTCGACATCGCTTTGAGAAACCAAAAAGTCTTACACCTTCTCTTTCTTCTTTTTCTTCATTATACTCAAAGCTTCTCGCCCGCCATGAGTCCACAACAGCCTGTACAGGATCCACCAAGGGATAAGACCCGTGAGCAAATCGGTCTGCTGACGAGGACGCTGGCACCAACTCCGACCATTCGTTCTATAATCCCAGCGCGGATCCGATCACCAGCCAAAGACGATTATATCTGCATAGGCAGAGATTTCATTCAACTGTTCGAGATCGAAGCGGGAGCCCACATCATCCATATCGCGACAAAGAGCGATTTCGATGGCGAGATCGGTTCAGCCAATGTTGTCGGTCGTTTCGACCCGTACGAGAGCGATCTCAGAGAATACACTGATGACACGGATGACTGCAGCAATTCCTCTGGAAGTCCCATGGGTCCACAGATGTTGGCCTTCACCTTAATTGGCACCGCACAGCTGTTCTTTCTTACAGCTTCAGAGGCTGAGGACAGTGAAGATATATTCAAGGTGTTGTGCGTACCTATGCCTACGTTCGTCAGTCCTCCGCGAGTACACGGTAACGCCATAGCGGTGGATCCGAGTTCTCGAGCTCTAGCTGTGGCAATCGGCGAGCACAAGGTCTTTGTGTGTTATGTAAACGAACCAGAATCACTGAGCTTCGGGCAACAAAGTTGGGATGATGGATTCGTCCCAGTCTCTAGCTCTCAAACCATCAAAAATGTGCCTGGCACTATCCTGCTAATGGACTTCCTATATCCACCGAGACACGATCCAGATCGGTTGATTCTTCTCATGATTGTCTTGCATGATGGCATCATCAGGCCGGTATGGGTCGAGTGGTCAGCGTCTGACGAGGTCAAGAGCGCGGAAATCAGCCAGGGTCACAGAATCTTCTTGTGTAAGTCAGTTCTAGTCATGATTCAACGCGAGATTGCTGACCAGCTTAGCGGGTGAAATACCTAACCTCTTGATACCTCTGAAAGGAAACGCAGCCTTTGTACTCACCACTGGAAAAGGCATCAGAATCTTTGAGAACATCTTGATCACATCATGCCGCACAACTGGTTTAGTTGTCCAGAGGGAGAATCCACCAGAACATTATCCGCCATCTTCATTCAATTCGCTCTGGTCTTGCTGGGTACGGCCAAGAAGATGGGGGGAATACGAGGAAGAGGACTATATCTACCTGATTTCAGAGGACGGCCATGTCTATTATCTGGTCTTTGATCAGGATGCGCCTGGCGAAGGTGTCGTTATCAACCATGTTGGAAGCTTGGAATGTCACGTAGACATGGCTTGTGCACCGTTCGGGAGATCGGACCAAGGAGATGTCCTGGTTGTTCAGGGTGCATCAAGTGCAGGTTGCGTCTGGATAGTGAGTATCAAACGTGATTGAACCATATGCTTGGACGATGCTGACAAGATGCTAGACAGAGTGTCGACAAGCTCCTTCCTCCGACTCAGAGCCTAATGGCGGAATGCATGGCTTCATCACTGCTTCCTTGCCGAATTGGTCAGAGAACCTAGACCTGGTAGCAAAGCCTACTTCCCGCAAGAGATTACCACTATATTCGAGGGATACCCTGTTTGTGCCTAGCGGTCGACAACCTTACGGTCATATCACAGAAATACGCATGGGTCTTGAGGCTCGTATCGGCGCTCGTGTCGAAGGACATGCTTCGTTCAGTGTCGTTTCACATGCGTGGGTGCTTCCCGTTCCAGAGAAGAATCAGTTCTTCATAGTTCTATCTAGTCCTGGACAAACCCATGTTCTGTCGATACCGCAGTCCCCGGAGGGTGACGACTTTCATGACTTGCAAGCCATGAGTACTGTGGGTCTCGATCTGCAGCATTCGACGCTTGCTGTGGCCATGATAACAGACAATTGTGTTCTTCAGATCACAGAGTCTGCGATCGCGTTCAGTCGCAATGCTGGAGCCAGTCTGCTTATGGAACAGTGGCCTACTGGGCATAAAGCTGTCGCTGCAGCGGTCGAAACTAACATCTCCTGTGCAGTCGTTGCATTGCGGGTCAACGGAAGGTCAGAAATACGAACACTCATAGTGGGTGACGTCGGTGACGAGACGGTATCAATGACAGAGCTCGGTAAGCCGATACAAACAGAAGGCGAAGTCATATCCTTGGCCATTCACTCGACTCAAAGGTTTACCTTCGTTGTCGCTGGTAACTCAAATGGAACACTGTATGTCTTTAGAGTCTCTCCGAGAAATGGACTTGAGCCTTATCTGGAGCATGAGATTCCTCAAAATCCCGACCACTTGGATGATCTGGAGGCTCTGAATGCCTGCGAGGACATCCTTGTCCTCGGGGATCAAACAAATCTGGAAGAGCCTGTCGATCTGGTGGTACTCTGTGGCTTGCGAGGTGGATCCATCTATGCTCTCGAGCTTCAAGTTGGCCTCGATTGTAAGTTGCGTGTGGCAGGCTTGTTAGGGATCCTTGCTCACAGATGATAGTCTCACTACAGACTCAGTCGCAACGACACTTTAGCCTTGGTTTGACAACGGTCAATCTCAACTTCGGGAAGAGTGCCTTGTCTGCGTTTGCAACTTGCGGCGATGGATTTTTCAACATCAACATGGATGCCGCTAAACTGGACGCCATAACGATCTCCGATGTGTACCTTACGGACAGTCCACGTCATTTCCAGCAAGATCCAGTCGCGGCTATGACAATGGTGCCATATGTTGAGACATCGACTCTATCCGAGGCCCTCCTTGTTATCTCAGGAGACTGCTGCTTCGTCACAGCTGTATCGGAGAGGCAAGGAATCGTTCCCGGCAACAGCAAGGTTCATGGATCTCCTCATACACTGGTTGATCTCAAGTCGTTGAATCGCTTCGTCAGTGCATCTTCGTATGTATGGAAACGTTCGTCGACGACCAGGGCTGTAAAGGATATAGTTCAGTTCAGCTCGGGCGATTGGAATTGCTCCTGGGAGACGGACATCGGTTGGAAGGTTCACTCGATGATCGAATGGTCTTTCAGACGGACACCTGACGCTACACAACGACACGTCTTGGTCGCAGTTGCCGTTGGCCGAGCTACCCGACTTGGCGAGGCTGCTTCTTCCAAGTCCACGAACGGGAAAATGTACCTGCTTCGTCCCCCAGCTGTGGGTGGAAAGGCTGATAAGTGTGTTCTGCATGTCAAAGAATTCGAGACTCCAGTGACAGCAATGGCAACTTACGGCGAAACGGGTCTTGTATGGTGCTCTGGGAAAAAGGTGTACTTCTCCGAGTATGACATTGAAACATCAAAGTTGGTTTTCTGCATGGTCTTTTTCAGGTCTTAAACACGTTAGCTGACTGCATCTCTAGATTCAACGAAGTTTGCGACTTTGTCATGCATAGTCCTGGTATACGCGTGACTACCGCACCGCCACACATACATATCACCACCGAACGCGACTCGACACTCACACTCCAGCTGGTATACAGTCCGAACGAGCCTAGCTCGGGGATGTTGCGCAATGTCGCCAGGGGAGATGGGGCAAGACAGTCGATCAGCCACACAACCATCGACATCCCACACGGCGATCATGCAACAATGAGTTTTAACTTGACCAGCACGCTAAGTGGAGACTTGGTAGGCTTGAGGATCCCAGATCCCAGCCTGCCTCCTAGGGTTGCTACTCATGACACTCTTTTCACAGCAAATCTCTTCCGCTCCGTCATGCGCATCGTGGAGGCCAAAGTACGCCCACCATGGAAGCCTGTAAGGAGAACCCCTAGCGTACTCAAGGACGATCTCGTAGGCATCACTCTAGACGGCACAGTCTATGGATTCGCAATTCTCGACGAAAAGACCACGAACCGCCTACGATGGGTGCAGAGGCTATGCCAGCGCAATCCTGATATCAGTCCCTTTACCTACACCAGACCACCCACGTTCTCGCAGAATGGCTCGATCCAAGCGGTACCAGTCGTACTACCGCCGCCTGGCTTCGAGACCTCGTCTGACAATACTCGGAGGCCCAAGAGACACAGGCCAAGTGACATGCATGTCAACGGCGACTTTTTGGTGCGCTTGTTGGCAAAGGATGGCGTACAGTTGCTCAACTCGATCCTTGACACCGAGGCCACGAAAGAGGTTCATGATCCCATCTCAAGTTGGGTTCGTGACAACTTGGAGGCGCAGAAGGCAGAGGTCGAGAATCTTATTGCAGAGGCCACGGCTGCTGTTGATCGATGGTGGTGAAGAAGTTGATTACATATGTCACGTGTTTATATCGATCGAAACTCTACTTGCAATATTCTCTCGCATACTCAGAAGTCTTGCTCATGCTTTGGGAGTGGTCAGAAGGGTTGCTAGCCGAGCAGGCTGAAAATGCTGTTGGATGTTCATAGTCGTCCTTCTAGTATACAAAGCGACAGGAAAAAAAGAGAAGATAAGAAAAGAAATAAAAAAGAAAAAAAGAAAAGAGAAAAAGGTGTCAGGGTCATACCTGCCACAACTTGTCGGGGGAACAAAAACGTCATAAGACGGCGTACTTTGGTAGTGGTATCTTCATATTACACTTTGTACTTCTCGATGCTATGTTGTATATACACAGAGTACATTGTCTCGGTTGAACTCATGTGAGGGTTGAAAATCGCGTTCGAAGCCAATTCATGATCGAGTTTTGAGAGACCACCCTATCTGCGTGATGTCTGACCACATACGCCCAGTAGTTTATGATGATACTTGAAAACAACATCACGAAGTTCATAGCCAGACCAACGGACGCATGCGTATGACGAATGCAGACGCACGAGGTTGACCTTCTTTATGTGGCCATAGTCATGCGAGATGAGGGACTTCGATCTACCCAAAAACATGAGCACACACAAGGCAAGAACGAACGACTGTAGAATGATGCCATCTCCATGTTTGTCTAGAGGACCGAACGTACGCGCCATGCAGAGAAAGGACATGAAGATCCAACAACTGAAAGAGATAGAAGAAAGAAACTTATTTGAACGCCGCCGACTCCACACTCACAAACCCACCCCATAAGACTCCGTCGCAGCTTGAATGATGCATGTACACTCATCTCCTTGGGTGCATGGCAACCGCCCAGATAGTTTCGAGGAAAGCGAGAACTCAGAAACCGAAACCGTCTTGAGCCAGGCAGTGGTGGCTGTTGTTGAGATTCGTGCTTGAAAAGAGAGATATATATCTACAAGACAATCGACGTTGCAATAGTCTCTCATCTTCTCCGCCCGGCGGCGCGTTGCTGTGTCCTTGAGGGCTTGACGACAGGTGCTGAGGCTTCATCATCGTCGGATGACTCGTCGTCTTCCTCCTCTTCGACTTCGTCACTCTCCTCGTCCTCATCGGACAGCTCTTCGCCCTCATCGTCGGAGGTCTCTTCGGCTTCCTCGTCGAACATGCCCTCTCCGGCCTCTTCCTCCTCGACGTCGGATGACGCTTGGTCGGCGCCGTTGACCATAGACAGGTCACCGAGATCGCTGCCCACGGCGTTGCTGATGAGGTCGTTGTCGTCGTCAGATAATAGATCGTCTTGGCCCTCGACGTAGATGACATGGTCGTCCACGTTGTCACCGTCATCGAACCTTCCGTCTCTTGTCTCCTGGACGCTCTTGCGGAGCTCGATTTGTGCGTTGAGCATGTCGAGCTTGCCCTTGAGTGTGACGAGAGATTGCAGGCCATTGGCACGCTCCTTGATGACGCGCGACAGAGTCTTGAGCTTCTTGAGAACATCAGGCTGGCTGGCGAGGTAGCCACCGTGCGAGACGAGCGACCACTGAACCCAGACCATGAGGTTTCCAGCACGGCCGGGGCGTTTGTGTAGTCTCTCGGCCAGACGCTGAAGGAGGGAGGCGACGAGCGGTGATTGGAGTCTCTGGATGGTTGAACGGATGCTGGGGAGATCGGTCATCTGGAAACAGGTCTCGAGGAGGTCGCGGTCGTTGGTGCGAAGGGCTTGGGTAAGAACGGTTCCGAGGGAGGTGGCGGTGGGGAGGGCGAGAGAGCGGTCCTGGTTCATGGGCACCAGAGCTTGAGTGCCTTCCTCACGGTCGGCGAAGGCGGATTGAACATCGATCGTCTCTGGATGCGCTGCCTGCAGCATGTCGCCAAACGACTGGCCTTCTGCACCGTCCTCCATGTCCTCGTCGACATCGGCCATGACAGCGTCGGCATCGTGGTTGCCGTTGGTGGCGGGCTTGGTGTCGTCGACCTCGTCGTCGGAGCCGCTGTATGCGCTCGATTCGTCTGCACTTGAAATCTCGACTACGTCTGGTGCTTCGGCCTCGTGTTGCTCGACTTGGGCCTTGGACTCGTCGACGCGGTCTGCTCGTGTGTCTTTGACGCCATTGGTGTAGTTTGCGCGCAGCTTCTTGCCGGCTCGTTGGTTCTCATCGGTCAGGAAGGCCAGTCCAGAGTTAGCCTGCTGTGAAGTCTTTGCCTTTTTCGACGGCGGCAGCGAGGGAGCTGCTCCAGCCTCGGCCTGTCTTGCCCGTGATCGTTTTGCCGTACTCATGGTGGAATATTATATAGAGAGGTCCGTAGTTTGCTACCAGGACTTTGATGCTTTGCAGCTGAGATAAAAAATTAGGAACGCTATGCCAAAAGTTTGAGGTCCGTGCGTGTCTCCGACTATCCGCCGCTCGTTGAACAGCGCCTGCGCCGATGCTTGTGCCTGTCTGTGCCTGTGCCTCTTTTTCTTCGCTCTTCTCCACGCACGAATGCATCTCTGACATGACTGCGTCGCCTGGCAGTTCTGCGGCCTCGACAGACAAAACTCCTTCCTTGTGCAATCAGTCTTTCTCCTGCGCTGCTGCCTTGCGTATCCCATGTAGGCATCCGTATCCGTTTGACGGTCCAAGGCGACTGCTCTCAACCAAGACTTCTGGCAAGTACGACGAATTCTGGCAAGAGCGATACGCTGCTGTCCAAGCCCTGCCTCTACGCCCTTCAAGGTATCTGTATGCTCGTGAGCGTCTTCCGTCTTGATCTAGTGCTGTTCTGCCCTCGTTCTCGCGCCATCTGCAAAAAGCAGTGTCATGCCACCATCGCATCTTGCTCATTCAAAACCCCCCTGCGTTTGCTTCTGCTCGACTCGGCAGCCTTGTGGCGACACACAGCCGCACGGCGTTTTCTCGACGTCACGTGAGCCGGGCGCTAGGGGCAGCATCATAAATCTCCCAGACTTTCCAAACTTGCATCCTTTTGCGAGTTCCAATCGCGTCGAAACACGCTCCACGTCCACGTCCGGCTTTCCGATTCGCGCGACACGTTCTCCAACAATCTTTGCCGACACCACCACCACCACCACTTTTCCATCTCGGCTCCAGGAATTTTTATCATTTGTGCCACGCGCATAATAACTTGCTCTTGTCCTGCCCCTCCATACAACAGTAGTCCCGTCGCGCTCTTTCTCTAGATTGTCGCTTGATTGTCGTTTCTCGTTCTCTGTCCGGCCGTTCACGTGCCATCTTTTATCTACCACAACACTGCACAATCCATCTTCATCTCAGATGTCAGCAGAAACAGGACTACAACCGGAGATGGCAAACGTCGACCGGTGAGTCTCTTCCCTTATCCCTTCTGCTGTTCCTACATCGCCGTTGTTACACCTCGTTGCATCCCCATCATCGTCATCATCATTCTCATCATCGCCATCATCACCTTCCATACTTCCTTCATTCCATCATCAATTATCGAATGTAAATATTGAGAATTTGTACAGACCCAATGAAGACCTGCCTGTCGCCGCTGAACAAAGTGATGATCTTTTTGGCGAAGAGCCCAATGGAGAGTCCGTCGATGGTCTCGTCAAGGAGCCTCTCGATGATGTCGTCGACGATGCCGACGTGTTAAAATCGGTGCCGGCTGCGACTGATCTCTCGGCCAACGGTCCGCCCACTCCTGCCGACTCCCAAACTGTTGACGCTCCGCCATCCGACGCTGCTCCTGTGACGGAACCATCTTCTGGTATCGAGGGCGTTGCCAAATTCATTCCATCTGACGCGAACCTCAACCAGCCTGTTGTCTCACCGTCAGAGCCACTAGGTGACGGTGAAGCGCGCATCACCGAGGACACTGAAATTCCTGACGCTCCTTCACTTGCGACTGCAGTGGAGTCTGAAGTGACTGGAGATTCAAAGCCTGCTATCGTTGACGGTGTTGCTGCCACCAATTCTGACCCAAACCCACTTCTCACCACAGATCTTTCCAACGGTGTTGCTGACCAGTCAAAACCGGACGACACAAAGTCTGCATCAGAGCAGACCTCTGCTCCATCAGATCTTCCTCTTGCTAACGGCTCCATCACCGACTCGAGTGCGGCAGCCGCAACTGCACCTACCATGGATTCTCCCGCTGCTCAGGCGCCTGCTGCGCTTCCAGTAGACACATCAGTGGACCAAGAAATGTCAGATGCGCCATCAGCAGGAATTGTGCGCGCACGAGAAGATGATGACGCAACCAGCGAGCCTTCCGCCAAGCGCACAAAGACCGGAGATGATGTCGACAGTGAAGCGCAAGCTGAATTCGAAAACACTCCTCAGTCTGCACCTGTTACTACCAATGGCGGAACCAACGGCATTGCCGTCCCTGTCGTTCGCCCTCAAAACACACCTCAAATCAGTTCCGGCCCTATCACTAAGAGTCAGAAGGCCTTCCTGATCGAAAAGATGAAGAACACCAAGAAAGTCAAGTCTGCTTTCTGGTTCACCAAGCCTGTCGATTACGTGGCACTTAACATTCCCCATTACCCGACAGTGATCAAACAGCCTATGGATCTCACTACAATCGAGCACAACCTCAAGACCGACCAATACTCATCGGTTGATGATCTCGTGTCTGATTTCGAGCTCATGGTCAGCAACTGCTTCACTTTCAACGGCATTAACCATGCCGCTTCTGTCTCGGCACAAAATCTCCGAGCCTATTTCATGAAGCAAATGCAAATGTGCCCTACTGGTCAAGACGCACTCTCAAAGCCAAAGTCGCATGTCGCTAAGAAGGCATCGCCCAAGCCTGCTGCTGTGCCACGTCCAGAACCCGCAAGACCCGCTGCACCAGTCAAATCCCCTGCTGGCGAGACCTTCGCTCTTTTGCCTGATGGAACTCCGATGATCCGTAGAGACTCGACCGCTGGCAGGCCCAAGCGGGCAGTTGTCCCCCCAGCTCCACGCGATCTACCCTATTCAACATCAAAGCCCAAGAGAAAGGAAGCTCAAACAGGTCTGAAGTTCTGCGAGCACATTCTAGATGAATTCCGCAAGCCCAAGTACGACCGCTTCGCCGCTCCATTCCGCATTCCTGTCGATCCCGTTGCGCTCAACATCCCCCAGTATTTCAGCGTTATCAAGCACCCCATGGACATTTCTACCATCACTCAGAAGCTCAAGGGAGGACAATACGCATCTGCGGAAGAGTTCAGAAATGATTTTGAGTTGATGTTCACGAACTGCTTCAAGTTCAACCCTGCCGGAAACATTGTGCACGACATGGGTCGAGACTTCCAGGAGGCGTTCCACGGTGAATGGTCTAAGAAGGACACCTGGATCAAGAGACATACGCCACAATCTCAACGCGCTAGTCCCGTGTCCGATGTATCTGATGGCGATGACTCCGATGATGCCCCAGAAGAAGACGACGAACATGACAATAACGAGGCCACTATCTCTCTGCTTAGAGAGCAACTTGCTGCTATGCAGAACATGGTTGCCTCGATCTCTGGTGGCAAACGCGCATCGCCCAAGGCTACCAGCAATAAGAAGAAGAGCAAGAGCAGCAACACCGTCGCAAGCAAACCTAGCAAGAAGTCAGGCGGCAGCTCCAGCGTGTCTCGCCCTACTATCAAGACAGGTTCCTCCAAGCCTAAGAAGCAACGTCTGGTCACGTATGACGAGAAACAGGAGATCAGCAACGCCACAGAGAACATGAGTGCCGAGCAGGTCGAGAAATTGACCAACATCATTACTGAAAACGTTGCCAAGTACAAGGATATGGCTGGCGACGATGTTGAGCTCGAGATCGATGATCTGCCCAATGAAGTGCAGCACAAGCTGCTCCGATACGTGCGCAGCATCTTCCCTAGGCCTGAACCGGTCGAGATGGATGCCAACGCGATCGATGACGACTACGAACCCGAGAAGCCGTCAGCACGTTCGGGCGGTGCTGCAAAGAAGAAGCACAAGCCCATGAAGAAGCATGAGCAAGAAGACCGTATCAGACAGCTCAAGGAACAGATGGCCGCCATGGGTGAAAACGCTGACGGCAGTGCAGCAGCAGCATCAGCTCCTCAACGCGCCGATTCCAGTGACGATGAAGACAGTGAGAGCAGTGAAGAGGAGTAGACTCAGCTCTATGACCGTTCTTTCCAGTCAATCTGGGCTTTGACTTGCTCGCCTGCTGAAGCAGTATACAAGACCACACATTGTTTGCGGAGGACGATAACGAGACCAGAAAGCATGGAGCGCGAGCGAAGCAGCTGGCGAACATGATGATGAATGACAAAAGACACGACCTACCCCGTTAATATCAACTCAACCCATCGATTCACCAAGGAGACATGCTTGCTCGAGGAATGCATTTCTATTCCACCCCAAAAAGAGATACCCCGAGGAAGGATTGCAGGAGGTCAGGCGGGGATTCTTGCCAGTGGTTGACGAGTGACGAGGTGTGACAAGATAATTGGCAAGACGGAGGCCTCCCACCCTTTTTAAAATTCTTGTACCATAGCCCTTCTTCCTTCTCTTGTCTCCATAAGTCAGTAGTCTTCTTTATTGATGGCGACCGGATTTTGAGACGAAGACTTTTACTGTCGCATTTGCCAATTCTTTGAGGTGATGTGTTTGACCGTCAGTGTCTTTTGCAGTGTATATGGTGTGCGTTCTTGGAGAAAAGAGAGTTTGACCTGGATGTCAGGATGAGTTGTAGCCGGACAGACGATTTCTGTATAAAGAGGTAGCTTTTAGATGACTTGCAGGCTGTTGGCAACAAATGCGAATCAAAATGGTTATTGCGGGCAAGTCAAGCACCTCCGACTCTTTCCCTTGCACTCCCCACCAAACATTAAACAACAACCAAACAGAGATCCATACCCGCAATCAACACGACTCAAACATCAGCATAAACAACGACTTCTCGATTCCATTCTCAGAAAGAAAGCAGAAAGCAAACTAAGAACCCCCTGATCATGTTCCCCCAACCAGACGCAGAAACACTAGCACGAAACCCACAATTCGCATTACTCTGGAAAGACCTCACGACGAACAGGATAACCCGAGAAGGGGTTTCGAAATCCCTCGCTCTGGACAAGGAAACAGTGAAGGTCAGAGAAATACTCAAGAGTAAGCGGTTTGAACAGGCAAAGAGGGAAGTGCTCAAAGATGCGGTGAGGGCTGTTGCGTTTGGAGAGGGAGAGGGTGGCTTGGTTGGCGAGGTAAGTTTTAATCTGTTTCTTCACGTCTGACAAGTATGATGAAGCGATGGGAAGAGCTGATATCAAGTGTTGCACAGTTGAGGGAAACGGCACAGATTGTTTCTGCACAGTTGGATGGTAAAGTGGACGCCCAGGATGAGGATATCGTTCAAGTCGAAGTCGAGGAATTCATGTCAAACATCGAGACGGTGAGAGTGGCTGTCGAAACACACATGGAGCAGAATGTCATGTTGCTGTGTCAAATTCTGGGTAAGAAAAAGAACGAGAGGGTATCATTGAATATATAGGGGCTATGCTGATTTGTACAAAAAACAGATCCAACACAACAGCAGCCAGACCCTTCGACGCTTCCAGCTCAGGTCCAGGCTCTACGGACAGAGGTCGAGGAGGCAAAATGGCAGCTAGACGTCAAGCGCATTGAGCTAGCGAGTACACTGACCCAACTCCTCAAGACGAATGCGCAACTGCTGCAAACAGCGATCCGGATCCTGGAACAGGTCATGCACGGCAGTGTAGGACGACACACTCGGGCGCGAGCGGAACATCTTGCGACAGTCGGACAGGGTCTGGAGAAGCGACTGTTGGTGGCGAGGAAGACGGTGGCTGGGCAGGTCTATGATGGCAGAGCGGAGGAGGAACTGGTTCGGAAGAAGGAAGAGGTGGATGCTCGAAGTGCAGGCCTACGCAGAAGACTCAGGGACCGAGAGCAGTGGCTGGAGCGACTCGAGGGAGTTGCAGGTCTCCGAGAGGCAGTCGAAGAGATGTCGAGGATCAAGGGCGAGATAAGCAGGGTAAGAGAAGAGGTCGGACGACTGGAAAGAGGATAGAATGGGCCTAGAAGTCGGTAACACGGCCATTGTAACTCCAGTCGCTCTGGTGTCCCCATCGCAAAGGGTTGTTTTTGGGACCGCCAACTTCGCCGGTCTGAGGGTTGACATCGCCTTCAAACTCTGGAGGAGCGCCGCGGCGGACATTGGGGTGCAGCTCTTCGCCCTTGCCATCGGCCTTGAGAGCGGGCGACTGGTTGATCTGAGGCGATTGGTTGACTTGAGGCTTCGAGGGCGAGGCTTGGGCGACAGTCTCCTCAGGGGCTTGCTGGGGAGTGCTGAAGGCACCGGTAGATTGCTTGGTGAGCTTGTCGAAGATTTCCTGCTCCTCCTTGGGAAGGCGTGGTGGTGCGGGGCCGGACGACCACGCTGATCGCAAAGCTGGCGATGTGCTGATGGTGCGGCGAGCGGCGGGAGAGTAGCAAGCGCGGACGGTGAGGCGTGCGAGATTGAGCGACGACATAGTGGATGTGCTGTAGTGTGAAGTGGCCGGCCTGGATGAGAGTGGACGAAGTTGAAAGTGGAAAGTACCTAACAGAGCAATTGAGTCCCTGTCAATGGTGGCGCATCGGCAAGTCATGGATATGGCGGAGCTGCTCGGGCCGACCATTTTGGCCGCTTCGTCATGCCAATGGAATCATTCTAGAATCGAACATGTCCAAAAACTTTCCGAGCTGTCAAACACCCAAATGTACAGTAGAGTGGCTATTCGCTCGCGCAATGCTCTACCTAGGATCCCGTTAGTTCGGTCTTCCGTACACGCAGCCTTTCCTTCTGTATATGCATCAGCACGATTGTTGAATCTTGGCACGAAACGCCTCTCTTCAACCGAGACGATTCCTCCTGCCCACCATCAACATGATTTGATCCAACGCAAGCAGCAAGAGGTCACGCAGAAGATATTAAAGCTGCCTCTGTCATGTCCTGGCTGTGGTGCTCCCAGTCAGACAGTCGCTTCTGAAGAGGCCGGCTTCTACAATTTGAGTAGGTCTGCCGTCAGGAAATTTGTTCACGATGATGCCAAACAGGAGGATCTCGTCTTCCAGGCCACTCTGGACAAGGTTGACAGCAAGGTCTTGCAAGAGCTCGGTTTGGACAAAGCGGCTACTGCTGCCCAGGAACAACCACAAAAGCAGACTCCCATCTGCGATCGATGCCACAACCTCTTGCACCACCACACCGGTGTCCCAATCTTCCATCCCTCCATCGACAGCATCCGTAGCATAATCGAAGACTCCCCTCACAAGAACAACCATATCTACCATATCATCGATGCCGCAGACTTTCCCATGTCGCTCATTCCCAATCTTCTCAACCGCCTCGATCTCCCTTCTCTCCGCACTCAGAACCGCCGCTCCAAACACAAGAAATACGTCCGCGATCGCGTCGCCGATGTTTCTTTCATCATCACCCGTTCCGATCTCCTCGCTCCAAACAAGGAACAGGTCGACAGTCTGATGCCATATTTACGCGAGACGCTTCGTGACGCTCTTGGTCGTACGGGCAGGAACGTCAGACTGGGCAACATGCGATGCGTCAGTGCAAAGCGCGGTTGGTGGACAAAAGAGGTCAAGGAAGATATCTGGGACAGAGGTGGTGCTGCTTGGATGGTTGGCAAAGTCAACGTCGGTAAGAGCAACCTGTTCGAGGTTGCTTTTCCCAAAGGAAGGGGACAAGAGAAGCTTGCTACTCCCAAGCCTATGCATGTGCAGCTAGAGCCCGAGACTTCGTCAGCTCCTGACAACTCGAACGACTCTTTATCCGATTTGCCTGCTATCCAGGATACAGGCATTGCTGCTGTCGACTCTCCGAGCAGTGCTTCCGGCAATCCTGCTGTGGAGACTCACCAGGAAACAGTCGATCAGAACGAGCCGGATGTTTTTGATGTGGAAGAAGGTTCACTACTACCACCTGCTCAGCTTGAGGTCCCCTACCCTGTCATGCCTGTCATTTCGTCTTTGCCTGGAACCACGGCTTCACCTATCCGCGTGCCTTTTGGTAGCGGAAAAGGCGAGCTGATCGATCTCCCTGGCGTCTCTCGGTCAAACCTCGATGAATTTGTGCTTCCTGAGCATCATCAGGATCTTGTCATGCGCTCGCGCGTGACTCCCGAGCAGATGTCCATAAAACCTGGTCAGTCTTTGGTGTTAGGAGGTGGTCTTATCCGCATCACGCCCACAACCCCGGATCTGGTCTTCTTGTCCTACACATTCCTACCTTTACATCCTCATATGACCTCTACCGACAAAGCTGTGGCTAGAGCAAGTGGCGAAAGAGCCACTGGACTGCACACGATCATGACCAAGGAAGCTCGCGAGAGCATGGCCTCAGCAGGCACTTTCAAGCTCGAATGGGATGTTACAAAGCAGCGTGCCGGCCCGTTGACTTCCAAATCCGCTGCAAAGCTGAAGCCTGAGCAGCTGCCTTTCAAAGTGTTTTCAGCAGACATTGTGGTTGAAGGTGTAGGCTGGGTTGAGCTAGTCGCTCAAGTACGAAAGTCGGCCAAGCACAAGCCTGCCTACGCACCGCCTCATGACGAACCTACACATTCTGAAGAAGCACCGTCCGCATCTACCTTGTCAGACTCTGAGACGACGACCTGGAAACCATTGTACACGCCAGAACAGGATATCGCACAAGACATGTTCCCTCGAGTTGAGGTGTTTTCGCCCAAGGGTAAATTCATCGCGGTCAGACCTCCTATGGTTGCTTCGCTACTCGGTGGTAAAAAGGCTCCGACAGCCAACACACGAAAGAGCAGACCCAGAATGAGCATGAAGAGTCTGAAGCACAGCCAACGTGGCAGAGAAGCCCAGAAAGAGGGTTGAGTCATGCCCCCAAGGCTCAACTATCCCCACTCACTCGGAGCGAGTCCTGTTCTCTCGATTATCCTGCAAGAACCACATGATTAGGTAGTTACAGGCCTATGTGGTTCTGCTATCCGGATTGTCACCTCCTTGGTTGTTCGCCTCCTGTTCATCGACCATTCTCAGAGTCTCCTCTATCACTGAGATATCCCGAAACACAACTTCGGCCCAGTTCTGAAGATCACCCAGCTCCTTGAGCTGATCCACGCTCTGGTTCATTGTCTTCTCGAGCTCTTGCGCTTGTTGCGACAGTTTTTGCGTGTCCTGAATCAGAATGCGTTTCTGCGCAGCTATTGATTGTGATGCCGAGACGATGGCTTCGGTTCGTTCGGTCAATGGCGTGGTGTGTTCTCGCAAAGTCGCAGAGACCAACGCCGAGGTGGACTTGGTAGAAGACTTGTTATCAGGCATCTCGCGTGCGGACGATTTTCGCAAAATTTGTTAGGATCATGTTCTGACTGCTGCGATCTTATCATTGAGAAGATAGTGTGATGGGACAGAAGTCACATCGGACTGTATGCGCGGCGGCGCGTGACAGCCTTTCACATGCAAATTGCCTATATAACATAAACCGCGATCGACGTATCGGCCGAGATACTACACACCATCTTCGTCCGTCAGCGAATCACAGCCCTTCTACATCGTGTACATTATTCTGGAAGCGTGATATCTGGCTGCCTGTAAAATGCCTCTCGTTTGGGGTTGGAGAGTGATTGAGGTGACCTTCGTGCAGATCGATTATCAAATGCGGAGAAGATGACGACGAGCTGCTGCTGCTTCCTTGCTCCATGTCAACAACCTGGACAAACGGAGAAGGAATATCCCCAAGCTCTTTCCGCCTCGACGGACTCTCTTTCATTCCCTCACATGCTTGGTTCTCATGCTGCGACGTTGCTGGCGACCATCTAGATCAAAGCACGTTGCAAGTGGAATCGTTCGTTCTCATCACCTTTCGAGCATACCCAACCTTAATTCACCAACACTCGCAAGTCCAACATTCAACATGGTGTCGCTTAGCAGACGCCAGACGGCGGTCATATTGAGTGTCCTTGTAAGCAAGCATAGTAGGCGTCTTCTAGGTATTTTTGTTTACTGATGCGGTATAGTACCTTGGAGCCTTGACTGCAATGGCAGCGTAGGTCAAAGGCTTTACATAATCGCCGACTCCAGCAACTGATAATCTACTCACAGATATGCTGTCCACCAGACCTCCACGCTGTCGCTACCGATTCCCTCGACTCTTACAACTCTCGCACTTGCACTCCCGATCTTCGCAGGCGTGTGCATGGAAACCAGTACTGCACTTGCAACTTCGCTGGCTCTACACCCGAAGCTTCGACATCGACATGCACGCAACTTCCCTACCGTTCTGCTGCCTTCTACCCTGACTATCCTCGGCCTACTGATCTACATCACCGTAGTCGCGACACTCAGCGGCACCCACGTCTCACCCGCTGGCGGTCTCAACTGCGCGTTGAGAGAAAAATGGCAAGCCATGTTTTCGAAAGAGCAGGGTGGAAAGATGAAGAGAATCCAGGAGGCATTTGATTGCTGTGGCTTCAGAAGTGTGCGAGACATGCCCTTCCCAATCCCTGGACATGGGAATACCGTCGATACGTGTTCGCAGCGCTATGATCGTCAGATTGGTTGTGAGGGTGCTTGGAGAGACAAGGAGAGAACCGTCGCTGGTCTTATGATTGCTATCGCCGTGGGCGTTTTCCTCTGGCTGGTATGTGGACTGCTGCTGTCCATCTCGTCTGTTTCGTATCCATGCTGACATCAGCGATAGGCCGTAATCATCGTAACGCCAGCAATTCACCCGTCATGGGCGCACGAGAGCATGCGCCTTCCTCATCGTGTCTTGGAAGAGGAGTCCGATGCAGCGAACAGGGTCATCGAATACCCATCCCAGCGCTACACGGATGATCCTGAAGGAGATGATTCAGATACCCGTCGTGAGATCACCGGGTTGAACAACGACTCTAGACTTGCGATGCAGGTCGAGAGCTCAAGAGACAGTCCCAGCAAGCTGCTAGCCGATCAGGGCGTCTGGAGAGGCGAGGACGGCAGAACTTGATGGTGCCAGGTAGAATCAGTAGGAGGAGTTTAGGCCGTGTCGCGGATTCAAGAATCCTAATGTGATCAAGTGTCAATACTGGTTGTGTCTCCAAGCGTGCAGAGTGGGAATCAGATCGAAGGAAATGCTCGGGACGATTCATAGGGATCGTATAGAGGGTCTGTACACCGTAGTCTATCTGCACATGCTGTAGGTTTCGTTATCTCATGCAACGACTTGGAGAGGAGACAAGTCTGACCAAGCCAGGGTTGTAGTTTTTGTGATTGACGATTTCGGCACCACCGACTTGGCCGATTCTCGGGCCGCTTTCGACGCCACCTTCCGAGGCTGCTGACCATCAACAATTTTTCTCGACTCTCAGCAGACACGCGATCAAGACTCAGACATACACACCCCGCCCTCGCTATCCGCCTCCGGAACACCCGTTTCTTTATTGTCTCCGTCACAGCCATCTCGATCCGGACTGATAAACACCGCAAAAATGGTCGACACCTCCGAAGCAAGAATCTACGACGAGATCGAGATTGAAGACATGACCTACGATCCCGTCACTCAACTCTACACATACCCCTGTCCTTGTGGCGATCGTTTCGAAATCAATATCGAAGACCTCAGAGATGGAGAGGAGATTGCTATCTGCCCAAGCTGTTCGCTGATGATTCGGGTCATCTATGAGGTTGAGGAGTTGCCTGCTGTCGCTTGAGTTTGACTTGAGAAGAGAAAGTAACACATGCAAGAGGAAGAGATGATACATATCTTGAACCAGAAGGTTGCAAGAGTCGGCAATAGAAAGAGCAGCTCTGAGAATAACGGCTACACGGAGGATTCGTTGGATACGAGACGGCGAAAAGACGAGCACGACACTCCTGGCCCTGTGTCCTGTCACCCTCCTGCGCAAGATCCTTGATCGCACACAGCCTAAGTCATCATCCAAGGCATGTCGGGTCATAGCCAGGCCACCACCTATGCTTCGATCCATTCTCTATCTGCAAAGATGGCGTTTGTCTTGTCAGCACTCTCATCCAGAGGACAACAAGATCGACTCCTCGAAACGCCAAGTTCGAATATTGGGCTGAAGGAGAAGAAACGTCGAGGGCACAACTATGACTACTTTATTATCCGCAGTACGCTCCTGCTCTCGCGATCTCGAAATGACACAAGGTGATTGTGGGTATCGAAGGAAGGTGCCAAGGGGAAGAAGGACTGTCAGTGAGAGGGGAAAGGGCAATCTACATACTACCAGATTACGTTGTAGGACTGTAGTACACTTGCTCAATCTTCTAAATGTCATGAGCGCGAAAGAGTATTGAGAGGAAAGTAGAGGAAGAATGCTTTTTGTTTTTCGTTTCCATACTCTTGTAAAAACACCTTGTGAATATCGACAAATCCCATCATATCCCTAATATGCAAGCAACATACTTCTAAGCAATCATATCACCCTTCTCATTCTCCAGAGTGGCAGTCTCCATGCCAGGTCTCCACTCCTTTGCCCATCTGGGCCACATTCTCTTGTACAAACTCATACCCACAGCATCCATAGGGTTGATCTTGCCATCGAACGTAGCCTTGAAGTAACCATGCGTACCCAGCGATTCCTTGATGTAACCGCTGCGTCCGCGCTTGGTCCAGAGCTGAATGGCCTTGAACCACGCCACGTCTTCCTCGTTGAAAAACATGTAGCGAATGGTGACCAGCTTCTTGTGGATCTTGTAGGGGTGACCGGTGAGGACGGCACGTTTGGCGATGATGCGGTTGGTACTGGGGGCGACTGACGTGCCAGTGGCGACAAGTGTGTAGAGGGGTTTGTTGGCGGAAGAGTCGTCGTCCATGGCGTCGTCCTCCTCGTTGTCTGAGTCGGCGGGAGGTGGAGGGATGGTGGAGGTGCGCTTGAGGTACAGGCAAGGCACGTGGCCCCATGTGAGAGGACCGATGAAAGAGGCCATGCCTGTTTGACCGGGGTGCAGGTAGCGGTCGAACTTGTGCACGTTGTTGGGAGTGTTGCCTGCTTGCGAGAACAGGGGGTTGATGACCAAACGACGAGAGCCGCATTGCATGATCAGCTCGTCCTTGGACTTCAATGGTGCAGGGTAGTCGCTGCTGAGTGTGATGCTGTGGTTGACCGAAGTACGCTTGTGCTCGTGGCGGAGCAACGAGAAGATGCCTGTCGGTGTGGGGAGAGTCTTGAGAGTCTCAGGGGAAGAGTCGCCCAGACGAACGTAGACGTGAACACGGGTACCAGGAGCAACGCCGCCAACCAGGGCTTCGCTGACCATGCGGTGCTCTGCTGCCTTGTAGTTGGCAATTTCAAGCAGGCGCGACCACTCTGCAGGCTCATGCGGCTTGTCCTCGTCCTGCTCCCACGCACTGGTGCGCAGACTCTTGAGACCTCTGTAACGAGCCAGTCTTTCGCGAGCTGACACGTTGGGGTGCAGTTCGATTTCGTCTGGGAACTCGAGATCCTCGTCGGCCTCGGCCTTTCGTGACTCGCGGTAAGCAGCCAGTTGCTCGGCCTCTTCTTCGGGTGATCGGTCTAGGAACATCTCTGATTGTGGGTATTCTGAAGGAGCGTATTCCGTAGGTTCGCGAGGAGCAAAGCCCTCAGTACCATCGGCGGGAACAGCGTCCTCCATGGCATCGTCCATCTCCTCGTCACCGCTCTCTAGATCGGAGCCAGAGTCGGAGATATCTCCAACGTACCAGGCAGACTGGTATTTCGAAGTACCTCTGGGCAGCTTCTTCGGTTTTGATGCCTCCTCGTCCTCGTCCTCGTCAAAGTAGTGGTGGTCGTCCAGCAAAACACCCTTACGTTCCGTGGCAGCTACTGAAGGGGCGAAGTCTGTCATGGCCGTCTCTTCAGGTGCAAGATCGGCAATATCGTCCTGGTCCTCGGATGGAAGCTCAAGAACACTGTCCTCTTGAGGAGTGTCATCCATAGCCATGTCATCAGCCGAGTGTTTCTTCTTACTTTCCAGAGGTGCAGCGGCCATAATCTTCTCAATCTGGAAGTCACCCCAGTCTCCAACTTGAAGCAGTCTGTCGGCCTTGAGGCCTCTTCCGCGTACGGTTCCGGTGAAGACGACAGTGTTCGAGGTATCTTGGGGCCAGGCCATATCATCGACTAGCATCCAGCTTCGTGCTTCTCTCCAGTGAATGCCCTTAGGTGTAGTAGTGCAAAGCGAGCGGACGACGTTGGCGCAATCCTGACGGGCGTCCAGAGAGTGTACGCGCTCCTGAGTAGCGAAAAAGTGGGTGATGAAAGACTTGAGCGAGCCCAAGACTTGCGGGCGTCTCTTTGCGGGCTCGATCTGGTCGAGGCCTTGGACCAGAGTAATGACATTCGACACACCCTGACTTTCAATGGTACGCAGCATCTGCTCGCCCACAGGATCCACCTCTTGATCGGCGCTCAGAAGGAAAATGACAAAGTCGGCAACACGGCAGGCATCCAGGGCATCGAGGACATCGCGACGTCCGAGGGTAATGAATTGGAGCTTCTGCTTGAAGCGGGCGACATCGACTTTCCAGAGGTTCGAGTTGGGAGCATCGTCCTGGATGTCGACGCTGCGGACGAGGTTCTGAACAGCGGTGGCGCTCGAGATGTCTTCACAGAGAGGAATGACGGCGCAAATTCGAGGAGCAGCGTTCTTTCCGTGGAAGACGTTTGTCTGGCGATCGTGTTCGGCGTCCTTGACCAGGCGCTTTTGCTTGGCCTGGTTGCGGCGGTCCAGCTTGGACATGATTTGCTGGTGAGGAGTCTTTCTGGTTCCACGCTCAAAGCCTACTGACTCGACCTTACCTGCACGGTGTTAGCGACTGGAAAATGATACAGAGTGTCTCTCCACATACCCTTGTTCTTGTCCTTGATCGCGCCCTTGCTCATGTGTTTTGACTTGTAAGGCTTGTGAGCCTGTTTGGTCGTACTCCGGTGGTGATGTTCTCCCGGCGCCATGGTGAATGTGTCTTTGCTAAAGGTGGTGAGTGCACAAGACAATTGGGCGGCAATACATAAAATTTCCGTCGGGCCTGCAGAAAGTCGCTTCGGCGGGGCATGTGCAGCTCGGCGAACCTGCCCTTTTCGGCGACAAAGTCTGTGCCCAAAGGCCAGGGTCCAAGAAGCTTCTCACCATGACGTTGATGTCGACCGACTCGAGCATGTGAAAGTCGTCCTCAACCTGCAACCCCAAGTCCGAGACTGCCATCATGACTTTTGACTCTTCCATCAATCTCTCCACATGGACGACCCCGTTGCCGAGATCCCCTACGTGATCGCCCTCCTGACCGAAACTCCTCCATCCCTACAGCAGGCTACCGTCAACAAATACTTCACACAAAATGCCTCCTTCACCCACCCCTTCTGCCGCACCGGTACCTCAGCCCATTCCCGATACTTGATCGAGCGCATATACCGGTGGTACAAGATCATGTCACCACGGATCACCGCAAAAGTCCACAGCGTCTCCTACGACGACAAGAACAAAGTTCTCTACGTCGGCCTGACCCAGGTCTTTGCCATTTGGGCCGTTCCCACCCACCGATCCGAAGTCTCGCTCGTCACAGTACTACATCTATCGCCTCAGAGAGACCCAGAAGATCAAGGAAGAATCAAATATTACATCTCTAGCCAGAACGACCTGTACCAGACGGACCAATTCATCAAGTTCATTCTGCCCTGGATCGCCATCGTCGTGCCCATCTGGCAGTTCTTGGCCACCATCTTCTGCGTCATTGGCAGTTATCTTTTTGCTCCTGTTACCTGGTGGGAGGAGCATATGCAAGATCAGTTCACGAGGCCTGAGAGACCTCCAAAGTGGAGCGACGCACGATGATGATATTCTTGCAGACCCGCTACACTATATTCATTCGATTTCATGTCAACATTCATGCACCTTATCTTGGAGCTTCCACATTCTGTCACTCGTCACATCAGACCTGCGCGTTTCACTGTAACATTCTGATTGGCACTTCTAAATTTCTTTTGTTGAAACATTTTCATTGTTGGACTGACTGAATCCTCACCTTACTATCCCAAACTCCGGCGCGAAACGCCAAAGCTGACGGCAAACGAAGATGGTAGACATAAGGGGAAAGTTAGTGGGAGACTTACCTGGACATATTACTCAGGAATGAACGAATCTCTAATCAGGGACCTACCCTCCAACGACTCAACCAAAACTCTTCTGAGAATCCTAGCGTGTGTACCTAGCGAGCCATTATCGGTCGATGTGTCAGAAACGCCAGCAGTCGAAGCGTTGATGGACGAGCTCTCAGAGCCAGCGACACAATCAACAGAATTGATGCTAGGACTACGGATAATCTCGGGTTGATTGACGCGAACAGATCTGATTTTCAATGTCAGCTTAGGACGTTCACTACGTGGGTGAGCAACCGAAACAGAAGGATTTCTCACAGGACCGCGAACATTGACAGGTTGTGCTTTTTGGAAAGAGACAGGCGTGGCAGTTCTCAAGACAAATCCTTGCATAGCGGCACCATTGACGGCTGTGGATGAGGCTCTGGTCAGACTGATTGGAGTGGCGATGTCGGCGATGGCGAAGGTATCAGCGTAGGGCGTAGTTGCGAATGCAGAGAGATTGGTGTGACCGTCGAGGTAAGAGTAAGTGCTCATGCGATTGTATCTAGCTTGATCATAGTCGGGCTCAGAGGCAGTCGAGGAAATTTCTGGGCTTGGTGCAGAGACTGGGCTGATTGGTGCACTGTCAAAGTGAGTATTCAAAGCAGAAGGCGAGATGGGTGAGACAGGCTCAGAGGGCTCTGAAACTACAGGAGGCTGGGCAGGAACAACGACAGAAACACCAGGAGGGAGTGGTTTTCTACGAATTGGACCGCGAACAGGCTGGGGTGGAATATAGCCTGGAGCACCGGGTAGTGGAGGGGTCAAGGATGGTATAATCGGAAGAGGTTTGTACTCGGTCTGGTAACGTTTGGGCATGGGTCTCACTATTGGGTGACGAGCTGCCTGAATCTGCGGACTTGAGTTTCTGCGTTTTGGAGGGGTTGGAGCACGACGAGGTGTGCCTGGGCTGAAAGAAGGTTGAGGCTCTTGAATAACTTGAATGTTCAACTTACCACGAACCTGCAGGCATCGAATGCAGCTACAAGAGCGAGCGTGGTGGTTAGTGTTACGATCCAGATGCAGGAAGTTGCGAAGTCGAGCGAGTCTGCTACCCTTTTTGGGTGCACGAGTCTGCTTTGGAGCGTTTTGCGGTCCAGCCGGAATAGTCATATCTTCCTGCATCCAATAGGCCATGCCCGAGTTCATACGGCGAGTGTTGGCTGTAACGGTAGCGTACATGATGGTGACAAGTTACTGGATTCTGGAAGATTAGAACGATTGGTATGTTTGAGGGGCCCTGGAAAATAGAAAAGATGCTGCTCCTTATGACTGATCGCGAAACAAGGCAGATGGATTGTCTTGTCTCATTCTCTCGCTTTGTTGCTGCAAGACAATCGACAAAGCATGTCGCTCTCCAAGGAGATACTACAATGGAGTTAAAGATCAAACACAAAGAACGTGCTGGAGTCAAAGACACGAACAATGCATATACGCCGTCTGTCTAATCGGCTCTATGTACGTGCTACGAGATTATGCAGGGACTGATCGATGCTACGCGTTGGCAGGAGCGACAGAAGTGGTCAGACGGAAAGGTGCGAAGTGGTGGCGGCGTTGTTGCCAAACTCACCAGAACAAGCATAGACTTCTCACCAACAATGTGAACAACACACATTCACCTACGAACGGTCGCAAGTATTCTATCAATCATCGAAGCATCAAAATACACACCACAGTATCAAGAAACTTTCCACAAGAGCATCAGCCAATTTCAGCAAACCTTCCCCAAAGCATCAGCCGAGTCCAAGAAACCGTATGCCACGTCGGAAGTCCCTGTTGATCGGCATAGACTATACAGGAAGCGAGAATGCGTTGGACGGGTGTCACCAAGATGTCGACAACGTGGCCGAGTTTATCAAATATCGAGGCTACCAAGACACCCCACAAGACCAAGTCGTTCTTCGAGACGATTTGGCCAACGAGTATTCGCCAACAGGACACAACATCCTAGCGGCCATCGACTGGCTGGTCAGCGAAGAACATACAACATGTTTCTTCCACTATTCCGGTCACGGCGGTCAGATCAACGATCCGAATGGTAGACGTCCATCAGGCCTCCTTGATACCATTGTACCCGTCGATTTCGAGGACAATGGCCAGATTGACTCGGATATGCTCCATCAACATCTCGTGTCTAAACTGCCACCAAGCAGTACTCTTTTCCTCATCCTCGATTGCTGTCACTCCGGCTCAACCCTGGAATTGCCGTTCGTCTACCGAAGTAGTGAAGACGGCGAGATTCATAAACTTAATACGTACGAAGCTGGAGTTGCACTTTTGAAAGAAGCGAAAGAGATGATAACAGGCGATTTTAGCCTCGACAGAGAAGCTCGCGCTCGAGACCTCTACGCCGGAGCCACTTCGTTTTTGCGCAGCTTGAGACACAACCGACAGTTGACCGGTGTCGTAGCTGACGACTTCGCCCACGAGTAGGAATATGAGAGGAAGACGGTCACCATGTTCTCTGGATGCAGGGATGAAGAAACCAGTGCCGATGCTCAGATCAATGGTGTCAGTGAAGGTCAGTATTATATCCTTGCTTGAACAATTGGCTGGTACCTTGTCTCACTACAAGCTAGGCGCCATGAGCTGGGCATTCCTCGAAACCATGAAGTCCAATGGAGCTCCAACTTACAAGGAGGCAGGTAATCTTCGACATTATTCGTTTGGCTTGACTAACATCACTCAGGCCTTGCACCTGACCCGCGCCTTGTTGAAAGCATCCGAGTACACTCAAGTAATAACATATCTCACTTGAATATTTGCAACACCTGCTAACGATCGACAGGTCCCTCAACTTTGCGTTGGGAGTGAGATGAACCTAGACCAGCCATTGATTCTCTAGTGTTACCTTATCCTCGATGGTACCCTGAGAGCACCACGTTGCTGTCGCATGCAAAAAAGGCGTTCGATCCGCTGTATATCAGGTTCTGGGTATGTCAAGCTTATACCGACCCACAACTTGGGAGTGTGATGGTCTAATAGGACAGTGTCGATTGCTCGGGCTTTGCACTCGTGGTCACCCTTACTCTTCCGACCTTATGTTTCTAAGTTCCCAAGCAGTCCTACTCCAGATCACAGCGCGAGATGATTCATAACTCTGATGTTCCCATTCACACGATATCTCTTACTCGAGCGATCATGATATTGCTATACCTAAACTTGATTGGAGTCGGTGATATAAGACATCGTTCCGTTTCTTAGTCTTGTGTACCAGCTCTTGAGTAAGACTGATGCAGTGAAGTGCGGTCGAAGTTTTCCTGCTGAACCTGAGTTTCACTAGCATTGTGACAGACAAGATCCATGCCCTGTCTTTGTGTCTGGTGTTTGAGAAAGTCGCATTGTTCTCGTCATAGAAAAAGGTTCATCATGCATGCGTTCTTTGTTTGTTGTTTGTTTCTTTGTCTCTTTGTTCGATCACGATCGTCGGAAAACTGATAACTAGAGTCAGTACCGCTTAGCTTGTCTACTGATAGCAGGAGCTCACAACACCCGGTACGACACAGATTACAAAAGTCTTTCCAAGGACGCACTCCACCCCTCAAGTTCCTACTACTATTTCATATCACTAAGTCAGTCAATTACACAACATGAGAGGCGACATACTTTCCGTCTTCATCGAAGCTAATCGTTTCCCTCCAGCCATCAACGGACATCGTTATTCTATTCTCAGAGCGGAGTCTGACGCCGTTGCTGATCGACTGTTGATCATTGTCAGCAAGAATAAGAAAGACGCCTCCAGAGCCTCTCACTCGTATGCAAGCTCTGACATGAACAGACTTTCTGGGAACCACATCTATGAACTGGAAGCTAACCAGATTTCTGCCGTGGACCAGTGCCCTGCTCAATCGCTTGAACTGCCTGTTCTGCCTAGAATAAGCGTCATGTCTGCTTTCAACCCCTTTGACGAACAACTCTCTTCACCACCGAGCCCTGTTCCCAATCAACTCAAGCCTGCTACTGAGGCTGACACACTCCCTTCGAGTCCGTTGACTTCTAGGCCACCCACCAACTACCTGCCTTTCATCCCCCCGACAGCACCATTTGATCCCTACAAAGAGAAGTATGAGCCTCACCCAGCTGGACCCTATGGTGCCAAAAAGTTCAAAAACAGACAGACGCTGAGTTCTGCACCTTTCGGGTTTGAGAGACCAGTCACACCTACCTTCTCTGACACAACCTCAAGCTTCTTGCACTTCTCCGATACAAACTCGCCAACTTCACCTGATCAAGCTGGTGCTGGTGCTGCGTCTTCTCCATCTACAAGTCAGATCTCTTGCTCACCTCCTAGAACACCTCTCTTTAGGCCCTTCAAGATCCCTCGTAAACCGCTGCCGCCTGGCGCGAAGCCGTTTCCTCCTGTTTCTTACACGCCACCTGGTTCGCCAATTCGTCACGACTCACACCGCAACACTGTCAACATCGAAACTGCTGTTCCTCAGCGTCCTCATCGTGCACCCACAAACACTGCTCGCGTCCGCTCACCCTCCAGGAACCAGACCACTAAAAGAAAGCCAGGACTCGACGTTCACAAGCATCTTCCTCCTTCTCCTTCTCCTGCTCGTCCAGCCAACACTTCTCAATCCCAGAACCCTGCTCCATCGAGCAATTCTCATAGTAGAAGAGTTTCGAGACCCTCTGATCACGGTATGCAAGTGCTTTATATGAGCAGTGCAGAGTATATCGCCAGACCTGTCACAGCTGCTGACCGTGTGCGTAGCGAATTGAGAAATGTCAAGGAGAGAGCCTTGGATAGAATCTTTAAGCTCAGGCGCTCTTGAACGAGGACTGTTTCTAACGTTGGAGTCATTGTTTGATTCTTAGCTGAGTGTAGGGTATAGCGTCTGTTAGTACGGGTCATCTTGCATTGGCATCAACTTGTTAAAATATATGTCTCAACTTATTGGCCTTGATAAATATGAAGATATACTCTCTGATATTCCACATCCTGCAGAAAAGGTCTCCTATCGATGCTTATAACCTACACGTGTGCAAAGGTTTGTCACGCGTGTAGTCTGTGAAGATGCATGGTTGCTTTGGTAAATCGGGAGCTTCCACTGAGAGTTTGTGACACAGTCAGCTCTCAATGGAGTCGTCTACCCTCTGAAGATTATTGTGCCTTTGCATACCATTCTATTCTTCCGCAGAGAGGAGCTTAGGGAGTGAGGGCGCAAAGTCTACATCTTCTGTCCTCCTATTGAGGAGATCCACAGAGCAATTGCTATAGAAAGGCATGGTGATTTCCAATTTGAAGTCGTGTCCAAGGAGAGCTTGAACCTTGTGAACACTCGCCTGCAAAACTGTGCATCTTCAATATGTGTGCCCGTAATTGTTAGTCTCGAGATCATCTCGACTCAACCAATACTGCGATACAAGATGGTAATCAGCTGTTCAAATAATATGTCTCTATGCTTTATAGTCTTATACGTGCCCTTCTTCTCAATTGTAATAGTACCACCGCGCAGAGCAACATGGTAGCGACAACAAACATCCCGCCCATTGGTGTGACAGCATAAGTCTTGTCCAATGTGTAGCCAGTCTCATAGCTTGCAGCGAGATATGTTCGAGAAGGCTGAACGTTCTTGATTCTTCGTGTCTTGCTTGATGCAGAACTGGCTCCAGGTGTAGAATTGGAAGTCTGGAGCGTGCTACCAATGAAAACGACAAGTACAGCAGCATACGCCGCTGTTGATGCAAATACATCGTGCCTTCGTGCGGTGGTGATCCAGAGGATCGAGAATGCAAAGCCGGGCGTCAGGACGCTGAGTAAGATGAGACGACCGTGGTCTGACTTCCAGAAATATAGACCAATGATCGCGCCGACGAGCCAGGCCACCACAAGACAGACGCTTATCCATGTGATGACCTTGTTCAGACGTTTCCATTTGGAGAGGCTGGTCATACCGGTCGTTTTGTCCTTTATCATGTTGCGGAGTTGGTGTTTGCTCTCAACCAGACGGGTGAGGGGATCTCGTTCCACTTGTGGCGCCAATGTGCAAAGATCTTTTTGGTTGTCCTTGCACAGATGGAAGGACATAGCGCCTTGTATGATAGCGTGTGATTCGGCCTTGTCCTCCCAATGGTCGTGATCATAATCATCTTCATCGGGTTGCACAAAAATACGGCCGTTCGTCTCAATGTCATCATGTTCGGGCCTCTCGAGAGCGAAAATCTCGTTCATCAGTTTCAAAGCTTCGTCTGGCATTAAGGTCAGCAGATATAAGTCCAAGAGCCAGAAGAACTTATTTACGATATTCTTTCACTTTGACCCTGATCTTCTTCACCAATCGCATCCTTGCTATCATCAATTCTTGTTTCCTAGCTTCTTCCTCGGATATGTTCTCGGTCGTACACTCTTCAGCATACTCAGCCTCGGCCTTGAGTATCGTCCAGTCACCCAGATGGTTGACCAAGGTCTCGGGAATCAGATCCATGTCTAGTCTTTCTACCTCACTCTCCAATGCTGATAGCTCGCTTTCCAGATAGAGTAGGTTGCGCATAGCGAGACGGTCGAAGCGTCGAAAGATGGTTGTAGACCGTAATGGATCGGAGGAAATAAAGTCTGAGAACAATCTGTAACCGTCGACCATCTTCGCCGCCACCAATCTTTGGCCGACCGGCGTCTGGGTGCCAGAGATGGCGGCTGGTGTAGGCGGAGAACTTATCGCGGAGTTGGGAGACATTGGACGGAGTTCTGTTGTGGACGTCATGTCGTGTGGATCCACAGAAGAGCATAAGTGGGCTGGAAGTATGATGGCTGGCAGAGGAGGATTTGTCTCAGGTATTGTCTGTCGCCAGTAAGAGTTTCTCGAAGGGGAGAACCATATTTCAGGCGCGGAGATGAGGCATCCTCATGCACCTCGGTCCATTGATATGACCAGGAAGCCATGATATACGAGCGTATGGCGTTCGATATTCTCGTGCATACTCAAGGCTGTGCTCAATGTTCGTTCGGCATGCATATATAACTCGAGGCGCGACTGCATGATCATGCAGACTCGCAGAGCCTGCCGCCGCACACCGGTGATCCGTGTCACACATGCGACTCGATGACAAAGCGATTTAGAGCCAATGGGATTTTCCGAGTGCGTTGCAAGTGACGAATATTCGGGCACATGCTTATGCGCTTGTGACTATAACAAACTCGATGTGTTGAGCTTGTAGACTTGGATGCGGAAGTCCCGAACGAGTGCACTGTCGAACATCGGAAGCAAGTTCGAAAGATTGCTGGGTGCGGTCTTGATATTAACCCTCGCCAGGTCTATCGATCCTACCTACCTCCCCATGTGCAACGTTATGTCACGCGGACCTATAGAAATGCACAGTCCCTTTAGTAACTAGGAGGTATCCATCGAGAGGCGTGGTCTCATCGGCTCTCGGTGGACTTTACTGTCGTCTGTAAAGTACTGTGCATTTTGATAGCCTTAGCGCCTCCCACATGTGGCCGTGAGAGCGGAGTGGAAGTGACGGAAGTGAACACACGGGGTATCATTTCAAGTCGGTGGTTAATAAGCCAAAAGAGGGAACCGCGCTATGCAGGCCAGTTTGGAGTATATTGTGGCGCTGCGGCGCAGCCTGTACTTTCCGTTTTGGTCATGCAACAAAACATAGCCGCCGTAAGACAGGCGAGGATTGTTAGACAAGGCTGTGCCACCCTTTGTGTTGATTGGTCAGCCGTATGTGCGTGTGCAGGCGCAGCATTGTCATTCCTGCAGCCACACAAACAAGGCGCAAACGTGAGACTATTTTCAATTTCCGGTTCCATCATTCTTAAGGACTCACATGTTCCGTATCCTCTCAGTAGATGCGCTTGCACTTTGATGAAGTATACAAAAGCAAAATCCTCTTGAACGAAAATATTCCGAACGAAAAACAAAAGACCACAGCTGATACTGAACCGACGATTTCATCATGATCCTGGACAAGGTCGACTTCTCGCATATCGCAAGTGCTTTCAAACTGCGCGATTACACATATAGCGGATGTAATCCTGCCAGCTTATCAATGCCTGTAGGCCACAGTAAGCATTATTTCATCTTTGAGCAAAACACGAGAGTGTCTAACAGACGTGCAGAACCTGATGCTGCAGCTCGAGAAAGAGATATCTTCGAGCGCGCAAAACAGCGACGTCGAGCAGAAGCAGAACAAGCAAGACTCAAGTTGGCCAAGAAAGAAGCACGAACACGTATCCGGCAGTTTGAAGACCAACGACGAATGGATGACATCGACATCAGAACTCCAGAAAGATCTACCGATATCGCAGAGAGGGACTCAGGTGTGTTCTTCTTCGAGGACCCAAAAATTGTTGCCAGCAACGCAGAGACTGTCGCAAAGATCGTCTCCAAGTGGAGAGCCAGAGCCAGATGGTCCAAAGCACTCCAGAAAGTCAGAAGCATAAGCTCAGGAAGCTTGAACGTCTCACCATCCGGACAACCTGCGCGAATGCAGCCAGACCTACTGTGTCCAGGCACCCCAACAAGAACACGCGCATCGTCCACAAGTTCAGTAATGAGTGCACCGCATTCAGATACTTCTCTCTTGAAGCAGCATTCGAACGACTTGTTGTCACCGCTGGCTCCAAGAAGAACCCGCGCCTCGTCGACTGATTCTGTCAGACTGATAGTGACGTGAGAATACTGGCTGTCGATTCAGCCTGAACATGAAGTTGTTGATGATGATCGTGCTTTATCAAAACGAGTCAATGTGATTACACGCCGATTTGCTGGAAGTGCGTTGGAATGGCTGGTTGCGAGTCGCGACGAAGTCGCGACATGGAAGCCAAGCAGATCAAACGCAGGAATTTGCAGACAGCCGGCTGGTGCTGATGCTGGATCTTCTAAGTCGGGAAATAGTTCGGGTCAGGGAGCAAGCGAGTATCCGTAGCAGCGCTCACCATTAGCAAGCACCAGCATTTTGCGTCTTGTGAAAGATCGAAATATTTACATGTCAATCGGTTGTGTTGGCGATGCGGCGGCAGCTGCATTGCCAAGTCTGGAAAGCTGGGGGCGGGCGGGAGATGTCACGTGCTGCGAAGCTTATTTTCCCAAAACATCACCTCCTCCGATCCATATGGAATATTCAACAGATAGAGAGCAGAGACAACTGAAAGCGAGAAAGATCTTTATTTTAGATGGAATCTATCTCTAATACGAGCGATTCACAACGGGGAATAGTTAAAGAAACGTCATAAACATAGCCCTTTTTAATCCGGGACGCCTGGCCAAATGCCTTGAGTGCAACAACATAACCACTCTAGAAGTCGTCTTCGTCAGAGAAGACCTCCTCGCCTGTAGCAGAATGATTAGTAAAGGTCATCGTTGTTATTAGGAAATCTTGATTACTTACCACGCTTGCGGCGGGCCATGCGGTCCTTCTTCTTCTTGCGAAGCTCAGCACTTGTCAGCTTCTTCTTCTTTTCGGCGACCTCGATCTTGTTGCCCATAGCATCGAACTTGGGCTCATCGTCATCAGCCTTGGCGTCAAGTCTAGGTCCGGCACCTTGTCCCTGAACCCAGTTGTGACCGGAGGGAGTCATGCGACCATTTTGGACAGCCCAGACTTCCTCGGTCAAGTCCTTGGTGAACTCGGCAGAGTGAGTGATGATGATGACACCACCCTCGAAGGACTTGATGGCCTTGGACAGAGCACCAAGGGAGTCACGGTCGAGGTAGTTGGTGGGCTCGTCGAGGACGATCAAGTGGGGACGTTGCCATGAGCAGGCGGCAAGGACGACCTTGACACGCTGACCACCAGAAAGACCACGCATGCGAGAGTGAGAAACAAGCTCAGCGTCAAGACCGAAGTTGGCGCAGTGCTGCTCGATCTCCTTACGGACAAGAGGGCGGAACTGACCAGAGGCAAGAGCCTCCTTCTGGTCAACCTCGGCAACCATCTTCTGATGCGACTGCATGATCTCGGTACGGGGGATCCAGGCGTTGTCGGCGGTCATCATGGGAGTCCACTTCTCGTTCTTCATGCCGATGTTGTCACCGAGAGCGAACGAACACTCGTACTCGTAGGAGTTCTTGAACTTTCTACGCGAGTGGATACCAATGACGCGACGCATGGTACCCTCAATTCTGTAGATCTTGTCCATAGCCTTCTCGTCCTCATCGGTGACGATCTTGTTGGCACGGTCCATAGTCTCACGGTCCTCACCAGTCTGGAAACGCCACTGGATGTACTCGGAAGGAGTAGAGTCGAGGTGGTGATCGATGTGAGCGAAAGCGTGCTGCTTGATGTAGGCAATACGGATGTTCTCGTGGTGGTAGATCTCACCCTTGGTGGGGATCAGCTCACCGGTAAGGACGTTGATGAGGGTAGACTTTCCGGCACCGTTGGGACCAATAACGGCAATACGGGAGCCGAGAGAGCACTGGAAGGAGCACTCCTCAATCTGGGGCTTAGCAGTACCAGGGTACTGGAAGGAGACGTTGCTAACACGGACGATGGCCTTGGCCTTGGTCTTGACACCCTCGAGGAAACCGGGCTCGGGGAACTTGAACTCCATCTCGGAAGCACCAAGCTCGTAGTATGACTTAGCGGAAGGAACACGCTTGACGAACTCGGAGAGCTTGCCGCGGTATCTCTTCAGCTTGAAGCGCTCGTAGTGGATAACGTGCTGGATGACGTTGTCAAGGAACTTGGAGTCGTGAGAGATGATGATGGATGTGCAGGGGGAGGTAACGAGGTAGTTCTCGAGCCATGCAACGTTCTTGACATCCAAGTGGTTGGTAGGCTCGTCGAGAAGGAGAATATCGGGCTTCTCGAAGACGGCACGGGCAAGAGCCAACTTCATCTTCCAACCACCAGAAAGACCACCGATAGGGCCATCGAGCTGCTCCTCAAGGAAACCGAACTCGATAAGGGTGGTACGGACCTCAGAGTCAGGAGTCTCGACACCGACAGCAGCAAGCTTCTTCATGGTCCAGCCAATGACAGTCTGCTCAGTGTCGTCAGAGTCGAGATCGTGCTCGACGTAGACGGTCTTGACTTCACTCTGCTTGGGGAAACCCTCAACCTGCTCGTTGTTGATAGCACGCATGAGGGTAGTCTTTCCGGAACCGTTGGGGCCGAGAAGACCGTAACGCTGACCACGCTTCAGACGAAGGTGAGTCTGGTTGAGCAAGATCTTGGCACCGTAGGCCAAGTTGAAGGTGCAGTTACAGAGATCCTCACCCTCCTCCTCATCGGGCTCGACATCACGGCCAGCCTTGGCAAGGGGAGAGGCGTTCTTGCGGAGCTGCTCAGCGACGTTACCAGCCTCAGCCTCACCAACGATGACGGTAAGGAAGGGAACGGTGTTCTGGGCCCAAACCATGGGTTCAACAACCTTCTCGTCGACGAGCTGACCGCCGATAGCACCAACGTAGTTGACAATGGTCTCGAACTTGTCGGCCTTGGCACCAACGATGGTCTTGAGGTGGGCGGCAACGGTGGCCAAGTCACCATCCTTGGAGATCTCGGGGGCCTTGCCGTCAACAACGTGACCAACACGGGTCAGAGTGTCAAGGGCCTGCTTGGTCTTCTCACGGGCCTCGGGGTCAGCGAGGTTGTCGTTGTTGCGGTTAAGGGCGGGCATCAGCTTGGGCAAGAAGGAGGCGACAATCTGGGGGTCCTCGACAAGCTTGCACATGTTGTCGACAATGACGGCAGACTTTCTCTTGATGGCGGTCTCACGCTCGTTAAGACCACGCTCGAGAAGGGGAACCATGATGGCGAGGGTGGGCTCGTGGACGTCAGTGACGAAGGTGGTGGCACCGAGCAAGTGGATGGTCTCGGGGACGTTCTCGGGCTTAGCGATACACTTGATGAGCTCAGGAATGAAGCGGTCGATATCCTTGTTGACGATAAGAGAGCAGATCTTCTCCATGGTGGAGTAGGCGGCCTTCTTGACCTCGTTCTTGGTGTCCCACATGGCCTCGGAGACGATGGGGATAAGCTCAGGAACACGGAGAGCGGTCTGAATGGGCGAAGACTCGGACAGAGCGACGATGCACTCGAGGTCGGTCATCTTCTCTTGCCACTTCTGGGCGTTGTGGATGGACTCGACGAAGTGGGGGATAAGGGCCTTGACAGCGTTGGCGTTGGCCATGCGGGTAATGGCGAGGGCGGCGGCCTGGGCAGCGTTCTTGACGGGGACGATCTTGTCACCGACGGCGGCGAGGACGGCGGGAAGAAGGTCGACGAGGTAAGGCTCAACAGCGGAGCTGACCTCGGAGTGCGAGGCGATGGCCTTGATGGCATCGCAGGCACGCTCACGGGCGAGGGCGTCCTTCTTGTTGGAGAGGGCCTTCTTCAAGGTGGCGACAGCCCTGGAGAGGGTCAGCAGCAGTTCACTGCGGTATACACGACACGGCGACTCACTTGGTAGGGGCGTCCTCCTCCTCAATGTCGCCGTTGATGAAGATGGCGATCTCCTGGGAGACACCGTTGATCTCATCCTGGGCCTTGGAGACGTTCAGCTTGGCCAGGAGCTCTTCGAGCACCTTCAGCGACTGCTGGTTCTCAGATTTGGCTTGTTTGCTTGCCATTTTGGTGGATGAGTAAAAGAAAGTCGACGAGGCGAGCAGGGGAGTCTCAAATAGTCGACGCTGGGGAAAATTTCTGCCGGCTCAACAAGTCTTGGCTCCTCTGACCACCTGGCGTCTCTCATCCTCTCGCTCGCCGGGCGTGCGTGCCTGTCCGTGCGCCGCCTCGCCGTTGATTTGCCAACTCTAGCTCCGACAATAACTGTTTTTGCCTCGCTCCTTGCCACATTCAACACATATCTGCTTCCCCTGTGAACATGGGAAAAAGCAAAGAAATAGGGTTAGCTTCTTCACCGAGCACTCTTCTAGAATACTGAATCAGATGCATGTATTCGCCAGAAAATATCGATAACCATGTAGCACTTTTATTGGCTTAATACAAGCTACTCGATCCAGGCTCGTCTTTCTCCCAGACGCAGAACAATACTTCAGTCTTCTCACATTCTATCTTGCCTCCTGTCCGTATCGTCTCTAGCATTCCCGAGCGAAATAACTGTGACTTCTCCATCATGTGTACTCCGACTAGACTCTTCACCGTGGATGACACCAGCTTTGGTCATCTTTAGACCACACACAAAGGTAGCACGGTCGAATGCCAGTCAGACTGCCTCTTCATATCTCAACGACAAGACACAAATACTAAATTAACAGCGTTCACGAAGAGAACAAGAAGAATTGTGTCACTAATTTCAGAAAGTAGGACGAGTCTTCCACTTAAAAATCGACAATATGGAAGAGTAGTAGAGAGGTGAAATTAGCGATACACAACCGCTGTTAAAGACTAGAGAAGCTCAGGAATCGCGAAAGTCTGCAGCATCAGAAACCCATAGATAGGTCATGTCGATGCTACTCAATAAATCGGCTGGTTTTCTCCGTCAGCATCAGATGCATATTCTGGTTCTAGGCAACAAGGTATGGTGTGTACGACCCCAGACTCGGTGTGCGAAAAGGCCCACCTCTCTGGGGGATAGCGCTGTCTGTGTCGTCACAATAGAGAAAGAATCAACGACCAAGCGTTTTTGGTTGTCTGTTGTTTTTGCAATGGAAGTGACCGTCGTGGATGCAAAAGTGTGCTCGCAATGTGCGGTCGACTCTGGAGATCATTCGGTGATTTATCGCATAATCTCAAAGTCTAATCACTCGGGTGTTCCCATCATAAACACTATTTTTCGAGGTAAATGATGGGCAAGCAATAGAAGAAAGGAGAAAATATCGTTACCAGAGCACATGTGCAGTCTCCGGAACGCATTCGCTCGGTGCTAGATATGACAGTCATGCTTACCTTACAGCGCAAGGCAAGCCAGCGATTCTATCCTTACGCAGCTTGCGAGGCGTGGATCTCGTCTTCATTCTGTAGGCCTTGATACTTCTACCAGACCTGGGATATTGATCTGTCGAGCACACACTTAAGATGCGAAGGGAACGCAGAGCAACTGAGAAGTCATAGCTCCCTATGAAAATTATCATCTCAACGCACAGGTCTTCCCAAGTGGTAGCAAGGTCTAACGAGAGCTGATGGCATTACGCCTCTCGGTGGACGCGCTCTGTATACTAAAGAAACTGTACATATGTCTGGCTATCTGCGTGACGCACCCTTGCACATGGGGAGGTTGAACCTGTTGTCCGAACATCGCCCATGATAGACTGATGTTACATTGAAAAGCAGATGGCAACACTTCAGCAGTTATCAGTGATGGTCACAGTCGTAGAAGATATCACATACCTTCGAGCGGATCTCCCGTTAAGTCTCAGATTCCGTGGTGGATATCGTGTTTACCTTATGGCAGGCTGCATGGTCCTCCTTACTCTTGTGAAGCTTAGCGAATTTGAGCTTCCTCTTTCGTTTAAGAGCCTCGATCTTTTTACCCTCTGCGATTAAGGGGTCTGTTTATCATAGCTCTTGGCTTGAAGTCCGGGTCCTGTATCTTCGCCCTGTATGTGGTTGTGACATCTGGTTGTGACATCTAGGAGCGTCCTGATAATCTTTTTGACTGCGAGTTATCATCCTCGACGATTTCTATTGTTCCATGTCACAGGGTTACGCCCTTTTACCTCAATAAACCGCTCCTGTGATCAAGCTCTTCTTTAGCACCCGGTTGAGAGACCGCAGTGGCCAACGAAAAGATTTTTTTTTTGGGAGTTTTTTGGTTTTTCTGGTTTTTTGTGCTTTTTAGTTCATGAGCAAGCCTACTAGGAGGCAGCAGACAAGCATACCCATGAGAGCGTAGCCGAAAGACATGCATACCCATGAGAAGGCGGTCTAGAGACAGGCCCATGAGGAGGCAGTAGATAAGCATACCTATAAGAAGGTAGCCGAGGAATGAGCCCATGAGGCAGCTCAGGGAAGCAAGCCCATGGAAGAGCAGCAGGTGGGAGCAAGTCTGTGAGGAGTCAGCAGGAAAGGAATAAGCTCAGAGATCGAGCAGCAGAGAGGAAGCAGGCTCAAAGATCGAGCAGCAGAAAGGAAGCAGGCTCAAAGATCGAGCAGCAGAAAGGAAGCAGGCTCAAAGATCGAGCAGCAGAGGGGAAGCCAAAACTCAATTTAAAAAACATGGAAGGTGAGAGCAGACAAAAGAAAAAAAAAGGTGACAGAAGAGGCCCAGGATGGGGCAAATAGAACAGAATAGGAAAAAAGAAGAGGGTCAAATCGTGGCTTGGCCGCCTGCACCGGCACCACCAGCATCACCAGGGCTGCGTTTGTGCCTCTTACGGGGTCCGGATTGCCAATGGTCGTCGGCGCTTCTCTTCTTGTTCTTCGTGGCGCCAGGTTCTTGGTGACCTCCATGGCGAGGGGGACCGGCAGAGGGCTGCTGCTCGATATGCTGTGCGAGCTGCAGAAGATACTGCATTTGTTGCTGTTGGTGTTGGTGCTGCTGCTGCAGCTGCTGCTGAAAGTGTTGGAGCTGGATTTGCCGATGCTGTTGCTCCTGCTGCAGTTGTTGGATCTGCTGGCCGTAGCCAGGGTGGAAATTCTGTTGGCCGTAGCCGGGGTAGTTGTTCTGTTGGCCGAAGCCAGGGAACGTGGTGGATGGGCCGAGGCCAGGGGAGTTGTTCTGGTAGTTGGAGCCAGAGAAGACGTTTTGGCGGCTGCGGCCGCGATCTGAGGTTGATGCTCCACGGGCGGCTTCTCTTCTGGGCACACGGTCAGTAGCAGAGCGGAGAGGATCTCCGAAGCGACACTCGTCGGCCGTGTGATGGAGGTTTGCACGCGGAGTCCTGTTTCCGGATCTGCCGCAAGGCACGAAACCATCTTCACCGAATGTGGCGCCTTCGACGGTGACAAATCCAGGCTCGCCCCATTTGGGCACCGACGAAGAGATGCTGGAGTTGGCGGCGCGTGCGGTGCTGTTGTTGTTGGGAGCAGACATTGTGATGTGTGATGTGTGATGTGTGATGTGTGATGTGTGATGTGTGATGTGTGATGTGTGATGTGTGATGTGTGATGTGTGATGTGTGATGTGTG